GAGCCGACCCCAAGGGGAGGCGACGCGACGAGTATGAGGCAAGATGGCCGAATGGTCTAAGGTATGCTTGGCTACCTTATCTTGTGTAGTATTGTCTTGTTAACTAGTGGATAAACAGGCGCTGCGCTTGGGATGCAGTCTTCTTGGGTTCCATTTTTTGGCTAGGGTTAGGGCAAATGACTGGGTTAGGGTGCGGATTTTGTGGGTTTGATTTACATGGTACAAGATGGCGATTATTGATGGATTGATTCAGACGGCGTGAATAGAGAGTAGAGAGAGAATACAAGCCCGAGGGAATCTTTTTAGGGCTAAATTTCATCCCGAAAATGGAAGTAATAACAGACTTCCCCATTAGGTAACCCGGGGCAAGACCCTTAACTTACGTCATGACGACGACAATTCGATCTATTTTATACTACGTCAGTGTCTGCTGAGAATGATATATAACATTATGATATTTTCCTACTTATCTATCCAACTATCACTTCACATCTGCAAACAATCAACCGAACATGTCCTCGACAATCTCAACCAGCTCCGGCAGCAAGCCTGTCGACCCCTACAAGGCCAAGAGCTATGACTTCAACGCATCCGTCCAGGAAAAGATTGAAGACCTCGTAAAGTTCATCAAGGAGATCAAATATGGGATGCTCACCACAAAGGCGTCCGACAGTGATCTCCTCTCTTCGCGAGCTATGGCTTTAGCTGGAACCGTTTGTCTACCTTCCTTTTTCGAATATGCTGTATAACTAAACCGAGCAGGAAAACGGTGGCATCGACCTCATCTTCCACACAAACCTCTTCTCCGGAAAGACGATGGATCTCACCGTGCACCCCACAGAAACGAACATGTCTTTCCTCGACGTCGTATCCGGTGGATGGGCTTCTATCTCCGGAACAGCGACGATCTTATCTGGTAAAGACATTGTCGAGAAATTCTACTCCCCAACTCTCAAAGCTTGGTTGGGTGACTTGGGTGATGGTGTGCATGACGGTGGTCCCTCCGATCCTCGTATCGGCGTTATTAGAGTGGAAGCCAAGTCGGCAGTACACGTAACGCCTCGCAAAGGAATGATTGGTAGGGCAGTTGAATATGGAAAGGCCATTTCTACAGGAGATGTGCCTCCAATTAACAAGCTCCGCGAAATCAGCACGGAAGAGCTGGCCGAATGTAAGTGTTCCCTAATAATATTAGCTTCAATAATTGCTGATCATTTCAAGGGCGTCGTACTCACCACGAATAAATGATAAGACAGCCTAGATAGTGATATGAATGTATGAACCTTTTTCAACCGAATTCCGTATAACAAATAGTCGTCCAAAGGGTATCTCAAAATTTCAATGCCAATAATGATCAGTAACTAAACGCCGATCCCCAAAAAGCATATCATTGAAACGGGCTATACCAAACGAATTGGAAAGCGTGCTGGAACACGTCCGTCGTGGAGCAACATAGCAACAGCCTTTTGCGGAGTAGCCTGTAGCTTACGAAATGCCTCTCGAATATGTCGAGGCTCAATTGGCGTTCTCCCTTCTTCAGGAGGATCAAACAATCCAGTCTCACGCTTTCGCTTTTTGGGATTGTCTCCAGAATCAGAATCAGCACCTCCGCGTCCTTTTTTCTCCCGATCTTCACGCTCCTTCACTTTCAGCGCTTCCTCAGTCAGGGTTTGCACAATCTCAAATGTCAAAAATCCAAGGATATCAACAATATCGTCATTTGGCTTTGATTCTGTGACAATTCCAAAACCAGCCCATTCACGAAAACGTTTACCCTTTCGAAAAGTAAAGGACGCCTGGCGACAATCGGACCAAAACACGTATTCCTCTCTGGTCATATTCTTAGTACGTTCATCGGCAGTTGCGAGACGTTGCAATGTGGCATAATTCTGTTCCTCTTCCTCTTCATCCTCCTCATCCTCTCGCTCGGGTGCTTGCACGGAGTAAAAACTATTGATATCCCATGGTAGCCCGACTTTGGCGCGTTTATTTTTAGGTTTCGCCGCCATATCCTGAGGTCCTGCCACACCGGCACCTGCGAGGGGATCATCACCAGCCGCAAAATCGGCGGCATCAGCTCCTGCCTTGTCGTCTGAATCTTTGACGTTTTTGCGAACATCCTTCCATGACAGGAATGTTCTTAGTCGGCTCACTTTGGCTTTGTCATGCCTAATTAGGAAGATAAGGTCGTCTGTGGAGATGGAACGGTTTCCGCGGCGAGTTGCGAGGGCAGTGCTGCGGGTAAGCATTTCGACGACTTGCTGCCGGACGATTTCTTCGATGAGAGTAGTAGTTTCTTGGGATGGCTCGGCGGTTTCTCCAGAGACGAACATCATCTGTATAATAGTCAGTCAGCCTTAAGTTGCAAAACTACGGTTCAACAGCAGATATATCATTTGCATGACTGCTATGAATAGATCTGGGGGTGCTTACCTGCTGGATTTCCTGCCGGTACTTTGGAGCGCGTTCTCCGGCCATAGTGATATATATATGGCTGTCGCCAGATAATAGACTGAATAAGGTAAATAGAATGAATAAAAATGAGAAGTTAATAAAAGCGCAATTGCTCCGTATGTTTTCAGTCTAGAGACGTAGTTGATGGCACAGAGACATCTCGATGTTAATGGAAGGAAGTGGTTCCCGCGATTGCGCCGGGAAATCATTACTCCGATCAAAAGAGTGAGCTTAATTATTTTTTGGCGCGGGAGGGGGAGCGGGGATCTTTTTTACTTAAAACGACAAGATCAAATACTTCACCATGCTATATCTCGTGGGTCTCGGTCTTGCGGACGAAAAGGACATCACGGTCCGAGGATTGGAGGTCGTCAAATCTGCTTCTAGAGTCTACCTAGAAGCTTATACGAGTATCTTGCTGGTCGAGAAGGAGAAGCTAGTGGGTTCTTCCTGATAAAGTTGTATGAAGCATCCGATTGACTGTTATGTGACGAATTAGTAGGAAGCTTATTATGGACGTCCTGTGATTGTAGCAGACCGCGAGCTCGTTGAAAGTGGAAGCGATGATATCCTCGAAAATGCAAAGGATGTTGATGTTGCGTTTCTAGTCGTCGGGGATCCGTTTGGGTATGTTTAACTCCAGTCAGCACTTTTCATGGAATCAGAGTGTTAACACGTCCCAGAGCAACTACACATACGGATCTAGTCTTACGAGCCCGTGAACTCGGGATTCCCACGAGGACCATCCCCAATGCATCAATTCTGTCAGCCATCGGTTGCACAGGCCTGCAATTATACAACTTTGGTCAAACCGTTAGCATGGTCTTCTTCACCGAAACATGGAAACCATCTTCATATTACGACCGGGTCAAGGAGAACGCACAACTGGGTTTACACACTCTCGTGCTACTAGATATCAAAGTCAAGGAACAATCTTTGGAAAACATGGCACGAGGACGCAAGATCTACGAACCACCACGATACATGACCGTCGCACAATGCGCAAGCCAGATGCTGGAGACTGAAGAGGAAAGACAGGAAGGTGTCTATGGACCGGACAGTCTCGCTATTGGCGCTGCTCGTGTCGGAGCTCCTGACCAGAAACTTGTTGCGGGAACGCTCAAGGAGTTGGCCGAGGTTGATATGGGACGGCCTCTTCATAGTTTGGTTTTGCTTGGTAAAAGAGCACATGATCTGGAGCGGGATTATATCGAGCAGTTTGCGGTCAATAAGGAGACGTTCCATGCAGCTTGGAAGCAGGGATACGGCCATACTTAGCTGTCATACAGGCAAACGTTAAGAGTCTTGTTTGTTTTCGTGTATATAATTTGAAACTATAACAAGTAGAACTTATGACAATATCCCTCCTGAGATGATTGCTTAAGGTATCTAAGCTTCTTATAGCATTTGTCTTGCTAATAATAATTCAAGTCACAAGACTTTCAATATATACCAAACTCCAAAACTCCAACCATGCCATGTCCCATGCTTTTCTTCCAACCAGTAATATGTACGGGGCATAAAAACAGCCCCAGGAGAAAGGAGATATGTAATGGATTACTCCAATTTATCAAGATGCTCTAACCGTGTCAGAACAACCTGTTTGCTGGTCTCCTCGATCTCTCCTGCCAGAAACACTTCGTCGAGGATCGCATACACCTTTCCACCACTACGTTAGCCATCGAATATCCCCTCCTCGCCATTCAACAAAAGCCATACCTTATAAAAATTAAATACCAAATCCAATTCACACACATTCCCAAAGAACTGATCTAACACTTCAACAAAGAAATGGATTGCTTCCAGATATGCCAGTTCATTATCATTTGCATCGACGCAGACGCAGAAAAACAGACCGGCGTATCGACGATAGACAATCTTTGTGCTGCGTTTGAATTCGACGAAATTCGATTGATATTTCTGATCCCGGGGGGCAACGAGGCGATGGACCTGAATTATCGTTAATGTCGAGGTACTTTAAGTGCAACTTCGATAGCGGACGGCAACGGAGGTAGTATCGGGATCGCTTTTATACACACCTCGCCTTTGAGCTTCACTTTCTCATCATCCTGTTCCATTCAAATTAGTACTGTGATAATGTAAATTAGATAATTGAATATCACATACACTATACGGAGCGTACCACTTCGCTAACCGTGTCTTGCCTCTATCAGAATGTCGCATTGTTAGCTATCGTGCGCATGGCCCCTGAAATCCGGAGCCGAACTTACTGCCGGTTCTGGATAAGTATAAACGAGAGGACCATCTCGTACACTTCGAGGTAGGAACAGCTTTAGAGCCGTTCAACTACCGATCACAGCCTGCTTTCCGTGTAAGGCGTGATTCAAGTGGGAATCGTACAGTTCAAAGCCAAATAAGCAGACACCGCGGAATGCGGGCATAGTATACTGCCATCCATCGCCGCCCTGGAGGTGTCTCGCATCGACCAATTGCTTTGAACTCTCAGATGTCGCACAACAACTGTTTATTTCTTTGGAAGATGGTTGCGTGGTGATTGACATTTCTGAGCTAGGGATGCATACGAATCCGCTCAGCATCCGAATGCGAGTGCGAGAGAGCTCTAGGCCATAACCCAAAGTCATCATTCTGTGTATTGTATCCCCGCACGAGTAGACACAAATTAATCCAACTCCTCCGCTTGGCTCTGCAACTCTCACAATCCAGGGCTCAATGTTTTCTTCTCACCTGACCTAAGAAAAGCCGCTATAGCGCACGCAAACTCAAATGCCCGTCTACAAAATCCACGGTTTCCCCTGGCCTCGCGGCGGCATCCCCAGTGTTCGCGTCTTCATCGTACTCGAAAACCTTGACGACGCAGCAGCAGAATACATCCAGCAAAAGAAAACATCCGACCTAATTCTTGGAGCAATCCGGAAGAACCACCCAGATGCCGTGAAACATCTTCCGAATTTGCAATTGATTGAGCAATATGATCCGTTAGATATGACTGATGCGGCTGTCAGTCAACCGTACGCTTTTGTCGCGGATAATGTGACCGTTCTCCCGGATACAGCGAGGCCGGTTCAGGGTTTGAGTATGAATATAGATCAGCGGCCTTTGGATGATGTGATTTTGTCTGATGCGCATACCGCGCTGGCCGAGATTCGGGATGCGATTGCTCCTGGTCAGAAGATTGGGTGGTGGATTGTGTATAATGGTGATCCGGAGAGATATTATCCTGGTATGGAGGATGATTTGATGGAGGATGAAGATGACGATATTAACTATCAGAGCCGTGAGACGGGGCCGTCGTCTGTGGCTACCTCGGCGCCTGTCAAGGTCCCTGAGATTCCGGTTTGTTATTTCCTTTCATCTATTCAAAATATTGCCCAATTACCGACTTTGTGTAGGCGGATACTTCGCCAGCTCCTGGTTTGAAGAAGAAAAGATCATTCTGGCGACGAAAATGACCCGCGACGGTTTTTGGCCGAAAACACGGTCTCATAATTACGAATATTAGTCTCACGAATGTGGTGACGATAGATTATCGGCAATGAGTTGCCACATATACACATACTACCTATTGTACTCGGTTTAGGGCTTTATATTTGACTGCAGAATGCTTTTCTACCATACAAGTAGTAACCCGAGACTTCAATGTTGATAGCAGCGTCAAGCATATTGCCAACTATAAGGTATATATTTACAACAATATATCATGTGTGTCCACTGGAAAGCGCATATAGCATCACCTCTTCAATGCAGCGAACCTCTTCGACAACTCATCCACATTCGGTATTCCCTTGCTATCCCTCCTCTGCGGTCCACTCGGACGGGCACCACCGTCCTTCCTATTCCCTTCAGTTTCCCCCGGAATCTTAACTCTAGGTTCCGGATTATCACTACTAGGCCCTGGCTTTGCAACAATAACTGGACTCTTCCCAGTAGCATCATGCGTTCCAATATCTCTCGGCGGCGTAGCGCGAGACAATTCATCTGTCTCAGAGGCACGACGCATATTATCAGCCAGACTCTTCCGCGGCGTATGAGGTGCTGCCGAAACATCGCCCGTATCATTGCCGCCATCATCATAATCCGGCGGAGGAGATGTCTCTTCTTGAGTCATTACTTCCGGTACATCGCCCTCGGCGACGTCTTCCCCCTCTCCAGCAGGCCAGACAACATTGTACGCTTTTGCGATTTCGCGCAAATAACTTTCCACTAATTCCTTCGAAGGTGGTTTCACGCGGAGTTTCTTGACCAATCGTTCGGGGATTTTGATTGCCGCTTTATTGTCCTGTGCCAGAGTCGCGAATTCTTTACCCCAGCGCTCCATTAGTAACAGACGCAGTGTCGTTAATTCCTTGACCTCGCGCGGAAATCGTGGGCAAGCATAGAATATAGCTACTGCGGCTTCGTCAAGACCCACGTTGATATAACTATTCGCTTCATCGTTAAAGTCATCCCTTTCATCTGTCGCGGCAGCAGCAACTAATTCTTGTGGTTTGCTGTTTGCTTGATACTCAGGAACAGTCGGTGATACTTTACTACTCGAGAACCAGCCAAAACCTCCTGCTTTCTTCGGCTCCGGTGTAGATGTTGTAGATGCGGCATTCTTCTTCTCAAGATTCTGTCTATTAAGCTCCTCCTTCGCCTTGTTTCGCGCTTCTACGCCTTTATCCGAGAATGCAATCTGATCAAGAACAGCCGCTCGCGCGAGTAATAGCTCGCAATAAAGCTCCACCATCTCCATAACCTCGACCCCAATATCGGTTGCGATGACATTCTCGACTCTGTACCGCGCAGACGCTTCGCGGCCATTTTCGAGGAGTTGTGCTAGTTCCCGGCGCTGGGCTATGGAGGATGCGGTATCCTTTTTCTGTTGAAGCCGTAGACGGGGGATGAGGAGACGGAGTGTTGATTGGAGTTTTGTCTAGATTTGCGAGGTTAGAAGTGACGCAATTGCTGATAGGGAGGAAAGGAAATGCGGGGTGATAACATCCCGATGAGGAAGATAGAGAGGAGGATGAAAGTCTCTTACTGTCTGAGCTGAAGGGGGCATTTTGCCAAAATAATTCTGTTCACCCCAGTATGCAAATATCAAAAGTGATGACCAGGATTGGAGTTTATTGTTGATAGGTTGCAGCTGTCTGTCTATTGCTACAAGATAAAGATGAGTGGAGCCTGGGATGGTTGCCCCACCACCGAGGCATCAACAGATCTCCTATTTATTTATGTAGTTCTACTTTGATCATCTAAGTGGGAAAAAAGCATATGACTCCGTCAAGATGTACATTTCTTGATGAGGATTCGGTCTGTAACGTCTATTCCATGACCGCTGCTCAGCATGCACAAACACTCTGGCAAGCATCTATCGGAGTGAAGAATCGGTTATCAAGCTTGAGCCTTTACTCTCTTCTGCTTCGCCTTCTCTATCCTCTCCAATTCCTTGTCGATCTTCTTGAAGCCCCAGCTCTTCCAGAAGGAAGGGTATAAGAACGGACGGAGATCCTACACACCATTAGCATTTCTCACACCATTCAAGTATTAGCGTTTGGACACTTACGAATCTATTATCATCCGGTGAGTAATCATTGCAATGTAGAGATGGCGTCAAGGTAGTCATCTTGTGGCGATTGATAGCATCTAGCAACTACATTAGCTATATATTCCGTTCTTCCCATGAGGAGAATTGAGCTCACAATATACAAAAAAGTGCTTAATTTTTTCCCTGTTCATCCGTCAGTATCAAACATATAGGAAGGTCGTCTTGTAAGATGGACATACGCAATTTGACGAGGTTCCAAAACTGGCTCTTGATCTCCGTCTTTTCGCACTCTTTCTTCGCCCCATTCATGTACGAGTCTTTGGAACATGCCGTAAGGGCCGAGTTTGTATACCTTTCGTAGCCGTCCAAATGTCTATAGCGTAACTTTAGTTTGCGGAAGTTGGATTAGCAAGAGTATCAGCTTACGGTCAATTCATCATAAGTCATTCCCATATCCACCTCGTCTGATTGAACGTATTGCTGTGACGAGTTAGCAAGAGTCAAAATGAAATAAGTTCTAAATTATTACAGACCTCGGTAATGGGTTCAAGCTCAGCGGTCGGTACAGCATTCAAGAACTCCTGAAGACAAGGGATGTCGAATTCCTTTTCTGCCCAAGCAATGAAGCGTTTCAGGTCAGATTTGTCGATACTTCCAATCGGATTCTATTCACAGTTAGATCGCATATATGTCTGGCCAGATTAAACAACGTACAATATCCGCGCTTGAACAGTCGTATTTTGTGAGGTATCTAAAGTAAAATGTTTAGTGACCAGTCCTTCCCAACGGAAATATGTTGAATGGCTATTAAGACTCGAGAGTAGGGAGCATACCCTCGCAAAGATTCCTAGAAATGTTAGCAAGAGACACACAGTCAAGGAATTATCGAACTTACACCGACATTGGCAGACCCAAGCACCAATAAGCCCCCACCCCCTGGACGTCCTCGTGTCGTTGGCAATATCTGTGCAAACTCATACGCTATTGAATGTCAGTTTCCGGCTGAGACAGGCTAAATGAGTATGCCAGAAGCTCACCTGTTACCATCCTAGACCGTGCTTGAATATTCTGAAGCATGAGATTTTCAGCTTGCGTTCCTCCCTCAACTTTGAACTTGGGGTCGAATCCAAGAGTAGTTTTGATAAGGGCTTTCTGTGCATGATAGACCTCATCAATATCCAAATTCACATGGTAGCTTCCAATGGCTTCCGACAAGTCCTTTGCTCGCTGACGGGTCTCTTTGGACGACTGTTGAGACATGCCCATGTAGATAGTGTGAAAGATCTGGTTGCAAAGTTCCTGTGGAGTCTCCGGCAGCTTAACTGAATACTTGGCGAGTCGTCTGACATCTTCGATCACCTGGGCATTTCCAGCCTTGACAGCCTCAATAGCAAGTCGGCACATTGAAAAGACGATAGTCGCCGTGGCGCAAGAATCAATACCTCCGGACAGCGGGACCAAATAACCTGCAACTCCGCTTCTTCTAAGATAATCCCACAAATAGCAGCCGGAGCAGAGAGCAATCTCCTCCTCAGGTGAATGGTAGCGAGGAGTAATAGGGATGCTTGGACCACGAGTCAGATCCATATCATCTTCTTCGCTGCTCAACTCAAAGCTAGTCTGAATACGTTCGTATTTGGCCTTGGACTGGGCTGCCTGGAAAGCTCTTGACATGGAACAGCGATAGGCGCGGACTTCCTCAAGATCTATCGTTGCCGTCACGACTTCGACATCATTCAAGCTGAATTGTGTTCCTTGGGCCACCATTGTTCCATTGACGATAATCTAAACAATTAGCATTAAACTCGTAACTCTTAAAGGATACATACCATTGCGCAACCGTCATAGTATAATCGATCACCATCGCACCCTTGCTGGTTCGCATAGAGATAGATACCGCCGTTCTTCCTGGTTGCTTCCATGATGAGCTGTAAACGAGTCTCCAACTTACGCAATGTAAAATGTGAACCGCTGCTGTTGGTCAACACTTCTACACCGTCAAGACCCATATGGGCGTGCGGACTATCAGGTGTAAAAAGCTCTTCCTATTTGAAATTAGCATCGTAGTGAACGTCGAAAGTCTAGGTCAAATGCTTACACATGTCTCCGCGCCAATACATGTGTCCGGGGTGGATATCACTGCATCTCCAAAAATAACATGCGTTGCTCCCTGCAGACGTTGAATGCGGCGGGGGAGATGAAACTGTTCAGTTGCTCGAGGCTGGCACCATGGAGTAAAGTGGCGCATCTCTCTGTAGTTGCCATCATTTGCAAGATACATCTTCGGTCGGATTAAAAGAATCTTTCCGTTCAGGCAAATTACTCGACAATTGTATCGAACATTTCGGTGTTGGACGGGCACTATTCGGGATGTCAGTCTCCCACATGCCGGCAATCACGTATTCTGTGCAATCTTACTTCCAATGTCCAGTAAAATATCATTGCAAGACTCATCAGTCAAGATCCTCTCTAGCATTTCCCAACATGCTAGGAACAAATCTTGTTCTCTTTGGGTTCCTTGACTTAGCTACGATGGTTTACCGAAATGATCCGGATAACATACAGAAGATGATCGAGACAGCCATATCCACAAATTTCCAGCTCCGGACCAACTCGCAGCTTTGCTCCTGCGGCCTTTGCCTGCTGAATACTTTCAATAATACGTTGTGTATTACCTTCAAAGTCGAGGGCCCATCTATAAAATAGTTAGTGTATGGGATTATTCATATGAGGGGTACTTCAATCTGGAAATGACTCACTGGTTGAGGTTGCACGTCGCAACCGTTACGAAATGTCCCATTGTTCTGCGAATCGTTCCCTGCTAGAGATACCAGTCGAATCAATGATTATGAGGTTCAGACAGATAGTGGTAAAATATTGAAGAAGGGAAGGAAATGTTGATATCTTATCAAGCTACGTCATGTGATCTCACTGCGGACTTATCTCCAGTTCTCCACATCCTTCCACATTTTTCAGACGTCGAATCTATGACACGAAGGAGTCAACGAGGATCTTGAGTCCATTTGCCCTTCCTAGATTCTGCAAAAAGAATGGTTACAACGTCCAAGGTCTGAATTGAAAGATCTTCACCAGAAATGTCCAACTCTTTGTCAAACAAGCTTTAGGGCTTTTGAGAAGCTATTAACTTCTTCAGTGAAGAAATATTCTCGCTCACAACACTCACCACACGTCCCTAATTATAGGAGGAGGTGCTTTTATAGACTATTTCCCCAAGAACAGAGCATATTTACGATGAGTGACCTCATGAAGCTCATGACAGTGAGAGGCTGCCTGTTCTTTTGATATAAAGTAAGACTTGATCATGAACCTACGTGCCAAAAGCCCTTGTCTCGGGTTATATCATCCAGTTGCTCTCTCTTGCTGTTATTATTACGGCAATCTTCATAGATTGCTTTCTTTCCGCACTGCCGGGTTGGTCAGGTCGAACATGTTCTTGTCAGTTTGAATAGCCTCTGGCCGATATGAAGTTGTCGATACTTATTCGGACTTGAACAGTTCCTTGGTGTTTGACACTAGACCATGGTCAGCTATAGCCAAAAAGTATCCATGAGTATGAACTGTCCCCATTAGATAATGCTACATTGATTGTCTATGGCAGTATTATCCCGTGTGAACTTATTAATGCTTTGAGATGGATCTAGTATCGAGCAATCTGCAGATAATGCATATAGTTAATCTGCACAAGCAGCTTTACTTCTCAGTCCTTACTAATAGCTGCGAAAATAATTTAAGGAACCTGTTGCTAGGCAATACCAAAGTTACTAATAGCACATGCATCGTCACCCCCTTTGTCTAGCACAGCCAAGCAGAACAATTTCTCGGCGATCTTACTGTTTTGAAATCTGTGCAGATAGAAGACTCTGGCGTTTACACTCATTTATTTCTCTGTTTGTTTCTGCATCCTGTCCTCATCCATCCATCACATCTGATTCCAAGCCTATCATTGCCGCAAAGCCATCATGGGCCGGTGGACTTACACCCCACCAAGGATGCCCAATGGCATCCTGATTGATGGAAAAAAGCTATTTGAATTGCTACGAGCTGACAACCCACAGTCTTACATCTGGGATGTTGATTTACTCATCCAAGAAATCGAGGAGACTTTTGGAGCAGAAGTTACAGAGGTTCCGGAGTATGTGGATGGAGCTTTTCACAAAGTAAGTCGATGATATTCTCGTCTCATCTTTGTCTACTCTTCCGGTTAGCTTGAATATTAAGACAACTCGACTCAGGCCGTCTGGTGTGTCTTGTCCAACGGCGAAGAAATCATTGCCCGTTTAAGCAAGGCCGATATCAATAGGCCTCATGAGAAAAGCCTTCCTGTACCCATGCAAATCTCGGCGGCTGAATATGAAATTGCATTGTACGAGGCATTGTACCCAGAGGCTGAACTTCGACTTGCAGCTTTACTCTACAATCGCATTCCAGAACTACATGAAGGCATTGATGATGATTCGAAGGACATCATTGGTCGTCGTCTGTGTGTCTTTGAGGCACCAGAGGGTCGGAAGAACATGTGGTGGGAGCTTGGACCTGAGGACAAGGTATCCCCTATACTCACAGAACAAGAGGTTTTGCCTAGTTGCTAACTCTCATCGTAGGTGTGCATCTTGAAGCAAGCAGCCGAAATCAGGGCAGCACTTTTCAACTTCAACCCTCAACCAAAGTTCATAGCTACATGGCTCCCAAAGCGCCTTGCGAGTGCCCACACGCCCATCTCCCTACCTGTGGCTATCACCCCAACGCGCAATTTCTGCATTGCTCTATTCAGAGCAAAGATAGAAGCCACGATTCGCAATATGGATGACATAATCGGCTGGCCACAAGACAACAATACTGTTGGCCCTTTTGCTGCTGCCGCCAAGCAGTCCCTCCTGCGTCTTGTGCCCTATATCCTTCCATCAGACAACAGGGGTAACATCTTCTATCGCTTTGTAATCGATCACGGCGACTATGGTATTTGGAACATGACCGCAACTACGGACGAGTACGAGAAGCCCTACATTACTTCAGTATACGAATGGGACAGTAGTTGTATTGTGCCTGCAATCTTCTCTGATCCCAAGTTCGTGACGAATATCAGCTTTGTGACTGATGAGTATGCGAATCCATCGATTGCTCGCTCGTCCAAGTTTAAGTCCAAGTACATCAAACCCGCAAGGCGCGCAAAGTTCATGGCTTGGTCGAGGCAGTACTTCAATGTACGGCCCTCTTCCCCCCTCCCGTCTCTTTTTTTGTTTTTTGTTTTGTTTCTTTCTTAACTGCGCAGCTAACTCGTGACACTGCAGACTCTCTATGATGCAGCTCCAGCCTACGAAACGATCATCCGCGAAGGCAGTGATGCACGTTACCTCTGGTTCGCCCTCCAGTCACGATCGTTACACAACATTGAGCCGGAGATCTATTTTGGAGAATTGGGTATCTGGGCCAAGAAGAAGTTGAGGGAGTTTGGTGTTTCGGTCTGAAGGTCTGTACTATTACCCTAACCCTCTGATCTATTTATTCTATGAGTGCTAATGAAGAGTATTACGGACAGACTAGACTCTTGGTACCATTGATCGAACCTTGGATCATGATTGGAGATGACCTGGCTTTGTTTCTGCTACTGTAATGCATGCCGCGGTGATGGATGCTCTAGCGGGCTATTTCGGATCCCTCCATGTACCCAAGCTATTTCCTTTCAACATGCTCATGTTTTTCTCATTTTCTTGCTTTGCGCTTTCATCTTTGGGAGGTCTCAACTTCTCAATTGGTGACTCTTTTCGTCTTGTCTATCAAACAAGTGGTTTCTTTCCGAAACGAGACTTTCAATAAACCACGAATTACTCGATTAGCAAAGTATACAGTGTCCATTCTAGCACATAAAGTAAGCCTATGTAGACAGAGCATGATATGTGTACTGCACGGTCATGGTATCTATCTAGATACTAACAAGATTGTGGAAATGCTATTAGTGATCCCAGGCAAATAAGGTAGAAATGATGCACAAATTTCTTCAACTAAAATGCTGACATTATCCTACATTAGCATCTAATGTTTACAGATCACATTCAAGAACACTTGACATTCGACATAATCTTCAGAACAACAATCACTTTCCAGTATGAACCAAGCCATACTATAACTGCCAGTACCCAATGGGTAGAAGATAGAAACAAAGTGGTAGCATGTAGCTAGCTATGACAGATGCAATGAGTAAATAAAGATAATATGAAAATATGCTGTGGGAACAGCGAAATGGTAGAATATAGAACATTTTGAGCCAAACTTGCCCGCTCCCTGAACAGGATCGATTTTTCGTTTTGCTGTTTTTGCTTTGGTCGCAATTTCGTCTTCTCGGCAAATTCGGACATCCCACTTCCACTGTGTCAGGATCAAGTTAGTGTGTACATTGAATTAAATATAAAACATTAATAGAATTAGTCGTATGAAGGATAAAAGTTCCAGATGCTGTCGCCAGATTCTGGTCCGAGTGAAAAGACCAAAAATTGAGGGGTATCAATCAGATCGTAAGATCAAAAGAAGTAATCAAAAAAAAAGGGGGTAATAAATCAGGTCGAATAGAAGTCAAAATCGTAAATTTGGAAGCGCACGTGATCTCGTGGAAGAACCCTGACAGGTGTGAGTGGAAGTCGTGGTGGTGCCCTAGATTCAGAATTGCATCATGATGCCGGCCATGAGACACAAGGCCAAGCCGGTCATCGAGCCTGTGGACATTGGCGAAGCGGCAGATGAAGGGCTAGCAGAAGGCGAGGCCGGTTTGGAATCACCGGCAGAAGTGGTTGTAGCGCCGCCGTCTCCACTAGCGGATGTTTCAGCGAAAACATGCGGGGCGTAACTGTAAGTAGCCGAGGTGGACTTAGGGGAGGACGACGCCGGAGTAGTCGAGGCTTCAGTTGACGATGGTGTATGCGTGGTAGTGCTGCTTGGAGTAGACGACGTCGAGCTTGAAGTCGAGGTTGAGGTCGTCGAGCTATGAGACGTGGTTGAAGGAGAGGAAGTGGTTGTTGGGGTGGTAGAAGTCGAAGTTGAGGTCGAAGTAGAAGAGCTTGAAGAGCTACTGCTGGCCTTGGTGCTGGAGCTGGAGCTGGAGCTGGAGCTGGAGCTAGAGCTAGAGCTAGAGCTAGAGCTTCCACCACTGTTTCCAGCCTCGAACACGACAATGTTTGCGGTCTGGCCTTTGGGAACAGTGACAACGCAGAAGGCAGCACCACCGGCACCGTCGGAGCTCTCACCTGAGGTGACTTCATTCAAAGCGTTGATAGAAGGATCGATTTTGCAGGGCAGACCATTGCATCCAGCACCTTCATCGCAGGTAATCTCAACACCGAAAGAAGCTGGAGTATTGCGGAATGGGGTAGCAGGTTCTTGGACAACAGGGTTATAGCCGATCTTGACGAAGGTGTTTCCACTAGAATCGGTGTTGGCGCCAGCGACGAAATAGGCCCAGTTTCCGACAGGGTTGGCACTGGTTCCCCAAATGCAGCCTTCCTCTCCAGTTCCAGGAGGGTTAATATAGTAGCTAGAAAGAAATCGTGAGTAATCATCTCACGCTAGAATTGAGATCATAACTTACTGAGCAGCGGTTGAGCACCAATACGAAGGATCCGGAACAGCGAGGGTAGCAGTATCCTCAACCAGAGTCGGGATAAGCATGGCTTCGTTACCAGGGAGAACGGTCTGACAGAAAGAGAGAGGCTTGCCTGCCTTGTTGACGGCAGTAACAGCACCAGTCCCGTCGACACAGTAATCCTTGTCAGGGAACGGCTTCTGGATTTGGCCGTTCTCGTCGCAGTACAACCCACCATCCTATTAGATATTATTAGATGCCGTACTCCACCATTTCCATATTCGATACATACCATCGAAAGAGGGTAGCTGTAAGAAGTGGCCTTTGGATTCCACTGCATCGAGACCTTTCCGGGAGGGCATGCATAAGGGCACCAACTGCCAGGTTTGCAAGGCTGGTCGGGGCTCATAGCCCATCCACCGTTCTCGGAACCCGGGGTAACCGCAACCAAGCCGGCATTGCTTGGGAATTGACACTGTCCGCCGCGCTTTTCTACTTCCGAATGGTTATGGCTTCGGTGCTGGTGCGAGTGGCCGTGGGTGCGCGCGGCATCTGCGAAAGCCAAGAGGCCGACCAGAGCCGCAAGGGAGTTTGACAACATGGTTGTTCAGATATATTCGTTCGGTGAGAACGGGTTGATGTGGTCCAGCGATACGTATTGCGTGTCGTTGTTGGCCCGCGTAATAATATGTATACAGTTGACGAACGACTTCGGTGCGGCAATCGACTGCGTCGGTCTTTGTTCGCGATCAAAAACGGGGGGTTATAGAGAAAGAAGAGAACGGTTCGTATATAACACCTTCAAGGAGAGAATGTAAACCTCACAATCACCAACAAAAGACCCAAAGGCCTGTAAGCACGATGATGAACGAAAGACTAAGGTCAGACAAGAATTGAAAAGGAGCGACAAGTCGACAAGCGAACGAAGGCGGAAAAGCAAAGGAGGAAAGAGAGAAGATTAAGGGAAAGCGCGAGCCCGAGGGCGAGTGTGACTTGCCTTTTCCTTGGAAGGAGCGACTGGAGCAGTTCCTTCCCCAGGCCGGTAGCCATGGCCCAGACGAGTTAGTCAAAACCCGTCCAAGCGAGCATCGGCCAACCACAGGCCGCACAATTAAATGTAACCGCCCAAAGAGAGTAAGTCCCGGAAACAACAGTGTCTGATTGGCTGAATTAGAAAACGCCATGCTGGGTTAAATTTTACAATGCTGCATCTCATTGGCTCGGAGTGCATAATGGGGTCAGGCTTGGCAGGTACTAGTGCGACGCAACGGGAAAAGCGCCAGGGGCTCACTGACGCTAATGGAGCTGATCCATCACTGTACGTACACTGCCAATTACATACTATGTACATTGCATTCTCATATCAGATCTCTCGAGAGCATCTGAATAGAATCAATAGAATGTGAGTCTTAGGAACCCATAGGTTTTCGGGTACGGAAATACTAATGTTGTTGTTATAACTTCAGACTCAACTAGCGGATACTAAACCCGAGCTAACAAGAGACCATGTATCAGCCATAGTATCGTTACTGTCGTAGTTCTATCCTTTAACGAGACTAGTCCGAATACAGATCTATGCCGAATGTGATTGGCTGAAGCAGCTCCATACTCCGTATCCTCTCCATCCGTTCTAACTCTAAGTCTCTAAGCCTCTCTTCTTGAGACTCAATCGACTCAGTCCAGAGCGGTTGATCACTGATCACTGAGCGCTGCGATCATGCTCTACTCGGTAGACCTTGAACCATCATGGAATGAAATTGACATTCCCTCGATCGGCATCTGTCAAAGATTCCATGTGGCGAGCGACACATTCCAGCTGGCCAAACCTAACTTCACGTGCCACATTCCGATGATGCCAAGTCAGGAGATTTTGACCTCGTCTGCAAACCTTGACTATCACGGCGCTTACGCCCATGCTCTACTCTGTACGCCAAGGGCACTTGCGATCGATCAATTCAGCCTCACAGGTCAAAGCTCAACGGCCTAAGGCTCTAAGCCATGCTCCTTATGCCCGGTTGTCCACTTCTGGAAGGATACTTCCCAGCCGGTTTGTCCAATTTCCACATTTGTCAGTAGAGTGAACTTACCTGTGAGTTAAATGTTAGGGCTCTTGATCTGTGCAGGCTGCGAGATTCTAACGGTCAAACGATACAACTGGTTCAACACACACACAAGGTTCATTGCAAACTCAGTCATACATACATGAACTGGAGCCCTCGAGTGCTCTGATCACAAACCAAATGAATTGACAAAGCAGTGTCTGCCTTCTGGCGCCCTCCCCCACTGACCCGTCTGGCGATACCAACAACTCAATGAAAAAACTTGGCCCAGTTTTCCTCACTACGACAACCAGGACAGGGTGCGCGGTGCCAGCGTGCGTAGCAACTGAGACACCAATACGCTGGATACTCGTCCCCCAAAGTCGTGAGAAGATCATGAGCAAACCCCGGTTTGGTGTCCAAGACGTCGTTGAATGCCTGGTACTTGAGCAACCAGAAGATATTAACACGACAAACGTTGAGGATCATAACGTAAAGGGGAAGAACAATATCTCCGGTCAATCCACGAGCCAGTTCTTGGTCAAGGTCGGATATAAATTCCGGAATGATACAGAGGAACTCGGTAACTTCCTTGACCCTCTTCAATGCATACTTCTTCAACCGATAGATGTCGAAATCAAAGCCCATATGAACCATGGTGAAATGTTGGGCCATGGGCGAGCCTGCAATGCGTCCTTCATATCTGAATCCATACAAGAAGGCAAGCATTGCCTTGAAGGCCGCGACATCAATGTTTTGGTTTGGTAATGTGAGTGTCTTCTGCAAGTCATATTCTTGTTAGCATCCAGTCCCCTTGGTATGGTGAGAAGTTCAGCTTACCGTATAGCGATTCATACCCTTGACCAGCTCAGCAAATTTATGTGACTGACGGCAGAGCACCATCTTGTGGACTCTGAACTTATGGTCGCGTAGACGGATAGTAAGATCGGAGAACTCGTCGTCTTGGTAGAAGCTATTTTGGGGTTAACCACTTTCTGCTCAATTTGTCAACTGGTAAGGGAGGGGTAGCTGACTATCTCACAAGATCTGCAAAATGACCAGGAGGGTGGCCCTCGTTATCTCTGGGGGCAAAGTATCGATCCCCATAGACATAGTCACGGTATGCCCTGGTCATCCTGCTTCTAGGTTCAGTGATCTGGACACCATTTCCATATGTGCGCCTAATTTGCTCAGTGATGCTGTCATGGTCAGTGCTTGTCTGGACACCAGTCTGGTTACCAAATTGGCTGACACTGGGGTGGATCTGGTTGCTGCTCTCAGAACTGGCCTGCTCCTCAGCCTGGTCACTGCTCTGAGCATGATTGTCACCAGCCTGAGTGGCTTGGTTACTGGTCTGATCGTTGCTTTGAGGGATGATGATGCCCTCAGCTTCTGCATCAGGCTCAGGTTTCACCATATTGTCAACGATGTTGTTCGTGTTACTCACTGCACAAGAATGAGATGAATAGAGATGTGATGAGAAACGTGACGTGAGATGGACAAAGTGGAAGAAAGTGGGAGGAAACTGGGGAGACAAACGCCCTGAAAAAGATTTCACAGCCAAATGTCATTTGGATGCCTGGGGCGACAATCATGTTGCCTTGGCCTGATAGAAAACAAAGAGTGTGGTTATAGACTTGTTCTTATACTGTCTATTGCTGATTATAATATTGCCTGATACAACCAGCTTGCAAATACCTTGGTCACGAATTTCCGTCTTGTACTAGCTCTTAAAGTAGAATATATAAAATGAACTCACAACGCCTTTGGTACTTTGGCGTATCTAGAAATGCTCCCCAGTCTATCTCAGACTTACCCCAGTTTGGGCAGTATGATGGCTTTGCGCAAAAGCGAACTGTCTAGAGACCAGGGAGCATCACAATTGGGACAGAGGTACCTTCTCATCGGCATTCCAAAGCTTTTGGTTATGTCACATGCCAGAGAGAGTGTTTCTTTCAGGTATTCTTGGAAATCAGTCACCACACAGTTCAGTGATATGCTCATGGCATGTCTTTACAAGAAATTCATGCAAGGCATAACTGAAGTGATGTCGCTGCCTGTTCAGTATGTATAAGAAGAGCTCTTTGTCCCAAGCTTTTTTTATATACCTCTCAAGCTCCTCCAACACAACCTTTTCTGGATGTGGAATTTCATAATAGCAAGCGAGGTTATACACATTGAAGTGAAAAACAATGTCGTAATCATATGTGACTCCTTTGCAATATCTATATCTGTATATGAAACAAAACATCGCCTCGTAGGGCAGTGAATAGTCAGTGCCATTCATGGTATCGAGAGTTACCTTCTCCTACATCATCCATCAGTCGCAGCTCATTAAGTTCACCTTGATAGCTCGCCTCCCGCCGCAGATGGGATGAGGTTGAGGTTGAGTAGCGAGATAGCTTGACGAGAGTGGAAAGCTGATGAGAAGAGTGGAAGAGGCAAAAGCAGAAGGCCATCTACAAACAAGAGGTACTAGTCAGGAAGCTTTCATTTGATGCCTGGGGCAACAATCATATCGCCCTGATCTGATAGAAAACAAAGAGCATAATTTTAGAATAGAGTTGTTCTTATACTGCCTTGAAATTGCTGGTACAAAACTACTTGGTATAAAGACTTCAACTTGCAAGCGTCTTGGTCATGATTTCTCTTACAAAGTAGGCTAAAGACTAAATACATAAACCCTATCCATCTTGAGAATGACTGGCTAGTCCAGATATCATGCAAGTCGAAGTCTTCCATGTATACCGCAGGAGGGACAGAATAATGGCGAAAACATAGTAAAAGCCACAGACCAAGTTGCATCACAATCGGGACACTTGTAATGCTTTGCCTTTTCTCTCGAGCTATATATAAAAGCAACAACGAAGTCGTGATTCTCTTGTACCAATCCAAGAAGTCTTCTTGTCCGAGCAACTCGTCGAGATTTTCAAGACATTCATTGGTAAACAGCCTGTAGAAAAAGCTCTCATCTCCATCAAGTACCCGATGAAGTACTTGCAGAAAATCGTCCATGTCCCATGCTGTCTTGGTAAGCTCTTTGAACTTTTCAATGGCGCAGGCTTCTAGAAGCGGCATTTGGTAGAAATCCGCGAGAAGATGCACATCGAAATGATATGCCAAAGGGGATGTGTGTTTGTTGGCATCGTACTTTAAACCATAGAAAAAACACCGCTTCATAGGCACTTGGATAAACTGAATTTATCGGAGCTCTAAGTACCATCATACCATCATACCATCACGTCCTGTAATCGATAATATTTCAGCCACATCCTACAAGCCGTGGTTTAGTCGCTTACCTCACCTCCACATAAGAGACTGAATACGTCGGATTGTGCACAGATTACCAGCTTATGAATTTTGAATTCTTCTTCACCAAAACGAATGATGAGATCTGACCACGTGTCAGTGTCAATACACCTATTTCCGATCAGCTGCATCTACACAAGGTTCAGAATGGAGCCCAAACAGTTGGATGTCGCTATGCCAGCCACCGAACGTCTCATCTTCTCTTCTCTCATTGCTACTGGGCAATAGGGTCTACCATGGTGCGATATAGCTGTGTCCCCCGCTGGGCGATGAAGGAGTTGAAATAGAGATGGTTGAGACTGTAGTCGAGCGAGGCGGCTAGCAAGCAGGCGAGAAGAGTGGAAGGCAATCTACATAAAGGAAGATACGAATCAGGAAACGTTCGTTTGATGCCTGGGGCTCCAACCATGTTGCCCTGCACAACCTTGGAAGTCATTTTGAAATCAATTTGAGTGAAATTAGTGAGGCTCTGCCCATTCACTATATGTCTATGACAGTATCCCCTGCAATGCTTTGAAATAATGCCAACAGGTTCAGCAACATTCATACCTTTCCCGTATGAATAGGAACGAAAGAACAAAAGAAACAAACACCATACATTCCATGCAGCCATCCCCAGCATCACCTCTCGACCAGCCAGCACCAACACGTTAAATCATCACACCACCAGATCAGCCAGTCTAAAAACCGGCGAAGAACAAGCCAAAGACGCCAACGAGCATGAGCATTGTCATATCCACCATGGGCTTAGCACCATCACCAGCCTTGGGAACAGCAGTGCTGGAAGAGGCAGCTGCGCTTCCACTGGCACTACCGCTGGCACCACTGCTGCTTCCGCTGCCACTGCCACTGCTGCTGCTTCCGCTGGAACCGGAACCGGAACCGCTGGTAGAGGAAGAAGAGGTACCGTTCATAGCCATGGCCTGGAAGGCGCTGAAGGTCTTGGCTCCAGTGGTAGGGCTATCCAACCGTTAGCACTAGCCGACAAGTGAGTGGAAAAGAGGACACATACGCGTTGATGGCGAAAACCATGCCTTTGGCACAGTGACCAACTTGGCTGCAATAAGCCCAAACGGGCTTGGTATCGTTGACCATAACTGAGAATACGGGGATGCTGTCCTTGACGGGCATGAAGCCTGACTTGAAGCCAGTGACGTTCGACATGACGGTATTGATGGGAGCGCATGGATCGCTGAAGGCTGATTGGACGACGGAGTGGTTCTGAATATCAATTCATTAGCTTAACCTTGATGATTGTGTGCATGTCTGTGTCCGAGGCCTACCTTTGCCATGAACTGGAATTGGACAACCTCTCCAGGATTGGCCTGGATGCTATTTGGCGAGAACTCAAGGGAGCCGTTGAGACCGACTTGGACAACGTGCACTTTCACATCACCACCTGCTCCTGCGGTACCTGAAGCTTGGGGGGCAGATTGGGTGGCAGATTGTGCGGAGGCAGCTGCGGTGAGCAGGAAAGCTGAGACGATGGTATTCAAGAGCTGCATTTTGGGCGATGTTTCTTTTGGTATATTGAAAGATAAGTAAAAGATCGTTATGTTTCGTTAGCTAATGAGAGTCTTTTGTAGCGACCGGCGCTGGTTTTGTTGATTAAAGTCGTAAATAAGAAAAGAGGAAAGGAAGTTTGTTGCTGATGAAGGAGAAAAAATTAACTGAGAAACGGACAGGAACTTGTCGCTATTTGTATAGCATTGAACGACTCCAACACCTCGGTCCCGTTCTTCTTTCCGCCCAATATCTCTGGAACAGAAAGTACATCAGGAGCGTGTAAACTTTCTTCAGCCGCTATGACACCGAAGTGAACGTAGTGCATGGCGTACGCAGGAGGCTGAGATTGGACAGGATTTTCCTATTTGGGTAATATGAGACACGAGAGAACGGCGCCTATGTTTGAGTGGTTCGAGTCTGTCTCAGTATGAGTTCCGCGGCTGGATGTGGTTGATGATCGATATCTTACATTACTATTGTGATATCTATCTTTATCACTTAATCATTGAATTGTTTTCATAGATATGCAGGTTGTTTGTAGCGTTCTATCCAATGTCGGGGTGTTAGGGCTAATAGTTGCAATGTTGGGAATATGCAGTATCCATCTACCTCAAATAGCAGCAAAGGCATGATAGCAAAAATAGGAGACCTACCCCCAGGTAATCCTTCGGCTAGACAAACTGAAAATCCGCGATTACAAGCCACTCCCAATATTGCCGCGGAGGCCGTCTCATCATCAGCCTCCACGTCTCGGAACAGTTTGATGCTTCCAATCTCAAACAATAGACCTCGGCACTAAGGGCTCAAAACGTGGAGGCATTCCGGTCAGAACTCGAATTATATTCTTTTCACGTAAAATATGTTAATACAGTGCAGATACTGGTTCTGACTCTGACAGGAAAAAGAAAAGACGAAAATGTGGTATCTCGCAAAACGCCGGTCTCATAAGTCGTTGATAATTACATGTCGCACCTCAAAAGTCAAGTAACATCTGTGGCGCTAACTTCTCCAAATCCTCCACCTAAAAACAGCCCAAGTGTTAGAAACTAATCACAAAACCAAGTACGTGCGTAGTAAAGTCAAAACATACCTCTAGAAACCCATCAGCACCAGGTCTTCCCCCTCCTCTATCGCCGTTCGCTGCGTCCGCTCTCTCATACGCAGCTCGTGCCAACGCCTCCCTAACAAATATATCCATATACTTCGCCACAACCTCATTCGCGTCTTTGGTTATTTTCGTCTTGGAATTCTGAAAATGGTGGTGTAAGATCGTCGTTAGAAGTTTGGGCGGGATTCCCGGCTCGTCGGATTCGATGTTGCGTGGTCGGTCGTTTGTGATGATTTCGGCGAGGATGTAATCCGGTTCCTGGAAGGGGGAGTTACTTCTGCTTCGGGTGGATTCGTTACCATTGTCATTGCTGGAGGCGGTTTCGGAGTCTTCTGATACAGAGGATATCGATTGAGCTTTTCGTTTTCGCGAATTCGAGGTTGTGCTGGACGTCGCTTTTGTTATTGAGGACGGTCTTTGTGCCACCTTTCCTTTTGATGTTGTTGATTTTGACGTTGTTGATTTTGAAGGTATAGATGTCGAGGATGTTTTGCGAGAAGCCGCCTTGGATGTAGTTTTGCTAGTGGATGATGAGTTATTTGTGCCTGCGGATTGGCGTCGGGGAGGTTTGAAGGGCAAGCGATTGCGTTTTGCTTGAGCAGCGTCCATCTTGCCAACAGATATCTAGCTTTCAGTTCGATTGATTGCGGATTGATGTCGTGTGGGAGTTGGGATGAATTTATGTAGAATCTTAAGACGCGTCGTGCTCAATCTGGCTAGCTCCATTAGTCTCTTTTTGGGTTAGCGCGTTTGGCTCATGCTCTGATTTGAGTCAATTTGAGGGGGTAAAATGATAATATTTTACGATTCAGAGTATGTTGAGACACGATATATCATATATCACATCCAAGTATTCACTACCAGCTTGTTATTCTTTTTCTGATGTGTTCTGGTGGGGTATCAGACCGCATAGAATTTAGGTCGCGTACCGCCGCATCCACCATAAAGTTCGAACCATAGCTAGAAACATAATCAAGCATACAACTTATATGATGATTTGAATTATCGAAGTGACGAACAACATGAACGATGCAGTCAATTCCTTGCTGACTGAGCATTTCAGTTACACACCATTGGTGAGTCGTATCTAGATTAAGGCCTACCAGGAAAAATAAACAGCTGACAGAGACGAGTAGTCATTGATCGACGACATAATCAACTCTATCAACAACCTCATCTATCAAGCCATCTCAAGCCTCGAGACCGGACTCCTTAACACCCCTCCCGAACGACTCGGCTTTGGCCATGCCCACAACGCGTCAACAGCCATTCCGGACACAGATGCTGATGGAAATATCGAATACCCAGAAGCGACGCTAGAGATTGAGAATGGATTACATCAGTTAGAGACATTGTTTGAGTCGTCGGTAGACAAATCATTTGATAAATTTGAGATTTACGTCTTGCGAAATATCTTTACGGTCCCGGAAGATCTGGTGAATTATATGAGATTGGGCCATTATGAGGTATGGTGTAGAGTCGTCGCATGACCTTGTTATATGCTGGAATACTGATTGATATCTGCAGAACCTATCATTTTCCAAAGACAGCAATGCTCCTACCCCCGAGTCAATAAACATGCAACGAAGAAAACTGCGCGAGACACGCAAACTCCAGCAAGCGCTGCAAAGGGAATCCATGCAAAACGAAGCAGTCATTTCGCAATTACGAGCAGTACTTTTCGTGGCGCAAGACACAGCCCAGAAACAACCAGTCGTCAAAACCGACTCTAGTGCACCTGCGACATCATCAACATCAACCCTTCCAAATCTATCCTTCCTCACCTCCGGTCCCGCCGCAAACATGCTCCGTGTCGGCCAAAACAACTCATTAACTACAAACACCGACTTCGTTCTATCACAACTCCCCGCCCTGCATGCTGCAACGCAGAAACTACGCGCAAAACTAGCTACCTTGCCCACCTCCGTACCTAGCGAGTCCCTAAAGCGGGATGAGAGACGAGAATATATCGATAGCAGGATCAGATTGCATCTCGAGCGCTTGGGCGAACCCTTATTGGGAGACGGACAGGCTGCGATTGCTGGAAGGAAAATATCTAGTGCAGAAGCTCAGGCGTTGGAGGCGGTGGGAAATATGCTTAATGAAAAGTAATATAATGAGTCTATGTTGAGCGAGCAGGGGGATGAAACGGTTTATATTTTCGAGATGCCTTTAGGAGTATAGGATATGGGTCTAGGCTGGTAATTGGGCGATGGCGTTCGATGGAGGTATATTTGTATCAAGTTGTTTTCTGTCTCTGATGAATCGTTGCAATTGAGCCTATCAATTCTGTAGTTGCTACACCATGCTGTGTTGACATTTATTATATCTGCATTAGTCAGACACATGGAATAGTTAAGAGTTATTGAACGTTGTTAATAAGATTATCCATAGTAAAAATATTTAGCCTCAAAAACAAGGCCAGCCATTCGATGTATATAGATCAACCAATGAGAAAACAAATCAGCCAATCTTCATAGTCTCTCGTAAGCGCCGAACAAAAACAACACCAGCCAATCTGATTTCTTGGTCTGTTCATCTTCACATCTTCTGCAGACACCTAGGGCGCTTGCATGCATATACACTATCCAATGAAGAGTGATAAATGCTTGTTTATTTAGCACACCCCGCTCTCAAGATGCTCGCTCATGTCTTCCTATAGAGATATCCCATGCATGACACTAAGTCTCTAGGAATGACTTTATTTTATGGGTTAGATACTCGCACTGCATAACCTATTGGTCCAGGCAACTGCCATCTAACCATGCAGAAAGTGATTCCATTTCCATAATTAGACCTGTTCGGATTCTGATTCGATGCCAGTTTGACTCAGGCCTTGGATTAGCATTGCTGAACCTAGTCACTGACTTCATTGGAAGATTGGTCTTGCAACTGAAGACATCCAGTGGGCGCTTAGATATCGAGACCGTGAGCTACAGGTCTGAAAGTCACGGCCTTTTCTTATAATTAGTTAATCATCTCTCCCTGAAAGTATCAGATTTCATCCTCTTGCATTCATCGCTGTGTGTTTCTTCAATTTATTCTTCTTTTTTCTTACGTTATCTGTTTCGTTCGTTCAACGTCAAGGGTTTTGCTCTGGTAGTAAAAACTGGTATCTTCGACTGTTTTCTCTCTTTACGTTTTAATTGAGATTTCCTCTTCCTCCCTTTTGAGCCTCGCCTCGTCGTTCTCTCACTTCTTATATGTTAATTTCCCTCTGAAAAGAAAGGAAAGAAAATGGCGTCATTATCCTCCTTCACAGTGACCATCACCAGTGCCGCCGATGACCAGGAAGTAGCTTACCTGTCTCGAGCACGCATATTGCACCGCATTCGCATCGGCATAACCCTGTTACTCCTCGGGGCATCCGCAGGTGTCGTCGGTACTGAAGGCGCACCTTTGCACTACTACAACGAAACCAAAGCGTACTCAAGTGCGTGGCTGCCACTTTGGCCTCTGAATCTGGACGTTCGTCAGACAAATGCTCTACTGGCCTGTGGAGTGGTTATTTTGTTCCAGTCAATTGTCTATATCATCGTTGCTGCGTTTCCTTCGGTTTGTCCCTCCTTTTCGATCTTCCATGTACGATTGCATACTGATATACGAGTACAGCCCCGTCCCCGCCTTCGATTACTCAACTTACTCTCCACGGCCGTCGGAGCAACAGGCCTCGTCACAGCCATCGTTGGCGTAGCCTTCTCCATCTACCTCCCCTCCGCCACATATCCAGAAGGTTTCACCGTAAGCGAAACCATCCACAGCTGGACCTGCAAATGGAAATCCATCGACAGCATCAGCGGCGGTAATAACCAGACACTCTCCGCTCCGGCCAATTTCTCGCGTGTTTGCGCCGAGTCTCGAGCTGGATTTGTTTTGTCGGGTTTGTTGATTGGTTTGGAGATTTTTATGTGTGCTGCTGCGGCTGCTGGGTACATGCTTGATATGAATGTTTCGAGGCAGCGCAAGTCGTCGAATGCGGATGAGTTCCATGTTATGGAGCCGAAGCAGTAGTACATTGAGCAGATGTGCTCAATATCATGTTTGATTCGGGCAGCATTCTTTTAGCGACCTTGAGAGGTGGTCTTTGATGTTCGGTTTTGGTTTATGAGTAATGGTTTCAATGGTGTGTATGAGGTATTAGTGATGGACACTTTGCGATTTGTTTTATTGATACCTGGATATACACGTCGAATCTTGTCTTTGTTTTGCCTGTATAGCTACCTCAATCCAATCAACCTCAGCAGAAAGGGCAGTCTTCCGGTGCCCAGCTAGATTACTTTTTTGGTTTTCTCATTGTCTTGTATCTCGTTACCTAGGTAGTAGAATTTTATATGAACATAAATACAATCTGAAAATCTTTAGATTGTGAAGCTGATGAAAAGGGGTAGTAGTATACATGCTCTTCAGTTCATGCTCCAACCTCGTCCTGAACCCATCCAACCAGCTGTTAATAATTAATGGGTATTATACTGAGTAGAGAACTAACCTCAGTACTTGCATGAGAGATTGTCTCCTGAATGTGGTGCTATTTTGGCACATCATTCAACGTTAAGGGGTACTAACCTTAGCCCTTACCTTGGAATTATGGAGACTTCACGTGATCCAGCTGCGGTCGGGGTCAAGGGCTGGCCTTGTGAGTGATTGTTATTGGCGCCATCAGAAGACGGCGAATAAACATTGTTCATCACAGTCTATTGTTTGAACTACGAACTGTCATACACGCTGTTGCCAAGAATAGTGGATTTATGAACCCGGACAGTCCTCTGAAACGTCGACATCTGATTATACACCATGAGCGGCTTCCGCGGGGTGATGAAGGATGGGTGGCATCCCAAGGGTAAAGAAGGCGGCAAGGAGAGCTGGAGAGGTGACTTCAAGGGAATTAACCAAGTGGTATGTTGATGACACAATTTATTTAATATGGGTTTCTAACGATTTAACAGGCTGGCTGGATGGGAAAAGGCAAAGATAGCAGCAAAGACGATCGAGCCGAGCATGTCTCACGTCCTCTATCCTCACTCAAGGATCCAGCAACCTTCGGACCACCACCGAAACGCGGAGACTCACGAACGTCAACGACATCCGTTTCGAAGTCGACGACTGCCTCAAGGGGCCTTGGATCAGAATTGGCAGCGGAAGAGATCACTCACGAACCTGAACAAGTTGAAGAGCCGGCGCCTCCTCCTCTACCGTACCGTGCCAACCGGACAGGAATAAACATAGAACATCTCCCTCCACCTCCAGTTCGACGTACAGAATCCCCCGCAAATAGTACTCATGCGCCTGCCTCACAACCTCGACCTCATCTTCCTCCTCGTTTACCTACCCGCAACACCACCACCTCCCCCTCACCCCCTCCGCCACCATACTCCGAAGCAGACCGCTCAATTGAGATGAATCAAGGTTCAGTGTCGCGTCTAGAACAAGCCGGCGTTTCCGTTCCTGCGCTCGGGATCGGTCGAAGAGACAGTGACCAGTCTGCTACAGTTCAGAGGGGCATGAACAATCAAGTCAATGAACTTCAAACCCGCTTCGCGAAAATGTCAACCCCGGGATCACAAACTCCCCAGAGTCTCCAAAGTCCAATTCCAATTGAGCGACCTACTTCACAGAGAGGATTTGACAGTAACACATCCACGGCGTCGAGAACGGATACTCGCCCATCTCCACTACCATCAACTACAAGCACATTCCGACAACGTAGCAACGAGCACATTGAAACTGGCAAACAGAAACTAGCAGCATTTAATCAAAAACACCGAATCACAGAACGCATCAACTCGTATTTTGAAGAACAACCCCCTCTCAAAGCGTCCCAGGGTGCACCGCAACCTCCACCTCCACCACCACATCCAAATCTGAGCAGACAGAGTTCGAATATTGATATAGAAGTGCTAAATAAAAGGAAACCGCCGCCACCACCTCCGCCTGCTAAAAAGCCTAATTTGAAGTCGACGCCTGTGAATGGTGGTGCTGAATCACCATCTCCGCCGCCGTTACCTTTGGGGACGAAGCCTCGATGAGTGGATCTTCTTTTCTCTGTTGTTTTATTTATATCATTTATATGCATGTTATTAGCGTTATATTCTATGATTGGTATGGGTTTTAGGGCAACAGTTGGCACCGGAGAGGCTATGGTAAGAGAAGGTCACATATAAACACCGTTGACGCAGTCCATTCGGAAGTTACTATGTTTACACAAATATCAATTGAGGTATTAGGGCTATGGCTAGTGGGGAAGTGCTCAGATATTGAGTACAGGACCAGCTTATGAGAAACTCCGACTATTGATCATGCAGGATCGTTTCATAACCGTGATACTATTCTCTCCAATACGAATACTCATCGATTTATATCATAAATCCAAGACTGCCCAGATGGTCATCCTCACCACAACCTGGCCTGGCCCAGGATTAGGGTTACACACAATTAGGGCTCCTCGTCCAATACCCTATCAACATAATCGTCATTATCAGAGTCCATCCCGGAAAGTATCGGATCGAGAAAAAACACGGAAGAATTCAAACGAAACGAGTGCAAATAGACTTTCGAGAATGATCAGCATCCATTTCCTCAAACGAGTTAAACTAAACCCTCTGGCGTTGGGCTGAAAACTTATTGCGTATGCTTCTCTTCTATCTGGGCTATGAGATGGGTTTGCCGAGAGTGGCTCAGGTAGAGATCCCATCTGGGCAAATGCCAATCCTATGGATATTTGGGCTTGGCGGTTGTCCGTTTTCATAATTGTACAGCTTATCTATGTTTATGGTCTTTGAGCTAGGAAATGAATAAGTTTATTTATTTGCTGGGTGAATCCCCGATACTAGGCATCCGAGACAGATACAGACATAAACCGAAAACGGACCCCGTCTCTACACGCTTATCTAGCATCTACACCGCAAACTTCCTGGGCCATTGCATATGTAGATGAATCAAAGTCCCTTACCTTGACACATCCAAGCCAAGATTCTTGGTTCCGTGGCTTATGATCCGTGTGCGTTTGTATGGTTGAATGTACGTGCCTTTTGTACGCCCATGTGCTCGTCAGCAGGTATTGGAACGAAAAGTGTGTAATATCGGTTATACGTACGATCTGCAAGTTCTAACAACGTTTCGGAACGGGATCGAGGTCTGGATCCGAGTAAAGGGAAAGATTCCTAGGTGGGTGGGTTTGGAGATGGTGGAATGTGTATATATAGGTGATTGATTCGGGCTGTGAATTGGTTAGGTTCAGCCAGATCATTCTATCCTTTCCTTATAGACGGTCTCTGTTGTCAAGCCCAGAAGAGAATACCCCTTAACACATTTAGAAAAGTCCGACATGTTAGAACGCTCCATATCGTTCGCTCCCACCGATCAAATCAGCACAGATGAGACCTTGAACCAGAAACCAGGCACTCTGGCAAAAATCAAGTACAGAGGTGTCGTGCACTACCTCTCCTCGGACATCAACACGAAACGAGCCGATATCATTCTCATTATCTGTGCCTTTGTCAGTGGTTTAGTCGATGGCGTCTCCTTTACTGCCTGGGGTAGTTTCGCAAGCATGCAAACCGGTGCGCTCATTCCATCCTCGTACCAGTCTGATTGTGCTAACCATCCAGTGAAGGTAACTCGGTCTTCATCGCTCTCGGCGTCTCCGGCCAACCCAGATACCCGGCCTACCTCTGGGCCAAATCACTTATATCCGTCGCAACATTTATAATCAGCAACATCTTCTTCAGCCGGTTTATACGCTTTCTCGGTGCCAAGCGTCGTATCACTAATATCATTTGTTTCCTGATCCAAACCCTCGCTCTACTCATAGCTTCGTTGCTCGTGGAGATCGACATAATATCTCCACGAGCAGAAGATCCGCGCGCACCCATAGAATGGATGCAGGTCTTACCAATCAGTCTCCTCGCATTTCAAGCCGCGGGGCAAATCGTGGCTAGTCGAACATTGGAATACGACGAAATCCCGACTGTAGTCTTGACGACGCTGTTGTGTGATTTATTGATTGATCCGAATTTATTAGCTAGAAGAAATGCAAAGAGGAATCGCAGAGTGGCTTGTTTTGTGACGCTGATTCTGGGCGCGATGACGGCTGGAGGGTTGTTCAAGTTGACGAATATGAGTTCTGGGTTGTGGTTGGGGTTTGCTTTGAAGGCGGTTATTACTATTTCCTGGGTGGCTTGGGAGGGGGCTCAGAATGTTAAAGGTGATGGTGATGTTGTTGAAGGCTGTGTATGATCATATGACATTGCTTGCCCTAAGTTGTCAAATGCTTGACCAACAACAACCTCGGTAAATCAGGAATCCTATCAGCTTATCGATATCGACTTTATCGTCTTAATGCCATTGGCTCAACGAGAGTCATTAAAAATGTTGCGTTTTGTTGGGGAATGAAGGGCCTAGCCTTGATAGGACGGAGTAAGGGCGTTGGCTAGTGGCGGGATCTATGCCATATCATATGCGCGAGAATGAATCAGTTGCAAGAATACATAATGTGTATGATTCTTCATTGCAGTGTATATATCAGTGTATATATCAGTGTAATGTACATGTACCTAGGGTTAGAGTAGCAATACATCATTAAAACAATGTCACATGACCGCTGTCGCGTGATGTGAGAGGCTAAGAGCAATAATGACGTTGAGTCTCCTTCTTTCTTCTTCCTCAACACCCTCAATTGCAACACTCAAAATGGCGCTATCGCTACATCAGATGAATGCCTTCATGTCATATATGAAGAGCAAACACAGAACGAACAAAACCTCGGTCCCCCTTTTCCCAAGTTCCCAACAAATACTGACGTGGATCCACTCTGCCAGCACTCAGCCTATCAGGACCCTAGTCTGGGCTGAGCTTGCGAGCTTTGCGACCAAATACCTTACGTGCGACAAGTAGAAAGAGTCTTGGTGGAATACTCAAATAATACAAATATATCCTTCAACCCGAATTGACTCTCCCACTTCTTTTTTTGTCTCTTCAACTCTTTGCCTTACGACGTAGTACGTATCGGACAATCCCCGTACTCACCTCCTGACGTCAACGTCGATATCCCGTACCATTCCGGCATCCACAAATTTTTTTGACCTGCCCCAAGTGAGGAGTTCATAAATCGACAACAGGCTGTACAGCCTCTGCTTTCCCTGGGAAGGACGACAGACACAAAATTCAAAATGCTCGACTCATACCAATTCAGTGAGGCAGGCGCTTCGCTTGGCTTCAGACTACCCCCTTCCGCGTTCTTCAAGTTGCCCGGCTCTCAACCCATGAGTCTTGTACCTCCTGCCAACGAGCGATCTCTCGCACAGCCATTCCAAATCCCTCCAAAACTATACGCACAACTCCTCGATTATCGAGTACCTCTCACAATTGGAAGCATTTATGCGACGACCGTCATTTTGCTTAACCGTGTAAACAAATCGCGCGGGTACAAGCCTTGGGCTGTTAGCAAGACTAGCTGGTTCAAGATCTTGGTTATCCTGCACAATGTCTTTCTGGCTATCTACTCTGCCTGGACGTGCGTAGGCATGTGGAGGGCATTGCGCCTGTCAATCCCTCGCTTCAACAACGAATACGGCGCAGTGGGCGTGATTGACGGTTTCTGCAGAGTCGCTGGTCCTCGTGGTCTCGGAAACGGCGCAATCTACAATTCAACAACCGATCAATGGATAATGCCCAATCCTGAATACAAACTGGGTCCCGATGGCCTGCCCGATCCTACCGATGTTGGACGTCTCTGGAACTCTGGTCTGGCTTACTACGGCTGGATTTTCTACCTGTCCAAATTCTACGAGGTCATTGATACCGCGATTATCCTTGCCAAGGGAAAAAAGAGCTCGACTTTGCAGACTTACCACCACACCGGCGCGATGATGTGCATGTGGGCTGGTATCCGCTACATGGGACAACCGATCTGGATCTTTGTACTTGTCAACTCTTTCATCCACTCCCTCATGTATAGCTACTACACCCTCACCGCGCTACACATCCGCGTCCCAAATGCCATCAAGCGCTCGCTCACAACCATGCAAATCACGCAATTCATCTTTGGTACTTTCGCCGCTAGTTCCTACATGTTTGTGCGATACTCGATCCCCGTCACCGTCTCCCGAGCTGTCTCATGGGAGCATCTCTCCAAGGCCATTCCAGCCGCTGCCTCAGCCGCCGAGTCCGGAATCGCCGCCGCAACCGCTTCAGCGGGTCTTGTGCCATGGTTGAAGAAACTCGCATTCCGCGCCGCTGGTGCCGAGGGAATCGCAGAAAACGTCCTCAACGCTCAGGGACAACATTTCGGAGCCGACGCCCTCAACGCCGCGCGCCTCTCTCAAGCTAAGCAACAAGCCGAGAACGCTATTCTCTACGAAATAATCGACTGCGTCGACAACAGCGGTCAAGCATTCGCCATCTGGTTGAATGTCATGTACCTGCTCCCATTGACCTACCTCTTCGCCCGATTCTTCGTCAAATCATACCTCCGCCGCAAGGAACCCGCGCAACAAAAGGCCGCAACCCAGATCCAACAGGTCGAAAAGGCTGGTCTGGATGCCCTGAAGGGAGTAAGCCGCGAAATCCGCCGTGCAGCTCTAGAGCAGAACGGTGACGGCGATACCTCCGCCACAGATGAAGAAACCACAAACGAGAAGATCCAAAAACTCACTTCGACCGCACAAGAAAAGATTCATAACATGGAATCCAAGCTTGCAAGTGAGAAGAAGAAGGACGAGTTTGAAGCTGTACCACCTAAACGTCGCGCAAAGCGAGGTGAGGCCGAGAAGAGTGTCACAGCTACCCCACCGGTTAAAGCTAGTAATACATTTGATGTATTACAAACAGATGCTTCTTAACCCAATCCCTTTTCCTCCTCTTATTCTTTTTCTCGTTTTGAATATGTTTTACATAAATGGGACACGCACGGCACGCGCACAAGACCAAGTAGATGAATGATCTCGTGATTACGGCTAATGCTTTTCTTCTTCTTCTTTTCCTCTCTGACCTTGTTGCTGCTCGATTTTAACTACTCGCTACATGCATGCATGCATGTGTTTTTCAAAAAGAGTTCTTATTTTACTATCCCTCTCCTGTACATAATGCCATCACGTAGTTAATCGATTACGTAGTCACTAATAACATGCTCAACGAGTTTAGATTGATTATCTCACACTTTTATACTAATGTGTAGTAATAGACTACAGCAACTGACGAGAGTTGAGACTCATGACTCATGATCTGATCGTACTCACAACCCATACCGGTCAAATCATGAATCATTGATAACCAAGTACGTAATCTTCTATCCCCACCTTCACATCGTATTTGATTGGTCAGTCAAATATAGTTTCATATCCCCACTATGGTCCGTAACCCTAACCTAATCTATTTCTAGTTTTGGTTTAATCTGACTTCCATATTGGAATTGGCCAATCGTGGTGCAGTCTAGAATGTTTGTATACATACGAGGATCTCTATTCCAGGGGAATAGGGAGTCATCTTAATATTCCTGGTTGTTGCCGTATAAGGTTGGCCAGTTGCAGGCCCAGAACTTGCCTGGAGATGATTATTTCCTTAGATCGTTACAGTAATCTACGTAGCCAATCCATCAATGCTTACGCTCGATTGCAGTACAAACTCATCTGAATCACATGTTCAACGACCACAAATATTGAAAAAGCCAGAAATATATGAAATTTCGACTTGCACACCATAATCCAAACCACGGGAGAGACGATAATTATGAAAATGACACAGAAAATGATACATGAGAAAGAAAATGAACAGTCGAGTCTCTCCGATCGAGGAAATGAGGAAAAAAGCCAATTACAAATGACAACGCTCCAAAATGAAAGGAACAAGTTACATAGATATGATGACCACAAGAGGCGTGTGCGGAACAAAACAAAACACTTCCCTTTTGCGACTTGGAATTCGAACGAGTGGAGCGACTGCATGACTGGACGACTGAAAGTCAGGTTGAACGCAAAAGACAAAAACCAAAGACCACATCCGCCCTAACACCTATGAATGACCAACGAACAGCTGAAGTAGAGTCGCAAAGAATTCGAGGATTTAATATCGAAGTCGCTAGCGTCAAAACGGATCGATTCGCTCATGTCCAAATAATCAACCGCAATTTATCGAAAATGAAATTTACAAGTGGGTCTAATGATCCAAATAAATGGCCTGGTCGAAGCTCTTCCCAACAAGCCTCGCCAGCTCGTAACACGATGAGATGATGCAAGATGTTTCGAAAGCGATGCTGTAATCTGAACGCCAATGGGAATGCATTAGAGGAAATGCGTGTAGATCTTCGAGGTTTCATGAACTTCCATCTCCTGCAACTCGTCAGTATTTTAAGCCTCTGGAGAGACTAGAAGTGCTCACCATTTTGAAGGTATTCAACTCCTCCTTGATCTGTTGAGCCAAAAGAGGAGTCAACTTGTTGCACGTTGCTGTATCACCACGTCGGTCGTATTCGACGCTGGGCCAAGTCTCGTAAAATTGGATGCGCGGGCTAAAAACAATGCTCTTGGACGCTGGATGCGGTGTGATTGGAGTAGTCTTCGACTCGGAGCCATATTTGCCCTGTGTCATGAAATAGTCTTCGCCTTCAATCTTCACTGTATCCGTTCGTCGGTGACCAACTCGGTGAGAGTGCTCTTCGGGTGTACTTGGGGCGCTAGAATTGGGTGAATCGGGAATATGTGGGGGTGCTAGCTCCACAGGTTTTCCAACTGGAGAAGAGCTTCCAGAGCCTGAGAATCACATTAGCTTTATGAATACAGACAATATATCCCGTCAACTCACGTTTCAGGATCCCCTTCTTGACCGCGGCCAACACTTCAGCACGCTCTCGCTCCCCGCCTACAATACTCTTGCGGGAGTTGGAGTCATGCAGGTTACGCTCATTCACTACCGCTGTGGTCTTGGACTTTTCCTTCGTGGGCTGGACCTTTGGAAACACAGTGCCACCGCCACTCTGCTCACGAGGATCAGGGTTCACCGCGACAATCTTGCGTTCAGCTTCAATATTGACCACTGAAAGCTGAGGAGCAGTGGGCTCAATGATCACTGGATCCGTGCTCTCATTGATGACTGACTTCGGACGGAAGAGACCGACAAGTGATCGGGTGGATTTCTTCATTCCTCTGCCCATTTTCCGAAGCATAATAGACGCAGAAGATGCGGTCGAGGATATCGAAAGGTTATCTGTCGAGCCCAGCTGGTGGGAATAAATGCTGTTACCCAGCCCATTTGCTTCTTGCTGCGCAGCAATCGCAGCTTGTTCAGGATCCAATTCATCACCAATGTTTGTTGACTGCTCGCCCTCTCGCCTACCCATCGAATTCTGAACCGATACCTTGCGAAGTTCTGCAGCACTGCCGAACGAGAATGCCCTTCGCAGGCGTGACTTGCCGGGCTTTTTACCACTGGCCTTGCTGATGTCGGCTAGACGCTGTGCAGCGGGACTATTCAATGTTGACGATGGAGGATTTGAAGGAGCGGGGGATTCAGATTTCGCTAGAGGGCTGTTTGTCACTTGGTGGGAGAGAGGTGAGGGATTATGAGAGGCATTCGATGAGGTCTTCGAGTCAACGCTCGGGACAGAAGTCTTAATATCGGACTGGCTGTGCTCAACTGGGCGGCTCCTCTCCGAATGGGAAGACGCTGGTCGCGATAATTCTGGAGTATTGAATTTGAGATCGGGCAATGGGGCGAATAAAGAACTGTCCAATGGAGACTCCTGAGAGAAAGCATCCATATTGGCCCAGCTACGACGCCGATATCGTTTAGCAACATCAGGATGTGACTGCTTGCCCACCCGAGTATCATCTGCACTGGGTGTACGAGTGTGTGTTATGATCGTAGGCCGTGACGGCTGAGGCAGAATGACCGCAGTTGCAGAAAGGTCATAGGAAGACGACCGATTCGGTATTGGAACAGCTGCCTGATTCGTATTATCTTCGGTAGCGGTGCGTTTCACCCGTCGATAACGGTCGGGCAATGGCTTACTAGGAGTCGAGGTCGAGGGCGAAGGAGTGGAGGAGGGAGACGGCGTGGTAGAGGAAATGGAAGTCGACAAGGTGAGAAGATTCGATTGGGTGGACAAGTTGATAGTCGACAAAGGCCGAGGAGTCATATCCGTTGTCCGTCGTCGAGAGGAAAGAATGCTATCATCTTGTGAAATGTAGGAAGGTCGAGCAGAAGAATTGGAAGATCCGGAAGACGACGATACAGAGCCAGCTGCGAAATGGGATGAGTGATTGGGAGTGTTATTCTGTGAGAGAGACGTGGATGAGTGGTGACTATCTGGTCGGACCTGGGGAGACCAGGCCATATGGCGTTGCTGGTTAGAATTCCCATTCGCAGCCAGCAGGCCTGGAGTGCTCGTAAAGGCGTAAGGAGCCACCGAGTTCCTGCTGGAGGCGGGGTTGGTCACGCCATTATAGGAGCTCAACGACATGCTGTGTCCACGGCCGACGTGTGGTTGCGTGATCGATGGAGCGGAGATGTAGTTCTGGCTAGTTGATGACGATGCTGGACGGGTTTGGAGGAGCGTCACAGTACCGTTCTGTTGAGGAATCGTCTGGACCAACGCTGCCATGATGGCTTGAGCCTCGCCCACAAAAACCAGAGAAACGGGCTTCTTTGCTTTGTTCCCTCCTTTGATGTTCTAACACACCTGTACCCAAACGCCACTTGACTGTATTGTGTCCCCAATCTAACTTCTTAAGTCACCGGCCGTACGACGTTTCGGACGAGCAACAAAACGAATGCTATAGCGATAGGTGGGAGGGAAAGAATGGAATATACACGATGCTGATGAACCACGGGAAGTTAGTAATCAACCACGAAAGCGAAGGTTGGACGGACGATGATGAATTTGATAATCATGGACCTGTCGAGAAATGGGGTCGATGCGAGGAGAAACGGAAGGAGGACGGTTGTTCGTATTCCAAGAGGACACGAGGTGGCAGGCTACCTACTAGGGACAACAAGTCTGTACGACGGCAGAAACCGGTCGCTACGAACAGAAAAGGAAGTATCTGCAAGAAACAACACAGAAGGAAACGCCGGAAAGTCGATGCAATAAAATGTGTACTGATGAAATCAAAGAAAGATTGATATCGAGGCAAAAGTTATCGTCGCTGTAAGCCGACCAACTGACTCACTGTAATGGGGGTTGAATTGCCTTCTTGTGAGGGGGAAGAAGGGTGGTTTGTCGACAAGGGCCACGGCAACACGTAAGGTCTCCGGAAGCAAGCGATAAAAGGGGATTTCTCAAGCCATGAACGCGAATCCAAGCAATTCCCCAAAAAAGAATAAAGAATTGAAGATAAGATAACCAGATCTGTGTGATATGTCTGTCTTATGATGGCATATACCCAAAGGTCCAGGCAGACGACTGGAGATCGCAGTCAGGAAAGTGCAAGTGGGCCTGTTTCTCACACGTTCTCTTCTTCGAAAGCGCGACAAGGGGATAGGGGGAAAAGGGCAAAGACGATAGGGAAGAAGAGGGCGGGGGGATATGGTTCGGGATGAGAATAAGAGAAAAGAAAAGAAAAAGATGTAAAACAGCAAGACAAGAAGAAGATAGAGAGAGAGAGATGTGGAGGAGGAGGAGAGACGCTTTAGGGAGAGCTCGCTCTTGAGAAGGAAGAGAAGGTTCGCGGAGGGAGGAACACAGCGAAACAGAGGGAAAGAGCGACCGACCGTGCCAGGGGAGCGCCAGGAATGGTCAAGTCCGGGATAAGTGGGGTAATGTAGATGGGCTGATTGGCTAATTTGCAGTCTTTGCTAGACATTAGACACACTATACTGGATCAAGACTAGTGTGACGTACAACCGATCCGTTTGGGTTAGCTCTCAGGCGTATCGTCCAACGTATTCTCTCTGTGACTCTGTCTATTCTCTTCCAAGTATATAGACAAGCATACATTAACTGAGCCTCGTGGCTTATGTCTAGTCGCGATTACAACAAATATCTCATGAGTTTTCCGTGTGCAAAACTCCGTATGGCTCCCCTTGCTACAGTCTCAGACATTGATCGGCGAGCTGTTTTATGATTGGCCCGATGTGCGGCATGCACTCCTCGACGGAAAAAAGCACGGGAGCCAATCGCATGGTTGATATACAATCAGCAACGATATCATCTCAATCACGACACTACATAAATGCACACTGGAACTGCCATACTCTGTGCGGAGTGCTGCATGTTCAATTGGTCGTACTCTGCAATGGTCACGAACTGTTGAGTCGCACCGTCCAACTTATGCGGATCGAGTCAAGTGTGGTTCTTTGTCGTTGAACCTATTGGCCCCGTCCCTGCATGGCGCTGTCAATGTCAGTTTGCGTGTACGGACTGAGTGCTACTTTTATTGCAACAATGTCAAACAATATGCTGCCATGACCCGTTGGTTCTAATGAAGAGGCTAATTGCGTTAATAGCGGCATGAAAATAAACTCAATAAACTCGAAACCCATTCAATGGCGTTCGGATCCAAGGGAACATTGACTTTGTGGCTTTTGTCATATTCAAGAAAACCCAGCTATTATTTCAGTTCTAAGTGATATCCACAACCTCAACCTGTCTTGATCTTTGAGCCTTTTCTCCATGATTAATTAATAGTCCTGCGCCGCTGATAAGCACGGTGCACTCTGCAGACTGTCTACACTGCCTAATCAATTACTACTACGTAGTATGCATTTCGAAGAGGGCCTAGAAGGAAGGTCGTTCCTCATTGCAGATTAACAGAAGTGACAAGCTTATGGAGCGGCACGTGGACGATCTGGAATGTCGCTTACTGATGATAATCGAAGAGAGGAATGTACATTTAAGTTTGTATACACTCTTGAGAATTCTGAGAATTTGACTCCGTTCTCAGTTGAGGCGGACATGAACGAGGGCTATTTGAATGCTGACGCTAATAATCACTAGTAAGGTCCTGACTCAGTCTAAAGAAAGAAATATTAATAGGGGTGTAACCCTGTCCGTGCTCGACTAGGTCTTATCAATTCATACATTGAAGATCCTGATAGACGATCTCGATGATAGAATCGATCATGCAAAACACACAATACAAAGTACGTATATGAAGACACAAACAACCGCCACCTGGAAAACAATAATTCTACCGTCTTCGTCATACTTGCTCTCTAAGAACAAAACTTGATCATGAGAAAGCCGCTCGGCTGATCAGGTGCCGGAAGTGCACGTGCTGCGGGCTCTATGTCTGGCATGAAAAGGAGCTATTTTTGATTTCTTGCATCGTGCATTCGCAAATGAAGTCTCTTATTCCTTATTGAGCACAGTACATAGGGGAAAAGATCCCTATTTTCGTACATAGTTACTGTAACTAAGTCAAGAAGATCTACATCATGACGAACCCATTGCAGGGAGCATTATGTAATCGAACAAGCGGTCAGATTGGGGGATAACTAACATTAACTGGGATTAGGGGGTTTTCTGGGGTTAGGGTCAGACCCTTACATTTCCTTGAGGGGGTCTAGATCGTCGAGATGCATCAAGTATTCATTATTTATTTTCACAGGATAGATGCTAGCATCACATTAGAAGCCCAAATCGGTCCCTCCCTCATCAAACCTCTTCCCACCATCGCCCATGGCATCTTCGTCCATACTCATCCCTTCCCCATCGCCATCCTCAGTATCAAGACCTTCAAAGACCATAAACTTCTCATTTTTGGCGTCCGTCTCGTCCGGCACCGCATTACCGTCCTGAACTTCGCACTCCTTAAGGTTGCACTCACGACCGATTTTGGATCGATGACCGATAACGCAGCCTGTCAAGACTGATCGCGGACCGATAACTGCGCCCGCCATAACAACACAGCGCGTAAGCCGTGCGCCGGAGGCAATGTGGCAGTTAGCGCCAATGACGCTCTCCTTGATGACACATTTCTCTTCCACGGTCACGTTCTCTGCTAGCAGACAGTCTTGTCTGGTCACCGTGCAGCGTTGAGCGATGCCAGCTGGGTATGCGACTTTGGCGGTATGGGCGAACGGAGACGAATTCGGCCGCCCAATCTCTTCAATGGATTCCAATTTAGCAAGCTTCAGTGAAACAGACAGTAACAGAGCCGAACTATCAACGCGTCGTACCAATGGTGCGGAAGGCAGTGAAGAGTGTATGTAGGCAAAGATTGGCGGGATGGCTAATTTCGACTGCTTGTTTCGAGCTGCTACAGCGCTGTCAAAATCAGCTTCAGACGCCGCTGTATTGACTCGTGAAGCTAACCGCGGTCTAGCGAATCCATTTGTGAAATTCGCTTCGTCAATCTCGCCGGTGCTGGCTTTAGTCGTACTCATGGCCCGCAGGTCAACTTCATCTTCGACCTCATCGCCGTCATGACTCGCGTTATCTGCTGAATTCGCTGCCTCTTCGAAAATTTCCCTGAAACCCAACTTCTCGCCTAGCCCCTTTTGCCACTCTGCTTTCGCCCACCAACCAACCAGATCTTCACTTATGCTCTGGAATTTATCGTTTCTCCTTGCCAACTCCTTGACCCAGTAAGGGAACACATAAATATGCGCATCACGATACGTAGTCAAAAGTTTGACTCGCGCATGCTTGTTGACAAGTGAATTTCTAATCAAAAGCCCCTTATCATCCTCCATTTTTTCCTTCAAAGAATCCATGGGCATAGCATATACCAATTTCGACAGATTATATCGTATCGACCCCGGCCCGTCAACTGGTGGATACACAACGGGTGCCTCATTCTGATCTAACGGAGCCGTCGCAACGAAATCCGCAACCTCTCCCTTGACACTTTCTTCTCTATCACGTGTCTGATACCATACCCCAAGGCCACCTCTGCGTCCGGCGTTTTCGCCGCGCACATCCGCAAACTTGATACTACCCCCGTGTTTCGAGATATGCTCTTGCCCGGACCCACTGAGAGAAGCCTGTGATACCATCCATGATTCGAGGAGTGCCTCGCCGGGGATATCGCATATAAGATCACACGGTAAGAGGATAAAGTCGGATTTTATAGCTGATTGTACCTCGGAAAATCGAAGCAACTCCGCAGTACCGGTCGTTAAAGTCAGCCCGCTCGGTGCTAGCACAGATGGTGAAGGCGCGGGAAGGGATGTAAGGTGCGGGTTTTGGGAAAGCGCTGCTTCGAGAGGAGCTTGACTAGCTGGGGGAGTCACTAATGTAATATCTATCAGGAAGATTAATATCAGTAAACGGTCCACACATTTTACACGTCCATATAAGAGCACATACTGGTTATGCCCATCCGATAACACCAATCTAGAGGATACCATACCATCGGCCTATTGGCGATTGGTATAAGAGCTTTTGGGAACTCTTCAGGGTTCGATGTAAAGGTATTGAGCGAAACTCCAGGACCACACAATATGATGGCCTGGAACCCTGAGAAGGGCACAGGAACGGAGTGAGGCATGGTTGCCTCTATTTCTATTCAGTCCCAGAATATAACTCAAATTTGTCTTGACGTCCGCCGAATCGGCCTAGAAAGCGCTGTGCAATATGCAGTTATGCCCCGCGTTGTATTTTCTTGCCGACGAAGTCTGAATACTGCTCGCTCGGTGTGAGTACCTTGTGTGTTTGGGTAGAGCAATCTTCAGTCAGCATCAGAATGTACGCAACACATAAAATCTTAATCCCTTGAGGAGGTGTGCCGCTCGTTGTGTATTATGGAAAAAGTTCAAGTATGACTCCGCAATGTATTCTCCGATCTTGACCGCCTTTGGCAGTATTATGACTTGCCTCCGCGACGCGATTAGTTAAATTGTTTCTAGATCACCTCTCGAACTTGCCAACTTTAACATTCTTGATTCGTCACGCCATTTTATTTAGAAGTATATATTAATACAACTCATAATGGCTAAAGAAATCGAAGTTGACCCGTCCACCACCGCTCTCGCCCTTGAAAACGATGCTTACGACTCCGAAGATGATTCCGACTTCCAACTTGACGAAGCCGACGTCGCAGACGACGATTCAGGCCTTTCCTCCTCAGGTGACGAAGATGAGGCGGATAATATCAGACCGACTAAGAAGCGAAAGATCGATACTTCTCACAGGAGGGGCCCGAAGAAACGAAAAGGCGACGATGAAAATCAAATGGAACTCGATTCTGGGGATGAAGCTACGATACTAAAAGCGAAAAGCAAAAAGCAAAAAAAAAAGGGGGCGGAAGATGGAGAGGAAGAAGAGCTTGAGATTGAATTGTCGGAGAATGAAGGAGGAGGGTTTGTGAAGACTAGGGCTATGAGGATGAAGATGTGAGTTGATGTTTTAGAGTATTACAGCGAGCATAGCTGATATTTGACTCCAGGCAAGAAGATCGCAAACCCCTCGCAAAGATAGACGGTGCGACAATTGATGTTGATGCTTTATGGGCCAAGATGAATGCTCCAAACACAGATTCGGGTCTGTTACCGAGCCAAAAACCCGCACCACCAGACGAGCTGGTCCAGGAACCGTCAAAGGACCAGGAAATCGAAAAGCTTTCTACAGATGGAGCTGCTCACGACAAACTGCCTTCTGAGAACATGATAAAAATAAAACGAACATACAAATTCGCCGGCGAAATCCACACAGAAGAGAAACTGGTACCTCGAGATTCGGCCGAAGCAAAACTATACCTAGCCGAAACCACCGGCGAAAAGTCGATTGACTCAGCAGATACATCACAAGGTGAAACAATCATTATAAAACTACGTCGACCTCTCCGGAAGATATCACGTTTCGACCCCAATCCGTCGGGTGTCATTAAAAAGAGCTGGGAGAAACAAGCGGTGCGAGCTGTGTCGAGCGAAGCAGATGAACTCAAGGGACCGAAACTCAACACCGTTGAGAAATCGCGGCTTGATTGGGCGCAATATGTCGATGAGGCTGGTATCAAGGATGAGCTTAATGTGCACAGTAAAGCGAAGGAGGGTTATTTGGGTCGCATGGATTTCTTGAACAGAGTAGATGCGATCAGGGAGGAAGAGAGGAGAAATATTCGACTCAAGGGGTTATAGGAATGCACATATATGAGTCTTGAATACTATGATATGTACATATATGTAAACTATGCATTAATCTCATTCACAGTGTAAACTAGCGCACGTCGTCGTAATTGTGGTGTGGTGTAGTGCATTTCGCAACAAACCCTAATTTCTGCAAGATCTTATCTCAGCACGCCACGATTTATGCCTAAAAACCTACTCATAGTGGTTAACGGTTCCATGAAACAAGCATGAAAAATCTTAGAGAAAAGGCTATCGCACTTACCTAACTAGACTTGGGAGGGTACTTGATACCGGAGCTGGGGCAGTTCGAGCTATTGGCTATAGGAGAAGTCAGATTAGTCATACAACGAAAGACGGAGAAGGAAGAATTGTGAAATGGAACGACATACGAGAGTCCACAGGACTATAGGTTCCATTGATGGCGTTTCCAGAGAGGTAGAAATAGTAGTAAACAGACGAGAGGGCGCCCTTGGAGCAACCAAAGTATGGAACCTTGCCGCCGTGGATAGCAGATGCAGCATCCTCAATGTCGCTGAGATAATAAGTCTGGCTATCATCTGGGGTGATGCCAGCATTTGACAGGGCCTGTCGGAGTATCGGTCAGTACCATCGATACGGTTGTGTGGGAAAGACGAGAAGACGCACAGAAAAAGTATCTAAAGTCTTGAACAGATCAACAACCTGCTGGAAAAAGTCCACAGCCTCATCACCAGTTGAGTAGTCGGAATAGCACGATGGGTCAATGGTGTTGACGCAAGTACCGTGTGTAGCCCACTCGTGCTCCCAGAAGGACTCGCTGGACTCATCGTTACTCTGCCAGTAAGTATTCATGTAGTCGAGCAAGTCGGTCTTGCCGGCATTCTGGATCAGAGAGGTGATATCGTTGTATTCACGTGAGGAGTCGCAATTCTCATCGTAAGATCCATCGCAGTTATCAGGCCTATGAAGATGCAGTCAGTATACAAAATTCTACTTTCTGGAAATTTGAGGTAGCGCACCAAAGACCGTGGATTCCCCAGGAGTCGGAAGGACCAATAGAAGGACTATAGTCCCAGAATTGTGTCTGGAGCAAAAGTCCACCGGGGGCCTCGTAGCAGCAAGTACCCTTAGTACTGCTGCTGCTACAGCTCAATGGTGAGCTGGAAGAGCATGTCTGAAGTGTGCCAGCAAGGGCGACCTTGACAGCAGCACTGAGGGCAAGAACACCGAGCGTACGAGACATGGCTGGTTTCTATTTTTCCTTGAGAGCGAAGAAACTCTTGTTTTAGATTTTTGATTGTAGCATAAAAGCTGTCGACTACTCGGGCTCTTTATGTACTTACCTGGTCAACTAAAACTGGAAAGGAGACATACCGGGCATATAAACACGCAGATATTGATGTCGTATCCGAAGCAAACCCTAAAACCAATCACAGATCCTGACAGCAGCCTTTCAAAGGTTAACATGCATGTCATTCATTGAGAGATCTAAATTCACTGCGCATCGTCAAATCAGATAGTTCATCTTCGTCGGATCCTCGTAACCATACAATCACAATGTTGCATTGCTTATGCTCATTCGTTGGAGCTGTTGTTGCACGATCGACACATGTGCGGGATTGAATCCCGGTTTGGGTACGTAGACTCAGTTCTCCATAGTTTAGGTACAAATTCTTCAGCCGCCTGATCCGCCATTGAATAAGACGGCTATAATAATACAGACTCATCAGTTTATATGTAGTCACGTATATATAGATCGTGATGTCTAATCTAAGCCTTGCCAGGTACGATACCCTATGCCAGCCAATCAAAGGGGTAAAGAGAGCAGGGTGCTCCTTACAGGGGTAACAAGACGGTTCCGGGGGTTGCCTGACTTTAAAAGTTGAGAAAGAGGCGTATTTAAGCCTTTGGTTTATAGTACTACCTTCCTAATATTGCTACTTCATCCGGGACATCGGCCGTATTGAAATCAGTCGAAGATGCGTGGGTCGGTATCGTCAGATCCCAGAAATACTAGATAGCGCTAATTTGCGATCTTGTGTATTCAGAAGGCTGATTTGGGTATGCTGTTCTTTCCTAAGAGTGGCCACAAGATGCGAAGTGGCCTTGTTCAGGAATCAACAGTGCATTTTGATGAAGAATTGATCTGGAACAGGTCACTCTGGTCGATGAAAATTAAAATTGATTTGATCATCTGCAAGACATGTGTACTATCCTCACTTAGCCCTAAGACTGGAAGCCTGAGGCACAACATCCCGTAAACTACTCACAAATACACAGAACACTGAAATACCATTACATTGAAAAAACAAAAAGGTTCCTAACAATTGCAAATTTGACAAGAGCTCAGAATGATAAGGTTGTCTGCCGTATAAACGACAATGAAAAGACCAAAAGACAAAACAACGGTTCCTCCGGCGCCTTAGATTAAGGCGGATGGCGGCGATCTGGCGTGCGAACTAGACATCACAATCGCCAATAGGGTGTCAAATGCTTGGTTATTTAGCGAGATGCGACTCTGCTAATAATCTAGGTACATGAATGACGTTGCATCTTGTTTTGATTTGGTGGGCGCTTTTATCAATTCATCGGGGTCTGCCGAAAAACGTACGTACAATTTTTCAATCGGCTTCGAGGGTTTCATGGTATTATTCACTTACTGAATCTTAATTCTCTCTTTATATTAAGCTTGATCCGAGCAATAGAAGCTTGTGAGAGGAATTCGAAGCTCATATGCCATGTCTACATAGTAAAGATGATATCTGATAACGCTAAAAGAAACATTCAACCAAAGCCTGATTCAAAACTCCATCCCTATTACATACCCGAGTCGTTATACAACCGGCCTGCCGGTACCGTCCTACAACCCTGACGAGTCGGGAACTCGTGAAATTCAAGATATATCTTCAAGTTGTGTCTGTACTTTAATGTAAAGAATTGGAACCAAAGTCAGAAGAAGAAGGCCCGAGCCCACAGCAAACGGCAACCCAGACCACTCAACCCCCAATTGCATTCCGACTGCATACAACCCCGCAAACATTGGACTGGCAACAACACCTCCAATAGAAATTGATACTGACATGGCAGCATACAGAGTCGCAATTTGATTTTGGGAAGGGACGAATGATGTAGCCACACTTATGACTGAATACACAAAAGGGATGGAGAATGACATGAATAATGTTCCCATGAGTAATATCGGTGCAGATGATGCGATGGAAACCATCAAGTAGCCCAGTACACCTGATGCAGCCGAGAATCGAGCAATGTATAGGTCTTTTGTGACGGGGGCGTAGTGGAGGGTTCGGGATAGGAAGGATGAGAGTATGGGTAGAATGACCAGTAGGGTTGCAAGGGTCATACAACCTCTAACTGATATGAGGTAGCTTGCCTGTACATGGCAATGTTAATCGACTATAGTCAAACAGAAAGGTTCAGATAGACGGTCATACCTCAGCAATGCTCCAGCGGAACTTCGTCGATACGTACTGTATCAGCAAATACCATGAACTTCTGTCCATACTACCAGCGAAAACAGCCACGATGGAGATCAGTATACGCGGTGATGTCCACAAGAATTTCGAAGACAAGATAAACTCCTGAGTTTTGCCTAAGACAATCTCTGCGATTGTGTCATTCTTTGTCGGTAATAATTGCGAGGTCTCTTCGGAGTCTTCTGGACTCCGTTCAAATGTATCCTCCTGGATACCAGAGTTGACATTCATCTGGCCCAGTGTCTCCGGCATGAGAAAGACAAATAATGAAGAAGAAATCATGATAACTGTTCCCAGAATGAATGGAATCCATGGATCGGACTCGAGCATCATCGCGCTCAGCGGAGTTGCGACGATTTCGGCGACTGTTGTCATCGCTGTCAGGCGGAAGATTGCGGTGTTTCTATTAGACATCATCTTGTCAGTTATGAGAAATTACTATGTATATATTGAGCAGGAAGAGAACTTCGCTGACCTTTCTCCCGCAGAAAACACATCTGCTACTACCGTCATAACCATAGTGGTAGCCACAAGGTTACCGCCTCCCGGGATCTGGAACAACCCAGCAAGCCAGGTCAGGCGAAGAGGCAGATTGAACCAGCCTGAAGCATATACTCAGCATCGATCATAGAATTAAAACCTGGTGGGGGAATACGTACAGACAATCTTAGCCCATGTATCACTGCATATCAACGAGGCGAACGACATGATCATAACCGGTCTTCGTCCAATTCTGTCCGCTAATATGCCATAGGGCAAGGCCATGGCGATAGCTTCACGACCCGGTCAGTATAACTTGCGAGACCAAGCACCATTTTCTGATTATACTTACAAGGCAGAATATCAAACGTATTCTTCCAGCCGGTCACAAGAGCAAGTTCCTTCTGCACGGCAGGCGACTTACAAACATCTATAGTGTCGTTTAGCAACGACGGATCGATCGATTGCATATAATTTTTGCAAATTATATCCTCAAATATTTGGAGTTGCGGTGCTTGGGCCATGAAAGCACCGAAATTGATGGATAGAAGGAGCAGGCCTCCTGCAATCATGACGCGCCGTTGGATGGGTGACCATAGTAATGATCTTGTTGTCCTCTGTCGAGTTGTTCCGGAGTCATTGTTGATATTCTGGTGCGGACTCGTGAGAAGTGGTGTTGTCTCGTCGTGCTGCCCCATTTTGCTGTGCCGGTCGGACGGTCGTTGATGTTTATGATAGGGCACAGTCGTCGGCTGACACATAAGGTTAGATACGTACTATTCAAACTCGGATTCGTAGTCGGCGACAAATTATTTATCTATTCAAATTGGTGATATCAATTTCCTTCTAGGCAGCATGATTTAAGAATTAACCAAAATCAATCTGAAGTAGTTGCAGTCACTAAATCTGAAGGGATACAACAAAGGAATGTTCCCAACCTCAGCTCGAACACGAAAAGCCAACCGCGTCACTTGGATTTGTTATCATTGAATTAGCCTCACAAAATTGACCAACTGGATATTTTCCCCAACGTTCAGGGATTCTTTTTCAGCCTATCATTGTTTAACAATTCGATCCTCCGACGTTGACACAATCAGGCTCCAACATTTCTTGCATGGACTACGCGGAGTAGATCGTGCGACGTGTACGGAGTACCTGTAAAACAGCCTTGATAACGGAGTTCGACAGGCACAAGCCTAAGTCCGAATATCAGACAAAATCCAGTTTTGATGTATCCGCTACATTCTTAGTTGAGCGGCTAAGTACACTTCATATCACTAATACAGAATGAAAAGTCCCTAAAATTGTATAGACTTCAATTGACGTCAGGTCAGCCCTAACATGGCCCTAAGGACGTATCGAGATCTTCAATGACCATATGCATATACGTATAAAACACTCCTGGGTCAATGATACGATAAATTGCTGATCGATATAATTATCGCTTGCTTACACCAACAGTAGGAAAAGGCAGTACCTTAAAGCTTCCCTCCTGATTGGCTGTTATGCAACCCTAACCCAGGGTTCGGGTATCAGGAGGCAAGGGAGGGACAATTACTTTCCCAGTACGTCTCGATTGATTTTGTCTAGGTTCGATATTGAACTGGAAATACCTAGCCAGTAAGGAGCTAGTTTCAGGGCTTATGGACTGAGGGCCATTGATGTACTAAACGAGAGAGCAAAGGATTTCTCAAGTCTGTTTTCGAATTAGGATGCACTAAGGAGTGCCTAGGTAAGTACTAAGTAGTAGTAGGAGTGATAACAATGTAATGCAGCAAGTGGTGGTACAAGGTGGCAAGAAGAAGCGAAGCATAGCATCAACAAAGACAATAACCAGAACAAAGGAAAAATCAAATTGCCAGCCCAACCTATATCTCCAATTCCACGATGCAACAATAGAAGGGAAAACGGCACCAACGAAACGCATTGATGCGATAGAAACACAGCAACAGATATGGCAAAAAAGAGGAAACATGCCAGACTCCAATATGGAAAGGTCTGACCCTTTTTTTTTTCTTTCACGCGATAACTGTACAAGAGTGTGCTGCGAAGCGTGAGCAGGGCCTGTATCCGGATGGCCCTGCATGCTAGTATAAGAATAAAATTAGGAAAATAATATCACTCCTCCTCAAGGGTATATAGCCTGCATCCTGCTGAATCACTCAATGATCCCCCCGTTCAACCAACTCAACTCACTATTTCATTCACTCCTCCCAAGACTCAGCGTCCATGTCGTTATCCATCGGAATGGGATCATCTAACTTCGACCCGTAGATTGGACGTCCGTCAGGTGTCAATTGGCCACGGAACTCCGGATCGTAGTCGGGACTAGTTTCGTCAAGCGTGGCGACATATCGATTACGTCCGCCGCGCTTGCTATGAGTCTTGGTGTAATGAGCGTTGAGGTTGTCACTGCGGGAAAAGGCTCGGTTGCAGCCCGGAACCCAACAAACATGAGGCTTTTCCTTGGAATGGCTCTTCATATGTCGCTTAAGATGTTCCTGTCTCTTGAAGCGGCCCTTGCATCCAGGCTCCTTGCATCGGAATTGTACTTGCTTAATGATTGAAGGAAGGTGCTCTAATTTTAGACTCTGCTTCGACAGTGACTTCTTGAGTGTTTTCTTGGGGAGTTGTCGCTGGGGCTGGCGATGTCGTAGACTCTCCCTCAAGCCTGGCGAGATCCATTCTTCATCCGTATGGTCACTGGGACCACCTGAAAGCCGGGTCATGGGAGTATCTGCTCCTGAGCCCATGGAGCACGATCGAACAGGTGTTACGGGGGTATGTGTCCGTAGTGTATTAGCAGAGCCTGGAAAACCTGCGTATGAAGATGGAGGAGTCATCGGCTGTGGGAAAGCCTGAGCTGGTGTTATAGTCTGTGGCTGCATCATATCCGCAGAGGGCATCCACTGAGCCATGTTGGTCATTGACATCGAGTTTGGTAGACGATCATTTTGTTGAAAGATCGGACGAGATAGACATGGGTTGGATGCCGATTCCGGTAGATAGATAGCTTGGTTGTGCCGGTAATAGTTCCGGGTCATTTGAGGATATGGCTGCACCATTTGAGGTGGGCAGGGGAAGTTGGTTGCTTGATCAAAGGACTTGGACATATCCTGCGGAACCCAAAACTGCTCAACGTTATCGGTGTATCCCGAAATATAATCAAACAGGGGGATTCGTTCGTATGCGTCGACGTTGTCGTACTGTGACGTGACTCCATCTCCAGCTGTTATATCAGCCAGACGAAAACTGCTTCTCAATGGAGTTGAATTCCTAGGAGCCTCTAATCCATGAGAGTACCCATGACGTTCATGCCAGCCGGGCGAGGCCAATGAGCCTTGACTATAGAGCGAGGTAGGAGTCGGTGTGGGTGAGTCCATCGGTGAGAAGCTTGAGCATGTACTGGTACCCAACGGCGGGCATTCGACATCGATGGTGAGTCGATCAGCCATATTGTATTCTGACCGCATGTCTTCACTGTCCGGTGTTGGATAATCAAAGCTTTCAAGGGCGGTGTCGATTTCGATATCTGTTGCTACAAGGATATAAGTATCACAGTTGTATACCCCTCGTGAAGGTTGAATGAAGGATGGACGACAGGGAAGAGATAAAAGAGAGACGATTGCTAGACAAATTGATTCTTGCTCGTGCTAAAGGAATGAATGAACGTGGGTGGGAGTAAAAGAAAAAGTAAAGACCAGGGATATTAAAGAATGTCGAGTGTGGTAAAAAATAAAGATTTTCAAGAACGAGGGTGGCAGCGAGATCAAATATGAGATTCTTCGCAATGGTGTGCCACCAAGCTCAGAGAGGACGATAACACTTACCCGGAATCGCCATGGCTTCGTGGGATTGAATAAGTATGAGAGCGCGACGCGTGCCTGTGATGCAGATGCAAGGTCTGGAATGTGGATTATGGGTTCCTTGGTTACCAGCACCGCGAACTTGACCGCTCTCAGTTCGCGAATGGACACCTGAAAAACCGGTTCACCCCTCCAAAGGGCTGGGGTTTCACTCACGAGGGAATCGAGTTGGTTGAAGACGAGAAGTAGGAGGTCGAAAAGGCTCGTGTAAGTCTATTCCGCTGTGTGTAAGACTCTCCCTTCAACGCGCACACCAGATTGGGATGAGGAGTTTGGTTGCTATATTAACCAGGAGCCTCAGCAAGGGGAGGGCCAAATATAAGTCTCTGAAGCTCGAAAAGAGGAATCTTATCTTTTTGCACAGTCGAGTATAGGAGGGTGGATTTGGTTTATAGCTTTTTGGGGCCTTTCGATAATTTTGGCGGTTTTGCCTTGCAGCCAGTGCGATTCACAGCCAAGCACTGCCTGAATTTAGGATTTCATAGCAGCGTCTCATACTCTTTTAGACAAGTTCAAGAGATTGCTTGGTAAGTGGAGCGATGTCAATGCCGGCAATCACTAGGCCGTTAACATAGGTGCGCTGCGAGTGTCCCAACTTGGACGTACGACTCAAATAGATCAGTTCCTATTGGGAGGAGATGATTTTCGCCTCAAGAATGGGGAGAAAATGGAATGCTCCAGGTCAAGTTTGAACATCAGGTTGCGGCTCGCCCACTGATAACCCAGTAACTTGGAGCCATCAGGGACCAGTCCAGTTAAGGCAGTTCATTAGTCCAAAGTCACATAATGGACAATTTCGGACAATTCCTCGGTCAGAGCTTGCCTAATCTTGTTGTGTGTGCTACTTCAATAGCATCTGACAGTATAGACGCCTATCCTAGTGTCCCGGATCGACGTCTGGGACCTGCGTTTGGATCACTTGAGCAGGGGTCAAGTTGATCAATCAACCCATCGCTATCGACGCTGAGATGTGGGAACCGATATCAAGTTCTAGGGACCCGCCACAAGTACAATCTAAGCCTTAAGCAGGAACTTAAAAGCGCCACTTATATTATGATCTATATTCGCTGACTTCTGGCGGGCTTTTCCAGGTAATGTTGATTTAGGAGTCAATAATACTTTGGTTAAGCCGTAGAGCCATTTTTTGACTGCAGCTAGAACATCGTAGTGCCATGGTAGGCAGCCACCATCCCTAATTAGCCTCGAAGTATTCGCATAGTGATGTATATGAATCACTTTTCAGTGTACATATCAACAGTCAGAGACAGTTTGTAGTCTCTAGACCATCGAGTCAGGGCTAGGCAAGTGGGCCCACTAGTTGAGGAATGGACTGAGAGCGATCTTGCTGAAGTAATTGTATCGTGCATTTCTTTCCAGTTCAAGTCACGAAGCGAGTTGATAGCGTAGAAGTTGAAAGTGTGGATCGCAGATGAATGTACGCACTTATGAACATACTAGATAAGTTAGCATATTCACGGCAATCTGATCTACGCACGGCCGATGACCTTGCGTGAAAAACTGGTACGTAGTAGCCATCTTACTGAAGTAGCTTTAACCATTCCATTTTGCGTAGCTCTCTCAGTTGCCCAAAAGAGGAATCTTTAGTCAGGATTTGAGTTTGCTTTGAGCCATCATGGAGACTTCTGGCCCGCAAATATATAGACCCCGCCTTTCTATTTGATGTGTGTTTTCCTTGGCTTCCTCTAGCTTATATCCATCAAAAATGTTATCCGTGTAAAGAAGCCGATAGATCCCATGTATGGGGGGGTTGGCCAGTACTGGTTTCCGGAGAAGCTGGAGTGTTTTTTTTTTCGGAGTCCAGGCGAGTACAACGAGTCCTATCTCAACCATGGCATTGCTTCTGGTGCAACGGAGCGGACGCAGAGTGACGCAGAAGATTAGGATAGGTAACAGAAAGAGTGCATCTTCATCCTGGATGGAATGTGAGTTTTTGTGGGGGAGCGGGAAGGTTAGTCTCCGTATAGACCAATACGGACTGCGTATCGGAATTACACGCAGCTTAGTGCGTTATCGGGGTTTTATTACTAATTAAGCGGATGACGATGTAATGGCAATTACCGTAAATTTACGGCGGTTTACTTTCCGTCTTGTAAACATTCTCTTCTCGTCACATTCTCTCCTTTGCCTGCATACAACAAACAAGCTTACTCCAAGCCCTCGACTTCTAGCCAGTGCACAGCCTATAGAATCGACCGGCATGTTGTCTTCTTTGCAAGCCGATGCTTGTATGATTTATCCCGCCATGAACGAACGTACTACGGTAGTCCCACTACATGCACGTCTCCATGTTGTACATATCACAACCGCCCTCCATTCGTCCGTCCACCGTACGTACATACATACATGTTGTGGAATGTGGCGCAAAAAGCAATTTTCCAGCGGCCTCGAGACAGTTCTGTAGAACCGTCAGAGCTGTTGCACCGCCATATCAGTCTCGAACATTAGACTCGACCCAACGGCTGCTGCGGACCAGCATGGATACTACGTGCGTTTTGTTGTACTTAGCCGCAGCTCGCCCAGGATCATGGGACTGGTAACAATTTGAGTCATTTGATAAATGCGTACTCATCATCTACTAGCGATTGACTGTGGTGCTTATTGTCTCCACGGCCATGGCATGATGGATAGCACTGCTAACTTTTTTCGAATACAGTGACTTACCCTCATAGTAGCTATTTGCTAGCCGTAGAGCTATTTTCGACTACCATTTGTTAGTGGCATCTATACTGATGATAGATACGGTTTTATGTCTCGGCTTTGTCAGTGGCTGTAATTATATTTGACCCTCTAATTACGATATCTTTCATTGGGTACGGCCATTTTCCTGCGGCCGTGCCCGGAGGATTCATTCAGCTGGGTGGAACCCTAACTTAACTGGCAATTCGAGCCAACGGCTTCTCGACGGTTATTTCTTGTGTTACTTTCGTTTTCTGATCTATCAACTGCATGTCTGATATTTGGGTACGCCAACAACGCAAGAATGCAAGGCAACAGATTCCTCAATGGGGGTCTATAATTGGATGTGGTATTAATATTCAAATATCCCAACTTTGCCAAGTAGGTATTAGGTCCATCGGTCTTTGTCCGAGCCTTGGACGTTGCCTGTTGCTTCTCTATTGCAATTGCAAAAGCTCGGTGTCCACTGGCCACTGTCATCTCAACAATCCCCATCGCTAGAATTGTGGCTAACACGAATCTGGCTCGTATAACAAATGCCCTACCCACTGACCAATGCTAAATAGAGGATAGGTATCTCGCGGAAAAGGAGATGGGCTTCCGTTGCTACTATTCGAGTGGAACTTAGGATACCTGCGTCGTCGTAATATCAGCATAATACGTCTCAATTATCATATTGATATGGATCATGCGTCATGAAGCATTTTCTATACCGTTAGAGGATAACTATCTGTTGAGGATATCGTTTTATGATCATTATCGTCCATCTTTATGAGGGATGGTCAGGAACGGTTGCCCCGAATTTATTTTGTCTCGTCGTCTCGATGACTTGGTTCCTCATTCGTCTTTGGCGATGGTCTCGACCTCGGTAGCAGAGTTAAACCATTTATGACGAGGACTTGCCACAACGGTTAACGAAGATTATCAATGCCTCCATTTCACCACACATTTTAACAGATATCACGGTCAGTTTTCACTTACGGGCCATACTATCCGACCAAAACTTTCCAGACGGGACGACTACCAATGGGTGTCCCGAATGGGGGCTGTCTGAGACTCTGCAACTCTGCATTACGCTACTTCCTAGTTGGTTATTCGCCACTACTTGGTCCGTGTCCAAGTTTATCTAGGCGATGCATATCATATGCATATGCAAGTCTAGTATACAACTGTGTTACTGCTCTATTGTGTTACGTACGCACTAGACCGATATAGTTGGTGCAAATACTAACAACGTTCAGGACCCCCTCGATGCGGATTTGAATCCCTAGCTAACGGGAGGGCAATCTTTGAGTGCATCTTCGCTAGAGTAATGGCGAGAGAGTCTACTCAAAGTCTTTTATAGGCAATCGTGGCCTAGTAGGACACATCTTGTTCACTTCAAAGCTGTTGAGGGTTGAACTCGGATCCGCATGGCAAAAGCGATCGATGCGTGGCGCTTAAATAGTTAGCATTTCACCTGAAGCTGGCTTGATGCTAGTCCAAGCTAGCATCGCCAAGTATGATTGCGTTTAACCTCTCATGGTTGGTGTGCTTGTCATACTGAATCAGCGCGAATGTGCTTCTTTACCCGCCCACTTGGAACACTAATGTTAAAAATAGCAGGCAAAACTATAATTCTGGGACCAGTAACAGTCCGAAAGAAAATATTCTCAATCATTTGCTCGCGAGTGCAAAGTGATAAATCATCTTCAAGAGAAGCTGGAGTTCTGTGCTGATTGATCATGTCTATTAGTCGTATTCAGATGAAGAAAGGCTACTACAACCTTCTCCACGTCTTTTGGTTCTAGAGTCTACAGATATTTTCTGTCTCGCCAAGTGCTCAAACAGACACCAATATTGAATTTCAGATGACAAGACTACCCACTCAAAGCATTACTTTGACTATACCCCGCAGAAAATCGTGATCAAGTCTGTTAAACAAGCCATTTCGATCATTTCTGGTTCTTGTTCATTGATGATCAGAATAAATAATCCGCAGCAAGGGATGGCTTATCGCCCCTACCAAACAGTTTTGCCGTCTGAGTTTATGAGCGTCACTGCATTCCGCCAAGAGAATACTCCCCATCAAGCCATTGAGAGCTTGTGAATGGTTTTGCAAGGCGACTAACAGGTGTTCGCGTCTGATCGAACTGGGAGTCGATCTCGACACTCCTGTATGTGTCCCCAGCTGCGCCAAGAAGACGTTTCGAGGGTATATTGGTAAGTATGTCTGTGCTCGATGCTCAAAAGGAGATGTCGATGATATCATTCCAAGGTACAAAACGATACTACCGTGGTTGCACGAATGTCTAGAGGGTCTTGGTATTGGGATAATCTTAAATATCATCTCTGATGGCCTTGTGGTGCTACAATATAGCTGTGAGGGTGTTGAACTCCCCTTGCCCTGGCTTGTCAAGTCGCGCAAGACGTGATACTCCAAATCCCAGACTAAAGATCCGATCAGTCATGATCATACCATTTGTGTCATCAACTTGCCTTCCATCCATCCGAACGTAACCGAACGCTGGCTTCCACACAGATGATCATATAAGCCACACTATATTTTGCCTTTTCAATAGTAGCTTATGATCATATCCGGATCCAAAATTTCTCGGAGATTTCGTTCAATGATACCCTTGAGGCGGAACAGGAACTTCTTCAACTCTGTGAATCAATAGTACATTCCTACTCTCACGAGAACACTCGCCACTGACAACAAACAAGGTCATGATGGACTATTGGAACTCCAACAACTTCTTTTCACGTATTCTAGAGACTTAGATGAAACTCTGTCTAAAAGTATAAGGACATCTGACAGCTGAACAAGACACTAGACCAGACGACTTGGAAAAGTAAACACATATTTAGAGATTGAAGGTCAAAGATCGAATTATCACTTGCAGATCTGTTGATCTGTGGCGATTCTCACTGGGGATGAATCTGGACTTGGCCCAGAGTGTGAAACTCATGAGTCATGCTTGATTCAGTGCTGACTATGCCTAGCCAATAAAGTAGTAAACAGTCCTGAGTTTATTTATTTATTTATTTTGAATAAGTACGCAAATTACATACTCTGCACTTAGGAAAACTTTTCCACTGAATCCCATATCTGTGGAAGATATTTCCCTCTTTAGCTACCATCAATATTTGATTCACCCTGTCTGTAACACATCCTGCTATTATATACAGATATTATGCACGCAAGGTTAGTTGAAACCTGAACACAGACTAAAAGACGTCCCCACCATCCAACAGTCCAGCCATGCACCTAGAACAGATCAGGAAGCTCAAAGCTTGACATTTCAATTCGGTCTGCCCAGGTTTATCTGCATACGTACTTCATTTGCATATTCAAGCATCGGTATGTCTGATCTCTGTATATCTTTTGAAAAGGTTACATTGATATATTGGGTTCTGAAATTCGTACCTAACTACATACTTCTTAATAATACTACATACCAAATATAGCTCCACTTCTGGGCTTTTGGGGCATATGTTTGAAAATGAGGTTCTTTCTTAATCAAGTTTCATACATTAGTGCATTCACAAACTACAAACTAAACCTCAGCCACTAAGCAAACAGAAACCTAGCTGCAACATTGGCTTTTCAGCTGAAGTTCCCCTGTGAAGACCGCTTGAGTCAAATTTTGGGGGAGACACCCCTTGCATCTTAATATAGAGCATGGAGTACGTAGCTGGAAAGGACTGAGATAAATGGAGATATTAAAGCTAGACTTAATAACTTCAAAAATTGAAGTTTTTCTGATTCAACTATTGAGGAACTATATTCTGTGGCTCGTTGATTATGTGGTGAGCTGAATGTGCATGTGGTCCCAAATAAGGGGAGATAGATTGATACACTATACAACTAGAGGACATGTCATGGGGTCTGACTAACAAGATGAAGCCTTCAATGTTGAAAATTTTCTTTTTGTAATCATCCCAACATCAGAACCGGACAATGGATTGGGGTGTAGTTCTTTATTCCTCTTCTAGCATTATGTGTCTTTCTGTGCCAAGGTTGATATCCTTTTGCATGGACATGTAGATGACTCAATCAAATGAACATCTTTGGATAGAGATATTATGTGTTCATTAAGTACCTATATGGTCCATGCATACTACAAATCTATATGATTCTTCTACTTGCTGTTCCCAAATGCATTCTTGTATACTAGTTAAACTTCCAGGGTTTTAAATCTAGGTATACCTGGGCAGAGACTTTACTCTCAAGCAAGGATTTGTGAAATTTAAGATTGCTTTCAAAGAACGGAGATCAATATGTTTGGATATATATTTAGGACCTCTAGAGTCCCTGACAGCTTTACGAATATCCAACTTCTTCAATGTTGCTATGCACCGCCATTTTTTGATTTAAAAGATACGGACCTAGTCAGATACCTAGGTATATTTTTGCAGAAGTACCAAGAAAGGAACAATGCAAATAAAGTCTTATGTTGAGGTTCTACTGCCCTAATCGCCATACTTAGCTAATATTCGATGCCCCCGGACCCAGAAGGGACGAGTCCTTCTGCTATAATACTGAGATGGACACCCTATGGAATACTGTAGCATGAATATGCACATCGAAGACAAAGAAAGTTTGATATATCAAGAAATGCAGAATTTGTCGTAAAAGCTGACCAATATATGACTATTCGGATACCAATACGCATTGAAGCTAAAAGATATTACTCAGATATTCGTTCCCATGAAGAACAACATGCTATCAATAGTAACCATATGAGGATGTCTCTATAAACCAAGAGTTACTAAATATTATTCTCTAACCTTGACCGGATTGTGATCTCGTCCCAAGTTTCTACAACGTTTCTCCTTTCCCTCCATTTCTCGTTCAGGGGCTCTTGACATTTCTCTTGTTGATCGCAATAGCGGCGTTATTTCTGGATCAACATCTGCTACACAATCGATGAATAGTAATAGGGGCTCAGCTCCATTTCCGAAGTTTAGTATAGCACATCAGTGTATGCTGGCGATAGGTACGGAGCAGGATTCAGCAGCGTATCTAGTGCCTCGATAAGTGATAATCAGACATGATGCTCAAGAAACAAAACCCGAGAAATTCTAATCTGCGCTATATTGGAATCACTTACTTGGTTAGAAGTTCATCAATGTACGTGTACTCATGTGTGGTCCCTGAACAGGATTAGGGTTGGCCTAAAATGTGATGCATGTCATTCAACAGGGATGACAAAACACACTACTATCTCAACAAACCTGAAACTATATGAAAAAAGCCTTTGGCTCTAACAGCCAGTGTGAGTTGGTCTTTCCAATCTACAACAGATCCAATGTCCATTGTTTCGCCCCGGATCAGCATCTGGACCCCCTGAACTATCCATGCCAATATAACTTTAAACGTCGTCCTGACCAAGTCCTCGATTCCATTATTGGAACTCAATGATTTGAGTTGATGATCTCCACAGTATTACGTACCAGAGTACACTGTGTAGATCCGACATGGCATTTGGGTATTGTGTGATTTCTCTCATAAGATCTGCTCTGACTTGGTGTTGGTGGAGAAATCACAGTGACCCTATCTGAAAAAAACCGAGATGGACTCAAGATAGTCAACAATAACATCATTGAACCAGGCTAGTGTATGCCTTATGGTGCCCATCCAGGTGTCGGCCAGGATAGCTCCTTGTTGTTTCCACTGCCTGTGATATGTGCGATAGATCTACCTATGCTGGGCCTCTCAGATATAGTTATATTGGCAGTTCGTGATTACGCTGGAAATATATTTATAGTCTTAATGTACCCATTGTGACCAACGTGTCAATTGAATTGAAAGACTCGTTATGTTCGTTGAATAGTCCATTTATATCATATCATAATCTGCTTATGATATATCATATTCATGGACCTAGGGAAATCCTTTCCAGCCTATCTGATAAGATCTTCGAGAAAGATTGCCCATAGTGCATGTCACCCCACACAAATACCCTGGCTAGGGCTATGCATGATAATATCTAGGATACCTAGCTAAGACGTGTTCGGCCAGATCATAGCTGTTCTCATTGCCTCTATCACGTTAGGAAAGACTGACCCTTTTTCGTCCATTTGGAATGTATTGTGACTGCGATAGTCAATATAGAAAGACGTGATATGGACCAAGGAGGCGAGCCAGTCTCTTGGAGCTTCTTTCTAGGGAAGTAATCAAGCCCTAAGTATAAGTCTACCTAGAAAGCTTTGAACGCTATTCGGCTCATAGATATCATCCGGAATAAGCATTCTCGTCGTTCTCTGACCGAATATTTTGCCTATTATGGTCGAATGCACCCCTTTCACGCAGACATCTCTTTTCAACCAACTTCCTTTAAGTAATGAAGAGCTTCCAAAAAGATTTCCGGATATGTATCTTCAGTATGGTGGCAAAGTAGAAAGATGCATCTACACCCTTTTGCCCATAGCTTCTTTGAGTGTCTCTTGATTAATGCCATTTATGTTGTTCTCTGGATACATTGGAAATCATTCAAACGGCCAGTAACGCTTGTACTCGGCCCTTTTCTTGTCATTGTCAGCCAATTGCTCCAAAATCTGAGCTTTGACTTCGCGAAGAGCAGCTTTGCAATCATCGTAATGTTCATGCTCGATGAAGCCTTTGTCTGGCCACAGATCTCCCATAGTCTCCTTGGCTTCCACAACAGGCTCGGTCCCTGCAACCGCATCATCGCTATCCTGCTTAATACGCTCGTCTTCGGAATTCTATTACTCGATATAGGTCTGGATTTTTTTGCATGCACGAGTTTCCGCCATCCTATGAAAAAGTTCTGGTTAGTATATTCGTGTTCAGCAGCCGATCGTTCTTCTGCGGAAAGCTCGGATGAGGTTTCGGTCGTGGTGCCCAAGTCGAGCGTCTTGGGCTCAAGGCCATCCCACTCGAGGCAGGCTGGATCCAGATTGTGGTTGAAAAGGCGCGAGGTGTAGCAAGACTGCCAGTCGATAATACCCGTAATCTTTGCGGGATTATGCGGATCAACGGAGACATTGTCATCGTGCAAGTCATCATGCTAGGGGCGGGGCCAGTGATGGGAGTGTCCTCTGATATAAGGGCATCGACGATCTGTCGATATGATGTTAGAGCAGTCAATTTCTTTTTGCTCTTTGGTTGGCAGAGCTTTGGCCCACAAAACAAGGTAATCTGTTTTGGAGGTTTCAAAGACTAAATTTCCTTCTTTTCTCGCATTCCGACTGCTTGTAGGTACTGTGTTAGAGAAACACCTGTTAGGCTGCACAAAAATAACAAGAACTGTGACATACATGGCCCTTTCTCAATGTCCAAAAGTGATCGACTTGCACCAAACCAATCTCTCTCTGTAGTCGGGCCGATAGCAAACGTTGAATCACTGATGGTCTTTCCGTCCCTGGCATAGTGATTGCCTGTTAGTGGCTTTACGTCAGTTGCATAGAAGAAGCTGCCGTAATGCGAGAAGGAAACATTCATCCATTGTTTTTGGAGACGGGTCATAGCAAGAAGCACCTGAAGTTTCTGGAGCATTTTTAAGGTGTTCCAGATTTGGGACAGCGGAAGACCCTCAACCTTGTCCATAATAATAAATTCAGCCTCAACAGGGTGTGACTTTGCTTGCGAGTTCCAGGAGTATACTCGAGGCGCCGGTGTCTCAAGAAATCCTTCTGACCTCCCAAATCAGTAGTATTAGCAAGATTCGCTGTGGTTGCAGTTCAAGATTTACATACAAAATTCTTCATAGAAGTTCCAGTCTGATACGGGTGAGTAATATGTTAAACGCGTGCTCAGAGGGGTGTATTTACCTATCCCAGAAGAGATCATGCTAAGGGAATTGTGAATGTAGCAAAATGTTGAAGCTGTTGAGATCGAGCAGCATTGCTACTTCGGGCCAGGTACTGTACTTCCAACGTAACTCCAAAGACGTGCGAAGGGTCGGTATATATTCCAGAGTGGTAATACCTTCGAGAAAATCATGTAGTATTCGATCGCACGAATATCAAGTTATTGAGAGAATCAAGGATGAAAATTAAGACGAATTCTGGGAAGGCTTCGCAAACCGACGAATTATTATCATTCAGATGCTCATTGCTTGCTCCAATTGGGGCTATCGTGAGCAATTACATAGTCGCTGGTTTATATCTTCATAATCTGCTGAATGCACCGCTTTACGCGACAGAAATCCTCATCGTCAATACCAGAAAATCTAATCATCATCCCATGGCTCTTCCTCATCCGTAGATACCTCTCTTGCTTAATAACCGGTGATTCGTATTCTTCACCGGGACTCTCGAGAAAGTAAGTAACTTGAAACCGTCCTTCCGCTTCTAGCTCATTATAACGAGACTCGCCCTTCTGAAGCCACGTCCAATCTTTCTTCATAGCCGCCAGGCCAGTAGGTTCAGAAGCTGTATCATTAGTCAATGGAAACGAGGAGATGAGACTTTGAAGACTGTGCTTGATATCTGGAATTGACCCAAAGAAGATTATACCGCGGGTTGACAATACTATGTCGTCAGACTCTGAGGATGAAGACTTCGCGAGAGCCTGGAATATGTGTCAGTCTTGAAGATGATCCTACACAATTGTATGGAATGACAAACCGCTTTCAGTAAAATTACTCCAAAGCTATGCGCCAGGAATATGATAGGCCTCTGTCTAGCCTACAGTATCGAGTCAGAAGGTCCAACACAGGAAACCAAGAGTGAAGGCAGGGTAGAGACAATTTCCGAATCAAGCCTTATTTCCGAAAGCTTTCTCAACAATTCCAGACATATTTCTTCAGCCGGCACAAATTTCGATTTCGATGCCGTGTATCCGAAAGAGAGAATTCTCGAGTCGGGAATGATACTAGGGAGCAAATCTCGGAGCCAGAAGACTTGATTATGAGGATGTATCCATGAATTTTCATAATGACCACCGTCACCATGGATGGCTACAATACTTGAGATACTATTAGAAAATTTAGAGATGAGAAGGCAAGGGCTTTCATACTCAACGTTACAGCTTGTCCCTTCGTAGATTATCTTTAGACCAGTTTCCGCCGCGTTGCGAATATGCCGCGAATCGGTATGACTCTTTTGGTCACGCACTTGCCTGTGTATGACTTTTTTGATAAAGCAACGCATATTTTCGTGATGATAATTAGAGTATATGCTTGATTATGTTCAAAATACACCTCTCTGTGAGGTGTCTTAATTGACGTCCAAAGTACCTAGGTAGGTGAAGGAAGATTCATCCTTCGGAAGAACTAGCGATAAATCAGGTCAGGGGTAAACTAGGGCCATTGCTCACTGTTTGAAGGGTTAGGGTTGGGGCTAAACTACTTCACAAATGATTATAGGAAATGAGTTTTCACGTCCATCTCTGTCTCCATTCAAGCGTGTTCAATTAATAATATGTGTGTGGGATGCCTGTATAAATTCTCACAAGATGAGAGGGGCTGAGCGAGCCCAATTGCAGAGAATGCAGCAGCATCAAAAATAGTCAGCCATGCACAGCCTGCGCATCTCTGCTTAAAACAACACTATAAATCCGTCAAGATATATTGCTTGCAGCCGGATCTCTGTCCTGCCGGAGTGCAAATTCCCGAATTACTTTAATATGATATTTGGCTTGCTTCGTACAACCAATTCACCCATTCGACTTTGCATTCGCACTGCTCCCAGCTTCATTGCTGAACCTTCCTCGAAGATGTCATTGGGTTCTCACCCAGTAATGTTGCCAGGTTATTGGAGCTCGTAATCGACACGTATAGTAGTTTGAAGAAGGCATGTCGCAAGCATACTAGTTTCACGTGTGATCTAGCCGAGCTCCAAATGCTGCAGGAGCGAATGGAGCAGGAGGCGGTCACCCTGGACTCTCTCCTTTCACGCAATAATAGCGATATAAAAGGGTGGAAGAGCTTGTATAGAAACTGCTAAGACACAGCTAAGGATTTGAAAAGGATATTGGACAGATACGAGATCCTGGGCGACAAAAGACAAGATAATTGGGATAGAATACGATTTGGTAACAAAAACTTGGATGACTTACGTGAAAAACTATCCCAGAGAAAAACAAGCTTATCTGCCTTCATATCTATTCTAGGCTTAAGCTCCCAAGCCCGGATGGAGAAGAAGCTCTGCGAGTCGGTTCAGAAGGTGGACCAAATCACAGAACTAAAGAGGAAATGGAACTTGTCAGTCAGCACTGCTTTGACGACTCATTCTGACAGTGACGATGATATTTGGAAGGAGTACAAAGAAGATATGCATCGTTTTGGTGTCCCCAAAAATGACATTCAAACGTTCTCAAGTGCCTTGAGGGCCTACATTATCAGCCTCCATCGAAAGGGGTTGTTGGACGAGGTCGAGCCTTCTGAGAGAAACATTGATAGACAATCAGGCCCTTATTCCGTTCTTGCTTTATAATATTGCTGAAACTTGCCTTGACTGCTATGGTGAATCTGTTCAAATGTTGGAGTCCGCATATAGGTTCTCAAAAAACGATCTGCAATATCCAACACGAGGAACGAAGCAGGTATGTCAGGAAATGCGGAGATAGTGTCAGATACTTGAACAGAGCATAAAAACCGAAAGAAATTACCCGTGCCAACCCGCGCCAACCCCATCCTGGTGTTGGTGCTCACCGGTTAAAACGCCATATTTTTTAAAACAACATTTTAACCCATATCGCCAACAAGATGCCAAAAAGCACCCCCAAAAAAGATCCGGAAACGTACAAAAAAGAGGAAATTGCAATAAAGAATGCCTACCAATCATATCTTCAAAATCAAAATCAAAAAATTAGCGCGTTGGCGCGAGAATTTAACGCGCCTTATCGCCGCTTAGTTGCTCGGATTCATGGTAAAAAGTCGTACCATGATCGCTTCGCAACGAATTCGTTATTATCGGAAGCCGAAGAACGCGCAGTAAAAGCATGGATTGAGCAGCTGGATACCATAGGCACACCTCCTACAAATAGAATGATTACAGGATGCGCGAATGCCATTCTTGCGCGAGCAAATCCGCATCTCGACCCCCCGCCCACGGTTGGCCCAAACTGGGTGTACGGCTTTCTGAAGCGATTACCGGATGACTACGAACGAGTTGAACAAAAACCAATTGACCCTAAGCGGCTTAGTGCTCAAGATCTTGGTGTCCTACAGACCTGGTTTGACCGTCTTAAAATTCAACTCGATACTAAGAAGATTACACCGTCAAATATTTGGAATTTTGACGAGACCGGGTTCCGTGTTGGACAAGGAAAAGGGGAGACAGTTGTTACACGATTTGGTCAATCTCGTACGAGAATTGCAAGCGCATCTTCACGAGAATCTCTAACGCTTATTGAGTGCGTAAGCGCCAGTGGAAAAGTGATTCCTCCACTCATTATTCTTGCGGCAAAAAATCACCTAGAGGAATGGTATCAACACCTTAAAGATGAGGATTATTTGATTGCATATTCCAAAGCAGGATACTCCAATAGCGAGCTCATCTTTGAATGGATTCATCATTTTGCAATTACAACCAAGAAATACGCCGGAAACAGTTGGCGAATGCTTTTTATGGACAATTTTGAGGCTCATATTACGTACGACTTATATGAGTATTGTATAAGCAAAAAAATCCTTGTTTATACATTTCCGCCAAATACAACTCATATTCTGCAACCATTGGACGGTGTGCCTTTTCAAAACTATAAGCATTTCCATGGTGTTGAGGTCAACAATCAAGCACGCGCTGGAGGCGTGGTTTTTGATAAATATGACTTTTTATACAACTTACCAACTGTTCGCAACCAAACCTTCACCTCCAAGATTATACGCGCCGGATTCCGGGATCGAGGACTTGTTCCGTACAATCCAGAGATTGTATTTGAAAAGATTGGTGCTCAAGAAATTATTGATACTATTCCTATATTACAAATATGGAATGGTGATGAACCAGATATCCCTAGCTCACCAACAACCCAATCTATGTCGCCACCTCTTGATGCGTACAAATTTAGCCGGCATGTGAAAAAGATTGAGAAAGATTTGGATGAGATTAAGGAGAAAATAAAGGATATAACTCCAAATCTTGAGCGCCGCGTTCAACGTATCATGAAGAGCAGTCTTGTTAATGCTCATCTACAAGCGCAAAGCAAGGCTCATATCAATCAACTCCTAGATCTCAATCGGCGCAAGGCAAAGGCCAAATCGCGACGCCAAATATTGAACATAGGGGGTGTTCTTTCCGTACGAGATGCTAATAAGCGAATTGATGCGCGTAAAGCTGAAGAAATCAAAAAAAAAAAGGAGGACGGAGGAGCGCGCTCGGAAACAGCGGATCAGACAGGCAAAAGAAACCGCTTCACAAATTGCTCAATCTAACGATTTGAGCGCTGTTATTGATGCTCAAATTAATGAGGGAGAGCAGCCGGACGAGAATCCTTTTTTTTATCTAGATCCGAATCCTAGTTCAGTGTAAAAATGTCATTTTTGGTGTTTATGGGTAAAAATGTTGTTTTAAAAAATATGGCGTTTTAACCGGTGAGCACCAACACCAGGATGGGGTTGGCGCGGGTTGGCACGGGTACCAGCTAGCAATGAAATATCGAAATGCAAGGAATGCGTCACCGGATGAACAGCAGAATGAGGACAAAATCCCAAAAGATCGAGTCACCAAGGCGGCCCGATCCGCGCATGCTCAAATCAATTAGAAGTTGACAGAAAAGAATGGAGCGCCAACCAAGAATGATAGAGCTCATACGGCCTCCATAAGTACCATTGAACGTTTGGCTGATGGCCCTTCAGCAAAAGGAGATTCCCTCGAGCCAGCATTGAACGAAAGCTTCTACAATATATGGCCGCATCAGAAATTTGAAGCAACATGCGCTCCGGGTACGGCAGCTTCTCTTATGGAGGAGGAGCAAATGCTATTTCGAACATTTCGAAAGCCATGTGCTAAAATGCACGCAGTGTGTTAAACGGATCGTGAGACAGTACCCTCTTTTTCTCATTGCGTAAATAAGGCTCTCAATACGCCATCTTACTCACAGCCAGAATATTTGAGCACGATGGGGCCTTCTATCGCAAATCGCGGCCACCTTATATCAGCATTCAAATGGTGATCCAAAAGCAATATGAACATACTGAAGCATTGCTTAGTGCCCTAACGAAAGGTTAAATTGTTCTTCATGAAACGGCATGTCACAATTGTGGGATAGCCCGTATCGCGATCATTGAGGCTGAGATAAGAAGCATTCCTGGCCCCGGCTCATGTCCTGAGCAAGAAAAAATGCTCGCTGGGACTCCAACATGGTTCTTTCAAACGGCTTATCAAATGATTCAGGCCCAAGTTCTTGAATCAGCAGTTTCGAGTCCCTTCACAAGTTATCCCATCGTCCGTTGTCCGAATTGATCATGAGCTCACACGGTTGGAGAATGAGTGAAGAGCATATCGTCTCGGGTTCTAAGCGTGTTTCTTCCGCCTGCACGCAATTTCGCAGCGATTTGAGACTACTGGTGTAGAGCCTGATTGTCTCAGATGTGCTCACAGATAATTGCTGGCGCTTGTCTCTATATATTGCACATAAACGGGAGACAGCATTATCAAGAGCTGGATTCCTTCCACATCGGGCCGGGATGAACTCATAGAACTCACCGTGCGATCGAAGTGGAAATTTCCTTCGACTGTCAGGATCTGTAAGAAGCTGTACAAAAAGATTACACCGAGATTCTGTCTCCGCCAGTGGAAGACGGGAGATCGAGACGAGAACCGACTAATCTTTCACCACGTACTGCCCCATCACGCCAGCACAGTAGAACGGGCCGAGTTTGCTCTCCATAATCATAGACACTGCACCCGTCCGGAACTGATTTATCCAAAATACCCGATATTGTGCCTCCAACCGCGGTGCTTCACCGACGAAATTCCATCTCCTCGCATAGCCATCACAGTGCCACCCAGCGGACACGCAGTTTTGACATGCCGGTAATTCTTTCCCACATTTGACTTTTCGTTTGCGACAGTTTGCACGTTCTGTATTCTCTGGGGTGGCCACCATTGAGCAGGACTTGGAAGAACGCCGATTAAGCTCCTATGCTGATAGAGCTTATGTTGGCAATCAATTTCGCGACGGAGAATCACTCGATTGTATGTTAGGAGAGTCTCCAGATTCTCAACTTTAAATGATTGTTCCCCGAAACGAGGGCACGAGGACCCGTCACCTTTTTGGAGTTCTGATAGATCTAGGAGCTGAATTATCTAGTCGGCGTTGTCTCTGGAGCGTTAGGTGACCATTTCAGGGCGGTCAAAACCCGGCCCCCTATTGGCGCTACTAATTCCCAGTGTTACTATCATAGGGTTGCGTGGCACTATCATGAAGTGATTCGTCTGCTCTCAAGCTTTTTCATTAGTGGCTTCAACAAGATCCATTGCAAGGTTTCTGATACTTCTATTAACAGGATTGTACGTAACCTCCATTTCCGTATTTATGCTTTTAATCGGACAGCTTGAGGGACAACGAAGCAGATAGACGAGGACATGACTTGGTGAATCGTACTCAACAAAACTAATTAACTATGCATGCATGAAGAAAAAGATATAAACCAGAAAACCCAAAAAGAAAAATAATAAAATTGTGGTATCAATTGTATATCCAATAAGCATAGACACATCCCTTTTTCTTAATCAAGCAGACAGACAAACTTCAAAAACACTTCCCAATCTGAAAGAAAAAAGCCCTATGTAAACAAAAAAGAAGTGAATAGAAGAAAAGAAAAGAAAAAGAGGGGGGTAGAATAGGATAGTACAAACACAAAATATCACTCGCCCCTGATCCGCCCAACCCCAATGGTAATAATGTCACTCTAAGTGAAACATAAACTCCAGAAACCCGAATAGGAAGGAAGATAAAAAGAAATAGTGCTGCCAGTTCCCGATTCTCGTAAAGCATAATCTTGCTCATTTCAAGCCGACCGGGGTAGGAAAAAGCGCGAGAAAAGAAAATAGGTATAAAACTCGAACGCCGTATCCCCAAGAGATTTTGTATGACCTTGATGATGATGATGTACTCCAAATTCACTCGATTTCGCCAAATATTACTGTTTGCCACCCCAATTATGTCTTATGTTAGTTCCTTTTTCATTTACCCATCCCATTAGCCATCATCTGCTGCTGTTGAATAATAGCAGCTTGTTGCCGCTGCTGTGCCTGAAGGTTTTCCCGTCTCATCACTTCCTGAATCCAAGCTCGTGCGGCGTTTTCCAAGCCACTGAAATACTGCTGAGCAATTGGCGGAGGATATTGTTGAGGCGATCCATATTGTGATTGGAACCTCTTCTGCATTTCTTGGCGCGAAGCTTGTAGTCGCTGTTTGAACATTTGTTGATACCGCGCATTTTGAGCGGTTTGTGGAACCTGGCCTTGATTTGCGTTCGCTTGAGCAGCTGCCATGAACATTTGCTGTTGTTGCTGCTGCTGTTGCTGAGGGGTCATTTGCATTCCGCCTTGCTGTTGGTGGTTCTGCTTTTGTTGAGCCATTTGCATCTGTTGCATCTGGTTGCGTATTAACTGAGCTTGATAATACTGCTGCGGCATCTGATGTTGAGGCATTTGGTTCTGTTGGACTTGCTGTTGCTGATTGAGCACTTGTTGTTGATGATGGTTCTGAATGTTTTGCTGCGCTTGTAATTGAGCATATTGCTGCGGCGTGAGACCTTGTTGCGCTAGCATTTGCTGATGTTGTCGTTGCTGAAGCATTAATTGTTGCTGTTGCTGAGGTGTCAGTCCCATTCCAGCTCCCATCTGCGGGGTGCCCATCATGGCATTGCCCATGACTGGTGTCTGCGTAAGAGTAGTAGTTGGCGGGCTGCCATGAGGCATTCGTTGGTTTGGTGTTACATTGCGCATGATTGGTGTAGCATGTGACATAGCTGGAGTGCCCTGAGTCATTTGAGGAGTACCATTTCGACTATGGCTCTGTTGACTTCTGGAAGGCGCCATCGGGTGGCCCATCATGGCCGGATGAGCATGCTGCATTGTGGAAGGCGGCCTTGGCGGACTGCCAGCTCTTGGAGTAGAGGCGGTCATGCTCATTGGAACACCGCCTTGCGTGACAATACCACTGCCAACAACCGGAGAAGAAGTAGCATGCGGGGTCTGGTTCCGTACCACTGGAGAAGACATTTGGCCTTGAGAAACCTGCGCCAATCTTTGTTGTTGCTGAGCAGCCAACTGAGCTTGCGCATGTTGGGCAGCTAGCTGCTGACGGCGTTCTTCTTTCGCAAGTTCTTCTTGTCTTTGCTCCAAAAGTCGTCGTCTTTCTCTCTCCTGTTCTTGCTGTTGTTGCCGCTTGGCTTGTTCTTGTTGAAGCTTCTTCTCATGCTCCCGTTTGGCTTTCTCTTCATGTTGCATACGAATATTCTCAATCGTTTTGAATCTCGAGAAGCGTGGTTCAAATGGCACCGCACCTGCCGTATCGTCAACGGCAATCTTAGCTCCAGCAGCCGCACCTGATGTGGCAGGCTCCAATCTTTCATCCATGATAAGCATGAATCGCTCTTCCTCAGCAGCGAGAGCTTCATCCGCAGCCAGCTCTGCGACTGTTCGCTTCCTTCGCTTAGGTGACGGTGGCCTTGCGCAATGAAGAGGACTCTCCATAAGCCTGAGGAGCTCCTGTGCCGATTCGAAGCTATCCACGGGGTCCAGATATACCGGAGGCGCCACGGCTCTAATCAAGGTAGCTTCGAATTTGGGCAGATCTTCAGGATCAACGAGCATCTTTTGCCTCTTGGTCGGGGGCTGTCCCGAACTCTTATTCTGTGGTTGAGCGGTTGTAGGCTGCTTCTTAGTCGCAGCCGAGTTTGCATTGGCATGAGGATGCGGTGTAGTGGATAAGTAGGTAAGCTCCGCTTGTAGGGAAAGCGGCGTTGGATGTAGTACGGTGGTGAAGACCCTGGGTATATGCTCAGGCTGCTTTCCAGATTCATTAGTAGTACCGGCAGTACCGTTCTCAGTCGCAGGTTTGTTATTAGTAGTAGAATCAGCTGAATCCGGGTCATGTTTCTTTTCAGGAATGTCCGACTTTGACAAGTCATTGACCTCTGACTTGATTTGATTCTGTTTGGGATACGGTACGTAAGGTGACGGCGTGACGTGCTGGTTGTAGTTGTGAATAGAGAAAGGAGTATTCTTCTCGTCAGTGGATGTGGCAGTCGTCTTATTCGTCTTAGCCGAGACCGATTTGTGATCAACAACCTTAACAATAAGACAACCTGAATGTTGTAGTCAAGCGTCAGTAGTATTCGAGCAGTATAAGGCCAGTTATGTGTAATTACCTTCGTAGAACTTGACATTAGCGCGAAGAAGCTCCTCAAGCATATCATGTGGTATAGTCTGTGACCGAATATGTTCAATGATAACTTTCATTTCCGAGTTGTATGGGAAGCTGCCATCTTGCTGGTCGAACCGAAAGTGGGTGGGATGGAGGTGAAGGATCAGGGACGGCGGAGACTTGGAGTATTTCTTGAGTATGTATTGCGATGTTTTCACTGTAGGGCCGAACGATAGCCATTAGCATAAAGAACCTTGGTATATAAAATACCTGAACAAACTTACCAAACGGTTCGGGGGGGATTTTCGTCACTCGACGATCTGCCTCCGCGACCGATGCCCTGGTAGTAGCCCTTTGAGGTCGAGACGTCGAAATATCTCCGGGCTTCTGGTTATCCTTTCGAGGCCGATTGACGGGGCGGTTCAATGCGCCATTTCCCATAGGCGTGGCAATGCCATTGGCAGTCTGCTGATTAGCACCGGGTAGTCGTTTTGAAGCAAGAGCGGGGGACGACGTGGTAGAAGGCGACTGCTTAATCCCGTTGACGACGCTGTTAGACTGCGTAAATGAGGGCGGAGGACGTTTCATTTTCGGAGGCTGAGATGCTGCGGGTTTGGAGATAGCGGTAGCCATGATGAGCGGAGGTGTTGGCCGGAGGTTGGCTCCCAATCCCAAGAAAGGAGAAAAGCGCGCGGCGCGCAACAGGACAACGAGTACTGCTCGCCTCTTCACAAGGTCAAGGCTTCTGTTGTCAAAGAAAGACCCCAAGCTCCAAAAATTGACGCTATCACCGACGCGCGAGACATGTGGGGAACGGGGTGATGATAGGGTGGGTGACGGAGGTGAGGCTCGATCGACCGTTATTCAAAAAGAATGCATCGCCCAATGAGAGTGGAGGAATGAGCACAGCGAGCGAGAGGCTGAGTTGAAGCAGCTATAAGTGCCGTGATGGACGAAAAGACCGACTGGGAGACTCGCCTTGCTTCATCTCGGCAGGTGATGTTCTCTCTTTCTCCATGATGCGAGTGCCACGTTGGTCACGTGCTGCGAAGAACCATGACGGATCAGGTTAGTGCCTGGGGCAGTCATCGGAATCGGATCTCTCCCCGGATTTAATTTTCCCGTTTACAGTAGACAATAGATGTATATTTGAACGTCTCAATTCAAACAAGGTGTACAATCCAACAATTCAATAGCAACGGACGGTGTAAAGACTTGAATAGCGCGATAATATCACCAGCTCATATTCATAATTCCAAGATACAAGATACACTACGTACAAAGAAGATCTGCCATAGAAAAAGCCTCGAAAAAGAAAAGCAAAGATATTGGATATCAATGAAGCACAGAATAACAATAAGGTAGACTCAATGCAGCATCTCATCACTGCATTTCGTCCAGTCTGTCCCACCTCCCATAATCATCAACACATTAGTCATGACCCGAGACTCGTCGTCTCCAATCGTCGCCAGCTTTGAGACTGTCAACGATATCAATGTGTTTTCCGATACCGGTAACACCTTCTTTCTGCCACCACTTCTCACGACGCTCGCCTCCAAGCGCTGAGTGCTCGTCTTCACTATCTATTAAGCCACCCCGACCGCCTTCGTCGCCCACAACAACCACCACGTGTCTAACCCAGTCGGCAAGTTTTTTGACGCTGTCGCCTTCAGGACCAGCCAATGATTCCTGTATATATACAATGTCTGGTGATAAATGGCGCAAGATATGTAGGTGTCCATTAAGCGTGCTGTAAGGCATGATCATGCTCTCCTTGTCCACGAGTGCCTGAGCCTGTGTGTACAGGGTCTTGAAAAGGCGCCCAGCAGATTCAAGCTCATCAGATGCGGAACGAGGTTCGAGGTTCGTGAATTCATTTCCAGAAGCACCAGGAGCATCGGCTGCTTCTTCGGGTGCGATGTTGGAAAATGAAGAGTCCACAGATGGTGTAGGCCGAGTCGACGATTGAAGACCAATAGTATGTTTCAGATTAGGAGCGTAGATGAGAACGAAGACGCGAGCGACATCTGTATCGACGTGTGACGGGAGATGCGAAAGAATAGACTAGACCAGGCGTTAGTTGTAAGGAGAAACTGATGGGGACGTAGCGAATATACCGCATGTTCAGACAAGGTAATATCCTCTGGATCCTCAGATATGGCAACAGATGAGACGACAAGTGCCACAGCCTTCTTCGCCTTTGCGGCAGCAAAGGGAGCACCCCGAGAAGTAACACCGGCTCCACCTCTAGCGCGCAAATCGGCCTCCTCAGACCAACGCGAATGATCTTCGAAATCGCCACGTTCTTCCGTGATAGAGCTCAAAGCACCTCCCACCATAGCGCCCGCAGCTGCCATCCCGGCCGCAACCCTTTTACTCGCACCATCAAAGATCTGCTGTGGACTAGGTGTTCGACGTAATGCGCCTTGCATACGCGCAATGACACTACCATCATCCTGTCGCGCATCTGCTCCCGCTGACCTCGCAATATCCGCACCAGGTGGAACACCACCCTCATAGCCTGGTGGAGGGGGAGGACCGTCAAAATTATCCGGATAATCGCGTCCTTCATCGTCGTCCTTGTTTTCTTGTCTCTCGCTCCAAACCCAAGCAGCTACGCTGATTGTCGCAATACCAACTGTCACTGCTAACGGAATCCAATATCCCATAAATGTTCGTCTACCTGTCGAACTGAAGCCCATTCCGTTCGGCGCACGACGCCGGCGGTCTTGAGGGAAAGACATTGCGAAGACAGAGACCAGCCTCAGCCCTCGAGACGGATCCGTATTTCTTAAACACGAAAGTTACGATGGTTGTTGAGAATGAGACTGGGATGCAAGTATCTCATCTCATCTCAGAGCTAAACGAGCATTAGTCGCAAAATCGCAAAGTTCCGATTGTGACGTGTAGAAACAAAATAGACAATATGCTGGACGTGACCTCGGAAGGAGGGCCAGCCCAAAACATGTGGCTGGAGCTGCTGTTCCGCCGCGGTTCACTGGGCAATGTTGTTGTGGTGTTTGTCTTGTTTGTTTCCAAAAATCCGGTGGCAGGGGATGCTTAGTCATCTATGCCCTAACTTGACTTTTGTACCAGGCACGAACAGTCAGTCGTAAGATACAGATGTAGACAAAAATTAGAGCCTCATATTTTGAGTCGCGTTATAATCCAGGGATTTCCAGTGTAAGAGTCCTGAAAATCTATGACCACCCATATTGTACAACTACTACCGAATTAGCGCGTTGAAGAAGTTTGCCCTAAATATCTCTATTTTCACCCTGGAAATGCTGATCTCCATGAGTATAACTGTCTGTTATATCTTTTGACGTCTATCTCCCTGAGCCAAAGTCCGGCTTATACTCCTTCAGCCCTCCGGACTTCATCAACTCTCTCAGCGCCATCGTCGCATATTGACTCGATCCCAATTGAAACTTCAACACAACAGCTATTTTCTTATCAGTTGAGTCATCAATTGCTTCGGCATTGTCTTCATCCTTCTTCTTTGTATCCAAGCCCTTCAGTCTATCCAAGTCTGTGCTGACAAACTGCTCGTCGTCCTGAAAGTAAGCTTTGACATTATAAGAATAGACCGGACCTGGTCTACTAAGTATCTTGCGGTAGCTACCACTTAGACTGACATCCCTCCATTTGCGACGCATGTCGAATGGATCCAACCCTCCCCCACGCTCACTAGCCATGAAATTCTTGTAGAAATCCGTCAACTGGTTTGCCGGATACACAACATCATAACCCGGAAGAGGAAGTACAACATCGAAGATTGTATACTTCCCGCTAGCAGCTTCTTCAGCTGATAGCGGCCTTGCACGAATGAAAACATCATCAAGTGCATTAGCTCTATCCTGAGCTTGAGCTTCAACAATGACTTCGCCGTCGGCATCGATGACGCCGTCTTGAGCCGCAGTACCCTGCCACCTTTCCTGGTTGGAAATGATCAAATCACCCTCCACAACCTTGTCGCCGTAAAGACGCCAGCGTTCACCGGCGGCAATATTCCAGACGAAAGATTGATAGGCATGCACGTACATCAACCGCAGGTTGCGCGGGATACTCTGCAGTGCGCCGAAATAGTCGTTATTGCCGCGACCAAGGAAACGAATAATACTTGTTTCAGCAGAAAACTTTCTTGGTAATTTTTCAAGCGCATTGTTGACGTTGTTGGTTGTTCGGTAGATATGGATTGCTTCAGCTCGAGCCTTGTCATCTGATGATATCAATGGCCCCTCTTGGTCATTGTCCGTGTTTTGGGCTGCTGAGAGAGTTTGCGGCGAGAAATGCAAAAGAGCATCCACGGCACCCTTAAAGTCACCCCGGAGCATTTTGAGACCAACCTCGTGTGTGCCTATTGCGAAGGTACCAAACCTCTGCATACCATAGTAATTCAAATAACCGCGCTCACGCAAGTTAAACATGGCTTTGCCGACGAGTTCTTTTGCTTCGCTCACAGATACTTTACTCGCCTGGCCCGCACTATCAAGAAATTGACAATCTCGAAGAGTAATGACAAATTCGTTACCCTCAAGATCTCCAAGATCCATTCCATGAGTGTTGTACTCAAAATCGCCCACTGCCGCATTTCTTAGGATCTTGTTGAGCCCAGCAAGACGTTCCGCCACAACCTTGAATACACAAGCTCTCTGCACAGTGACACCTCGACGATCTTTCGTCCCTGCAAATTGGAATCCCTTGGGATGCATTTTCAAATTGCGCGCAAGGAAAGAAATGACTTCCATTGTATCTTTATTCTCCTTGTAAATAGTGAAATGCAGATATTGCCCGCCTCGCTCCTCCCAGCCAGATCGGGCAGGTTTTTGAGTAGGTTCTCCTCGGAACCCTCTAGCAGATTTTTTATGTCTATTTGGCGCAGCACCAATGATCATAACATTTTCTGCATTTGTCCTTGATTCCAAAAGCGAATTGAAAATGCGTCGCAACGTCATATGCATCTTGGTTCGCACATCTTTATCGTCCACAGTAGCAGCTTCGACCTGACCGAATTTCTTGGGTGGCTGGTTCGGTGAAGCAAGGACACGCGCATGTAAGTCGATAATTTTCGCAGCGGCTTCCGGTCCGAATAATTCCTCAAGTTGTGCTCGGTCATCGTCTGACAGTGAAAATTCAGGTTTCTCGGTGAGATTCTCAGACCCAGGCGTCGATTGAGTTTTATCGCTGGTAATTTGTTCCTCGGATTTTTGCTCGGGGGCGTCTTTCACAGGTCGCGATTGAAGCGATTGAGGCACATTCAGATTTTGCAAATGGAGCACCTCGCCCGATGGGAGGATTTCGTTCACTAGGAAATCTGTATACCTACAATTAAGTCAGTTGATGGATCACAACAGCAAATGACATTATAAAGTACCTCTTCTTGAGTATACCCTCAAACCCAGGAATATCCGCACTGACAAACTCTGTAATTCCGACGTCGACTTCCCTCGTCGCTTGAGTTGGCGAGCTTAACTCAACATTGGGAACTGTGACCACAGCCTCGTTATCCTCATTCTGGGGGTTGTCAATCTTTACCCGCTTTCGCGGAGATTCGACAATCTCTTCTCTTTCCATCCTGACGGTAATTGCTCTAGAATGGAAGAATGATGAAGTTGAAAAGTTTCCAAAAAATGATTGTAAATTGTTTGCAGAGATTTGACCCTGTGATGCTGATTGGTCCTGAGAATGAGTTCCCCGTCTGTTTCCACAAACGGGTTAGCGTAGTTAAACAAGTATAGAGACAAGAGATGTCAATTTCATCCAGATAACGTCTTATATTCAGTCAATTATTGTTTTCTGGGTGAATTATGTTCAGCTGATTTAATTCCAAGAGCACGTTTACTGCGAGTGTGTGGTATTCTATGATTGAGACACTCTGCGGTATATGTATATATCGTCCCTAAATTTAGCCCTAACTCTTCAAAAGCACCAGCTGGGCATCCGGGCACTTTGCAACCATGCATCAAAAGAATCGAGACAAACACCTTCCAGGTTGAACAAAGGCCTGACCAGATATTCGATCTGATTGCAAAGATGGGCACTATAAAATCCAACACCTACTGCGAGGATATCAATCCTCTCCTCTCCACCTCCTCAGACATCGTGACTTGATACTCAAACCTCACATCCCATCTGCCAACGACATATTGACTCTACCAAAATCCAACAAATACTTCTGAGAAATAGGAGACAAAAAAATAGCAAAATGACCCGCCCAAAACACCAACCCCTCTTAACCTCTCAAGCAACCCAATCCTCCCTCACAATTGCCACAAACCTCCTCCTCCGCTGCGAACACTTCTTCCGTTCTCTCGCATTTCTGGAAAAGAGCACCTCAGACCCCAAAAGCCTCCTGCAACAAATCCAATCTCTATGCAGCGATTTCCACGAAACGCTCTTCATCATCGATCAAACTCTATACAAACATAGAATGGAGCACGGCAGAGCCAAACACAGAAAAGGAGAAGAAGAAGATGACGATGATGAAGGCTATCGCGTCCTCTCTGAAATCAACGAACAACTCACTGACTACGCGTTTCTGGTTGGTAAGAAGATCCATCCTTGGGATGTACCGTATGTCTTTCTTGAGTCGACGACAACGGCAAAAGTACTAGTTGAGAGACCGGCTGAATTCCCACCTGCGACTTGGAGGAATCGTGAGTTACGGGGCACGACGACGCCACTTGCTGGATTTCCGCTTGAGGGCTTGGGGGGTGAGATTACTGAATCTGGGCGAGAGTGAAGCGGACTGCGTCAATGGGCTGGAGATGTATCATCGGCTCGATCTTGGGGATATGTGGGCAAATTGAGTCCTGACATATCAACAGTTCACTAAAATGGTCAATTCGAAGAGAATGGAAACAAGCCATCCCTGAGCACTCCACCACTGAAAGAAATAACACTGGGGAAGCAATAACTGTATTCTAGACAGATCATTTGAATGCTTTATGACCTGACAAAATTTTCTCATTTCATCTACCGCAGCACCGCAGGTACGTTGCTTGCCTTACATAAGAATACATGAAATATAGTCCATTTGATACGGTTGGAAAAGAATAATAGGATATTCTATGCATTGAAATAGAATCAAACATCCAAGTTTTATATTCTCATCTCTAATTTCTGTACATCTCCCCAACTCACTACCCTCACCTAACAGCTCAAATGTCCAGAGACAATCAACAAAGACACAAGAAACCTCGAACATCTGAATCTCACGCCCCTCTACTCAAAGACAAGGAGTAGTGCAATATCACAAATGGAAGACACCCGCAGATGCCGCGGGGGATAAAAAGAGAAGAGTAAGAAAGATAATTCGCTCATTGATGATATGGTGTACAGGATCTCTGTACAAATCTGGTTGATAAACATAATATAAATAAATAAATAATTGGGGAATCTGGGATATAAGAAAAGGGTATCCTGTAATCGAACAGAAGATTGTATGACTGTATGAGTTCCCATTTATGGAGAGCAGGGTAAGAGAAATATAATGGATGAATGAGTATGGATGGTCATGGAATAGGAAATGCTTGCTGCGTTGATTAAACAACGAAAGGATCAGCGATATCGAAATGACTTTCGCGCTAGTGGTGACGATGCTGTTTGAGACATTGCTGCTAATGGATCTCGTAGACGTCCGCCACGCATCGGTGTCGAGGAACAGTATACACATATGTACACTGGAGGTAAGTTGGCTCGGTCGAGACCAACACATTTTGTGTGTAGCCAATGACTACATGATTCACTAACCAGATGTTAGCTCTAACGTTTTTTGTCCTCTTCGAATATTGACAAGAACGTACCACTGAATCATAAGATGGCCGCCATTGTCCAATGACTTGCAAACACATCGCGTACCACTACTAGGATTGCTGTGCCTGTCTGAACCCGGCGTCGCCAAATCAGGATCCGTAAGTGTAGTAGGCGACGTGGTAGGGTCACCAGAACCCAGATCAAACACTGAGTGTATACCCGGTGGTGATGACCGTAGGTTATGCATCGTTTGTGAACCGGACATTCGTGCTTTCATAACATTACTACCTGGAGCTCGGCCGATTGTATTCCTCCCTCGTCCCTTGAGAACCTGTCTCAGGGCATGTTGTGCGTCTCCTGTGTCTTCGTCTGGATCCGGGAGGGTGCTATCTGTAGAAGATGACTGACGCGTAAAGCTGGCATTGGTGATTGTCGCAAACCGTTGAGGAGTATTTATCCAATCGGATGACACTATAGCAGATTGAGGTCGTATCGGCCGTGACTCTGCCCATGGTGATCGACGTCCAGAAGCCGACGAGCTGCTGATGGTAGATGCAAAGGAGCTCTTCGAGTTGGGTCGTGATATAGACCCCGTCCGACTGACCTTGGGCTTCGTAAGGGTTGACGCTGGAAATGCAAATGAATGGTGTGTGCTATGGAAAGCAGAACTGTCAGAAAACTCAGCAGAATCGGTTTCGCTCTCGGTAATTGATCCGTCGATATCCATTTCAGAGATTGGATCTGTCAGACCAGTAAAACCACTAGACACGACTTTTCCTGGGGCATCTTGAAGTTCCGTCTTTGCACGCCCATCCTTGTCAATTTTTAGGATTAATGACTGTGACCGGGTTGGAACACAGGCCGAGCTTGCTCGTGGTAATGATGGTCTCATGGCTTTGACGGGAGATGAACGGCCTTTAGACGGCGTTTTCTTGATGCCACTCGTCGATGCCAGACTGCTGGACGACTGCTGACTCTGCTGCCGCGACTGTTGTGTAGCTGAAATAGCAGTTGTCGTTTTACTTCTAGCCAATCCAGGACGAAGAGTTGGTGCAGCTCGCGGCGTAAAGCCCTCATCCTCATCATTGACCTCATCATCCGAAAAAGCTCCAGCCAGGGGTTGACGGGCACTTCTGCTTGTTGTACGGCGTAGTTGCTCCCTTTTGGCTTCTTCAGTTTGGTGGTGATACGGCTGTCTCTTTGTAGGTCGAGAAGCACTCATCGGCTGTGGCATCGGCTGTGGCGGACCGAATCGTCGAGCAGGTGAGCTCAGAAACAAGCTAGGATCTTCGGTCTTTGTGATTGGTACTCGAGGGGACGCCGAGAAGGGGGTTGGAAACAGAGCTGCATCTGCCGGAGCTGTTGACCCCATACCAAAGCTCATATCGGTGCCAAAATCAGGCAAGTCTAAAGATCCCTGTATAGTAGGAAGCGGAGGAACTTCAAGTGCCTGCACTTGAGACACAGCTGATGTTGTCATGAACGAGGGCCTGGTATCAGCAAAGGGGTCGTTTGAGACCTGTAACGGGACATTTCCCACATCCTGGTCGAGGAAGAGTTTCTGCTGTGGGAAAAACGGAGACGAAGTAGCATCGATATTGGAGAACTGGAAGAAATCGGGCGAATTCTGGAAATTGGCAAACAAATGCGGTGACGAGGCGATTATCCGACTCGGTGTCTCCAACTGCGTTTGCGTGACTTCAGACAGTTTCCTGGAACTCCCAAAGTATCCTTGTTCATCCGAATGCAAAGTCTTCCTATTTGATGTCCGTGTCGGCGGTGGTGTTTGGATGGTGGCAGCTGAACGGACTGAGTTGATTGTTCCCGGTCCTTCTTCTCCAAAGACACTAGCGGCAGTGGGCTTCGTCGACGGTCTTCGCTTAACGGTATCAGTATTCGCAGGTCCCTTTAGTGTAGCATTGGGCGAGGGATGCTGTCCGAACGAAGCATCAAGATCCTGTTGCCGGTGTTGCTGTAAACCATTTGAGGGAGTCCCGAAGACAAATCTCTGCGGAGTCTTAAGCAGCTCCGGACTTGAAGCATATGGATCGGCAGTATCCCATGTCACGCGAGGGTCGTAGAAACTCGATTCGAATTTGGGAGTTTGGAAAGAGGATTCAGCAAAGGCTGCGGAGGTCGGGGTTCTCGTCGGGGTCTGGGGCTCGCCATTGGAATAGCTGAAGCTAAAGGAAGCGATTGAATTCATTAGCTTCTTCATTGTCAATTAATAAATATGCAAGCGGCAGATGGATGTAATTCAATTGAATATAGGCATCTGAGGAGTTTGTTGCTGGACCGAGTCTTATGCTTCTTTGTATCAGAGCTACATACCTATGGACCGGACGATCCCAACTCATATCCGCAAAGATAACCCAGCAATCATAGACCCGAGTCTGTCAAGATTGATCGTCGTGGGGAGTCGACTAGAATGTGAGAGAAAGTGTTTTCAAGCACCGTCCTTCCTATAAGTCTATGTGTCTGGTTCGCTCCGGAGGGATAGCAGGCCTCACAGCCAAGCAATAGAATAGGCAGCAGGGTGGGATATCGAGGCCGTTAGTTAGGGCATGACGGTCGTTTCCGATGAGATAGTGAATCGACGGTGTGTGTTATAGCGAGTCGAGTGTTGAAGGAGAGGCGGTCCCTTGACTGGAGCGAAGGAGGGGACGTCGGAGGAAAGAAGGGCGAGCAGGAATGTCCCTCCTTGCCGATGCAGCGGCTAGCAAGTGGACTGCTGTACTGTATGAATTATTGATTGTATTATTAAAGAGAAGAGAAAAGAGTAAAAGCAAATACGAAGAGAGTTGTAGAGTAAGTAAGTGGGAAAGGAAGGGAGAGAGAAGAAAAAGATGACTTTGCAGAAGTGTTTTCGTTTTTCTGTCTTGGGAATTCAATTATGGATCTTGGATTACCTAAATATTCATGATTTATTTCCAGGAATTTTTTTTCTTTGGTCGGTACCTTTTTCGAGCTCCACTACTGCTGCAGTGATTATGTACAGGGATCCGCCATGATTGCTCGTATTGAGTCTCTCAAATTCCAAGGCACTATAAGTAGGTCCTGCTACTAGGATGAATGATTCCGCATACACTATAGACTATACTGTGCCTGCTGCAAGTCCACGCTTCGTGCCGACCAAAACTTCTTTCCGCGAGTACGTATATGCAGGAGAATGCCAGAGCCTCGGACGGAACAAGCAGGTGAATTATGTGATAATCAAGGTCTTCGTTGCATCGAATCGGAAATTGACTAGCGTAATCAAGTTTACTTACTTAACTAGTCAAGATCGTGGTACAGTCAGCCACGGCAAGCTGAGGGGTATCTCCAACCTATTGCAGCACGGAGTCCTCCGTCACCCCGATACTCTGGAGGAGGAGACTTCAAATCATACGGGATTCTATTCCCGTACTCTGAAAGATGATATACTCATACCGAAGACACCTCTCCTATGCTCCGTCCCTAGGTAACTTCTTTGTCAGGTCTCGTGAGCGAAGCGGAAGACGATTCTCCAGCCCTGCCGTGCCCAGACCCATCTATTTAGGCTTCGTGCCTAGTTTCAGCTGAGCTGTTCATCGTATCAATCGGCAATACAGTTAACTTTCTAGGAAACATAACTTACTCATCAGTGACATGCAGGTGCAGACATACCTAGGTAGAAAGGTAGAGTCTCATGCTTCCTCCGCCTTGTGTAAATATCCGATATTCCACTAGTAGGTGTCTGATCGCGGTGTCTGGCCTTAACGGAGAGGACCATGACTCGTTAGCCAGGTTACAGATTGTATTGTAAATTGGCCGAGAGTAACGATCGGAGCTCCTGGCGTGATTTCCGCTACTCTCCTGAGATCTGATGAGAACTGATGAGAACTGAAATAGAAGCCTCGTACCAACATGAGAGATATCTTCAGCGGCATTGAAAAGGGGGATGTCTTCAGGTGTATGTAGTAGTTTTAAGGTCTAAGTGTCTGACGTCACCGATGCAGAAGATCACGAGAATCATGATTTGGCCGCACTAGAAAGTTACCCTTTATCTCTTAGTCTATGCAAATCTATTCAGTGTGCTCGAGACTAGACGAAGTTAAGAGGCAAAGATTCTTGGTGGATTCTTGTTTGCTGAAGCTGGATAGAAACTGACTGCGCCACAGAACCACAAGCCACACCTGCACGTGCCCAACACGTCTTTTTGTGCCCGCGTGCTCCTTCCTTCTTTGGCCATATTGAATTGCTTCAATGTAGAGCATCATGTCTTTGGATCATGCGTCCTCGTCCACCTACGGCCAAGAAGAAATCGAAACGTGCAAGAGCAAGATGGAGACATAAAACAAGACGACCAAATAATAATCTACCAAATAACGAGCATGAAAAGGCGAGTCCTGCTCAGACAAGCAATCATGTCAATTACTGACTATTGCTGACTGTTTGCTACAGACATGCACCAAATCCACCCCCATGCCAGAAGGATACATCTTCGTTCCCAAAGGCGATCCATACATAACGCGCAACTGCAAATCTCGAACCAAAGAAGCCGGTAATACCATCTACATTGTTTACGTGCGTTCCTCCTCCCCCTTATATCGACCTAGGGTATCTTAACACTTCAGTAATGAACAGGACAACAAACTCAACCACCAACTCGGGATCCGCATCCCATCCGCAATACACACCTCCGTCCTCCACTCCGCGACCCAAACAGCCGCCCACCGCGCCCTAGCAACACACAACCGCGACATACGCACCAACCTCAAAGCCCGATCACTCCTCCAACTCACCTTCCCTTCCATCCCACCCACCTGTCTCTCCAAGATCTTACAGCATGCATTCCTAAAGGGGTCTGGACGAGTAGGTCGAATATCTACCCGACCAGATGAGAAAAAGGCTACCTTGGCGGTGGAGGCGCATGTTAGGCATGAGCATACGGAGTATGAGAAGCTTATGAGTGAAGGGGGGATGAATAGGGAGGAGGCGAGGGAGGTGGTGTGGAAGGAGGTGAAGACGATTAGGGATGGATGGGCTAAGGGAAAGGTTAAGGAGGCGGAGGTGGAGGCGATTGATTTGACTTGATAAAATCCCTCAGTTATGATTGAAGGCGATTTTGGTGAGGAACCTGTCGTATGACAGTCTGAAGGATATTCAGATGGTACATTGTCTTACCCCGGAGAAAGCAATTCACTAGTAGCCTCTAGCGACTGACGAGAATTGACCGATTAAAGAATAAATTGATTATCGAAGCTGTACAGTAACGACAAGCCAGTCAAAGAATATTACAAAAACTGTATTAATACAACGAAAAGAACCCCCGGAAGAGCGAACGAACAGAAAAAAAAAACGAATCTCCGGGGAAAAAGCGAACTCGAAACATAAGGTAGCCAGCTACCCCGTATTACTGTCGTACATAGTCATCATACACCTACACCCAAGTTCAAGTCAGAGGTTACTTCTGACGAATGCTGCCGTTCACGCCATGCGCCCGTCGTGAAGCTGACCTAGTAGCTCGAGGGATAATCTTGAAAGGCGTCTTTTCTTGAGTCGCAAAATCTTCCGATGCAGCATCTAATGGCCCAGGCTCCGATTCGAGAACTCGATCAATATCCTCTCCATTATTCTCCAGTCGTTCGCGCTCAACTTGCTTCTCGGCAGCGATCCGGGCACGTTCATACTTCATCTTCACTTCTCCCTCCCAGCGAGTTCCCATGAACCGATCCCAGAAGATAAAAAAGGGTTGCGAGAAGTTGGTCTTGATTCCCCAGCTTTGGTGGTGAATGTCATGGTAGGCCGAGTTGTTGGATGTGATGAGTTGAAGTGGGTCCCAGGGGAAGTGATAGCCGCAGTGATCGTCGACGGTTTTGATGGTGGACATGGTAAAGAACCACATTGCTTGACGAGATGTCAAGCCAGTAACGATGAATGCCACACCGGCTCCCGCAGTGTCCAGCAAGAATCCCTCCACGGGATGGTTGTACAAAGCGCCAAAGGCATAAGGCACATAAAGTCGATGATGGCGGGAGTGGAATTTGACTACACAATTAATTAGTACATCGCTTAGAGATATGTCGATAGGAACTCACCATAAAGCCAGCGATTGAGATGCATCGCCCGGTGCCAGAAGTATTGCCATGTATCAACAATCAAAATAGCAATCAAGAACTGCAGCCCAGGGATAAACAGGCTGTATATGAAGCTTGCCAAAGCAAGCTCCCACCCAGCAAAAGCCGGCGCAACAACTTCAACCCCATTGTCCAAAGTCAAAGTCTGCCACAAATCCGGATACACACCCCCTGCTAGAACAGCAGCCAAAGAAGGGAAACCAGACAAATTCTTAGCCAACCCCACGGAATCAATACCCACCAAGCCAAAAAGACTCGGCACCAATGTCTGGAACACGCGAATGCGTCTCGCCCAAACTGCAACATCATACGCTTCTTTACCCGTACACTCTGGCGGATCAAAATACGAAACACTGAGTCCCGCAATCGTCTGAATCACCTGCTGCAAAATAACATCTCGAACGACGTCAGCGCGAGAGACATGATTCCGTTTCAGCAGCTCAGCGGGTGTGTGGAGTCTATATTCCGGGAACCAATCGTAAACATCGATGACGTGAAAGATCATGGATACGGCCCAGTAGGCGATTACTGGCAGCATCAGGGAGAGGACATTATCGGGGATGGGTGCGATGAGCGGCTCCCGAGGGGTTAACGTGTACGACGGGAGCGGGGGCAGATCGGAGACGAGGGTAGAGTTCGCCATGTTCAGGATTATAAAGATATGTAGGTTCGAATATTATGTTTGATAGGATCAATCGGTAATCGAGGAAAAGGCTGTAGTTGTTGTTTAGCGGTAGATTGCGAGGTCGGGAAGTTATGGTGGAGTACGCTAGGCCGACGGATTCAGTGATCAAGTCACTGAGTGTAGAAGGAAGGGGCGACGGCAGCCCAGCGGTGCAAGGATGACAGGGCAGGATAGTTGATACTGAATAATTAGAATAGGAGAGTGGAAGTAAAGAGTCGAAGAATGAAGAATAAATATTGATTCGCCTCTTGACCCGATAGACTGTAACGCAAGATCGATCGATGGTTGCTTGCGTAAGCTCCAGGCGCTGAGTCACAGGAGACCATCAAAGCAGATAAGAAAGATTATAAAAAGGATTGACGATTAAACATGCGGTCATGGTACGATATACTCTCCCACGCCGAAAGAAACAGGGGGCTTTATACGAGTCGATAAGAAGTCGTCGCGAAAGTTCAAGGATCAAAATTCCTGCCCATCCGACGCTTATCTAATCAGCCCCTGAAGAGGGAAAGCTCACACGCCAGAGCCAATCAGAGAACAGATCGGGTGGCGACACTCGGTCTGTCTGTTCCGGGTCCGAGCACACCATGAGACTGTTCAGTACATATATCAGGAGATGGAGAGCTCTGGATACAGGTGAGATTGAGGCATCATATGGCCTCACATGTGTCTTGTAGACAGGTTGCATCTATTTCATTTGGCTGACGTGCTGAATCAGGCCTTGTACCTCCCCTCTGAGACGTGAAATGCCAGTCAGCGTCTACTGTACGCTGCTCGGTATGTAACTCATCTGCACTCTCTATATCCTTACGATCCATATTCAAAATGTCATCAATTGCGTCTACCGTCCTGTACAGATCACGAAGCAAGAGAACCCGACGCAAATTAGCCTGCTCATCGGCATCTAAATTGAGGATTCCGACTTGAATCGCAGTTGGACGGACACTGAACCGGTCAACGGTTGGTGCTGCGTCACGCGAATACCTCATACTGCCACTACGCGGGGAACTACCGTTGTCTGCTCCATCCGAGCTGCCAAGCTTCTCTGTTGCTGGGATGCGGTACCAAAAGACCATTTTGGACAGGATCAATGTGTATACAAGGAGTAGATGAGGACATTGTGCGCAGGTGCATCATCTTATGAGTTTGTTCCAGCCTTCAAGAGCAGCTTTCTTTTATTGGCGGCAAGCACACGGTCGAAAATGGGGAGAGAACTAATTTGGCGTATGTGGGATCAGAAGAACACGATGGAAAGCCCTGATACATATTGCATTGAGTTGAGTAGAGAGATGGGGCTTGGGCTTCACAGTTGTGCGTGCTCTCAGATAGCATATAGCAGTTGATGCAAGAGACGATACTTTTGCAGGCTCTGGTATTTGAGGGGCTCCAAAATTCCAACTGCCTAGTTCCCCAATACCTATTTCAGTGTTGAGAACACCATCAGACGGCCACGAAGACAGAATATCTGTATCGTATTGTTGAAAGTTCAATTGAGACCCATCTCCTGTTATTAACAGCGCGGAACCAGCCAGTAAAGACTCCCACCCAGTCGAATCTACCAAATTCCTAGTCATTGTAGGAGCCTTCCTTGGCGCTCTGGGTCCTCAGCTGCAATTGTAGCCATCTTTTTCCGCTCCGATGCCAATCTCTGTCGCCAGGACTGTCTTCCATGTTTGCGCGACTCGCTGTACGAGCATCTCAGTTTGGTTTGTATGCATCGATCACAGGCAGGATGTTTCTTGTCGCACCGCACTTTGCCGGCTGAACATGGATCGCATGCTGTACGGAAGCGGATATTCTGGCCTGGTTCTGTTTCAGTCATATCTGCCAGATATGATAGCCTAGAGTCATGCCCATACGTAACTGAGCAGAACATGCACTGAGGAGATCCATCTATAGATGGTTGACAACGGTATGAATCTCCATGATTATGTGAGCCTGGGCCACTATGACAGATCGGGATAGTGGGTAATATCAGACATTGGACATCGTTCGCACACAGCACGCATGCAATTGGCTTCAGTTCTCGAGAATATATAGACACATAAACAGCGAATAGGCAATTCTACCTATCAGCCTGTCATGTCCAGGATAGGACTAACTGAAGTAGAGAAAGAAAGGGAGAACAGAAACAGACGCACTAACCTAAAGCAGCATAGCGCCGCTCCCCCACCTGGGCAGCCAAAGAGAGGCGACAAAAACTTCACACAGGCTAACTTTGCCCCTCTACTTTCCTCAGCCAGAACTTCTTTTTCTCCCCTTCTCCAGAGTATCCTCTGTCAATACTCCAGCCTCTTTTCAGCAGTCCTTTCTTTTCTTACGAGTATTCGCGTTTCGCTTCTTCAAAATGATTATCTACAAGGTTCGTATATCTGTCTATGATTATGGATATATTAAAAAGCGGGGTTTATTTTTTTTCTTTACTTTCTTGCCATTGATAACCCCGCGACGCTGTTACTGTCAACATTGCAACAATAAACCATCTCGACTAACTCCTATGATATAGGACATCATCACCGGAGATGAAATCATCTCCGACACCTTCAAGATCGTCGAAGACGGCCCCGTCCTCTGGACCGCCGACTGCCGCAAATACATGAAGGGATCCGAAAACTTCGAGCTCGAAGGTGCCAACCCTTCTGCTGAAGGTGGTGATGAAGAAGAAGGTGGTGAGGGTGGGCAGGTCATGGTTCACGATATCGAGGATCAGTTCCGTCTTGTCTGGTTGAAGACTGAGGAGGGCATGAAGCCTTCCAAGGATGCTTTCAAGGCTCACTTGAAGTGTAAGCTCCCTTCTCCCCTCTCTTTTCGGATTTGGAAGGTTTGAGGACAAGGACTAACGGTTTGTAGCCTACGTCAAAGCCGTCAACAACAAGCTCAAGGAAAAGGGTGCCTCCGAGGAGACCATCAAGGAATTCCAATCCGGCGCCGCTGCCGCCGTCAAGAAAATCCTTGCCAACTACGACAACTACGATGTCCTCATGAACCAGTCTATGGACCCCAACGGTATGCACGTTCTTATCGACTTCCGTGAGGACGGTGTCACCCCCTTCGCTACCGTCTGGAAGCACGGTCTCGAGGAGATGAAGGTGTAAATTCTCTTATATATTCTTATATCTTCAAAAATATAAGAAATTTATATCTTGTCTTCCTGTCACACAAAAAACACGATTCCCACACCCCGTTTACTTTTTCCTCGCTGTCTTGCTTGTCTACTATCGTCAAGTCATGTCATGTCTATCCATTGACGCTTGAAAATATTTATGTCGCCACGAAGAAATATGAATAGAAGACACAACACTTCTTCAATAAAATTTCCTTGTATTTGTAGAAGACTAGATATCGCCAATAAAATTATATACAAGGAGCAATATTTCCAGGCTGAAACACGCAATAATCATTCATTGATACTGCCACGTCTCAAAATCTCGCCATACATCGCCCGCAACCGGCGTCGTTGCCATCTCATTCCCAGCAGCAGCACCACCACCACCACCGAATCCAATATTGCTAGCATTATTCTGATTATTCGTACTCGAATGATCAAACAGATCAACCCCCAGATCATTATTACCAAACAACCCAAACCCCAACCCACCAGCCACAGGATCCAATTCAATAATTTCGTCAGCCATGGGTATTTGTTGTCCGAATACGGCGTCCCATTGGTCCCAGTCAAAGCTTAAATTGGGATCCATCATCGATGGCGGTGTTGGTGCGGAGGGTGCGTTTCCTGCTCCTGCTGATGGACTCGTGGCCACTGCTATGCCGGAGGTGGTTTGTGCGGAGTCTAGGGAGAAGTTTGTTGTAGCTGTATTTGTGGGGGAAGAGGAGGATGGAGATGTTGCTGCTGTTGACATTATGGGGTAATTCGGGGATGGTTGGTTGGATTGTCGGTATTGTGGTTGTTGCTGTTGCTGTCTTTGTTGTTGGATGAAACTCTGAGCGTTGGAGAGAGGAGTTGGACTGGCCACCACGGATCCAGTTGCGAGATTGGCAAGAGCCAAGGTTGCATCAAGACTTTGACTATCAAGAGATGGGCTTGGTATGAACCCGGTAGATGGTGATGGCATATTGGAAGGTATATTGGTGAGTTGTGGTGGTGTCGGAACTGGCATGGGCACATTTGAAGATCGAGGTAACATCGTCGCAGACGGCGACCTGGGGGCTTGGCTTTGCGATTCCTGTCTCAAGGACGAAACAACAGGATTAGGCAAGACATGATTCCTGGTCATTTCAAAAAATTTTCTATTGAAATCTGCCAGCTGCGCATCACCAGCAGGTTTCGTTCCAAGCGGCTTTGCTGTATCAACCGGTCTCCTTGCGTGAGAGGATCGATGCGTCGGTGTACGCTTGACATTTTGACCAACCCCAGCTTGGATTTGAGCCTGCTCTGTCCATAATTGTTTAGGGTTGAGGCCGGCTTTCTGCCATGCCTTTTCTCGTAAGCGTCTCATCATGTCCCATGCCTCTCGTCCGCCGTCTTTTAATGGTCGTGCTGTAGTGACACCATCTTCTCCACCGACAACACCTCCGTCCGGTCCACTAATCGAAAAGATCTTGTCGATGAAAGCCCTTGATCGCAAAGCTTCCGGGCTGTTGGGTCGTTCGTACAAATCAATCAGCATGATCATGGTAGCGTGCATGGGTTGATGATTTCCTGGCCAACTCCACTGGAAGGGCTGAAAATCAGGGTCCGTTGCTAATGCGATAAACTTCTCCATGAAGCCATGGCAGTGTCGTAGAGCACCTTGACGTGCTGTAGGCCATATCCGGCTTCTCGCATTCTTGAGGAAAGGCTGATAAGCAACACAGAAAGCTTTGTCGAGAAACAGAGAAAGAAGAATTCGCGCCCATTTATGGAAGGCTACGAGAACTGGAGTGTGATATTGCTCTGAGCAGCCGCCAGGACCGTCATCCGGTAGCAAACCTTGCTCAATTCGACCCTGAGGTGCAGACAGCGATGAGTTGCTAGGAGAAGCATTTGACTTGACGGAATTCGGGTGCTGTGCAAGTGGAATGCGATTAATGAGTGAATTTAGCTGAAACTGAAGATCCACCAATATGGATCTCAATTCTTCCATGTCACGTCCTGTGACTGGTTTCGTTCCTAACTGAATTTTCATAATCCTTCGAACAGCTCCTGGAATCGGTTAATAATTGGTTGACAACGTGCTTCTCGTTTGGTTTATTACTTACGTGCCATTACGTACTTCCCTCTCGCGCAAAGATAAAATACGTTCACCATAGAGTTACCACCACACACAGTCGGATCATCAGGATTATCTGGTGGCCTCAAATTACTTTCCACCAGCTTGGAATACTGTTCGGCTTGCGGAGTTCCTAACAGCGTATCCTTCACTTCACTCGTCTCACGCACATCCCAGTAGCTCTCGTCGCAAACCAAAGGGGGTAAGCCAGACGACATAGAAACCACTCCATCCATGTGAATGATATGCCACCATATTCGTCTTCGGGTCTCGGCTTCACTGGACTTGATACCAAACTTGGCTGGATCCCGGTGAAGGCCCATTGTTTGAGCGACTCTCAACACAGTGCTGATAAAAAGACTACTCGCCAAAGGTTCCTCTTCCCGAGATAGGATTGTGCGCGTAATGAGGAAGGCGACTAGCCCATGTAGAGAAGGATTTCTTGGAAACGAAATTCTATCAAGCCAGGTGACCACATGTTCATGGAGCGGATCACATAATTCAGAGCGGCTAGAAACATTAGGAAACTCCGCTTTGATTGTGTGAATAGAAATGGTGACAGATCCACCATGCCATATAGCGTAAAGCAATGGAATAAACGTAGTGTCCGGGCAACGTTCACCCGAATAACTGCTGTTCTCATACCAATCCCAGAACGCGTAATAGGATTGCAATATGGTAGGCGGATGTAACACTGGACTTATACCATGAACGCCGGACATGAACCCTTTATATAGGATATCGCTCTGCCTCCGAGTTGGCATATCTTCCAGCATGTATGCTTCGATATTCTTATCGAAGGCGGTAGGCGATTCCCCCGAAAACAAAAGGGCCCTATTCAAGTGATGGCTCCCGGTTGACGATCGATACCGTGGACGGCGATTGTCCGTTGGATAGGACGCATTTCTTGTCATGGGTTGGTCTGCCGAGATCATGATGGCATCAACATCATTGCCGGCATCGTTTGATGAAGGTACCTCGTGTGATTCGTGTTGTTCACGTAAGAGTTGATTGAGTTCGTTGATCTGTTCCTATCAGTCAAAAACTTGCAAATTGACAGCATGTATATCGTACTTCATCTGAGATATAAGCCCAATAAGTTGTTCCCACATATCTATACGAGTCAGAAAGAAGATCAGTGAAGATCGCATGCCTGAGCCTACCTTGATCTACCATCTTCAAGACTCAAATGTCCAAGATTCAACCCAACAGGATCCACCGGATCAGTAGCATTTCCTGCCGGTACAGGAAACTCATCCCCGCTCGAATCCGCCATACGACGAGGGCTAGTATCCCGAGAAATGGACTTATTATTCAATGCCGAGGCGTGCGAAATTGACGCTCGGGACCCAACAGAATTCTGTAGATCAACATCCTGACTTATTGTCTGCAGTTGCCGACTCATTTCTTCCACCGGCAGGGGTCCTTTCGCCTTGCTCAGATTCTCAATCATATTGGTGAGCTTGTTGAGTTGAGCAGCGATCGCTTGCGAGCCACCTCTTAGACCTGTTTGTTCCCGCTCACCCAGCATCATCTTGGAATCGTCGTCTTCTTCGCCCAGTGATCGCAACGTCTGCCGCCGCCTTTTGATTCCATGTTGATTGTACTCGTCGTCAACATCAACGTCGCCATTTTTCTTTGGTGTTGCAGTATCGTAGACACATTCAGACCCGTTTTTCATGCAATTACCGCATATCGGATGTATCTAATAATTGGCAGTCCAGCAGTTAGCCTTTGAACAGCTGATTCAGTTCCAGCAATGAAAGAATCTACCTTGTCGCATTTGACCTTTCTCCTACGGCATGTGTGGCAACTGTAGCTTGCGCGATTTCGGGTTATTTGTCGTCCACCAGCAACATGATTTCGACTGGAGGACGACCGAGCTTCGAAGGTATTTTCAGACATGGCATATTAATGCTTGCTGTCTAATGTGAAGCGCGGCGCATGGCGTTGAATCGGTTGTTGTACAGAGCACCTCCGGAGATTCGGAAAGCTTCGAGCCACGAAGTCGTATGTTCGACTTTTGAATTCAGGTCGTTATCATAAACTCATAATCAGTTCATCGCTCAATGTCTATGTCGTGCTGATCTCGTTCTATTCTTCAAGAGGTGGAGATGACTACTACTGATGCAGTGGGGGAAGCAGCCCTCAAATGCGGAGTCTGACCGGCTATATGGGCCGCGCCTGATTGGCCAATGCCACCGGATCTTGTTCTTCACACATGAGGATTACAGCTTCTTTCTGATTAAATTCTCAAGAATGAGGGATTGTAAAGTATTATTTTATAGCCATATTCCATATACAGCAGTAACATGTCGTATCTGCAATGAGCCCTATGATATCACGAAGGAGAAACAACACCCAACGCCGGTATCATGCAAAGTCGTAAAGCTAACAACCGGTATATACATCCGAACAAGAGCCAAAACAACTAAATCAAGCCTTTCCCTTTTTCTTTTCCTTCTTTTTTTTCGGCTCACCAGCACCAGATGGTTCTCCCATGCCCATCAGACCAGGAGGCATACCTGGAAGAGCTGGCATCCCGGGCATCCCGGGCATTCCTCCGAGTTTCTCCATTTCGGCCATGGCGTCCTTGAAAGGATTGTCGCTCACACCACCTCCTGAATATGCAGGGGAGTGGATGGGTAAGATCTTTCCAATCTTCCATCCTCGAGGGGCTGCGGGAGGATCAGGAAGCTTGTCTGGCATGGGCAAACCGTGAATGCGTAGTCGGAAGGGAGACTTTTCGTCAGTGGGATGTGCTTGTAAAAATTGTGCGACTAGGTTTCGAAGATGGTGTTCTACCATGAAACAAAGTAAATTAGCACATTAACCAGGAAAAAATCCACGAATTGAAGAGGCCGTACTGTTCTTGACACGCGGATTCAAAAGATTCCCATCCTCATCCTTGAGCTGAACTCGGACACGACCTGGATTCGCCCAATCCTTTGGATGCAACTTCTCCGGCTCAAAGCCAACTCTCAACCCCAGCTGTTGACACGCATCGAGAATATCCCTAGCAAGCGGGTTCTCCACTGCCACTTTGCTAGAAACTTGTCTTCCCTCTGTGCGCGTACGAGTCTTATCAAAATAAACGGCGTATAAGCAGTGGAAGTGTTTGGGTATCTCCTGTGGTGGTCGTGGTTGAGGTCTCGCTGCCATTCCTGGGGGAGGCATATTCCCCGGAGGAGGGTGCATTATGGACGGAGAGATGATGTGGTCTGCGGGCAGATCCCCGGAGGGAGCGACCTCCTCTGGGTCCGAGTCAGAGAGCTCTTCGACTTGAGCTTGGCGCGACATTTTGTGGTGAGAGTATAAGCAGTCGAAGACGTAGGAAGAGCAGGTCTGATGCTGACATGATTGCTTTAGTGCGTGCGAAATCCATTTTGGTGGGGTGTATCAGTATGGTAATATTACACAATCAATACAGTAAATACGGAGGAATAATACAATTCCTCGATGACTTCACCACCTGAACAGCATACACTGCATGATATTGACAATTCATGAGTCAGACTAGAGGTGTGTTCTATCAGCAATTTACATTAATAGAACAAATCAACCATCAGTCTATCCAAAGCGTGACAGTTTATGGCCGATCACGGCGATAACCACCAATCTCATCCTCGGCATCTCAACCTCTATCTCGGCATGCCGACTTTGCCTTACCTAGGCATTCAGCCTATCTCAGTCTGTGGAGTCCATAGGCCAAAGCGTGTCGTTGCCTTGAGTATATGATCTTCTGTTCTCCCTTCTCGCCTTTTCAATATCCATCATCATTTCTACTACTGTCCATGTTGAGTATAAAAAGCCAAAGCGAGAATGACTCCATCAGCCGTCCTTCATCGACACCTCCACCAAGCACCCACTCTCGCCCTCTCCGGCGAAGGAAGCTACATCTCTCTCGAAGATGGAAGACGAATCCTAGATGCCACTGGCGGCGCCGCCGTATCTTGTCTTGGTCATAACAATGAGCACGTAAAACAGGCTATGATCGATCAGATAAATCAACTCTCATATTGCCATACTGCTTATTTCTCCACCAAGCCATTTGAGGAACTAGCATCATTGCTTATTGAGTCTACTGGTGGAAAGATGAGCAGAGTATATATCGTTGGGTCCGGTAAATACAAAACTTTTGTTCTTAAATGTGGACAGGATTGACAAAATGAAAATGCAGGATCTGAAGCAATGGAAGCAGCAATGAAACTAGCGAGACAATTCTACTTAGAAAAACGCAACCCAGAACCCCAAAGAACAAAATTCATTGCACGCAATCAATCCTATCACGGAATAACCATTGGCTCCCTATCCATGGGCGGCCACAAGTTCAGGCGTGAATTATTCGAGCCGATCTTACTCCCCAATGTCTCGCACGTTTCGCCTTGTAATCCTTATAGAAATCGTAAGGACAGTGAGTCGGATGCGGACTATGTTGCCAGGCTTGTGGATGAATTGGATGCGGAGTTTCAGCGTCTGGGACCGGAGACGGTGTGTGCTTTTGTTGCTGAGCCGGTTGTTGGTGCGGTGAGTAGAATTCTTGCTTCTAAGCTTGTAATCATACTGATGAGAATTCAGGCAATGGGATGTGTCCCTTCTGTGCCGGGTTACTTCAAAGCCATGAAGGCCGTCTGCGAGAAGTACGGTGCCCTCTTTATCCTTGATGAAGTAATGTCCGGCATGGGTCGCTGCGGTACCCTGCACGCCTGGCAGCAAGAAGACGTAGTCCCCGACATGCAAACTATCGGCAAAGGCCTGGGTGGTGGCTATGCACCCGTGGCAGGTTTGCTCATTGGCGACCGGGTGATCAAAACCCTGGAAGAAAGCACCGGTAGCTTCCGGCATGGCCATACGTACCAGGGACATCCAGTATCCTGTGCAGCGGCCTTGGCTGTCCAGAAGGCCATTCAAAAGGATAACTTGGTCGAGAATGTGAGAGAGATGGGCATTGTCTTGGAAGAAGAACTACGTAAACGGCTTTCGGACCACCCTCATGTAGGCGATATTCGAGGAAAAGGATTGTTCTGGGGCGTAAGCCAGCTCTTTCCTATGCTGTCTTCATTCACTGATCTCAGTTATATGTAGATTGAATTTGTCCGCGACAAAACAAACAAAGAACCCTTTGATCCAAAATCACAACTCGCATTCCGAATCCAGGATAAGGGACTCGAAGCCAAACACAGCATTTCGCTGTACGGCGGCCAGGGCACGGCTGATGGGGTTTCTGGGGATCATATATTACTTGCGCCGCCTTATAACAGTACGAGAGAGGAGATTGTGCGTATTGCGGAACTTGTGCAAGGTGTTGTTGAGGATGTTTTTGGTGAGTTGGATGATTGAATTGGTTATTCATACGCTGGCCTGTCTATCTTTAACGTAGTCTGAATTTTCTTAACAGTCTGGTGACATGCAATCTTGAGATTGTGAGGAAGAAAAAGACAGTGGCATTCACCTCCTTAATGTCTACACTTGACCATACTCTAGAATGAGAGGGAAAAAGGATGATTGTGGTGTGGACCTCATCAAAATTCCGCATATAGCGAAATTGAGCAACTTCGTTTACCAGGGACTTCTGCTCTATTGCTCGTGAATGTAGTGAAATAAGCATATTTGGAATACAAATTTGCAGTATCAACGATAGTATGATGATAAATCGTCAGCCTGCATAGATGGCTCTATCTAGCAACGAGAAACGAGCTGCACGGCGTACCCAATGCCGAGTAACACTGTCAGATTATATTTGTAAGTCACCTTCCTACTCGCATTCTTCATGGTACTAAAACACAAAGACCGCAAGCTAGGAATAAAAATCCCGCCTGATCAAATCCGATTGCCATCGCGACCCTCAGACCCTTATGTTTGGTCATATCATTCTTCGAAAGAGCATCTCTTTAGTGCGTCTCTGAGCCGTGGAACAATAAGCATCCACGATGAAATTTGTAATGAGCTGGATCACTCTATTGAAGTTGTTCATAGAGGTTCGCCATCCGAAAATGAAGAGGCTCATCGAACGGTTCAACAAGTGGTACGTCCTTAGATGCGTTGGATAGCAGAAGATTTCTAATCACTTCATCAGGCGGATCTGACGTCGTCAGATGACAGTTTTGTGGCTCAGATACATAGACTTCATGACGAGAAACAGCAATTGGAGAAGGAATTACAGACCGCTCGCGACACATCAGTGACATTATGGAAGAAAAGAAAAATTTAATGTCGCTACTTGACAAGTCAACGCAGCAGGTCGTCCAGTGGAAATCCGTTCTGAGCATTATCAAGATTTTGCCGTGGAATTGACAAGCTGCTAGGAAATCTCAACGCGAACGTCTGCCGTCCCGATGACTCAATTTGCGTGGAAAGTTTGCGTGGGCCTCAGAGGTATAATCCGTGCCATTACCTCTCGAACTTGCTGTAGATTTAGACCGTGTCTCTATCGGCCATTTCAAGAGATTGTCAGTGAGTGCAGGCTATGGATAATGAGTCCACAGCTAAAATTTGATCCTCTTATGTGCTGGTTATCAGAATATCATTTCAAGCGAACGTCGCCGGCATTACACTTAACTACGTTTCTGGGGCCATGAGCCATACCGTGCATAGAAACCTCAAGTGTAATATCCGATCAATGAATTTGACCCTAAACCTGTAATTTTGATTTCGACCCTATCTTTAGGGGAATATGCCTAAGATTTGAGGTTTCAATGCCCGCACTTCAGCGTGTATGCAAGCGGAGAGGCGCCAGAGCACCTAGCTATCTGGGCATCATGGGAGTCCCCGGAGGATAGGGAAGATGAACCCGATAATGCAACGATTACAGGGTGAGAGAAAAGTGATCTTATAAGGAGAAGGAGCAAGCTATAAGCGCTGTGATGATTTCGCAAGGAGCCTTGCAAAGCCTACCGGGTAGTTGCTCTCCAGGGAAAGTGGAAAGAGGGACAAAGTGGACTGAGGAATATCTTACGGAGGCGCTCCGTGGGCATGTAAACCGATTAGGCTTTGTGCCCCCTCGAAACGCTGGTGGCGTTCCCTAACGTTGAAAGCACGGAGGGTTCACTCTATTGGTGAGTATGACCACCAGAAGGCCCGTCATGCGTACTACACAGCGCTTAGGAGGGAGTGTTGGGGAGCCGGTCTGTAGGGTATGGGCAAGGGCCCGTTGACCTAGTAGAATTGGTGTTGTCAAGTACTCCATAGTAAGAAAGAGGCACAATTTAGGGACTAAGCTTCTCATTAATGTGACGGTGGCCAAGCTCAATGTATTGATCTAGCTGAGAAGACGTACACGAGGTGCTCATACACGAGAATAATAAGCATGGGAGAGAAGAAGAAAAGAAGAAGCAGAAATCCACCTCGCTAGAGGCCCTTTATATACCCCTTTGTGCGCACCCTCTTCCCAATCTGGCACCGCTGAGGCTATTCCCAGAGTAGTACCGCCTAGGGTCCTAATCCTCGGCCGGTAAGCTCCGTCGAACGTCCTGTCAGGTGCCGTATGTCAAGCTGTCACATTAAACCCAGAATCTAGCGTGGAGTTTGGCCTCGCAGCTCCCATGAACGTTCATGAATTGGAGAGACAGCGGTTAGAACGACCCTATTTAGGCTCCAGGTACAGGCTTACTCAACTTTAGGGCTTTTAGGCTTCTCTGGGGATTTGATCAAGCCCGTGTTATAGCACTCGCTTGACAGTGCCTCAGGCTTGGGATAAACCCCGGAGCATGGAAAACCGCTGAGCGAATCCTGCTTAGGATATTGGATAAGGGGATTTATTCGGTGGCAAAAGCTTACCGTCTTAGTTGCCTAGTGCCCAGGCAAGGTGAAGCTCGTTGCAAAGCTCATTACGGATTTTGCGGGATCCCGGGAATTGTTCCATGAGGGTTAGTTCGGGTGCTATAGAGAAGGTGTGTCTATACAGTACATGGACATCAGGGCTGCCTATGACGGCGTTCATTCTCTATCCTAAGAGGTAACTAGTCGAGTAAAAACTAAGCATGAGGAAAAAAAGAAAAAGAGCACGCTCAGCCACGGGCAGAGATCTCTTTTATATGTGTGCGTACGGCTCTCGTCGGAGCCTAATCGGGAAATTGTGAAGACAAAGAGATATCCCGATTTGGAACTCTCTAGGGCTTAGGGCTCCGTCGAGGAGCCAACGCGATACAGCTGCCAGGCCCGTCACACTGTCTTTGATTATCTGGTCCATTAAGACACACGGATTTCGATGCGCTTGCAGTGAGACATCTTGAAGTCCTGACTTATTCCGCACACCTTCAGTGAAAAAAAATTGTTGTTCTCGATACATGAAAACGAAAATGATTCAGTGTTAATGAGCAAATCCACAGTGTTCAAAGTTAGTAGGCATGCGATATCGAAGGTAAAGTCTCTCATTGAACTTAGCGACTGGCTGCTGCTTTCCTATCCAATGTTGCATCTTACATATATTGATGCGAATACACGACAGCAAAAACTCATGACCACGTTGATCAAGAATACAATAATGAGACTCCATGAAGGACTCGGCTGAATCTGGGGCTGGTTCCAACAGCTGCCTGCCGGACTATTATCTCAGGAGAGTCAGGTGCAACGCTGAAAGTGGAGATAAGAGAGTTCACTCCAACACGAAGCGAAGAACCTGGCCTATCAGTTTCTGCCAGCAGAAAAAATCGGCTAGATATCATGCAGGATACAGTGTAGTCTGTCCCAAAAAAGAGTACTCATAATGACTCGCGGTCTACTGAGCGTAGTACTCGACAAGTCCGGTTGGTTTCCTTTTTGAACCGCATGGCTCGCACACCGCGTAACTGGCTTGTCTTCTAGTCAACCATCAGGACCCTTTGTGGCAAAGTTCAGAGAAATCAGGAGGTCCTGCGTTGATGTGTCCAGCCATAGCTTCGGGTGTGCTTTGCTCGTACTAGCGGCTCGGGTCCAACGTGGCGAGTATTGAAGGAGCGGAATAGATTATCGCCAAAATTGCATCGAACATCCATAACTGCCACTCAGTAATGTCAGGCTTTCGCCTTTTCGACACTCTTTGATGTGGGAAACATGATAGTCACCAGAGATCTCCTCAAATATATATGCTATGTGACGTAGAGGCTGTACTGTATGTCTCCACTGCATATGAGATCCTTTCTGTAACCACAGATTCTAGTATCTTGCCAAGTGTCGCTAAAAGTGAAATCGGCCTCTGAACATCCGTCGAATTGATTCATGACCGATTGCGGCAGTTTAGATCATAGTTTCCCCAAGAAAAGTCTGCATGGCCCTGTTGTGTGATCTACTCTACATGTACATGGACCAAGAATTTAACCACAAATAATGATCACTGCGATGGTTCACTGCGATGGTTCAGGGCTGTGAAAATCTTTCATCCGTGATGTCACCATGGATGATTCCTCTTCTCTGCTGGTGATTGCGATACCCTCAATGAAACGACCGCATTGCCTCTAAGATGGAGAAAATGACCGGTGGTGAAGCGCGCAGCAGATATTTTCTATTTCCACGAATTGCCATTTGTCTCATCCAGCGAGATCCGTACATGCCCAATCCACCATGACCTTTTTATCACCCGTAGTGATAATCTTCCTCAACTGATCCATTCTTTCACCGGCCGTGATTGTCTTCATCATGGCTGCATGGTGGTGCTCTTTACGGCTTGTTCTAAAACAGACCTTACTATGCGTCAAATTTCAAAAAAGAACCTGGTTGATGATCCTAGACCGGTCAAAAGTATGTCTCGAATATCCTGAGGTGCGGCTTAGGATATTTAATCGATCGACATGGTCAACTAAACCCCATCCCGGTGACATGAAACGCTCTGTGTGATGAAACACCCACTAGGTACCTGCACTTCTGAGCAGCATCGCTCCTAATCCAGGTATTGAACTTCGTCCCAAACAAAGAGAAAAAGTCATTATCCAATTTCCCATCAGTTAGCATTTTCCAATCAAAAATTACAGGGTGTGAGGGCAGTTGATTACCGTGCGGTGCTCACCAGTATAAGATCCGCTGTTCACTGCCATGACGCCAAGATCTTCCACAAAAACAACTGAGATGAATGGTAAAATACTGGCCTATTGATTCATCTATTGTCACAGATTCGACTCAGAGGTCTGCCTTAGGCAGCGGCACCGCCATGCAGGCAAAGGCGGTGAGGGTTTACGACACCAAGGGCACGTCTGAGGATCTTTGTTCTATGAGTTTCACGTCTTGGGAATAGCTTCACTAAAGGCTTTGTTGGTGGTTTTGTTGTATTCTTTTGTTCAAGATCTTTGTACAAGATTTAGCAGGCATGCTCCGTCAGGAAGCATGCCCTGGAGTAGGCCCTGCTCAGACATAAATATGAGCTTGCTCCCTTGTAGATTAATTTCTTCTCTTGAGCTCACGTCTTGTTAGTCTTCTATGTCTATACATTTTACTCTATTGTCTCAGCTCCGTTACATCTATCCAGTCACATACTATGAATCTCTATTTTGTCGTAACTGTTTTCGTGGTAGAGCAGATCATAAACTGTTACCTAACCCTAACCATTTTGTAAGGGATATCCTCGAAAAAGGTGAAGTAGTTATCGAACGCGTTGACACTGACGACAATGTCGCGGACGGTTTTACCAAACCCAAAAATCCCGCCAAATTTGCAGAATTTCTGAAGCAGCTGAGACTGGAGCCAATCGACGTCAAAGTCGAAGAGGAATAAGATTTTTGTGTAGGTTTTTACGATTCAGTTCTCAACACCATGTTTTCACACTCAGTGCCCTGTTTATATGCTTTTATATGGCTTCATGTACGATAGTTCTTTCATGGGCGGTTTGCTGGGGGGAGTGTGTTGGGATTCTGCCCTTAGATAGTCAGCACCGCCTACCGGATGTAGTTAGCGCGCTGGTAGCTAGATATCTCCGCTCCTAGGAACCTAGGTTCCTAGACACACACACACAATAGAGTCAGTTTTCCTGCTTCCACCCCAAGATAAACTGAGGAATCCTTGGCACTGAGAAAGTACGTCAGGCAAAATTTACGGCTATGCCAATACAGCTGCTTGTATTTGAGTATGTAATATGGGATACGAGAATTCTTAACAATTACCGAATGAAGATTTGGTGTAAAATCGCGTTTCCTTGCACATGTGCAATCTGCAAATTCAGGGGACAGGACTTGGGAGAGTTGGCTGACTTGGTTACTCTGCTCAAGTGGAATCGTTTCAGGTTTATCGAGAGCCATGATTGTAGAGAAGTGTGTTGCCGTTTGAGCCGTATTGCTTTCAGAGACACGCTTTCTTTCTGCAACTGCGTTATTAGTTCAGCATGTGCAGCTGATAAAACTCGGGTTGAAGGATGTTTACCTATGCCCCGAATGCCCACAAATCTTTTACACGTTTCTAGGCCTTTAACGAGAATATCAAGTTTCTTGTTCAGCTGTTCTGCAAACTTCGATATTCCTTGGTTTCTCCAGCAATGCAGTTCACCATCTCTGGTGTCATTTCGAATACTGTGACGGGAGATAACATGTCTGACAGCGGCATGACAAGCTTGCTTTCAATTGCCTCGACTGCAATGTCATCAATAAAACGTTTTAAAGCAACCTGTATTCAAATTAGTGTAATAAATGCGGTGTAGCTAGAAGGGTAGTGCTGACCTTATAATATGCGAGCATGCAATCCAGCGCCTCAGCAGATGCAAATCTACCCATATCAGGCTCAGTAGATTGCGTGATTGATTGAGAAAGAGCATTATTATCAACTGCTCCCAGATGATCTATTCTCGATTTCGAGGTTCCGAAGAAGCTTTGGAGAGAACGCATAATTTCCGTTTAGCGACGCTCACTGCGAATTTTCTGCAGATTCTCCGTGAAATAGTGGTTATAAGTGATTGGATGGCCTCGTGTGTGCGATTCGAGCAGTTCCAAGTTCTTCGCATCCGCTGCTTGGCGAAGCCGGTCCAATTTTGGCTGCAGTACCTCCCTCATCAAGATGGTCGATGTAGCATTATCCGCGCCAGTCTGTTGGAAGCATCTCGTATTGTCCAATTCTCAAGAACAGCGGTGCCAGATAATGACCTGTTACATTTCACTTCGAATGTGCTTAATCAGGACGAGCTCGATATTTTCGAAATTGTGTTCAATTACATGGGATCGACATTCTCGTTGACAAGGGGGGATTCCGTATTCCAGATCGAACCTCACAGTGTCAGCGTATCTGGAGATTCAGCAAGCAATAACATGTCAAGTTTGACACTGATAGAGATTTCAGCCGCAGTTGTGAATCACGAGGTTGAATTGGTCTTCTCATGTAATCGGCATATGACTGGTTTGAATAGCATCCGGAAGTGGATGGTCGAGTGTGTCGGCCTTTTAACAAAGGCATCCTCATTTGTGGGAACGACAACATCACAACCGTCACACCTGTTGGCCAATGATTACTATGAGGCTTGCGCCGTTGAAAAGAGAGCCTGCCAAACACTGGGTGTTGATCCGTCCAATGTGGACTCGATTTATCCGACTTCACCAATGCAAAATGCAATGTTAATCGCACAGGCTTCTGCTCCTGAGTCCTATCAGGCCAAACTCCTTCTTGGTATCCAATCACGAGATCAATTTGGCATATCCCGTTTCCAAAAGGCATGGACCATGGTTGTCCGCGACAATCCTATTCTTCGGACAGTGTTTGTTCCTCGTCGTACGGATGTATACGACCAGGTAGTGTTGAACAACAAGATCATCGATAGTCGGATTGCACAGGTAGAAAATAGTTTCCCAAGCAATTTAGCCCGAATGACCTCAAGTTGGAAGGTCCTTCAACCTCACAACAAGCTTACTGTTACGTACAATGGCAACTACGCTACCTGCTTACTTGAAATCAATCATTCCCTCATCGATCATGTCTCCCTCCAGCATTTACTGTGTTATCTCTCTGAGATATACACTGGTTCAATCGACACTGCGTTTGCCACCTCACTGGTGAATTATAACCTCTTTATCAAACATCTTGTCCAACACGATTCACTGGCGTCCATAAACTACTGGCGTCCATAAACTACTGGCGTGCGGTATTCCCCAGTACGCTGCGCAACTCGCTCACATATCCATCATCTAATATAAATGACAATCGAAAATTGAGACACTCGCCAATATCCCTCTCGGAACCAGCAAAATCAGCACTTGTGCCATCTATTCATATGCCATCTGCCATTCTTCGGCTCTGTTGGGCGTTGGCTCTCCAAAGGCAAACAGGTTCGCAGAATCCACAGTTTGGCTACGTAGTCTCCGGACGCCATGTCTCAATTGCGAATACCGAGTCAGGACGAATAGCTGGTCCCTTATTGAACATCTTACCCTGCACAATAGATCTTGGAGCTAATCACATAGCCAAGCAAAAGCTGCAGGATCTTCTCGAAGATATTCAAACACAATATGCCGATAGTCTCCCCCACCAGCATTGGTTTTTTACCTATGCTGCCGAGGTGCGCGAACAACGGATGCTGTCAGAACCACCAACTCGTCTGTTTTTCGATACGGTTGTGAACTTCCGCCGTCACGTCTCTCAGCCAGAAACAAGCTCTCTTGAATTTACAATAGTGGGGGAGAATGTTCCATTTGATGTAATTTCCCCCTTTTCATTAAAATAAATAGTGCCTGCTGACAAATTGAAGCATGATGTCGTACTCGAGATAGACCATGAGGAGACCAAGTTTCTGATCAAACTAACCTCTTGGGAACATCGAGTTAGTGAGGGTATAGCGAGTGAATTGGTAAGATGGTTTGAGGAGAGTGTTGAACATGTGTGTGTACAATTGGCATAGACGCCCTACATGTGTCACGCCCAGCAAGTAATACGGAAAGGGGACATGATGTGAAAATCGAAAGTGAGAGGGAGCGTCTATCTATGTCTATTTAATAGGACAATCTAGTGCTTTGTGAATATCGGTATTGTTGAACCGTTGATATCTGTTCTACCGTAACAGGGAGCTGCCGACAGCAGCAATTAAGAATAAACCACCGGCAATGTAGAAAATCAAGCCTGACACCGCGCCTCCAGCGTTTAACCCATATTTAAATGCCATAGCAAGGAGAGGGGACGTCAAGAGAGTGGCAGCAATTCGAAGAACTGCCAGTGCAGAATAGAATGGGGCGACCTCAACTGGTTGGACTAACGATGTCCCGTATGACTGAATGGAAAACGGGTATCCCAATGAAAAGGTGAAAAGAACAAGAGCTGTTTGCCATCAATAAATAATATGTCGAATAACACAGGGGTAAACGTACACATAACCAAGAGAACTGGTCCAGAGGCCACTCCTAGAAGAATAGGGCCTAGGACACCAAACAAAGAGCTTCCTCGTGCAACCCATAGATCTATTATTGGTGGTGAGATGGAGCATTCCTTTGCGAGGGCCCTACGGAGAAGTGGTAATAACAACAAATAGAGCGCCATGCTGACCAACGCCTTAGCTGAAATCAGGTAGTTTGCCTATCATAAATCACGTCCCGTGTCAGCAAAAAGGAGATTGAAAATGTACACAGAATACATACCTTGGCTAAGCTCCATTCAAATCGCTTGGAGACGTACTGAACCAAAAGGTCAATCGTATCCCTAGCTAACATGGTAGAGATATAACAAACTGTCACCAACCAGATGGCCTTTATCTGGAAAGGTGCACAGCTTCTCTTGAGAGACTTCACCCAATTAGCAAAGCCTGCCTTATCTGACGCTTCAGTCGAATGTCTGCCTTCAACCGGATCGCAATTATTCTCATTCTCCAGTGTTTTTGGGGGTCTAGTATCAGGTAGGAGACCGAAAATTACCATATTGGCAACCTGCAGCGGGAAGGCACACAGCAATGGGATGTACACGCCCTGCCAGTCCACCAACAAGGACCCAACAGCAGGGGCCACCAGTTCAGCAATAAGTGTCATGACAGCCATGTTAAAGAATGCCTGCGCACGATTCGTTTCGGCAACCACATCTACCAGAAGAGCATGAATAATCGCAGACATGACCATCTCTCCTCCACCGATAGACCGAAGAAGCGGGGACGCATAGATCAGGGAAAGCGGCAGGGTGTAGTTGAAGAAGCAAACCGCGACAATCCATGCGTCTGCAAGAATCTGGCCCGAGATTGCTAGGGTCAACACAAGCGAACGGCCCTTGGTGTTTGCAATATTACCAAATGGGAGTGCCACGAGAAGCGCTGTACATGAGAAATTCAAATCAGCAAAAGAAAAAAGAGTGAAAAAAGCCTAATCACGCACCGCATACACTCTCGCCACCTTTGAGCCATGTTTGCGTTGTGACGAGCTCTTCCTGGATCGGATTTACCTTGCACATGTGCTCTGGTATGGTGTTTGTCGAAGCATAGTATTTTTGGCATATAATTGACTCGAAGAGTTTAGTTCTCGGCATGGTGCGCAGGATTTGAGCCGAATCAAAGAGTAGGGCGCCGATATAGCAGATGATGCATATTCGCGTTGCGTTCCATATTGACTGTTTTTTGTAGGGCTCTTGCGATCGCTCTCCAAGAAGAGGGCTCTGTTCTGTGTAGGCCATATTAGAACGCGATAGCAGTGCTCGGCGTTGAGGGTACTCTATCGCCGAGTTCTATCACATTATGGATAGAGGATTCAGGAAGGAAATCAAAGGCCGCGTATTGTCATATGGGTTTATTCCGTTCTTTATCTTAAGCTTATCCCGAAATCTATCCCGAACCGCGTTGACTCTATTCCGAGTCCGGGATGTGTTAACCAATGAGACAGCTGGAACTATATCAGGGCAGATGAGCTGCAGGTGAGTAAGTAAGCATATTAACAGATTGATAGTCGAATCCATGCTAAGCAAAATTAAAGAAAGCCTCGATTCAGTCTAACAGGATTTATATCCATAAGTCTGTCACCTAGGCGAGAATAAAGATAGATACTACTAGCAAGACCCTAAGAAAAAACGTGGATTACTTAACACACATGCTCATGTTGAAGAAAAAAGTTACTTTAAAATTCAGGATCAGATCCTATAATTTGACTGAATCACAATACCACATCCTTGGATCTCCCCATTCTTCCTCTTCTGCTGCATCTCCTCAATGATATCCTTGTTCTTCTCATAGTGTCTCCTAGCTTCATCATTCTCTTCATCTGTGAACGGCTGTGGTAATATCGATGGATCTGGTGCCCACCACTGCTCTTGAGGTACCAAGGTTCCATCGGAGTTATGGAATCGGGCTTCAATTTCCTCGTAGTATGGAAAACGATCCATAAACGCTTTGATCAGTCGGGGCGGTAGTCCAACAGCATCGATAACTTCATTTTCAGAACTGAGGGAGCGTAAAACGCCATCACTGCCTAGTGCCACACGGCCCAAAGAGAGCTTGTGCATTTTGTCGACGATGGAACTTATTTCTTTTTGGTCTGGATGGTTGTTTGGATCTTGGCCATAGTGAGTGTATATGGACGAAACAGAAGAAGACATGATATTTACTCTGCGATTGCTGAGAGAGTGTATTCCAAAGAAATATGAATGGAGCTTATGGTGCTTATGGGCTAGATCCTAGTTTTTGAACAGAAAGGTTCGACTAGAAACAAAGAAAATCTAATGAAGCGGAGAAGGAGGACTACAGGATGTGTGCCGAGGGTGTCGCAGTAAATTGGCTGGCATTCTCAAGCATCGGACTATCTGGGCAAGATGTGTATAAATACTTCCTCGATTGACCTGCGAAGAGGTGTATTTGTCATTCAACACCACCGACATCACAAGCACAATTGAAGAACCTCTTGCACAGAATTGCCTTCAAACAAAATCCCGTTTTTCACAAATGCCCTCATTTTCATCTACAGTACTGGGTCTGATGGCCGCATTATCGCTCGCGGTTCCCGGGGTACTTGCTACGTTCGCAAACAGTTCCTCAGATGTCCGGGATGCCATTTCTAGTCTGAAAACAGACCCTGATGGGTATCTGCACATTGCTGACGACGGAGTGGCACGAGCCTTTGATGCGAATGATACCGTTACTGGCTATGTCGCCTTGTCTAACGACCAACTTATGCAGTTGCTCGCGGAGCTTCCAGAGCTATGGCAAAATGAAACGGATCACTTGCACTCTGTATTCGATGGTGTTGATGGACGTGATGCGAATCAGACTCAGTTGCTCAACCCTCCTGCTTCACTTCGGCCGAATCGTGGGGCAGCCCAGTCTCAAAATGACAAGCGTGCAGTAGAATCTCTCCTAGAGAGGCAGCTACCTTTCTGTCTTGGCAGACCTTGCACCAGGGTGGAAGCTTGTCAAACCTTGGGTTGCTCAACTTGTTCATATCTTGATAATGTTCCAGGAAGCAAAAGCTTCCCGTAGTCAAAACTACAGGTGTCAAATCAGCGCAAGCCGTATAAACAAGATCTTGAGGGCGTGAAAGGTTTGAAATGTCATGGACGATGCCCAATGATTTTTGCTTTTGGATTGTGCCCTTGTACAAATGGAGGGTGGCTTAGTTTTGATAAATCAGAGTTCAGCCATTTCTAAAGCGCCCCGCACGGTTGCACGCAGCTATCTTTGAGGTAGGAGTAGTCGTCGAGAGGCCGAGATTGGTTCAAAATGACGATTATCAGGTTGCCACCCTGGGATGTGATGCCTCCTGTGCCGCAAAGAGAGGTGTCCATAAACAGGCTGCCACCTTTGTCCACTTCTGATCAACTAATTTCATGACAATATGCCATGGATGATTGAATCATACCACAGGGTTTCCGATCCTTAGATACAACGCAACCTTTCACTCTAGAGTCCCAACAGGCCTAGACACACTGTCCCCCTCTGCCATTTAGATTCCTGTCTTCCCAACTTACTATCATATACACAGGTTTCTGTTAGTACTTGTCATCCCAACTCACTGTCGTATCCACAAGCCCGACCTTACACCTGTTGTTCTGACTCACTATCATATACACAGGTGACCACATCTTGTGGCTTTTCACTTGCCTGCGTTGACTCCACCAACCTTGCAGGTCTTCTCTTCCTCAATTCCTTGAGGAATTTTATCATTGTGGGAATTGCATCAGCCTCCAACGATAGTTTATACGGATCTGTTGTACGCGAGCAATCTTTGTCCCTAGCGTCATCAACAACCCTAAGGATGAGTTATCCAAGTTATTATTCTTCTGATCTTGTGTTATATAGTCTAGTCTTTGTGAAGGCGTATCTGCTGGATTTGTTGACTCTGACCGCTATCTAATTACAAAATTGTATGGCATAAGGTAGTAGCACCATCGTGCTTGATGACCATTTAGCCTAGACTGCTTCATGAACGTCTGCAAGTTGTGATAGTCCATCAATACCTCGACTAGGTACTTACTACCCTCTAGATGGTGTCTCTAATGCTTGAAAGCTTCCACTATTGCTAGTATTTCTTGGTCTGGTGTCTCATAGTTTAGTTTAGAACCCTTGAACTGTCTAGAATAGAAGGCAATAGGGTGCCATTGTCCTTTAAATAACTATAATAATATTCTATTAAGTGCATATTTGGATGTATTAGTCTTCAACTGTATTAAAAGGTCTAGATCGAAATGTCGCAGCAACGGTACAGTTTCAAAAGCACTCAATAACTCAAGGAATGCCTCCTGCTGAATGCTACCCCATTTCTTATGGAAATCTCCGGTTTCCTTGCCGTCCTTACTGCCCTTTATTAGGCTTGTAAGTGGCCTGGCAATGCGCGAATACCCTTGGATGAATCTTCTATAGAAGTTACAGAACCCAAGGAATACTTGAATATCCTGGCACGATCCTGGTGGGTATTCCTTCTACTCACTAATTGTTTGGACTCTCTCTGGGTCCATTTGACTCCCTGGTCATTAATAATGAAGCCCAGGAACTTCATTTTGTTTTGGTAGAACTGGCACTTCGAGAGTTTTAAATACAGTTTGGCTGTTCGTAGCCGTTCATATACGAGTCTCAAGTGCTCCGTATGCTCTTCCTTCGTCTTGGAGAAGATCAGGATATCGTCCAGATATACAATGCAAAAATTGTCAACCAACCCTCTCAGGGCCTAGTTAATATAAGCTTGAACGCCGCCGGTGTATTTGTCAGCCTAAACAGTATCGCTAAGTACTCATAATGGCTATAACAGGTGCGGAACGCCATCTTCCACTCGTCTCCTGGCCGTATTCGAATACGATAGTATGCATCCTTCAAATCAATCTTGCTAAACACTCTATCTCCATTCACGCGATCCAGTATTTCGCCCATCAATGGCAACGGGTATCGGTTCTTAATGGTGACTTTGTTAAGGCCTGAGCGCTGGAACCAATGTTCTTGGTTTTCCTAGTCAGACCTGCGTCTAGTGCATTTCATTATACAGGTAGCTTGGGCTGCATTTTCTCGACATGGACATCCGACTGACAATTCTTGTAATGTCACTGGTGGTAGGTGTCCTTCGAAAAACAACAGAGGTGCTTTTAAGAGCACGCCCATCGAGTGCCTGAACAGATTTCTGTTGCTTGATTATCATGCAGATGCCCATGGCTAGGTAACCGTGCGTTAGATATGTTAGCAGCCTTGCAGTAGCACAAATGTGCTACCCCTCCTCAGCCTCATAATCAGTGCTTCGCATTCTTTCATCATTATGTGAAGGCTCAATCAAATGTTATTTGGAAGCTAATACGAGAAATCTAAGCATAGGGAGGAAAAGGAAAGAGTGTAAACATGAAGCTATCCCTGGTCCCAGACATCAGTGGCGCGCTCACGTGCCCCTTCTCGCCCAACCCTGATCACGTGACCTCTGTCCAGACCTCTCAAGTCAGCAAATCTCACCATCTTCTGTATAGCCTCAGCACCAGCCGTCACACTTCGCATTCTTTCATCATTATAAAAATAGCTCAATGACTGGGTATGTGTGCTTCATCTGAACTATATCTGGTTCATAATGACCACTTTAATGCACAACGACTATATAATCGTATTGATACGCGCCTTGCCGGTAGAGGTCGCAGCGGCCTGCACCATGCTGAATAAAATTCATAGTCCGCTGCCAGAACCGTCTACCGATCTGAATGCCTATGAACTTGGCGAATTAAATGGCTACTATGTTGTCATTACCTGCCTGCCATATAGTATATATGGAATGGTGGCTGCCGCGAATGTGGTGTCTCGCATGCGTGCTACCTATCCACGGCTTCAATATGGACTGATGGTGGGAATTGGAGGCGGCGTCCTGGGCAAAAACCATGACATTCGACTAGGCGATGTCGTGGTTAGCAAACTGGCTGGAGAGCACAGTGGGGTGATAGAGTATGATTATGGCAAGGCGATTGGAGGTGGGAAACTCGAGTGAACGGGCACCTTGAATAAACCACTGCACAGTCTTTTGAGCCATATGAATCAGCTTGAGGCAAAGCGAATGATGGGGAGTGAGAATGATGTTCAAAGAATAGTGGAGGAAGCACTCAAACGGAACCCTCACATAAAAGAAAAGTTTTCGCGCCTAGAATAGTGTACAGACTTCCTCTTTGAATTCTTCTATAACCATGCTGGCGGGGAAGGCACTTGTGAAAAGTGCGATAAAGACCGATTAGTCAAACGAAAACCACGAGAAACAAGGACCCCTTTTGTCCACTACGGGTTAATTGCATCAGAAGATCAGGTAATAAAGGACTCAGAGACACGGGACCGCCTAGCACAATAGTATGGTATACTCACTCTGCTTTGAGATGGAGGCAGCAGGCCTTATGGATGATCTTCTGACGCTTGTGATTCGAGGCATATGCGACTATTGCGATTCTCATAAACAGAAGCAGTGGCAAGGATATGCAGCATTGACAGCGACTGCTTATGCAAAATCGTTGTTATCGATTATTCCCATCAGCCGTCCGGATGTTGAATTGATGAAAAGTAAGAACATGCGGCACTGGATGGTTTCGCTCCCAAGAAATCTCAAATTTGTCGGTCGCCTAGATGAAATCACGAAATTGGAAGGACTGATCACACTGCAAGATGGGACCAGGAGGATTGCTATCACCGGGTTGGGAGGAGTCCGGAAGACGCAAGTAGATGATCACATCGAGGATTCGACTCTAAATTCTCTTTTCAAGTCGGGGCTGCAATCAACTTTCAATCCTGGACCAAGAGCCGGCCCCGGATATATCCTAGGAACCGATAAGAATAGCTGCGATATTGTGCTGCTGAAGCTCGCAAGGATCAGCAGGCGCCATTGCTTTTTCACATTTGATGAGAAGCGACGATTGATCTTGCAAGACTGTTCGCAAAATGGAACCATTGTCACCTACAACGGGAAAGGAGGAGAGAAGCGTCGAGATTTCAAGTGGATTCTCAGTGGGGATAGAGTCCCCGAAGACACCGAAAACATCCTCCTTGAATTTCATAATCACCTGAAATTTCGGATCATCGTCCCCAAGCACGAGACATGTCCGGATCTATATGCCGGACATGTTGACCGATTCCTCCAAGAAGTGACTGCGAACACTCGAACAGCAAACCATCGTCTACCTCCCGATATCTATAGATGATGTTATGATTCCTTTTGATACCCTATCGCGGACGACCAACATCACAAGCATCTCTACAGCAGTGACAGGTAGCCGATCCCAACTTGGCACTCTATTAAAAAAAAGTAGGGATTTAATACACATCTGTACAGGGAGGAAGACTTGTCCAGGGGACATATATAGCTCAAACTGATGTTTGTAAATTTGGTGAACACATTGGCGTCGATCTTCGTGGTGTAGTTCGCCAAGCAGAAACCTGGAAGAGCACGACAAGCGCTTCTGACATCTCTGATATCAGCCACCAGGGAGACTGTCTCTCAAAAGAGTCTGAAGCCTGGAACAGCACGACAAGCGCTTCTGATATTTCTGATATTAGCCACCAGGGAGGCCGTCTCTCACAAGAGATCGGTGACGACATTTCTTCTTCTTGTAACGGTATCACGTATCCAAGTGACTTGGATCTATGGAACTGGCTGAGTCAATCGTGACCAGATGTTTAAGTCGGAGTAGTAGTTTAGGGGAAAGACAGGCAGGATCTCAATTGATTTAATGCCTTGAAAGGACTCTATTGCAGACTCTGCGGATTCATCGATGGCCTCTCCGCCTATTGATGTTCATAGTTAGAGATCTAAATCTGGTAACATTTTCGCGTACAGTATGCATTTATCCATTACACGATCCGATGTAAAACTTACAACGGGAAATTCACGGTCTCCTTCCATCTTTTGATTTGATTGGCCTAGTTACTGAATGACGTTGCTTCAATCTGCCGAATGCAAACACTTCTCTCTGCTCTGATCTATGGTGCGAGTGGGTCAAGGCATATGAACGCTCGTAAATGTCAAGCTCCGTGCCATTTCTCGTTATTTTGGAAAGACTGCATAAGTGGACTAAGCTTGAAGCCAACATCACGAAGGTGAGAATCACCAATAGTCTATGCAGTTGCCCTCAGGGGTTGTGCTCGGCTAGCTCAACTTCATCTGCTAGTCACGAGCTCAATTGGGTCCATGGGAACAAGCCACCGCAAAAGCAGGCTGACTCGTACAGCTGTTCTCGTGGGACAAGCTCAGCCAGCTCGACTGAGGAGCTGTATGCTGGAAACAGCGAATTGAGTGGGACGCGTGATGGAACAAAATTTAGGTCATTCCAGACACGTTGATCGGTGACAAGTCTGTTATATCCGTGATTAGAAAGGATCATAGCACAAGCCGCGGCCAGGATAGACGGAAAGATATGAGGGAAAGCGGAAATTGTTATAAGATTGACAGAGCTTCCTACCTACAGTTACCCGGACAGTTTCAAGCCTTCAGCCATACCATACATTTTACGAAAAAACCAACTTTGAAAGGCGGCGCCCGAAATAGGGTGAACTAGTCACACTGTGGGCAGCTTGGTATCGAAACAATGGCTCGGACGAGCCCGCCGAATGGTAACACTGATCATTGACAATACACCACATGGTAAGGGTTTTCCTCTTCGCGATACTGTCAACCACTGACCCATGCTGGCAAATTTGTCCCTACCAGTCTCAGCTGAAGCCAAAACTTTACTTACTGGTAATCAACGACTGCTGCTCTTCTCCCAGCTCGCACAGAGTGGACAGTCTTCGTCCATCATACCAGAACATCGCCTAGCCATCGTAGCAGACACAACGAACACCTGTGGAAATCACTAAGCTACGGACGACGTGACAGAAATCGAGGACAGTCCGCAAGAACTATACCGGATCTCCCAGACGAGGCTCGACCCTGGATCTGTGGAAGCTTTGACGCCCCCTAGTAGTCCGCGTGTAGCTCCTTCAAATCTTATCACAAAAGAAGAGCTGAGATGGTTGTTAGCGGAAGTATTGAGAATTCAAAGCGCGCAACCTACTGTGGACGGGAAAGATCCTATCAGCAACGAGAAGACCGACGGCCAACACATTGCCCGACGGATAATTCGTACCTCAAAAGTGGAGTACAAGACGGTCAACGAAGTGTATGTCGATGAGAGTGTATTGTGAGCATTGCTAACCGCATATAGATGGGATTCCGCGAAGTATGAATATAAGATCGTCAATTCTACCCCAGTTCCGGACGTCCATGAATTAGACGAATACATATTTGTGATTCGTAAACGCAGTCGTGAGTAGTATCCAAGTATAAGTTGAATTACGCTGACACCTTCTAGACGAGCAGACTAAAGAGCTCATTGTCTATATTGACACCAAATCACCGGGATTAAGAGATATCAAATCAGCGAACCTCGATGCGGATCGGCCTGCGGTATGTCGCCAAGGCTTCAAGCTAGGTTCCATCGCTAATTGAGCAAATAGATCGAACGTGATCTTTTATATCACTACCTGGATGAGTTAAGAGAGTATCGAAAGAGGTTTCACTCCCAAGAAGCGACCTCTGATGACGCTATGCTTCACCTAAGCAAACTTGTGCAGTACCTTGAAGAAACCTATGCACCGGTAGTAGAACAATTGAAGTTGCTCCTAGAGTCTCAAAAAATCACCTGGGATCTCTTGTGGGCTCTGTTTAAACCAGAGAAGCAGTTTTTGCGACTTACCCGTCTACCGGGTTGCCCCGATGCATTCGGTACGATTATAGTGAGAGAAAAACAATCAGAGGCCATGAATTTTTTGAAGTCAACGGACGCTATCTCGATTATGACGGAGAGATCTTCGGTGAATCCGCCGAGACTCTGCAGACCGCACATTTTCACCGATTCCATCTTTCCACATCAAATAGACTACCCGGTTCACGTAGCGGGCGACATTTAGCAGTACCTGCTTCCTGCCACCGATCCAGTGAATTGCTTCATGGTCAAAAATCTCACAAGGAATTGCTCTGCTTTTGCCTTTCATCTCACCATTAAAGCACGGCCCTGGAAAGTTGAAATCCCATGTGCATCAGTCGGTACGGTCGATTGTCAGGTCGGCGAACCAGGGTAGTGAAAATCGACGTTGAGACAAGCTGGTCATCCATGTAATAATCATGTGAAAATTCTTGAAACTGTGGTAAATAAAATGTAAGGAACCAAATGGAGTCAAGGATCGGTACGTGAAAGTGACTATATGATATGCCAGTTTGACTCTCCATATAATGGCGAAGTACGAATGGCCCCTACATCGTTGATTATGATCCCCGTCGTTCACATGGGATGCCGGACCCATGCACGTTACCGAGCGCCTGATTTGTAAGGCTACCGGCACTGCAATTTGTATTATTAGGTGGCTTGACTTCTCAAATTTGCCGTAAATTTACCTAGGTATACTTGGATATTGTTTCTAGGTGTGCTACATACGACTTGATCACTAGGTCTTCCGGCCTTGAAAGTACAATGTATACTTGATTTACATATTGAGTAAACTTCCGTCTATTTAAGGAAATAATAGAATACATCCATGTATTAAGTGGTATAAATCACGCCTCAATCATAGCCAACTTCTTCTCAAACAACTTCTTCTCTCCAGCCCCGTGTCCATTCGTTGTTATAAGTTTACTCCGCCCACCAAATTCCTCAGTCCACATACTCGCAACAGTCTCAACTGCGCGCTCAAGTACAACCCTAACACGATCCCTAAGCACGGTATACGAACAATCAACCTCTAGATCTTCCAGCCATACGCGCGCAACATGTTTATCGATTTTGATTTCTACACCCGGGAATGGGATACCGAGGCCGTGTAAGCGAGATAATTCGTCGGCTTCGGCTTCGGCGAGTTCTCCTTCGGAGAGTTCTTCTTCTTCATCCTCTGCAGTATTCTTATCGGCTGATGCTGTGGTAGTACCATTTTGAGTCGATGATTTCGAGGATTGAAGACGTGGTTTTTCGATTGGGATCATGGTTTCGCCGAATTGGGCTTCGAGAATCATGAGAAGTTGAGCGAAGCGTTCGTGAGAACTCATTCCACCCTGGGTTGGGATGTGTTTCTCTTCTGGTTCATCTTTGTGCTCGTGGTGATGGTGTTTATTCTTGCAGGATTCTGCATACCTGATTAGTCATGTAGTCAGCATGAAACTTGACGGGAAACTTACGTTTTACAGATGCCGGACTGCTCTCGACAGTCATGAGGACTGCCATGACTGCATCAGCAACACCGTCATTCATCATGTTTCCCTCCCATTCGAGTTCAATCTCTCGCGTGCGGGCCAGGTAACGCACAATTACACTTCCCATCACCAGATACATTTCATCTTGCGCATATTCAATTTCTTCGTCGGCTGCTTCGTATGCTCCATTCTCTTTTTTAAGTGGCTTGTCTTCGCTGGAACCAATTCTCTCAATAACACCAAAGGCGCTTTCTAATGCCCACTTGATCAGATCCATACTTGCGGAACTCAATGTTAACAGTTGTTTGCATGTAATCGTCGTCGTCGTCAGACCAGCGTATTCACGCAAATCCTCTGGAGCCATCAACGACAGATCAAATCCGTTTTGCACAAGGACTCCCGCCATAAGTTTGCCGCCTTCAATTTCTGTTGGTTGTGCCTCCTCTGCCAATTTGCCCACGACTTTGGCGATTTTGTCTTTTCTGAACGGAATTCGGATCTCTTCGCAGTTGGCAGGCGTGTAAACTTTTACTTTGTTCGTCTTCTCGGCGTTCAAACTAAGTAGTTTAGATTTGAGACGCATCATTTGATGTTTCTCGCCGTGTACGAGAATCTACATAAGTCAGCCAGCCTGCAGCATGCTAAGATAATGATGAATACGTACCACAACCGGTGCTGCCACTTGTTCAATGAAGTTCCTGTTCTCGACACCATCCACATGTGCTGCGAAGCTGATCTCATCAATTGTGCAACGTCTCGGTATCATGACTTTCTGGTCTTCATCCGCCATGGGATTGGCACGACTGCCAGGACCAGCTGCAGACTTTGACATAGTCGCTGGAATCTGCTCTGGTTCGTTAAGTAACTGTTTGGCCATAGTTCCCTCGACGCTGTAACCAGTCATGACTACTCCATTTCGTTCACTCGGAGCCCATCGCTCGAGGAGTTCCCTGCTAGTACCAGTCTGTAACATACCTGGCGAGGCGAGCATAACGCAACTACCTATATCATCAAAGCGTTCAAGACTTCTCAAGCTGCGAACGTATCGGAAATCCCAGGGTCCTGCTGCAACATTCTTATTTCCACTAGCCTCTGCCTCGGCCATCCTCTGTCGGAAAAGACGTTTAATATTGTCATTCATGGCCCCGATATAAGTTTGGTAGACGACCATACATCGACGTGCCATATTTCCGATATAGTAAATGGGAACTTTTTGGTACTCGGGATGTCGCTCCCAATATTCTTCCAAAATCAAAAGAAGTTCTTGCGCACGACCGAGGGCGAATACAGGCATCAGGACCCTACCGCCGCGATTGAGTATACCAGTTATGGACTTCATGAGAGCGGCCTCCCGTTCTAAACGAGGTGGATTTGACGATATACCGAATGTCGATTCTGTAATGAGAACATCAATTTTGATTCCTCTTGGAACCTCTGCAGGAATCAAATGTCGATCTTCCTCTCGAGAATAGTCGCCAGTGAACAGGATATTGAGACCTGCAATCGAGACTAGAAACATTGCAGCGCCGAGAACATGTCCAGCAGGGTACGGCGTAACACGTATACTGTTGATGGTATGGGTGGTATAAAAGTCGATCGTCTCAATGAGGGGAAGAGTGGAGAGATGGTCATGTTCTGTGTATAGGGTTGTTCTCTGGTCCGACGAGGACGATGTATTGCTGACTCGCACATTGTCTTGGATCAACCACTTGTAGATAGCTTTTGTCGCGTGTGTTGTCAGAACACGGCCTTTGAAATTAGTTTTGCTTAGGACATAGGGAAGTGCGGATGAATGATCGACGTGGAAACTGCAGCGATAAGCTTCGGTTAGCGGTTCTTCTAGCAGCGAAAGAGTCCATATCGACTATGAGGGTCCCAATGACTGGGTGGATACGCAAGTACTAAACTGGCGGAGAAGAAACAAGAGAATAATTTGCATTCATTTCTGATATACATATAGCAAAGATCTCGTACATGCGAGGTCTCTTTCGTATGAATCCGGAATGCAAATGCGCACTTCTTCGTACAACCATATTCTTATGCAAATATAGAACTGTGCCAAAACTAACGAATAAGGGAATGACGTACTGGCTGAGTAAAAGTATATCGACGGTACTAAGATCGAATTCGTCGAAGAAAGGCAAAGCTGCGAATCCTTCTTTGGCGGGATGCATACCGGCGTCGAGCTATAGCTTTATCAGTATGACCACGCACTTCAATAATGTATCGGACGTACCATAACAGTCTTTCCCTTGTACTGGATAATGTGGCATGAGCGGCCGACTTCATTCCCTCCTCCGAGGCAGTAAAAAGCAAGCTCATCGGACGGATCGACTGGCTCGTCGTCTATGGTCGCGGCCATAGCGGACGCCTTGCGCTTCGCAGCCATGATGTTATCTAATCACTCCGAGGCAATTCTGACTAAAAGTCGGAGAATCCCAGTATGGTCAAGCCAAGGGTAAATCTGGAAGGAGCAATTCACAATGGAGAGGCCATTGGAGAGTAGAGCTTCACACCAAACGTTAGATCGTACAGCAGTGAAAAGCAAGATAAAGATAGAAAAAGCATCATATGACAACAGAGGGGGTTTGGCAGGTGAAGTCTGACTGATGGGAGCTTGAGGAACAGAAGTTGGGGATAAAGATAGCCGCGCGGTCACGTGGTAAACCCGCAGGCGCGCCTCCCGAAGCCGATCCTGCGGGTCAAACTATTTCGCAAGCTTTCCTGCTCTTCTGAGCACAGTCCCTTCTTCCAGCCCATCCACCGTCCATCACCACCATCGCTCTTCCGTATTTGTCTCCGCGACTGCAGAGTTCTCAACATGGTTTTTTAGATGAGCAGGAACTAAGGCTTCTCTGAGATGGTTACGACCCGTCTACACGTCACGCTAGAGCGCTTTGCTCGCACATCCAATATCGGTCGCTGAGATCTGTCCACCAGCCTAACTCTCATTTACGACTCTTCGATTCATTCAAAATGGCGCAAGCACAGCCACAGCAACCTCCTACTCAACGTTCCCCTCAATATCCCCCGAATCAGCCGTTTTCACCTCCCGTCTCGACTCCGACTCCTCCAGTGAATGCCGCCATCTATTCCCCTCCTCCTAAACGGCCACGACTCTCCCCTCTCCCACAATCACAGTCTACTTATGCATCGCCCAGTTTGGGCGCGTCGCAGCTACCTCAAGCTCATCCTACAGGTCTAAATAATGGGTTCCAAGTGAATGGCATGTCGACGCCTGGACTTGCGTCCGTTGCCCCTGCACCCCCTGGTTCTATGGGTCCTCCATCCCGGCCAGCCGACAAACCAACGGACGCTTCAGACTTGACCGATGTTTTGGCACAATCCGGTATCGATGTTAGGGAAGAAGAGGCATATTTGACCCAGAGCTATGCGGCACCAGTGGTAGCCCCCCGTCCACAGGCACCTGGGCTAAATACATCCTTTACGTCGGCTCCGTCCACCCCAGGTATTGCGTCAGCAAACGTTAGCTTTGATTCCAAACCTCCGCCAACACAAGAGCAACAAATTGTGCCCGCATATTCGGAGGATGCGCCTTACAATCAGCCAACGTACGAAGAGACCCAGGCAGCGAGGAGATCTCAGTATCATTTACAAGAGCCATTTCTTCTTACCAAAGTACTTGAGCAAAAGATGCAGAAACGCGCATACGATCTGGGCGTACGGCTTCCAACAGACGGGTTGTACCATCCAATGCCAGGCTCACGTCAACCAATCGAGGTGACAGGCCCAGACGGTTCGTCTATCGTCCGCAGAGGACATACCATCATCAATCAAGAAGGAGCACCCCTTGTTGATATTCTGTCGCTCATGTCACTTTGTTGCGAAGAACGATTGAGAGGTGTCATTGAATACTCTGCTAGTTTATCGAAGAGCCGCCGGTTACATTCACATGGCGCCATTCCTGCAGAATGGCAAGCTTTGGCTGCAACGACACCAAAAGCTTCGGGGCCTATTGCAGGTACTCCTTCGAAGCGTAAGATGTCATTAATACTGTTATGGAGGACTTCGATGCTAATATTCTGTTAGGACCACATGCTGCAATCGACAACGGCCCTCAGTCATTGGTAAGCAAGTATCTTGCTTTATCGACAGAAGACATGTCTGCTGAGCAAGCTCGTGCGGCCAAACGGGCGAAACGAAATGCGGATAATATAATCAGCGAGGCCAATGGCAGCAGGGCACCCTCGATAGATGTAGGCTCTGGTGCTGCAACACCGCTATCTCAAGTAGCAATGGGTCTCGACAAAAAAGGAATCACCAAAAAGGAAGCAAAGAAACAGCTGGACGCGCGGGCGACTGAAGCCCAGCAGCATCAACAATCTGTTGAGACTGCGCGTAAGGCTCTATCGAGTACGCTATTTGGAGGATCCAAGAAGCGAACCTATTCCTGGTTGAACAAGGGTTCAGCTGTGAATACCGTCTCATCGCCCCGTCCTCACTCTCCGGCCCTTGGCGGCCCCGGTGTCAGTGCCAGCGGTGGGAATGATACAAGCGAGAGGAAGCGTAACGCCAGTATCGCCCCTACAGAAATATCTCGGTTAGGAGACTGGCGTGAAGACAAGTCCAACGGAATACAAGTACGAGACATATTATTCATGCTCGAACAAGACGGAAGAGGCTCTCGACACGTCCAAAAAGCCTACAGTAAAGATCTCCAAGAAGAACGAATTGCTTGAGCAAGTTTTATCTATTTTAATTTTTCTTTCTTCAACATTACACAGGTTTTTTCAAGTTGTATCAACATATTCATTTATAGGGGGTTTTCAATTGATCATTTTTAGCGCTGTTATTTTTTATGGACGTTAGGAGATTGAAGGTCAATATGCCTTCAGGCCGAAAAGACATTTTGATAGTATTCTGAGCATGAGCAACGCATGGCCTGGTTAAAAACAATGCAATTCATACTTGGCCAATGAACTTGTCTGTGGTAATTTCCTCATCACCCCGCCATAAAGATGCGCCGATACTTTGAAGTCAATCCGATTGCTCTGTCGTCCATTCAATATTGATATTAAGCGAGAATAAAATACTGTCATACCACTCTGACAAGCATTAATCTTAATCGGTAGCCCGCTGTCAAGGTGAGGGATGAGATGCGACGGGAGAGAGCTCTACATAAGGTAGATAGCATTTATGCTGACAGGGAGGGTGAAATATCTTCATTGATTGAGCGTGGCAAAACGTCTTCGTGACTGTATTCATTTTTCGAGTCTCACCCACTCTGGATAGTCTCGACGCAATAAGGGCGAAGATCTTGTGGCAAATGGGCTCAGCGGCGCTTGACCACGCTCTTGTTCTAGTTTTAGTCCGATACGTATGCACATCATATATTGATATTGTTCTGTATAGGATGGGACATAGAAGGGCAGTTTGCCTACGGAGTAGTTCCCTATGATGAAGAGTAACTTAGTAGTATAGTAGGCAGTGTAAATATTAGATACAACGCAAGTCAGCAAATAATATCCGCATCGGAATGTCTGTAGCAAATCCTAATCGTGATTATCGTTCTTCCGGCCGACCACTGCGCCCACACTCTGTCATCATCTACACACTACCCCGGCCTCATTTTCTCTCACCATCTGACCGTCTGTTCCTTTTCTCTGCAATGGCTGTCTATATACGTCTTGTCTCTTAGAATTACATATCGCGGTTATCCCTTTCCCCTGCAATTTCCCAAAGGCAAACCCGCCCCGATCGACCAGACGAGTCATCGTCACTTTCCGGCCCTTCCCATCCACAACATACGAACACAGCCGTTCCTCACTCTGACACTTGCCTGTATCACTTTTTTCGAACACATTCAAATGGTGTCGAAGTGAAGGAAACACCGTTCTCGCAAGTCCGGACTTGACGTGTATCAATAGCTGTTACTCGACGCTTTAGACGAGTCGGCTCAGCAGTGTTTCCCGCGCGGCCCCCTCTACCACCAACGAAACTGCAGATTTCCACCATGTCGACTCCCTCGACTGCCACTGCAACTCACCCTTCTCACCACCCTCACTATGGCTATTCCCACCACCAAATCGGTTATCAATCAAACGGTGCTTATCCTGCAACCAACACTCCAACCGGATCTGCTCGTCTAGCAAATAGTTACGCCTACCCTGCCAACACGCCTACTGCCTCGACCACCAGCACGATGACTACCGCACAATCTCATCCTCTTCCTCCTGTTCCTCAATCCGCCCCAACTCCCACAAATCCAACATACAATACCACAAACAACGACTCAATGTCGTCCGGCACATCGACCCGCCGGCGGAAGCCCAATTGGGAGGAGTTCTATAAAAACGGGCTGCCCAAGGAAGTTATCATTATTGATGACTCGCCTCCTCCAGACCAGACCACGGGTACTCGACTTGCGGTGACGTCGACAACAACAACAACAATCAATGGCCAGCCCGCAGGAAAGAGACGCCGAACAGGACTCGAGTCTGCTTATGACGTGAGTTACCACGACCGACCGTCCTTCTCGACGAACCCACAACCATACTGGGAGAACTCGTCTCACAATTCTCTATCTACCGACCGCACCACATCCTTGCAGACAACCGCCCCCACGTCTCTCGGGTCAGCTGGTAGCGTGGGAACAAATAATGGGGTTGTCTACGAGGATGCCAATGTCGGTCAGAAGCGCAAGCGTAATACGAGGACATCGACTCGACAAGAGGCCAAACGTCGAGAACTCGAGGCTGTCAGCGATGCTTTCCTCAGTTATATCCCACCCCCTCAACCTCCGATCAAGGCGAAAGAGGTTCCTGTGCCTGTGATTCGTGATGTGAGTTTTTCTTCACAACTGAAGTGAACTCTGGCTGACTTTTCAGTACTCTTACGGAAAACACGAGAAAGTCGACGATGACGATGGACATTATATAGTTCAACCAGATACGCCGCTTACTGATCGATGTAGGATTGCTCATCTGGTGGAGTGAGGAGGCTGTTGCTAACACTGGAATAGATTCGATTATCCGGTTGCTCGGTCAAGGCACCTTCGGTAAAGTCGTGGAAGCGTACGACAAACAACGAAAAATGCATTGTGCAGTTAAAATCATTCGCTCGGTGCAAAAGTACCGTGACGCATCGAAGATCGAACTGCGAGTGCTGTCTACGTTAGCTTCCAACGACAAGACGAATCGAAACAAATGCATCCATCTGCGAGACTGCTTTGATTTCCGAAACCATATCTGCATTGTCACTGATCTTTTAGGTCAGAGTGTCTTTGATTTCCTCAAAAGCAATTCCTTTGTTCCATTTCCGAGCAGTCAGATTCAGAACTTTGCTCGTCAGTTGTTTACCAGTGTAGCTTGTGAGTTTTCTTCAGCAAGGAAGTCGTGGAATTATTCATTAACTAAGTCTAGTCCTTCACGACCTCAATTTGATCCACACCGATTTGAAACCAGAGAACATCCTTCTGGTCAGTAACAGTTACCAGACATTCACATACAACCGCACCATCCCCTCATCATCCCATACCACGGCGCGCAATGCTCGTCACCGTCGTGTCCTACTGGATAGTGAGATTCGACTGATTGACTTTGGCTCTGCGACCTTTGACGACGAATACCACTCGTCTGTCGTGTCGACACGTCATTATCGAGCGCCAGAGATTATACTCAATCTGGGATGGAGCTTTCCATGTGATATCTGGAGTATTGGCTGTATTCTGGTTGAATTCTTCACAGGAGATGCCTTGTTCCAGACGCACGACAATCTCGAACATCTTGCAATGATGGAGAGCGTCATCGGAAGCAGGATCGATCCAAAGATGGTGAAGCAAGTGGTCCAAGGTCGAGGGAATAGTTCTAACCAAGCTGCAAAGTAAGTACTTTCGGATTTGCTCTCACTGGGATAGTCATGCTAACGGTAATAGATATTTTAACCGAAACAAGCTTGACTACCCGAATGAAGAGACGACGCGAGCGTCACGCAAATATGTCAAGGCAATGAAGCAGCTGCATGTAAGTCTTGATCCTTCGATTCACTATGTAATCCATCTAACAATTTCCAGGAATTCATACCTCAAAATCATGCATTCAACAAACAATTCCTAGATCTCCTTCAAAAGATCTTTGTCTACGACCCTAAACAACGGTTGACGGCCAAACAAGCCCTCAAACACCCGTGGTTCAAGGAGACGATAGTTGATGATGGGACTGAAGCTGTACGGCTTGCCAAATTCCACTCTCGTTTAGCCTGAAACTAAGACTTTACTTGCTTTCTAATTTATAGTTGAAATACTCGGGTCGCCAAAAGGTAAATTAAGTGGCTGGAGTATGGATAAGGAATAATGGGTTATCACTTCATGACGGATGATATATGGTGAAATATGGTGTTTTTGGGAAGGAAACAGGAGGGGATGGCGTCTGATCTATACCATCTGGTGGGCTTTGCTGGGCTGGGCTTGAGTAAGTGCTTGACCAAAGTACTGAAGATCATTGCCGGACAACTCCTCAAGAAAAGCACACTTACATGCAGCCAGCTTCCAGCCTATCGGAGCAACACAAAAGGCGCTTCACATCGACGAGACGAGGCAGTTACGTGCCTCGGTCTCTCGATACAGATACACATGGATTCAAGCCACGCTTTGTTTTATATAATTGGAGGTTTTATTTGTCCGATGTATGCCTTTTATTTGCTTTGGTGTTTCTGCTTCTGTTCTCTGTTCTCATGTGTATGTGTGTTGGTGTTTGGGTTACCCGACTTCTTTTCAACCTGGTATATCAACATTTTAACGGATCATAAGTCATGTATTTAGTCGCAATGATTTCTCTACTGAACTAGCACAGTAATCGATGTTTAGCGGTGACAGCTAGAAATTCTTCAAAAGAGCAAGGACTATTAACAAATATCAAGTCTATAGAGCTATATGAAAACGAAAATATACCCCAACTTTTCAAACCAACCAGCAGTCCTAGAAGGAAGAATATTACATTCCCCGATTAAACTCAACCTTCCCCCCATCGCCACCTTTATCCCAAAACTCCTCCTCCAAACTCTTCACTCCAATAGCCTGTCTAGACGGAAACGCGCCCAGCGCCAATGGCAGCGCAAATATCGATGTCGTCAAAATCAGTCCCAGATTCACAGGCAATACAAGTCGAGGCCGTTGTTTCAACCAATCCATCTTCTCAAGCCGAACAAGTATTAAAGGTGGTAAAACCATAATCGGTGTAGCGTTTAGGACGCGACTAATTGCCGTCTCGCCGACGGCGATTTTGGCGGCGATTTTGCTCTTGCCGAGGGATTCGATTGGTTGACCTGATGATTCGCGAGCTTTCTTTTCCGACTCGCTCAGGACAGGGTAGACGTCTATACCGCGACGAATCTCTTCGCTGCGCATTAGGAGGACGTTTAGGGCTGTAGCGCTTGAGACAGCGGCGAACGGGACGAGACGGCTAAGGATGAGCTTTGTGTTTGGGGAGATGTTTTTCAGGCGTGGAACGATTGCGTTAAGCCCCAAGGCTACGGAGCAGGAGGCTGAGACGGCGAGGAGGTAGGATTTGATGAGCATGGAGGTTGTTAGGGGGGTGGATTTGTTGGCGTTGGAGGAGTTAATTGCTACGTTGAGGGATTGGTTGGCTATTTGCCAGAGGAGTGTGCCGGTTGTCTTTTCAAATATCAGTTGGTTGTTTTGAAAGATACGAGGAAGGGGGGAATACCTGAAGACCTGGTGTGAGCATACCCGCTGTAACGACGAGATTGGAGAGGACGAATGAGGACATTCGAAACGGGAGAAAGACCGGGTTACCGGTGTCTGTTATATAATTAGCTCTTGTACAGAATGTCCTGTTAGGGAGACGGACCAGGATGTAATGTCGAATCAACAATCTGCTTTGCGCGCCATAACTCAGGAGTCATTTCCTTCGTTTCGCCATTCTTGTACGAAATGATTAATTTCTTTGCATTTTCCAGTCCTGACGAGGAGATGAAGAGCATTCTATACAGACTTGTTAGTTTTTTCAGTCGTATGAATAAGCAATCGACAGACACACCGAGGATCAGATATGCCGGCACACTCGCGCACACGACCCCAATAAGTGCTCAGGTCATATTGGGATCGGGGGAGGTCCCGACTGCCGGGGAGAGAGGAGGACATTCGTCCGTAGCTGTACCGTTAGCTATACCGTCAGGTGTAGTGAGAAAATAATGAATCGTATTGCTAGGTCTATGCTGGAAGTGTGTACAGATGAGTCAAAGTAAAGAAAGAAAGAAATTGAAGCGATTATCGGAGTCGGTGAGCTTGATAAGCGTGATACCAGATCGGGTATAGCGCAGGTACGATAACGGACTTATCAGCCAGCCGCGACTAACCGATAACATCGTCATCCCTCGACCTTCTTCAACGCTTCTCCTCCTATTTCCAATCGCGCATTCCCAAAATCTTCACTATCAGCTAGCTCTAAATCGAATTCATTCAGTAGTGCCGCTTCAAACACAAACTCAGACCTGGACTTCATCTCCAGCACATGTCCTCCGTACGATCTGTCCTCCGACAAGAAGTGCATGTGCAACCCACTGACTGAGATTCCATCCATGTACGCCGGCGACCAGAATCCGACTATTGTTCCCGACACGCCCTCGTATGTATTGACTTTTTGTGCCTCACCGAGCTCGGATAGTGGCTGCAAGGGGTATTGTTGCCCACGCACGACGCGAGCGGTAATAGTGTCGAGGTGAATGCGCGGAATCAAGAAGAACGCGAACCGATTATTGAGTCCATGAAACAAGGACTGTAGATTTTGAAGAATGGATTGTTTGCTGGGTAGATCCGAGAAAGTCGACCGAGTGCGTGTCTTGCAGTCGTCGAAAGAGGTCACCATGGCAAAGGGCAGTTGTTCATGTGGCTCGACTATTCGTACGGCGCCGGAGGATTGTAAATGGTAAGTTGTAGAATCGAGTATGACCACTTCGCCGTTGATCGATACCATTGTCCCTAGGCCATGACTGCCGTGACTTAGAAGGTTGGAAAGCGGAATGCCCGTGGATGCGACGCCGGACATGAGCGCGGACGCGGTTGAGTATTGGTAGAGCCTGTCTGCCATTGTTGCTGTACAGGTGATTGCGTTGACAAGTTGCCCCTCTCTATCTGAGTTTCAATTTCAAGATGAATGTCAACTGGTAAGTTTGAAGTTGGCCGCCACCGGAACTGGCGGGTCTTACTGTAATCTGACTACGTCAACGCCAGCCCCACGTTGAGATGATATATCTTCTACTGAGAACAACAATTGATGCTATGTATTTCTCAATTTTTGACTCCTGACAATTCTCATCAATTGTGACAAGCAGAATATACGACAGGATGTCAAATCGCAACCCTTCCCACGTAATAGTCGAGTCCCTCTCCAATGCCGGCGTAAAAATCGTCTTTGGTATCCCCGGCGCAAAAGTGGACGGGATATTCGACGCATTGAGTGACCACCCAACCATCAAACTAATCGTCTGCCGTCATGAGCAAAACGCCGCTTTCATGGCAGCCGCAGTCGGCCGTCTGACCGGAGCTCCAGGTGTCTGTCTGGTTACTTCTGGACCAGGAACGAGTAACCTCGTCACTGGGCTTGCAACAGCAACGACAGAGGGAGATCCCGTACTCGCAATAGCGGGGACAGTGTCTAGACTACAGGCAGCGCGACATACACATCAATCCCTCGATGTGAACAAAGTGCTGGAAGGGGTCTGTAAGTCTGTTATCCAGGTTGGAGTTGAAGATCAGGTTAGCGAGGTCATTGCCAATGCCTTTCGGCACGCCCGTCAATTCCCACAGGGCGCAACAGCTGTGGCCTTGCCAATGGATATTATCAAAAGTACCTCTGTGGGTGTACCTCCATTCCCGAGTCTGAGCTTTGAGGCCCCCGGTTATGGTTCAAGCAATACGAAACTGTGCAAGGTTGCTGTCGACAAGCTTATAGCAGCTAAATATCCTGTGATATTGCTGGGTATGAGATCTTCAGACCCAGAGATTGTGGCTTCAGTTCGTCGAATGATCAAAGATCACACCTTGCCTGTTGTAGAGACCTTCCAAGCTGCAGGCGCAATCAGTGAAGATCTATTGCACAGATATTACGGTCGTGTAGGACTGTTCAGAAACCAGCCAGGAGATAAGGTACTAGCCAGAGCAGACCTCATCATTGCAGTGGGCTACGACCCTTATGAATACGACGCTGAAACGTGGAATGTGAACAATCCTGCGACGATTCATAACATCATTCATATTGATTACACTCATTCCAGGGTATCGCAACATTATATGCCACACGTTGAGCTTCTGGGTAACCCAGCAGACATCGTCGATGAACTTACCGCCAGCCTGCAAGCTCTAAAGCCCAACTTCTGGTCCGGTGCGGAGGATACATTGGAAAATATTCGACAGGAAATTGCCAGATGCGAAGCAACTGCAACACACACTGAGTCATTACAGGATGGAGCTGTACAACCGACTCATTTCGTCTACCAACTCCGCCATCTCCTCCCCAAGGAGACCATTGTAGCCGTCGACGTTGGCACCGTCTACATATACATGATGCGATATTTCCAGACATACTCACCACGTCATTTACTCTGCTCCAACGGTCAACAGACCCTTGGCGTCGGTCTACCCTGGGCAATCGCAGCAAGTCTAATCCAAGAACCCCCCTGTTCCCGCAAAGTGGTCAGCATCAGCGGCGACGGCGGCTTCATGTTTAGTTCGCAAGAGCTCGCGACTGCAGTCTTGCAAAAATGTAACATCACCCATTTCATCTGGAATGATTCCGGGTACAACATGGTCGAATTCCAGGAAGAGGCGAAATACGGTCGTAGCTCCGGTATCAAGTTGGGAGGTATTGATTTTGTCAAGTTTGCGGAAGCGTTTGATGGTGCAAGGGGTTTTAGGATTAACTCGACTAAGGAGGTAAAGGAGGTTATCAAGGAAGCGTTGGCGTTTGAGGGGGTGGCTATTGTGGATGTTAGGATTGATTATAGTAGGAGTCATGAGTTGATGAAGGATATTATTCCGAAGGATTATCAGTGATTGGATTGATAGTGGTAAGAGGAAGAGTTACGATTTTGGAGACTTGGTAGCATTCATTGATCTTTCAAGTTTATAGGAGTCCATATATGTACATATCCGAACCCTCGGCCTGAAATAAGGATACACTGAAACTTGACCATTACTTAGGACGATGTTTACCTTTCACAGCTGTAGCTCTCACGTCCACCACGCGAGTCTTCTTGTCTGCTGTCTTCACCTTAACCTTCTTGCCCACCACGTCTTCGCCAGAACTCCACCCTCCAAACACACCACTACGTGAAGAGGACGTAGACGGACGAGCTCGATTCTGAGGGGGAGACTTATCCTGCGGAATAGATAAAGGAGACACGTTCGGAATTGGAGGAAGCACCTTATTCCTCTCAGGCGTTCGGGGAATAGGTTGTGGCTTTGGCGGTGGCGGCGGCGTGCGGCGTGATACAGCACGCGCTGAATACAATGACGGTAATGAGATCGTACTACATGAGTATTGAGATTGAGAACTTTGAAGGTCACTCATAGATGGCCATGTACTAGAAAGCCTGGGTGATACAGTCGTAGCCGGATTCGCCGGGCGAGATTGATGCTGCTGTTTTGGTGGTATGCTGGGTGTTCTTTCGGGATTCTGGGAGTACATATCTATAAACGAATAAGGGTAATTGTTCCCAGGTGGCGCTCGATAGAAGCCTTTACTTGGGGAAAATTCCCGAAGGAAGTCAGTCTCAGAGAGTTCATATGCATTCCTACTCAGGGTTTGAGATAGCGTCGGCGAGATCAGGGGATTCCGGGCACGCTGAGTGACAGGAGTACTGGGTGTTGACGGTTGAGGAGCAGGTTTCGTGTGGCCCCTACCAAAGAAAGATTTATGGAAATGATCGTGTTTGTTAGGTCTAGCAGCCCCCTTCGCCGAACGCTTGGTCTCGTACAGCTTCCACTCATACATAGCATGCCTCATTATCTTAGCTCGTTGATCGGATATACTATGCAGAACATTCTTGTCTCCACTGAGCCCAATCCACTGATCAATATACCCCCAAATAGGAGGTAGACGGCCTATAGGACGATCCGGTGCTATGGGCAGAGCCGCTAGGAATAGGGTTCGCAGTTCTCGCAGCAGGGATGGGTTCGTTGCGACTCGAGAAAGCACACAGGCCTCGCATTGATTAGCCTCGTCTCTCCATCGTGAAACATTCTTTTGAGTATTCGCAACACGCTTCAGGGTCGTGTTCTCATCTGGCCCAAAGAGGAACTCAAAACTTTTCACTGTATTAACCGCCTCCGCAAGATCTGTTCGCAGTGATTCAAAGATTTTGGATGTATGTTCGGCACTCAGACCCTTATGAGCATTACATTGGAATCCGCCCTTCTTATGGAAAATATTGCCTGTTGAGGCTCGAAGATGTCGGGAAAGATTTTCGATTCTGTCTCTTAGTTCTGGGCAATCTGAGTGTGGTGATTTGACATTAGCGTAGAAGCATTTTGCTAGCTGCTCAATATCTTCGAGCTGCTTAATATCCTTTCTCGTAAGTCGTGACATGGTTTGTTGTTATTTAGGAGATATAATTAGTAGCAATGTCGAGTTTGATAGTCCGGGAAGTATATATGAATCAATGTAGCGGTTAGATCATGACCATGTAGATATGGTTCTCCGTTTTTATAGATTGTCTCGTATCTCTATACGTTGAAAATGGTTTTGAAAACCATTTTTATCTTGTAGTGCAAAAAGCATGAGCCATACTTTATAAGCTTGCGGTAAACAATATCAGAGTCATTACCTGGAACGTTCCTTTATTATTAGAGACAAGCAAGTACATTCATCTAAAGACAGCGATCTATGAGTAATCCCGTGTTCAGAGGGTCGATATGCCGTTGATTGTTCGTTCGATCCATTAGTGGTCTTTGTTATCTATAAGACGGAATTGGGTTGATTTGCGATATATTCGGTGAGTTGTGGACTATTTAACGAGTTCTAACATAGAATGACCGAATATGCTTGATATTTCCCAAGTTTGTTCGCGGAAACGGCCCATATATTCTCGTCTTTGATCGTCTACGGTATCATCAGACAATGGCCTTTGTTTCGACTTCTTGGGAATCAAGGATTGAATTAATGTTCATTCGGTGTAGTTCACTATTTTTGAACTAGCTCAGAAATAACGAAACCCTAGAGCTTAAGATTATAAGAATGTCCCAGCAATAATCATAGAGTCACATATCATCGTCCGGGTTTAGCACGTAAACCCAGTGTTGATACATGGAAATAGCATACACAACGATGACTGTTCATTCCTATGTCCACAGTTGAGGATTAGTCTGAGAATCCCTCCCATTCCGAGTCGCTTTCGACGTCTCTGCTTTGGTCAGGGCTTTGAACACCATTTTCTTCCACATCAGGTAATTTCTTAGCCAAAGCATCATCTCTGATGAATCCAGCCACGAAAAATCCACCAGTACACTCGTCATCACCGGGCCAACACCTTAGACAGGCATCTATTTCCTCTTCTGTAAGATCTACGTTTGTCAAATCCCCAGACTTGGGGTCATTGTGGCTTCGAATCCCTCGATGTCGCCATTTCCGGAGACCCCGAGGTTGCTCATCTCGTCGCATAATCCTCCAGCCCCTTTTTTTCGCAATCTTTGATGAGAGAACTCTCTCAACAACACATTCATTCTCAAGTATATGAATGGAGCATGTGCTGTACGTTACTCTGGTAGCAGCGGGGAATGTGAGAGCGTGCTCAACGATATGTGTTTGCAGATTAGAGAGCTTGACTAAGCGCTCTGTATCCATATTGTTCGTTTCCTGCGCCTCTCTCTGCTTCGTCGATTCATCTTCTGTCGGTCTTTTGCGCTTCGTACCTCTATTCGAAGATTTAGAGATCTTCCCTTGCTCTGGAAGTATCAGCTTGGGTACGTCGTCACGACCAATAATACCACTGCCCGAACAACTCGGGTCAAGGAGCAGGCCCGTCACTGATTCGAATCTCTCATCCTCTGGATCTAACGCTAGAAAGTCCTGTCCTGCAAGCACAGTAACAAGCTTATCTGCGCCAGCGACGGAAACCATTTTCTGAAGAATTTTCGACCTCGGGGCTGATGCATCCATTGAAATGATTTTCGATTTGCCGGATTTCTTTTCAGTGTGGACTTTTTGTCGTGCTGTGAGAAGTGAGGATAGATGTGTCGTTTTGTTCCCAGGCGCGGCACATCCATCGACCAAATCCCCTCCATCCCATGGACTCTCCTTATCTCCTAGAAGAAGATAAGCAGGGAAGCAAGATGCTTTATCCTGCAAGATGATTTCTCCATTTCGATATGCATTCAACGACGAAAAATCCACAGTTCCTGGCGCAAGAGCAACCAAGTCAGGAATGTGAGCATCAATGTAGATCTGATTGGCACTTTTCAGCTCGCTCAGTTGGTCCACTTTTTGATAGTTTGAAAATGAAGTCTCCATCTGCGCACTGAATGTACTCTTGACATTATTAATGCGCACCCATCTGGGGTGCATGCTCTCTGTGAGTTCATCATGCCCAAATAATGCTCTCTTCTCCGCTAAAATGACAGATTGTAGATCCTGAATTGAAGCACAATTTCGGCGCACTCGCGCTTTCGTGAGTTCTGCTTTTAGCCGAACTTTGTGTCTGTCGACCGCTTGACGAAGTGGGTGAGATGCTGGTGCAGCAATTCCATTTTTACTGAATAAGAAGTCATGTGTTAAGAGTAGACATAGTAATGGCGTCAACTATTCAAGAGAGATCCCTCTCTTCAACGTTAGTTAGCATTCTTTCGAATTTGTATGAACCACATTACCAAAAATATCACACCTTTGGCTCTGACGAAAGTATTCCGGCATTCTCAATCACCTCCTTCAGCAGAATATCCCATTTAGAAGCCTCCGTAACGAGTGCATAGATTTGTGCTGGCGATGCTTTCAAAGATTTTGAATTGTAGATGCGCGATTTGAAAGAACCGCCTTGATTATTTGAAGATGAGGTTAGTACGGTGGATGCATCGTAGTAAAGTGACATTTTCTTATTATTTTTATAGCTTTCCCTCTAAGAGTCTGAAAGCGACGGTTAAATTGAGGAAGAGGAAACTTTTTACGGCAGAAACATAAAACAGCCACTGGCAGAATATTGAGGCGGTGAGCACGATATTCAGCCACATTATTGGCTGAATTCTGGACGGTATTTGGGTTAGGGTTATAGCTTCGGCGTCTGACATATCAGTTAGATTCAGCAAATAATGTTTTCTCTACATGAAGCAAAGACGTTAACTGGGTTGTCTATAATGTAGACTCAATTATATGTTGAGGGATATGCGTTTTCCACTCAAAGGCCATTATCTTCATACTGTCTGCGTAGATATATACAGAGTTAAAGGGCCACATTGTCGACATTCATGGACTACGAAAACATTTATCATATAGATCTACGGTTTTCGAATGGACAGATTAAATGTAAGAGTTTTGCCCTAGGGAGCACTGACTCTAGAGTTGGTGCTTTTGGATATTTGCTACCGGCAGCGTAAGGAGATGTCACCACCATTCAACAGCCCATTAACAAAGGATAAAAAGAAGAAAGTATCTCTCGTTTACCTTTGGCAATTGGAAATGCATAAATCATGGCATTTGGCCGAGAGCGAGGAGTACGATTCCGAGACGCATAGTGAATAAGAGTTTAGATGTTGGCTTTGAGAGTGCAGTGAAATCCCGAGACATCGATACCCTGCAAAAATTCTTGGAAACTCGAGGGGTCAATATCCAGGGATTGAAGGCTATGCTGTCCAAAGTTTTCTCAATGTCTTGGAAGCTGAGATTGGTGGGTTTTAAGGATCTGACGAGCTGATGGAAGGAATTCCATAACTCGAAGGCTGGTTATACAAGGCCTATATGAACATGGCGTATCTACAATAGCCCGCGCGTCTATGATCTGGTAAATAACCTCGAGAGGTCCATGACAAATAGCATTATACATATTTCTTTAACTTACATATGCCGGGCAAGGCGTTCTCGCAACGACCCCAACGTGTCAGCTTTCGACGGTTGACCAAGTAATACCATTCCGTCGATGCAGACACACTTTCTGCTTTTGACCGGTGACTTCAGCTGCATGAATGTGGTAACCTCACGTGAAGGATCTCAGTACAATGTTGGGGCGCTTGAATAAATGTCCTGAGAGGAGAGTTCATTTATCTAACTATGCATCCAACGCCTGATCCATCGTCTACTGTACGGCTACCTACCGGGCTGTATTCTGCTTATATTGGATGTCAATTCCAACAATATATAGTAGATTACCTAGCTAGAAAGAAATTATTGATACGGTACATACCCTCTTCAGAGAAAGAATCAATGGCGAATTGTATAGAGGATGCGATGGGCCCTCTCCCAAGCTGCCCGATGTGTGAAGAATAGATGATCAATAGCCATTCTCATCGAGCTTGACTCTGCTGGATTGTTGCAACATTGAAGTGCGCACTCCTGATGATTGGGATTCCCATTTATTCTTTCACGAACCCAGATATGAATCATATATTGCTTGGAACAAACCCATACGACGTGAGAGTACTCTGCAAAATGGGAGACTTGCTTGTTATTGCATGTGCTAACTCAATATATCTCCGTAACAAGGTCGTTTCATCTTCATTGAGATGAAGCTGCGCGTTTAAACCTTACAGAAAGCATCTTAGCTCAGCCCGGTGGTGACTTTGCCACCGAACTTGGAATTAGATGCCCCGTTGAATGTGCTCATGCTTGATTTTGCTTTCCAGCTCCCCTTTCTACTAGCTTGTAGTGGCTTGCTGCAATGATACCTTAGAAAGTGGGCACATTGGTCAAATCGCCCCCTTTGGATGCATGGTACAATATAGAAAGAACATCGTCAACCATGAGGCTCCGGTCATTCCTCTATCTTGTGTGCATATCTGTCTGGATAAGAGCAAGACCCCAAGTCACCATGAAGTTTTTGTTTGTGATCTCATCGGGTCTAATCTTCTCCCTAGGAAGAGCTTAGCTAGTTTCTCCACCAGGAGCTGTTGCCCCCGGAACGACCACAGAATGCAGCGAATGGGTACAGTATTCTGCTAGTCTGGCTTGTGAAAACATCGAGATTAATTTCGGAATAACGGAAACCGAATTTGAGACATGGGTAAGAGCTACAGACCCATCTCTCTCCTGCTGTTAGACTACTTTGTCTAACCTATACATAGAATCCCATCGTCGCCGAGCTGGGTGATGGCTGTATGCTTGTTTCAGGTTTATGTTATTGTGTTCAAATCAACTTTGGATCGAGCATTGTTACTACAACATCAACATCTTCTTCCAGTTCTAGCACGTCTACCTCATCGACCATAATAAAGGCCACAACAACGCCGACGACAGCCGGAAATAACATTTCTACCCCAATTCCTTACCAAGCGGGCATAGCAAGCAATTGTATCAAATTCTATCTGGTCCTCAGCGGCGATGAGTGTGGTGCTCCAGGACTTTTCATGATAGCTCGACCTCACTCTTAATTACTTCATATACTCCCAGGTATGAAGTGCTGCTGCCTGTGGAGCATAATGTTTGACAACAGCTTTTGGTACAAACTTCTATTTTATCGAAGGAAGCTCCTGTAACTTGCATTAAGGAGCAGGTTACTACTTGTGGTATGAGGCTGCCTGTTTCTCTCCGGGGTCGTGTGGCTCGCTTAGATTCTCGCATGCATGATAGTCCAACATCATTACTCGTTACTTCGTACACATCTGGAAATTACGTTGAAAGCGCCGCCACCTGCGGAGCACATTGCCTAGCCACACGATCTTGCACGAATGTCTATTTTACTGAGGGGAATTATTGTATCCTTCGCCAAGGTGCACGCACCTTTGCAGCTGGCGGCTATTATTTATGGTATGACGCTTCTTGCTTTTTTGGGCTTAGAATGTGGCTCATATGCGTTCTCAAACGATACTGTATCACCTCTACTCATTTCTTACACGTCTAGAAGTCCGTACGTTGTCAGTGCTGCTGCGTGTGGTGCGCAGTGCTTGTCCACTTTCTGGTTGTACGAATGTGTATTTCATAGAAGGTAGTTACTGTTGCCTTCACTCTCCGAGTTCATTCTCACCGTTAACTGTATCCGGCTACTACTCTTGATATCAAGCAGGTTGCTTTGCAGGCAATGCACTTAGCTAGGTTTATGTCTTGCTTATTCCTAGAAAATATACGTCTTCGCGCATTTCTTCGCTATTTCGGTTAAGAGTAAATAGACTACTTAGATGGTATATATACCTCTAGGCAAGATGGCATCGTTCCTGATAGAAAAATGAAGAACTCTATCATGAATGATAATACCCATTTGTTGTCCACCCCACTGAGATTGGGTGAGACTTGAAAAGAGAAGGCTCCGGTTTGTACCTTATCACCTTGAGTTTGACATTTGGATGTGGCCTGTGTACTGCCCGGGTATAGGACGGCCTTTGAAAACTGGTCAGATTCGAACGTTTTAACATGATATTCACTACAAAACGATCTAGAATGATATTTGCTTGGCACGATTGACGAGATGGATGAGTACCAACTTGTTTTGATTGAGCCAGGAGTCTCCGTAAATGATGACGATCCTTACTACTGTGATGGAGCATAATGCCAAACTGCCTTAAATAATCGATTATATAGCAAAGTTAGAAGAGAGCTTCAATGTCTATTTTTAATCGATATCGCATGATATACCGAATTCTCCGTGTTGGCCACTCAAGTTTGAGGACAGTCACTATCAATATCTTGCATCTTAGAGGCAAGCCTATGTCAATGAAGACGACAGAAGCTTAATAGTGATAAGAATTGTCTCCTTCCTCGGTCAATTTCGAGTCTCTGTTCGCCTTCAACGCCTCCCGACTGGCAGCAAACATGCCTAGTCTGGTGCGGTATCGTACCTGCCGCATATAGTTCAATTGATCTTGTCCAGGCTCTTGAGGCCCAAGGAAACTCATATCGCCCCCTTTAAACATTCGATAAAATCCCCAGCCCATCGAGGCAAGAAACGCGGTACCCACAATAACAAGGATAACGATCAGGTTGACCATGCCAACGCTGAGACCGCCGATTTGATCACCCATACTTTTGGAAGTTGTAGTTGGTTTCGGTCTGACAAAATAGTTTGGTGTTTGATACGCTGATATTTGTCACACCGTTTGGCTGGGTGCTCTGCTGTTTTCTTGCTGAACGACCGGAGAATGGAGAGAATAGGGAGCGGTACGACAAGCGAGTGACGGAGAGAAGGATAATAGTGGTGGCTCTATTTGATAGTGTCGCGATGCCAGTAAGTTTAACCGTTCCGTTGAATAACACGTTCAAGGCGGTTGCTTGTACTTTAGAGAAGCAAATATGGAACGAGAAGGATAGCAGGGCTGTTCTGAGTCGATTTCGTGATAAAAGAAGGACGACGACTGCTTATATAGTGGTAATCATTCACAAAAGAGGATAGATCGATGATCGAGAGCTAGGTACCATGTAGCAATAGTATAGAGTAGATTTTTAATAGATGCGAGTGAAGAAACAAGATAGAGTAGAAGAAAACATTTCAGGAGAGAAATCCGAAGAGAGTATTCTCCTTATTATAAATCTATAAGGTCAATCAGCGAACTAAATCCACGATCAAGTTCAGCTCCCTTTAAGCCACCGAGTCCAGTGCCGACAAATACGTTTCGCCTATAAACTGAATGAGCCATACTCTAGACCCGCTAGCTGGGCAGGAGAGGGACACTAAAGCAGGGATAATAGTAAAATTCTACGATTTGGTTCGATTAAAGTGGAATTGAAGGAATCGGGCTGATACCTGTCCTGCATAGAATAAACCAAGAAGAAGTCGAGAAATTAGGGTATCAGAAGGCACGCTTCCGCCTTACTTAAATAGGCAAGCATCTTCCATAAGAGGTTTAGCTTGCGAGATGAGTGATGTCATAATCCGAACAGACCAATGAGAACGTCAAGAAGTATATCAACATTAGCCAATCAGCAACGGATCCGAGGTTTAGCTGATCTTTGGCCTGCACTAAGCTAATTTGGGTATAGTTCCTCTGATACATTGTTTAAAAATAACCAACATCAGCCTCTTTTCATACCCTGAATACTGATAATGGCATAATAGTAGTAGCCATATGAGCTATGACGGAGAGTTTTTATATTCTAGTGCTTGGGTGGGTAATTGTTTCAACCCGGAAAAGGAAGATGCCCACGCGAATTGCCTTGGCTCGGCATCAATTCCATATTCTCATTGAATTAAACGAAGTATGTGCTAGTCACGACGTGTCGGAGACGTCTAATAAATCTGGATGCTAGGTAAAGAGACAATAGCAAATCTAGCCATTTCTGTATAGGGTATCTTCCATCACATTTCCAGCCTGAAGTACATACGGAAAAGAGATGGGCTGTTATCACTTGTCCATCTGGCAGTAGACCAACACACTGGACATGCATAAACTATCTAGAATAAGACATATCCGTCTAGGTTGTCTCTCAGAGAGTGGACTATTCCAAAATAGCGCTGATCCACGTGTAAGGTTTTATCTCCGAAAGGATTTCACCTGGCGGTCTAGGTAAGTATTTTCTGATTTAAATCTCAGAGATAAAAATTCTTTCGAAAATAAAACTTCCAACACGCATGTCCTACCTATGGCGACGGTATTACCTCTTCTATGGTTGGGAAGAAGCATATTCGGTACCCTGAAATCATTCGTTCAACGGATAATGAGATGTCGTGGCTGCCATGAAAAACAAACTCAATCATGATTCATAGCTCCAATTCTGGAGTATTACTTTGATCGCTACCCAGACACTGTCGGGTCGAGATAACATTGAAGTCAAGATCACAGCCCTAACGAAACGATAACATCCTGATTGCTGGTGCCATGAGAACTCTTTATGCTAACATATTTATTGCCATATAGACAAAATAGCGAATTGACCACACCATTTACTTCATCATTGAAACTGAATTCGCATTTGCGATCCTGGCCAAAAACCGTCGACGAATCGAGGGTGTGATGCCAACGACAATATCCATGCTACAGTCTCAATCGATTAAAAATAAATCAAATAGTCCGAGCCGCATTTTATCATGTGTTTGGTTGAGATACAGCGCATTCCTTTATCTTTTATAACAATAATCTATTGTTGATGTAAAGGCTGAATATTGCAACCATCTTCGATCGATCTGATCATTCAACAATTCCTGACACGCGATCGCCTCACGTGGCAGATTCTTCATCTTTCGCGATTTCCGTTCGCAATATGTTCATTTTGTATCACGCGACGTGCTGTTAGGGATCGGAAGAAACACACATAGGCCTTGCATCGCGGCTGATCTGGAGTCCATGTATCACCATGCAAGCCCGGAACGTTATTCGTATCACAATAATCAATTGACCTGTACCTGCTGTCTTGCAGAGAAAAACGCAACCTCAGGTCATTATTTTCGATTCGATTTGCGAATTGGTGAGATCTGCATGATCTTGTTGAAGAAGACTCTCTTATACATATGGACAGTCGCTTTTACAATTCGTCTGACGGATCGACTCGGCATGTGGCATGACGATTCAATGCCGGACTTTTTAGATGGTGTTCTGCAACGAAACGTAGTTGGAAGCGGTATCGGTTTCGGGTAGGTAGAAACCTGTCGCAAACTCATAGTTGATGTCATTCAACAGCGGTAAAATATAGTACATCTTTGTAGCTCAATGGGATCACAACAAAATGTTGGGAGTGGACCGTTGCTTCGGGTTTATTGCGATGCGGCCGATTCCTTGATATCAGGGGCGCTCTTAGGAACAACTCCGTTCTATCTCCGAGTGATCATCAGTGACTCTAGGGTTATAAATACGTACCTATGTACATGAATGAGATCCTGATCAATTTACAGTATGAGGGAGATTTCCTGAAGAATTATTTACATCTGCTTGAACTTATATCTAGGCTGATGTGTTTGGAATCGTTCTTTTGACGAGTATCAATAACGGAAAATTATTTTTTTTCAAGGAATTTCAACTATGGCAATGGCAAAAGTCTTTGGATTTACCTCTATCGATCATAACGATACCTATCCGGCGATCGCAAAAGCCTGCCAACAAGGAAAAGCCGTTCTCATAACAGGCGCTTCGAAGGGGATCGGTCGAGCCACAGCAATCTCATATGCAAAGGCCGGAGCTCAAACAATTATTATTGCTGCGCGAAGCAATCTAGATGAAGTCGAAAAGGAGATCCTTGCAGCCGCAAAGGAAACAGGAAAAAGGTCACCTCAAATACTCAAACTTGCGCTCAATGTCACGGATGAGAAGAATGTTGCGGAAGCTGCTGCTAAAGTAAAGGAGACTGTCGGAAAAGTTGATATCCTCATCAATAACGCTGGATATCTTGAAGAATGGATACCGATAAGTGAAAGTGATCCATCGGAGTGGTGGAAGACGTGGGAAATCAACATGAAGGGCGTCTACCTTGTGACTCGTGCTATACTCCCTCTGGTCTTGCAAAGCGAAACCAAGACCATTGTCAACCTCAGTTCTGTCGGCGCTCACATGACAGCTAACGGGGCATCTGCATACCAAACCTCAAAGCTGGCTGTGATTAGATTCACCGAATTCATTGCCGCGGAATACGGCGAAAAGGGAATCGTTGCGTTTTCCATTCATCCTGGTGGTGTTTTCACTGAGTTGGCTAGCAAGTTGCCTGATTATTTGCGTCCAAAACTTGTTGACACGCCTGAACTGGCGGGTGATAGTCTTGCATGGTTGACTCAGGAGAAGCAAGAGTGGTTAAATGGTCGTTATGTTAGCGTTAATTGGGATATGCCTGAGTTGATTGCGCGAAAAGATGAGATTGTGAAGGAGGATAAGTTGAAAGTGAGGATGGTTGTGTAGATTGACGATTGGATATATTTACAGGCGATGAGATATGATCAATTCAGTTGCTTCTTTACTTGGTGCGCTTAGTAAAGTTGCCTATGCACGAAATTGATAGTAGCAGGACAAGTCCCTTCTATAAAGCAATTGTTGTACAATTCAGTAGACTAAGGACAGGGAGGTATGTAGCCCAGGTAGCTTCCAGTATTGCTCATATGTTCTCACAGGTGTCAAGGAAACGCACCTAGCATCGACAGAAATCACAAACCTTGCATACTTACTCCATAACGATACTCCGAAATTATGAAATGCTACACACGAACGAGACTCGTTTCATATGCTTTGACATATACTTCAGCTTTAATGCCTGTAACCGGGCATACCTATGTTTCTCCATGATTGGGAAGTTCGATCATTCTGGACATCTAATTGGACGAATAAAGCAATACATTTCTGTACTATTTTACAATGCATTCCTCGTTTTGTTTGTAGTGTTGTCGTTCAACGGTCTAATAAGTCCCTGGAGGGCTCAAGTTAGGGCTATGTCGAATTAGCCCTAGCCCTAACTTTTCCAATGTGGATGGCCATTGAGTGCTCATTACTCGTACTCACAGATTATTATGACGTAAAGAGTGAAATGGAAGGAAAATGAGATAAAAAGGCTTATATGGTAACATATATAGATAGATTATGAATAAGTATAGATATATCTGCCGTTTAACGCCTTACCTCAGCCCAGTCCACATAACCCAATAACACGTATAAAAAATATCTTCTCTAAAAGATTGAAATATCCACATAAAAGAAAAGTAAAGAATGCTAATATCTAAAACCTTCTCGCCGGTAATCGATGTATAGACCTCGTCCTCCGCACCGCATACCGACTACTCTCCCCCAACCGTCCCAGCGCAAGACTCTCCAGCGTCTTCTCCTTTTCATCAAACCAAAAACTCGAACATTCCCTCTTAAATCTACCCACTCCATGAGAACCCCGCCTATTATGTTGTTGTACAGATGGAATCAAGAAATGAGTTACCACAGACCCGATGATCATGGCAGCGCTGAAAACTACCAAAATCCAGCCGTAGCGTTGCGTACTACTGACTTTTGTTGACGTGCTGCCGATGTTGTAGTAGACTGTGAAAATTTCGACGAGGATTGAGCCTATTTTCCCGGATGCGGCGCTTATGCCGTGGCAGGTTGCTCGGTAGCGGGTTGGGAAGAGTTCTGCGGGGAGCATGTATGTAGTTGCATTGGGGCCTGATAAGATATTAGTACACTATTCTGTATGTATGTTTCGTCAGGTGAAGACTTACCAAAGTTGAACAACATCTGCCCAATGATGTATAAGACAATGGCCACCGGTCCTTCTTTATGGACTGTAATGAACATGACACCCATGGCAATAAACAACGACGCCAATGCCAAAAACCCATACTTTTGCAAATGAACACGGTTCAGTTTTGGTGCAAAAGCAATAAGCAGTAGTCCTCCCAGAACACTGCCCGCATTCAAAATCGCCATTGCCTCGACGGAAGTGTGCAGAAACATGGTATAGATAGATTCATCGCTATTATCGTCCGTCTTCCATGATGGAGCGGGTGCGTGAAGGTCTAGAGTACCCCAAGTCTTTGCCAGGAATTGCGGGTTCGATAGCTGAATGCCATAAAACCCAAAGTCGAGTAACATCCATGCAATCGATGTTCCGAGTAGAGTTCGCCAGTTCCCTTCTTTCCAAAAGTAGTATACCACATCATTCCAAACAACGCGCCAATGGGATTGGAAAGTGGGTGGATGAAGTGTATACTCGGTATTAGGTGCGATACTGGCCCCGTCATCGATAGAGGCACTACCAGCACCACTTGCGTAGGAAGTAAATGACGCCGCAGATTTGGGTAACGTCGTTCCATCCCAGGGAGCGTCGAATTCACTACCAAATTCAGCCTGTTGCTGCTCGCCAAACAAGGTTGTGGCATCAAATTCGGCTTTGATGGGGTCATTGTCGATATCCAGCAGATATCGGGGTGTTTCTGGAATCGCGAATCGGAATAGAGACGCTACCACGCCGGGAATGACGCCGATGCCAATAACCCATCTCCACATTATGTCAACTGCGCGGACGGTGTCTGCGTTGACTCGGTTTCGGGTAGCGGCGACCACGATAAGGGCGACGATATTACCGGACAATTGGCCTAGGGGTTGCATGAAGAAGACCGAAGCCAACATTCGAGCACGATGTTTAGTCGGTGCGAACCTAGCTTGTCAGTATATCTCTTTGGCCGGCAGAAGGACTCAAACCTACTCGGATGTAATCACAGCACTCAATGGATAATCAGCACCCACAGCAATACCGGTGACAATACGCCACCAAATTAACCAAGCATATATACTCATACTATTATTCGCACCCGTAGAAGCCATCGTCACACCGAGAGTGGCCACAATCAACAACACCAATTCAACACCATACATCCTCTTCCTGCCCCTCTTATCTGCTAAGAATCCGAAAGCAACTTGACCGACGACTGTGCCTGCTAGTGTCGCAATGTTGATGAATGTTAATCTTGATGAGTTCGTTTCATTATGCCAGTATACGTATTGAATCATGGGGAGGGCGATGTTGCTTGCAAATAACTATGGCAAAACATCAGCCATGGTCCTTGGACATAGAGTTTACCGATAAGGAAAACTCACAGTGTATCCGTCCAGAAAGAATCCGACTCCGGCCACGAGAACAACCACCCATTGATATTTTTGACGATCGATTGTTTCGTAGATCTGTTGCATACGCACATAGCGATCCTTTTATTGTGTTAGTATTCGTGATTTTGTCGAAGAACAATCGGCATACCGTTTCATGGTCGAAATCGCGGGCTCTGTCGGTTTTGTATAACCGATGCATCATTCGGCCCATGATGGGCTATTTGCTGTCGTTTCTTTCGTTTATTCGATTATTTCGTTATGTATGACGATTTCCGAGTTAGAATAATTGTAACCGAAGCTTCGAATGAGTAGTAGTGAGTGTAGGAAGTAACGAGCGAAAGCGAGAATGGATGTAAAATCTCGACCTCAGATCGCCACTACAGGAGACTGTGAAAGATATGCAGCTAGCAAGGTAATTAGTCGACGTTATATGTATCATGCTACATAAGTCACTAGCACATGCGACTACTAGGGTTCTCGTCATCAACTCGCACTCCGGTCCCTGCTAAATGGGCCAACCGGTATCAAACTTCATTACTTTTCCTTCTTATTGGCTATGGGAAGCCATTTTGCTCTAGATGTTATTCGTGCGCTTTAAAGTGGATTTTTTTTTTAATCAAAAAGTAATGGACGGAGGTATCCATAGCCCTGGTCCCGTATGGCATACATTATTGTAACGATAGTAATACGATCGATTAGTGGTGGCCACTGCTCAGTTGGAAAGCAATCCTTTGAGATCTGCGCCCCTCGGGCCCCTCCATATTACTCCGTACTCTTAGAGCATGCTGTGTAGCGCCTCGAAAGCGACTTTGTCATACCTGTTCTTTAACTCGGAATCAAAGTGAAGGTAGAAAAAGAATATATAGTTACCATGTACAATACAGAGTTCCCATTACGAAATCGGAAAAAAGCGAAGAAAAGTGGCTGGTCTCGAACAAAACGAGAACTCACCACGGAGACTGAGCCCTCGATACACGTGCCGAAATGACCCATAATAAGTCTTAATAAGTATCTTAATGCACAAGCCGATATTACCGCGGGTCTCTTACTCGCTTCATGCATAGTATATCATCAGTTGTGCCTGATTTCGTTACTTTAAATTATATAAGACTAATGGTTAATATACCTCAGTGCATTGAGTAGATATCATGCAATTGTTCAATCCCATCCCGCTTCCAAATCGCCAGTTCGGAACTGGAGGATACCAGAACAGTGGCTCCGGCTCACAGCCCACTGACCCATACCCACTACTAGCCCTTTAACTAAATCCGTCGTAGTAATACGCGCATGTCAGTTGGGAGTTGCAATAGAACGTCCAAGCTCGGAGTCTAGTGGAACTGCGTGCACTGCCGGACGACAGAACAGGGATCGACCCTTGAAGAGATGCACCTGTGGTCTGACCATACGGAAGTAGTTTTTGGGAATAATATATGATGATATAACATGTACGAGGTTGGTTGGTGATACATGATATTTTTAGTTATACCTAGGTAGCTCTTGTAGAAGATCTGCTTTGGGTGATTTGGAACGGATAAATTATATATTCCTGAAAATGATAAAAGAATTCATTGCGCGAGGGGTATTGGGTTATCTCGAAAGACAACAAGCACAGTCCAGAAAATAAATATACAATAACGCCATGATGCATGCCAGCATGAACCCTAAAACGCCATCCGAGTAACCATATGAGAAATGACGGGAGCTGTCTACCGCTCTATGTAATGGCTGATGATTTCGCCAAATCTTTTTCGCTCTGTGACAACAAATTAGTTGTTAATTCCAGGACAAATAGGATGGTGGACTTACCATCATCATCCAAAAAGTGAAAATGCAAAACCTTCATCTCAGCCAGTATCTCAAAGTTCGGTCGTAAATATAATAAGACAGGTTTGCTGGTCTTTTTCGGCACATCGATCTTGTCGATACAATTCAACGGTACCGAGACATACCGTTTCCTCTCTTTTCGTTGTGAATTCGCAAAGAATAGTAGTGTTAATCTCTCGTGTCGGCCTCGTAATAGACGTAAATTCTGACTGATGCATTCCTCCCCGCGGCCTTTGGATTTGGCTTCGGCTAGACCGGCGATGAAGACGAGTTTGGACGAAAGAAGTAATTCTTGAAATCTTACGCAGTCTGATAAAGCAATACATTAATATCTGGCCTCTTATCATTTCCATGATATGGTGCTCACCATCCCAGTGATCGAATGTATATGCAAGCTGTGTGCTGAATGATGTATTGGCAGTCTGTACGGTTTGTTCATCGAGAAAGGATACTCGGTGCGGAGTATCTTCTGAAAGACGAGGGTATTCCAAATGCGGAATCGGGAGTCGAGTGCCGGTGACTGTTGCAACAGCTCTTAGTATTCCGTGTTTTCTGAGCTACCCGATCAGCACTTACAGTCATGCAGAAACGTGCTATGGGATCCGTTTGATCCGCCCAAAACCAAATGTTTTAATGTACCGTTGAGTTCCTTGACGATATCGATATACGAATATTGCATGCGAAATAGCCGTGTTTTTCGAACAAACGATCTGCGCAACGCCCGAATCTCTGTTATTGACTGTTCTTTACCCCCTCAAGTTCGAAGATATAGAACATACATTGTCACGGAAGGGCTCAAATTTACCCTCACCACATCCACCGGCGGCGAAGACTTCCCCTTATCGCTCACAGTCGGCGAAATCGACGTCGTCGGACTCGGCGGTGGTTGAAATCTGCTAATAGACAACAAACTGGCCTCCGAGTCTTCGGTGGCGGTAGACGCGTAACTCATGTATCTCGTATCACGAAGTGGCCAATCGGGCCAGTCTTCAAAGTCCTGCGAAGAGGCCACTGTATTCATGACCACTTTTCTAAAAAGCTCTCGACTGTCAGTCGAGAATGCACAACCATGTAAACTTATAAATGATGCAAAGGTCGAAATGTGGCTCAAGCCAAAAAGGAAAAAAAAAGTGAATGGAAAGTGGAACACTGGAAACGTAAAGTAGTCGAATCGGGTAGCGCGATAATTATGGCATTCTTGTATGGGAGGTTCCGCTTAATCCTGGCTTTGCTCTCGGTGGATGAGATTGGTTGTTTTTTTAGTCGATATATTTGTTTTCTTGGTACCTGAATTCTGCCTCGCATTCCCCAAGGATCGTGATGTGGTTCATCAAGACGGGAAAGGAGGAGGGCATAACCGGGAAAATGATAGATAAGAATAAGGAATAAGAAAATATCAGCCACCGTCATGTTTGCTATGTACGTACTAGCTTGCCGGAAAGAGAACTGTGCTGCGAATAATCATACAGCAGAGCTGAGCTACAAGCCAAATTACATACAAGTACTGTACATACACATACAACATAAAAGGATGGAGACAAGCGAATCACGAGGGAAATCCCCCAACAAGCGGACTGCGGGGTTTCGATTGGTTCGTTATTGATCCACAAGGCGCGGGACTTCCAGATCGCCTAGAGCGGCTATAAGCACGCACTAAGCTGGAAGCGGTACAGTGGATGTGATTGTGTGGTAAAGACCCACTCCAGCAAGCACGGACTCGATTATTTCCACGCGGGTGGGCTCTCTTTGCCGCAACGTGCTTGATCGATTGGATGTCAATAAAAGCTTGGTACGGGACCCACTATAAAAAGCCACCCTGCAGCAATTTCCAGACTTCGCGAAGTACAGTATGTACTAACCGTCACCGGCCTCATGTCCGCGTCGTCGTCTCGTGCATAGTGCTTGGCACAGCAGCAAGAAACCACGTATGTGTCGTGCCATGGCGAATGTCTATTTAGATACATCTACCGAGTCAGTCTGGATTCACCGAGGAAGCATGCATCAACAAGAGGATATGGATGCGACGAATATTATCAGGGACTCAGGTATGGAGGGCTTTATGGACTACAAAGTCCTCCGTACTCCATACCCCGTCCATACCCCGTAAATACCCGTAGGACTAGTATATGCACTCCATTTCCTTGATGGTTATGGTGATTAATCAATCCATATCGCATAAACTGGGGACTCATACGGCTAGCCAAACCGTCTCAATGCCAGCAAATGACACCATCTGACACCTGCAGTGACATTTCGACGATGAATCACTCGGAATAACGAAGCGAAATGTATGTGCGCGAACCGAGAAGAAAACCAAAGCGCAGAACGAGTGGGACACTTCCAGAAGCCCTTGTTTCAGGCACGTGGTCCTTAGGGCTATGCCGATGGGACGAGTGTACCGCGTTAGCTAGTTATGTCGTACGGTCTTTAAGGGCTCAAGTCAAGTATGTCACTGCGCAGTCTATCTTCTAGCTTCAACACGGGTGGTTTTAGATAGATCTACCTCGGTCTGCTCACGTGGATGGCATACGCAGCCGATTCGGGAATACGCATCAGCAGACTGCACAGAGCTTTATCTAGAATTTATCTAATAATCTTTACTTTCGTTGTAACTTCGTCAAATAAGGTGCGTCCGAAGTCAAGGTTTCTACAAAGTTCAAAACTTCGGAAGAAAAGACAAATACAGAAATCTTCTTTATGCTTATCATTAAAGGCAAAGTTCTCGACCGCCGGGTCGCTACTATCTCAGCCAAACCACCGAGCACGAACCGTGGCTTTTGTATCCTCGTCCCTATTACAGAGCTATCAGTGCACGAACCCCTAGTTTCTCTACGCTATACTCAGAAGGAACAACTTGGGCGACCACGACTGGGACATTCTCGCAACAACTCAATACGAAGTGTACGTACCTGGTGCTAGCTTCTTCCAAGAAGGTCCAATACGAGGAATGACATGCATAAAACCCGAACGGCTTTGGGCAAATCCGTACGTAGGTTCCGGTCTCCGAACCTAGATGATCAATTGTCGACTGTTTACCGTAAGATTAACTCCTATACGCTGTCCAAGCGTTTTGTAGCGAACAATTCAGCTTTCATTCTACCAACACGTGTGTTAACCTTCATGCTTCATGAACAATTTTCAGTGCCTTCACCGTTGATTTCTTCGCGTTCTGCGCGTGTCAACGATAATTCTAAGATTTACTCCCGGAACTCAAACTATCCAGTTATTCACGCTTGTGCTGTGTCTCTCACGACTTGACCTGTCAACACCGCTCGGTTCACCCGGATCTTCACTTCCTTTTCCTTCGTGAGCTAGGTGTCGAAGTACCGAGACTAACGACCCATAAGCTAAAATACCACGTGTAAATGGTGATCATGGAGGATCGACCTCCCTCTTGATGATAGCGAGTAAAGCAAACCGTATTAATGGCCCTGTTAAATCGACCCCTCTTTCATGTATCTGTTATAGGTGAATGGATGATCTAGATTTATGCTGGTGTTCCTCCGGAGTCAGATGTTTGTCAGCAACTTTCCGAAATGGCCTGGATTAGCCGCGTTAACGAGGTCATTTAAGTCTATATTCGTGTATCACTATTGTGTATCACTATTGATTGATGGCCAGTGGCTTGTAGTCGGATTTACTGAAAAAGGGACCCCGAAGAAAGAAACCCCATGACGAGTACATCGCATCCTTACGCTACACCGGTGGAATATGTTCGGAAAGCATAGCTAAGTATGCCAGTTCTACTAGAGCTCCGGACTGATCTTATTTTAGCCAGTTCAACTATCCGATTGGCAATTGCATCGAGTATCTAATTTGAAGTCTTGCTGTATCAGCATTTGCCGTCTCATGAGCGCTATGACAACTATACATTCCATTTTGCTGCGGCATTGAACTGAGCCTAAAATCCAGTGAAAACTTTCCTCTTGATGCGATTCCCCAGATGACTTGGTCCTATTCGTAATTTTACCACAAGATGATAGTAGTGCCCTAATCCTAGCACCTAGTCTCCGACTACCCTTTGTACCTAGGTAACGCTGCTCCAGTGTAATTCTATAGATTGTCGTTAGAGAGACAATACACATATACTTATCTAAATAGTATACTTCTCTGGAAGGGAGAGTGTAACCGTGGTCTCCGTTGTTGTATGCGTTGTTGTATGCGGGGGCTCTTTCGAAACCGAGCCCTAACTGCCAAAAATGGCATTGACGTAGGTACCGAGATCTTCAAGTAGATTATCCTCAGGATGTAGTACGACCCCTAAAGGACATATAGTTGATGGAGGGATACGTACTTTACAACCTTTTGCCAACCTTAGATGTAATTATCAAATTACCACTCCTCCATTCTATAACGCCATATAACTTGTCCCACCAGTTCGACTAAAAAGCCTAAATAAAGTAAGCAGTATAATAGCCATATCGATTGTGGGGAGTATCATCATTTTGCGATTATTCTCCCTGTCAAGTCTGTAGAGTAATTCTTGCGGTTTCCTGGGGTCTCTTCCAACCCAATGTAGAATATCGGTTGAACAGTATTACCGACTGCATGTTTGCGTACAGCAGGAAATGAGAGCTGTGATTCTCTACGCGACGGAATATCTTCGTTAATCCTTAAGACCCGTTGTTGAAGGATATGTGTACCTGTACTTGACCGTTCACTTTCCTTGAGACATACGCATGTCTCATACCTATCGTTACCTAGGTAGCTGAGTAGGTGCTATTAGACATTCATTCCCGCCATGCGTTCTATAAAGATACTGAGTTCTTCAGCAAGCTATGACAAGTATTTTAATTGAAACCGCGTCTTATCAATCTCGGGTGTTGTTAAGACAAGAAGAAATCTCTATTAGAAAACTAACAGCATCTATGAAGTTAGAAAGATCCACGAATTGTAAGTAACATAAGCATCTGTGTCAAACTACGTTATGAATACCAGATCTGCTCATGGAAATGTTGTGATACAATAATTTCTTGGTTTTGCTAATTCTATTCATACACCTAGGTATACCAACAATACGCTGCGTTCACGTCTTTAGAGTGCCCATCACCACAGATCGTATCTAGAATTGTTGGACCAGAGAGTCTATGGATAGAATCCGGCTCCAGCAAGATTGGTGAAAAGTTTTGTAGAGAATCATAACGCTTGAGAGTTGATACCTAGGTGCAACACTAGTCCCAGAATACTTATGTCCTTACAGTAGCACAGTCGTCCAGGACATGCTTTGAAGGAGTCATCAATGAATTCAACCTCCGCTACGCCTTATAGAAAGGACAGGCGTATAAGTGCAAAAATATGTTTTAACATAATGAAGAGAGCCTCCAGTTAGATGAATAGATAGATAGTAGAACGCTAGCACATCAAACATATTACTGGAATATTGACTATTTCTATTTTAGCGTACCATCATGTTACGTAGGTAGATACCCCAAACAGCCCGTAGCCCGTATGTTCATAAGTCAATTAGAAACTCTTGTATTTGCTTGTCGTCTACCTTTTCAAATTCGTAAAAAGCAGGTTACCGCTCATATCTAGGTACGTGTATAGAAGTTCCGAGGTTGATCCCGATGGAAGTTCTGTTCGACTACATAGACGCATAAATCAATACAGATCTTCCACGAATCATACCCCACGGACATCATAGCAGAATATATCACAGTCCTGATGACGCGAATCTGCACCGTTTTATGTGCAAGAGCAATAGCCCATTTGAATGGGTAGAGAAGATGTTATGAGGAAGTACATTTAGTTAAGTTGTAGGTACCTAGGTGGCTATACGTACCATATTTCCGTTGCCGAGTGGGGTTTTCCTTTCTCAGTTGCCGCCGCTCTTGTGAGAGCGCTCGCAGTCAAGGCTCACATACAGGATGTAAGGAACGGGCTCAAGAACGAAACTGAATTGACAAAACTGACTAAGAAACTGGAAAACTAGAAGTAAGGATAGAAACAGGAAAGAGAACAAGAGGACTGCTGATCTCCAGAAAGAACTGGATGGGCGGGATGAGCTCCTTATAAGCTTCATCCAGTTCTTCCTAGAGATCTGCAGTTAAGTTAAGTTAGCATTTGTAGGTGCAGTTACTGCATAACTGGCAGATAATAAGACATGGAAATTTTATGTACAGGACAAATATTAATCCCTTAGCAACATCAACATTCTTTAGTTTCTCCATTCATCCTGTGTCTTCTTAATCCCAATAAATCTCTCCCTCCAGAAAATAAACGTTCTATAAAACCTCTGATCGAAGAATTGCCAGAAAGTCACGCACAATATTGTGCTATACATGGATATTCATCCTTATGAGTATTCTACCAAGAAAGCAGCCAATTCCTTTTCTGACACCTGTGGTAGTGTGGGTATCAAAGTACCGGTCAATATCTGACATAGGCATTTGAACTTTTTGAGGCTGTAGCTTAGAAAACATTCGAGATTCTAGTGATTGTGGCCCTGAGAGCTTTTCTGGTAAGATAGAATGTGCTGTGTCAGGGTTTGGAGGATATTGCTGGTAAAGAGCTTCTCAAAGTCCCTCTCAATACTTAGTTTTATATGCCTAGGCAGCCCATGTCTTGTTAGACTAGCCATAACACTGCAAGAGTTGCCATGTCATGAGACATCACTAATGTGAAGTAATTGATACTGCATCGCAGGTCATGCCACACATGTCGGATACAAAGAGTTGGTCGTTCTAGTCCATAGTTAGAGGGCTTACGCTGAGCTACCTCATATCCATTAACTTGCCTATTTAGGGAACTCGGAAGTACTTCTCGACATCAGTTCTGACAAGAACCCTACCGAACAATTGGCCCCCAATGCGTTAATTCAACGAGATTATGTACGTGCTACGTTCATGTGGGCTTTCAGTAACCAAGGAATCTTCAAATATATGGTGCATAATTGGCTTCCTAGTTGATTGGTTACAGGTCCATATTGACTGTAGTCTTCTTGCGAAGTTTTCATATTACTCGCAATGGCGGCACGCATAACCCAGCCTGAATACAGCGAAGCTGTACTGTGATTAGCTAATGTGCTATTCCTAGGCCTGAGTTGGGCTCATTTTCTAGACATAGTATTGATCCAGTGTCTATCCGCGGATAGATTGCGGCAGGAAGCACTGTCACCTTATTCTTATAGGTATCATTTACTGATAAACAGGTGTTCTTGGTATTACCTCTGGGAAGATATCTGATGTGGTATGACATATACGACGTGAGGCAGGGAAACGGCGATAATCCAATTCATCTAACATCCAATCAAACTCGCAGATTCTGTTAATGTTCTCTTTCCCCTCCAGTTAGTTATATTTTTTAACTGTACCGCAACTTGATAGCTTGCTTCGGAAGCGCGGAACATGACAGGGGCCCTCAGAATCATATTAACCGCACATCTGTGGAGATTGCGGCCACCTGCCTAGGTAGGCCTCAACGCTGAATCTAGCCTGTTTATCACATTGTTCACTATATTGTTCTCTATGATGAGAGATTTTTGATTGCCTAGTCATCACTATTAATCCACAGTTGGTTTAAACTGCAGTATGTTAACCTGAGGATTGGTTAACACGCAGACACGGAGTCACCCCTAACTGAGAATGAATTACCAGATACGTTATTGGCTGTGTACTTGGGGTTAGGTTACGGCTATTGCTGATGCTACCGCTCTGTATTACATTGTTATCTGCGTGTAGACCGAGCATTCTGGGCTGTATTACATCGTTATCTGCGTCAAAACATACGGGCTCATATTTCAAAGACCAAGACGCTTCGTCTCCAGGGACCGTTTGGCTAATAAAGAGGGCTTCTCGTCCCTAGTACTTGTCTTGCGATAGAATCTTATCCATAACCTCCCAGCGTGTCACAGTTCGCAACCATGAAAACCACTTCAAACTACTCAAATGTTCTCCCCCTTCTAGCATTCCTATGGGAAACTGCGAGTGCCGATAATACCCTCTCACGTTATAAACAACCACTTCCGCCCAACATCCAAATAGCCGACACAAAACCTAAACTCCGTGAACTTCAAGATGCAAACCCTGGCGCACTGGTGGGTCCCGAAAACGGTGGCTGGTTTCTCAAGTATCCAGATAGCGGAAAAGTTGTGGCGGCTACATCTGACAACTTGACCATCGATCTGGACCAGCGGTACATGTCTTTTTATCACCATCTCGAGGAAGAAGGGAACCACGAAGAGGCTGCCGATGTACTCCGGGAACTACAAGAGAATGGAGCTGATTTGCAAAAGCTAAAGGCGGATTGGAACTGCGGAGGATCTGGGTGCGTTCAGAGAGGATGTAGTTTTCCTTTTTGCGTCTATACTGGCGGACCGGGAAAATGCCCCTATTACTCAGGCTGTCATTACTGTTCAATTCGCAATAAATGCATCTGATAAGAGAAGGCATGGGGCTTATACCTAAGTATTGGGCAGATTTTCCTGCTGCGAAGCTCTAGTCATTAGTTGCGTTGCTAAAGCTAGCATGGGATATAGTATTGAAGCTGTGTCGTTTTATAATCATGCTTTAATGTACTTATCCTTTTTTCAGGCTTATGGTGAAATTAATTTAATAGCATTATATATCATGGATTCGTTTCTGGTCAGAATACTTGATAATTGTCCATTCACACGCTTGGATTCAGGGATATGCATCCTGTATTGCCATGGCTCAGAAAAGTAATGGATACTGATGCCTATGACAAGTTAGACTGCACCTAGAGATAAGAAGTTTACGCACATACTCTGGTAAAGCAGCGGAAATCTGTTAAGACTCAGCTTTTGGCTGTTGACCATCATCACAGGCATCCCCATCGAAATCATCACAGGCGTCCTCATCAGAATCACCATCCCGACCACAGGTACCGCTCTTGATCTCATCGCTCGCTTCTGCCTTAAGCCTATCGGCGTCAATCCCAGCTTTTCGTAAATCCTCCATAGTTTCGTTAGCCTCTTCATGCAGACCTTCTCTCTCAAGATGGAAAATTAGCGATAGAAACTTTTTGTCGATAATAGAGCATAGCTGGTCATTAGCGACGGCTACGACCTTGCCCTCTGGATATTTGAGATAGTATCCGCCGTTTTCGGGGCCGACGAGCGCGCCCAAATTCGCGTGTTGGAGTTTGGCAAATCCAAGCTTTGATCCGGAAATTATGACGTTTGGGGGGAGGGGTGATTTGTATCGCGTCAGAGTCAAGGTGCTGTTGATACTCGCCATGGTCGACAAGGAGTTAGTTCCAGGAGAGATAGAATCACAGGGTTGTTGATGGAGGATTAGGATGATGTGAAGATGAGGAGTAAAAGAAGGGAAGACATTGAGGGCGGAATAGATACTGCCAACGGGGGTCAAACAGAGAATCCTTAGGCATCGATCCTCTGGCAATTCCACGAGGTATCACATGACGTATATGTTTGACTAGGTATAGCGGCTATCCGATTTTGTGTGCGCATGATCTCTATAGTATCTATTAGATGATATCGTATACACTAGGATGGGTGATCAAATTAATATTAAAGGTTCGCAAGATAGTTACTATTATGATCGACATCCATTGAGTGCAACCGCACGCTTCCTAAGACTATGGGATATTAATTCACGGTTACTACGTAGTATATTCACGACCCTTGGTCACTGTCCACTAGAATTAACCACAAGAAAGCCTTCATGAAGGCCAATCTTCAAGGGTAGATATAACTTGGAAAGTGTTAGACAAAGAACCGGGATTAGGGCTGCGGGACACTTAAACCCTAACTGGCTGAGGAGTGAGAGACCATACAGTAGCCAGGCTTGTCCCAAATATTCCAAGTCTTCCTAGCAACTATGTTAACACCTCGAGATAGACGACAGGATTCAACGTTTGGCCTACTTGTAATCTCCAAAGGCTTAGGGAAGTCTCTATTCCGCATGAGAATTTGGCTAGCAGCTTTTGAGTCGGCAATGAATAGTTCGCAGCCAGCTGGAGTGACGATTGCAAACACATCGCCATACTCTTCGAAGATAGCATGTTTTTTCCAAAAATGCCCAGTTTGGCCGTAAAATTCGAAAAGGGAAGATAGTCCGCAAAGAAACAAGTGAGTTAGCTTGTATTAGAGTCTGAACGTACCTCCACATTTGTCCTTGGCGTGAGACGGGACAGACAATCACTGGGACCTTTAGTCGCTGAGCAATGGACCAGTTGTGATAGAGAGCGCGGCCAAGGGTCTCAGAACTCCAGGCAGCAACGATTAGTACCAGGAAAGATATAAACATCGTTGCAGGTGAGGAGAACAATTGAGAAGATGCCAGGCCCCAAGCGTCATTGCGTCAAGCTCCTCCAGTCGGCACTCTAGAATATTACCTTCTGGTCGAAAACTTGTGTATCCCACACGAGTACGAACACTGAGCGTACAGCCATACTGGGTCTCTGAATGATTACAGCGAGATATGGTTACGCGCCGCTCCCATGAAAAGTCACGCTATGGCTGCAGCAATTGCAAGCGAAGACGAGTGAAAGTATGTGATCACCTCTACCTTTGAAGACATAAACAGGACTGCATTGAGTGCAACATGCTAATGATTGTATTAGTGTGACGAGAAGCGGCCATATTGCAAAAATTGCACTCAGCGCAATGGCACATGTGTCTATACCGCACCAGTGCCTTTTGCCTTTGCGAGTAGATCAGAAAGATCGGGAACATCCTCACCAAAGACTGTCAGATCTTCATCTGAGGCTAACAGCTCCATTAGCAACTCTATCTCCACCCTAGGTGCGACAACTGGGGCAGCTCCACTGAATTTGGACCAGCTGGAACTTGAGCTCCAGTGGATCATGCACACGCACAAGCTTTTCGCAAGAAATGAAGAAACAAGAAGAGTTTGGGAAATGCCAGTGCTCCAAGAGGCACTACATACTCCGTTTTTAATGCATGGAATACTAGCCATTTCCGCATTGCACCGTGCTCATCTTCGCCAGCATGAGCGTCGAGCGGAGTGGCTCAATATAGCGATCACGCATAAGATCACGGCACTGGCTCTCTTTTCAGAACAGCTGCATCATATCCATGAGTCTAATGCAAGAGCAATGATGAGTTTTGCCGGAATTGCAGTTGTGTTCAGCTTTGCGAGCGCTGTGCATTGTGCCGGCCCCGACGAGGGGCCTAGTCTGAATGCCTTCGTTGATATCTTGATACTGGCTCGCGGAGTTCAAGCAGTCGGGAGCCAAGCGATGGAATTCCTTCGACATAGCAATTTTGCCCCCTTATTCGATATGACTGACCCCGGGGCAACGGTTCCTGATGATGTTCTTGCAGCGCTTGATTATCTTGATGATCTAAATGCTCAGTATAGTCAGCAAGGGAATCATGATGGACAGTCCTACGAGTGTGCGATCCAAATTATGAAAGATCTGGCCCCTTTTACCTATGCAGAGCGAACGTCATTGACAGTAGTGGGTGGGTGGGCTATTCGATCTCCGCCAGGTTTTTTGGAAAAACTGAAAAAGCGCGAATCATTTGCTTTGGTGATACTTGCACATTTTTGTGCGTTTCTGCACATCGCTGCAGAGAACTGGTGTATTGGATCCTGGGGTCGACTCCTTCTAGGGGAAATAGTGCAGGTCTTGGATGCCGACTGGCAACGTCATATTAAATGGGCAGTAGTGCAAGTTTTGAGATGATGATTTACGTGACCAGTGACGATCTTTCACTACGATTGCTTATTATTTAACGCAAAATTTCAGACATATATCTCGATAAGAACACCTGGTCAACAGTAATAGTCCCTAAAATCATTTCATCATGTAAACTCCCCACAGAGCAAATTTTCATGCATTACCTTTCTCAAACTTCTCCTGACCAACCCAACTCGAGCGCAGGGGCTGGAACAAACTTGCGGGTCCATAGGACATTCTCTGAGTACTTGTGGCCACGACCTATCAAGCAGTTGACCTCGCTGGGGTGCGCATATTGAAGAATAAGCACGGTAATGAACATAAGGAGGGCATCGAAGACGTAGATGAAGGCCTCATGCTTCATCAGATATCCACTATAGCCTTGCAAGTATTCCACCACACGAATGACAGAGCGAATCAGGATCAAAATGCTGGCTGTGTAGAGGGCAATCATATGGCGGGTCCAGAGACCTTTCAACTCGATCGAACGGGGGGATGGGGTCTTGGCGACGCGAGTCTGGAAGACAACAGCACTGATGGTGAAAAGACTGAAGAAAATGATCTGCACGAAGAGACCGCCGATGATGACATGTTCGCCGGTAGATGGACCGGCTGAGTTTGAGACCATAAGACCCGCGCCTTGAGGTCAGTTAGTTTAGCGCTCTTGGTCGTCATGGGCTGGAAGATTCTACGTACCTGAGGCCTGCATCAGGAAAGAAAGCACATCGCCAGTGACAAACGTCTTAGTGAGCCATCCTACGCGGATGATGAAGAGTTTCTCTGCTTCAAGCATACAGATGATTCGTCCGAGAGCCATATAGATACTCGCAGCGAGGAAAGCAGGCGCAATCAAGATCAATGCGCTTTGCAAGATATATGGCCCCTTGGTGAAGTCCGGTGCCTCGGATGAAGCCAGGAAACGGCCTACATAACCAATAGTCTCGACTAGAAAGAGAGCATCTTATTAGTATTCTCTCTTGAATTGAGTGATGGTCGTGTTCTGAACTTACAGATTGCACCGATCAAGAAGGGGATCATGAACCAAGTCCTTGTTTGCACGAGCTGATAGAAATGCAAAAGGCTACTAAGTCCGAACAAAACAATGAAGATGACTGCCGCCGCATTAGACGGGGTATAGTAGTAGAAAATGAAGGACATTGCGTCTCTTTTCTTGTATGGCCTGCAGAAAAATCTAGTCAGTCCTGCCGGATGTTATGGATGTTGTGAGACTCCGAATTGACACCCAGGCCCATCGATCTGGAGACTTTATATCCCCACAATCAAGGCGAAGGCCACTATCTCTTATTCACGGCCATGTCCCTTGAGCTATTTATCCTCGTATTCGTTCCATGCTCCCTTATGGGAAGGCTAAAGTGGGACGTCTGGTGTTCGCCCCTATTTGCTACTATTTTTTGGGGACTGTTTCTTCGTATTCGTGATTTTATCCATTTTAGGAATGGATCGGATTTCTGAGAGTACGAAAATTTATACGGTTCTTCTTGAGCCAGGCGTATTTTAGATGGACGAGTTTTATGACCCGCTAAGAGACCTTCTAGGAACCACCATGTCCCTCTGCCATCCAATCGAATCTCATACCAACTAGGTTTCTGGAGTGACTTGAGACAGACAGTAGTCAGATCGATAGTCTCTGACAGTCAGGCTCATTTGCCAAAACTCTCTGCTTAGCGTGTATACGAAAGCCGCGATATTCAACGATAACCTGAATATTTAAAGTGTAGTGACCATAGGAACCATTCATTGGAAATTGCTTCGCAGTAACATTCATTTTTCACTGTTCTATTCTTTTTCCATTCTCTCATTTTTTCTCCTTCAATAGTCATGTCTTATAAACTTTACAATTATGATCCTTCTAGCGGCGTGGCCATTCCTGCAGCTGCCCTTTTCGGGCTAGCAACTGTGATCCATATTGTACAGATGATTCGTACCCGGAGTTGGTACATGATTCCATTTACAATTGGTGGTGTTTGTATGTCATCATACAATAGACGTGAAGATGAATCTGATTGATAATCTAATCTCTCCATTTCAGTCGAGGCGATCGGCTACTTGTGCAGGTACATCAATGCAACCGAAACGCCAAACTGGCAAATTACGCCCTACATTGGACAGAGCCTTCTGATTCTTCTCGCACCTGCCCTGTTTGCTGCCTCTATCTACATGATACTAGGACGTCTTATCGTCGCTGTGAATGCGAGTTCGAATTCAATCATCCGGCCGTCATGGTTAACGAAGATCTTTGTCATTGGCGATGTGCTTTCATTCTTAATGCAATGTGGAGGTATGGTTACTATTTCGCTATCGGGATACAATGGGACTTGCTACAGGAGCTGACGCGACCTGTGCTAGGAGGAGGATTCCTTGCCAGCGCAAAGACCCAGGACAAGGTGGACATGGGCGAGCATATGATCCTCGGCGGTCTTTTCGTCCAAGTCTTCTTCTTCGGATTCTTTATTATTGTTTCGATAATTTTCCATCGACGAATGCTTGCTTCACCTATGAACTATGTGGGTATATGTCACATTCCCTGGGCACGCTGTATGAATGTCTTGTATACTGTCAGTTGTCTGATCATGATTCGTTCAATCTACCGGGTGATTGAATATGTGCAGGGAAGCGGTGGCTATCTGCAAAGCAAGGAAGCATTTGTATACGTTTTTGATGCCGCGCTGATGTGTGCTTGTTGTATTGTTCTGGTTGTTTTACACCCAAGTAAAATTCTGGCTGAACAGGGGAAGCAGTATCAAAAGACAGAAGATCTTGAGATGTTAACCAACCGTTATGAGGCTGGACGAAACTATGATGTTTTGAGCTGAGAAGGTGTGATATAGAAGCCTCTATTTCTCCGTCCCTCTGGATATGCGGAGACATATGTATGATCCCTACAATCGCATAAAGCGGCTGGTTTACTGTCCACCTGCAATAAAGTGGCGCCGATAAGTAATAATCACACACATTTGAAATTTCGGTAGATTGGGGATGCCATGTTAAGATAATTATACGGATACGAGATCTATATCTGCAACAATAGCAGTGGGGGACATGACGTGTATCAGGGTTCTTAGAAGACTGTGGCACACTGACACTGTTATTACTGATGCCTATGAAATCTAATGCCAAAATTGGAAACAGATATGAATTTTGTACATACATTGTTCAACGAGCGCTAACCAGGCAGATGGATAATGGCTGTTTTGGGGCTTGAATACTCATCTATATCTCAATCTCTTGGTGAACAATTCACTCCATCGCTCAAAAAAAAACACAATTCAAAATGAAGTTCGCAATTCAACCAACCTCAAAAACCAAGCTGCGACTGGACATAGCCCTGTACTCCCTCGTCGCTCTTACATTCATACTCATCATCGTCCGGGTAGCCAACAAAGGCACTCCCTCATCAAGAGTTAATACATGGGGAATTGCAGTAGCAAGTTATGCACATCTTTTTGTAGATATATGCTAACACATCTTCCAACAGTGTCTGAAACCTGCAGTCTTCTTAGCATATCAAATTGTGACAGGACACGTGGACCGCTTCAAAAGATGGAGAAGCATTAAAGTCAACAAAATTCTCACCATTATCGATACGGTGTTCTGGTTTGCATTATTCATCATCACTATTTCGGGGACTTCATCATCACATAGTACGATTAGTCGGGCCTTAGGTGCTATTATCATCATACTGGCATTGATTTTATGGTAAGCGATCTCCTCCTCCTCCTCCTCCTCCAGTTTCAAGACTTGAAACTGATAAGATACTTGTGCCTTGGATTGCATTCAGAGCTATGTTTGCATCCGCATTCGGAAGCGCGAAGAAGATGGTGACACCTCTGTCGACACCATTGCATTACAAAGTGCTTGGGGTAAATAGACCTGCGCTATTTGCGAATCGAGCGGCATTAGGTAGCTTCTACCTTGTCTGGTACAGGTGAGATGCGTTGGAATCCGGAATATAGTGTAATTGTATGGTAATACAGCTTTACTAGCAAAATTATATATGTGCGGACGTGTTGCAATTGCGGAACATGGAAAAATACTGTAACACAGCTGTATATGTGACGGCTCGGCGTCAACACAACTACAACTAGGGCACGTTCGAATAAAGCCCTATTAAAAGATAAGGTTATATAAGGTTATCAATGTAGTATATAGAAGTATGTAGCTAGACATCTTACCTAGACCTTACAGGATTAGATTCAAATAGTGAATATTAGACCCCCTTCTTCATCATCACTAATTGGACTAAAATTATTCCCCTTTATATTTATTTCCTCTTTTATTGCCTGCTTCTCCTGATATAAAAATATAAAAGATATTCATTGACCAATTTACATTGGTCCTCCTTAAGGTCAAATCTTGATATACACATGAACATCATTAGATCCCTAATTTTTTAGGCTTAAGAGAGCCTCGACAATAGTAATACATATCCTAAGCAGTGTTAAAGAGTTGTTTAACGACTTTACGTAACGATAGTGATCGGAAGCAATAGATACCTTTGGAGTCATGCTTCTCACTGGAGTCGATTGAGAGAGATATAGGTTGGTCCGTCTAGGTCAGTATGGTACCGAGCTTATACATAGTGTAAAACAGACGAAGGAGGTTCGATTGTCTCTATAGCAAATGATGCCGAGCGAGGCGCATGAATGAAACAATGGAGCCATGTTTTGACAAATGCAGAATGGTTCTCAGATAATTCTGTTAACGGATGCTTACTTCTTACGAGTAATGGCGCCTTTTAAACAAGTGGTTCCAGCAGCAACCCAGCCCATATAAAGTCAAGGCTCCCTGGTACACATGGACCAAGTAGTACCGTCACTACAGCAAACAGCAGTTCCGTTACTGGAGCAGGCTCGTCCACTAACGGCAGTACCAGGGGCCATTGCACTTGCGGCTGACGGGTGGGCAGTTAAGAACGAGCTAGACAGGACAGTCGATCCAGCTCATTTAGATGGCCCAAATATCAACTGCTTCTAGCAGGATCCCGGATTCCCAGTCTAGGATTTTTGATGAGCTTCGTGTGTAATTTCTTCCCTCTGTAGAGCATGTGTCTTGGTTTGTTGGGAATAGCACGACTTGGTCGGGAAATACGTTATCCCTGGGGAAAGTGTAAGGCAGCTTTGATGGGCTTAGGTACTGGTACGCTTACTATTGATACCCCGCTTTCGATTTGCCAAGCTGGGCAGACTCGAAGCTGACAAGCTATCCAACTTCCAACTTCAGCAATCTGAGAATTCTACCCTACATTCTGCATTGCTTCGAATTAGGGAGTGGATAGAGAACCTGAATGTCGTGTACTAAGACTGATACAGTTTCTCATGTTATCAATGACACGCAAAATAACTTCACACATGATGACTACACGATCGCATGGATCTGCGCCTTACCCTTGGAAATGGCTGCTGCAACGACCATGCTGGATGAGATTCACCGCCCCCTTCCTCAACATCCGACCGACCCGAATGCTTACACAGTTGGCAGGTTGAGAAGTCATAATATAGTGATTGCGTGTTTGCCCTCTGGTATGTACGGGACAACATCTGCTGCGACTGTTCTGTCGCACATGCTGCCGACATTTCCCTCTCTTCAGTTTGGGTTGATGGTGGATATTGGAGGTGGAGTACCCAGCAAGAAGGTTGACATCCGACTTGGTGATGTAGTAGTCAGTATGCCGACTGCATCCTCTGGGGGTGTGGGATAGTATGACTATGGGAAGGCTCTTAGTGGACGCTTCCAGCGCATTGGATCACTCAACAAGCCCCCTCTATGTCTGCTGACCGCAATGTCTAAAATACGCAGCAATTACTTTGTCAGAGGTACGCCTATTGAAGGAACCATATCTGATACACTCGAGAAACATCAACATATGCGACAAGACTTTTCCCGACCTGATGTAGATTGGCTTTTTAGTCCAACGTACAATCATCGAGATAGCAAACCTGACTGCTCAACATGTGATCATAATCAGAGAGTGGATCGTTTGCCACGAGCAACCAAAGAACCCATGTTCATTATGGCTTGATTGCTTCTGGAAACTAAGTGATGAAAGATGCCAAGACACGAGACTCCATCGCTCGGGAGATGGACATCCTCTGCTTCGAAATGGAGGCCGCCGGACTGATAAACCAGCTTCCATGCCTGGTTATCCGAGGAATCTGTGACTATTGTGATTCTCACAAAAACAAACACTGGCAAGGGTATGCAGCTCTAGCCGCTGCTGCCTACGCAAAAGATCTCTTGACAGTTGTGCCCGTCGCTTTCAGCAACAGAAGAGATCTAGTTGAAATAAAAAACGGTGAGAATACATCCATAACTCTAGTCTAACACTATTATTGTAGTACTGACATCTTTCCCAGCATCAGCAACGCTTTCACGCGAGAATTTGGGTATATAATTCGCTGCAAAGTTCTCTATACACAGCTGACCCAATACAGAGTGCCTTAGGTCACTTGGTTTCCCCGAACAAGAGCACAGGTTCAACGAAATACATACTGCAATGCACACCTGCACATGGCTGCTAGAGGATTTGCAATATTAGGCATGGCTGGCCAGCTCGCGAGGGCTATTTTGTGTCAAAGGGAGCCCTGGGAGCGGAAAGTCCGTTCTCATGAAATTTGCTGTTCAGTCAATGACCTACATAAACACTGGACAGCTGGTTGTGTCCTTTTTTATCAACGGCAGCGAGCCACATATGCAGAAAACACCCCTGGGGGTATTTCGAGCTCTCTTGAATGGCACGCTCGAATCTTTCCCGCAGTACCTTTCCCAGCTCACCCGACTTTTCGAGGATAGGGAAAACGGTTCGGAGCCTATGAAGCAGGTAGATGGAATTGGGTGGAAAAGGAGCTTCAAGATTTCATATCACGAGTTCTGACTGTGGGGACTAAGCGTTGTCCTGTCCTTATCTTTGTGGACGCGCTTGATGAGTGTGGAACAGATGCTGCTAGAAGCTTGTTGGCATATTTCAAGGATCTGATGAAGAATGTCGAGCGTGAAGGAGAACAGGTAAAAATATGTTTTTCTTCCAGACATTATCCTATCCTTGGCCTTGATAACATTCCGGAAATCTGGGTCGAAGAGGGGAATAACAAAGACATCCAATTTGTTATTCAGGATTTACTTAAAGAAATTGAACCAGGAGAGACGCGCCAGTAGCTTGAAGAGAAGATTTTCGCAAAAGCCCAAGGCGGATTTCAATGGGCAGTACTTGTGTGCAACAAGGTCATCAAAGAAAAAGCCCATGGAACCAAGGTGCAGAAACTGCATAAAATGCTCAAATTGATTCCGGAAGCTCTTGACTAGCTTTACTCCAACATTCTGTCTGATGTTCAGGAAACCGAAAGACATCAGATGCTGAAATTGTTCCGTTGGGTTCTATTTGCCGAAAGACCGCTGTCTGCTCAGGAGCTTAGGGATGCTCTTTCTATTGATGAGGACACGGACTGTAAGGCTAGACTCAGAAACCATGAAAGCTGGTCTGATACTTTGGCTGATTTTGAGCTGCATGTGAAACATCTTTCCAGAGGTCTGGTGGAATTTCAAACACGCGACATTTGGGAGCAATACGAACCTGGTGGGGAAGACTCTGACCGAGAGGCCTAATTCATTCACCAATCAGTTGCTAACTTCTTACTAAATGATTTTCTCCACCGCAGGGACCAAAAAGTTTCTCACACTCCTGTTGGAGATGGCCATTATCAACTATCAAGGTCTCGTCTTAAATACATGACATTGGATGAGGTCCTGGAAGGTGCTGGGCTACCCCGTTACAGGCTATGGCCTATATTTCCGTTGGTACCATATGCTATTCAATTCCTATTCCACCATATCCGGAAGGTGGAACAGGAGAGGATCCCCCAACATGACCTTCTATCGTTGATACAATGAGATAATCAATCCAAACTAAAGAAAATTGCGAGTCTGTGGAGAGCTTCTGATCCTGACAGTATCCACACGCCCTTGGGGCGGCCATTCATTGGGGCGACAGCGCTCCATGCGATAGTTGCGTTTGGATCAAAAAGCGCATTTGATGATTTCTTGCGGAGAGATGCTGTGCAACTTGATGGCACAGACACCGATGGGAATACGCCGTTGATCCTTGCAATCAGAGAGGGTCATCAGAGTGTAGCATTAGCGCTTCTTGAGCGGACAAATGAGGCCGAAATTCAAAATTTAGAAACTTCTGAGCAGGGCAGAGCTTGTCGTGAAGGGGAGGAGCACCAAAAATATCAGTTGATAAATGTTAACGCGGAAAACAAGGACGGCGATACCCCGTTGACCATTGCAGTGACAGAAAATGCTGGGGAGGTGGTTCTCAAATCAATTGAAGCAGGGGCGAACCTGAATTACCTTGGCCAGTCGGCAGCTCTTGTTTCCTGCGCCATACGTAGCAGAGACGAAATATTGCTGAAGAAGCTTCTCGAGCTGAACTTCAATCTCGATGGAGCTGTCTACTGCGCATTACTAGAGCTTGAGAACAGTGGTAGTGCTCTTAAAGTATTCCTTTCAGAGCTTCTCAAAGCCGGGGCTAACGCCAGCAGATCACCAGAATTCTATAGGAGAGTTGGAAGGGAGGGGGAAGACGAGTACGAAAGCGATGGTGGTATACATGATGATCACGCAATCTCGATAGCATCACGCAGAGGCCAAGCAGCCGTTGCGAATATTTTGCTCACTCATGGCATATCGGCAACAACCCAAAACCAGTACGAGGAGACCCCACTACTCATTGCCTTGACGGAAAACCATGAAGATACCGCACGGCTTCTGCTTGAAATGGAGCCATCTGCGGTAGAACTCGAAGATGAGGATGGCCGCACTGCTCTTTCAGTGGCACTTGAGATGGAACATCTCGAGATGGCAATATGTTTCATTAAGAAAGGGAAATTTTCGGCGACAAGTGCAGGATTACGGGATGCACTTTATAGGTCGATCAACGGAGACATGTTGGAGGTCGTAAAAGCCATTCTAGAAAAGGATAGGAGCACATTAGAGGGCAAGTATAGTGATAATAAAACACCACTACATTTAGCAGCATAAAACGGGCATGATGCTGTTGTCGATTTCCTTCTCGACAAAGGTGCCAATATGGAGTGTACAGACGACTTGGGTCAAACACCACTGCTTCTCGCAGCACAAAATGGGCATGATGCTGTTATCGATATTCTTCTCGACAAAGGTGCCAACATTGAGTATACAGATAAGTCAGGTCGAACACCACTACTTCTGGCAGCACAAAACGGGCATGATGCTATTGTGAATATCCTTCTTGACAAAGGTGCCAATATTGAGTGTACAGATGAATATGGTCGAACACCCCTACTTCTGGCAGCACAAAATGGCCATGAAGCTATTTTTAATACCCTTCTTGGGAAGGAGCCAATATTGAGTGTAGAGACATCTCTGATCGGACATTACTACATCTAGCAGCACAAAATGGGCATGAAGTTGTTGTCAACACCCTTCTTGACAAAGGTGCTAATATTGAGTGTGCGGATAAGTCTAGTCAAACACCACTACTACTGGCAGCACAAAACGGGCATGAAACAGTTGTTAATACCCTTCTTCAGAAATATGCTAACATTGAGTGTGCTGACGGTTCTGGCCAAACACCATTGCTGTTAGCAGTACGAAACAAACATAGCCCACTTTCTTTACAACTCCTGGGAAAAGGTGCGAACCCCAACTCTAAGGATAGCGTTGGCCTAACGCCAATGTTTTGGGCATCAACCCATGGACAAGCTTCAGTCATAAGACTACTTCTCAAGAAGGGCGCCAACCTTCAGCCCACCGATTGTATTGGTTGGAGACCAATGTCAATTGCAGCAAAGAAGGGCCATACAGATGTAGTCAAATTGCTTCTTGAAAGAGGTGCTATAACGGAAGCCACCGACAAGTTTGGGCAAACCGCACTGCTCTTAGCAATAAGACATGGGCATGGGGAGATAGTGGAGCAATTTCTTGATCACAACAAAAAAAGCGGTTTTCGAACATGAGACAACGTTCTAATTTTCCTATTCGTGTGTATAACATCTGCTAGAGCAGATTCGGTAATGATAATGTACGGATTGACCAGAGCTTTATAGTGAATGACTTGCAGGAAGAGATTTCCCTTTCTATTTGTTTTAATATTGTAGTGCAGTCCTTCAGGATCAAATTGTTAATTTGCAATTAAACATGTCGCGGCGTGACCGTTTCAACGAACATTTCAAACGATTTCTGGAAAAACCCCGATAAAAAGACAAAAGCTCCAAAGGAACCTGAGAGGCCTCCAGAACCGAAACCTTCCGACACTCTTTCTCGGCCTACCAAGTCGTCCGGTAACATGTTGAATGCATGCGTCCTGGAGCTGGATGTAATTTTGGATGAAGCGTACAAACAGCTCCGTAAGGAGGATGAAAAGCTTATAGAAGCATACGAGAACGATTTGTTGGACCAGCTTGAGCAAATTGAACCTGGCACTGATCGCGATATGCGTCTTCGAAAACTAGTGGAACAGAGAATCCACAGCATACAGAACTCACAATTGGAATTCACTGTAGGCAGGAAAGAAATCGTCGTTAGGGACCAGGCCCGCAGGGTTATCCATACAATGCTCGGCTTCAAGAATTTCATTACAACTGCTGAGCTCTGAACCACATGTTGCAATGGCGTGGGCTGGAGTCCAGGTTCTTCTAGATGTAAGTAGAAGTTATACTTTTATATTTACATTTCTCTTTTTTATTAAACGGCAAATTTTTATTCTGGAAGATCTATTGACGTTAACTACTGTCCATAGCCACTCGCTAAGTCTCACACAAGATAAAGATGCCATGCAGGGCTTCGAAGCCATCTCGAACCTCCTCATTCGATACCGACGTATAAAGCGTACGCATACTGAGGACATTTACTCGCTAGAGAAGCCAGAGATTCTTGTTCCAAAGGTTTCCCAGCGTCTAATAAATCGATATCTCCCGGTTCGCCTTCAGTATGCCTGCCGTAGTTGGGTTTCCCACCTCCGACAGAGCAACCTAGTGGCTTCAGACAATGGAGTGGTACATAATTTTCTTTCTAAAAGTACACTCCTTCATTGCCTTGCCTTGAAGCCCCGAGCATCATTGGCAGAGCGCCTGAAGGAGTTCGTATGGTAGTAGAGTTGTAGGATCATTTGTCTACACTTCCAGTAAGTGCTGGGCTGCAACAGCTATCAGCCACCTAAACTAACGCCAATATACCAGTTAATGACTCCCGCGATGTCCCACGGTGATGGGGGTCATGTCATAAGCCGCAGAGGAATATATCAATGGATTGGATGGATCTGGCAAAATCACTTTCTGACCGCTCTTATCAACCCCACAGATGATGAACGGCACCTCTAGCATCTCTGGAGCCACGCTTATTCTAACAAGAAGCTGTGGGGATCTGCGTTTTAGGTAGTATCCACTACCACAGGATAGACGAGCCAGCGACGATGCTATCAGTATTATCATTGCAGTCACCAGGACGAGTTGAATCCCACATCACCGTGTTGTTGGGATAATACAGGCCCTTGCTATTGCTCACAGGAACTTCATTGTTACCATCCATGAAAGACATCAATCTGATTAGAGTTTGTGTTTTTAGATTCTTTCGGAGTTTAAGGTCAATACTGCCTTTTTTAAGATCAAAAGCTGTTAGGGTTAAAAATATGACCAGTTTTTGACTTATTTGTTGTGGGGATGATTATTCTGATTCCGCCACGGGTTAAGGTCAAAAAGATAGCAGGGAATCTCTAAGTCCCATTTGACGTACGAGACAACACTGAATTCGTTGTCACTCATAATTGGGCTTGTAATGTGAAAGCTGACAACAGGCTTGATCTCCTCATTGTTACCCGGTATATTAACTCTAGACTATAACCCTAACCCTAAGTATATGCCAATGGGCACTGGAAGGGAAAGTCGGTCCCCAATGACGTCGTAAAAGAAAATGAGTTATTTCGCTCACTTTATTCGACTCGGACTTACAGACAGGTGAATCATCAATGTAGATATCAGTACGTTCTCCAGACTTCAATTGTGTCTAGCGGGCGCTTCCACCAGCTTCCCGAATTAGCCCAAGCGTTAACGGAAAAGTCGAGCCAACTATCAATCCTTATATGGCAAGAGTAGTCCGGCGTGATGAATGAAGCCTGTAAATGACACCGAACAAGATATAATACCTGTGAGCATACGCGCAACGTCAAACTTGGCTGCTTCTTCACCTATTCATTCTTGTAAGCAGAGCGGGTTAATGTATGTGCTATTCAGAGAAGCCATATTTCAGACTAAGTGCAATGGTGACGGGGCACATTAAAGAGGGCAAATTTGTATCTTGTAATCAGAGAGAAGTGATGCTTTCGGAGCAGATAGAGACTCGGGATCATGCTCCGATGAGCATAGTCTAGATGAGATCGAAGCAGGCGCATACTGCAATCAGGAAAACTGCTCGGGAATTTATTCCTTCTGAGCCCTAACTTATCCCAATTGATGATCATAGATAGCAATATGTTGCAATTAGAGGTTAAGCAAAGCGACTGATGATGGATTCCTCTTCCAACGACCTTTACATGCATGCCTGCAGGGCTAGGGCTAGGGCTATTCTAACCAGTGACCACAATCAGCAACAACCACTATGTACATAGTACCTACGTAACATAACTACGTAGTACTATGTTCGTATCACCAACCAATCAAAAGCATTGAACTATACGCCTCGGCAAACTAAAACCCAAAAGAGAAGTCCCAGTCGACCAACCAATCATTGAGGGCACATCTACTTTGACCAATGGGTTGCCACCGATAAGAACGCAGGAGACAGCCAATCAGCGCTCAGCGGGACAAAAGGCGACTAAACCCCAAACGGCGACCAACGGCGTTTTCCCTAAATTAAAGCACGCTAAGCCCCGATTCAGCAGGTGCGGAATCGAGTCAGAAAATGGCTTTTTTTGTTGCTTCTTTGGGACTGGATGCTTTCTGTGCTTTTCGTTATCATTATCGTCTAGCTTAATCTATGATGTCAATATCGAGTACGCAGTATATCGCCTCTATATTAAGGATACATACATCACGATCGATCTAGATGAAGTTGAATGTTGAGCACTGAGCACTGAGCACTGTTAATAAGGTTATCCGTTCTCCCGAGTGGAACCCGGTCAAGAATTTATATCCGATCGAACACCCAGCCCACTTCTGTCCGTAATAGAATCCATTGCATAACAAAAACTGTCTCATTGGATTAGACGTGTTTACAGGGCCTTTAAGAAGGGAAAGTCGTCGTGTTTTGGTTCATCTCGCACGAGAGGCCACTTCCGTATTGAGATATTTCTCGCGTGCACTGCCGGGACCGGGACCGGGGGGGAGGGGTGTTGAGAGACTCCTCGGAAATAGAATAATGCCGAGATATCAAAGAATGCATTGTACGACTTCGAGGAAGCGGTGTGCGGCTCAGATAGTATGAGTGAGTGACTCGGCGGTGATCATTCTGGTCTGGATGTATCATATCATATCTATACATAGTAGACTATATCTTAATTCTAGTAGTATACGGAGTATCGGTGTTGAGTCTTGGAGCTAACGCTCCAACGGTGCGGTATGCTAGCGTCCCACGCTGATTGGCCCGTCGGCGATCAATGAGGATCTTCACGATTATGATGACCTTCGATGTCATTAATCAATTTCACTTCCTTTCTTCACCCACTATCGGGATTGAGCGAGTGTCGTTGTCTTAACTGTAAGGTTGAATATGTCTTGCACGTATTGTCTAATCGTTGCCGAGTTCTTTCCAAGGCAATGCAATACGTATCAAGGACGGCATCCCTGCCACGGCCCTGCCCGTGATCCCGGCTCATATAACAATCTATGATATCTCTCGGCGGGTCGCACGAACATGCTCTGATCGCCGCCTCGTCCTGATATCGAAGCAGAGCAATAAGGAATATGTGTTACACGTCCACTATCGGAAACGATAGAGAATACTAGTCTGACTCGTGACTAGCTAGGATTTATGTGGCGCATCTAGGGCTCCTGGATGGCTGGTCCCGAACAGCGATGGCTTGGCCAGATTTCTCGGCCTCATTTGGGATTGTCATACCAGCCAGACCCTAAACGGAGGACTCCGTCAAACGCAGAACTAGCTGTAAATATCCTATGTACTGTGTACTAGTAAATAGATATGCGAGAGTGATGCACTGGATCATCATTTGCCACGATCGAGACCTGTGTCAATAATGAAGCTGAAGACGGCTTAAGTAATTGGGGAGTGAGTACTGGTATAGTGGTTGGGCGGCGAGGCTTCCCGAAACGGCGGTTATTCGTTCTTATTCGCCCCTTTCTGGGTCGCTCCTTCCCCGCCGCCATAATTCATCACCGCTTCCTTCCTTCCATTCCTTCCTTCCTTCCTTAGGGGCGAACTAGTATTATTACTACCCCGGCGCCTTCCTTGATTCTTCCCTCGCTCATTTACTTCTCTCGACGACACTCTCCTCTCCTTACTCTCTACTCTACTCAACAACCACCCAACCCAACACTACACAATACTACACACATCGCCGTACTGGATACTCGAACATCATGGCAACCTACGCTCCTCTCCCCGCGCAGACAATCACCAATCCTGGCCAGATCTCCATCTACGGCCACCCCTCCCCGACAAACTCCAACACCAACACCCCAGCCAACAGCTCACCCACTTCACCACATCTAAGCACAGCAACCATCCTCCTCCCTACCCAGTCACGTCAGATCCGTCCCCCAAAGGCGCCGCTATATGTTCCCGCCGTGCTGCGTCCGACCGAGCGACCCAGTAGACCTCAGACTGGAACAGCGCCCACGACTCGAGATCCGTCACCCATCACGCCGCCTCGCAGTGTTCACGGTTCACTCGATAGTTTGAACGAAGATGCGTCGCCTGTTGATTTTCAGAAGAATTTCCAGTCGAGGAATACGGTGAGCAAGGTTGCCGAGGATGTGTGGAAGAAGGGTGAGCGATTAGGCGAGGTGACTGGTGTGCCGACACGCGACCACTGGAAGGTTAGTTTATTGTTCTCTTTCTTTATCGCATCTGCACATATCCATTGTTTGGGAGACAAAAGGAAAGGAAAAAAGGAATAATTCCTGTGGAAATGGCTGTTTATATGTATTGTCTGCGGGGGTCCCATGAGCCATTTTATTCGCCTATTACGTGCTCGATGACATGACACTTGACATTAGATATCCAAATCCCTCATCATCCCCTTGCTTGGCCTCACCTCTTATTGCACAACATATCCCTCGCCGATTTTAATTCAAGAGGCTAATTTTTTCATAGGCCGACTCTGCTTCTCAAACTTGTGATTCACCCACGTGTCGCTCCTCGTTTGGCATTTTCACCCGTCGCCATCACTGTCGTCACTGTGGCCACGTCTTTTGCTCAAGTCATACTCCCTACGTGGTCCCTCTCGATCAGAATGCGCGTTTCCACCCAGAAGGATCCGCCTCCCGGGCCTGTGATCAATGCTACAAGGCCTATCAGCGCTGGGAAGAGTCTCGCGCTGCAGGCATGAGTCGCATTCAGCAGAAACTAGACGCTCGTATTGACGCTCAGATTGAACACGAGGAACAAGTCGACGATGCTGCCGAGGTTCCCCATCGCCAGCAAGAATTCACTGTTGCCAGCAGTGTTCCTCGCGACTGGAATTGGAGCACTTTTTAATTCCCCCCTCCCCCCTCTTTCTTCTTTCTTTCCTATTCTCTGGGGAGGTTACGTGATTTGGTTTTGATATCCATGATTCCCCATTTGTTTTTTTTTTCTGAGCGCGTGCACTTTTGCGACGAGCGCTATCATATCTGCAATGTTGCTGGAGTTGGCGCCATATAGAACTGTTTGAGTCATTTCCGGCGTTTTTACCTTGATTTCTTGTACATAGTCATCGTCGTTAGTCGACTGAGCCTGCTATTCTGATTAACGTAGAGCTACTAATGTCATTTTATGAGCTAATAGATCAATGCTCTCTATCCTCTCTATCCTCTCCAAGCTCTAAAGAATATTCACCCTTTTAAACATACCAACATGCTCAATACCTTCCTCATCCCACCGCCCCATGGTAGAATCAGTCTCGTACCCGAAACGAGCGTACATCCCTTCAACCTGGACCTGCGCATGCAACCCTATCAACCCATTCCATTTCTTCGTTTCTCTTTCAGACTTCCCATCTTCGCGTGCAATGAGGGAATACATTTCACCTATCCTATCCCTGTTAGATTGAGCCCACGACTCGACTGTCCGCATAAGCAAGTGAGATATCCCCTTCCCGCGGAAAGAGGGCAGAATAGCGACTCGAGTGATTTTTATATATGGTTCGTGCGTGTAATCATATCCCACTTTTTCTGTTGATGACGTTGGGTGAAGAAGATGAGAGTGAGACATATGTGGTGGTGGAACAAGTCTGATAACACCCACCGGGGTTCCTTTTCTTAAACCCCCATCTTCATCCTTCTCCAGATCTTGATCTTGGTCTTGGTATGCTTGTGGAAGAGCATAAACAACCCACCCCCAACTCCTCCCATCGTCATCATCCACTTCTCCCTCCGCGGAACAACCCTGCTCTTTTACAAAGACTTCATTTCGAATAAAGAGGGCGTCGTTGTAGATTTGGTTCGTTAAGGGTTGTTGTGTGTTGGAAGTATTTAATACATTTTTATCTCCATTGGTGGTGGCAGTGGTAAGGATTTGAGGTGGATAAAAGGATGTTGTGAATTTGTAGGGTTGGTCTGTAGTAGTCATTTTTATATTTTAGATGAAATAAAAGAAAGATAATTGAAAGGGAGAAAAAAATTTGTAATGGTCGCCCAATAAAGATCCTTTTCTTGGCTCGTTTTCTTTTGTACTGGTGAAAAAGGATAGAAAGGACAAGATGAAGGAAAAGTGTCAACACACTAAATACCAAGAAATGAATCCATTAAAGGGGGAAAAAAAAGAAAAGAAAAGAAAAGAGGGAAAGAGGGAAAGAGGGAAAGAGTGTAAAGTGATATAAATAATAGAGCAAGAAAAGTAAAGGAGCGAGAGATCTCATCTTGATAATAACCCTAACAGCTGGCATGGGCCACAACCACCGCCCAATTCGGATCTGGATACGTCCATCCACTAACCACCTGCCTACTCGTTCCATAATCCCAATAGCCGCATTTCTCTACTATATACTGTGCTCCAGCCGCAACTAAAGTAAACGAGTCGATTGTCAAAGATGACTTGGCCTAATCTCATATCAGCCAAACATCCATTCAACAGGGGGAAAAGAGGGGGGAGAAATACATTCGTATTACACCACCAAATACCAGCATTGTTGGAACAACTAACCCTACCACAGCCATTGGGCCCATTTGATGGTTTCTCCTGTGCCAGTTTTGGGTCTACAAGGTGTTGGACTCCTGCCATGATGGAGCCTACTTCGGCTACCTTCCATTGAGGCCCGTCCGGGTGGCATTTGTATTGGGCGTTTTTGAAGTTCTGGCGTTTGTCGAGCGGGGTTAGGTGAGCTGTTGTGTCATTTTCAAGGTTGATAGGAAGGATTGAAGCGATGAGACCGTCCAAGGGGTCGTCGTCTGGGACGTTGATTGCGGCGGCCTGGGGTGATTCATTAGTTGGATAGTCAATGTTGTAGGGGGGAAGAGGGGACGTACATTGACATTCAGCAGCAAGAATGCCGACCAGGGAAGAAAAGACTTGAGAAACATGATGAAACGGTTTCGCCTCGGGTCAACTTGATCTGTTGAAAGGAAGTGAATGAACTTGCTCTGATGCAAGGAACAAACATAAGACGAGGTCGAAACCTTCTTTAAATACACCCTGACTGTCATTGATATCTTAAACCGTATACAATGAATCGGGATAATCTTACAACTTTTTGTCATATTTCGGGTCCTGCATTCTTTGTGTCTTTTTTTTTTCCCTGCCTCGTGGAAAACAAGGATGTCGGAGGATAGATTGAAACAATTGATATCTTTGTCGTTCGCGCATTCCGACAATGAATGACTTGCAACGGAATATTTGTCCGGTTGTCTGAATCGCAGGCATATCAACAACAAGTCGAGTATAAGAGGTACTTTGTGTAGAAACTTGAAATATCTCATGTACCTGACTATCAGTCATTTCGCTTAGCTTTCTAGGCATTCTTCCCGTCCTGCTGATCTTCTGAATCTGGGTTGCAACAGAAAGAATCACCACCCAGGGCAAAAGCCCAGCCGGATCAAATTACGATGATGAGTTCACTACCCTCTCCGCCTACAACGACATAAAAATTATTTGTAGCGGTTGCGGTGGCTGTCTTAGCAGATAGACTAGGAGAACTACATTGTCTGAGGGTATACTGACGGCCTCTACAACCGCTACATTCATAAGCCGAAAACAGCCCGTGGTCATGATTCTGAAAATGGAATCGAAGGACAAGAGCAACCACCAACGGAGCCAGGGCTGGACCTGCATAGACCACCTATATCTTCAACAACGACGCAGACCCCATGATGGCCATCGCTGGAACCGGGCACGCCCAAGCGGGAAACCCTTTCATATTTTGAGCCCGCCAGAATCAATAATGATAATCCCATTTAGTTCCATGACTCGCAAATGTTCCGTTCGAGTCATAGTCTATTCACGAGCGGAGCCAGAAGAAGCCTCGCTACTCCAAAGGGGAGATGAGGAAGGCCGATTTGGAGATTGTTCAGCACGTGAAAGTGCTTGAACAGTGAGGGAGTCGAGGTGATGACAGTGTTGAAGGCTGTGTAGAAAGAGACAGGCCGACGTTCTTGAATGGGGTTTGAAATTGTAAGTCTCGCTTCTCGAGCGTAGGAATCTCATCGTCCTGGCCCATCAAATAAAAGACAGGCCGGTTCCACTCTGGTTGACTTTGCATATTGGATCTAATAAGTAAGGAGAAATGACAGTTCTACCGGATGACTTAACAGACCCATTTCCAACGACAAGGAGTCTGTCGATAATGGAAGATACCTTATACCTAGATGACTATACGTACCAGATTCCTTTGCCGAGTGCGGGTTTTCCATTCTCAGCTGCCGCCGCTTTTGTGAGGGCGCTCGCAGTCAGCCTCACTGAGTGCTCACTGAGCGGACACTAAGACACTCTGCAAATTCGACTAACTTGATGATAGATATTCCTTCTGTAGCCAATGGCTGGACTATTCCATGTCAACAACGCTCAGATATTGCGATGTCTGCCCGCAAAAGATTGTATGATGATGGCCAGATCGAGTTAGTTTACCCCCTTTCCCCCTCATCCTGGGCCGGCTAACTCCACCAAAATTGCCGCGGCTGGCTGAAGCCGGGGTATGCCTGAACCACATCTAATTTTTAGAACAGCACATCATCTACCCTGCACATGTGAGAGCTCCGAAGGGCTTTTATAATCGTCCCCTCGACGTCAATCCTTCTATCCCTGAGCTCATGTGTTGGACAGCTACTCACTCATTGGCAAAGACACCACCATGACGACTGAGAGCTACACGCCACTAGACGCTCCGCTATTCCTGACTCCACATGATCCAGTCTTCACCGATGCGCAATGGGACTCTCTACTCTCGCTCTGCGACGTGGTTATCCCTGCGCTTACCACTGAAAAATCAACAAAATCCTACCAAAAGAGAATTACCACTGAAGAGTTCGAATCGACCCTGTCATCCATTACCGCCAATCTCAAGACCCCGGATGCGGCTCAAGTAGCTCGCCAATTTTTAGAAGAGAATGTATCCTCCAATCCGCTGTTCAAGGAAGCTCTTCGTCGCACGTTCTCGTTATATGTCCCTCAAGAAGCCAAGAATGGCTTGTCTATGATCTTGAGCGCACTCAAGTATGTCTACCACGCTCTCCAGGGAATACTGTGCTAATACTCCATAGCACCCGTGCTGGATCTCTACTTTTAACCGGATCATTGACCCCCGTCCAAAACCAATCCTTTGATGCAAGAGAAAAAGTTCTAAACAGTTGGTTGACCTCTCGACTACCACAACTACGCCAGGTTGCCAGATCTGTAATGCTTTTATCAAAACGTCAATGGCTCGTTAATAGTCCCACTGCAAACCAAATCATCGGTTTTCCCCGTGTACCAGCTTACGGCAAACCAGCAGAATCCTTTGAGTACGAATTCCTCCAATTCCCTCCCGGCGATGGAATTGAAACTATTGAAACCGACGTTGTCATTGTCGGCAGTGGTTGCGGTGGTGGCGTTGCGGCAAAGAATCTAGCCGAGGCAGGTCATCGTGTGATTGTTGTCGAAAAGGCATACCATTATCCATCTTCTTATTACCCCATGACCCAGAGCAGCGCCTTCGCGCACATGTTTGAGCAAGGAGGTAACTGTATCACGGACGACGGCTACATGGCTGTAGTAGCCGGCGCAACCTGGGGTGGTGGCGGAACAGTCAATTGGGGAGCCTCACTTCAGACGCAAAACTATGTACGTCAAGAATGGGCAGATACCGGTCTACCGTTTTTCACATCTTCGGAGTTTCAGAACTCGATGGATCGCGTCTGTCAGCGGATGGGCGTACACGCTGAATATGAACAAAGTTTTCAGAATAAAATTACACTTGAAGGGTCCCGGAAATTGGGATATAATGCGCAAATCATCCCGACTAATTCTGGAAACCAACCGCATTATTGCGGACATTGTACTCTGGGTTGTCATAGTGGTGGAAAACAAGGGCCTGCTGTATCGTGGCTTGTCGACGCTGCAAAGGCTGGTGCTGTTTTCGTTGAAGGATTCAATGCTGGAAAAGTTTTGTTCAAAAATGTCAACGGGAAGAAAGTGGCATCCGGAATTCAGGGTGTATGGACGTCTCGAGACACCCATCTGGGTACTTCAGGCAGGGATGTTACACGGAGAAAGGTTCAAATCACGGCAAAGAAAGTCATTGTATCATGCGGTTCGCTCCAGAGTCCTCTATTATTGATGCGCAGCGGCATCAAGAGTAGTCACTTGGGCCGTCACCTCCACCTACATCCAGGTATGCTCCACTGAACTCTTACACTATGACTGAGACTGACATGATTAGTCCTAATGGCCAGCGCCATCTTTGAAGAAGAGACTCGACCCTGGGACGGCGATTGTCTAACAACTCTAGTGACCGACTTTGAGAATCTAGACGGCCACGGCCACGGCCTCAAAATCGAAAACGTAACCATGGTACCTAGCATGTACCTGACCACATTCCCCTGGTTCGATGGCCTACAATACAAGAAACTAGCCGCCAGCATGAATCACATGGCTGGATTCATCACCTTGACCAGAGATAAAGACTCAGGCCGCGTATATCCAGACCCGATCAGCGGCCACCCACGAGTCGATTATACCATCTCATCATTCGACCGCAAACATATCCTCGAGGGCTTAATCGCCGCGGCAAAAATAGCATACGTCAGCGGAGCCACAGAATTCCACACCTCATACCGCGACATGCCACCTTTCATACGATCCAAAACCCCCAAAACCGAAACAGAAGACGACATCAACAACGGCGTAAACGACCCGGAATTCCAATTCTGGATCAGCGAATTCCGTAAAAGGTCCCCTCTAGTAGCAGAGGTCGGTACAGCAGCTAGCGCTCATCAAATGGGGACATGTCGAATGTCGAATTCGCCTAAAAATGGTGTCGTGGATCCTGATGGGCAGGTTTGGGGTACGGAGGGACTTTATGTGGCGGATGCATCTGTTTTCCCGAGTGCGAGCGGAGTGAATCCTATGGTTACGAATATGGCGATTACAGATTGGAATAGTCGCAAGTTGGTCAAGGTGTTGAATAGGGAGAGAGTGAGTCAGAACGGGGGTGCCCGCCTATGATCTGGTGAGGTGGAAATGAACCTTGGAAATGGTGGTGATTTTACACTTGTTAGCATGCCTAATGCGGGGTATTGAATATGTATCTGGAAAATATTCACCTTGACCAGACTTTTCAAGAGAAAAATCAGTAAGAACGAACTCGAACAACACTGAATATCATTCAGACAAAGGCTCGCTCTGATTGGCTATAAGATCATAGTTCGTATACCTTGCCCTTTCAGTCTTAGTATGCATCCTTCAGCTCATTCATGAATGTATCGTGTTGCCTGGGCTATGATCATAACTCCCTGAATATTTCGTCTTCATTGTCATGAGTCCTTCCTGTTTCTATCCGCACTACACAGAAATATCAACTGCTTGCCGAATTCCGTCGTCGCCCAGTAAGTTGTGTGCTCAAATACGTTCCGGAAAGATGCCCTCGAGACAATTCCACAGCAAAAATAGACACGGCTGTATTCCTTGCAAGAGGAGAAGAGTAAAGGTGGGTACCGTATTGTAAACATCCATTTTCATATTCCCCTCGTGTATTTATGAAGGAGCTAATTTTTGAGGTCGTAGTGTAATCTGGCCAGACCGATATGCAGGAACTGTGCCAGAAGGAATAAAGTTTGCATTTCATCTCCTGGGCCGACATCGACAGAGAGAAATTCGACTAGACAGGCGAATATGGCTAATAGTCAGAGCCTAATCTACTTACTGCTCCGTAATATCAGCTATATCACAACAAATGATTCATTTTCCACTCTCAGACCCCTAAACCCAGACCTCTTCTTCTTGGAAAGATACTTCTCTCACATTTGTCCAACACTATCCTCCAGACCAGAGACCCAACGGAACTGGGCACAAGCCGTGACAGACCCGAGTCAATCCTCAAAGCAGCCCCATTACCTGACCCATCTACAAATCGCTATTTCTGAACTCCACTTCTGTTTAATAGACAGAGATACTGCCATCACGCTATCAGAGAGGAAGCTGTATCAAGAACAAAGTTTCTACCACCAGAATGCCGCTTTGTCGATACTGCGTCCCTTACTGGCCTCGGCGGAGGAGATGCGTACAAGAGGTTTGGAGGAAGTCACAGCTTTGTTTAGTGCGGCTTGGTTGATATTCTTGTTTAATCTTACTTTTCCGCGGGGAATTAACTCGAATAAGGAATGGATTTTGAATGAGATTCTGGAGTTGAGTGAATTGTCAAAGGGGGTAGTGGCTGTTATGTTAGGTGCTAGTGCTGGAATTACCTCCAGCAACCATTCAGCTATTGAAGGACCGGTACACTGCAAGGATGAGGATGACGAAACTCGCGATGCAAAGACTAGAGTCATGTCCGGCCCATTACGCCCCTTCTTCAACCATCTCCTCCCCTGGAAGCATGAAGATGTCCCACCCAGCGTCCGAAGGCAAAATCTATCACCATCCGCACAGGCACTTTTCGGTGAAATCGAATCAGCGGAGTTTACTACTGACGATACATACCGGAAAGAATTATATCGCCTCGCAATCGAAGAGCTCGAGCTGACCGCCGTGGCAATGAAGGCACATACCCAACACCCATCGTTCATATTCATGTGGCTCATAGGAACAAAACGGGAATTTATGGAGTTGATTAAACGAAGAGATGAATTTGCGCTGAAGATTTTGAGGGAATATGGGCTTATGTTGAAGACGGTGGATGGGTATTGGTGGGCGAGAGGGTTGGAGAGGACGACTGTTGATGGGGTTGATAGTGCGTTGAAGTCGTTGTCGGGCTTGCAGTGTAAGGGTTGATCAGATCATTGATGGATTTTAGTTGCACGTTTACTAAATCATTTATGAATATCTGTTGATGATGGGTCCGGAAAGCCATGTGGTTGGCATAGCTTTCATTAGCCCGCCAAGTAGGATATCGCATATATCTCAATTTCCAATACACATACACTAACCTAGTTGCGACGGGTACAATCACCCCTTAACAGCCTTCTCCAACCCCTCCAGAGCAGCCGTATACTCCGCAACCATAGCCTTGCTATTCTTCTCCTGCCTAACAGCCTTCACACCATTACCCGATCGAACAACATTCTCACTCTTAACAATCACCTTCTGAAACCACAACCCCTCCCGATGCTCCACAAGAGTCCATGCTTGTCCCGATTTCCCGGCTCGCGCCGTTCGTCCTACGCGATGGACATATGTAGTCAGACTGGTAGGCATATCGTAGTTAATCACTCCCCCTAAACCGACAAGATCAATACCACGTGAAGCACGGTCGGTGGCCACTATTATGCTTATCCTTCCGGCGCGATAGTCCTTGAGTGTCTTGCGAGATGAGGAGGAATTGTTGGATTTGACTATTGTGCCGATTTGAGATTCTAGTGAAGGGTTCATGAGGCTGAGGAGGTGAGATAATCTTGCTGCTGATTCGGTGGATTTGGTGAAGATGAGTACTGAGGTGACGCCAGTGTTGGATGCTGAAGCGACTGGTGAAGTCTCGCTGGCTATAGAAGAGGTTTCGGAATCCGAGTCAGAGGAACTCTCACTCTCGTCAGGGCTTGCGTCAGATGACTCGGAATCAGAATCGGACTCGGAGTCTGAGGCCTCGTCAGAGCTGCTCGTGTCGTCAGATGAACTTGTAGAATCAGAATCCGAGCTTGAATCCTCAGCAGCTTCGTTAGATTTTCGACCAACAACAGAAGCATAAGCAGGAGTCGCAAGACTGTTCCACTTTGACTTATTGATCATAAGCAACAATTTCATCAAATAAATAGGCTTCTCAAAACCGTCGCCAACAGGCACAAAATGCTCCATCAGACTAGGAGGCAACACAAACTGCTCCGCCTCATGCTTGACCCTTTCTTCATTAGAATCCATATTCCGTGAACCGATTGCTACCAACTTCGGATTCTCCAAACGCAGCGAATTGAGTTTGGTAATGTCGTTGGTAAGTGTTGCACTGAGAATCACTTTTCGCGGATAAGGAGACTGAATCGGTCGTCCTATTCTAGCCAGGACAGAATCGCCTATATTAGCAGTTTTCTCCTTGTCCAGAGCGCCCATGAGAACGGAGACCCATTCCTGGAAACTCTCGTTGAGCAGTCGATCAGCTTCATCGACTACAAGCCACTGCAGATGTCGAAGACTAAAGCCTTCTGTCTGCCGGATATGATCTACCAATCGGCCAGGCGTAGAAATGAGAACGTCTATATTTGGTCGAGCCACTTGAATATACTGTGGTGCCAAATCCCCTGCGCGCACAACCTCGTCTCTATATTTGAGCAAGTCGAATTCTGCCCAGTCACTTTCCGACATAGTTCTCTGCTGGTCTGCGTTGTACTTTTCCGGACTATAGACAGAATCCCATCTTATTATTTTCTGTTGTTCATCCTTCAGCACAACGCTTCCAATGGCAGTGCCGATTCGTAGATTGCTTCCACAAGCTTCAAATGCTTCCCTAGCCTGTTTAACCAGTTCCCTCGTGGGTACAATAACGAGTGCGCGAAGTCTTGCCACAGACTCTCTTTGAAGTGACTGGTTGATTGGAAGGACGTATGATAACGTCTTTCCGGAACCGGTAGATGCAGAAACACACAAATCACCTCGATGGCGATGTTGCTCGTCAAGTAGGAGTGGTATAACTGTTGCTTGAACTGGTGTCGCTTCACTATACCCATGTTTTTCGAGTTTGGAGACTACAGTTCTATCAAGACTGATATTCTCGAATTTGACAGGCTGCCCGTCCTCTCGGTCATATGGAGATTTTGTGACGGGGTTTGTGATCCAATCGGGCATTGTCGAGTACGTAGGTTTCTCGCTTGTTTCTGCAACAGGTTCCGGTTGTGGAAGAGGCTCCAAGCCCTGCGCAACAATCGCCGTGCCAGTATCGAACGCTGAAGTCTCTTGCACATTCTCGGTAACTGGTCGTTTGGCCTTTATTGATTTCTCAAACTTCTTTAACAGCTTTGCATGTTTTAAATCATGTCTCTCATCCTCGTCTCGAGGCGTAGAAACTTGTTCGTGCTTGCGCTTTTTAACTTTGGATGGAGGATCTTGCGCTCCATTGGCTTCGGATTGATCTTCATTTTTGCGTTTCTTGGTCTTCTTCAGTGTCCTATCACCAAACCTCAGATCCGGAGCCTTTTCATCGGACCGAGAAGACGATCTGGGAGGTTCCGTGTCGATCGACCCTTTCGATCCATCGTCTCGACTTTTCTGCCCCTTCCTATCCCGCGAAACACCACCCTTCGCCGACGCCTGACTTTCCGACTGAACATCCTCGAATTCTTTATCTCCATACCATTCTTCCTCGACGCCATTTCTATTCGATTGCTCAAGTTTGCTTTCTCTTTTCCTCTTTTTCTGTGGCTGCAGCGAATCGACGACGGGCGATGTGGCAAGTGATTCTTCATAGCGGTCTTTTTTCCGCGACGTCTTTTCTTTATCTCCACCATGGCGTTTTTTCTCTTTGTCTCCGGCCATTTTTGGCAGTGGCGACTAGCTCAGTTAGAGAGTGGATGAATTGAAGTTGGAGATGGACGCAAGAGGTAATGTTGCATATAGAAAAACATGTGGTCACTGGATTGTAAAGAAAATTGACCGTCGCTTCGTCCGTTAAGCAGATACGAACCCAATGCAAAGTAATATGCAGACAAATTCACCTAATCTTTCAGTCCTCCCGTCTTCTCCAACGGAGTAAATCAAAATTATCGCGGCGATCGTTGAAAAAGATATATATTGCCGGTTAGATATTTACCGCCTAAATCACCGCCTTACTATACTGCCTAGATGCTCTATCCACAGGGTCGATCATCCCTGATTGGTTCCTGACTCTGTAAACTTGACATTTCCAATACTCTATCAAGACTCTTTATTGAGCCATTTCTGAGATGATATAATCGACTATCAGTCCTGGCGAGCTCATAGAGCAAGCCGGGTCGCAAACTATTCAATATGCCATACAATATTGCGTGAGCTCAGCCCACATCTTCAGGAACATGCGCTAATCGATCACAGTATGGTCAGCGACTTTTTCTTTCCACAGCCAGGTTTGTTGATAAAGAGACAGCGTCTGGATAATTCTAATGCGCAATAGGCGGTGTTGAAAGTCATATTTACCAATTGTCTACGGTATCTCAACTTGCTCCTATGCTAGGTGGATCTGCTGACGACAGTAGAAACTCATCGACCGCGGCCACAAAGTCATCATCATCACGCACGCCTACAAAGGCCGGACAGGAATCCGTTACCTCACCAACGGCCTCAAAGTCTACCATGTCCCATTCCTCGTCATATACCGCGAGGCAACCATGCCCACGCTTTTCTCCTTCTTCCCCATATTCCGTAACATCATTGTCCGCGAACAAATCCAGATTGTCCACGGTCATGCCAGTTTGAGTAGTTTCTGCTGCGAAGCGATTCTGCATGCGCGCACCATGGGGCTACGTACGGTGTTTACGGATCATTCGTTGTTTGGGTTTGCAGATGCAGGATCGATTCTTACGAATAAGTTGTTGAAATTTATTCTTAGTGATGTCGACCATGTGGTTTGTGTTAGTCATACTTGGTGTGTATTTCTCAATCGGAGGAAATGGCAAGAATTGACCGGAATAGCAAGGAGAATACAGTCCTTCGAGCATCGTTGGATCCATTGATGGTATCCGTTATACCAAACGCAGTCGTCGCAGAAAACTTTCGCCCGTTATCATATCCGTCCACAGACGGTGCTAACGGAAGTCAAGCGCCACGACCGACTCCTCGAATCATCGGACCCAACGACACTATTACGATCGTCGTGATTTCACGACTCTTCTATAACAAGGGTATTGATCTGCTGATTGCAGCGATACCTCGTATTCTCAAATCCCACCCGAATGTACGGTTTATTATCGGCGGGTCGGGACCTAAGGCGATTGATCTAGAGCAAATGCTGGAACGGAACATGTTGCAAGACAAGGTTGCAATGCTTGGTCCTGTACGGCACGAGGAAGTGCGAGACGTCATGGTTCAGGGAGATATATATCTACATCCCAGTTTGACAGAAGCATTCGGCACGGTGTTGGTCGAAGCTGCAAGTTGTGGTCTGTATGTTGTCTGTACGCGTGTTGGAGGTATACCAGAAGTACTCCCACAACATATGACGACGTTCGCAAAACCAGAAGAAGACGATCTTGTCCAGGCAACCGGTAAAGCCATTGCGGCGCTTCGATCTAATAAAGTGCACACGGAACGGTTCCACGATCAAGTGAAGATGATGTACTCCTGGACCGATGTGGCTCGTCGCACTGAACGAGTATACAATGGTATCTCGGGAGCTATCAGCGAACTCGAATTCTACGGCCACTATCCAGGCGCAGGCTGGGACGCTGTGCGCGGCCGCACGCGAAGTTTTGCGCTGATTGACCGGTTGAAGCGATACTATGGATGCGGTATATGGGCGGGGAAATTATTCTGCATGTGCGTTGTGATTGATTATCTGTTGTATGTGTTTTTGGAAATGCTTTGGCCGCGGGCCAATATCGATATTGCGCGTAGCTGGCCGAAGAAGAAAGTACCGCATCCGGATGCGGCTGCAGCTACGAAAGGGAATATGACGAGGAGTACGAGGGATCGACTTCGTGCTGGATGACTATTCTTATGATACCCTTGTGTGCAGATGTCTTTTTTACATTTCATTGAATTCATGACAAACCTATATCATATACACTCGTCAAAAAAATATTGAATTATTAACGCTCCCTCGCAACACTCTCCGCAGTTTGAGGCGGCAACTCCTCCGCTCCAGCAATACCCCTACCCCCCCTGGTCCCAGGTACAGCCTCCTCACGATCCAACGCCCTCTGACCAGGATTATACCTCGGATCAACCTTTTGCCTATCCTGCTGCGGCTCCGCATTGGCACCAACACCCTCTAGACCAGCACCGTGATGCTTCCGATGATGCTCAGCGCCAGCGTGTCTCTGCTCGTTACTCGTCTGCGACATGGCTGGTTTCCCGAAACTGTTATCGACATCCTTTGATGTGGCGCCGGGGTATGTGGTGAGAGGGTTTGTGTATGTCCTCTCCTTGCCGTGGGCGCGGAGGACGTCGTCGTTGTTGGCTTGGCCGGGCACTTCGTTGATGGGGTTTGGTTGGTAGGAGCTTCCTGCTGGTGCTGTTCCCGGTGGCAGTGTTTGGGCGTGGAATTCGTCTGCTTTGTCGGTCTCGGAGGCTAGGACGCCGGGTTTGTGCTGTATCCGAGTTAGTTGTTTGCCGATAATTCAGGGAGAGGGGCATACCCATTTCTCGGCTGTAAAGTCTTCGCGAGGATGGTTGGGGTGGAAGGGTTGGTGGCCGGTGGCGTCGACAGTCTGGTTGTTTCGAGTAGACATTTTGCTGATGTAGAATTGATTTGAGTGTATAATTGATAGATGATAGATGGTTGATGATTGATCTGGGATTAGAGTGATGGCGATATAAGCTTATATATATAGGCCATGTCATATCCATGACGTCAAACTGAGGTATCTGGCTTGCCCTAATAAATCATCTTATTATATTCTTATTATTTATATATATTACCCTATATATCAGGGTTAAATGTTCATCGCTCCACTGCTGGTGATGTCGTGTGTCCGAAGTATCTATATGATGCTTTTCCTCTTATCAAAATGTATGGTATATGCTGTGACGTCATATACATTCATCTAGATATTCTAACGTTGTGGTATCTCAGTACATATTCCAAAAAAAAGGGGGGGGGAAAGAAAAGAAAATGAAAGGAAAGGAAAGGAAAGGAAAAAGAAATAAAAGAATCATGGGATATCACCGATATCACCGCATCACCGGGGGTCGTCCCTCTTTATTCCACTTCACGCGACTCTGCACCCACTCAACCGCCTCCCGAACCCCCGTCCCCAGCAATGCACTAACAGGCAAGACACGACTATCCCTCACGCCAGCGCCCTTCTCCCCCTCAAAAACCTGCCTCACAAACCCTTCTTTTATTCTGACCACCTCCACACAATCCTCCCGGTCCTGTTTATTCGCCAACACGAGAATCGGCACCCCAGCAACATCCGCATTCTGCAACACCGATTCCAGCACCTGTTTACACTCTCCTAGTCTTCCATTGCCCCCATCCTCTTGAGTGCTGGTAAAATCCTCCAGCCCTTCTCCGACATCCGTAGAATCAACCACAAAGATAATAGCATGACAACTCGAATAATAACTCTGCCATAGCCCACGTATCCCCGTTTGCCCGCCCACGTCCCATATCTTCAGATACATGTCCTGGAGCGGGATTGTGGCTACGTTCTGTCCGACGGTGGGCACGGTTCGACCGACATTTTGTGGTGGTGCGCCATCTGGTTGGGGCAGGTAGAGGGCTTTGATTTGGGAGAGGAGGGTTGTTTTGCCCGCGTTGTCGAGGCCGAGGAGGAGGACAGAGTATTCTTTGTTCTGTTAGCTCGATCGTATTCACATAAGTGGGAGAGGGGGGAGACGGACCCTCCTTGCTGGTTGCGTATAGATAGAGCGACTTGGCCAGATGGTACATGACTTTGTTGAGATTATGAGCAGAGCATGTTCCCCATTTGTTTTTCTGTATCACGGTATACGATACAGCATTGGCGAGAGTCTAGAACGGAGGTGTCGTTCAACTTAGGGAGTGCGTAGTGAGGAAGTCCAAACAATCAGCCAACGACCGCGGCTAAATTCGTGCCAAGCTTTTACCTCGCTCGGGAGATCTTCTCCGTAACCCTCATGGCCTTTTATATTTTCCATCTTATGGAATATGAGTGTATAATACTGAATTGATTGAATCAGACTCTATGGTGACTGTCTGATTGTCATGTCCGCTCCAGCCTGGCGCGTTGACGTACAGTTGAACTGAGAGAAACTTGCCCTGAGTACAAGGCTTAGTGATCATGATCTCTGATTCTGATTCCGATTCAATGAAGGGATTGATTCCTCACAGACTTCACTGAGACATTGGTCTGCTGTCTAACGCACCTGTACAGATTCTAGTATTCCTCTTGATTCCTTGCAGGGGGTGACTATTCAGATCGCCAAGTCTGTAACCACATCTCGTTGTATCTTTGTCAACAAGGCTATGCTCCTCGGTGTCTATGGACACATGACTCGTAGCTTGTGAAAGAGATGCGGATGGAGGAGCTGACATGAGCTGGAGAATACGCTCAGATATTGGGGGAGCTTGACAATGTTGACTGTGTAGACGATTGCCTTTGTTCCACTGTGCTCATTTCTTCATCTATACGAAGTGCCGTTTATCACATCTCCCCGTCCGGTGTATCCCAAAGTCAATGGTACATTACACAGCGTGCTTGAATATATACCTTGGGGGAATACATATCTACACAAAGGTTACTCTGAATACTTTATGGTTGTACTTTTATGAATCATCTGATATTCAGTATGTCGTATCTGTAGTCAGCTGTCGTACAATAGTGATGAGTGTAACCCATGTCCAACACCAACGATTTTAATCAGTGCCACCAATAGAGTCGTACTAAATCTGACGGAAAATAAAGTCAGATTACGAAAAGTATAAATCGGGTGCTGGACGAGCCAGTAAATCAAGCAGAAAAGACAAACAAACTGTGATTGCCCAATTTCCCAGCCAGAATACCAATCCTATGTAAACCTCCCAACACTGAAACCAACCATGCTTCCTCAAACTCTTCTTTCCATTCTCCTCACCACCGTCCTATCAACCACAACCATCGCCATGTCTCTCGCACCACGAGACACCATTCACGCCAGCGACATGGACCGCTACAATGCCGTCATGTCCACCGTCAAGGGCTCGCAGTTCTTGCATCTCTACCTGAAAGACAACCAGGTCAAACTCGACATTTACGAGGATCCCTCCAACGCCCTGGTCAGCCAGAATTCTTTCGCCCCCAGCGAGAACGCGCCCAAATACTTTGAGCAGGAAGAAAAACGCGAAGAAGCTCTGCAAAATGAAGAAGCAGAAGCTGTCAACAAGGATAATTCTGCTGCGAACAAGGATACGGTACATGACTCCTCATCGCGAATGGAGAAGAGAGAGTCATTTAACACAGATTCGGCCGCTAATGCTGACGTGGATAGGGTAATGGACAGGCCGCCTGAGAGTCATCCCTCGCGATGTTATCAGTTCTGTGGCAGGGTTGCTCATTGCGTTGATCGTCGTTGTCCTCATTGTTATTGCGTTGGGGGGAATTGCCTGTGGCAGAAGAGGTGTCGCTAACCATTTAGTCAGTGTTGAGCGAGGTGGATTTTATGCATCAATCTCAAGACTTTCTTTTATCAACTGTATGCTTTGATTCAGGGATGATGCATATGAGGACTCCTCTCAGATAGTTTGCTGAATCGTCACTCCTTATGCCTTATCATTCCATGTGATACAGAATAAGATTCGTCTAGTGTTGCGAAAATATCAAAATCATGAGCAGCGGACCAAGACGCTTTACAGTTTTTTAACATATATCTCCATGCACAATGGCTCATTGGGCCTCCCTCACAACCCTAACCCTGAAGACCCTATTTAATCCCAAGTATTAATGCTGCTTAGTCATTTCAGAGAAAAAAAAAATCTCGTTTTAAGCATGGAATTATTATCCATTCAAATAAGCAGAAATGCAAGATTCTAATTAATAATCATGGATGACCTCTCTCCGACGTAGGCAGAGTTTGGCTCTCGGCGTTTCCCTGTCTCCATACTGATAATTAATAGAAGAAATTTTAATTTACTTTTCTTTTTTCTCTTTCAATTGTACTTTATTCAGTTTATTCATACATTCACTCATACAATGTATATCGGCATTCATATACGCTCAGTTAGATTGCGCAGGTAGCGAGGACCCCCGCGAGGCACTGAATTCTCCACCATGTCTCCGCCTGCAGACGTCGACGTTGACACCGTTATAGTCGGTACGTCGCATATCCCCAATCATTGCTGAATTGCTAAAACATGCATCTAATTTGTGATAGGAAATGGTCCCTCGTCCATGATCCTCTCATACATCCTCCACGGCCACATCCCATACTATACCTCCGACTCCAACACCCCGCATCCAGACTCCCTCCTCCACGCCAAACTAAAAGACTCCCCCTGCCTCCTCCGCCCCGACCTCGACGCTCTAACCTGCCATTTTGGAGCCTCACTCCTCTCCTATTCCACGCAGGCGCTCCCAATAAACGTATTACTAGACACGCTCCTCCGTCCTCAGGGCGAAGTCGACGATCTCGGCGAAACCACAAACCTGAAATGGATACACATACCGCATCGCGCCGTGTCGCATATCGTCGTTGGCAATGCGCCCAATCCGGGGGGTCTATGGGCTATGCATACCGATGATCCGGTGAATATTAGTTGGGATATTGGAACGCTGAGTTATGCGGGCATGCTGTCCTTGCCCGGGTACACGTTTGCGGATCATTATCGCAAGACGACCAAGGGGAAAGAATTGGCGCCTTTTACGAGGCCGAGTCGGAGGGAATTGGCTGAATATTTGCGCGCGTATCCTGTCCAGGCTGGGATTGCGGATTCGTTTAGGGATAATACTGAGCTGGATGGTATTCAGCGTATAGACGGTGGGTTTTACATCCCCTCACATCGCATTCGGTGCAAACATCTCGTTTTAGCTAGTGGGATATTCTCGCATTTGATTCAACCGCCGCCTTTGCTAGCTCCTTTATTGGAACTTCCGAGGAATGGTCCATCTGGCTTTCCGTTGCTGGTGGTAGGTTCAGGGTTTACTGCTGCAGATGCGATCATATCTGCTCCATCCGGTCAGCATATACTACATACATTCCTCTGGAATCCCAACGACAGACCTTCGCCATTAAAAAGCTGTCATCAACAAGCATACCCTGAATACGCAGGGATATATCGTCTCATGAAACGAGCCGCCCTCTCATCATCGTCTCGTGCCGGTGGCCACAGACCAAACCCGCGTCGACTTGCATCGACGTCATTTCTCGAAAGTCGGAACTGGGACCATATCTACGAAGGTCTCCCAAACTGCAGTATTGAGAATGTCCAACTCAAAGAAGACCATGCAATCATCACCCTTGTCCTCGAAGACGGGACGAAACTCTCTCGTCCAGTATGCGGATTGGTTTATGGCGTTGGTCGACGCGGCTCACTTAACTATTTATCATCTTCCCTCCGTGCCGAGGTTCTGCATAATGCAAATCCCTCAACAGATGGAGTGATATCCGCCAAAACACTCCGCGACAAAGTCATTGAAGACCTCGAAGTTGCCCCCGACGTATTCGTCATTGGTAGTTTGACGGGTGACTCGCTCATCAGATTCGCTTACGGCGGATGCGTATACGCTGCGTATTCTTTGATTTCGGCTTCAGGTGTTTGTAGCGGGTTGTGTACGCCCAAACAACCCGCTGGAACGCCTACGGGCGGTCGTCATGCGCTTTTGAATGGCGTTGATGGGCATTCCATGCAACAAGTAACAGGGAGTTGTCGGGATGAGTGTCAAGAGTCAAGTCAACCACGGAAAAGATCGTGGTGGAGTACTATTTGGAGTTTATTGTTTTGATTGCAGACTACTGTTATCTGCGATAGATCTGCGATAGATCTGCGATAGATCTGTATTCTACTTATTATACAGCACATACTCTGTGTATAGAGAAGTATTATTTCAAGTCTACTACTAACCCATCAACTGCAACTGATCATCCGGCGGCCAGCGCACCTGCGCAAAGCTCAAGCACCGCTTTATACTTTGTAAATATTTCCGCGTAACTTCATCGGACATGATATGCGCTTTATTATCGCTTTCGTGAAGTTTTTCTCTTGCCGAACGTTCATGGATACCCACCATGGTCACACCGATTGGCCACGCCCTGCACACATTAGTATATATCATCCAGCAGGGGAAACATAGACGTACGCTTTTCCAATACTCAGCCTCAAGTAACCATCATTCGCATCAACATATCTTCTCTCCTGCGCACAATGCACAATCTCCACAATAGCTTCCAGCACCGTATGATCAATATCTCCCGACTCAAACTTCTTGAACAAAGGCCTCATATTATCCCGACTTTGAATCATGGCATTGTACGCCTGACGACCCGCAAAACTCTCCTTCACGGATGTATCTCGTTTTGCGAGCGCAATGGCCCATTCTTCCAGTAACATGGTGAAATACGAGGCGAGTTGTCTGAAAAGAAACTTTTTGGCGTCGGGATCTATATCCTTGGGTATTTTGGAAGGGATTTTCATCTCTTTCTCCGGGACTAGTTCGAGGCTCGTTGGGATAGGACCAGAGGAGAGTTGGGGTGTAAGTGAGCGTTGGACTAGTTTTCGATATCGTTTCAGTCGAGATTTATGCGTTTCTCCGAATAGTGTCGCTGGCTCATTCATTTCTCTCAATTTCGTAATCAATTCTTCATCATTGATATCTTCATCCTCCGGTACTGGCGTGCCTGATTCGCTCCTAGCAGTAGACCGAGGAGGCAGCTCAGGTAACCCCAGCCTGTTCCTTCGCGCTCTCTCAGCAGCTTCTTCCTCAGCTTCCCTCTTCCTTCTCGATTCTTCCGCTAATTTCCGTTTCTTTTCGTCTCGTTCTCGTCTCCGCTCGACCTCTTCTTCTTCGTGTTTGCGTTTTAGAGCGGCTTTTTCTTCGCGTTCGCGTTGGAGACGCTCTTGCTCCGCGTTGTAGGCTGCTATGCGCGCTGCTTCGATGTCTGCGCGGCGTTGGTATTTGTTGTTGGTTTCGGGTTTCTCTTTTGGATCGCTGGGTTTGGCCTTGGAGATTTCCTTGGCCATTAGGGAGGCGAAGTCCATGTTGATAGCCTGGGAAAATCCCTTATATAGTTGCAGATGAACGAAGTACTAGAGTTAAATAAAAGGTCGTCGTTATATTTGGTGAGTAAGAAGGCAATTGCGACTGGCTAAAAGCTTTGGCGGAGACAATCTTATCAGTCTCCACTCTCCCTTCACTTACATACTTCCAGCTTGACACATTGCTGCGCAACAAAACAACGCGAAAAAGACATAAAATCGACGCGGATAATACTGCAATAACTGGACCATAATTTCCATCCTCACATTTGGCAACGACAATGACAATCAACAGAGAAACAACAGTCCCCTTCCACCTCAAACTCTTCTTTCGCCAAAACGCATACCACGCTCTCACAGATTTTCCCATACCTACGCCCACAGGTCCCAACAGCACAAGCCAACTCCCTCCACACCTAGAAATCTACACATGGCAATCATGCACTCTACGCGAACTCTCGAGTCTCCTAGCCGGCGCATTACCATCACAACTCCCCGACCCGCAAGCAGGAACCAGACTCTGTTTCAGACTCATATACCCCGATACCCGCGGAGCAGCGACTGAGGGACGAGGACGATATCTTTCCAAGGACATCGGTAGCGTCATCCTCGGACGAACAGGCGAACAACAACGAAACGCCCACGACGATCAACGAACAAACGGCGCAAGACGACGATTCATGGAAAAGGATAGTTTCGATCAAGATGATGCAGATAAGACGCTGGCCGATGCCCGGTTCGTGGTTGGCGATTATGTGGATGTTGCGATTTTACCGCCGCTGGATGACGGGAGTGTTGCGCCGCCGATCCAGGGTGGACGAGGACCGCCGGGGGGACCGATTGGTAGTGGGATGAGAGCGTTTAGGCCGCCGCGTGAGAATGGAGGTGCTAGACGCGGTCCTGGAGGAGGCGGGATGGGTCGAGGACAGCCAGGGAATGGGTTGCCGAGTGGGGATTGGAAGAGAGGTGAGAGATTACCGGAAGAACGTGGTGGATGGGGGAGACGCAGGGGTCCGTATTAGAGGTGCATGCCGAGTATACTATATGAAAGCTTCTGTTCTGGACGTGGCGTTGTAATCTACCGATGAGTATGTGCAGGCAGTTCTTGGTCTACACGACATCGTAGACGATTGAGTATGTTACAATGAATCCGCATGGAAATCCAGACTATGGACTCTTCTCGGAGGAAAGACAAATCCATTTACATTCAGCGCTTTATGCTGCTCGGCCCATGTTTGCATACTTGGACAAACCATAACCAGTACAAAAAAGAGCTATGGATGGTGTGCCACATGTATTTTATTTCCCTTGCGAAAGGATATCCGTGTACTAATAACTATGACTAATGACTAAGATTCTTAAGTTTCACATCTAGACTCGGTGTAGTCTACGCAAAGCATAGTGATTTGCAAGCTGATTCCTTTCCATAGTATATACAGGTACAAAGTAGAAAAAAAAAGTCAAAGACGAAATGGATATTCCAGGACAAAGGAACATCCAATTCGGTCGAACATACTAACGGCATCGATAGCCTGGTGAAGACGTCCGAATTGCGAGCACTCGCCCTAGCCTAATTACAGCACGACTCAAATCCTGATAAAGTGAATGAATCATAAACCCAGCTCCGATATCAATGAAACCATCTACCATTCAACAACGGTATCACCTCGCCTCTTTCCCCGCAAATCGTATTTTCCCTATATACCTCCAGTCAGTCCCCCCTCACACCGAACAGGAAAACGAAAGAATACTGAGGATACACTCACATCAGTGCTATAAGCAATGTATCCGATAATACCAGGCACAATGCCAGCGTATACCAGTGTCAACCATGCATTTCGCGGTGTCCAGCGGAAGTATTTGTATCGGTTTGCGTTAAGTTCTGTATGAGTTAGTTCACTCAATTTTTCTTTGTTCTTTTTATTCAAGGAGAGGGAAAAATCGTATGGAGGTTTTCACGCAGAGTCGGGAGGGTAGGTTTACCGTAGTATTTCTGCAGAGCAGGATCGAGGACGAGTGCTGTTGGTCATATAGTTAGTGGATAATCTTGTAAATAGAAGTCTGGGTATTTCGGGCGGATCCAATGGTATATATCGTACATTTGCTTGGGCCAGCCATTGTGAGGGTTCTCAATGGATGAAGTGATCGTGGTGATGCTGAGGTTGCGTGCGGATGTTGAAATGGATGAGGTGAGGTCGATGCCAGACCGACGCACTATGCTGAATCAGGAATAGTCAATATTTTGGTTATATCAACAACTGACAACAATTCTCTTCTTATCCTGATGAAAACTCATTCCTGATTATTGATTATTGTACAGACTAACTCAGAATACTACAAAGAAGCAACAAAATTCCCATCCACTTCCTCAATCTTCTTCACCGCACTCAAATACACAGGATCCTTCATCAACCTCTCCGCAAACGCCACAATCTCAGGAAACTTATCCTGCGTAATAAGTCCTCTCTTCGTGGCCGCCATGACCGGGAAACTCATCAACATATCAGCAGCGTTGAATTTTGCTCCACACAATCCTCCTCGCACACCCTCACTCGTCCCGGGGGCGGATTTGAGTTGACTTTCAAGGAACGGGAAGTGGACTTCAAATTGTCTGTCGAGATAACTTGTCTGGATCTTATCTGCGACCATGCGGGGGATAGGTTTGATGAAGAATGGGACGGGGGCGTTGCGCACACCTATACAACAGTCAATTAACATATCCCCAGAACCTAAGATGAATGTAAGTAACTCACGATCAACAATCAACGCAGTAACCATCTGTGGCATCAAACTCCCCTCAACATAATGCATATAAAACCTATACCTCAACCACTCCTCCGTCTCCAAGTTCTTAGTCTCGTCTTCCTCCGATGCAAACTTTTGGGCACGAGACCTTCTCTTCCCCTCCGAAATGATTGAGTAGATACTCAACAATCGCCCCAGATTCGGCTAGTACTAATGGTTGAGAATACTCTGGACGTTCCACGGTGATGACTGGGGATTTCCCCAAAGGATGTACTGCTTTGAGTTCGGGAGGTGCTAGCATGTCCTTGCCTCGTTTGAAGGTTTTGAGTTGGTAGGGGATGGAAAGGGCTTCGAGGATCCAGAGGATTGAGTGTGCGCGAGATTGCTCCAGCCTGTGATTGTTAGTATTACGTTCATACAGGGTTGTAATGGAGTATACCAGTAGAGAGTGACCTTGATATCCGAAGAGGCCATTTTCTTTCTTGTCTGTATTAATGTATCTTTCCTGATGCGAATTCAACGAGCTGATGTCATAAAAACAGCACCTAGGTATATACACATGAGCAACGATACAACAGGAATCATGGACCTTTTATGCCTATACCAAAAACGAGATCTAGATGAGTTCCACCTACAAAGGCAGTGCGAATCCGACGAATACGAATAATTGCACATGAAGATGATCGGATTGTCCAGACTTGATTACGTACGTAACTTTAACTAACGTAATCGGTAAGCGAAGGGGCATTTTTTCCCGAACGCGTACACAATCTTGAATCCAAATCTCAATTTCTAGCCCACATACAAATTATATAACAAAAATTAATTACTAGTACGATTAGGACATGTAGTTATTTTATGTCCTTCAATGCCACAGCCACTGCAGCGAAATTGACGCCGTACAGGTGGATGAGAGACTGGAAGCTCAGGCTCGGCCGGAACAGTAGTAACAGCTTAAGATGCCTCAATCTGATCTTGTATAAGCACCTGAGCCTCCTCCGTACTAATTCCTTGCTCATTAGATACTTACTTCTTAGATTTTTGACGTTTCTGTTTCTCTTTTTCATGTGCAGTCTGTAAATCATGATTTTCTTTCCATGCGAGTAAGAGATCATTCATGGTTGTTTCATAGGCCTTTGATGCCTGTGTAATTGCTTTATAAAAAGCCTCAGATGAATTTTCTGTATGCTGGCTTATTTATTTTCCAATTGTAGTCATTTGACACTTGAATTGACGTGCATTCTGAGGTCTTTGTAAGCAAGATGACTGTGTATCGCTTGATCGACTTGGAGGAGGCGTTGGGGTCTTCAATTGAACAGTAAGCTGTTGATAGACCCAATCTGGATTAAATGGTACTAATCCAGTAGCTGCAAAGCTATTCTGAATATTTTGAGCTTTATATGCCATAGTACGAGCCTTTAGAAATGCAGTGAGAAAGTCGAATTTATCAATATGATTGAACCCAAGCCTCATCCGCTGCTTAACAAGCTGTCCATAATATCGCTTTAAAATAGCAAAACAGCCCACATCAAGAGGCTGTAAGAGATGCGAAGAATGAGGAGACATACACACTGGAATAATATTATTCTTGGTGCATATGCGGTCAAATTCAGTTGTTAGATGACTTCCATGGCCATCAAGAATTAGCATCCGATACTTTCCAATTGACCGGTCATTTGTAAGAGGAATAAAATGGAGTTTAGGTCATTCTAATCCAATCTTATCTGTTGTCCATCCATTATCACTGATATTGATTATCCAGTTAGCTGGAAGATCCTCAAACCAGCCTAACCGCATATATTTCTTTGCCTTAAAGATAATATATAAAGGTAAAGCCCATCCTGTTGAGTTAACCGCCTCAATTGCAGTTACCCATTCTCAATCACCAGATTGTAATAGCTTTGGCTGAGTATATCGGTCACTTCTAGTAATAACCTTGGCAGTTGCACAAAGTCCCATAGCAAAGCCAGTCTCATCAAAATTATAGATATCCTCTGGCAGGATTACATATTCCAATATAACCTTTCGTACGCGATCAAAATATTCTTAGATTATCTTCGGATCTTCGCATTTAGCACGTTCATAGTTGTATTTCCGCGAGAATTTTGATTCAATCTCTGGACGACGTTTAACAAGGTTATATACCCATTTTTCTCCAACCTATTGATTTCCATGTTGAGAGAGAAGATGATTGGCCATCTCTCGTACAAGAGAGTGCCGAGGAGGTAATCCACGTTTATCCAGGTTGAGTATCCATTTGACAAGTGATTCCTCCTCAAATTGAGTCAATTTATGACTGTTGGCGCGTATTTGAGATCTTTGTTGAGTACCGCTTAATCTCTTCTGTAGAGTGGTCCGGGGTATCTTATAAATCCTTGCAGCTTGAGCCACGCGCAAGATTCGTTCATTTTTTAAATCGGAAATAGCTAATAAGATTCGGCTGATGCAGACGGAATAGGTTGAGATGCCTCATTCCGACTAGCTATTAGCTCTTGGGCTTCCTGGGCTGTAAGTGATCCTTCATGAGATATCTGAGCTCTAGATCTTTTACGTTTTTTCTTTTCCTTCTCATTTGCAGCTCGTAAATCATGCACTTCTTTCCGGACAATCAAGCGCTCAGTAATGCTCATTTCGTACGCTTTGGACATCCAGTTCATCGTTTGATCAACCACATCTGATGGGCTTGTCATACGCTCATTGATATGCTTCTTTATTGTTGTCATTTGGCGCTTAAATATTTTTTTTTGCCGTGGATTTTGAGGTGTTTGGAAGCAGGAAGATTGTGAATTACTTGATCAACTAGGAGGGGGTGTCGGGGTCCGAAGTTGAACTGTAAGCTTTTCATAAACATGGTCTGGATTAAATGACACTAATCCAGTTACTTTGAAGCTATTCTGAATATTTTCAGCTTTATATGTCATTGCACGAGCCTCTGGAAAAGCCGTAAGAAAGTCATATTTATCAATATGGTTGAATCCAAGCTGTATACGTTGCTCAACAAGCCGTCCATATTGTCGTTTTAGAACAGCAAAACAACTCACATCAAGGGGCTGTAAAAGGTGCGATGAATGAGGTGGCATATACACTGGTATAACATTGTTTTCAGTGTATATTTGATCAAATTAAGGTGTCAAATGGCTTCCATGGCCATCAAGAATAAGCATCCGGTATCTCCCCTTCGTACGGCTTGTTGTATGAGGGATAAAGTGTTTTTGAAGCCATCGTATTCCAATCTCATCTGTTGTCCAGCCATTTTTACTAATATCAAGTCTCCAATCTTGTGGAAGAGTCTCAAACCAGCCTTGCTGATAATAGTTGTTGCTTTGAAAATCATGTACGAGGGTAAAGCCCATCCAGTGGAATTAACTGCTTCAATTGCTGTAACCCATTCGCGATTGCCAGGTTGTAATAGATTAGGCCTTGCATATCGATCACTGCCTGTAATGACCTTTGCAGTCGCACAGAGTCCCATCGCAAAGCCAGTCTCATCAAAATTGTATATATCTTCTGATAAGATCCCATATTCCTGTATGACCTCTCGTACGCGGTTAAAATGCTCTTGGATTATCTTAATATCCTCACATTTTGCCCGCTCGTAGTTATATCTCCGTGAAAATCGTAGTTTGACTTCCGGATGCCGGTCAACAAATCGATAAACCCATTTTTCACTAACGTGTTTACTTCCATGTTGGGAAAGAAGAAGATCAGCCATATCTTGTACAAGAGATGGTCGGGGAGGTAATCCACGTTTATCAAGATCCAGGATCCATTTTAGAAGAGATTCCTCTTCATATTGAGTCAATATATGACCATTAGCGCGTTTTTCACCTCTATATTGAGTGCCGGTAAGTCGACGTTGAAGAGTTGTAAAGGGAACATCATATATATCTGTACAGCTTGACGAATAGATCAGATTCTTCCATTTTTTAAATCAGATATAGCAAGTAATACCCTGCCCTCTTGATTGCTTGAATTTTGTGTTCTTCCTGTACGAATTGGTGGCATATTGACGCGTTGAAGATTGGTGTATAGAAATATTTTGACGCGGTCTGCAACAGTGATCCGCTCGGTGTCCGATTACTTTAACAACTTAGTTAAAGATGATCAGAGGTCTGTGGACGGATTTGGAATAGTCGTTTTGGTAATTTTGACTTACGGTATGGATACGCTATATATGACTAAATTACATATACGATTCGTTGCTCAGCATATCCTTCAACTTGTCACAACTTAGAAGTGCCAGAACAGAGACAGAACTGAAGTCTTACGAAACTCAATAATGCCTGGACGAACTCAACTTGGTCACAGAAGTATAACAGATTAGTACGAAGGTCTACTCCACCTTTCTATCTACTCAGCCACTTCCGGTGTCTTAAGAGCTCCGATCTAAGTAATGAGAATCATGAATCGTGCGAAATCGATCGTCATGGCCGGGAATATTATTAATTAAATTAGTAGACGATAGGTGTACTCTGCTTCAAACACACGAACTAGCTCAAAAATCCTCGTTTCCGATTCCGCGCTCTTTGACTTGTCGATACATCCAATTTAACGGCCGTAAATATTATTTCAAGCTGATTGCTAATCCCATCTGGCTGGACTCGTAATCGCCATTGACCATTATGAACCATCCATCGCCCTTGTGGACCGCTGTTGCCATTTCCGTTACTGCTGCTGTTGTCCTCCTCTCGTTTCCGTTTTGCGGGCGGTCCTGCAGATGTGCTGTGCGCGTTTGTAGAATTGCTGTTGTATTTTTCTAAATTGAAGCCTGTATACCCTCCTGGTCTGACGTAGTATGATTCGGAATCAATGATAATATCCGCATCCGGCCCGATTGATACCTTTGGTCGATCTTCGCTGATGGGTGAATGCCCTGGACTAGTAGCAGTGCTCCTGGTTCCCCCTCCAGCCATCATCATCAATCCCAATGGGGCTTTGTTTGGTAGATTCAATTTGTTCGAAATCACTTGCACAAGACTGCTCACACGAGCATTTGTCAGGCCGCGAAATTCAGCACGCATGGACTCCAGGTCGATTATCGTGCCTTGTCCTCCAATCTCCACTATCAATTCACATGCTTTTTCGTCCACGAACGGTCGCGCGTAATATACCCAACCCGCGGGAGTAGATCCATCAACAATGGATCCATCGTTTACAAACTGAACGCCCGATTGACGAATATCTTCTAGTCGAATCATAATTTCGCTACAGTCTCGTTCAGGATTGTAGCTGATTTCGTGAGGAATAAGTTTCTGCTCAAGGCCGCGCAAGTGGAGATATCGACAATCACGTAAAAGCTCTGCCCGGTGACTTTCGTCCTTGATGTGAACCGGATACCCTCTGAGCAAATGTATTAATTGAGAGAACACTTCTGCTGATCGACCTGGGACACTAGGAGGGACGATCGAAGGAGGTCGCAATAATCCTTTTTTGTCTAGTCCCGGTAGTAATAAAGGAGGAGCGGAAAAGTGAATATTGAATCCAAGGGTGAAGAAGTTGGGGGAGTCTCCTGGCGCCGAGAAGATATCTTTGGGCACTTGAAAATCGCGGTCGCCAATTTGGAAAAAGATTTCGGATTCAAAGAGCTGTGAAGTAAGTCGGGGCACTATGACCCCCGTTAGTTTAGCCAGGTTCATTGCGAACAACATATTGTAACAGACGCAACATACAGCTATAGAATTGCGCATCCGTATATAGTCTCACAAACTCTTCGCCATTCCGGGGTCGGACGTGATATCCTAATCAATATATCAGTAAGTAGGAATATATGATTGATAGATCCTACCAACCTTGTAAATGCCGACAGATCTCATGAAATATCACCGGATCCCGATCGATATATAGTGTCCGAATGTTTCCATTCTGATCTGTCTGCTGCAGCTGTTCCTCAAAAAACGTGGAAAAATACGACGGTGCTTGAAGAATTTCAGTCTAACTTGTAATGTGTAAATTGCGCTCCTGGAGTTGGTTGCAACTGACCATCAGAGGCAATCGATGCTCCTGATAACCGAAACAATTCCGACCCCAATTGAATTGAAAACACCTTCTCTGGTGGGAGGCTGCTTTTTTGTGCTCCTGCTTTTAATGGTTTCTTTGTATCCACCGCCGAGCTCTGCCGTATTATTCCATGGGAGACTGTGATATCGCACGGCTCGGACTGGCGCTTGAGGGTCGTTGGGCTTTTCTCGTGAAGACCCGTCTTCGGGTCAACGTCTGGGATTTTATCGAATCTTTGTGGACCACTGCTGCTGGTAATCGATGGGGTTGTTGATTTAGCGTGCTCGCTGGACTGCGCCATGGCCGCCGTGATGAATGTTTCGCCCTTCAGCTCGGGGCGTAATGCGATAATCTCTATCGCAGAGAGGATACCGTCGAAAAATCCGGGGAAACTGTTGTAGCAATATTCGATTATTTCTCTGCGGCCGGGTGAGAATTCGCGATTGCCGGCGTTCTAAAGTTGAGTTGATCGCATTCCAGGAAGAGGGTCGGATGAGACAAAAAAGTGTCCCAATTTTGATCACCGACTAGCCCGTAGCGGAGGGTAGTATGTAATTATTTTGAGATACCAGCCAATCAAGTTGTCGCATACTGTCATTCCGTATTACAGCTTAAAATACGTACCAGCCAGCAAATTACGCAGGTATGGCCGAAAGAAGCTTAGTGTATGATTAATTACATTCTTGATTGGATTTTGCACTCCTGCGATGGCTATTTTCAATGCTTACTAAAGCAATTGGGCGCTGGCCTAGTACCTACTGAGAATGGATTCAGTGCCAGGTTAGTCAGCGGTCTGTCATAACGTACTACACGGGTCATTCGGCCACCTGCAAGTCCCATACAAAATGGCCTTCTTCAACACCTTATTTCTCAACAGATTTATATATAAACCATATCTTAGATTTGACGCATGATTCGCTATATGAATCCTTATCAGAAATATCAATTTGGAAGTGCGCCTCTTCTATAAGTCTTGAGATATTAGAATCTAGCCTGGTTATTAATGTAAATTTTATGACAGAGGGGTTCTTAATATTTTTAGAGTTCCTAAATCTAGATATATATTAATACCTACATTATAAGCCATATTCAACTTTTAGATATGGTGTATATATAAATCTGTTGAGAAATCAAGGTGTTGAAGAAGGCCATTTTGTATGGGACTTGCGGGTGACCGAATGACCCGTGTAGTAAGTTAGTTACGTTAGAGCAGTTATGTAATCAAGAAAATGAGATGTAAGTTAACTAACACAATGCTTGATACGGCTAGGCGTATTTATCCCGCTTGCTAAGGCATATAATCCATTCCCAATGGCTGAAAACTGCCGGCATTTAATTTTTGGGTGTTTTTGCTAAGAATTTAGCGGCCCCCACTCAATATGGGGGGCAATAAGATACCGCCAAATACAGTATCACCTACTTTTACGCTTCCACATCCTCTAACTCCATTGATGTCGCCTGCTTGGCCGCATCCACGACACCCTCGTTGACCACCGTTGCTTCAGCTCTTTCGGCCAATTCCTTCTTGATATTCTCCATGAACACTGGGTCTTTCGAATCCTTGACCACCCTCCAGATACTGGGTCTCTGTCCGTTGCGATCGGCGAATAGCAAGTCCACTGCTTCCAGCGGTAACTTGCTGGTCTCCGGGTAACAGAAATAGACTACTGGAATTGTGACGAAGTTGAAGATCGCAAAGACGATATAACTTTTGTATCCGATGTTGGTGATCATAGGCGGCGTGATCTCGACAACGACGAAAGTGAACAACCACTGAGAGAGAACGGCAATTGCACCACCACGCAGACGTAGCTTCAATGGCAGCAGTTCGCTAGGGTAGATCCACATATTGGATTGCCAACCCAGGGTAAAGAAGGTTTGGAAGAGGTATAAAACAACCGCTGCGCCATAACCTAATCCTTGCGTACCGATGCCGACAAAGATAGCTGATAGCAACATACAGACACCCATTCCCAAGCTGCCAATCATGAATAGCTTCCGTCTTCCAACACTGTCAATTGCAAACCACGGGATGATACTGCTCAGGAAATAAAACACTTGCATTCCACCAGAGACGAGCAGGGCGTCGTATCGACTCATTCCGATGGAGTTCTGGAACACGTAGGGGCCAAGAGAAGACATGACGTTCACACCTGACAATTGTTGAAAGAAGTTTGCTGAGAAGCCAATAGCAACGCGGGTGAAGCCACTGATGCCACCGTCCTTGAAAACGTCGCTCCACGAACCTACTTCTTCCGTTTCAATAGCTATAGCGTACTGGATCTGGCCGAGTTCTTCAATGACTTCCTCGGCATCCAGATGCTGGCCGCGAAGAGCCGCCAAAGCGTGTTTTGCACGATCCGTCTGGCCCGCTGCAGCAAGCCAACGCGGTGACTCTGGAAGGAAAGGTATGAATACGAATAAAATCAAGCAAAAGACACATTGAAAGGCGCATGGAAAACGCCATTGCACTGATCCAGCGTGGAAGGACATGCCGTAATCCAACCAGTTCGCGATAATCAGTCCCATGATCAAATTCGACAATTGCATAGCCATCATACGACCTCGAGACTTGGGCGTGGTACATTCCGACAGCCAGATAGGAATGACAGTGGTCATCATGCCCAACCCGAAACCAGCCACGAGACGTCCAACCAAGAACTGCGGCAATCCAAAAGAACTTGTCTGAAGAATTGCACCAATAGACACGATAACCGCACCTGCAAAGTTGTTTGGCTTACGGCCTCCCCAGCGGTCACCAACTAGGAACTGATATAAAGCACCGAACATGCATCCAACTTCATAGGATGCAACCATGAAGGCAAGTAGAGATGCATTAGGATTGCCAAACAAGTCCAAGAATTCAGGAGATGTGGTGAATCCACCCATGTAACCAAGATCGTAGCCAAACAGGAAGAACCCTATTGAGCAGCAAAAGGTAACGGCATACACGAGTGGTTGACCTTTCAGGCCAAGATATGTTGGATAATGCATTTTGTATTATGTTCCTCTATCTCGCGCTAATATCAAAGGCACTCGACAAGCTGGGAACGATAACAATGAAGATGGGACGTCCCAAAACACTCCTTATATAGAAAGATCTTCATCGAGCTTTTACACTCATACAAGCACTACCTAACATGTAGGACAAGGTTCAACCGCACACTACTCTTGACGATTACACGAAAGTGATATGACATTTACCCCATTGAAGACTCACTAAAACTTGATCTACATTCAAAAAAGAACCAATCAAGCTCGACGGTGATATTAGCCGGTGACATTTAGGGCTTCTCCTTCGTCGATGAAGCCTCGGATAAATGCTTATTTTCGCATATCAGTCGGAGCATCTCCGGGATATCTCTCGGCCGAGTTGCCGTAGTGCGGGGTGATCCAATAGTAAGACATAGAGGTTGTGGAGTAATATGCGGAGGAATGCCGAGAAATTTTTAAGATACTAGACTTAGGCATTAGACAGAAGTTTATAGGAATAAGATACGAGGAATGTGCAATTGATTTGTTGGATCTTATTTCATGAGGGGACATACTTTATTTGATCCGGTGCCCATTGTTGGCTCCGTCTTGATCTGGGGTATAATGCTCCTTCGTCTGTTGGTTGGTTTCAGTACCAGATTGGATGCCGGACGAGATAAGTTCATCATGCCTTCGTATTCGATATATCAAGACCCGTGGTAAGTCTCAGTTCTCCAACTGGACAGTGACCATTCACCTAGGCAAAAGCCCGAGCCTCAGTAGCCTTGCAACCCTGACTCGATGCACAACCTCAATTCCTCCATAGGGACTAAATATTTCTTCCGAGCAGTGAGATATATTGATTGTTTCCTTCAACTATACCTAGATATGCTTTCGCTATTGTTAGTGCATGCAAAATAGCATGGTTGTTATCGATATCCTTTTCTTCCAGTTCTTCGAGGCATATTGATAGTGTCTTCAGAGACCTGTCGGGTGGCGCTTTCATGATAGACAGGATACTTGACGTGGTACCAGAGGGGAAAATGACTTCGTATTCCATATATCGAAGTCCGTCAAGTCCCACCCTTCAAGTGAATACTCGATCATCCTAAGACCCAGATCCAATGGCCGCGAAACCTCTGACTCAGTGCACAAACTCAATCTGTCAACTAAGACAAGGCACCCTAGCAACCAACAGATATTCTCCGGGCAGTGAGATGCATCGATCATGTTCTTCAAGACTATTATTTTGCTATTGTTAGTTCACGCATAATGGTGTTATTATGGATCTCTTTTCTCCCATTTATACAAGCCATATCCGCCGAGCTCAGCTCATTTTCGCTGTTTTCAGGGGCAAACACTTGAAGCCTATGTAAGAAATGGAGCTCTCAATGCCCGAGCTTCTCGAGCATTTGAAAATCAGGGAAAAAGCTCTGCGGAGTGTAGCTAGTACCTTTGTTCACCTTTCGAAAAGTGGCTGGGTCGAATTAATGGGCTGTCATATAAGATGTGTTGGTGGACTCTTTCCGTATAGACATATTCATCTAAGGCGCATACTATGAATATCTACTGTAAAGATAAGCAGACACGTGAGAAGAGTATCAAACAAGAGTCCTACAATGGAATCATAATGAAGGACACTGACTAATCTGCCCTACATCAGTAATGGGAGCTCCAGAGTCATGCAAGGCTTCGATCCTCAATTTCCCGAAAGTATAGCAAACCTCGTCCCAGAGCTCCTTCAGTGTAATCTCTCCGATCCTCGCTTATTGAATGAAAGAAAGATCTCCTTATGCAATTGATTACTAGACAATAATCCGGGGATTTCCTTTGCCACAATGAGTTATATAATATCAATGCCATACTCCAGAGATAAAGCCTTCTGAAGCGGCACATCACGGTGGACCTTCGGGGCATTTGTATACCTTCACTGACTCGATTCTGGTATGTATGCGCCACATTAGAAGCCAACTAGGTACTGAGATATGTGATCTCCGTCCCGTTTATATGACTGGCATGAGGCAAATCTGGCATTTCTAGAAAGGAATTATCTTGTGGCTTTTATAATGTCCACATTCCCGTTCTTACCTATAAAGTTTCGTGCATTTCCATGAATCCATTGGAAAATGTGGTTCTTTGAGCATGATAACGACCGAGTCATGGCACAGTTCTGACACAAAATTCTCGCCTAACCTAACCAAGAACCTCAGGACATACCAGGGAAAAAATGTATTAAGATCAACATCAATATATAAAGAAAATATTACTGAAGAGGCGAAAGCTCCCGAGTTCATTTATATGTCCTGATGCATATGTAAGATGTACTCGCTGCTTCGTGCCCCAGCCCTAATCCAGACTCAAGCATAAGCCACAACGCTGTACATGCACGCATTGGGAATTCTATCAGATCTCAACAATAACACGATCGAATAATCGTATTTACTTTTCGTATTTTTTGGTGTGTAAATCATTCCCTATATAGCAATTCGCAGCACCGGAAACACTCCCTCGTTGCACAAGATTTGCTCTAGCTTGGCGATCCCGAGACGACAAAGATCTCTTTCGACTTAGGGCAAGTTCGCCAAGCGATGCAGGGAGATCCAAAAAGAAAAAGAGTAAACATGAAAAGGCACGAATTAGGAGCCCACAAAATTGGATATCGAAGTAGGTAGACCAAATGGTTATTTTTCTTCGCCCGCGCACTATTGATTAACTCGAAAATCCGGATTTTGGATTTTGGTCGGTGATGCTCGGATTGGAGATGCTTCACCGGCCGGGTTCTGTATGAAGCTGATTCCGGTCTAGAAGTTGTAGAGGCCCATAACCCTTTATCCATGTTAGGAATATCCATATTCAGGGACAGATGTTGTTTTTCATATTTGCTTATTGATATAGATGTGGGTGTGACCAAAATGCTGCGAATTAACGACCGAGTGGATCGATCAGTGCGACCACTTCTCAACCATTACCTTTTGAGTCGATAAGCCCTAACTCCCGCTTCACCTATGGATATCGTCGTTTAGCACGGAACCACAACATGCTGGCAATGGGAATACTTTCATTATTCCCGTAGCCTTGCGTATACCATTTCTTTTTTCTCCTTCCGTTGGGCTCCTGGTACAATGAACATATTCCCGGTGTACCGTGCCTCCCCCTCTCTATGTTTCTTTGTCTTATGATATCCCACAATCGTTCCTGAAGCACAGCAATGAAAAATCATTGTCGTCGAATGATATCATAAGATCGATTCTTGGAATTTTGCTCATGCTTCTCATCTCCAAGTCTGGCTCATGATCTTACTTTCCTGTATTTCTTTGTCTCATTATCTCATATTTGTTTTCCACTCTCCACCCGGCATTACCTCAAGCTGATCCAGTGGTCTAGATGCAATATGCATCTATTGCAAGCCGTAATTTTCAGTTATGAATGGAGATTTCCTGTGAGATATTGGCTCATTATTGTATACAATTCTATCTCGTGGACGTAAAGGGGCATCATATAACTAATCCGAGATTTCCGATTGACCTTCCTGTCCAAACTATGGAAGGCATAATGATGGCGAGGTCCGTGGAGTTGATAGTAACGATCGATTGAGTGTCCTGCATGACCTCGATCCAACAGTTTCTCCGGGCTAGTAGACTCCTGGTAACCAGTCAGGAATAATCAAGCAGCACGAGTGTATCGGTGGGTCAGGTCCCAATATCATGGATCTCCTCGATAGACTATTAACCACCTAGTGATTGGTATAAATACAAGCATTCGTAGCTCGGTAGTTATACTCTCCCATTTTTTAGTTGCTGCAGCATGCAAGTGGCCTAACGCTCGCACATACCCTGGCACATAAGACTGGATGTTCGCCCTTTGGTCTGCTATACGGATTTGTGTCGAATGTCTCCCTCATAACTAAAGTCCTTCTTTAATATTGATGACTATCTCAGAACTTCCGTCCCAGACAAAAACAACTGCTAACACGGGCCGGTCCTATATTTACTCGATCACTCTCACTGTAAATTAGCTTCGGTTTGCCGTCGCCGCGCTTCTACGATTCCTTTCCCTCTCCAGACGAACTGGTTTCCTCTCAAAAAAATGTCCAACACTATACACAAAATGACTCACCTCCAGTCATCCCAAATGGAGTCTCAATTCTTACAAATAAAACCCCAGAGCGTCGATTATAAGAATTTCATGGCCCTGGTACCGGGACCATACCAACTTCTCACGGTATGGTACGAACCCCAAGTCAAACTGCCAACAGTGAAGGACTCACTTCGCTTTATGCACATAATCTATCTCTTCTTTTACTCGGATATCACGACCGTCATGATTCCCTGCATGACATTCGCCATCTTGGGAGCAATTACAAACTCAGCTCTGACTTTTGAGCCCGTCTCGATGTTCGACCTTTTCTACGGCTGTACTCAAGCACTCTTATGGCTTTGGGGGGTTTTGATGGTGTTTGATATAAACAATCAAAACTCGCCCGAGTCCATCGAGGAGGACCGTCTCAATAAGCCCTCACGTCCCATTGCATCCGGACTAATCAGCCCCGAAGCAGCCTCCTATCTCCTCAAGGCAATGATTGCTGTGACTCTTGGTATCAGTTATTACAATGGGGTAATACAGGAGACGTTGGCCCTTTTCGTCTTATACTGGCTATACGATAATCAAGGGGGCAATGAGGACTGGTTCATGCGCAATCTTCTAGCTGCTGGCGGCTACATCTTCTATGCACTAGGCAGTCTTGCTATCATCTCCAACCACTCCGAAACAAAAGCCGCAAAACTGTGGATGATCATCTTCGGCCTTGTCATCTTGACGACCATCCATGCCCAGGACTTTCGTGACATGGAAGGCGACCAGCTCAAAGGTCGCACTACATTACCCCTGATCATGGGCTCGAAAACAGGTCGAATGACTTTGGCCGCAAGTCTAATGTTCTGGTCTATCTTTTGTCCTTACTATCTTGGTCTACCTCTATATGCGTACGGTTTGACCGCTGGTTTCGCTGGTACAACCGGGTTGCGATTTATCTCAAAAACGGACAATACATCTGACAAGAAGTCTTTCCATTTGTATTGTTTGTGGGTAGCTGCTATGTTGCAACTTCCTGCCATGGCATCTGCCTGAGTGTAAGAGGTTTGAGGATTTGAAGTGTATACGTGTTCGACTTCCTTTTATACCCTTTTCTTTCGTTTTTCTTCTTTTCTTTGGAATCATTCCAATCCCTCTCTTTTTTAGACCAGTCGTCAAACACCAGATTTCAGGAGCGATCCTCGTGTATTTAATCCAACCTTTTTTTCTTGATACCTATTTTTAGTGTGGCTTATCTGACTTCTGACTTGTCCTTGACATCTCCTGTTTATATCTCTATCTGATAGTGTTGCTGCTTGATTGGAATCTGTGCATATATTTACACAAAAAGCAATACAATTACTATGATACTTCAGAATGTCTACAAGAAACATGGTGCGAGGAACATGATTATCATAGCCCCTTTCAAATCATCTCATTCCCTGTGTACATTAAAGTTTGCTGGGTGCAGTAGTATTAAGGCTTAAGGAGACGTCAAGATATCACTTCTCAGTTCTGCAGGTGGGTAGTGCTCTCACACTCAGAACGACTATGGCGTCTTGACACCTTGCACACGAAACAGTGCCTGACCTATGTGTCTACCTGAGACGCTTAGTAAGTGCATACGTAGTTGCATCTCGCCCCCAATGACAGCTGGGCTTTAGTCTTGATCTCTGGAGATTGATAATGGGCCGTTTATACCGATGCACGATTTACCCCTCACCCTTAGAAGTTTGGATATTAGTTACAGATAGACTTGAGGCTCATGACGGTACATATATTTTGAGACTTCGGTTTCGTTCGAGATTAAATTCAAAATCATGGAATTATGATATCAGATATGCATTCAGTCAAATATTTCTTATCAAGAGTCGTTCTTGTACGTGTCGGAGTGTCCGACAAAGAGTAACGGAAGGAGTTGATAACATCGAACTCATATCCTGTCTTTTTCTCAAATTGCAGGTAGACCGAGAGTGCTATGAGGATCAAATCTGGTTTTCCTTTTATCATTCTTTTTTCTGCATACACACGAGCCGGTTGTCAGATTTAGATCTTTCGATTTTCAGCGCCCAAAACATCGACCCATCTATACGGTACAGATCTCAAGAGGACTGACCAAAAGACGTTACACGAACTGTCAACAACACAATTTTAGAAATGGCAATATCCAACATCAATACAGAAACTATCGTGTACGACGTAGTGATAGTAGGCGGAGGCCCAGTTGGACTCCTCCTTGCTTACCAGTTGAAGCGATTCGGTGTCTCCGTCTGTGTATTTGAACAGCACCATAAAGAAACACAGGATGCATATGGCCGTGCGATTGCATTGTTTCCAAGAACTCTTGAACAATTGGATCAATTAGACCTTATAGAGCCGATGCTACAGCTTGGATTTGCCTGTCGGACCAGTGTCACATATAAGGATGGGGAAAGAATGTAAGCGCAAACCCATTCAAAGCTACTCGGAGCATGTAGGATATATGCTAATGGGGAATCCCAAAGTCTCCCGGGAAGAGTTTGGACTTTCATGGAGAATATCCGGGACACAGCGTACGACTTTGTGTTAGTGCTGCGTCAAATGTTCACGGAGCAAATACTTCGTAAGAAGCTTGATAAAATTGGCGTTCCGTATCACCAGGGAGTGGAATGCATAGACTTCAGGATAGATGATGGGAAGTCTCCAGACGAGTATCCGGTAAACTCGGAGTTTGTCGACAGAGCCACAAGGAAACAATTTTGGTTGAAAAGGTATCATGACATGCCCTAATATTCAATCGTGACGCTTCACTAATCTTTGCCAATTCAAGCAAATATCTCGTTGGAGCCGATGGAGGGCGAAGCTTCGTTCGCAGACACGCGGGAATCCCATTTGAGGGTGACAGCTCTGATGACCAGTGGATCCGTATTGATGGCATTGTTGAGACGGATATGCCATTGAATCGTTCTTACGGGTAACCTATTCAGCCTTTTATGGCGCTTCTCAAGATATTGACTTTATAAATTTTTATAGGGCAATCGAAAGCAAGACGCATGGCAACGTATTGTGGGCTCCTCTCGATCATGCCGCTACACGAATTGGCTATGCGTACACCGAAGAAATTGCCGCTAAATATCCAGACGGCGTGACACAGGAAGTGGCTGAGAAAGAAGCGATAGAGGCAATGAAGCCGTTTAACGTGAAATTCAAAGAGGTTCACTGGTGGACTCTGTAAGCCTATGGATCATGGCAAAAAGGTAACGATATCGTGCTGATTTCAGGATACAGTTATAAAATCGGCCAGCGAATTGCAAAAAGCTTTTTCACCCAAGGTAGAATCCTATTATGTGGAGATGCAGCACATACACATAGCAGTGGTGCTGCACAGGGCCTGAATACAGGAATTCATGACGCTGTCAATTTGGGCTGGAAGCTTGCCCTACAGATTCGAGGAATAATCAAACCCAATGTGCTCGAGACGTATAGCACCGAGAGAATGTCTGCGGTGCAAAAATTGATCGATTATGATAAGGACATATCCATGCTCATGTCGTATAAATGGCCTGCGTGGTATAAAGGAGACCCAAAAGCCGACCCCTATCTCGTCCTTGGCGAGATTTTCGAGAAAGCGGCATCCTTCAATACGGGGCTTGGAATTTCGTATCACGAAAATGATCTCAATCAGTCTCTAGTTATTGCACTAAACGTCGTACCCGGGAGTCGACCGCCAGATGTGGACTTGTCTATGCCTGGTACTGGTCGTAGTGTAAGATTCCAGGATATCACACGCAATATAGCCAAATTCTGGGTCGTTGTGTTCACAGGAAATGTCCTATCTACTCGTACCTCCCTTCAGGGACTGAGGAAGTCCTTGGAGACGACACAGAAACTCAATTCAAACGAAGCAGTTTCATGGATCACGATAAGCGCCGTTGTAGGCTGTTCCCCATACGAAACGCTGGGAATGGAGCCATTTGGAGATACTTTTTACGACGCTTCTAACTTGGCACACCAGAAATATGGGTTCGGTCTGGAACAAGGGGGGATAGTTATCCTCCGGCCGGATGGATTGATAGGTACAGGGGGTCCGGTTGAGGGGCAATTGGTGAAGGACTATTTTGCAAAGATCTTAGTATCCACATGACTGCAATAGATCTATTAGCTAGGTACCTGTGCCAGCTAAGGCTAGCCACATATATAACTAATAGATTCCTTTTAACTGGGCGTCACTTTCCACGGCCCGGAGTGACCTATTTGCGGGCTTTGACCTGACACGTAAGCTTTTTACCAGTGGCCGTTCTCTATTAACTAGATCCTAAGAGATACTTGGATTCAAACTCATAATAAGGCCTTTTGATCATATCTATGCCTAGCTTAGAGTTATTTTCATCAATGGGAGGAGTTGGCCGGCTTAGGGCTTGCAAGTTCAAACCCTAACCATGGTTCTTACCCTAACCCTGGAGATATACCCCAACTTTCCCCCTCTTCTAACTGGATCCCCCCAATTGAATCCGTACCCAAAAAAAAAAATCAGTCATCCTCCGCAAAGGCGCATATCCAATCACAGCAGAAACACAGACTTCCTGGCTGTGTGCACGAATGACGGCGCTGCGATAAGCCCCGAAACAGCATTTCCTAATCGAGTCTTTGATACGCCAGGCGGAGACGCCGCTGATCCTTCCAGCGCTATCAGTTATCAGTTGCTTATCAGCACATCAAGTAATACGTACTCGGGATCTTCTATCCCAATGCGTCCAAGGTGTTGTTTACTTGTATCATGATATCTGCAAGATTCTTCAGCGTCAAATTACCCTCGGAATTGGAAAGACTCGTCCGTGATCGGTGTATTTGCAAATGTACGACATGGAGGCGCTCCCTCGGTATGCTGCTCATTCTTCTTATTTATAGAATCGTGGTATGAACCTGGCCGTGAAGAGCAGCTTCCGCGCTATGATGCATATCGTCGGCTTTTGGATATACCAAATACCTAGTCTGGGCATGGTCCAGACAGTCCTCGCGCCGTTTGAGAATCGCGAATCGCCCCTTCAACCAATGACTACGTTCTGGCTCTTCTTGCCACGAGTTCAACCCAAGCCAGTGGATCCCTATCGTAAGCTTTCCTGTATGGACGTTAATCTGTGGCTCGGAAGCTTATTCATATTGACTTGTTTCTGTTATCTTTAGTCCCTGACACACGGAACAGCCTGGAAAGCTACCCATTAAGATCTTATCTGCTTGTCGATTGCATAGCTAGATATGTAGCTTAGCCCATTAGCTCCTGCACAATTAATACCTATATAATAGCGGCCTGCCACCTTGCAAGCCATCGAAGTGAGCTGACCTCTTATCTCTTTACTTGCACATATCTACCGAGGACTTCATACCGCATCCGTGGATCAACATGGCAGAAATGGACAAAAAACAGCCGTCGCTCTCAGAGTCTCTGGGAGCACCTGTAGAGACCTCAGTCGAGAAGGGAATTGTCTCCGGCGGCAACGATAATGATCTTTTGGGTAGGTTCATGGCATTTACATCTCGTCCGTCCAGTTGCTAATGCATCGACCTGCAGCCCAATTGGGTTATAAGCAAGAATTGAGACGTCATTATTCGACGACTCAGGTCTTTGCTATCGCTTTTAGTATCATGGCCCTGTTGCCCTCAATTGCCTCGACTCTTTCATTCTCTATACCAGCAGGGCCTGTTGGAATGACTTGGGTGAGTATTGTGTCTCCGTTGACTTTTCTGTTTTTAAAATGTTTGCTAATTGTAGTAGGGTATGTAACTGGAAGAATTATGTAGGTCAAAATGCTAATCGTCAAAAGGTTGGCTGGTCGCTAGTTTCTTCATCATGATCGTCGGTCTTGCAATGGCAAGTATACTACCATTTATTATGTTCGATACCAATGCTGACAAGGAATAGGCCGATCTGGCGTCCGCGATGCCAACGGCAGGTGGTCTATATTTCTGGACACATTACTTCGCAAACGAGAAATGGCGAAATCCATTGAGTTTCGTCGTCGGATATAGCAATACTCTCGGTTTGGTTGGTGGTTTATGTTCGATCGATTGTGAGTGTATACTGTTATTTCTAAGGTTAGGGCACTACATGCTAATATCCAACAGACGGCTTTGCTCTGATGCTCCTCTCTCTCGTCTCGATCGCAAGAGACGGTGAATGGTCCGCCTCCCGTCCTGTGATTTACGGTACTTACGTGGCCACCGTCTGCGTCCACGGTCTTATGGCCACATTCATGGGCCGCATAATGAACCGCATTCAAACCATCTGCATCGTCCTCAACGTCGGCCTCGTCGTGGCGACTGTCATTGCTCTCCCGATTGGTAATAAACATAATGGCGTCCCCATCAACTCTGGTTCATATGTATTCGGCGACGTAGAGAACCTCACTACTTGGCCTGCAGGATGGGCATTTGTTCTCGCCTGGTTGTCACCTATCTGGACCATCGGAGCATTTGACTCGTGTGTGCACATGAGTGAAGAAGCGACACACGCTGCCCGCGCTGTCCCAATTGGTATCATCCTTTCTATCGGTCTCTGCGGTCTATTGGGCTTTTTGTCATTGGCTGTCATGGCCGCTTGCATGGACAAGAATCTTACCAATATACTCGGTTCTGCCTTTGGACAGCCCATGGCTCAGATATACTATGATTCTCTTGGAAAATCGGGTGCTCTGGGCTTCATGGCCGTTGTTGCAAGTGTTCAATTCTTTATGGGATTGAGTATTGTATGTGCCATGATCCTTACTACTGCCGTGAAGAGTGTGTGCTAATGTATTCATAACAGTTGATCGCAGCCTCTCGTCAAACGTAAGACACTCAACCACCACACATACGAACACCATACTAACTTCTACACAGCTGGGCTTTCTCCCGCGATGGAGCCCTCCCCTTCTCAGACTTCTTCCGACACGTCAGCAAACGCATCCAATACCAACCCATCCGCACAGTCTGGGGTTCCGCATTCATCGCCATCCTCATTGGACTCCTGACTCTCATCAACGCCGCCGCCTCAAACGCTCTCTTCTCCCTAGCCGTAGCCGGTAACGATCTTGCATGGGGCGTGCCCATCCTCTGTCGTCTGATCTGGGGTGACAAAACAGGCAAGTTCCGTCCCGGCGAGTTTTATACTGGGTGGCTCAGTAAGCCGATTGCTATCGTGGCGGTGGCATATCTTTTCTTTGCCATTATACTATCCATGTTTCCGACAGGCGGACCGGATCCTACTGGTAAGTTATGCAAAACTCTTCTAGCTGTGTACGTTGATTTTACGAATTGTGACTGACTGTTTTTCCATAGCGGACAATATGAATTACACTATCGTAATCAACAGCTTCCTCTGGGTTGGTGCCGCACTGTATTATTTCCTCTTTGCTAAGAAGTGGTATACAGGACCAAAGTCAACTGTTGCCTAGACTGCTTTATGAATGGATGGCTATACTTCTATGTGTTTTTAGATTCTATTCACAGAGACTGATCCTGGAATTAATGAATTAATTGCATATTTCTGCATGGTAAAGCGCAAATAGAGATTAGATTCATGATAATCATAGGGATCTTTTCTTTCTAAATCTAATACCTACCCCCATCGGTGACGCACAAAGCCAACAAATAGGTAGGGCTCTGCATAGAACCAGATTATGGCGAGCAGAAGGCCTCTCAATTCTAGACCAATGTCAACTGGTATCTATGAACATTTTTAAGATACAAATCAAGAGCACGCACTATCATATCAAAATTGACTATCTAATGTTTTCGAGTTCTCTCTGCCCCTATATCAAATCTATCAAGATGATAGTGGTTCAAATATAGAACCACATTCCACTTTAGCGTCATTTGTCTCGATTCTCCGACGATACCCCATATTATGTAAAGATAAGAAGACTTCCCTATCATCCGAGACAGCCGCAAACTAAGACTACCTACTGGCAAGGATCTGTTTCAGGGGATAAAAATGGTCGGAATCTCGGAACGCTTCCGGGAGCTGTTGGCAGGGTTAGCAGCCATCGTAGCCTCAATATCATCATCCTGTCAGATAGGTAACTGAAGTTGTCGGTAGTTATATATGTAGAAAGCGAGCCATCGCTGTACTTCAGTTGATATGTATGCAGTCTCGCAATATATTTCACTGCTTTCGCTGGTTTCGGTGGACGGATATCAAGGTCTGGAGTCAAGGAATCTGATGCGCATTTTCTATCTAGCCGCAATATATACCTCTGATAGGATATTATGTGAGGGAGTCTCTACGCGATTTTTCTATACTAGCATGCATTTTCTATCTGGCGTATCAAAAAGTATCCGATTCGATGTATAAAAAGGTACCATGGCTTAATGTTGACTCTTCCATGCATGGATCTTTGTTCGTAAGAGAATTCAAGCAGACATCATGACCCCTGTTTTATAACCCTAACCCCATACACTGATATACCCGGCGTCCTGTTCGTCAATTGAGCAACCCTATGAAAGTCAAGGGAATAATGTGCGATTAAATACATTTAAGACACTTGGAGACGATATAATACTGGCCATCATAATCAGTTATTCACCAGCAATCTACTAGGTATTTTCACCTAGACACACCATGTACTTAGGGCTAGGGCTAGGGCTAACTGAATTACTTTATGTCCAGCATCCCCACGGATATGCCCACCTTAACCTTCACTATCTGGTGACTTACATGTGACATGCTCATAGAGAAACCCTTAGGGTTATCGATGCAATGAAACCTGGAATATGCGCTCCAAAATCAGCATGAATATTGTGATCAGAAGTCCACTACGACTGGAGCCAGGTTTATGAACAACACAAAGACCTTCCAAATGAAACGAGATCGACTCGAAGAATGGAACTGCCACAGGTTAAGAAAGTGAGGGCGTGATACGTGGACGTGTTTATGTATCATGTACGAATCATGCTGTCGAGTGCCTGAACCAAGGGATAGATACAAGTTGACAGGTTGCATTACAGCTCCGATAGCAATTTGCTGATCACCGATAGACCGACTGTCTAATTCCAAAGATTGGTATTGAGAGTCTAGGATTAAATATAGGATATTCAAGGATTTCAGAATCGATATTTCTAACTTGAGATCATTCCCAGATTTGATCTGATGGTACGTTTCGGTTAACTGTATGCATTTAAATGGTCTTCTATAGGCTTTATCCTTGTTGATTATCAATCTACAAAAGTAGCATCTTGACCAATGATATAACGAATAATCATCGCTTCACCCATGCACTGCTTCCCGATAGGGATTGATTTAGGATCATTATCACTAGCGTTTTTGCCCTGCATAACCCCTCGCAGGGACCATTTCGATATCACCTATAATGCGTGTCGGGGAACTACGCACATACATATACAAGGATCCCCATTGACACTATTTGAACGTATGTATTAGTCGAAAAAAGCATTCTAGACCGGTATGGATGTGATAAAGGAACCCCTGAAATTGGGAATGAGGTGGCTGATGCCAACAGTGAAATACATGTTGTTCCCAAAGAAGTTTTCAATTTCTTATACATTTCTTTCGTGGTCGGGACTTATCCTCCCTCTGTCTCTTATTTAATCGACTCCCACTGAGACCAATGCACGAAAGGGACCGATTCTGAAATTCTGACAATGTATCTGTCTAGATTGCTCGCGTTATTCCTGGTCGGATTTCTCATCTACCGGTCAATCAAAGCCAGAGTTCGCAAGCGTCAAATCAGACAGAAAGAGGCTCAGCTAGGATGTCTACCGCCGCCGGTCTTCAAATTGACCAATGGCCTGGGTCTGCCTATAAAGAAGGGTACATTGTTCTATAACCCTGTGTCAAAAACGCAAATTCTGATCATGCTGACTTATTTGAAGAATCTATACAGGCAACAAACGAAGATCGGAACCCACAGTACATCATGGAAGCAATGGACAGCATCTCTCCCGACTGCCATACCGTCCGCGTACCCATATTTGACTACGAAATCTTCGTCACACGCGATCCAGAAAACATGAGAGCCATCTTTTCCACGCAAGCCAAAGACTTTGACATCTCCTACTTCCGTCAATTGAGCTGGTTACCAATGATAGGCAAGGGCATCTTTACCACTCGCGGATGGGACTGGAAACATTCCCGCTCACGTCTCCGGCCACAATTCGCGCGAGACATTGTGTCAGACGTGGATCGAGAACAGAGACATGTGATGGCCTTGATGAAGAGATTACCCAGTGACGCAATGAGCAAGTGGACCGAAAAAGTAGATTTACAACCACTCTTCTTCAATTTCACTCTCGACACTGCCTCGGAGTTCTTATATGGTCTATCCGTTCATTCGCAGCAGGGTACCAAAGAAGGCATTGAAATGGCTGCGCATTTTCACAATGCTAAAATGGCTGTCCATAGGCGCATTGAGCTTGACAAATTCTACTGGTTGATCAACACGAGCAAGTTCCGTAAGGCATGCAATAGTCTCCATAAATGGGTTGACGGGATTGTGGCGGCGAGACTTGCTCAACTCAAACAGCAGCAAGAGAAAAGTGGTTATGGTGACGATGAGCCCAAACAGCAACGATTTGTATTGCTTGATGAACTGGCCAAGTACACTCAGGACTTGAATGAACTCCGCGGTGAGACTCTGAATGTCCTCGTCGCCGGTCGTGATACCACCGGATCTCTTCTAGGCTGGGTATTCTACTTCCTTGTTCGTCATCCGGAGGTTTATGCCAAGTTGCGAGAGATAGTCATTGATACCTTTGGTTCCCATCCAACCCGTACAAAGATTGATTTCAACATCTTACGCAACTGTGCATACTTGCAACATGTCATGAAGGAAGCTTTACGCATCGCAACGGTCATCCCCATGAATGAAAGAGTGGCGTTGCGAGATACAACTCTTCCCGTTGGCGGGGGTGAGGATCGAATGGGGAAAGTGTTCATTCCTGCTGGTACGCAGATCCTGATCCCTACGTATGCGATGCAGCACCGACGTGACCTTTGGGGTCCGGATGTGGAGGAATTCAAGCCTGAGAGGTGGGAGTCGAAGAAACAGCCTGGATGGGAATTTATTCCTTTCGGTGCAGGTGATAGGAAATGCTTAGGTCGTAAGTCAATATTCATCTTTGATACCAACTACAATCTGAGAACTAACTATCTGTCGCAGAACAATTCGCTTTCACTGAGACAGGCTATGTCATTGTCCGTTTCTGTCAACGTTTCGACAGGATGGAGAATATGGAAGAAGGTGATGGTCGGATTCGGCTTCATCATGCGATCGAGAATAGAAGCGGAACAGGTGTGCAGGCCAGGTTGCATGAAGCGGATTACGAGTAAGTCGACCTGATGAGTTGATGTCAGATTCTTACCATGGGTTGATGATTATGCGAGAATATCAAACGTGTTTCAGGAGATGTATGTATAATCGTTCAGAGGAGCGATGTACCCGAGTTGGAATAATGGCACAAGCCAATTGAATGTATTGTAGTCTATGTATCAGGTGATTAATCAAGTTTCAGGTCAATATGTGCAGTGCCCACCAGCCATGAACGTACTATGTCCTGCTAGCTGCGTTCCACACCTTCCATACAGCATTCCAATACCTCGACGGATCCAACCTTAAGTGCGAAACATGCGCTGATCCATCGAACCGCTCCAGAATCAGATTCGAGTACCCTTTCTCCCTGGCAATTTCTGCATGAGCCTCGACATGCTTATGGTGTATAAGCTTATCCGAAGTCGAATAAATATACAGTCGCGCGCTATCCCGCGGGATGTTTCGTGCCGAGTTCACTCCTCTGGGACCGCGTGTAGCCATAATTTCGATCCCAAGAACCTGTGGGGCTACCATAAGGAATGTCACAATAACCGCTGCAATAACCCAGCTAATAGGTTTAGGTAGTACTGGCTCGATGCCAAGAGAGACACCGGTTGTCCATCTAGTAAACTCGGTTTTGTATGTGAGACCACCGGGTGTTGAGTCAAGGACCAATGCTGTCAGAGGTAGTGGTGCATGTGGCCCAAAAGCTTCTTTCCAGAGACACCAGGTTGCTTCCAGGTTCAGGGCACCACTGTTGGAGAAGGCGTGTGCAAGCATTCGAGGACCAGAGATCGAAGAGTCACCGCTCTGCTCATACAAGGGTGCAAGCTCCTTGTGAACCATGTCCTTGACTATGTATTGAGCCGCTTTTTGACCACCAAAGAACGTTCCTAGGGTGGTTGCTGTTGTGAGGATGATTTTTGCATTCGGATAGAGATTCTGATACCCCTCGATGTACTTGGCATAGTGGCGAGATTGCGCGTCTGCCCATGTGAATACGAGTATGACTTCTGGCGATGAATCGTTCGACAAGTCTGTCGTCTTTGAAGGGCTTTTCTCATCCCCTGACTGTGTAGTTTGTCGAGGCTCCCATATGAGAATTCGTTCTGAGAGTTTCCGATACCCGGAAGGTAGTGGCGACGACATGGTGAACTTGGAGGATGGAGTATTTGACAGTTGAGGAAGAAGTTCGAGTATTCCAAATGATCACTCATCCTATAAATACCTGTAAGACGATAGACCAACCAACAAGCATAGAATGTTGAGGATCTAACCCGAATAGGTAATATCCTACTTTGGTTAGCGGTGATGCTTCACGTGCGACTTTTCTTTGATTCTAGAGATCTTATCAAACGGTCTCCTTGTAAACATAGCAAGACTGCATCGTACAAATTTGTTGGGGTTGGGGAGGAATAATCGTCCTTTCTTGGGCGAGGTATGATCCTGAAACAAACGGCTTCAAATCATCCAGTCTCAATCCACGCTTGCAGCAAGATAATTGAGGCACGCAGCCCTTACTTCATCCTCCGTGAACTCGCACTGATTGTCAAGCCGATTCATTAGATCCGAGTCGTCATCAAGAGGATGTTGCTGTCCCCGGAATACATATAGCATTCCCCCTGTCGCGTAAAGTCGTTCTCGCCGGTTTTCAATCGGCAAACCGACTCCTCCTCCCATCATCCACGCCAAGTTGAGCGCACTCACAAGAGCTTCGTCCCCGAGGGAGATCATGGCGCTCTCGAGATCAGACAAGCACTGTTGTGGAACACCAGAAGATGACGCGTAGTCCATGAAGACTGAACAAATCAGCATGATAGATGCCATTTGTCCTTGAGATTCGGAGAGATAATTTCCTCGATCGTATGGAATAACTCCTGGTGTTTTTGTGAGGCTGCGCCACACCAGACTTTCTGGATCAATCCGAGACTTGTACATCGTTGCTGTCTTCGATGGACCAGCCTCTAACAGTCTAGTCATAAAACTATGTAGAGCTTTTTGTAATGCAGGAAGGTCGCTTCGATCCCAAATGAGGCTATCCGGCCCTAGGTGCGCATTGTCAAAGGCGACCACAATTTGTGTTATCGAATGGTTATGAATAAAAGTCGGTATTCTGATAGCGCCGGAAGTATCCTGCGAGCTAGCCGCCCATGAGCGTATAAACTCTCTGCTAGCCGCGAAATGAGCTCGAGCCTGCGCTGGAAAGAAGATATAATCCATCAGGACAAGCTGCAAAATAATAAGAAAGTGAGATTCCACAATCAAATCTTGCCGGATTCGGGCGGAGCTGGAAGTGTCCTCAGAAGAAGCTGTTGTAGAGATGAATAACTGCTTCCGAGCCATTTTCATGGCTTCTCCTCGATACGTAAGAGCCATGATATGTAGTTTATTCTGCTCTTCGGGACTGTTGAACTTGCCAAACTTCGCCTTGTTGAACATGTTCGTAGCCGACTGGATAAAGGACGCCACATTGCTTGTTCGAAATGCGCTGCGAGCTGCTTGTCCAGGGTTGGGACAGATTGCATTGCTGACACCCCATATGCCCTTTGGTTTTGATGTGCTGTTATTGGAGACAGCCACATTATCGTATTTTATAAGCGGCACTAATATTGGTCTTGGCATATGTGTGCTCGATCCCAATGTTTTGTCGTGATTGTCATGGTATCTGGATTGAGTGTCTTTCCTCTGCCTGTCAACGGTGACCGTCCATGTGGACTTGATCCTTGCCGCCTCCTGTTCCTTGACTCGTCTCCTAATCGCGTTCTTCGCCACGAATGAACGCGCTTTCTCTCGATGTTTACTTGATGAGTCATCCACGAAGAAGACCTCCATGTTTGTTGAACTGGCCAGCTCCAGGCGCGGAAATAAAGGATGCTGAACAATCAGGTTGATTTGTCGTGCGCCAAGTCGGAAAATCAACTGACGCTAACTGTATGTTTAGGGTTAGGGTTGTCTCGGGTCTTGTCTGCGTTGTGTTAGAATCGTGCCGGATTTCTTAAAGTGCTATCAAATCTAATTGTAGTTTATTCGATGGCTCCAGGAGAGCAGAGATTAAACTCATTGTAATTTCTACAGTTCCACGAATGGATATAGTTGGCTCAATGAGAATTCGCACTACCGGGCTTAGGTATGAGCTCAGATATATATAAGATGAACATAAGATGAACTGAGCAACATTGAAGAGCTCAGAAATTGATGCTTCAATGTTCCAATCAAAGTTAGAAACCCACCTAGGTAGCCCTGGACGGCTCAATAGATCATCTCACAAGCAGCAGACAATAATCAATTGGTCAATTACTGCTCCAATGTCGGTGTCTTTAGTGTATGGTGCAACCCGGAGATCTGGAGTCGGCAATATCATAAATTGCGGGGTTGCCGAGGTTGGTATCTGATTATCAATCTACAACAAAGACATCATAGGGCGAAGCTATGTAATCAGAAAAAAGACTTAAAGTTATTAGATTAGAGGTTAAAGCTTGACCTTGACGCCAACTTGACCCTTCTCTGAGACGTCCGAATTGGAAATTGCCGAGCAAACGACATAATCAAAAGCATAACGAAGATCAACTACAATGCCAAAAGCAATTTTCCTCGAACCCATCGATGGCAAACCCGGCAAACCGGGACAAGTCTACTATCCCATTATCCAAAAACCGGTCCTCCCACCAACCGTCAAAGGCAGCGAAATCATCATCAAACTCTCAGCCGCAGCACTGAATCATCGCGATCTTTTTCTCCGCCAACATCTCTATCCTGGATTATCATTCGATGTGCCTCTGGGCGCCGACGGCGTCGGCACAGTCATCGAAGTAGGTCCCAACGTCCAGGATAAATCATGGAAAGGTAAACGGGTAATCTTGAACCCCGGAACGGGATGGAAAGACCATCCGGATGGACCTGAAGATCCGACTGGCTACAAGATCCTGGGTGGAACAAAGTTCGATTCTAGAGGCACGTTGCAAGAGTACGTTACTGTGGACGAGTCAGAGGTTGAAGAGGCGCCGTCGTACATGTCCGATGCCGAAGCTGCTGCACTCCCCTTAACGGGGTTGACTGCATGGAGAGCACTGATCACAAAAGCCGGGGAGAGGAATTCGACCAAGGGTTCTGCTGTGTTGGTTACTGGTATTGGCGGAGGTGTTGCGCTTATGGCACTGCAGTTCGCGGTGCGAAGGGGAGCATATGTCTATGTGACGAGTTCTAGTCAAGAAAAGATTGATAAGGCCGTGGAACTTGGTGCAAAGGGTGGTGTTATTTATAAGGAGGAAGGATGGGAGAAGAAGTTACTTGCTCAACTTCCTTCTGGGAAATTGGCTTTTGATGCCATTATTGATGGTGCGGGTGGTGATATTATCGAAAAGGGGGTCAAGCTACTCAAGGTATACCCATCCATGGACTGTACAAAGAACATCCGACTAACACGAATAAAACTTAGGCCGGCGGCGTGATTTCAGTGTACGGAATGACCGTCTCCCCCAAAATGTCCTTCGTCGCACAAGCATTCCTTAAGAATATCGACGTTCGAGGCTCAACGATGGGCTCACGAAAGGAGTTCAAAGACATGGTAGACTTTGTCAAAGCCAATGAGATCCATCCAGTTGTCTCGAGGGTTCTAAAGACGAGCCTAGATGATATTGCAGGTATCAATACCCTGTTTGACGACATGAAGACTGCGAAGCAATTCGGAAAACTGGTTGTACAGTTCGGGGAGGCGACTGGTGATAGCAAGTTGTAATCAATTCTTCATCGTGATGTCAAATAATCAAATTTGATACTTGTGTGTATTCGACATCACAAATTGGCGATGATATTCGCAAACCCCTTTTCTTCAGCAACAAGCCCACATTGTCTCAACCCAGCGCTATCCAATATCCACACATAATTTCCAACGACAGAAGGAAGTGTCGAAAATTTCCCCAAACGGATAGAAGACCGACCTTACCGGAAGAGACGATTTCATGAACGAACCCCCACAGAGCAGCACATGCCCATGGAAATGACAGGCTTAATATAGAGATTGCCAAGTGAAGTTTCTTTTTTGAGCCTCTATCCTTGAGTTTTTGATCGGTAGGGCTGATGGTTATGGGAATAAGAATTTCGGAAGGATACAGCCGTAAATAACCGCATCGTAATAATAATTAACTAGACAATTAGCCGAAAGTTGGCAGTCTCCGTTCAAAACCGTTGTAATACGTCGTATATCATCATGATTGTCATGAGATATTAAATTTTATCCCTGTTGAAATTCCAATATCTTGTCCAAGATTGTTACTGGAGTTGATTCTAGAGCTTTCCATTGAATGATGGAGCAACAACTGTCATAGGAAAGATTCCGATGTTGATTTCTGATTGGATGTGCCCATCCAAAGCAGTGCCCAAAAAGAACTTTTTTCAACCTATCTCTTAGCAAGCTAGGGCATCTTCTTCCAACCTTTTCAAGATGTACGTACATTTTTGCCGGACATCGAAGGCAAAAACGTAGAATAGGATTTGGGTGGCATAGAAATCCCGCGGCCCCGAAATCGAATAAACCCGAATAATAAAAAATGTTCTCCGTAGAAAATTCCGACAGTCAGGTACGTATCACAACCAGATCCCAAAATAAATTCGAAGGATTTGAATGTCTTCGATCAGCTCCAAGCCCGAGATACATACCGACGAGCCACGACGCGCTACGTAGATAACCACTACAGTCTCCTGCAATGAGTACGTATACAAATATAGAAACCCGAAAAAGCATAAAGCACACATGACTAAGATCCCATGATTTGCTCACACTGTGCCAGATCAGCAAAGAAGGTCGCAATGGGAGGGAAAAAAGTAAGGGTTGAAGGGTAGGGTGGTAGCAACGAGTGTAAGGTAGCATCGGGGGAAACACGAGTCAAAGATATCATATCAAGTAGTAACTAGAGTAAGGATGGCTTTTAAGAGTCAGAGTGAACTGTCAGCCGCTGATCGTCTTATTTGTTTTTCTGATTGTTTGTTACGGTACCAAGTATGAGGTATGTATTGTTTGGTATTTTCGTTTTTCTTGTACATGTGGGGGCGCGGGGACATCAAGATGCTTACGCGCTAATCTAAAAAAGGACTCTCGGTTAGGGCTAAGCCGGCTAATGGGTCTCGCGTGGTTAGTAGCCAGCCAATTGCCAGAAGCAGAGAATATGCATGGTGGATCGAGATGCTAAAAATAAGACCGATACATACCGTTTTGCGGTAAATACAATGCATGGTGTATCAATACAATGACCAGTATTAAGCTACCGCGACTCCGAACCTATGATTCAGTTAATTGATTCATTGTTACGAGACAGGTTAGATTCGCGAGCCCTACGACTAAAAAATAAGGAACCTGCGAGCTCTATCCCACTTCTTTTCTAATGCTTTCACCGCTATCTTCAAATACCATATCTGTGCGCAACGAGCAGGGATTTCAAATTTCCTGCGGACATGTACTACATCTTGACAGGGTATAGTCGGAATAACATCATCCGACGCGATCAGTCAGTCCAGCATGATATATACAGTCGCATCCTATATTCGAAGCTCATGATTTGCGCAATTGCGGTAAGCATGGATGAGTTACACCACAGTAAGGACTACCAAAGCAGCAAGTCCATGGAACATTCAACAACGTGACTTGACAATTTGCATTGTTCAAGTTGCGTGTTCATACGCCAAGAAGTCTTTCCAGCAATCAGTATGTATGTAGGAATTCCGTCCAGCGTCTACAACTTCCCGAATGGTAAGGCCTTAACCCTTCCTTCGGATACAGTCCTACAGATTTTCGGATAAGAGCTGTAAGTGGCTGTGCGAATTGCTTTGCACGAAGGGAGTGTAGTTTCCATACGTAATACGTATCTGTCCCGTTTATCCGTATGGATAATGGAACTGTGGAGAATAGCTCGGCCGTACCCTAAATTAACGAGCTACTGAGCCATTTGTTCTAGAAACGGTTAGTTTCCTTCTCCCTTTCATACTCAGATAGGTTAGTCTCTTCCCAAATTCGCAAATGCAGATGGGCAAATAAGCAGGCGTCAGTTGCCAAGCAAGGTCAGACCACCTCAAAGGCCGCTGTGGTAAGTTGAGGAAAATTCAAACTTCTGACTCCGTGATGGAGTCCGCATCGTAAACAAAGTTCAGAAGAAACGAAGATTGATGAGATCATCGGACCTGATTCGCTGATGATATTATTTCCATGGTTCTTGAGTCGGATCATTCCATCCTTTTTATTTCCCTGCTCGTCGGTAGTGCAACTTTTATTTTTGAAGCCAACGTACGACTCAGCGAGCACACATGGCCACTGGGTGATTATGTCATGATTAGCCATCTTTTTTAGCTAAGTTAGTCAATAAAAATTTACTCCGTACGGAGAACTCGCCGACTTCTCCGTAGTTCGTGAGAATTGTCTCCTTTAGCCCTCGGGTCACACGTACTCATACATACTTTCAGAGAACGAAGTAAACCTATCTCTGCACAGCGCACGGATATCCGAGTCGAAGGGGGGTATCAAGTCCGGCTAGTGAGCTTAGTTCTTTGTCATAATAATGCTCTAAGCAACATGGTTCTTCTCAGCTTAGCTCATGTTAAAGCCCTAATGAGGTGATGGAAGATGATATGCAGTGCCCATCACAGAACATGAGAGAATCGCTGTGATTGGCTCGTCCAAGGTGCTCCGTGGACAAACTTACCAGATACATACCGACTCAAACAGGTTAGAGCAAGGATGTGCGCTAAATATGGAACACTAGTACCGGTTTCTCGTACCGGTTTCTAGTCCCGGGTTGGTTAGACCTTCCCCCATATCATACGCTTGTATGAGAGTTCTAGCATTACATTATTCTACAGAGTACTGCTCCGTACGGGAATTACGGGTTTACCTGGACAGAGACTACTCCTATCTGAGTACTCCGTGCCACCACTCCACCAGTCCCAGAACATGGCCTTCGACATCCTCGGTGTCTCCGTATGAATTGGTAACAGCCTCATCTTATTTTTTAGGCCTCCGTCCGGAAATACATGTGGCGTTTTCTCGGGTTCAACCAAACTTCGGGCCTTGAATTAGGATCCTTTCCAAATTCTCTTACAGACTGCTTAGTGAGATATCTATTTTCGCGGTTTAGAATGATGATAGCCTTCAACCTGATGTGATGCTGCACAGATTAGCCTAAAATTCCGTTTCGTCTCTCCAAACGCCGGCTTCAAGTTTCGGATACTATCCAGGCGCAATAGGACGGCCCTACACTATCATCATGATATAGTTTCGTGACCCTACTCGTGGACGCATAACTACCTGATGCCAGCCGCAATATGAAGCATCTGACCGCCGAATCGGCATTTTCTCCAAACTCGAAGCCTTACCAGTCCTGACCAGAATAACATGACTTGCAGAGATGCGATGATGATGTCGTTGGTCCGTGAGGAGGATGGCTGTGCTGGAAGCTTGCCTTATCTGGGCTAGCTCCGTTACAGATAGGATTCCACCAAATGTAACTTGGCTGTATAGATTTCACGTCTCATCTTTATCTTCTTTTACGATGGTGATGGTTGTTTTGACAAATAAAGTACGAGGCCAAACTCAATATCCAGACGATGCCGCTTCGGGATATCATGCGTTGAAGCAAGATTTAAATCTTCTTTTGATTGGATCCACCCGTTTGGCTCATGGAGGTTGCTGCTGACTTTCGACTTACGTGAGAGTTTTATTTCGTCCTTTTCTTTTTGATGCTCATAACTTTTGATCTTTCTCGCCTGATCGTCGGCAGCCTTATGTCAGTCGCATAAATCGCAAATCTGTTGGCCGCCTCTGATAGGTACAATTGTGTGGGGAGGGATCGATGTTCTTCTATGAATCAATTAGTCACGCAACTTTGAAGCAACAGCTGAGTCTGCATGTCCGCAACATTCCGTCTGCTTGCTTGTACATATCATTTGCAGCTCCAAATGTGTCGCCAGTAGACCGCTGCCACGCCAAGTGTCGGCAGCCTGAAAGTTACCTTGTCCACCGTCCTTACATACAGCATACACCAATACAAGGCAATACGCCGTTACAGTTGTTCCTCGACCCTTCCCCGTTCCAATCACTGCCCACTCTACCCCCTGCCCATACTTATTTTTAGCCTTTCGTAACTCGTAAATTTGGTACAGTAAACGAGCGTACAATACGACTCCCGGTAACTTACACCCTTATATGCCCTTGCCTTTCCCGCCTTTTCTTGCTCCTCCTATTCCTTCTTCTCTCCTCTTCTTTTCCCCGATCATAATTAAACCACACCCATCCCCAAATGACGTGAAGAATAGCAAAGAGAGAGAAAAAAATTTCGTCCTTTTCGTTGTTTACCCACACTCGCTACTACGCTCGCTACTTGCAAAAAGTATTTATTACATTCGCTACTTTGACGCTGTGTCCAAGGAAAGAACCACGGGTCATCGATTGATATACACTTCGACTGATCCATATAATCATTAATATCGCGAAATTGAGAAAAGAAACAAAAAAAGGGCGCGCAAGAGAAGGAAAGACAAGTACAGAATTTTGGAACGACTTGAGAAAGAACGACATCGGTATTCATCGCGAAGTACGCAATCACGGTAGCGCTCAGTCAATTGACCAGCCAACCACTATATCCACTACAGCCACCGACAGTATCAACCTCACCTGCGCAACACTTTTACTTCGAGAGCATCTCTCAAGCATCAAGGGTTAGTCTCCTCTGCCTTCATTGACCTTGCATAACCCTCCCAGCCATCCTCCCTCGAATTCTCCTTGCTTCCTTCTTGAGGATAGGCTTCGGCTTTTTTGACTGTTCTCCTACATACCCTGCACATGTCCAGCAGTCATCGCATCTACTTACACTAAGCGCGACTATTAATGTCCATTCCTCTTCGAGTCCAATTGCTAACAACTCGCATAGATTAGTTACTGCATTATCCGCCAGATGCAATTTGTGTCCTGCTGATATTAGAAAGAGGTGATATTTGACGCTGCAACTAGCATCTTACCAACGATTACGTACCATCTAAAGATTTGAATGCGTCCCTGACCGCCAAATCTTAATTCGCTAAATTTAGAGACTATCTTTGTCTCTGCCACTCGCTTTTGAATATCTGGACAGTCGCTTCGTGTGTGGCTTTCCATCTTCCAGTCGCTCCAATTCGTATTTTCTGTCGTTCGCTTCATTTTATTTATTTTCTCAAAACAGTTTAAAGCCTCGTTGCAGGGTCTGCAACACAGTCAAGCTGGCTTCATCAACTGTACCCAGTCTTCAAGTGAGTGAAAGCCAACAAGTACTCATTCACACAATCCTCTAACCAAGAATAACAGTTCAACACCGACTTTCAGACTCCGCTGATATTTGACGAGTCTGCCGACTATTCGGACTTGGAGGGTTCTTGCTTTGTCCGTGCTTATTCTGACAGCCTCCTGGCAAAGTCGGACCTCCAGCTGTCGATGTCTAGCTTTCAGAGGTCACAAAATGATCTAGAAGGTGCGTTCGTCCCAAGACAGCAATGTTGAAATATATGAATCATGTTAACGATGTGTAGATTTCAATGATCAAGGATCTTCTTTCCAGGAAAACTCATTCACCTCCAACTATGGCCAATTACCTTTCATGAATCCCATGTATGCGACCTCCCAGGAAGACTTCGGTAGCCCTGAATCAGATACCCTGCAGTATGGGCCCTCCCACAGCTACGCAGGTTCTGCAACTTTTGAAGATGCCCAGTCTCCTGGCTTTGATACCCCTGTCAGCTCTGGTCCGGAGGTAGTCTCGTTTGCACCCCAGAGAGGTTCTGAAGGTACTCAGATCACGGTTCGTGTGATTTTGCCGTTTGACTTGCACTCGACCGCTCGTGTATTCATCTCTTTTGGATCACGCCAATGCGAGTGCAGTTTCAGGTTGGTTGACAACCAGAACTCACAACTCGGCTATTTCTTCTCTACCCATGCACCAAACTTCGCTTTCACGAGGTCTCCGTCATTCGACGTTCCATTGCAGCTTGTCATCAACAATCCTTCAGCGGGTGCTCCTCTTGTGCTTCAAATTGGAACCTTTTCCTACGAGCAGTACTTGCAGGCTCCTGTCGATGATTCAAGAAAGAGAAGCTTTTCGGCTTTCCCTGAAAGTGCATCCTATCGACCAGCGAAGCGCCACTCGTCTCATGAACTAGAGGCCAAACCAGTCGATCACCCAACGCATACACGCTCAGCCTCTTATACCTCCTTTGCGCAAACACCTGTTAACACGAGTGCCTTTCCTGCTCCGTTTGATATGGAAAACTCTCCGCGTCTGTCGATGGGTGGCTTCTCTACTGCGTCGCCCAGTTTGCAGCCTCCAGTTCCGGCATCTTCTCCAATGATCCCAACTTGGAGTCCTTCAGTGTCTGTTACTGATCTGTCTGTCGTCAATACTCCATCGACTGTCAATATGCCAATTCCTCAATCACAGAATCCGACCTTGATCCGTACCTCGACCTTGCACCACGGACACAACCTTGGTGCGTCGCAGCCATTTAACCCATACGCGATGTACCCCACCAAGGCGGTTCTTGAGTTGAACGGAGAACTTGACTCAATGGCGCTGAACTGGACTCCTCAGGAGAAAGCAGCCAAACGTCGTCTGGTCCAGTTCACACGTTCCCAGAACGGAAGTACTATTCATGCTGACTTCAAGCCGATCACTCCAGAAGAGCGCACTCCAAACAGTATATGTATCAGCTGCATCCTTTGGGATGGTAAGGACGAGTGCTTCGTTACTAGTGTGGATACTATCTATCTTCTCGAGTCTTTGGTTGCTGTACGCTTCACTGTCGAGGAGAAGAACCGTATTCGTCGCAATTTGGAGGGTTTCCGTCCTCTAACGGTTTCCAAGACCAAGGCCGACAGTGAAGACTTCTTCAAAGTCATCATGGGATTCCCTGCACCTAAACCCCGCAACATCGAGAAGGATGTCAAAGTTTTCCCCTGGAAGATCCTCTGCCATGCACTCAAGAAGATCATTGGTAAATATGTAAGTTTTGCCCCTCATCTACTCTTTGGCCTGACTCTAATTTTGTCACAGTCTGCAAGCTATTCATCTACTGCCGGAGCACTCCCCGGTTCATTGAGTGCTAGTCATTCTATGAGCTCGGATCTTGGGACTGAGTCTCTTCGCGCTTCGTCTCCGCAGTCGATTGCGGAATCCACAGCTTCTAACGCATATCCAGTCAACTTTAGCTCAGCCACGTTCGCGCCATCTCTTATGCCAGTAACCTCTGGTCTTGACTCTGAATTCGCTGTCACTCTCTCAGGACCGACACCTGGTTACCCTGCTACCATGGGCGCGCCTTATCAGTTCGAGCCAAATTTTCAACCCGACCAGGCACTCATGAATCAGCCATCATGGGATTTCACTACTTCATCTCAGGGTGAGGATTTCAATTACATGAATATTCCTTATACCATGGGTTGAGGTAGTTCGAAACCCCGTTGTTACTGAAACTGGATTTCCTCGAAGCTCTGTTCTCCGCCTTTTTTTTCGCATATTGTTTTCGTCGCTTTTTTGCTCTTGCACTGGCCTGCAACAATCCAACTTCACGTCCACCGTTTAAAGTCATTCCTTGGCACACCGACACGATAATGTGTTAATGTTTTTTACCCCGAGATTCTACGAATTTCCTTCAGTCATTCCTTGATACCATTCCGAAGCGAAGGCGTTACTCATTACTCTCCTTTACCATGTGATACCCGGAGTATGGCGACTCGCCTATTCCATTGTTTTGTTGCATCTTGTTGATGAATCATGCCACTCCTTTCATGACTTCATATAATGCATGCCCCGATGAAAAGATTTTGATGTACTTTACTTCCTTGTTATTGTTTTTTGAGCGTGTCTGCTTTCTGAATTTCTTGTTTAGACACATCGGGCGCATCAGCGATCATTCCTTATACCATTGTTTATTGTTTTTGAGCATAGCGTGGACGTGCTATCGAAGCCACTCCTTCTACATCTTGCATTCTGGCCAGGCGTTTCGTCGTTTTTTCTTTGATTTCTCGATTCTCAACTATTGGTACAACCTTTTGGATGTTCTAATGTTGAGACTGAGTTGGGCTGTTTGTCTGTTTTTATTTTTTATTTTTTATTTTTTTTTGCATATACTGCAGGGAGTTTTTGGGAAATATGGACTGGAGTGCACAAGGCATTTCCAATTGTTGGAGGTCTGAGATTTTTGTTCTGTTTGGTCAATCTTGTATTTATTTGAGTGTTGGATATCCTGGCCGTGTCCAGTGATTTCTATGCAATTTAAGCAATTTGGGTCATCCACATCACATTTATATTCATAAATCTCTCTTGACTTATAAGAAAACGCGTAGCTAGAACCTCATCAGGTCACTTTGAGCACATGAATGAGAATGGGGTTAGGGTTGACTGCTTATCGCAGTCACATGACCTTATCGCATCATGGTCAAGCCAATTGGTGACTCAGGCTCTCAGTGAGTCACTGTCCGCCATCCGCTTATCGGAGACCAACAATTAATCGCTATAACTACACCTCCATACCTTCATCTCTTGTATTTTCCTCTTCATCTGGGCCAATTGCTTTTTATATGCAATAAGACTTCTCAATTGAGTTGCTGAATATCTAATTATTGAATATTTGTGTCCTTCTCGCCCTCTTCTACACTCCAATTGATCTTCGCCACGGCGCGGGGCAAGCACAAATTTCATCCAGAAAATGGAAGCTATCAAAGCGACGTTTGCGAAATGCAAGCGCGAAAAACGGTCTGCTCTAGTCACCTATGTTACAGCTGGATATCCGACTGTTGAAGAGACGATTGATGTTTTATTGGGACTTGAGAATGGAGGAGCTGGTGAGTTTTTTCTATCCTTTCGCCACGACACAAAAAAGTATTGAACTAATCGGGCGATATTCGACCAGATATAATCGAACTCGGTTTACCATTCACAGACCCAATTGCAGACGGTCCAACGATCCAAAAAGCAAATAATCAAGCATTACAAAATGGCGTCACGATTCCAATGGTTCTGGACATTGTCCGTTCCGCACGTCAAAGGGGTCTTCAAGTACCTGTTTTGTTCATGGGATATTATAATCCGTTGTTACAATATGGAGAAGAGCGCATGTTGAAGGATACGAAGGAGGCGGGTGCTAATGGATTCATTATGGTGGATTTACCCCCTGAGGAGGCTGTGCGATTCAGGAATTTGTGCACTTCGACTGGGTATGTTTCTTCTTTCGAGTAGGATTCTGGGGCTGGGCACTAACAGAGGTTTGTGATTAGGTTGTCATATGTTCCTCTCATTGCACCTGCTACATCTGATTCTCGGATGAAGCTCTTATGTAAAATTGCCGATTCATTTATCTATGTCGTTTCGCGAATGGGCGTTACTGGCGCCACGGGTACGCTCAGCACTGGTCTACCGGACCTCTTGAAGAGGGTCCATCAATATTCAGGCAATATCCCCGCCGCATTGGGCTTTGGTGTCAGCACTCGCGAACATTTCCTGGCCGTTCAGGAACTCGCGGAGGGTGTCGTCATTGGAAGTCAAATCATCACAGTCCTCGGTCAAGCTGCCGAAGGCCAAAGGGCGCAAAAAGTCGAGGAGTACATTACCAGCGTCACTGGTCGCAAATTGGAGCGCGATAGCCAGGGTAAGATTGTCAATGAAAAGACAGTCCTCGAAGTGGTCGAGAAAAAGCCTACACAGGAGGAAGAAGATTTGGCTCAGCCTACCGCCGTCATTACCGAGGGTGAACCAGGTGCTGGTGCTGGCGAACCAGCACCAGGAGCACAGCCTGGTCTAGTCGATCAGTTAGAGTCTCTCAACGGTTCAGGCGACCCAGCTGATATTCCCTCTCGATTTGGAGAATTCGGAGGACAATACGTCCCAGAATCTCTTATGGATTGCTTGGCAGAGTTGTTGAAGGGATTCAACGAAGCTAGGAATGACCCCAAGTTCTGGGAGGAGTTTCGCTCATATTATCCCTACATGGGTCGTCCCAGTAAACTTCACCTTGCCAATCGTTTGACGGAGCATGTCGGAGGTGCGAATATCTATCTGAAAAGAGAGGATTTAAACCATACTGGGAGTCACAAAATCAACAACGCACTTGGTCAGGTCCTCCTTGCTCGAAGACTGGGAAAGAAGCGTATCATCGCCGAGACCGGTGCCGGTCAGCACGGTGTCGCAACTGCCACTGTCTGTGCCAAGTTCGGCCTGGAATGTGTTGTTTACATGGGTGCGGAGGACGTGCGACGTCAAGCATTGAACGTTTTCCGTATGAGACTGTTGGGCGCATCAGTCGTCGCTGTTGATGCTGGTACCAAGACTCTCCGTGACGCCGTCAACGAAGCAATGCGCGCATGGGTCGTTGATCTCGACACAACCCACTACATCATCGGGTCTGCCATTGGACCACACCCCTTCCCCACGATCGTCCGTACCTTCCAATCTGTGATTGGTGACGAGACCAAGGAACAAATGATGGAGCTCACAGGAAGATTACCAGACGCTGTTGTCGCTTGTGTCGGCGGGGGAAGTAATGCCGTCGGCATGTTTTATCCTTTCTCCAACGACCCCAGTGTGAAGCTGCTTGGTGTCGAAGCCGGTGGTGACGGAGTCGACACAGGCCGTCACGCCGCCACGCTGAGCGGTGGATCCATGGGTGTCCTACACGGCGTACGCACATACGTCCTCCAAGACAAAAACGGCCAAATCCAAGACACCCACTCCGTCTCCGCGGGTCTGGATTACCCGGCCGTCGGACCTGAGCTGAGTAACTGGAAAGAAAGCTCTCGAGCGAAATTCATCGCTGCCACTGACGCTGAAGCTTTCAAGGGGTTTAGATTGCTCACCCAGTTGGAAGGTATTATCCCTGCGTTGGAGTCTTCACATGCTGTCTGGGGAGCTGTTGAGCTTGCCAAGACGATGAAGAAGGGAGAGAATATCGTTTTGAATTTGAGTGGTAGAGGTGACAAGGATGTGCAGAGTGTGGCTGAGGAATTACCTCGTCTTGGTCCTCAGATTGGATGGGATTTGAGGTTTTGATTGAGTCTGCATGAAAAGTTTTAGTATTGCCAGACATATCATTTGTCTCTTATTGCGAGAGATTTAAAAGTCCATGTTGCTGTCTATGGAAGATGTGAAAGTACGGCTGGTGTTTTATCGGCCTAGTAGTTGTATAATCGACTCGATTCAAGTGAATATGGATGATAGGCTTGAGGGCCGGTCTCGGAGTAAGCGCATCCAGCAACCAACGTATCTAAAAGAAATATCATAACAGAGTAAAGAGTCATATAAGAAATTTTCATAATAATCATAAAATAATTGAGAAAAAAAAAGGCATGCTTCTCAAATAAACAGACCAATAACCTAGCCGGTCATGTGACAAATGGAGCTCTAGCCTCTTGGAGGTTGTAGCTCTCCACACTTATCCATCCAGCCATCTATCTATCTTCAACGTGCTTTACTGGTGTCGCATCCGGATTCAAACGCCTCACGCAGAACAAATACCCTTCAAACACTCCTTTCAATCGTCACCGTCGTCTTTTCGAAATCGATATACTCGCTGCTGTATCCTGTGAACCAGGATACTCGGAGTATACCACAACTTGTACGTAATGGCTCCCGAGTTCACCGATCCCCGCATGACCTCGATTAAACCTCGCATTCGCTACAATACTATTGGAGGCGTGAATGGACCATTGGTTATCTTGGATAATGTATGTTACTTGTTATAGGGGAGGATTTGAGCGCGGGCTTATAAGATTGCAGGTCAAATTTCCGCGATATAATGAGATTGTCTCTTTGACATTGCCCGATGGAACGGAGAGGTCTGGTCAGGTTCTTGAGGCGAGGGGTACGTATATCTGTGATTGTTTAGCGGGTGCCGACTGACGTTTTCATAGGTAACAGAGCTGTTGTTCAGGTATGACGGACCATGTCTCAGTGTGTCGACAATACTGACTATAGGATAGGTTTTCGAAGGCACACCCGGTATCGATGTGAAGAGGGTATGTATGACACCTTTAAGGTACTAGAGGTAAGCTAACAGTCACAGACAAAAGTCGAATTCACAGGACACAGCTTGAAACTCGGCGTCTCCGAAGATATGCTGGGCCGAGTCTTTGACGGATCGGGTCGAGCAATCGACAAGGGCCCCAAAGTATTGGCCGAGGATTACCTCGATATCAACGGAAGTCCCATCAACCCTTACTCTCGAGTCTACCCCGAAGAAATGATTTCCACCGGTATCTCTGCTATCGACACCATGAACTCTATTGCTCGAGGACAAAAGATCCCCATCTTCTCGGCGTCTGGTTTGCCTCATAATGAGATTGCGGCTCAAATTTGTCGTCAGGCTGGTTTGGTTAAACCTACCAAGGATGTGCACGATGGTCATGAGGATAACTTTTCCATTGTTTTCGCGGCTATGGGTGTTAACATGGAGACTGCTCGGTTCTTTACGCGGGACTTTGAGGAGAATGGTAGTATGGAGCGTGTTACGTTGTTCCTCAACTTGGCCAATGATCCTACGTAAGTTCTCTCAATTTTCGTTCTTTATGGGGGAGGATTTTAATCTGCTGCAGGATTGAACGTATCATTACCCCCCGTCTGGCATTGACAACGGCTGAATACTACGCATACCAACTCGAGAAGCACGTCTTGGTCATCTTGACTGATCTGTCAGCCTACTGTGATGCTCTTCGTGAAGTCTCTGCTGCTCGAGAAGAAGTGCCCGGAAGACGTGGTTACCCCGGTTACATGTACACTGACTTGTCGACCATCTATGAGCGTGCCGGTCGTGTCGAGGGTCGTAATGGATCTATTACTCAAATCCCCATTTTGACCATGCCCAACGACGACATTACTCACCCCATTCCTGATCTGACGGGTTATATCACCGAGGGACAGATCTTTATTGACCGTCAATTGGACAACAGAGGTGTCTATCCTCCTATCAACGTCCTGCCGTCGCTCTCACGTTTGATGAAGTCCGCTATTGGTGAAGGTCGTACCCGAAAGGATCACGGCGATGTCTCCAACCAACTGTATGCCAAATACGCCATTGGTCGAGATGCCGGTACGTCTCCCTGATTTCTTTCCCCATTTCTCTGCATCAATACTAATCACAGGATTGAACAGCTGCCATGAAAGCGGTCGTCGGTGAAGAAGCCCTCTCAGCCGAAGACAAACTCTCCCTCGAATTCCTCGAAAAATTCGAACGATCCTTCATCTCCCAATCCCCCTACGAATCCCGCTCAATCCATGAATCGCTCGACATAGCCTGGAACTTGCTCCGTATCTATCCCAAGGATCTCCTCAATCGTATCCCCAAGAAAGTCCTTGATGAATTTTATGCTCGTTCTGGTAAGGCTGGTCGGAAGACTGGTAGTGGTGGAAATAAGGATACAAGGGATAGTTCGGAGCCGCAGCAGCAGCAGAGTACGGCTGCGACTGAGAGTTTGATCTAGTTTCCCTGCCTTTTTGTTTGGTTATTTTCATTGTAGCTTTTCATTCTTCTTTGTTCTTTTCTTTCAGTTTCGAGTTATATGGTATACTTGATGTATATTGTGGTGAATAATAGAAATGTGAGTGACATTACATACGTTCAAACTCAACAGCTACTTATATACCGGATTTCCTTTGACGCCGTTTGGCTTCCCCTTTCCGTTTTCGGTTCGTATTTGGAGTTACAGATGCGCATGTGGCGCTTACCAGTAAGTTTCAAATCACTGTACAGTTCTGGCTATGAGGAAAGGAGGGTCGCCTCATATTTCCACTGGTCTCAGCCTGGATTGCTTAATTTGGAATTGAAGGGCATCCTCCTTGTGAATACTAAAATAGATGAGTATATTAGAGGTGCACTTTATCTCCAGATTGGACTCACTTCTGGACAGATTGAATTGGGACTGAAAGGCCTTCTCTTCGTTATAGCCAGATTCTACAGTATGTATGCCACCTAGCAATTGAAGTTTGCTGACATTGAAATAACAGGCTATGAAGAAACAACTTTTACCGCGCTACCTGATAAGGGTATCAACATTCGGTCACCATGTGAACTGACCCGCATGACTAGAAAACCCGTATGACTTAAGAATATCACACGATTCAAGGAAGAAATTCAGCAGCAGAGTGACATGAGTGAGGCTGTGAAAGAAGAGGATCCTGATCTCTTTCAACGATTGGAAAAATCTCTGGGAACCAAGCAGGTACAACTTGCACCCCTGGAACGTGATCTACAGTTACGCGACAGAGATCCCCATATTGGCTCAATACACAATGGAAAACTCGGCCATATAGACTACACCACAACATCATTGCAGACAGGTAAACTCATCATGGACCTTGCATTGATACAGATGGACTGCTTGGCAGACAGGAAGCCTGAGGAGATTTATTGAAAGATGAACAACACTGCCTAGCGGCCCTAGCCTCAACAATTCCGGATTATACTACAGGTAACTTCTGGGAGGTGGACTCGTTGGGGGACTCCCAGGATGCTGAGAATTACATCAAGATGATTGCAAAGTTATCACGGAGTTCAAGGTCATATTGTTTGAGAAAGACGATCAACCAGCAAATCGGATGGTGGATGCCTGGGTGATTAGCTGCCCCCGGATATATGAAGAAACTACGATCCTCGGTACTCTGACCTACAGCCTATTAGTGATAAGTGGCCTTTTGCCAATGCTGGCGATTCTGGCTCGTTTGTCATCGCTGTTGCAGGTTTCGAGTGTGGTGGCAATAATAATCAAGTCCCGATGCGATTTCAGGACCCTGTGTTGTCTCCAAGCGAGCCATTCATTGTCGGTCTGATTTGTGGCTAATCAGACAATTGCAACTTGACTTATTTCATTCTATTGAATGCAGTCAAAACCGAAATCGAATCGTTGACAGGGAGAAGATGGTATGGCCGCAAAAGCGCTCCGAGGCCCTTGTTGAGAAAGTCATCAAATGAAGGAATATCACCACAGAACGGGATGGAGTTCTTGCTAAGAATTAGAATGCGTCTCACCAGATTGGAAATGGTGTGGCAGAACGGGAATGGAGTTTGATTTGTTTACACAGTACACTCACTTCACGTACGGAGTACAGTGAGCTTCAACGGAGTCTGAAAAGCGTGTCTGGTGCACAAGTTGCAATTGCATTCGACTCATAACCGATTTTCATTTGAATAGACAAGGGAGAAAGAAGAAAACTTGCTATGATCCTATCACAGACCCTATTACATTCTTCATCAGGGTTCGCAGGCAGGGGTTCAGTCCATTCTGGGTTGACAAGCATCTCGTCTTACGCACAGAATATAGAAAAATTGAAACAGACAGATTGTAATGCAGTCAGCAATGGGCATATTCCACGAACAGATGACTATGGGGAATAAGAAGTTTCTTGAGAGGTTTATTGCTGCCAATTCAATGAATCGAACTTTGGTAGAGGAGATCCAGAGGTGCAAAAACCGGTGTATAATGCTTATGACATGGGCTCAAAATAAGCACCCAGCAACAATGTACTATCGCTAGTTCTAGCTCAATATGATCTGATATTTCGATGTAAGAATTTGGTCTTAATCGAACCAATCACAATGGCGACTTAGCTTCAAGTCACATGACCAGGGCTTTTTCCCCGAGAGGATTCAGGACCGTTGAGCGACTCAGTGAGCGTCAGCCCGGCACTGAAATTTACTGTGAGGCTGACTGCGAGCGCCCTCACAAAAGCGGCGGCAGCTGAGAAAGGGAAACCCTACCCGGCAAAGAAAATATGGTATGTATACTCCGTAGTCCACCTAGGTATCAAAGTCCGTTCATCGATTTACGTACTACAGTACCCATAAACCTCAAGGGGTATCATGATATACCAAAATCCAGCAGTATGACTCAAAATAGTTCTGTAACAGAAACTAATTCATTTCAGGATATCATAGCACAAACACACAGAGAGAAACACAATAAAAAACCAGCTAACCATAGATACAAGCCATTGCTCGATGCCATACACAAATCCCCGCTTCGCAAAACGCCGAAAGCTCCATCCGAAATTTTGAAAACAAACTCCTGGAGAATGATATATAGACACTGAAAGAGAATAGAAATGAGTAGACGACGCTTAAGCCTTCATGCGCCAGAGTAGAGATTCTGGGATGTGTAGATAAATCAATCAATCTTCGCCCCCGCCAATCCTCTAGGTGTGGTGAGATTGTTTGATAATCGGATTCTCCGAGTATTTTTTGTATGTTTCTTGAGCTTCTTCCGAGCGACCATTACTGGCACCGAGGATTTTGTGACGAGGTAGTTTGAGAATGACCCTAGTAGAACTCTGTTCGGTTATTAGTATGGTATAATAATAGAAAGTGAAGAGGATTGTCTTACCCTTTGAGAGCGCTTCGGCCTCTGGACCCAAGGACTACGAGTGTAGGTTCGAGACCGTCAATCTGTATAAGTCAGTAGACTTTCGTTATAGGTGAGATTGGGGATTCCTACAGCTTCTGTGAGTAAGTGTTTAGGACTCTTGCAATGGATAACCTCCACCGCGACGCGCACTTGCAACATCGTCTTCCTGAGTAATCGCACACAAGTATTCGAGATATCCTCAATAGCACGAAGACGTTCCTGCTCAGATCGGGACAGTGCTCGCGAATCTACCGAGTTGGTCCGTGAATTGGCCTTGCTATCTGTTCCGCCGAAATAAGCCGCGAGAGCATTTGGTAGTAGACTTGTAGAAGAAGCAGCCTGATATTTCATGGCTGTCTTTTCGGTCTGCTTGCCCACGATATCCGTCGTACGTCTGATTGCCGTTGCGCCGTCACCGATTTGCACGCCAGTGTTCAAATCGACGCCAGAAGCATTTTCGTCAGCTACAGCATACACGGCAAATAATGTGTCGCCATCACGAAGGATTGTTCCGATAGTCCATTCCAAAGCATATACAGACTCCTCACTAAGATCCGTGGCAACCAGGTACTTTCGCTGTCGTCGAAATCCTTCCTCTGCTTCTTGCTGTAAACGAGGAAAGTCGCCTCGGATAATGGTGCGAATTGCGCGATCGGGAATGCTCGTATCGACAGAAGACAGATGAATACTGAGATTTTGCGCTTGTTTAATATCTGACAGATCGGCTTCTTCGTCTGAACCGACTGGTGTGTTCAACCCCGATCCATTGTGATCGAAACTCGTATGGGGATGAACGCCAGACCTTCTCGGTCCTGGCGATAGCACCGTCCTGCGTCCGTTGGCTCGTCGATGCGTCACAATTGGTCCGTTTAGTTCTTCTATACGATCGTCAGTACTGGATATCTCTCAGGTAACCTCTGTATGCGTACCCTCTTCTTGTAGCTCATTGAATAGACCAAGCGCACCGCCTACACTTGGACTGCCCTGCGGACGTGGTCCCGGCCCCCTCTTCCCACTCCAACCTCCAGGTGGCGCGGGTGATCGAGCAGGCGATGTTCCCGGCGAAAGCCCGGTTTTCGTCTTACTCCTGCCTCGAGGCGATTTGCTTCTCCCGCGAGGGCCGACCGGTCCCTTGCGGATATCGTATAAATCTTCCTCTTCAGAGCTCGTATCATCTTCTTCATCGCTGCTGTCTGCAGAATCGGAATTCTCGTCTGCACTTTCCGTCCTGTCCTTTGTAAGACGTCCGCTTCGATCCGGATCGTGGAGTGAAGCCTTGGAGAGGGTAGGTGAAGTACTAGCTTCAGAGACAGTATCGGGCGCATCGTTGTCCATGCTGCTGGTGGACAGTCTATGTTTCTTCAGGGAGAATCGACGAGATTTTGGCGATGGTACAGCGTTCGACTGCAATTGTGATTGGGAGTGCGGGTGAGACTGAGTCTGAGACTGCGCCGGTGTGCGGTAGCGCGGGGATAATTCCAAGGCGGCGGGGGCTACACGGGGCCATGTGTCAGCGATTTCCACCGTTTGTCTTTGAAATCAATTCATCCAATCTCGACAATTGTACACACACACGCACTTCAATATTGAATATCTCACTATGAAGAAAAATGACTTACCAGAGTGCTTCTGCGGAAGAACAATGTGGGGAACACTCGACTGCATCCCATACAAAAATCCCGCATCAATGTCGATTTCCCGCTCCTCCAACGCCTTCTGCTTCTTCTCTTTCTCTCGCTTCAACTGCGTCACGCTGTCCGACGACCGACGCTCAGGTTCCGGCTCCTCTGCATCGTCGCTCGGCTCGTAGATACTATCATCCCATTCCGAGAGCAAGGTGTTGGTCCATGGCGACGAACTGGCTAGTGGGCTGCTCACGGATGCCCGACGGCCACTTTCGGTCTTTTCCTGTCTGCTACTATTTCTGAGAGGAATCAGAGTCTTGCCGCGATTACTGGCGATGCGACTGGGAGCTCGGGGGCCTTTCAGTCCGTCGAGATTGCGTAGAAGCTCCTTTCGCTCTTGTTCCAGGGTCTGTTCGAGAGACATCTTGAGCGGTCTCTTCTGGTCTTTGTCTTTGCCGAACATGGTGAGAAAAAGAAGAAGAGGAAATCCGGGGAGTGCGGGGGAATATGTTTGGCCACCAACGCCTAACCTAGCCGCAAGCGGAACGCCTAGACAGGCTGAGTCGGTCGAAGTGGGAGCCTAAGAAGTCACCGTATGATGGTGGCGGTATTTCAATCCCCGGCACTGATCATCTGGAAGACGCCCGGCGGGATGATGCAAAGCCGTCCTGTAGAGACTCTGGAGAATCGTAACTATGTCTATTCGACTCCGGCCAAGTGAGTAAGCAGCGGAAACAACTGACTAAGGAGGGAGGAAAGCACTTACTACTTATACAGAGCGCTGCCTATGTGCAACCACGGATCAAAGAAGCTTTGGTGGTGAGTACCAGCTGTGCAACACGCAACTCACTCACTGTAACCTAGTCACCAGTTTTATAAATTGAAAACAATTCTAGTCAGAAATAATTCAAGCTTTCTGCTCATCTACTTAAATCATTGCTATCCTCGCCTCCCTATCTCCTTGCTCTTCTTGGCTCGCGGGGTAAGGAGGCTTGGAATGTACTAGGGCCTGGGCATTGTACCTACACCTTTAGCCATTAACGTAATGTGCTTTGAACTAATCGGGCTGGTCGAGACTCCTTTTCCCAACTGGACTGACTTTGACATTCGACGCCATCGAGTGTGGCTTTTCCATCAATGTCGGTGACTCAAAAGTAGAGACGAGAGAAGAACGGAATCAGGTATCGTACACCGCAATCTCACAGATATCTGTTACTAATTTGGTCTCTACTCCCCTTGTCATATTAAGTCTCGACACAAACACCCAATGAGAGGATGTTATCCATGAGTGTGTGTTAATAATCACCTGTAACAGATTGATATACTTGCCAAGATGGTGGTTCGACTAATGCAACTCTTGTGTGACCTGGTTATCTTCAGATTCCAGTAACGACAGGCTGGAAGACAGGCTGTCACTGTTCAATGCACTGATTGATTCTTGATAAATGGACTTGATACATAACCCTCCAATGATATCCGGAACTCCTCGCTACTATACCCTTATCCTGAACCTTTATGCTGAGAAATAAACATATACTAAGCTCGAATCAAGCTTTAGAACGCTTGCCTTTTCCTCTGTTAGAGCTCTTGCGTGCGCCAACAGCTGCAAATGCTTCCTCGGGCGGTTCATCCACCGCAGACCGTTTCTTGCCTTTGCCCGCGGATTTTGGTGCGTACTTGGCTTCAAGGTCATCGAAAAAGTTGGCCGCCCGGGTCTTTTGCCGTTGTTGAATCAAACCCGCGAGAGCATTATCGTCTTCTTTTGTAGGTTTGCTCTTCTTGCCCTTTTTGGCCGTTCCTTTCTCTTCCAATTCCTTAGCAGCCTCCTCCGCTTCCTCGGCTTCTGCCTGTGCACGCTTCAACCGTTTTTGTCGTTTACTTTCCGACTCCTCTGTATATTTCTTCCACGCCTTCACTTCCCCATCGGCAATAGCCTTGTCGATAATTGCCCGGAACCGCTCATCGTCCTCCAGCACACTACTAAGCATAACAACCTCATAAATCCGATCCAGGTCACCTTTGTACTGCTCAAAGGCTTCCAACAGGTCTTTCCTCTCTCCGGCCGAGTTTTGGTATTCCTTTTTGATTTTCTCAATCGCTGAAACGTCGACCATTCCCGAGAACTGCTCCTTGTAGAACTCGGTCCAGTTGAAATCATCGTCTTCTAAATCCAGGGATTCGGATGTATTGCCAGTGAGGTCGTAGCGACGTCTTCGACGCTCGTCGGAGAGGATGGCGTAGGCGAATGCGATTTGTTGGAATTTTTCTTTTGCTTCTTCTTTTTCTTCAGCTGCAGCTTTGTCTATTTATCGTGAGTCTTTTAAGGTTATACGCAATAGCCATCTGGTCATTGAAGCATACCTGGATGATGTCTCAGGGCCTTCTTCCTGTATGCGCTCTTGATATCATCGGCTGTTGCCTTTTCATCGACGTCGAGGACTTCATATGGATTTATGGAAGCGGGGGGTTCGCCGGCCAAATCTTCGTCTTGTGACATTTTGTGCCCCTGATGATTTGTATGGTTCGTTGAAACTGATAGTGCTGAAGGTGGGTAATGATAAATCGAAGGAAGACGCGCCGACGCGACGGGGCCAATTAATTACGGTTACATATTTACGGTATTTTACATGTCGTCCCGTAGAACTGCCGTTACCTGATCGTAACGTCAATACACTTGAGACTTCTCACCTGTAATCATTTATTTCTCTCTACAAGGTATAATACTCTAGATACATACATCTGCAAGTAGATAGGTTCATTCCTCATGTATATGATAGGCGGATATTATTATGTTGAACTGTGAACAGCGTAACATCCTGTCTTCTTTAGGCAGTTAGGGCATCTCTTTAGGGCTTTCCGTGTCGTATCTCCGATTGCACGGAAGTTATCATTTCGATTGGATTTCTTCCATTCTGACTGGCAGGAGGAGAAGTCGTTGCATTTTGATACTCCCATATTGTCCGAGAAATTGATAAGAAGATGATGTAAGCGGGACATGACATCAGCTCTACCATAGGTCCGATAACATTTTCCTCTTGTCCTAACGCAACAAAAACCACTACTACACCTCTCTCGCTCGGATACAACTGCAAGAAAATGACATCCTCCGAATCAAGTCACCTCAAATACCTCCGCGAATGCCTAAAACTCGCCTCCAAATCCCCTCCCCGCCCAACAAATTTCCGCGTCGGCGCAATCCTAATCCTCCGCCCTGACACCCCCGACGACACTTCCTCCGACGACAAAATCCTCTCTACAGGCTACACAATGGAACTTCCCGGAAACACACACGCTGAACAATGCTGTCTATCGAATTATGCCGCTACACATGGCGTCTACGAGGAACAAGTCGCCGATGCGTTTCCGTCTCAGGGAGAACGAAAGGGACGCAAGATCTTGCTCTATGTTACTATGGAACCTTGCGGCATTCGTCTAAGTGGGAATACGCCCTGCGTACATCGTATAATCCAAACACGAAAGCGCAACGACGATAGTAACAATAACAACGGGATAGACAAGGTATATTTCGGTGTAAAAGAGCCAGGCACATTCGTCGGCGAGTCCCAGGGATGTAAAATGTTGACCGAGGCGGGTATTGAGTGGGAATTTGTGGGTGGATTGGAGAATGAGATTTTGGCTGTTGCGACGGCAGGTCATGATAAGGGGAATCAGAAACAGGAGGCGGAAGAGAGGGGATCGAATATTGAGGCTATTTCGCAGGAGGAAAGGGAGAGGCAGGCGCAGTTACCTAAGAATCCAAAGAAGAGGATGATGGATGCTGGTGTAATAATAGACTTATAAACTGCACAATATTAAAAATATTACGAATCAAGTCAAATGTAGTGATATGATCACATGACCACGTATTAGGTATCTCGCGGAGCGGCACGCGTCAGCCAACTGATCAACTCGACTTTGAGACGAGACTGCTCCTCTAGAAAATAAAAATTATTCAACTATATAAGCAAAAAAGTCGATCGCCTACAGAATCAACTTATAATCCTACTTACGCCCGCTCCACACAAAGACCAAAATGAGCCAATTCCCCCATGGCCGAAAATGCCTATTCATCATCCACCACTACCAACACAGCGCCTCGCGAGACCAAGAAGCGCGCTCATTACCGAGATGATACCGACAAGAATATACGTTCTAGAAAATATGAGCAAGATAATGAAATCGAAAAAGAAGCAGAAGAATTACTCTTCTACCCTGCATTCTGCTTCCCCGCATCCCCGACACATTTCACATGGGTCAAGATGAGTATTGCAGATATCCATCATCTACAATCTCGAAAAGGCTTTGAAGGTCATCTACGCTCTACCTTACTTCAAACAATGATTTCGTTCTAACGGGATAATAGGCCAGAATATATACTTCTACAAAAACCACCCGATCCAATTCGTCTGTGTAGCCGGCTACATCGTCTCCCGACAAGAATATGAGCGTCGCACCCTACTCACGATAGACGATAGCAGCGGCACAATACTCGAAGTCGTATGTCTCAAAGCGCCTGTCAAGAATTCCGCGCCCACAGAAACACCTACAACAACCGAAACGACAAACGTAACATCCACAACCCGAACCCCCATCGACATTTCAACCCTCCAAATCGGCACCGCCGTAAAACTCAAAGGCACATTATCCCAAAAGTTCTTCAATCAATCCGATAATCCAATCATGCAGCTAATCCTAGAACGTTTCTGGCTGCTCGCCAATACAACAGCCGAAGTAAAATTCTGGTCCGAGCGATCACGATACTTAATCGACGTCCTCTCTCAACCATGGCATTTGACTCGAGATCAAATCGAATCGTTGCGTCAGCAAGCTTTATCCCAAGAACGGAAGGTAATTCGCGACCGACGCCACAAGCAGGAGAGACAGAAACGTCATGACGAAAAAGAGGAGAAGTATCGCAGACGAATATTGAAAAAGTGGGAGGTTGAAGAGAGACTCAGGGCGGATGAAGATGAGAGGGTGAGGGTTGATAATAGGAGATTGGAGAGGTGGTTGGCTTTGAAGAGGGAGGGAAAGTAGAATTATCATCATGATTGTGAAATCATATACACTTTTGAATAATAGATACATACATCAGAAAAAGACAAGCGCTATGATACATACATTATTCATTCATATCAGATACAACTCAAAAGGTATCATTCCAAAAATCCAATCCGATCCGAAAGAGAGAAAAAAGAGAAAAAGAGACTAACGATATTTGTACTCATAATCAGGTCCTCCCTGTCCACCTAATAGACCTCCTCCACGGTAGTAATCTTCATCAGTCCACGTACTCCTACCAGTTCCACTGCCTAAATGGTCATGATACCGGCGCTCACGCTCCCGCTCCCGTTCTCGTTCAAGAATTGCATCATAATCCCGCGGATCGTCGCGCTCATAGTCACGATATGATGCTAGACGATCGTTATCATCGTCGTACAAGTCCAACGCTGTACTGCCCACGCCACTGGTCTTGTAGTGGTGGGTACTGTGGCCTCCTCCAGATGTCACATTCGCATAAGTCGGATCGTATGAGCTAAGGTCGGGTTCTGAATGGCGATAATCGCCTGGTCCGTTTGCTTTTATGCCGACGGATGAGCTACGTCTTCGACCGGGTTTTATTGATGAGGCTGATCCATGGTGTGCATGGCCGTGTCCGGTTGTGTTTGTTGCTCCTCGACTATATGGTTCCTGTCGCACTGTAGACGAACCGGAAGTCGACTTGTTCGTCTCTGATGTTTTCAGGTTTATGGCTGTTTCCTCGTATTTCTTACCCAAACCTGGTTGTGCAGTGTAGGGTTTTCTCTCGCGTTCGATCGGACGAGCAGTTGTGACTTCTTCATCGCCGTCTAGAGCCGTGGAAGTTTTGTCTCTTTCTTGCGAGTTTGATTTGGATCCTGAGACAGTGGCGGGAACACGCTCTACGGTGGCTGGCGGCGGTCTAGTTGGTGACACATCTCTAGGCTTGCTCTTTCGAGGAGGCGATTTTGATCGCTCTTCGGGTGGACTTCGTGGAAGATCAACCTCGCAATGAGTGATGATGGAAACTTCCAGTTTCTCCAATATCTTCTTATCCGGTGAACTGGGAAACAACCGTCGTGGAAGTTCTTTAGGAAATCGCTCTTTCCTGTCGTCGGGATTGTTGATCGGCATATCCAGTACGGTTTTCTGCAATCGAGCAAACTCCCTGTCCGGATTGGCTTGAATCATAAGCGTGTACCATTTCTCGAATCCTCGAGGTGTTAATCCTGGTACATCTGGCCGTTCTTTCAAATTCTGCGGGTCCTGAACAAGGTGATGTTCTGCTTCAATGTCTCGGTAGATTCGTGAAATGGACGATGTCCGGTCGTCAAAGATGTCTGTCAACCGCTGTTAATATGTAACATGCTAAAATAGAATCTATACCCACCCTGCCATGGATAAGTATCCGTCGGAACTTTGGTATCTGCATAATATTTCTGCATTTTCTCTGGAACAACTACAATCGTGTTTCCAGGTGGATAGTCCTCAATCTAGTGATGTTAGCTGCCCATCCTCGTCCATTCAAAGGGTATACATACCAAATGTACTGCAATTCCCCGTAGAAGCTGACCCAAACGTGGTGTTGGCTGGCCATCCTCAAACATCTTTCCCCATATTTTCTCCAAAGTTGACATATTATCAGTAGATGTACGCGCTGGAACAGTATTCCGTTCTAACACACTGCCTGACCGATTATCCGGACTTGTCTTGGGCTGCGTCTCTCGTCTCTCCGGTGGTACGGACATTGTGGCTCGTCCACGAGTCTCCGCTGGTTGAGCACTGTATGTCGGCTGTGGGTAGTATGTTGACTCCGGCGCCGGTGGAGCGGAGAATGGCGCGGGAGGCACCGATTGTGCCTGGGGTGGTTGTTGTACTGGAGGTTGCTGCTGTAGTGGCGGTTGTTGCATCGGTGGCGGTGGAGGAGGAGGAGGCTGCTGCTGGCCTTGCGATCCTTCTAGCCCGTAGGCTTTGAGTTGCTGAATCACAGTAGCTGTGACTTGCGAAATCAGCTCTGGCGACAAAAAGTTTGGATTATTGTTGTTGCCGGCCGGATTTGGAATCGCCGAGGGAATATCGTTTCCAACATGGCCGTACGGCGGATTGTTCGGAGTTGGCGAGCTGTTCCGATAAGATGGTGATGGCATGCGGGGTTGAGGCATCTGAATCTGCTCCGAAGCATTCTGGGACGGATATGGCGGCTGATAGGATGTAGGCGAGGTGTAAATCTGTTCGTTTGTATCCTGAGTGCGAGGAGGTTCGTAGGGACCCGGAGGGCCTGAGGGGTCGTAGTACGAGTTGTATGCCATGTTATATGATGTTTCGCTTTTCAGAGAACTGTTGGCTACCACACAAGAAGACCGCTGAAGCAGTCGACTTGTTTGGTTCAGAGATCAGAGACGCCTGTCGATGGTGATAGAAATGAAGAAAACAGATCAAAGTCTCTGAGCAAATTCGCCTGATGTTGGCCTGATCTCAACGGGCCTCCTCAGGGTGAAGCGGATTGACACCTGACCAGCGCCAGAAGAGGGGCCGGATTGCGAGACGACAGAGCTTTGAATGCTCACACGAGATCTGACAAAATGGACAAACAAGATGAGACAGATTCTTGACCTATACGCAGCAAGGAGTAAGAAGCCAGCGAATTATTTTAGAGGAAGAGAGGATGACAGAAGAAAGAGAGTAGAACCTTCTGTTCTATAATCATTTTAGCCAAGATAAATCATGTTACATACGTCACACCTGACTTTAGGTTGTTGAGGCTTTACCCGATCAGGTAAGGCTCTAGGGTTGTGGCTGCCTAAGTGTTGAGAGTACCGCTTCAAGATGATCTTTTTGACGGTTCTACATGTCCATCAAGATGGAGGATTCGAATCGGCATTCTACCGTGGTATAGGCATATCTAAATGCGGGATCCATCCACCGGCCCCAGCAGAAGCAAGCGTACCATGGTTCACAATGGCAATAAGCTCTGACTATTCGCCGTGATGGTTAATACTCTTGAAAGTAAATATGCATCCGATGTGAGAAGAGCAGGAACTGTATTGATTTGCATTCTACCTAGGTAAGGTCCAAGGAATATGGGAAAAAGAGAAACAAACTGAATATCAGTTAGATGGTTGGGGAAGCAGACTCGGCACCCCCAGTACGGATCTGCTTATGGAGTCTGCTTCGATCTTTGGCGCCAATAATGGTACGACCAGACGGGTTTTCAGTTTCATCTTCTTTGGTTTTGTCGAAGCGCGTGGGATCTGACATTTTCAAGATACGAGCACTGCGTTCCGGATCGGCTGACTATATACATTCAATGTTAGATATAGACAAGGGGACTCACAAGGGAATGTTAATCATACAGTGATTTTAGCCCAGCCTTTAATTCTCCTCTCAGGCTCAGATCCTTTTGCCGGTACTGCGCGTGTCAAGGCAGGTGGTGCCATTTTCTTCTCAGCCTCAACGGCATTCTCGTTCCACCCGGAATATTTGGCGGCCATACTGGCGGCCCGGGTGACCGCAGCAGACTCGGCCTCTGAAGGAGGAGCTGTGGATTTGGCATCCTCCTGCTCGAGCCACGCTCCACCTGCTAGTTTCTCGTGGTCCATGGGGGTAAGCTGGCGACGAGACATTGAAGTGGCTGAGAAAATACTCGGCACTGGGAGAGGCACTCCACCTTCACTCTACTCTGCATCAACCTCGATCCCATTTCTGTGAGGTCGAGCACCTTACCTCCGGCACAGTTGACGCGGTTTCACTTGGTCCCTCGGTAACACTGGAAATATCATCTTTGTCTTCTCCTTCCTCCTTGGTCCAGTCCTCTGAAGTCATGTAGTACGCGACGCAAGTCTTGCAGGTCTATAGAGACATCCCGTTGTCAACCCTCGAAGGGTTCATGGGACAAGAAGGGGAAGAACTTACTGGGTCTTCTTGCGAGCGCTGGTTCTTGGTGAACGCCTCCACTGGCTTTCTCTTTTGGCAACGATGGCAGTAAATGGTTTCAGGAGCGCTGCATCCAGTGCAGTTCGTGCAGCGGCTAGAGTGGCACTCCAAGGCAACCTTCAAACCAACATTCCCAATTTTCGAGCGCAGATTTCTACGCTGACTTTCAGAGTAATTGCTGATTGGTTGCTTTGAATGGCATCCCGAGCACTTGAGTCTTTGACGGAGTTAGCTTCCTTGACCTTGTGACACTCATTAGAAAACATACTCGCTAGGCAGGGGAATGCTTTTGACTCTAACCAGTCGTGTATCATTAGCGTTGGCAGATCCTCAGCTCGAAGTCGGTCTACTCACCGTTCAACCTTTGCAGCAGACCAACCGCCAGCCATGATGGACTTTTAAGTCTGTCGCAGTTTAGCTGGCTTGTAAAATCGACTCATCTGAGATGAGAGGCAGTCATACCTCGGTTAGATTCACTTCTAGAAATAGAAGGCTGATGTAGAATGGATGCCTAGGTGACAGCGGAAGTGACAATGACAAGAAAAGATGAAGATAGGAGAGAGATCAAGTGGTGAAGTGAGGGACAGGAAATATAAAGAAAGAGCGACTCCCTTACCGGGAGGCTCCTTCCTCTTTGCCCTGACAAACGACTCCTCCAGACAAATAAAGGGAGGTCGTCCAATAGGCGCTTACTTCATTGTGGCTATTCTAAGCACCTAGTTCTGAAGGCGAGTAAGTACAAACATTGTGCGTCTTTCTTTCAAGGGTTTTGTTTCCATTGTCAGGTGAGGCATAGAAGTAATGGACAAAGCCTACTTCACCAGTGACTCAAGGACCAAATGATGACATATTTAATCTCATTCTGCTGCCCTCACTTGGGATGGTCTCCTTATGATTGTGTTTGCTTCTTCAGATCTGGGGACTCAGTCCCAACGAGCTGATCGACCAAGTATCCCATCATGGGATCTTGCTTATTCCCTCCTACTCGAATGTCGGTCTATATCTGATGGCTAGCTGTGATTGTACAGACTACTTACTGTTATGCATTTGGGCGCAGTGGATCACTTAGATATGCCATGTACCTGTAACTCCATGATGGTTGAAGTCCAGAAATATATATCAAATTATCAATAGAGATTGTACCCCCTACTCTGGATGACCTCGTCATACTTGCTCATATGCCATGACACTGACAAACTTGAGTCATCGGATAGCATTCATACTTTTATTCAAAGAGCAAAGAGATACAATACACACTCCAGTCCCAGTATACCAGCTTCAATGTGAAGAGTTGAGTTGAGATATCTTCGTCCATCCATATTTGTACTAGTTTAAAGGGTGGGACGTGAAAAAAGTGTTGTGTTGACCAATTAAAAAAGCAACATGCGCGGATGTACCAATGGGAAGCGGCATTAGTCAGGAACAGAACCGAATTGGTGGACTGCGAGGATGCCCAAGGCTCCAACTGACCAGCAGAGAGATTGGTAATGTCTTTTGGAGCAGGCGTGTAGAAGAGCTCTGGGAGAGACGATCGAGTGATTCTAACAGTCAGCTGCATACAAATCCAAAAGAACCAACAGATAGCTGGAAGACCAACAAAAAGAAACCTCAATTCCACCCAATTCATTCCAGTGGTAAGCGGTATGCTTCCTGGAGGGGCAGAAACAGACAAATTACTCTCCCATGTACCTAGACAGACGACTCACTGCAAATGCCAGATCCAGCATGCAATCACCCCAACTTTTAGCCCTGAGATAATGCAAGTCACATCTGCTTATCGAAGTACCTTAGTTGGATTTACTAATCGCATGACTACACTGAGAACTGATTGTGTGCCGGCAGGGGTCGACATGAAGCAATCATATCGGACGTTGGAGATGCCTTGCTTTTAGGGCATGCAGTTGGGTAGGCATTTCACTTGGGGTCATCTGCGTGTCAGACGTTGATACGCGGAAATCCGGATTCCACTTGACAAATCACTCGTTGGTATTTAGTCGCATTTGCACTAGGTGATATGAATTCTTGATTTATTATTTTATTTTATTTCTTTTTCTCTTTTGTTCATTTTCAAGAATCTAATCCATTAATTTGGGAAGCCTTTTATTATTCGTAGAATCGTAGGATATTCTTAGTGATCGACTTGATTGGGGCGGATGGGATTTGCCGAAGTACTTCTACCGTCGGCGTAACTGAGGTAACTAGAGCTCCCCTTTTGCTTTAGTCCATTCACAATTACCAACCCCATTTCTTAATTCTTCCACTCGAGTGTCCACTCTACCGGGCTTTGGTCCGCCTCTGAGTCTGTGATGGGAACGTGTGATTAATCTGTTCGGCGCGATCTAATTGGACAGGACAGAATTTGACTGATAATATGCCACATGGGGGAAGGCCTAGAGGGTCTAGAGGCAGTGAGGCACCCTGAGGGAATGTGATCAGATCGCCTGAGTCCCTTCTGTCTCTTTGTTGCCTTGTACGGAGTACAACCGCTCGGTACTTCGACTGAAATATTATCTATCAATTGAAGGGATTCATTCTTATTCATTCTTTGTGCTATGGCCCATAGTCATAAAGACAAATATTCAGGGGAGGCGCGATTATCCCCATGACATTGGACATACACGGAGTAGCGCGGGTAGCTCGGTTCCTGATGATACATGCCCAAAACGCGATGAAATGCCACATGCAGGAAAATACAAGCAGCAAGCCCAATAGTCACGGCGTAATCGTAATACACACGCACTTTGGCTGGTCCCCTGAAATAGTCTACGGTGGATCTCCCTCCGCCAGTCAAATTCTTGTCCCAGGACACTAAACCCTATCCGGCTAGCACTCCCCTTGCTAAGAAGCTAGCTTCCTTAGTCCGGTCCCCCGGCCCCAAAGAGTCGATTCGTCAAGGATGGGTCTGGGACGGTGCGGTGCGAAGCGCCGAACAGCTAGCTCGTTCCTTAAACTGCTCGAAATACGGCTCAAACGTCACCATCAATATAAATATATACATACATAGTATATATATACCGGCATGCCAGCTTATGCATCATATGCATCATATATTTCCATATCATTGCTTATTCCACAACAGTACGTAAACCCTGGAAAGCGTCAATAATTATCGAGATGCGTCAGGATGAATAAGCCAACAGTCTAAATTACGCGTGACATTTGACACTCGCTCAATGCTCAGTTACCAAACACCGGACTGTCCTCTGGAGCTCCCATGAAAATTGTACGTAGGATGTTAAGCACGGGGGTTCGGGATCCACATCCCTTGGCTTCCGGGACACCGTCGAACTTACCAATTGTACGGACTCGCTTCATTCCGTATTGTTTCCCACTTTTTGCGAATTCTTTTTGTCTGATCAGACTTGGCTACTTGACTCTTGAGAGTGTGTTTGCTTATTAAACATAAAATACGTAAAATACAAACCACAGTCGACGCGTGCCTTCCTAGCTGGGTTACCGTCGTATTGACTTAGTGGCCGAATCCCCTCGTAATGTAATGCACTAATCCCAACTGGGAGGGTAAGCTTCCTTCCTTCCCTTTGTCTGCCAATGCTGCAGCACCGCACCTGCCGTCAAAACCCACTTTTTGGGGCCAGCCTTTCCTCCCGCCCAAAACGAAACACGACCTTCATCTGAAAGTCTGCTCTGACAACAACGACAACACCCAAAAAGCTCTCCACACTCACTAACTTTGTACTTTTCGATCGTTGCTCTGATTTGCCCTCGTTCAATCAAACTCAGAAAAGACGAGAGTCTGTTTGTCTGCCACTCCAAGAGATGCACCTGTCCCTCCCAACCCGCTAGACGCAGTGCAGTGCAGTGCAGCGCGGTCTGGCGTCCGAAACTCCTGCTCCAGTATAGACACTCTTCAGCGACAAGAGATTCCTTTTAAATTACGCGACCCTGCGGATACTAATGCCGCGACCGATCTCCGATTGACTGCGTCGTGTAGTCAGTCTCTCTTAACTTGCCAGATTCTCATCGAGACTATATACCCTAACCTATACCTACACCACGTATTATCATCGACCGTTAATTACCGCGTCCCGTTCCCTGGTCTATCTGCGTCCCACTGCTGCCCACTGCCTTGGGCTGTCGTTCCGTTCCGCTTCTTACACGCAGTCGCTCACCGTCAATTCGAGCCAGCGAACCCACGAACGCCTGCTCATCAGATTCACCACTCATCTACTCTGCAGTGGACCTTCTAGGCCAATACACACTCTTTTTGCTCGTGTCTCTCGCTTCATCAACAAACAACCGCGTTAGCTCCTTTAGGCCGGATTGCAACAACAAGAACAAATCTCTAGTCCGGGCTTTCTTTTCTCTTCATACTCTTCCTTCTCTTCATCCACAACTCGTCTCATCATTCTGACGCTCCTGGTCCCTGAGAATTGACTTTGCGGAGGCTCGCGCTTTCAAAGTTGACCCAAAAAAAGAAGAGACAAAACTCAATATCACACCACAGCTTGTGTGAAACGACTGACACGCCGTTCCCCCGACTCCTCCAAACACCTACGTACGTATGATTGTCTGCTCTCGAACACGATCATTACCGAATTGATCGTTTTTATAAAATCGCGCTCTAGCACCTGATCCGTGCGAAGCAAGACGACTGTCCTTTTGTTCTGGAAATTTGGTGACCGCCACGCCGTTGACACTCCTCGTCTCCACGGCCCCGTCTCATCTCCCGTTAAGTCTTAGGCCGCTCCCACTAGTACCACTACTCGTCCTTGGTGGTATTACTAGGTAACCCGTCCAGGGGCTTCCGCCTGCGATTTGAGTCTTGTTAGCTTAACAGTTGCCACCGATCCGTTTCCGCCCTCGTGGAACCTTCGCCGACTGTTCCAAGATCTCCTTTCCATCTTGTCCTGATTTCGAAGCACCCCTCTTAGCTCCTCCTGTTCGAGTTTCTCCCTTTTCAGACTTTTCTACATCTGCTCACAGTTGCATACTCACCGTATTCACTCCTTAACAAACTGCAATTCCTCGGTTATATACTCTCTTTAATCACTACTCCATTCGTTCCTTTTTCTTGACACATCAATTGATCTGCAACATCACAACTCTACAACATCACGCAACACACTGTTCCGAAACACAACTGTCTACTACTATAATTGAACTCAGAGGATGAAGACGGAGTCTTGTTGAATTGGTGCGAGTCAAACACAACACCCTACAAACCATTCAAATCTTCGCCTGGTGAGTGCATGACGAAGCTCTGCTGCATGTCGTTGAGCTAATCCAATCAAGGTCACTTGTACTTTCTCAAACCATCTGCAGGCAGACGACTAGAGAACAGACATGGCTATCTCTCACGAGTACTCCCTCAGAGGGACATCACACAGTGCAATGGCCCTTGAAGACCGATTTGAGGTGATCAAGGAAGTTGGTGATGGCTCCTTTGGTAGCGTCGTGCTGGCCCGAGTACGAACTGCAGGGTCCAATGTGGCGCGTCGTGGAACCATGGTACGTAATGGTCAATACCCGTTGGAAAACCCCACGGCTTACAACAAGATAGGTTGCTATCAAAACAATGAAAAAGACATTCGAGTCGTTTGCTCCATGCTTGGAATTGCGAGAAGTCGTCTTCCTTCGCACACTTCCTCATCACACTCACATTGTCCCTGCCCTAGACATTTTCCTCGACCCATTGAGCAAGAAGTTGCACATTTGCATGGAGTACATGGATGGCAACCTGTACCAACTAATGAAGGCACGGGACCACAAGTACCTCGAAGCAAAGCACGTAAAGAGCATTCTTTATCAAATCATGTCCGGCCTCGAACACATTCACGCCCACAACTTCTTTCACCGCGATATCAAACCCGAAAACATTCTCGTTTCGACGTCTGCGCCGAACGATTCCTCTACCTTCAGCCGATACTCCAACCTTGTCACTCCTCCCTCTACTCCTCCTACCTACACTGTCAAGATTGCCGACTTTGGTCTCGCTCGCGAAACACATTCGAAATCTCCGTACACGACGTACGTCTCCACCCGGTGGTATCGGGCTCCGGAGGTGCTGTTGCGTGCTGGAGAATACTCAGCCCCTGTAGATATTTGGGCTGTGGGTGCTATGGCCGTGGAGATTGCTACGTTGAAGCCATTGTTCCCTGGTGTGAATGAGGTTGACCAAGTGTGGCGGATTTGCGAGATCATGGGTAGCCCTGGTAACTGGTATACCAAGTCTGGCGCAAAGGTTGGAGGTGGAGAATGGCGTGAAGGTAACAAGCTTGCACAAAAGCTTGGATTCACTTTTCCCAAGGTAAGCGTCATGTTCATATCCTATGTCCGGAACGAGTCTAAATATCAATAGATGGCCCCTCATTCGATGTCGAGCATTCTGCAAGGCCCTCATTGGCCACAGTCTTTGAGCAGCTTTGTGACTTGGTGCTTGATGTGGGATCCTCGCAACAGACCAACATCCGCTCAAGCACTCAACCATGAATACTTTGCGGATGCACTCGACCCATTTAGGCCCAAGTCCTCGGCTTCTAGACTGCTTGGGCGCAAGGTGTCTGAAAAGAGTATCAAGCCCACGACCACCGAGAAAACCACTGAATTGCCCACGTTGTCTTCCAAGCCTTCGTGGTTCCGAAGATCATTGGTTTTGCGATCTGACAGCCCTGCTCCCCTTCTAGAACCGGAACAACCTGCACGACCGCCAGCCGTTTCCTACAACACCGTGCCTGAGGCACAGGCATCCAAGGGTCGCTCAGTCAAGCGAGCAACATGGGCTAACGGTGCCCCGATGCCAATTTTGCCTTCTATCAGGCCTGTCTCGCCTCTTTCAAACGCGGTTACTGCCCAAGCCAATAGCAGCGTCGCTCACGGCAGTGATCAGACCACGACAATTCGGATAGAAGAGAACGGAAAATCTAAGAAAATCGGTCGCCAATTGTCTGTCAATTCCAACGGCAACCATTATGCTGACATTCATAGACAAGAGGCAGAACGTGCTCTGAATGGTCTTGCTGGTGGCACAAATATATCGGCACAGAAGGAAAGCTTCTTTTCTCACCTCCGAAAACGTGCTAGAAGACTATCGGGTCGCAACCAGGCACCTGCAGGCGTATCAGCGGCTAACTACGACATTGAAGCAAATGCAGGTTGCTCACCGTGGCCAGCCCGCTCATCGGTTGTCTTGGATTCTGGCGTAATTGACTCGAAGACGAGCGACTTTTCTGATGTGGACAAGACCGTACAGGGTTTGAAATATCACATGTCTGCGGCAGCCAATCCTCCTCCTCAGATGACGTCGATCCCTAACCAGACCCCGTCCAAGAGGCAATCTGTCCCACAAGTGCCCATGCGGTCAATGACCGAAAGCCCAACTCCCACTGTGGGCGGTCCGATTTCTGGCCGAACGCGCAGAGCTTTGCAGATGACATCGCATCCTGTTCATCGCTATGAAACACCAGAAGAGGAGGACGAGCTGTTGGATGAAGTTCTTCATTCAGCGGACAAAGCTGCCCGACGGCTTGCACAGCATTACGATTCAGAGTCCACTTCGTCATTGTACAAGGAGGATCATCGTCTTTCTCATTTATTGAACGAGTCAACACGCACTCTGAACCCCTACCCGACGCCTTCTCCTTCGGCCAAACGCGATGGTGTTTCGTTCGGTGATATGGAGAATACACCAATCAGACAAGGTGATGTTTCCAAGAGAAGCGAAGACACCTCTAGCCGACAATGGCCTACTCCGCCATATGGAGAGCAAGAATGGGCTAGCTCTGTTGCCAAAAGCATTCTGTCTGGTTCTACATACCGATAAATGCCGTGCTTTGTATATTTTTACTTGGGTTTGCATTTCTTCTTTCAAGGGCCGTCTCTTTCTCGGTCTTCGCGCTTATCTCCTCATTGCATCTGCGTCGGGGAACCATGAATTAGGGAAAAGTGGACGATGCAACGGGTTTGGCGTACGGTTTGGCTGGTCATTTATTGGGTTTCATCCTCTTTTCTCTCATCTCATTCCATTTCTTAGCATTCCTTCATATCGGCGGCATTTTTTTTCTCTTTTCGTGGTCTTTTTAACCACATTGCTTTCTTTACTATTTACATACCCCATTATTCTGCCGCATATAGATGTATCATTTACCTGATTTCACTTTCTATCTTCATTCCAACATACCCCCTTGATCTGTTTTATGTGTTATTTCACTTGCAGACTTCGATCTTTGCCTATATCTGCGCTAGACGCGATACACATTATGCATAGCGATTCGTCTTTACTGATCTTTACTGTCATTCAATGCTCCTCAGCTGTCTTTCCTTTGAACGGGCACATATAATGTATATGTCCTCTATTGCTCGTTTTTCTCTCTCGTCACAAAAACGTCCTTTCACTTTCTTTGTACATTGCTGTTGGATTTTATGACCGTTGACATAAAATTCGGTCAAGTCGCTCACTTGCTCTGGCAGCATGAGGATGTTATTTGTCTCATTTGACTGACTTGGTATTTTCCCAGTCGAAGATTATTATTACCTTGTAATTATATATTTATGCATATTGCAGAGATTAGCCTGCCTGCACATAATACAATCTTATTCAACCGTCATCATTTTAATACATTGTAGTTAATGTTGTTGTAAATACGTACTTTGGCACAAGTAGCTGTATATAATGTAATGCCTGAGGCAGTGATCATATCGGCGGGCCCACCTTAAGTCCGCTGGAAATAATTTCGATCTTGATGCGATAAAGAAATTTATGACGAACATACACTTCCTACAAGCTTTAGGAGTAATTGATCTTCTTTACGCCTTTGAGAGTCTAATTCATACTCGAGTCCCTACTGAGAGTTTATTTCACGATCAAGAAATATTTCGATATAGCATCATCAGATTCCAGCACCATCTCTCGAGCTCATTGAGCAAAGCTCAAAAAGGACGTCGCATCGCAGAATAAAAAAAGAAAATGCCTCTCGCACAACAAACCTCCGCCTCCCAAACACCACTCATATCCCCCGCCGAACTATCCTACCTCTACAACTCTCTCTCCTCCCCCTCTGGCGCCATCCGCCCCGACGGCCGCTCACCAACACAGTTCCGCTTCCTAACCGCCGAAACGGGTATATTACCAGGCACAATTGGGAGTGCAAGGATCGGATTTGCGGATGGGTCCGAAGCAATTGTTGGTGTGAAAGCGGAATTGGAAAGGACGCTTGCGACGGATGCGTTGGATTTGAGGCAGTTGCAGGAATTGGAGCAGGGTGTTAGCAATGATTATGGGGATGAGGATGAAGAAGGTGGTGGTGGTGGTGCTGGGGCCGGAGTGGTCCAAGGACAGAGTGAATGGGTGCAGATGTCTATTGAGATTCCCGGGTTTAGGGATGATGATGCTTTGCCTGTGTTTTTGTCGGAGATGATGAGGGAGTCTCTAGTGGGTTCTTCTGGTGTAGGTGGTAATGATGATGATAAGATGGTTGGTGGGTTAAAAGGTCGACTGGTTATTAATCGGCGATGGCATTGGAGGCTTTATATTGACGTATGTCAACCCTTCCTCTCAGTGAGGTTTTCTCTGCATGATTGAGACTAATGATTATGCAGGTTCTGTTATTATCACCACCACAATCATACCCCCTCCCACTCCTCTCATTAACGACACATCTAGCCTTACTATCCACGCGGTTACCAAAACTCAAATCGCAGGGTGAAGAAGATCCTTTCTTTGAAGACGACTGGAATCTTTCAGAGTATATCTACCCACGACCGTCAACCACACAAAATTCAAACCAACGTCAAGCTCGCCCGCCAGTTACACTTCTTGTAATATCCACCGGACAAAACGTCATCTTTGATCCAACCAGAGAAGAAATTGCAGTCGCTGATGCCGTGCTCGCCGTCTCAATTGGTCGTGAACAAGACATTGACAACACAGATGCGAATTTGAAACTCCTTTCTATTCGCACTATTGATCCTCCTTCGAGGTTGACGCAGCATGGTGTCCCGGACTCAGAGAATGCAGCTACTTTGAGTGCGCTTACCACCGGTACAGCAGCAGTAGCAGGTACTCATGCAGAGACTAGATTTGTGGGTACCGATGAGGAAGTTCCTGGTGTATGGAAGCCTAGAAGAGGTGGTGTATCGCGCAGTGTGATATCGAAGATTGTCAAGATGGTGTTGGCGAAGGGTGGTGTTGGTGATGAAGTTATGGGGGGTTTGGAGAGTGTTGAGGTGAGCTGAACAATACAAAGAGTTGCTCCTGACCTCGTCAATTTACATAAACTCGCTGTCTCCAATGCCAACGACAGACAGCATATGAGGCATGCAACTCATATCAGTGGATGTCTGTAGACATCGCCCGGCCACCAGAGTGGTGTCGTGGCTGATAAGATGGCTATGTAGATGTCATAGTACTAAATCCATCCACTCGAGCTATTGCATTAAGCTCTTACATGTGTTCTACATATCCATCGAAACGGCTTTCGCGAAAAATGGAGATCTACCCTAACCCTAGATAAAAGTCACGTGGTACAAACGGAAGAAAATCATGTTCCCTGTAGCTCTTCCACCAGAACATATCAGACCACACAGTCTACGAGACAATCCTCAGATTATCCGGTACAAAGATCAAAATGAAGGGGCCCATCACATCCAACATCCCCCGCTTCCTCCTCCCACGAGGCATCCAATCGCGCACCCTCCGAATATACCGCAACAATTTTTCCACCACCACAAAGCCATGGGCGGAAGGGCCAGACAAAGCACGCGTATTACCTCAACCAGATAAATTCCGCCCTCCATCCCATCCAGCTCGACGCGTTATGCAGACTCGAAATGGACAAAAAGTTGTGCGAGAACCGTTTAATTACCCCGGTCGTCCGCTCACGGCAAAGGAGAAGGAGGAGCAGAAGACCAAGAGGTATCCGAATATGTTTCCTGCGGAGGGTACGGTGATGTTTAAGTTTTTGACTTCGAGGTGGATTCATGTTTGGATTGCTATGGTATTTTTTTCTCGAACCCATTTACGGATGAATATGAGGCTAAATGGGTATAGGGAGTCCTAACGTCCTTGGCTACATTCACATTCACCGAAAACTTCAAACGAACCTCCCAATTCGCGCATCTGCTCCCGCCCTGGTCAGGCCTACTCACATCCCCGATCAGCACGGTTTCGCGAACCATCTCCGTCTGGAAAATGCATGTACAACACAATTCAATGATTGCGCGCGAAAACAGACACAAAAGAGTCGAAGATGCTGAGAAACGTCGTCAATACCGCATTGCGCATGGATTGGAGGAGCCGGAGAAGGTTGCTTCGCCTGTTGTTGAGGATGATCAGTCGCCGATTGCGCCGGCTGAGCTTGTTGATGCTGCGGAGGCAGTCGAGAAACGGCCTGCGAAGAAGTGGTTGGGTATTTGGTGATTGACCTATAACCTTCTCGACTTGTATGCTACATAAGATATAACGTTGACGTCTAAGGGGGCGCTCTGGAACCTCATAGAGATGTATTGCATATTCGAATATTCACGTAAAATATGACTTCCAACTTACGATGACTCTAACAAGAAATCGGTGAGCTCGCTGATAACAAGCTGAAATCATGTGATCTCATCGGTCTGACGGCTGATCGGATCAACCGGGAAAACTACTAATCAGCCGCCTCTGATTGGACAGGAGAGATACCGTCATTCAATGTTCATACAACAACCACAACCTGAATAGAGTCATCTGTATGGAGTATTCCTGATGATGCGGTTGAAGATCTAATATGATATGAGAAGACGGCCCGTCCTTCAATGCGATTTCTATGAATAATGAATCAACTTGGTGATACGTACTTTAATAGTAAGCAGGTACATCTAAGCAAGACATTCCGGTTGCGCCCGCAAAAGTCACCTGACACCTGTCAATGTACCCGACAATTAGCTCTGCTCTGATTGGCTGGCATCTCGCCGCTGCGGTCATAGTTTTCCCCTTGAAGTCATTTTCTTGCCCAGTTCCCGGAATTTCTTCTCGTTTTTTCTTTTCTTCCATCATTAGGCAAACTGTCCTTTCAACAACTACACCTCCTACTTCTTCAACTCATTCAATTAACTACTTCTTCTTTTTAATTTTATATTTCTTTCACATTATTCACAATGGGCAAGGAAGCTGCCAAGTTCGCTCCAGGTAAGCTTTACCACGTCCACTAGATGGACGTTCGGGATCGAGCGAAGGTCATCGCGCGCTGTTGTCGATATCTCCGAGAATCAATGCTGCGTACAGCAGTTCCTGAGCTCTGCTTGGAGGATTGCTCGGAATTTGTACTAGACGCCTGCACTACGTCGCACTCGAAGGAGAACTAAGCTCATAGCTTCATTTTAACGGGATATGACCTGGCGATGCGATGACCTGACCTCCGACTCAATGGCAATGTCTTGATCTGTATGGTGGACATGAGCTAATTCGACTTCCAGGTGACGCCAGCAAGGGTGCCAACCTTTTCAAGGTAAGAACGCACTTTTCCTACTATCAGTGACCATACTAACTCTGATAGACCCGCTGCGCTCAATGCCACACCGTTGAAGCCGGTGGTGCCAACAAGATCGGCCCCAACTTGCACGGTCTCTTCGGTCGTAGCACCGGTTCCGTCGAGGGATACTCCTACACCGATGCCAACAAGCAGGCTGGCGTGACCTGGGACGAGAACACCTTGGTAAGTTGCCTAGCCCTGTTTAGTTCATGGCGATACTAACTGACGGCTTAGTTCGACTACCTCGAGAACCCCAAGAAGTTCATTCCCGGTACCAAGATGGCGTTCGGAGGTCTCAAGAAGGCCAAGGACCGAAATGATCTCATCACGTAAGATGATCCGCTTCATCTGTTAATTCTGATCAGTACTAACTCCGAACAGCTACCTCAAGGAGGAGACCTCCAAATAAGTGACTCGCAACGAAAAATGCTCGTCCCCGGCATCTCGATCTTCGAATTGTATAGAGGATTCGAACTTCAAGGAAGCGGGACACCATCGCCTGTAACAATACGTCGACTACCCTATACTATACATGCGAAAATAGATTTTGGGATTTTTTTTCGTGCTTCCTTGTTTCAAGTACTTAGCGCATGGGGAAGACCGAAACGGCTCCGCTTGGATACAATGGTAGAGCGGAAAATAAGATGATAGATTTATATTTTTCTCTTCTTCGTCTGTACTTCTTTTGTTGATATCGTCATTATTATTACTTGTCTGTCATGATCTTTTTTGGGACGGGGCTTTGCAAAAGAATAACGACCAATATGATTCTCCTCTCTGATATCTATCCCAAGTGTCTTAGACCAGTCGTCTATTCGTACTTCATTACCAGTTCCTGCGGCTCCGGATAAAGATTGCGCTCAATCTGATAAGTCAATGAGTACTATAGAATGGACACATCTAATGTCCCTTCCACTTCTTAAGCTGTTCTCTCATAGTAGTCTGTCGTCTGTCAAGTCTCGAACATGCAGGTCCAGGATTTGCATTGCAGGCCGCCTTGATGCGTTGTACTAGCAGCAAGGGAGTCACGGGATAGCGACATGGTTGGCTGACAAGGCTCGACACGAACTCTCCCTCGTCGCCGCGATTGGACCAGCCTCCATTTTTCATGCAGGCTACAATTGAACATGCCCGATTCATGACTAGTCAACTGTACTTCGGAGGGGCAGGGGCCTCATCTGCTTCTCTCCTTCATCTACTTCTACAACGACCTGCAAAATACCGACAGTTCCATGCGTTTATAGACGATACCGGACTCTGCGACTGATCTACGGTCCTTGCCGAGTCGTCTCTTCTTCATTACGATTTTCGGCATCTCCGATATTTACTCGAAGCAACTGCTTGACGGCTCAATCCGTTATCTCAGGCTATCTTATCGCATTGTTTTGCGACGACCCTCGGTTGTCCGGCGCATTGCCCGTTACCTACAACAACGCAAGAAAACCAACTTCATAACCTATGCTCTATTTGCGCATCGTCTCTTTGTGTGTACCATTGAATCTAAATCCAACACTCTATCGAAAGGCTTGATTTGAAACACGAGCGCATGAGTACGACGTCTTCACCGCAACTATCTATATCATCATCCATGGATGACGAGATGGATGCTCTCTTTGACGATCACCCGTCGCTATCGGCATCGCTGGAGGATTTTGCCGCTTCCAATAGACGATCACCACTGCTTGATTTGCCCTCGCAACACTCCGGGTTCAGATCTGAGGAGTCAGATGACGGCCGATCTGTGCCCCAGGAGCGCTGGTCGCCTCCTGCTCTGAGACGTCCAGATTCACTGGCGGGGAGCCATTGGTACCGCCATTCACCATATGATCATATGCACATGAAGCCAACACTCCAACCGCACAGCGCACCGCAAAGTCGAGAGCCGAGTCCTCAGTATGAGGACGCATCTGAAATGCCGCCTCCACCGTCACCAGGCAAAGACCAAACAGACTTACTTGATATTTCCCTTGCGGCCAATGTACCTCTACCTCCAGGCACAGACTCGCCTCTAAAAGGACGATCTGTTTCCCCAGAACCAAAGGACCGGCTATTGCGATTCCAATCAGAAGAACCGCATTCAAACTGTAGGTTACTCTCCCTTCAGCAAAAATGTCCAGCGAATTGACATATCTACTAGATGTGCGCTTTAAAGTTTCTGCTGAAGTGGCACAAAGAGAACCTATACAAGCCGCTTGGAATGCAATCAGACTTCCATTTGACCGAATATGTGCTACCTTGTTCAATTCAAAGATCAGTACAATCGCAACACTCTTCGTTGCATTTGTGGGGATGATTTTTTTGCGCTCGCTATCTATACCTTCGACTGCGCCGACGGTACCTAATTTGATGAAACTATGTGCGTTTGCACGCAATTTTGAACCATTGATTCATTACTCTGAAAACGGCATCCAGCATATTAACAGTCTTCAAGAAACGGGCATTGCCGTTTGGGATTTGGGCGAATCTGTAAGAGGGAGTAACATGACGAGTGCGCCGATTATAGTCACTCAATTGGATGAATTATCCGATTCATTGAAGACGCTTTCCCTCGAATTGACCAGATTCTTTTCTAATGTGGACTCGGACATTGATTCGATTCTGTTAGTCATGGATTGGGTCCGCCGTGAGCTTACAGTGATAAACTCGCAACCACCGAGCAGTCTCCCCAGTGTCATGATCGACAACATCCACAACATGATATCCCAAGTTGTCAACCTCGAACATGGCGCCGGAGAAGCAATCGACAGTACACCCTCATCATCTTCCACAAGCAATCATATCCCGGGCTCTCCGACCCTCCTCGGAACGGTAGTCACAACCGTCTTTGGCCCAACATCAGCCCATCGCACTCGCACAGCACTAATGCGCACATTCACCGAATTCCTAAACGTGCTCGAAGAATCCATCAACAGCGAACTCACCCACTCCAATGCCCTCGTCGCACTCTTTGAGTCCATTGACCGCCAATTCCTAAACTTGCAGCGCGTCGTCGTCCGCGAATCAGATACCCAAGAACGCGAAGAAGGCGAAATGCTGAGTTCCCTCTGGACACGCGTCCTGGGTCCCAATGCGGCGCTAGTTCGCAAATATGAAAAAAACAGAAAACTGCTCGCTGACGTCCGTCGGCGAACGGTTAATAATAAACATCAACTCATGGACCATCAGGCGCGACTGCTGAATCTTAAAGTTAACCTTGAGACATTGAGGAGGAAACTTGTTAGTCCGCTTGTGCGACAGAAGAATGATTCGTTCATGTCGGCTGGTATTGCGATTGATACGACGAATAGTGTCCTGGGTGCCATTGAGGGTCAGATCGAAAGTGTTGAGGATACTTATGAATATCTTCGAGGGCTGAGAGAGGCGCAAAAGGCGAAGCTTATGGATCTGGTGTATGGGGCGAGCAGCACAAGAGTTACGGATAAGTATCTCGGTCTTGAGGAGACCACAGACGATTAATCTTTCACCTTGATTTAGTGACTTTTCTTTTTGCCGGGCTTTGGCTTTTCTCAACGGGGTTTATTCGAGACGGTGTATATGGCGTGGAGCTATGGAGTTGATAATTCCTTCCTATTTACCACATGTATGATTTAACTGATCTATTCATCTCTTGTCTCTCGATCATTAGTTTTGGCTATCCCTTGGGATATTGATAGGTTTGTTTCCTTTTGGGGCTTGTTGGCGAGATATGGTTGCTCTGGATGGATGATGCATCAAGGAGCACTGGAGCCTGGCGAACGAGATAATTCTTTTGGGCAGATACCTAGCATAGTAATACGATTTTTTCCCTCCTTTCTATAATATGCATCTAAACATATTGATATTGAATTGGTGATATTTTGATATGAAACTAATATCGCACAAACACAACGCCGGAAATGCTTTAGTTGTTAGATAGAAAGTATGAGTCAGAGCTAACATCCAATTTCTTCGTTTTGAGGAGAAATTAGAAACCGCCTCCATAATTAGTCGCGCCATACGGCGTCGCTCCGTAAGGAGTCATTCCACCACCCCAAGCACTCCTGTTCCCTCCATTCGCTCCCTGTCCATACGCTGTAAATCCACCACCAAGAGCACCATCAATCTCAGGTGGTTCATATGCATCTGGTGACCGTACGCCGCCTCCAAGGCCGCCCATGTCCTCGTCATCTCCGCCGCCGAGACCATTCACTTGTGCACCAGGTCCGTTGGGGTTGGTGAGGGTATCTATTATTGTGGCTAGTTTGGTTTGAAGGGTTAGAATTCCCTGTTGGACGATAGCGTCGGGTTCGAGGTTGCCAATTGATTCGACGTCTACGTAGAATGTGTGTGGTTGAGCGTCGTAGTCAAAGGGTTGGTCGGGGGGGTTGGGCGTTTCCCATTTTCCGTTTTCTGAGATGGGCCTAACCTTCAAGTCAGCTTGGGTCGGCCTTTTACCGTGAAGAAATGAAAACGTACCATTCTTTAGCAGGATCCTCCTCATACCAATAATCCAAATGTTTCAGATTATTGTGCGGATCATACTCAAACCCAACTGCCGACGTAGGAGACCATTTCGCATGCTCTTTCGCAATACCCTTGCGCGCAATACAGGTCAATTTCAACTCCTGCCCCTTGATCAATTTCGCAATCAAAGGTCCCTTCCCCTCCGGATCAGTAATAACCGGGTTCCCAACCCACTCATTTGCCCTGTCACCTGTAACGACCAAATCTCGCGAATAGACCTTCATAACATCATCTGCCTGATTACATCGAGCATGTAAGGTTAACCGCACACTGCATCTCGAACACCAACTTTCGCATGTACAGTCCCGATTGTATTCCATGTCGTTGTCGCAATGTTTGCTATTGAGTGGTATGAGACCGAGACGATGGGCTAGAAATTCGTCTGGGATGACGGATGTGTTTACTTCGACTTCGACAATGTCGATGGCTACTGTAGGGACTTCGGCGATCATTGTACGTCGTAGCGCGTTTGCGAGTGTGAGGTCGACGTTGGATAGTTTGAAGTCGACGCGATAAGGCTCTGCCTGCGGATTGTTAATATCAGTAATATTTTACCTTCGAGTAGGAGATACACACCTCGCGCACAGTCACCTGTGGCCCAGCGGGCTCGATATCCATTTCATAATCCATGATGGTGAGAGCTTGTCGCGGAGGTTAAGAACTCGAGATGATTTGAAAAGACTTAGATGAGGTAGCTTCAAACCAGCCAAACCGGCCTCAAGTATGAGGCGAAAAGGTCGTATCTGCAAGGAAAAAATTCCGCAGCAAAGTCTAGAGGTAGATCGTAGATTTTGATGCGACGGTGGGAGGTTCGGGGAATGGTGCAACTTGCGACTCTTGAATAATGAATTGCCTGTGATCAATCGGAGTAGAAATGCACATCTTTCTTTGTGGTGCGCCGTATTGAAATATAGATTGCGCTAGTCTGGATATGGAATAGTGGCATCAGCCGGTTGACTTCACTTCTACTATAACATTTTCTAAACAATTCATGAACAGCTATATCTTCCAGAACTCTGTATATCTGTTATTACACTTATATATAATGCTAGGATGAGCAGATCTCTGAGAAGTACAAAAGGCTGCTGGACATGTCGTCTCCGGCGCAAAAAGTGTGATGAACGACACCCAGTATGCCAGCTATGCCACACCTTGGCGATACCCTGCTATGGCTACGGGCCTAAGCCGGACTGGATGAATGGTGGGGATACTGAGAAATCTCAGATCCAGAGTCTAAAGCAGACTGTGAGGTACACGTCAAGACAACGTGATAGGGCCAGACCTCAGCCGCTGCGTTCTCAAAGCCAAACTGTTCCTCCATCAAATGCTCCAGAGTCTGTTTTGGGACCGAAATATGCTCCTGGAGCAGCATATACACGTATGGAGCAAGGATATTTATCTCGGTCGGATGCTTCTTCCTTGCAGAAGGAAACCGCGCAAGCAAGTGACACCCAGACAAATCCCATGCTCCTCATGGGAGATTTATCGCTCTCCGATACAAGACTTCTAATGCATTTTGTGGATCATGTCTATCCATTACAACTCCCCATTAGCCAGTCATCTGCCATTCAAAATGACCGCAACTGGCTTCTTCCAATCATCATGCATATACGACCATTCTATCACTCAGTTCTCGGATTAGCCGCGCTTCATCAACGTCTTCTCACGTCACAGTCCAACGACGAATCACAGCAGCTCCGTGCGCTCAAATATGCACAAAAACACCACTCGTTATGCCTGCAAGATCTACAAGTGGCAATACAACTTCTCGGACCCTACAAAGTCAAAGGCGCCGAGTGTCCTAGAGGAGGGGTTGGAGTTCTTGCTTCTGTTATTCAATTAGTGCTTTTAGAGGTTGGTCGACCATCTACCAAGACACCATAACATACTAATATCTGTGTTAGATGTGTATAGATGAGACAGACAACTGGCAGGTCCATCTCAATGCCGCTATTGGTATGGTAGCAGGTGTCCACGGGGTGCGGCAAAGAACAGAAATAGATGGAGACCCTGTGGCTATGTTGCACTATGGGTGGGAGAATTTCGAGGATGAGCTATATCCCGAACATCCTTTACTTCAACAACAGAGCTCCATGAATGCTCTGATTGCTATCACGATATACTTGGACGTGGTTTCTTGCGTTACCATGGGAAAGCCCCCTCGATTATTGAAAATTGTGCACGATATCACAGACGTGACTCCATATACTCAAGAGATTCGAAACATGTTCGGCCAGGAGTACTGGGTTATTTTGCTGATTGGGGAAATAGCAGCGCTTCACCAGCCAATTCTCGTTCCAGTATCAGAAGATGATAGTGTTGGCAATTGCTGCAACAGTGCACCCCATGCAAAGCTTAGATCTACTCTTCAGGGCTGGATACGGAAAAATGCTGAATCTGTCGAAAAACTACAGTGCTCGGAGGAGTACACTCTTTCAGCGTCCACTTCCATTCGCGTCACGACCTATCTTTATTCCCTTGCTGGCATTATTTACTTTCATCTGACAACTGCTGGCGTTGACGACAGCTCCGGAGAAATTCGGACCTGCGTGAAAGCATTTATCAAATCATTCAGCCTGACCAGACATACATCGACGCCTCAGAACCTTATGTGGCCTGTTTATATTACTGCATCAGTAGCCGTTGGAGATGAGCGTCCTTTTTTCCGCACTATCCTTTCTACATCTGCTTCGTATTTCTCGATCGGGTCATGCAGTAGAGTGCTGAAAAGGCTAGAGGATATCTGGGAAGGAAGGAGTGTTTCTGGATCTCGGCTTTTCAGCACTGATCTCTGGTGTCCGAACCTGTTATTGATTTGAATACTACCAAAATAGCACTCAAGCCTTAAAACAGTGTATGAACAGCTGACTGGATTGATATACACGCGGTTATGCCCTTATTTCAAATTTTGTTACTGACTGCACATGGGATATTTGTTCGCCGCCCGAACTAATGTTCTCCCCATTGACAGTCTACATAGCGAGAACCTTCTGCCATGATTCCCGTCCGCTGACTCGCTCCCACCACGCCTTGACATTGGGCCTGTCAGTAATGAAATGTCCATAACCGGCATCAAAAAGTTTCTGAGTATACGGCAAGTAATAAATATCAACGAGCGAAAACTCATCTCCGCCCATGTACTTTTGCTTTGCAAGAATGCCATCAAAGACATCCAATTTGGGCAAGAGGCCCTTTTCATAGTGCTCGACCAGTTTGGGATCTGGGCTAGCGCCACGTATACTGGGGTTTGTCAGTATTTGCAATTACTAGCACACTAGCTATGCTGCCATTACTCACGGTTTGAAGACTTTCTCAATGGCAATTGGAAGAGCATAGTTATCAAAATTGTCTCTCTCAACACTGGCCCATTTCTCAAAGGTTGCCATTCCCTTAAGGTCCGTGGGATTAGGGAGAAGTTTTACACCTTGATTGGCATATTTCGCTGCAATGTAGTAGGAAATGGCTCGTGATTCTACGAATACCTGTTAATCAAAAACATAACCGGCACAGAGAAGCCGGTGAACAAACCATGCAACGAGAAATTGCCATCTTCCATAAAGGGAATGACACCAAAAGGATGTTTGGCCAGGTACTCGGGTTTCTGTATAGCTCAACTGATCAGAAGTGATCAACACTGGGATGGCATTCAAATATACCTTATGCTCTCCTTGCATTAAGTTGATGGTCTTCAACTCATAGTCGGTCACACCCTTTTCGATAAAGGTAGCGAGAATGCGTTGGGTGCAAGTTGCCTTGCTGGCACCGTAGATGACAATGCCCATGGTGAATTCAAAGTACTGTGATCTGACAGTGTATACCAATTTGCGAGACGGCGAATTTTGTGACTGTTGAGCAGTGTTGTGTAAGTGGGGAAGCAAGAAACCGAAGACCGAGAGGGACGGCGAGAGATTTATACCCCTCCATGATCGAGACTCACGCAGATCTTGTCTCCATCAACATCCCGGCGGCACCTCAAATTTGAGGCCATTCATGTTTCGGAACTACCGAGATACTACCCGATGAGCCGTATTCGGGCATTGGGCCGCTTTTCGAGGTTGTACGGGATATGAAATCAAGAAATCTGAATGACAAATGCTTGATAATGTTGCAATCTATCATGATCATGCTCATATCGAATTATTGACACATAGAAAATTGACTGGCGTGGTTCGATGGGATTCTATAGCAACAAGCCCACCTCTGCGGTAAGCACTCTATGAGGGCAGTCAGGGCTATTTCATTGCGCTAAGAGCTGTGATTGGCTGTGTGTCTTCCACTCGGCGTTCCAGTCGCCAGTTTCTGGCAAGCCATGGCCTATTCTTGTTTATATCAGAGCTTGTTGCTTGTTAGGCCCATTACTTAGCCTCGATATGCGATAGTAGCAATTTTAACCAGACTGCAAAAACAGGTTATGCCCATGCGTAGCGGAATACTTCTTTCATTCCGCTCTGACTTCAGTTTGATATAGACGTGATTGGCAGTTGCATGGTTATGCGGTTCGAAGACGCCTATCACGCATGAAAGCAGGGGCTGTCAGTTTCCTTGCCGTCGCTGTTCAAACGGTTGTCTCTCTGCTTTTTATCTCTCACTCGATCCGTGATGGTTTCAGGATATATGGTTCATGTCCGAATCACTCAATACTCAAGTCATCCCCTCGAGACGTGAGACCAAGTAAGGCTGAGATTCAAACTTAAAATCCTGCTGTTGATATGCACGCCAGGCGCCATGGTCACCCTGGTTAGAAAATCTCAGCCAGTGTCCACTCGACTGGAAGTATGCATTATTTACTCGAGCTCCGAAAAGAAACACTGCGCCAAAACGAGGCTCCGTGGAAGCGCTATCGATGCAGGTGTTTGTTTGATTTGGGTATCTTGATATTATATAAACTTTCAGACTGACAGACACCTGCGCAGACCACTACTTCCTTAAAGAAAAAACAGATTGCCTGCTAACAGTTCTTGAATCCTCGCATCCGTAAGTGGCTAGCTCTGGAAGGAATCATCCAAGATGAACAGATTCAAAAATAAGAGGCGTTAGGTAGCACGTTGGCTCGTGGTTTATTTCTATTGATTTATACCCTGGATATGAGAGCATGGGTGTCATATCTCCACAATGAGCCTATCCTCCCCGCGCAGTTCCCTCCAATAGTTCGTGGACTCAATCAATTCGGAGCAGCCCTTGAGCAAGAACCCCCATTTCCTTATAAATCCTTCACTTATCTCCCATCCATGTCCATGCCAGGCTTGACCCCAAACCAAAAAGCCACGGCGTTCTACATCATCAAATCCCTCATATATACCTAGCCCAAGGTCACAACAGAACTCATACTCATCATATGTGCCAGCCAAAAGGATCAAATTATCTCGCAGTTGCGGAAAAGGTATGACGCTGATCCAATATGAATGAGGTGTAGTCTGTTGCAAAGCAGTATATTGAAGATCCGGCGGGACGTCTTGGGCTGGAATGGTACCGAGTTGGGGTATGCTCAAAGTGTTGGGACATCCTTTTGGAAGATAATCGAGAAGAGATAGTATAGCCACATTGAATAGCATGGCGCGGATTACATTGTACTGAACCAGGGTAATAAGACAGTGATCTGGGGAGAGCGGCAAGACTATGTGAGGTGGCGGTGCATCGAATGTGGTATATTTCGTGTAAGATAGCAGCGGAGGTATAAGTTTGGGCCTATTTGATATCTTGGGAACTGCTCCGATTTCCGGTATTCGGTGTGTAGGATGGTGCAGCGGGCCCGAGGTCGATTTGGCCAAGAGCTGATGTTGATCGCTGTTAATCAACATGCCGTAACCTTTCCAAGGAGAGTAATTTATAGTTGATTCGTTCATGTGACCAATGGCTTTCTTTCTTTCACCTATAGTTTGGTTAGTCTACTGACATGACAGGATCAGGGACAACCGCTTGTGACCCAAAGTAAAGGGACTACAATCAGTATGCAAAAGGCCCTGAGCCGATAAACGTCTGTCCCGGGAGGAGAGTAACTTACGCCATGCTCGCTGTCGTAAGCGGTTCTGCAGCCTCTTTCTTTCAGCAGGGTCTTTCACATCCTTCCAGCCATCCTCGTTATCCATTACATGACAATATACATCAATGGACCCGCCCATAGAATACGAAAAGTCTCCATGCATGATGGCTTGGGATGTTACCTTCCTTGAAGGGTCCGGCGGGATACATGTAGCCCTATTTTGTGCCATGAGGATTTCGATGGAACGTTCAAGGGACTGCCACTACATGGGTTGATTATTACCAGTAATGTGAGTGCGAGGATCTGGAAACTCTTGCATCGAAGTAGAGTTGAGAATAACACGAAGGACGGTTGTATTTTCGTCCGCATCGATTGTTGTAAGCCTCCTCCGAGGTGGGCCAGCCTAAGACTGATAGCGCTGAGCTAAGTAGGTATTCTAGCCCTAAGTTGGGCTAGATCGTGTTAAGCGTAGCGCCAAAAGGTGACTTAAATATAGTGCGTTACGCGCTATAGCTAGTTAGGCATAGGGCATAGATCTCTGGATTTTTGGTAGATATTATAGATTGAAGGTTTCAAGTAGGACTTGGATTACGAGTCACTGCTGAATTCAAGCAGCGGAGGAATAATTCCTGTTCCGGGACAATTATCTCCCCGGAACGCTATATAATGGATGTCAGATGTTCATGAATTATCGCATCTCTCCCTACTCATCCAGACCTTGGAGACGCAAGTAAGACTTAACTAACCTCATTCGACACATTTTCACTCTCACCTTTAAAGTGCATACAACAAGAAAACATAGCAAAATGATATCGTTGATTAAACGTATTTACACGGCTCTGAATCCCCCGGCAGTTGAGAAGAAGAGCGATGCTATCAGGTTCGGTATCCTGGGTGCGGCAAAGATTGCGTGAGTATAATCATCTCCTTGTTCAGGTCAGGCACTAATATCTCTACATAGCCCTATGGCACTAGTAACCCCAGCAAAGTCGCATCCTGAAGTCATTGTGCAAGCAATATCTGCCAGGGATCGTGCCCGGGCTGAAGAGTTCGCAAAGAAGCACGGAATTCCGGATGTGAGGGACTCATATCAAGGTGTGTTCGACTATGATTTTAAACCTTAGGGTCACTAACCTTGATATCATTGCAGATATCCTTGATGACCCAAATATCGACGCCATCTTCATCCCACTACCCAACAGTCTGCATTTTGAGTGGGCTGTCCGCGCTATTCGTGCCGGAAAACATGTCCTACTCGAAAAGCCATCAGTCTCAAACTCGAAAGAAGCCGAGATCCTTTTCAGCCTACCGGAACTATCCCAGCCCAACGCTCCAGTCCTTCTAGAAGCCTTCCACAACCGATTTTACCCCGCTGTCCACCTATTTCGATCCTTCATCAACCCCTCCGAGGTCGTACACGTCCACACTGACTCCATGATTCCGTCGTTACTGACTGCCAAAGGTAATATTGAATTCAACTACAGTCTCTCCGGCGGCAGTATGATGATGGTAGGGACATACAATTTCGCCATCTTGCGTCTCATTTTCGCCGACGAGCCGGAGGAATGCTTGTCCTGCGAAACGACCATTTTCGGTGACGGCATTCATGATAAATGTGACTATCATTTTGAGGCCAGATTCCGCTTTCCGAACGGTGGGATAGGCGAAGCTACGACTACGATGAGAGGTCCAATCCTATGGAAGCCATCAGAAGCTAGGGTGACACACAAGGAGGTCGAGATTCAAGACAAGACACTTTCAGCCAGTCAGGAGAAATTGATGACCCGAGAGGTCACGATACACGGCTTCTTGCAATCTGTTATTTGGCATCGCATCGACGTAAGAGACTGCTACGTAATTCGCAACAAGACAGATCGTCAACCGGTCAAGAAATGGATCGAGTCAAAATCATACAAAGCTTATAGTTTCAAAGAAGCTGGCGGCGACTTTGCGGACTTTCCCGGCGAGGGCTGGTGGATGTCATATCGCTATCAGCTCGAAGAGTTCGTGAATCGTGTCAAGGGTCGGCGGACTCAATATTGGATCAGCAGAGAGGACTCTATCAAGCAGATGAAGATGATCGATATGGCTTATGAGAAAAGTGGCTTAGGATTACGGCCAACGAGTTCTTTTAGATAATTTGGCAGCTGTAAACCTTGAAGAATAAGGATTAATGTATGGACATATCTGGAAACTAAGCTATTACTTAGGTAACTATCTCTGGAATAGGACATCTCATTTCGACTTTGAAATAGTTTCCATGGATTCTACTCTATACCAAGTAAATTAACAGACTGAAGTGACTAGATAATGTGCAGAATCATTTTCAGATATAAAATCATAGTACAATCTCGATAGCAGCGCGCTTAATAGCTTCTTTCATGTGCTTATGACTATTATGAGAGTTAGCAAGGCTGAGCGAACATGGACAACTTTTGGTGAACGACCAGTTGCTAGGTGTGTTTGGAGCCCAGTAGGAAGAAGCCAGCCAGCATTGGTCCTTTTCCCCTTTGCTTTTCGGAACAGCGCAGAAAATAGCTATAGTGTTGGACGATCGGGTTATCGGAAATCTGGTATAGAAGAAACATATTATTTACAATTAACGAAATAGCATGGCTAATCTAAGTCCTTTTGTGAATAGTTGTTACAGCTTTCAAGCCTGGAAGTTAACTTGATACCAACAGATCAGCCTCTAGCCAACTAAGCCAGGATAAATTATTTTGACCGAGCTTTATATATTATCTATTTCTGTTATATTTCTCAAGAATTCATGTAGTAATCAAAAGATAGATACGGAAGGTCAAGCTGAAGGTAATACCTTGTCGGGGGTCACTAGGGCTTAGCATGGCACGTGCAATTTGAGAACTACCCAAAATGGAAATTTTCTAAACAGCAATCACCTCGATTCAGAATTTGTGACAATCTACACAAAGTCGAAAAGAAAACACTTACTAGGAGAAGGCCTTCACTCAGTCATGTTCCCAAACTCGAAAGGTATCATGGAAAGTACCCTTGCTCTGCCAGCTCGTCTGTTCTAGCACGAGACTCTGATATAAAGATCTTTTATAAGGATCTCACAAAGATATTTCACATGTATAAACTGGGAGGTTGGAATGTTATAAAGAATTTTATATCAACATAATTGTTTCAATAAAATGTGCAGCAATCCTCAGTTCCTTTGAAATGATGTCGAAGTAGATCTCGTAACAGTCCGCTTCCTAATCTTGTTGCTTTTATAAGATACAAAAGCATGAATAAGAGAAAACTAGGGTATCTATTGCTTCAAACAGCCTAGATATGTGGCGTACACAGAAAATAGTATTCGACCATATTAGATTAGAGAGTTTTGTTTGTTCATTGGTACAGATCTAGGTTCACCAAAATTGATAATTTAGAATCAAAGAAACTTGGACGCAAATGACGAGACAACCTTAATGCGTGAGTGAGTATCGGAAGGAGGAATTATAGGAAACTTACAAGTTTTATTTGGACCCCTACAATAGCGAAACTCCTAGTAGAAAACTCTTCCTTGTTATTGTAACACATCGGTACTCTATGACCTTAGGATACTGAATCTGTAGTATGGTTTTGTATATGTCATGTTGGGGAACAGCCATTTATCGCCACAGGCCTATCCCATTGGTTTCCTTCCTCATGCTTCGATTCCGTCTACAGGCCGAGAGCTGTTAAACCCGAAAGGACTCAGATCCAGAACAACCCAGGCATAGATATATCAGTAGACTAGTGGGGAACATGGGGAATAGACTGACTAACAAATGTTGGAGAGCCTGGCTTGTCAGCATATAAATCAGGGCGTAAGGATATCTGCTACCTCACACAAAGCCCTAATACGGAGCCCTAATTACTCAAACCCTTTAAACATTTACCAGTACGCCTCGTAAATGAACCAACACTGAATTATTCAAATCTACATCACTCCTCCTTGTTGCATTTGGCACGAAAACCATTCCTATAATGTACAATACAATTACAAAAGCATAACCCGGTGACAAGAAAGAAAAGGAAAAAGGAGGGCAGGGAATTACTGTATAGAGCATTTTGGAGAAAAAAAGGAAATTTTTTTTCTATCAGCCCCTTCTTATCCTGCTTGTTCACTATGCAAAAGTCAAAAGAGACCAAAAAAAAACAACATAAATGCCATGCCGTACGATGCAATGCAAAGGGATGAGGAATCAGTCAAAGGTAAAGAGTCCCACACCATATGCCTTTTATTTTAAGGGTTTGCGCCGATTGTAGCCATGAATTCTGATCTTTTTCCTGATTCTTGTCGGAACTGTAATAGAGGTATTGTAAAAGTGAAAAGGGAAAGGGCAAGGGGAAGGGCTGGTTGGCAGTCGAGAAACACGACAGGAAACTTCTTTGAGCAACTCCGAGAAAGGGAAGGGTAGGCAAACGAAGGAAACAGAGAAGTGATAGGGTGTTCTCCATAGTAAACCCACTGCGCCGATCTTTCTAACGATTCAGCCAACCGGACATGAGAAACCTCTTATAAGAATCAAATGTATGGCGGTGGCATCTCAAGGAATCAGAGAAGCCAAGGGATGATGCATGTATTAGGTAGAGTGTAATAGAATGATGAGAACTCAACAATACCTCCCAGTAAGAATGCTGGATAAAGAAAAAGGAGCAATGGATCAGCCATAATATGGAACAGATGTATTTAGAACAACAACTTTTCAGGGCATATCAGTCATAATCAGATCGTTAGACAGGGCTGCAGAAAGTAGTGCAGCCTGTTGACATGGCTTGTGACTTGTGCACAAAGCCAGTCAAAAATGCTAACGTCGTAATGAACTGCGATTTAACGCTTCAAGCAGCTCAGGGCGATTAACCAGGGCTGATGCAGCTTGTGCATATGTGACCCATTGTCGTTTCCTTTTATGCATCTCAGGCCATTGAGCCTCTTCTCGGCTGACGATGGCTTCAAAAAATTGATATGATGCTTTAGGAGCCGAGGTTGTGAGTAATGTGGCAGGTCTCATGTCGGGGATCACACCAAGATCTCGCTGCACAGTACAGATAACACCTGCTTCTTCCCAAGCTTCTCGTTGCGCTGCCTGTTGAGCAGTTGGCTCATCCAGTTCCCAGCCACCTTTTGGCAGTACCCATCCACCTGGCCCAGCAGACTGAATCATCAAAACTTTGGTCTTGTCGGCAGATAACGGAACGATACCGGCCACGAGTCGCTCGCCTTTGGTGCCGTATCCTAGACGAATAATCAGTTTCCGTGACGACAAGAGAGTGGAATGACCGGTATGAGTCAGAATCTACAGATGCAAGATCTGCGCTCAAGCCCCCAAGACTTGAGTGTGCACGTGCTCGATGGGGCTAATCGAGGGTAGACTTACTTTGATTAGTCCTTCCCACGCGGGACTCCATCGAACGATTTGAAGCCGCCATTTTATCTGACTGGTGCAGATCCGTATATGTCGGGGTACAAATAACAAAAATCGACCGTCGTAGCTGATAGCCAAGGTTGGCACCGACGCAGTCAATTTATGAAATTTAAACTGCAAACCAGTGTGTTTTTCAGCTGCTACGCTGGACGATGTTCGCAGCGACGGTGGTGTCGAGTCTCTCTCGTTGTAGTCCACTTCGATTTGTGCAGATCGATGACGTCTGCGTTGGATTTGACAGCTTGCAGTGGAGGAGCCTTCGAGGGATACAACACGTTTTACAGATCGCACAGAGGACAGAGTAATCCGTGCTCACCGGAGACGCGTAGAGATAGTTGTTGTAACGGTCGAAGGTCAGCACTCCACAACTCGGATGTTAGGTCGTTTCGCACGGAAGAGGGAAGCGGTAACGGAGGGTGTAGGATTGTATAGAAAAGGAATTCGCGGAGTTTGGTTCACAAGAAGAGAAATCTAAGTCTTCCCAATGAGTCCCGCGTTGGACGGGAGCCCGATAAGGGATGAGGTTGAGGAAGACATCTTCTAGAAAGGGGTCGTAGAGGGTAGAGGTGAGGAAGAGGGAGAAGGGAAAAAATTAAAGAATTAGTTACGTGGGGACGGAGACAGAAGGAGGGACGCCGGAGGGGGGAAGCTTAGCGGTGGTCGCCTAGGCGGTAGCTTCAGTCTTGCTCCTGCTCCATGCTCCAATATACACAGTCTTTGTTCGATGTCCCAATTCTTGAATAAGACGAAACTTGAGAACAAATGCGCTTTATACTTTCTATGGGATGAGACTGGTGAAGGTCTTGAAGTTCAATTGTACATGATACTGTAATTTATCGTGTATTCCATTTACAGGTAGCATGACCGAATGTCGATTCAGATCTGCTCTAGCCACACACACACACACACACAATGGCTTACGTACGGTAATATTCGGACCGGTAGCGGCAGTATTTTGCTGGATATCACATTACAGATCTGAGGTTCTTAGTAAAAAGTGTGTGCAATTCTGATCACTGAGTTACCGTATTGCGTATTGATACCACATCTATGTCCCTTAACTCCGGCAGTCTCACGATGCATTTCTTTGGGAGTCTCGAGAGTCGATACATATGTATTGCCACCGAGTACCACCAACTGATTGCCCGATATAAGTCTTAGTCTTATTCAGTCTAATTGCTGTGTGGTCTGTAGTGTATAAGAAGACAAAAATGATGCATGCCATAATACAGTGGGTTCTAGAAGCCCAAGAGAAGCCTATCCCGTGATCCCTCCTGCCTTGTCCGCTCCTTCGTCATACAAACATCTGACGACATCAAAAGACTTCAACTTCACCTCTTTCTTCAGATCCTCTCTCTTCCTCTTTGACAGTTGTTATACTCTCTACTCTCTACTCTATCAAAGTCCCGTCGTCGCAGAAACAACAGTGGGGACGAACCGTTTACCCCTCCATCGTCCCAAGTCTATCCGAGCTCGCATCGACATGAGATCTCCGAAACCGTTGACAACATCAGCATCTGCTTAAGTTACTCACTCGAATCGCTAATCTCGGCTCCTCAAATTCCCCTCATTCGCAGACGACAACTTACCCAGAAGATGAGCACTGTAGTCGACGCCGAGACGGCTAGGAATCTGTCCCTCTTCCGGCCTTTGGGTGAGTATTTCTCCCCTGCCAGCCAGTCGGAGTCCCTTCAGCCTCCTCGTGCTGCATCCACTGGTTTGGGTGTTCGTCTCCATCCTGGGTCACGTGCATCTGTTCTTCAGTCTTCGTTTTGTCTGCATGCTGATTGGCTGCGCATAGGTTACCAGCGCAATTCCTGTGGTTATTGCAAGTCGCCTGATGGAAGTAAGACTTATATCCTTACCCTGATATCCGGAATAGCCCTAACCCTAATGATTAGGTGCTTCGTACTATGCGAGTTCTGTCTCGGTTCGACCCGAACACTATGAAATCCTGGTCAATCGGGGATGGAGGAGGTATGATTCCATGTCTGATCTGAAGACCGTCGACTTACGATGGCAGATCCGGGACATTGTATTACAAACAAAACCTGCAACGGTCTTGTTGTCCGCATTATACCTTGAGGTTGGTTAACTTTGTTTAGAAATATATATATATCTGTTAACAATGACTAGGCTGGATGTTTCGGAATATAAACCAAGGCGAGATCAGCGAAAAGCCATCAACCGGTGGAACAAGTATGTGCTGGGCCAGGAGTATATCCGGAAAGCTGCAATGCTCGCTCCGAAAAGTCGAGAGTATGTCTACCAATAACTCACGTAGAGTGATACTGACAGCATCTAGGGAGAAGAGACAGCGCAAAAAACACTTTGATATTGTCAGAGCTGTCCATGAGGCTGAGTACTCTAACCTGAGACGACCTATCGACCCAAAGACGAAGCGGCCAATCGAGCCTGCACATAAGTTTGAAGTCTCCATAGAGGGCGATTCAATTTCACAGCGAAAGTAAGCTGTTATCATGGCTATGCATTAGACACAGTATTAATGAACGCCAGATATGAAGTTTTCCTCGAATACCAGCAGACCATCCATCAAGAGTCCACCGACAGATGGAAAAACGCAGACTTTAAACGGTTTCTCTGTTCCGGGCTGAAACGGAATACACCAAAAGAAGGGTCAGGCGAGAAGAGACTGGGGTCATGGCATCAATGCTACCGTCTGGACGGGCGCTTAATTGCCGTGGCAGTGCTTGATTTGTTGCCCGAGGGTGTGAGCTCCGTATACCTGTAGTAAGTCATACCGAACTGGCATTCTAGCCAGCAGCTGATGATAGTAGCTACGACCCTGAGTTTGGTGACTGGGAGCTTGGCAAATTGAGTGCCTTACGAGAGATAGCATTCGCCCTAGAGGAAGGCTACAAATATTACTATATGGGTATGACCTGTCCTTGCTGCTTGTGAATGCTTACAAACATTGGATAGGCTACTATATTCATACCTGCCAGAAGATGCGATACAAAGCGCTGTACAGACCTCAATATGTCCTAGGTAGCTATTCTCGTTTCGAAACTGTCATAACATACTGATGATCAAAGATCCGGAAAGCATGACCTGGGACCCTCTCGACGGCGAATTGACTGGAAAGCTCAACAAACGCAAATACGTCTCATTGTCCCGCGACCGCGCTCGAGGATTATCAGCATCTGAGAATAACGAAACCGAAGCAGAAAAAGAAGACGAGCTCCCAGAACTCGTCAACGAAGAATCCTTGTCCCTTTTCGAAATCAATATGCCGGGAGTCTTGACCGCAGAAGAAGTTTTGACTCAATTCGATCTCGATCACTGGCTCCTACTTGTGCACGGCACTTTCGTGCATATGGAGGATCTGGTAGGATGGGAAAGTGCAAAGATTACGGATTCGCAGAGTGTCAAGGGTATTGTGGGTGAATTGGTGGCTGTGTTAGGGTTAGAGGTTGCTAGCATGAGTGGTTGTGTACTTTTTGATTAGACCACGATTCTAGAGAATACTTTTTTCGAAAAGGTGCATGTATACTTCTTGATTAGACCAGGTACGAGTCGGAGAATAGCTTCTGAAAAAAAGTATGTAGGATGTATTATGATGTATGCACAGAGTATTTATGAATATGCACCGCAAACAAGAAACCTGAACAAACAAGAAACAAACAACTCCAGCATGCAATACGCCAGTCTTGCCAACCCCTATGCAAGTCTAATGCAACATAAATGCAAAATACTTAATGCATCAATTCAACAGGTGGTCTAGCAGTATGTGCCAGGATCTTTCCACCACCACCCATCAACATCAAATCATCATCCTCAGCGTCATCATCTTCCCCAATTGATGTATCCTCCACCATAACAGCGGGTAAATTCGGTGATCCGCCGTGATCATTCGGGTGGTAAATCAAAGTACTCGATCGACTGCGTCCACCAGCACCGCCGGCAGACGACGGCCACGACCCATTACTACGAGTCACACCGGGTGTAGTTTCTCTCTGATTATTCTCTGCCGAAGAAACCACCGACACCGGCGAGAGGGGATCACTATCAGACGTCGTCTGCTGCTGCTGCTGTTGTTGTTGTTGCTGTGTCCCCAACTTAGCAAGCGCATCCGCCAAATCACTAGCATGAACCTCCTTATTCGGCGGCTCCTCATTCCTCACCACCCATCCATGCGGCGGACTAGGAGGCGGACTAATAAAAAACATCTTTTGTGAATGTGGCGCTTCAAGTAATTTCTTCCGTTTGGCTTCCTCTGTATTCTCAATGATGGGTGTCGGTTCCCCGAAATAGATTCGAGCGCGAAGACCACATTCATCAATCACGGTCTTGGAGGATTCTAGTCCCTGGCGGACTTTGACGGCGTCGTCAACGGAGAGGAATGAGCAGACGATACGGCGGAAGCTAGGGAGGGGGGAGAAGGAGTTTAGAGGCGCGATGGAGATGATTTTCTCGCGAATTGAGGTCAAAGATGCGGGTTGGAAGACGAGCAAATTGTGTAATTCGGTGATAATCAGAGTATTGCTGGGGGGGCTTGGTCGTGAGAGAGGTGGGAGGTTCGAGAGGTCTAATGTCAAGGCAGGTTTGGGCCTGGGCGAGGATTGATTTGAACTGGCTTCGACGGATGCCATTTTGTTATTCCTTTCGGAACTGTTGTATTCCTCTGATAAAATTCGTAGTTTTTTAGACAGGATATGAAGTTGCTCTAGTGAGGAAGAAGAATGCGACAATTTGCGAATTCGGGCGTGAGATTGTTGTAGAGAGGTTGAGGCAATTGCCACCGTCATCGTCGCAGATAAGCCGATAACAACTCGCTAGTCCGGATTGGTATCAAGCGGTCTAGATCTGAATCTTTTTCTTCTTTCAGGTACAGAAGAAAGATTATTGACGGACAAGTTCTTCACATTCAGGATTTTCTGGATGATTGAATTGATATGGATAGCTGAATGGTTCTGTGTATTCCTTTTATCTTCCATCCTGGTTCACCGCACCCGGCGCAGCAGTGTCACGCCGAGGCGCAGCCTCATTCTGTCCGCAGGGAAGATCAGCCAAGATTACCTCCATGTATTTCCCCACAAGTTGGCTGTGTAATCAGTTCTTCAGAGAATGCGAGTCTTTGTACAGAGTATGAAGAAAGGAGTAAATTCTTCTGCCTGGCCTGGTTGTCGCATGCTTAGTGCGCTCTAGTATTGGAGCTGCACGGCCACAGTTGAGTTCCCCGTCTGTGGCGCAGAACACTTTCCCTTTTCGTTTCCCTAGCAGTCCTCAACCTTCAAGTACGTATCTTCAAGAATCTTCAGTCAAGATCCTGCTCAGTCCTTTACAGATGGCGTATTAACCAATGATAACCACTATGCATGCTTAGCTCAACCTGTGTGGATTGTGACCCGATACAACTCTATATTCGAGACCAACACAGCCTCAACCAGTCATCTCTACACCTGTCCGGGATATCCGTGGACCATGTTTCCTAATCCTACCAGAGATACCCCTCATCTTGGCTGTTGTTATGACTTGCAATATGTTTGACTAACTAAAATCTAACAGCGCTGGGCGAAGCATCGTGGCACTCGTAATATGGAAGGTGGCATGGCTATGCTTATCGTCCAAGAAGTCCTCTAAACACAGCCGAGGCATTGCCAGGCAGCTCCATTTTCAAGACAGTGTGAGGGAGTTGGTCTGATATGGTGCAGTGTCACTCTGATATGGCTGCGGTTACGGTATCATTTACGGATAAGCAGGGACAGCTGGTGTAGCTAACCCTCGACACCTGCATCACCGAAAATTTGGGAGCACAGTTGACGCCATATTTGAAAATCCTGGTCTTATGGGCGAACTACCATTATACCAGTGGAAACCTCGGGAAAGCGTGGGTGCTGGTTGGAATGGCTGCCCGCCTGGCATGTTATCTACAAATCAACGTGGAATCGACGACAGGCTCGACTATCAGTCAGGGCTTGAGTTTTGTCTGCTTTACCTCTACCAGGATCCCAGGCATGACAGCGATGACATCTTCCATATCAACTAGACAGCCTCTCCGCCTAGATCGGGTTGACAGATACGATGACGCGGCTTCACCCTCATATTTGGCAAATGACTTGACTATACACCTAACGGTGTACCAGACATGTGCAGCGAGAATTTGGTGTTCAGCCATCTTAGTCGGGCGGTCATTTGAATCCAAATATTGCCTTGGCAGGCTTCGCACTGTAACGACTACCCTGCGATCTTCATTCCGGTGCATGAAGATACAAAGGCAGTCCAGCACAGATAACATAAATTTGTTATGTACTCAACAAGTGAGTTGCTACTTTTCTTCCACTGTCAATGCGTCTTACATTGCATACAACATGAAGCAGTCCTCTCGAGTTCCATTATTGGAAACCACATCACTGATTTATATACATGTGAATGTTCTTCTAGTTCTGTAGCTCTAGCATGGTGCTTGGGTATCAAAACAGGAGAGGACCTAGCCAAGTATGATCTCGCAAGTAGTAAGGTTCCAGTGGGCACCAAGGCACAGTGATACATACGCAAAATCTCTCTGGGCTCAAATCACATATTTCAGCTAAGCATGGTCCCAGTTCAGGACAGTAAAAGTTACTCGCAAAGTATATCTTCATCGTAAGCGTTATTAAAAGAAGGCACCTCAGGACTAAAGGATGACACTTGCTTTCCCGCTGATGAGATCACCGGTTGCAATATCGGATTCTGATTCTCGAAAAGGCTGACTCAGCTCCAGAATCTTCTGTGACCCGGATGAGCTCTCCTGGATTGTGTGAGCTGCCATAAGCCCATGCAATCATAATCTGATAGGGAGTTTCGTTCCTCCCTTGGCAACTGAAATTGTGTTCCCGGCGGATCCTGCGCTTCCATCATCGCAGGATCAAAGCGGTCGCCCGGTTTGAATTGGACTACCTCGTACCGTAGCCCATCCGTTGGGAAGCAACGAGATCGGAAGAAAATTGTTCGAGATAACAGAGATCTTAATTCCCAGTGAACGTCTTTGCCTTCTTATCGAGTTGAATGGGGTCGAACAGAGAGTCTAATAATCTCATGATATGACTTTGCAATTCTTCATTGTATGCATCGAGAAAGCTTGTCTTGAACTCTGAGTCATGCTCAAGCATTTGTATAGGTGCGAGTCTGTGAAAATTTTCAAAGTGCTTCCCTGCTACTGAGCGATCGAGCTGTTAGAATAGCTACAGGTCTCTGAAAGGTAGCTTTGAAACTTACCGCTCCTCTGGTCCGTCCTCTGGTATGCTCGAAGCATGTAACCCTCTATATGGTGAGCCGTCCAGGTTTCAGAATAAAGTATGTGATCACGAATGAAATGAAAAATCATTGCTCGGAGGGCTGGACCTGGCATAGAACTCAAAATATTCACGCGTTTAATGGATTTACGAACAATATCATCAAGGTCAGGATGTATCTTGATTGAAGATTTCAACTCAGCCAGAGGGAATAAGTGGCTGGCAAACAAATCTGCAGTGCGAAGAACGCCCAGTTCAATACACTTCACCTCATGGGCAAGCTGACAACAAGCCATCGGCAACTCGTCATCTCGAATCTTGAAAAGAAGCGTGTTGAGTTTCAGGGCATTGCTCAGACTGGACTGAAGATCCCTGCTTTTATCATTCTGATGGTCAATCTCCTGGTCCTTCATTCAAATTATTGCAGACTCGTCTACTATGATATCTGATGACGCTAAGCCAAACAGCCGATCAATTTTCTTGTTCTGTTCAGCCCTCAGACTTTCCCGCCGTTTCACCTCTGCTTTGTGTTTTTGGATTTCTTGAGACTCCGCAACGGAAAGAAGATTATTTTGCATCTTCAGCCAATTTATTTGGCACTCGAGCTGGTTGTATTCTTTAGAACAAAGTCTTGCCCCAACGCGTATTTTCGTGGAAGGTATTTGCTCTTGTTTGTGTTAGATGGCCCTGATAGCATTACTGCCTTGAGTTCTGCAGCCTGCAAATGCTCGATATCATGGCCATATCTCTTATTTTGTGACCGGGCACGTTTTTGCGCAGGCGGAAGTATGCTCTGTACCGGAGTGCTTGGTTCTGAGTACTCGTCCGATGGCTCTACCACCCAGCCTTTCAACAGCGGGATGTACCCGGCATAGTGGAAGAGGACATGGTTGTGTCAGTTTCCGAGGGAATCTCTTGCGGCATATTTCTTCGGGTTCTTTGAAGGAGGAGCGAAAGATTGTGTACTAGGTTCAGATGATAGGTAGGTTGCGCTTGATACTTGATAGAACAATGTCGAAAGCGTCACAAGTAGATTGTGACCAATTAGTGTACTACTTGTCTATGTTCCTTTATCCTTACTCAGGCACTAAGCATAATGTGCTCTTTACAACCCGTTGATTCGTTGGTTATTGACTCCTAAGAGGCTGTAAACCGGTAGAAAACTTCAGGTTCTATGCAAGCCCTCCATCCTTGCTCGATTCTCCCTTCTTTCCTACGTTTTGGCGCGAGATGCGCTAATCTAGTTGCTCTTCTCTTGATTTGATGTCTCCATAGTTCCTCAATCGAGTTGACACTGACTCCTTCATCGTAGGCATGGTACTTCCGAAGTTCCAATGTCGTGATGTCGCCAAAGAAGCGGCGGCGAGGCTCCGGCCACTCTTCTGACTGATCCTCCACTTCAACCGGCCCTAGAAAGCGAATACCTAGACAGTCGGCAAGCTTTTTGAAATTCTTCAGGTCTCTTGTTTCTTGACCTGGTGAGAGGAACAACGATCATATAAAACTTGAATGTGTTCCCCGCTTCCTAGGGTGCATGACTCTAAGACAAGATAGGATTAATTGATAGAAAGGTATGGCAATTGCGATTTTACATATTTATTGGGCCTGACATGTATATATGGAGAAGCCAAGGGGCGTCAAAGGGAATCCGGTACAGGCACACAACTGAGTAGTACTGATAGTACGAGGTACCTATTCCAAGGCTGTAGTTGCAATCTACAAGTACAAACAGTAACCCCCACTAATATCATCCCATCTGCCTATCTATACCTCTCGCGACTGTCCTGGACAAAGAAACAATCTCCAAAGTTGGAAAGGGAAGCCAGGATAAAGATCTACAGTCTGTAAATGAGAAGACCTTTCTATTTTCCTCGACCGTCTTTTTTGGTGCAAGCGAAAGCTGACTATAGCATCATCCCTCATAATATCAGTCTACTAGAATCAGATACTCGCTATATAAGCATCGCGACATGCTAAGCACAAGATTCACCAATCCAATCCCCGCCAGCGCGGTCGTGATACACACATGGGAACAAGTCAAGCCTATCTATCGCAAATCCATACTCCAAGCTGATGGGAGACGTTGGCGAAGCACATGAGGAAGAAATGCGAGCGGATTATCAGGCATAGACTAGCCGTGATGCTGAGTCAAGATAGCAATGATTAGTTAGTAACTACTCTGTCTGGAATACCTGTATCTGGATAGTGCTTACCATATTGCTTGATTTTTGATGGGGAAGATAGTTTTTAGGAAAAAGAAGGATGTATCCACACAGGTATATGAATAGTTTCCTTATAGTCATATCCCGAGATCGTCCGGATCTCTTACACCATTCTCGCGTCAGAATTGTCATCTGACAATTCTTAAGATGTGTGACTTTGGAAGTTCCTTTTCTACGATTTGTTCTTATGTACTGTCTTGCAAGCTGGATCTTCAAGATATCTGAATGTCCGAGAGACGGGAACGGCGTAAATAGCCCTAACCTCAATTCCAAGGTTCAAACCGGTCGATCAGCATGCTAGAGCAATAATAGCCCCAACACTTGGAATGCCCAAAGTTCCCAAAGTTCGTTTTTAGATGATACAGGCATCAATCCTGGAAATTTCTGCAGTCCCTAAAAATTCGGTTACTAACACTCCAAATGAAACCTTCACCGAAACCAATATGACGATATCTCGCCCCAATGGTGAAATGCAATATGACCAACGTGATTCCATTCATGCAGAGCAATATATAAAACTTCATATATCAAGAACGACTGTTTTATCCCTGAACACAGTTCAGTTCCGCGGAGTGGTCGACTTCACGATAACGACATTACTCGAGAATTGTATCAAGTGCTCGTTTTCTTGTTTGAAAGCGTGCATATAGATGGTGTATCGCGCTTTCTCTATCATTAAATGCAGGCCATGATTTGATCACACACATAATGGAAAGAATTAAGCAAAGGCAGCAGGGAAGCACCCATCAAAGTGCATAGGCTCTTGGAGGCTGCATCCTGCACCCTGCATCAACAGTCATAGCTTCACGAGCGTTAGAATGATAAGAACCTTGATGCTTGTTTCTCGCCGCTACAAATGAAGCCGAACATAAGCTTCAAGAGAAGCTTTCAGGTATACTTCGCCGTTGAAACGGGCCGATTGATTCTTTCTATACATGGATATATCACCGAAGCCATAACTCTCTAGAATGAGGGGTATTTTCTGAATTTGTGGGAAAAAAGAGTTCAGAATACCGAGCATTGTCCATCGTTGAGTCAGTTACGACGAACGCATCTAACCAACCAATCCTCCTTGTGGCCGGCGTGACGATGTCTCAATTACTTACTTACTCGTGGTGGCTGTACATAGTCTGTGATCAACTCCTGTTCCTCTTGCATCTGTTTTATAGCCAGGATTAGTTTCTATTACTTTAAAAAACGTGCCGACGCTATGTCGGACAATGAAAAACGGTCGTGCACCGGGGCGCTCGTTGACAACTGGAAGAAAGGTGACCTCACTGTGTAGGTTTATGATAGAATTTCTAAGTTCTTTTTTCTGCGATGACTCGGAATCTTCGATTCATGACTTGACACAAGCCAGACCCCTGGCGTGCACAGGCACCCGGAGATTAGCATACTCCGTAGAACATCTCCAGAACCATCCTCTTTACTTTGAATTCTCAAGATTACAGAGGTAGAGAGTCAAGAACAAAAATCAAACAAAAATCCACAGTTAACTTGGCGATCGTAAATCCGCTGAGAGTCTGAAAATGTCCCGGGCAACTCCGGATCGAGAGACTATTTCCGCTTCACAACATCTCGCCAAAGATTACTTCATCTCGATTTGACGTACGGGAAATTTCTGCAAAGAAAATCAATGCTCTAACTTTAGCTGCTTGAGCCTACTGTCGTGACTGGCTGAAATCAATATGGGGCGTCTCAAGAACAAGAGCCTGACAAGTGACAGATAAGTTAGATGTAACAGGGCCCATCGCTGAAACAGCGCTAAAGCCATATGGCAACCTCTTAAGCCAGCCTCGCGTCTTGTGCGGAGTAACCTACATTTTAAGCCAGAATTCCTGTCGTGATAATCCTTCTCTGGGTGCATTCACCCGAAATTTGGCCGCTATATGCGTAAAATATAGTATAGTTGCTGGATTATTATTGATACTGGTTGTTATGCGCGCCTCCCCCAATTCTCCTAACTAATCAAACATCCCAATTAATTTACTACCAACTTTGTAGAACGGACAACGTACCTGAAAAAAGTCGATAGGAACGAGAAGTATTAATATATGAGATTGAGCCACAATTAAAACACGACCAGAAGTTTCTCAAGAGTGTGCTCGCTGTTTGTTAACTCTATTATCTATCTGTAGTCTATGGAGACGGGGACTGCGGATCACGAATCCTACTAGCCCTACTCCGTATTCAAAACGATCCGGAATGTTCTAAAGACTAAAGTTCTGAGGGGCTCTTTTCTTTCTTCCCCGGTGAACTTGTACGGAGAGCCGGTCGTTCAGATATCGACAGCCCTTCTTTTCGGGTTGTGACTGTATCAAGGCTACCTGTCTGAATTTCCTCAGGCGGGGTCAACAGCCAACATCACGATGCGAAGATGGAGTTCTACCATCACGATCAATGACACAGACCAACTGTCTATCAAATTCTTCTAGATAGCGCTAAACCCACTACCAGACTAGGTCACTCGGGGATCTGAATCCGAAACCTGCCCCATTAGGTAATGGCGGAGGTGTTTGAGTCTAGACTATATGGATCATAGTATATGCAGAGCGAAAAACGGTCATTACTCAGGCTTTTCAGGAACATTGCCACACCAACCTCTTGTTTTATTGAAGAATTAATGTATAATCAGCTATAGTGAATACTGTATTTGTAAGAAGGAAGGGCGGAAAAGTACTCGTCGAAATGAGGGGTTCGATACAGGGGTAGATGATCATTCCCCTCATATTGTTCTCTCTTATTGGGCGTTGACATTAGATGTTGGCCCTTGAGGCCAGGATCCCAGGATAGAAGAGAAGCAGGACGTATGTAACCTGTCAGTTGCGAATCTAATTCTCCGTGAGAGGCATATAGAAGAGGGCTCTATGCAGGTGGCGTGTGATGTGTACCTAAATACCCTAGTACTTATGTGCAGTGCGTACTGTTCGAAGTGTACATCCAGTCTGAAAACAGTATGAAAACACCTGCCTAATTCATACTTACTAACTTGTTATGCAGCTATATCGGTCGGTGTAAGAAACGTTGAAAGTTGGAACTTGGTAGCAGACTTCCAGCATGGGCCGGATTCTGGCCGTTCCCATCCATAGCAATAGCATGCGGCTTAAGTAGACTGGAACCAACGGGAACAGACCTCACAAATTGAGTGCATAGCATCGCTCGTATTGCCAGATATATTAGTGTGGATACGGGAGAGCAATCAACAAGAGACAGCCACCGAAAAGAAAAGCCAGTTACCAAATCCGGACTCGAGAGGAGTTCAAGAGACACATTAAACTTCTCCTGCATTTCTTGTTTAGGAAAGGACTAAGTGGCCCAGATAGGAATTATTGTTTCACTTTTCCTGAACGTTGAATAAATCTAGTACTTCCGTGCCTGTGTTAGCTGCATAATAGCAGTCAAGGCGTGCTTCACATTGCGTCCAGGGTCCCGAACGCTAGTCTATCTGAGAGTCCAGCTATCAATGACCTTGGGGGGGCCTGGAGTTGTCTGGTATCAGTTTCATAACCGGAGGCACTCTTCCATCACTTCCGCAAGTCAAAATCCACAATAGATTAATTGTCATAGCCCTTACCATGGCTGTGGTACAGACTCGTGGGAGGTATTTTCAGGTTACTTATTAGTCCCCACCCCCTCTAGATTTCCTCAGGACAATTCCAAGTGAGAACTAGAGATCAGTTCTTTCAATACTAGAGTTGTACACGTATACCCAGGTACCTAGTACACTCAAGGCTACACAATGGTGCTCTTGCCGGATTCGCCGTCAAGGCTTTACGTGACCTTTGGTCTGAATAATATTGTCGCTCGAGATACTCGAGTCGAGGTTCGTCTTGCTTTCCTACTCGAAAGGAGACATACTAATAGGATCGGACAGGCCAAAACCACCGCAGCGGACGACTCTTCACATAGATCAAACAGCCCATCAGAACGGCTGAAAAATCATGTTTGGCCAGCCCTGAAAAAGGGAATATCCACAGGTCTATCAGAGGGATCCAAAATGGGACGCAAGCGTAACGACAGTCAACCATCAAATGCTGCTGTACCATCTGTTTCCGGTCAGCCAAAGCAGATCAAGAAATCAGCAAGCCAGTCTCTGTCTGAAAGGCGGGAGATTGCTTTGGCAGAGTTGGGTATAATCCCAATGATGGCCGGCCAGGAGCCACGAATGGACTCGCGTAAGTAGATTTTGATTTCGAGTGTATACTTGACTGACACTTCTCAGCTACTATTCCTGGACGACTTCCCGTTCATGGAAGATCGAATAGCGCTCCAGGATCTGCTGCTAATCAGACACCATTCGAAAGGTCAATTCAAGAGCCTATTTCAGAGCCATTGATACTCTCCTCGCAAACAAATCATGATAGCAGAAGGGTTCCTGCTAAAAGTGAAGAGCCAGAGAACAGACCCAGAAGTCAGTCCGCAGACGAAAGTGTGACCTCTCCCGCCTCGAAGAATCAACCACCAACTGTCCCGGAAGAGGATGATAAGCCACCGGCAGTGCCTCCTAAGTCGCCCCGGTTAATCTATCGTCCTGTGGCACCTCTTTCAAATGAAATAGGAGGCAGTTTGACCAGATCCAATTCAGCCGCAAACGGTTTACGGCCTCGAGCTGCAACGGCAATGGGAATTCGACCACGACGACACATAGCCGAATTACACCGGCGTAACGAAAGCACACCCACGACCACTACTATGACTTCAAGGTGTCAGCAATCAAAGCCTAACCAAAGAATGGCTAAACTCAAGCATGAGGCGGGTGAATCGGCAATACAATGCCAAGATCGTACAAAGAGGAGGCGTAGTCTTCGTGTGCATCGAACATCCAAGCACGTGGAGAAGACAAACTTCGCTCAACTACCTGTTGGTTTCAACTTGCCGGATGCAAAGTCACAATTCACTTCATCCGATGTTGAGAAGCTACGGGAGCAGGCCAAGACCCAAGCTGAGAAGTTCAAAGTACTGCAATACCATGAGGTAAAAGCATTATCAAAGGTGAGCAATCCAGACCAGAGTCTAGATGAATAATTGGCTAACGGGACGTGCTGATAGGAGCTACGATCCCTCGATATTCGTGTTGATTATCTCCGAAATACGAGCAAAGCACTTCGAGCTGGACGCAACCATCTCCATGAACGAGTGATAGCTCACCTCCGCTCGTCTCGATCAGCAAATAACTCGCGTGAAAATATATTAGGACAAGAAGAAGCCCTAGCACAACTCGACAAGTCAATCGACGAATGGATAACCAAACTAGAGCAAGTGGACAACAGGAGAGCTCGTGTTCGGCAAATGCTGCTAGAGCATATTGCTGCCTCTTTGGTACTTTCAGCCACTTATGACACTCAAGGCGAGACCCGGAAGCAGTTAGATTCTCCCATCATAAAAGACGAGTGTGAAGTTGAGGTTGCAATGGATGCCCTTGATATCGAGTTAGATGATGTTGCTAGCGTGACCCGCGAGTCAATCAAGATATATGCAGATTATGGAGTATATGGAGATGGCGATATGGCAACTTTACTTGCAGATATTGAGCGGCAAATGGAGACGATGAAAGATTCTCGTCGACCTCCTTCGTTTGCAGAATACAATATCGTGGCCTAGCCAAACTTTCTTTCTGTTGACACCGAGTTGACATGTTTTTTTTTTTTCATTGTTCATTTCACTGATTACAGATTTCCCAGGAGGTTTCGATTTTATGACATTCCATTCTTTGACGTTCCATATGTCACCTTTTACTTTCTCTGTTTTTCTTTTTTTGTTAGCGAGCTACATTCTGGATAATGAGACACAACCAATTCATCTTTGCATACTCGTTCACCTGCAATCTCGATTCTGCTTCCGGATAGACTTGGTAATTTCTCAGAACTCCATCCACGTAAAGTCAAAACATTGATAAAGGAACATCCCAAGAACTGAAGATGAAAAAAGACGGTGGTGAACTAGTTAATGTAATCGGACACCCACTCCATCACTCCGCCCAACCCACATTAACTATCTCTATACGCAAATTTTAACGCGTCGCCATGTCACCAAATGGTACAGAAAATCGAGAAAAATAAGTAAAATAAGGGGGTAAGAGCCTACTTGCTATTTCCCATTTAAAATGGCAAAATTCGGTCAATTCTTCAAGCTGTACGCATGTACAATGTTCCCCATACAACTCTCCATGATCGACTCAATGGCATCGAATATAAGATTGAACTACGCACCAATAGTTATATATTAACTCAGTGCGAAGAGGAATCTCTTTTAAAGTGAATTCTTGACCTCGATAAACGCGGATTACCTCCCCGACCATCCCTCGTACAAGATATGGCTGATCTTCTTTCTCAACACGGAAATAAAAACGTCAGTGAGAGATGGGTTTATCGATTTGGTGACAGGAATCCAGAAGTAAAACTACGGTTTTCATGAAGATAAATCTACAAGCGAGCAAAATGTGGGGATATTAAGATAATCCGAGAGCATTTTAGCTGCGTACAAGAGGTTATACAAGAATATAGGATCTTATCGGAAGATATATACAATTTTGACGAGATCAGCTTCGCTATGGGTCTCTGTGCTTCTGCAAGTTTATTACTGGTAGCAATTGATATGGAAGGTCTAATCTATTAACATGACAATCGCGAATGAGTGATAGCAATTAAAGCAGTTCATTCCACTGGATGGGCTTTACCCTCGTCCGTTATTTTCAAAGCAACAACCTATTATCAATAAGGCTAGTTTAAGACTCTTCCACAAGAGTAGAGGTTTGATATTAGTAAAAATGGCTGGACAACAGACGGGATCGGGATACAATAGCTTCAAAATCACTTTATTCCTCATACAACAAGCCGTACGAAGGGGAGATATCGGATGCTTGTTTTTGATGGCAATGGAAGCCATTTAACACCTCAATTTGATCAAATATGTACTGAAAATAATGTTATACCAGTGTGTATGCTATCTCATTCCTCACATCTTTTACAGTTTCTTGATGTGAGTTGTTTTGCTGTTCTAAAACGACAATATGGACGGCTTGTTGAGCAACGTGTACGGCTTGGATTCAATCATATTGATAAATATGACTTTCTTACAGCTTTTCGGAATGCTCGTACAATGACGTATAATGTGAATATGTACCTAAGCGCCAAATAACAACAATAAAGAAGGGTATCAATGGGCGTAGGGCAAGCCCGTTGCGACAATTGATCAGGCGATAAACCGGATGTCCAAAAGTGTACGAAATGAGTATTAATGGGATTCTAATTGTACGGAAAGAGGTGTATGATTTACGGGTTGAAAATGAGAAGGAGAAGCAAAAATGTAAAAGATTTATGCTCAGGTGTTTCACGAAGGATCTCTTACAGCACAGGAAGCCCAGAAATTAATAACTAGTCGAGATGAGGCATCTCAACATATTCCGGCTCCACCAGTCGAATCCGAACCCCAGGCCTTTCAATCATGCGTACGAGCGCTACCCAGCTGCAGTGGATGTGGGATTATCGAATATAAAATCAACAGATGCCCAAATCGTGCTAGTTAAAAATTTGTATATATTTTGTATGTGGGTTAGGAATTAGCCTTGAAATTCGTATAGCGCGCTTTTCCCCGAGGAAGTGATCGGGTGGTTGTCCGATTACGTTAAGTAACTAACGTAAATCAACAAGCGAGTTGGCCACTTTTCCCGAAAACGCGCGCTCTATTGATTTCAAACCTCAATTTCTAACCCACATACAAATTAAATAAAAAAAAAAAAATTAATTACTGGTACGATTAGGACATGTAGTTATTTTATGTCCTTCAATGCCGCAACCACTGCAGCGAAATTGACGTCGTACAGGTGGATGAGAGACTGGGAGCTCAGGCTCGGCCGGAGCAGTAGTAACAGCTTGAGATGCCTCAATCTGACCTTGTACAAGTGCCTGAGCTTCCTCTCTAATAACTCCTCGCTCAAGAGATATTTGCTTTTTAGATTTTTGACGTTTTTTCTTCTCCTTCCCATGTGCAGCCCGTAGATCATGGATTTCCTTCTGTGCAATTGTAAGCTCATTTACCCTCATTTCATAAGCCTTTGACATCTGTGTAATTGCTTTATAAAAGTCCTCAGATGGGTTTTTTATATGCTGGCTCACCTGTTTTTTAATTGTAGTCATTTGACGCTTGAATGGACGGGGATCCTGAGGTGTCTGTAAGCAAGATGACTGTGTATCACTTGATCGACTTGGAGGAGGTGTTGGGGTCTTCAATCGAACAGTAAGCTGTTGATAGACTCGATTTGGATTAAATGGTACTAATCCAGTAGATGCGAAGCTATTCCGAACATTCTGAGCTTTATATGCCATCGTACGAGCCATTGGAAATGCAGTAAGAAAGTCAAATTTGTCAATATGATTGAACCCAAGCCTCATCCGTTGCTCAACAAGCTGTCCATAATGTCGCTTTAAAACAGCAAAACAGCCCACATCAAGAGGCTGTAAGAGATGTGAAGAATGAGGAGGCATACACACTGGAATAATATTATTCTCAGTGCATATGCGGTCAAATTCAGCTGTTAGATGACTTCCATGGCCATCAAGAATTAGCATCCGATACTTTCCAATTGACCGGTCACTTGTAAGAGGAATAAAATGGAGTTTAAGCCATTCTAATCCAATCTTATCTGTTGTCCATCCATTATCACTGATATTGATTATCCAGTTAGCTGGAAGATCCTCAAACCAGCCTAAACGCATATATTTCTTTGCCTTAAAGATAATATATGAAGGTAAAGCCCATCCTGTTGAGTTAACTGCCTCAATTGCAGTTACCCATTCTCGATCACCAGGCTGTAATAGCTTTGGCCGAGCATATCGATCACTTCCAGTAATAACCTTGGCAGTTTCACAAAGTCCCATAGCAAAGCCAGTCTCATCAAAATTATAGATATCCTCTGGCAGGATTCCATATTCCAATATAACCTCTCGTATGCGATCAAAATATTCTTGGATTATCTTCGGATCTTCGCATTTAGCACGTTCATAGTTGTATTTCCGTGAGAATTTTGATTCAATCTCTGGACGACGTTTGACAAGATTATATACCCATTTTTCTCCAACCTGTTGATTTCCGTGTTGCGAGAGAAGATAATTAGCCATCTCTCGTACAAGGGAGTGCCGAGGGGGTAATCCACGTTTATCTAGATCGTGTATCCATTTGACAAGTGATTCCTCCTCAAATTGAGTCAATTTATGATTGTTGGCGCGTATTTGAGATCTTTGTTGAGTACCGCTCAATCTCTTTTGTAGAGTGGTCCGGGGTATCTTATAAATCCTTGCAGCTTGAGCCACGCGCAAGATTCGTTCATTTTGTAAATCGGAAATAGCTAACAGGATCCGGCCCTCTTGCTCAGCTAAGTCTTTTTTGTTTTTATTGAGAATTGGTGGCATATTGACGTGTTAAATAATATAGAATTGAGATTGTGTACGTGTTCGGGAAAAATATGCCACTTCGCTTACCGATTACGTCTAGGACAAAAAAGGGATTACATAATCTCGGTATCTCGGTAGATAGTTTTTCCATACATCATTTTTCCGAAAAAGTTAAGCCATCACGTCGACTCTACGAATTGACTCTACGAATTGATAACCATTCTTACTTCCCATCAATCACTACAGATTTCTGTTTCACTTTTTCGTTACTTATTTTCACGATTTCTTACATTAAAATGTTGCAACGCACGATCCTCAGACAGCGCCGCGCTGTATTCTCAAGCATAAACAGAGCTACAATTCCGTCATCGCCATTGAGACAGTCATCGCCGTTCCAACAGCTTGCCCTAAAACAATCTGCCTTCAGATTCACACCTCGCTTATACTCTACAGAAAATGGCACAAAACAAGAAGATGCCAAGAAAGAGAATGGTGAAGGCTCTGAGAAACCAGCCGAGAGCCCTGAGGATGCCCTCAAGAAGGAGCTTGAAGTCAAGGACAAGGAAATTGTTGATTTGAAGGTAAGCCAGACAGGTGAGTTTCTGAATGCAATTAAATCTAACAAAACTTCAGGATAAATACCTCCGTTCCGTTGCAGACTTCCGTAACCTCCAAGAGCGAACCAGACGTGACATGGACAATGCCCGCTCTTTCGCCATTCAAAAATTCGCAGTTGACCTCCTCGAATCAATTGACAATTTCGATCGCGCTCTTTCCGTTGTGCCCGCTGAAAAACTTAATAACGACCAAAGCGAGACCAACAAGGATCTCCAGGAGCTTCACCAGGGATTGAAGATGACCGAGAACATTTTGTTGAGCACACTCAAGAAGCACGGACTCGAGCGCTTTGATCCTTCGGAGACTGCAGATGGAAAGCCTCAAAAGTTCGACCCCAAGCTTCATGAAGCTACTTTCATGGCCAAAGCAGAGGGCAGGGAGAATGGCGACATTATGTTTGTCCAAAGCAAGGGTTATAGCTTGAACGGTCGTGTTTTGCGGGCAAGTTGACATTCACCCTTTTTACTTGTTCAACAGCTAACGTATGATTCAAGGCCGCCAAAGTCGGTGTTGTCAAGAACGACTAAACGTTTTTCCGATTCTCCTTCCTCGACCGTGAACCGATATTCAATCACGGCGTGTATATGACCTTGGCAAATGTACAATATATTTTCTTACTCTTCTACGGGGACGACTCTTATCTTCGGTTATACTTGAACTCGTTCGACTCAAGCTCGACTGCTGAGTTTGTATGTGTAATATACAGTGGGATAACGTGCACCGATTTATCTAATGGTGACCTGTAATGCGCGGTTCTTATGTCCCTTTCTCTCCTCTCTGCAGCATTTTATATAGCACGGCGCATGACTGTTGGATTCGGGGTTTGCAGCTTGGCATTGGCATGTGAAAAGCAATAAATAATGATTCAATCATGAATAAACAAATCGTACGCGTCTTATCAAACAATCCAAGAATTATTTCTCTGTAGGCTTGAAAATAATTGATTATGACCGATAGGCGGAGTGAGAAAGTTGTGCCGAGCTCCGCCGCATTTCTCCAAGCTGCAAATTTCGGACCCGACAAAAGGTTGTTAGCTGCTCCAACTCCCAACCTCAGATTACATGAAGAGCACTCGAAATGAGGCTCCTAGCTACCGGCAGAGCTATCAGGCTCCATCACTCACGATGGTCAATTAATCGCGCCAATGGCCAGGGTGTATGCGCATTGTTTACTATACCCGCTGCGAACCATCCCGGATTTCGCTATTCGAGCTCATCGCAAGGACCAGAGCAAAAATCAAGTCAATCGACAGCAGCAACATTAAATTCAGCTACTACGAGCTCTGCACTGGGCGCAGAATCACAAGGAACAATCATTGTGGAAGGCAAATCCTATCCTACCGATCAATGGACGAATGCAACCCCCTCTATCCTATCCCATATTTCGAAAGGACTATATACACGAGAAAACCATCCACTATACATAACCCGAAAATTAATCGAGAGTCAATTTCCCGGTCCAACGTATGGAAACTACACCGAAAAGAACCCCGTCGTCACAACGGCTCAGAACTTTGATGTCCTCGGATTCCCACTAGACCATCCCGGACGCAGTCGAACGGATACTTATTACGTGAATGAGAAGACTGTGTTGCGAACGCATACCAGCGCACACCAAGCTGAGTATTTTCGCCGCATGGCAGAGGAAAATGCTAAAGAAGATGGGTATACAGTGGCAGCCGATGTTTATCGAAGGGATGCAATTGATAGGAGTCATTATCCGGTATTTCATCAGATGGAAGGAGCGCGGTTGTGGAAACGTACACCGGGCATGACTGCGTCAGAAAGCGCTGCAAGAATCCTTGAGGATGTCAAGAAATTGCCCACGCACGATGTTGAGGTGGAAGACCCGAACCCAGTTACGCACCCGGAACGCAATCCACTACAAGCAGACTATCATTCTCAAGAGGAAGTGGATGCTGTAGTAGCCCACCTTAAACGGAATCTGGAGCTTTTGGTCGTCAGGATTTTTTCTGAGGCGTCCAAAGCATCCCAGGATTCTGGTTCACCGCCAGAACCCTTAAAGATCCGGTGGATAGAGGGATACTTTCCATTCACCAGCCCTTCCTACGAACTGGAAGTGTTCTGGCAGGGTGACTGGCTGGAGGTTGTAGGTTGTGGTGTCATCAAGCAAGAACTACTCAATAACTCCGGCGTTCCCGATCGAATCGGCTGGGCATTCGGACTTGGCCTGGAACGCATTGCAATGCTTCTCTTCGAAATCCCTGACATTCGTCTATTCTGGTCGCAAGACTCCCGATTTCTGTCACAATTCCGCAACGATAAGATCGTCCGTTTCCAGCCCTTCTCCAAACATCCCGAATGCTACAAGGATGTTGCTTTCTGGTTAAGCTCTGCTGCGACAAGTGGCACAGGGGCCAGTGCTGCTGGCGGCGCTATCTCTTTCCATGACAACGATATGATGGAGATTGTCCGCGAGTGCGCCAAGGACATTGTGGAAGATGTTAAACTGGTGGATGAATTCGTGCACCCAAAAACCGGACGAAAGAGTTTATGTTATAGAATCAACTATCGAAGTCTAGAGCATACTTTGACCAACAAAGAGGTGAATGTGGTTCATGAGCAGGTCCGACAGACTTTGGTGGAGAGGTTCGGGGTGGAGATTCGATGATTCGTCTGTACACTACTGTACGACTATGTACCACTAGGAAGATACTCTATTCTCCGTTTACATGAATGTATATACTTGTCTCTGTTTTACTCAAACTATATACAATTACTATATGCGTCGGCCGTTAAAGTAGGCCCGGCGAACGGACAAGTAGCCGAACCGATCTCGCTGTGGACCCTTCCCGCCAGCCAATCCAAAGACATTAGAAATCCAGTTTATCTCGACTTCAACTTTTGTCTTCACTCTCGATTGCTTGATATTGACCGGTTGCTGCAGCATCCGGAATGTATAATACTACATCACAATGGTAGTGGGCACCAGTGTCAAGACAACAGAGCTCATGCCTGCCACGACTGAGCAGCAGCAGCAGCCAAAGAAAGTGGTGAAAAAAATCCATTATCCGTTCTGGTTTGGTGGTTCGGCGTCATGTTTTGCTGCTGCTGTTACGCATCCATTGGATCTTGGTATGCTCTTCTCGTTCTTATGTGGAATATAAACTAATACATGAGTACAGTGAAGGTAATTCTCAGCTTCACCACCACTTCTATCTAATTAACAAGCGACGTCATCAAGGTCCGATTACAAGCCCGCGCTCCCAATGCGCCAACTTCAATGCTGGGAACATTTGTCCATGTTGCTAAGAACAATGGAGTTCTGGGATTATATAGCGGTGTACGTTGCATCACCGCCCCTTAATCGACATCGATATACTAAAACTTTCGTTGTTTGTCTAGCTATCTGCCGCCATACTTCGACAAATGACATACTCAACAACCCGTTTCGGAGTCTACGAAGAACTAAAGTCCCACTTCACCGACCCCAATTCCTCCCCCAAAATGCTCAGTTTACTCTGGATGGGCTGTCTATCCGGATTTCTAGGTGGTATAGCCGGTAACTTTGCCGATCTCATCAATGTCCGTATGCAAAACGACGCAGCTCTCCCGCCCCACAAACGACGGAATTATAAACATGCTATCGACGGTGTGGTTCGCATGACTCGGGAAGAAGGTTTTGCCAGTTTATTTCGCGGTGTGTGGCCCAATTCGACTCGAGCAGTTCTCATGACTGCGTCGCAACTCGTCTCGTACGATATATTTAAACGCATATGTACCGATAAACTAGGTATGCCGGATAGTCTATCGACACATTTCACGGCTTCGATATCAGCTGGCTTCGTGGCTACGACCGTCTGTAGTCCTGTGGACGTTATCAAGACCAGGGTCATGAGTGCCCATCACACAGATACGAAAGCTGGATTGATGCATTTGTTGCGAGATATATATCGCAAGGAAGGTGTATCGTGGATGTTTAGAGGGTGGGTGCCAGCGTTTGTGCGTTTGGGTCCTCATACGATTGCTACTTTCTTGTTTTTGGAGGAGCATAAGAAATTATATCGGAAGATTAAAGATTTATAACAGTCTTGAAAGCACAGGCCCTTGTGGTCGGTTTTGTTTATGTTGGACAGCTACACATATAGATCTGGATGGGTTGTCATCTTTCTTGAAATACTTGTTTGATCGGCGCTCGGGATATTTAGAATTGGGCTCAAAGTCGCAAGACTTCTCGTCAGACCCTCTTTATTTGTTCATTTTATGTAAATATCCATGCACTTACTATAAGGAGCTCATTGCTCACTGCTGATAAGAACTGTTCAAGTACACCGCGCAGACCCAAATAGTCATAAGAGGGAAGACCGTATATTGGTATCAGGAGAAGATCATACAAAGCGCAAGCAAAGTGAGATGGGATGCCGATCATTATGTCGCTCAGATAATCCGAAGTGTAGAACGCTCAGTGTCATATCAAAGGTAGATAACTCTAGCCTGCAAAATCTTCCAAATTCAAAGGGATTTTCTTCCATTTCCCATTCTTCTTCACAAACTCGGATGAACCAAACTACCATCATCAGTAGCCGCGTCTGAGAGATACAATGATAGTAAACTTACAGCTTTTCTTGTCTTTCGTACGATATCACTATACTCCTTCCCATTCCAGTCTTCGGATTGAATTGTGAAATCCGTTTCATCAGGGACTTGTTTGATTTCTATCAGGAAAGAAACACGATCATGTATGCGCTTTCCATTGACGCCGACGATGAAATTGTTGTAGGGCAACGATGCTTGTTGACCAGGAGAACCAGCAACCTATTATCACAAATTAGTATGCTAACAGTGCTTCGACAAATCCGGTACATACCGCGCATGTAAAGATTAATTCACTTGGAAAGTGCTGTGTGATGTATTTAATATCTGTATACGGTCTCTGAAAGACCATCCCCAGTATACAAGTAACTCGGTCTGTTGACACATCGGTGGCTAGCTTCAATGGAAAGTCGACAACCATTTCCTTGCCGTCACGTACAATAAGCAATTCGGCAGTCTCTTTATCGGTATCTTCCAAAGCGTCAAAGTCCAGATATTGCGTGATTCTCTTGCTATTAATACTGAGTAAGACATCACCATGTCGTATATACTCTGCAACTTCTCGAGTCGCTCTTCGAACGCTGAAGAATCGATGCTGTGCCCCATTTGCGCGGATTCCGCATTCGATATGTTCATCCGATACTCCCATCACACGGGCATTCTTTGGTAGAATGACATCCACGCGGAAATTAAATCTTCCACGAGCCCTTGACTGACCTCCGGCTAGAATTTCAGATATAACAGACGCAATGCCTGTAGTTGGAAGTAAATAGCGCCCTCCATTCTTCATGACAAGCCAGAAACCTGCGACCTGGTGCAAGTTATTCAACACAACCCCTGATAGACAGAAATGCGCCCACTCACTGTCGAGCTGAACGACGTCTATTGCTTCCGCGTGCTGTATTGGCGAGACGAAATCTGCAATGGATGAGCCCGTGATGATGGCATTTGTTGTATGGAATACATCTTGGCCGTCCATCCCGACAAATGTCACTGTCTCCAGTTCTTGAGGGGTCTCGGTGGCAAGTTGGACTGCATCGAGCGATTGAGTACTAGTATTGGCAGAGTTGTATCGAATAAGAACCCAGTTCTGTCGGTCATCCATGTGCACAAGTTCGCCCAAGATCTCGCGGCCGTCGATATCGATATAGAGATCACATAGATCGTGTGGACATGTAGTTTTGGCTGCGAAAATCAAGCCATTGCTCAGAATGAAGCCAAAACTTTCCAACCTGGTTTCTGCAATTTCATCAAGGTTAAGATACGGTGCAATCCATGTTACTTGCACGAATCGTCTTTTGACCTGATAGAGCCATGGCATTTTGACCGTATTGGTATCCATTACTGTGGTTGTTGACTGGACAGGCTCATTGTTCGCAGTTGACTCTGAGGTTTCTATGCTGGAATACTCCCATTGCTCGGTGTCGGGATTATAGTTCGTTAACGTCATTTGGCTCCAGTGGCGGTCTATAGTGATATGTGTTGTTTGTGGCCGAGTATTCGTAGTTGCGTGCGTATATCGTACAAATACTCTTTCACGATCTGGTGATTTTAGTCATATCCTATATCAACAGCCTTAACGAATGGTATGAGTTGACGTACCTTTGAGCTTGCACAGCACTCTCTCCCCCTCAATAACATTTGGCGTTGAATGATTGTTGATAGAAGAGATTATATAACTAGAGGTCTCATCTCCGAGAGAAAAGTTTATGCTTGAAGAGGCCAAAAACATGCCTCTAAGTGGTACCTTCCAGCAAACAGCAGTCCTATAGGGAACATTATGGAATGCAGCCCCTGAATCATTCAAGATCCGTGTTGGTACAATAGTCAACAGATCGTGTACAGTAAGCTCAAAAGTGAGCTCTTGTCCAAATCGGACAACGCTGATTTGAATCTTCTGCCCGACATTGGCATCCAATAGCTCTTCGAGCTGTGTGAATAGCACCATAGGCCTGCCGTTGACTGAGAGAAGTATATCGTTGACCTGCAAGAAGTCATAGGCTTCAGTCTCTGGAATGACGATTGCAGCAACCAATAATCCATTTCTGTCAGTGTTGATTTCAGCCTGTTTCTCCCGCGAGAGTCCTAGCTGTCGACACTCGTAGAAAGGTACGCGTTTCCAGACTGTATGGATTGTTCCTCTGGAGACAAGTCGTTTGCCCACAATGTCATTTAGAACGCGAACAGGATGTTGTAATGGGAAAAACCAATCCAGATGAGAGTTGTTGTGACCGCTCACACAAATTCCTATAGCCTCACCACTGAGTGTTAGCAATGGACCTCCGGAACATCCCCCTTTTCCGGCGGCAGAAGCTTGGATGAGTTCAACATTGCTGTCAAAAGTTCTTGGTGAAGGAGTATCGAGTCGTGAGATGGTGCCTCTCAATATGTTAATCTTTTCACCACTATCGTTACCAATCAAATAGACATGAGAACCAACGATGGCTTTCTCTGGACTGATTGTCAGACATTCCAAATCCAACTGTTCGAGATCTTCCGGGGGACATTGCAGAATTGCATAGTCATGTTCCGGGTCTCTATATTTGACTTTGAAATCACACTGTTTCAGTCAGCACAAAACAAGTCAAATAATCGGGAGAGCGGAACTGTATACCCGCTCATCGTTATGAGAGATGATGTATCCCTCACATGGCCCATTTACAGCATGAGCAGCTGTAAAGAAGAGGCCAAACTGTTTATTAACCAGAAAGGCGCTGGCTTGATATGTTCCTGCCAAACTCTCTTGATATGCTCGTGTCTGTCGCACGGCAACCTGCACCATGCTCTTGAGGATATCTCTTTTCAAAGAGTTGTCGATCTGTATACTGGCATCACTAGACTCGGCTGGTGTCACCAAAGGAGATGATGAACGAGATGTCGGTGATGACATCTTGTTGCTCCTTCAGTATTATTCCCGAATCTGCTTGAGTATGTGGGATACAGTACCATGCACTGATTCTTTTAGATTTGGGGCTTGTTCGAGCCCGAGATAACGACCAAAGATGCCTGTTGCTCAATGTGTGACTACAATACCTATATATAGAACAGTAGACGAGCAGAGAGTAGTGGAAGGGACGGATCAAATGAGGCTGTCGACATTCGTAAAAGCCAGCGTATTAAATATCAGAAACGGCAAATATATTCGATCAACAAGGCAGATTTGACTCAGATCAATCAGCACTAGCTCAATCTGCAATTTTCTTCTCTAGAATGAGGCTGCAACTAGTGCCACCCACCGCACAGGCAGCCGAGCTGAAAAGAGAAAGCTGTAGCTTCAGCTGCAGCTAGTGGATGTGGCGCGGGGGGCACATGTACATTGAGTAGGTGTTTGACGGTTGCTGTTCAATTAATATACCGAGTATTTTCGGATAATGAGAATGATAGATATATACACGAGAAGGATAGGGAAGGATGAGAAGAAGCCACTGGGGTGAAATGCAGAATAAAATCGAAAGATGAGATGGAAGAAAACGATGGATGCCTGAGGCGAGGCTAAGCTGCCTACCGTACCATAGGGAAGGTGCATCTGCAGAAACAAAAACCATTTTGATTTGATATTTCGTCCAAGGAAAACATATCTGAGAACTGTATGGATGCAGCCGAGAAAGAAATAGTCAGGAGAGATGAAAAACCCAATGGGCGACAAGTGACCATGCCAACATCAACCACAAGGCGATATAACCTGGCGATCCCCGCGCGCCTACAGCGCCGTTGGACGAATTCTCATGCGCCGCCAGCGGGATTCGAGACTGATACAGCTTGACCGAGTTGATCAGAAAGTAGGAATTGGAGAATACCCGAGGATTGGCGGCAACATAGGCTTCACAGGAGGAGTATTTTGTGCTGTCAGCGCAACTTTGTGGTGCAGAGGAGCTCGCTGACTCATTCCAGTTTGAGCCGCTGGCATTTTCGCCGCAGAAGTCGATATTGAAGATCTGTTATCATGTCAGCAGTTGAATTGAAACGGATCCTAGCGAGAGAGACTGACGATTGTTTGATTCTTCCACTGCTCCGAAACACGACATCCAAGGTGAGATTTGAAATGCAAGAGTGGTTTGCCCCAGTTCTTAGGTGTCAGTTCTTGTCCTTTGATAATGTCATCCGGGATCGCTGTGCGAGGGAACATCCAAACTGCGAGGTCATCTTTATCGAGCCACAACGCCCAAACCCCTCCGCCTTGCGCATTGAACGGATCTCCATAGGTATTCGACGGACCGGATACGCCGCACCCATCAATATAGTTTGTCGCAAGTGAGCAGTCTGTTCTCACATTTGTTCCAGTCTCACTCTGCGGGTCGGCAGTCAAATTGCATCGAGCACTCGTGTGCAAACTGATATCGTCCCCAACCTGATCATTAACACCTTCAATGATATCAACCTCGCCGTATGGATCTTCACCATAGTCATATATCCAATATGCAGGCCATGTCCCACAGATACTGTTGGGTATGTGCGCAAAATCAGCGATGAGCAAACCCTGATCGAAGGTCTGCCGACTTTCAAGGCGGACACTTTTCCGGCCGGCTTTAGCGATGCTAGCTGAATCGTCACTGTCTGTAACTATGCTGCCGTTTGGATAGTTTAGAATTGTCACATTATCGACTCCAAGGTAGATTTGATTGGTATTGACCATCTGTGCGAGACCAGATGCCTGAGCTGTATTGGCGTCCACGTATTGGACATAGCCATGGGTTGGATCGGAAGCCTATGTGATTGGTAAGTTATAAGAATGAGCAGAAAAATAATCAAGTGATTGCCAGGCTTACGGTGAAAAAGGTAAATTGGTTGAAGAAGTTGGTGTGATCGTATAGAGATACCAGCTGGTAGGCCATTTTGACAACTGAGATATTTCCAAGGAGACAAAGAATGATTATTAGCGAGTTGAATCTGGAATATCTTCAAGCAAAAAACAATCGAAATATCATTTCGTCGAAGTGTTCTTGAGATGGGAGAGCTGAGAAGTTGCATATCTGATAATTGCGCAACACGATCTTAAATAAGCCTCATCAGATGTAGATAATATTCAAGCAAACGGACACCCTAATGTAGACGTCATATGGATGTAGCATGAGCCATCAATTAGTTATATCTTGTCCAACCCCTTTTGAGATTATTTTGGTGGTTACGCTCTAGGCTGCAGTTAGGAAGCAACACCTTAAATCAAGAACCATATTTACTTGACTAGACAAATGTGTCACATGGAAAGCTAGATATCAAGCAGTTGAAAACAATGCAAGTCTTATATAAGGTTACGCACATATTCAGTCAAGTCTAGAGTTGTACAGGTTGACCATGTACCTAGGTAGATATCGCCAATCTCTAGCAAGGCTTTCCAAGGCTAGAACGCTGATATCCGGGTCATATTGACAAGCCCCATGACTGTCATTGTACTTGGTGGAACAAGAATGCCTGTTAACTAAATCCTGACTGGTATAGAGAAGACGGGTAGGAGAATGGGATCTTCAGTTTACATAGTTCATATGCACCAGTCCAATTGATAAGAAAATCAAATTCAATCAAATGACACTTCTCTGCCTAGACTTGAATACACTGCGCTTTATATACAACTTCCCTGGTTTCTTTGGCTGACCCAGACACGGGACATGTATACCCCGAGCCCATCTAATTGAGTAGAGTACAGAAGGATCATAATTGGCTGTCTTGAATGCGAGACAAATTCGTCATCTATTGATCAAGACGGGCAGGGAAGTTGCCGGCCTCTGCCGAAGAATTAGCATTAAACCTACTGAGAATAAGCAGGAGTGTCACTAACCACGCTGATCGTCCCATCGGTCGGTCCAGGACTTGGGGCAGAGAGATCGGTAAGCAAGATAGAACTGAGAGCCGAGTATCAGCTATTGATCTCTTTCGGTAAAGATGATACATGTGAATATACCTGTTTGCACGGGCGGAAGTCTTCACCCTTGGCGAGGATACACTTGTGGTAGTCGACGTAGTTCTGCCAGCAGTGCTTTGTCCTACAAAATATTAGTATCGGGGTTATTGTAGAGAAAAGGTAGAGGGCCGTACTGGTTCTGGTAGGGAAAGCGGGCGTCATAGCCTGTCAATGAGAGATCGATGGTTAGTGTACGCCGGTAAGCTCTTATATCGGAACATGGAGGGAGAATTGATAGCCGGAATTCTCGTCGATCAAGCAAAACGCTTCAAAACAGCATCTAGACATACCAGCTGGTAGGAATTAGCAATTGTTGGTTATTTCCTCAGCTTCCAGCGTGTAGGTCAACGTCACGCAATGGCCCGGAACGAACTCACCAGTCACGAACTTGAAGGGCTTGGTCTCGACAGGCTCATCGGGGTCGGCCTCAGGGATGGTGCTGCTCATTTTGAGAGGAGACTTTTCGACAGGATCAACTTGATTAAGGAATTGGAAGCTGTTGCGGTCGCAATGGCAGTGTCAACAGTGTAGAAGAGTGGTGTGACAGAAGGAAGAGAGTGACGGTTGGAGGTTCGGGTGGAGTGTCTTGGCAGGCTGAGCTTGCCGGGAATGCCTTAGGCGAAAAAACCAGCCACGCGTGGCGCATGCAATTACCCGTTGTCCCGAAAACCGACGACCATGCCACCCAACCAACTTCACGTCACTACTCTTGCCTCAACCTCCTTCATTCAACTCTCCACTCCCCAGTGACTGCTAGAACTGCTGAACTCTGGATTTGTGTCCATCATGTTCCCTACTCGTGCTCTCGCGATGCGTCCTACACGGCCCGTCATGGCTGCCCCTGTATGTTCCCTTCTTTTCCGGTACTGGTGATGTTTTACTGACTGGGTTGTGTAGAAAGAGGACATGAGCGGTATGGATTGCCAACCCATTGGACGACAACAGATACATGCAACGAACGGCTAGATGACTAACTGCTTCTAGCTCACACCATCTCTCAGCGACTCCGTTTGATCAAGAAGATCCCTCCCGAGTTGATTCCTCTCGGTAAGCTTGACCTCATCGCTGCATCGATACATTGGTATATTGATTCAATTGGATTATGGCTAACGACTATATTGTATTTTAGGTATCGTCTTGGGGTAAGTCCCGACAGTATTTACATAACCACTTGCAACAAGTCCACTAACGGATCTTACAGGGTTGCTGTCGGCGCCGCCATCTACTCCTCCACCCACAAGCTCTTCGCTGACAAGACCCTCCGTCTCTCCCGCAACAAACCCGAAGATCGTAGCCACCACTAAGCCTTGGGCTACTGAAATATGGCGGGAGTAGCAGGATTTGTCGGTTGGAGTCTGCCCGTTTGCAGAGGTGGACGGTCCTTGCAGAATTCGATAGCTTCACACAGATTGTCTGTCGGTTTTTGTATATAAGCAAGGTTCTTCGGTTGTTGGTGGCAATTTGCAGAATGGTCAAGAAGAAAACAGCCCTATGTAGCAATATCGATTGTATCGCCGTGCTTTCTTTTTGATAATTGGATTCGTCATGTTTCAACTGCGTATCGTATTACTCCGGTCTGGGTCCTGCTACATCGAGTCCTTCTAGACCTTGCATTGGGTCTTCGGGGCGGCTATTTGCTGCTAATCGAGCTTCTTCTGCAGCCTGACGGTCCTCTTCACTCACGGCGTATTTTGCGAGATAACCCTCCTAGAACGAAGTCAGTATCAACAGTATTTCAAGATGCAATTGCTTAAAACGTTGCTACGTACTTGCTCCCAAATAGCCGTCTTGCTTCCTAGACCTTCGTTTGCATCCCGTTGAGGTTTGGCCGCAGCAACTTTGATAATCCGTCCGTATAACTCACTTTGATCCATATTGTCGATAGCTTCCTTTGCGTCCTGCGGAATCTCGAACTCCACATACCCAAATCCTCGGTGATTATCAGTTGACGATGGGAGGTCGGGCTTTGGCAACGACACATCAACAATTTCTCCAAACGGTAAGAAAGCTTCTGTAAGAGTCTGAATTGTCACGGCCTGGTCGAGGCCGCCGACGTAGACGGTGCTTTTCAATCGAGTAGTTTCGCTCATTATGTGAGGTAAGGGTATATATTCGTGCAACTGATGTGTCGTAATAAGTCCGTAGCAAAATGGGAAGATTTCAGCGATTGCCCTGCACAATGAAGCATTGAACCCTTCCTCGATCAATTGACGATGCCCGCAATGCAAACAGATCACGTGTATGTGATGCCTGACTTTTGAGGCGCCGAGGGACATCTGGGAGCTTAGGTTGCCCCCAGGTGGTCCGAGCAGCCGCCAGAAGGCCACTTGGATACATCCCAGCAGCCATTATTGTGTGCAACCCCATTACATACTTCTGCGACTACACTGAGCGTTCGTCTATAGCTTCAGTGTGCATTAATTGAACACTCGCCAATTCTATACCATCATCTGTCTTGTTTACTCCTCCTGTCTGGATGCACCTCTAATGACCCATTGTTTACTTTGGGCCCCTCACGATTAGTCTCACTATACACAATCTCTCCGCCATTGCCATGGTGCGCCTCAGGGAGATTCCCCGAACGGCCACGTTCGCCTGGTCTCCCGGTGCTCAGACGCCATTGTTAGCTACTGGAACTCGAGCGGGTGCTGTTGATTTTGATTTCTCAAATGAAACCAACTTGGAGTTGTGGGATCTCGGACTCGACAAGGAGAATGCCGGGGAATTACAGCCTTTGGTCAAGGTTCCAACGGACTCGGGGTACGTTAGGATTGTCATTATTTGGGAGATAGTGGCAGCTCGCTAATCATTTCCCTGCATCTTATAGCTTCCACGATCTCGCCTGGAGCGACCACTACGATAACAAGCGGGGAATTGTTGCGGGAGCTCTTGATGACGGATCGCTCAAACTCTGGGATGCCGACAAACTTCTGAATGGGACAAGGTGTGCAACCTTCAATGGAGCTGCTAGGACTAGTGCTAACGGCTAGAAGCGATGCATTGGTAGCGTCACCACAGAAGCACTCCGGTGCCGTCAAGTCTTTACAGTTCAACCCAAGACATTCCAATCTCCTCGCTACTGGTGGCGTAAAAGGAGAGGTATATTCATCATCCAACTTTATATGCCACTACATAATGTACTAATTGCTTCATAGCTTTTCATCACAGACTTGAATAACGTCGAGAACCCATTCCGTCTCGGAAACACCGCCGCTCGTGCCGACGATATCGAATGCTTGGATTGGAATAAAAAGGTTGCGCATATTTTGGTGACAGGTACCAATGCTGGCTTCGTCACCGTCTGGGATGTGAAGACAAAGAAAGAGAGTCTTACCCTGAACAATTACGGCCGGAAGCCTGTCAGTGCTGTGGCCTGGGACCCTGAAAAGGTTTGAAATCTACCCAGTCGACAGCTGCGATTCAGTTGACTAACAAGCGCAGCCAACGAAATTGGTGACATCCATTCCGCTCGAATCTGATCCGGTCATCCTCGTTTGGGATCTGCGAAACTCTCATGCGCCTGAGCGGGTAAGTCTCTCCCGGCTGACGACATATTCAGACTCGTAACTCATTCTTCATAGGTCCTTCGAGGACATGAATCTGGTGTCCTATCTCTCTCGTGGTGCGCTCAAGATCCCGAACTCCTTTTGTCATCGGGCAAGGATAACCGAACGATTTGCTGGAACCCTCAAACGGGCGAGAATTACGGAGAGCTGCCAATCGTCACAAACTGGACCTTCCAAACACGATGGAACCCGCACAACCCTAACTTCTTCGCTACCGCTTCCTTCGATGGCAAGATCACCGTCCAAACACTTCAAAACACGAGCAAGGAGGCTGCTAAGGCCGCAGCTACCCAGAACCAAGCGTTGGACGGAGAAGATTTCTTTGCGCGTGCACAAACCCAACCTCAAGCTACCACGTTTTCCCTGCCAAAAACGCCCAAATGGCTCGAAAGGCCTGTTTCAGCATCTTTTGGTTTCGGCGGCAGAGTCATCTCTGTAGGCCTGACCGAAAGTGGCAGCCGTACCTCAAAGGTCAGAATCACACCGTTCCAGGTCGACTCCACTGTTGGTAGCGCCGCAGAGAGCTTTGAATCAGCTCTGAAAGAAGGAAATCTTAAAAGCATTGTCCAGTCACGCATTGACAGTGCTTCGACCGAAGAGGAGAAAGCCGACTGGAAAGTCATTGAGAACTTGCTTTCTGAAAATCCACGCAAGAATCTTGCAGCTTACCTTGGGTTTTCTGATGATGTCAACGATGTTGCTGAGGAGGTTAGCAAGTTGGATATCAAGGAGGAGACGAATGGCGAACTTTCGCCAGCGTCAGCAGATGCCAAGAAAAAGCATAAACGTATTCAATCCATTTTCGACACGTCTGGAGAATCAGATAATTTCTTGACCGACCTGGCCGCTTCTAAAGGTGCACGAACCAACAATCCATTCAGCATCTACACTGGAAGCGAGTCCGAAGCGGACAAGGCAATTACAAAGGCTCTTTTCTTGGGACAATTTGAGCGGGCTCTTGATATTGCACTCCAAGAGGATCGTTTGTCTGATGCATTCATGATTGCTGTTTGTGGTGGAGATAAATGCGTTGAAAAGGTGCAGGAAGTCTATTTCTCGAAACAGACTGGGGGTCCGAATTACGTTCGTCTGTTAGCCTCAATCGTGGGCAAGAACCTGTGGGATGTCGTCCACAATGCGGATCTTTCCAACTGGAAAGAGATTATGGCTACACTGTGCACTTTCGCGGACGAGAAGGAGTTCCCTGACCTCTGTGAAGCCCTTGGTGATCGACTAGAGGAGTCAGCTCAAGCCAACTCTGAAAAGAGCATTCGCAAGGATGCTTCCTTCTGTTATTTGGCTGGATCTAAGTTGGAGAAAGTGGTTACTATCTGGCTCGAAGAATTCAAGGAAGGTGAAAAGGAAGGTATTGATCAGGGCCAGGAGGGATCTAGTTTTTCAGTTCACGTCCGTGCCTTGCAAGCATTCATCGAGAAAGTCACGATTTTCCGTCAGGTGACAAATTACCAAGATGCCGATCGCCAGAAGGACGCCGATTGGAAGTTGAGCGTTCTTTACGACAAGTACATTGAGTACGCCGATGTTGCTGCTTCCCATGGCCGTCTTGATGTGGCAGAGCGATATCTTGGCTTGGTACCAGATAAATATGACGAAGCTGAGGCTGCCAGGAACCGAATCAGACTGGCGACAAGGAAAGCCCCAGCCGTTGCAGCCAAGGCCGCAGCTCAGATCCCGCAGGCACGAACGAGCTCGCTCCCACAGCCCAATATCTACCAACCGCCTCAGCCTACCTTCAGCCCAGCACCACCTGTCAGCAACCCGTACGCTCCTACAAATACCCCACCACCTGCTGCACCTGCTCAACAGGCTAATCCTTATGCTTCATTTGGGACTGGCCCCTATCAGCCAACTGGTGGCTACCAGCCCGTTCAAGCTACGAAACCACCTGTTGCACCCCCACCACAGCAATATGGACCTGGACACGGAGGAGTACCACCACTTCCCAGGGGATACAACCAATCTCCCTCTGTGCCTCAAGTCTCAACCTACACGACCCGAACTGATCTTCCCGCATGGAACGATTTGCCCGAAGGATTTGGTGCGCCAAAACAAACCTCGCGACGCGGCACACCAGCTGCGGTTGCGTCTCCTTTCCCTGGTCAACAGCCCTCGGTTGTATCTCCAGGCTCTCCGCCAATTGGTCCACCTGTAGGCGGACAAAGGGCGCCTCCTCCACCACCAAAGGGCAGTGCTCCACCGCGCATAACCTCACCTCCAGTTGGCCCTCCTAGACCGTCCTCGGTGTCTTCGAACCCACCAGCGCCCTTCAATGCATATGCTCCTCCAGCGACAGCTCAGTCACCGCCTACAGTACCTGGATTAGCCATGCCTCCACCCATTCCGCGAGGTCCATCTCCTTATAATGCACCTCCTTCTGGTCCGCCTCCCACCAATCGATATGCTCCTAGTCCTGCTGCCCAAGCCCCACAACAATCGAGACCTCCCCCCAGTGGTCCGTATGCACCTCCACAGCAAGCCGCTGCTCCGAGCCCGTATGCACCTGTTGCAGGAGCTGCTCCTCCGCAGGCTGGACCACCACCAACAGGACCTCCTGGTGGACCCCCGCCAGCTGCAGGATCGCGACCAGGAACTGCGCAATCTCAGACACAGAAGAAGGCAGCACCGCCTCCGCCAAAATACCGTAAGTACAACCTAGATCAAGTAACTCGAGATTATACGATACTAACCAAATTTGCTAGCCCCCGGTGACAGATCCCACATTCCACCCAACGCCGCACCCATATACGAGATCCTCTCCAACGACATGCAGCGCGTAAAATCACGAGCCCCAGCATCCTTCAAAGCCCAAGTCGACGACGCCGAGCGAAGACTCAACATTCTCTTCGACCATCTTAACAACGAGGACCTCCTCAAACCCAACACCATCGCTGATATGGTCGAATTGGCCAAAGCAATTCAGGCTCGGGATTACGATACGGCTAAGAATATTCATCTTGATATTTTGACGAATCGGACTGATGAGTGTGGTAATTGGATGGTGAGCATCCGTCTTTAGTACTATTACTATTACGTCCATTTTATAACTAACATGATCTTGAAACAGGTCGGTGTAAAACGCCTGATTAGCATGAGTCGAGCAACTCCTTAGATATTTGACTTTCCGTTCATGAATAAGAATTTCTGAGTAGTAGATGAGATGAGATGAGATATGTTCTGTCTTTCTTGCCTTGGGGTGGATGTGGTTCAAGCACTATGACTTTTTATTATACATCTGTCAGATAAAAAACCTCTCTTTCTGTTTGCTGTACTGTTTAATTATTGTTATTTATCAAGCCATGATGCTTTCTTTTAATGCTTCGTGCCTGTAATATCTTCGAGTTCATGATCAATGTACTAACTATTATACACCCAGCAACAAACTTATACCACTCATATTCAGACGGACTCTTAACAGATCCAATTATCTAGCAATCCCAGCCGGTCTCCCAGATGGAAAATTCCTCGCACTCAACAAAGCCCCCTTGACACCTCTGATCTCTGCCCTAAAAGCTGCAATCGCATCTTCTTCCTTGGATTTATTCGTCGTATCCCCCATGGGATAGTTATAGCTAGTATTATACAGGTTATTACTGTTGATATATGTATTGTACGACGAGTATTTCAACCCGTCCAGATATGATTGTAGATCGGCGACCCGGTTGCGCATTGTATCGTCTATTTCCCCTGAGGTGGTGTGGTCGGAGACAAACTCCTGGAGATGAGAGGTTATTTTGGCGAGGGTTTGTTTGTGTGAGTCTATCGCTTTGTGTGGATTGGCTTCGGCGTCGGTCGACGGGGTAGTGGTGATGCTATCATTCAGTAGATCCGGGGTTGTCTGTGTCGCGATATCACGATGGAAGACTTCTGTTGGATCTGATGTTATTGACTCCGTTTCATCGTCTTCGTCTGCGTCAAATTTCTCGGACGAAAGTGATCGTACGGGAATTTTTGACACGTTCTTCTCAAGTTTCTCGTTCAATGTCGACAGATTCGTCAGGGCGGTCTCGGCAAGTTCGTGTCGCGCATCACCTAGCGATCTGAGCATAGGTTTCACTAGGAATTCACTGGCACCGTAGAACGTTGCGCCCAACCCAGCAGCACCGTAGAGTGTGTCTAGCACACTGCGAAGAGACAGGAGAGGAGGTTTGCTCTGCGCTGACGCATTAACGAGGAACTCGGGATAGGTTATAATTGGCGGGATGTCTCGTGGCGAAGGCATCGAGTTCGATGGAGGCTTACTTGCTACAGCTGTCGCAGAAGCTGTATCGCTTTCGACCCTTGCCTGGTTATTGGTCGTAGTCGTCTCTGTCTCTGGCGTCGTCGGCGCACCCTCATTGCGGCTTACCCCAAGCAACGAGTTGATCTCGTCGTTTGTAAGACCCTTTGACTCTAGAAATGTTATTTTGCGACTGGTCGTAGCATCACGGATCTCTGGATCGGCGAGAAATGTCTTTGCCTGTTCTAGCAAGGCTGATCTATCCGAGGGTGTTGTAACTTGTTCCTCTTCGGTTGAGCTGGTCTCGACTGGCTTATCGGCGGAGTCGTTGGTCTGATCGGCTGGGGACGAGGTTGATGTAGCTTTGCGCTGCCATTCCGGAATGGCGGACTTAGAGGAGTTGTCAGACATATTGCAGTTTATCTGAATCAATGACTGTTGCTGTCAGGACAAGTCCAGTGAGAGTTGTGAAGGTAGTTGTAGGTGAGGATACGATAGTTACCAGATTGCTTGCCTCGGCTTAAATTATGGCCAATCGGCAGTAAAATAAATTACCAAAAACGAGACGTTACATACAATACTCATATGTAGACTGCGATTGAGGCACTAAGGCCCGTCAACTACAACTGAGCATTTGAGATGATGCCAGTATCGGAGAAATTATTGTCATTCCAGATTACAGAGTCTCGTCTAGTCGACCCATTTATTGCGTTAAGGCAGAGAAGAAATCCAGCATCGTTCCAGACTTCACCGCCTTCCGGAAGGGCCTCCGCCGCGAAAGATCAACCATCCAGCCTGGAATGAAGACATACAGAAGCAGAATTGTCTGTTCCGGCCTTGTACGACCATCTTCATTGCCCGGTTCAATCTAGACAGCCGATTCCCATACCGAGAGCGACAAGAGTTCGCTGATTCATTGACATAACATACGTTGGTTGTTACCGCCAGAAAAGCTACTGCGCCCCTTCCGAGTAAGTACAGCGCCATCTGAGTATGTCTGCTATGGATTGTCATCTGTACCCATTTCTTTTTGGCATCATGTTTTAAAAATCTCTTCTTCAACTTTCCTTCTCCCCATTGTTGCAAGTACGGGCCCCGGCATCGACGCCCGGGTCATTGGGAGCAGCCTATTACCTCGCCTCTTTCTTCATCCATCCCCTTTGTGCACAAAGAAGAAAGCAAGCAAGTGAACAAACCACCAAAAAATGGCGGAGTGCTTGTCGTCTTAATATCCCAACTATGATTGCCTGATTGAGAGAGCTGTACTGTAACCTTGCATACCATTGAGTGGTATTCATTCTCCTCACCCGACCGGGCATCATCCTTGAATAATTTTCAGGGAAGCGAAAAGAAGAGCGAAAAAGGAAGTTCCTGCAGAACTAGCTCTCTCTTATCTGACTGTCAATTTATTCCGAATGGGCAGGGTGCCGCTAGCTCGTCGAATCTCAACGGTGTCAGCTTCTCAACCACACAAAATAAAGAGGTGCACGGGATTTCCCCTCCAACTGGGAATCTCCAACTCCCACTAATCCTATCTACTCGCTTCTCTGGCTCGACTTTTGCGCCTCTGAGATTGTTTGGCATTGTGGTTACAGAGGTCACAGATCGCCGTCCATCCCCGCACAAAACACCTTTGTCCCCTGTCTTCTGGTTTATTCTGGTTTATTCTGTCGCATCCAGCGAGCTGCTCCCTCTGCTTGATATTCGTTTTCAAGACATTACAACTACCCTTTCTGCATCGCTTCATAATTACTGCATCCTCCATTTAACCCCCTTAAAAACCACCATCCATGCCGTCAACTCGCTCACTGCGTTCTCATGCTGCTTCAGGCTCATCGCCTGACGGACAAGATGCTAACATCTCGACAAGGTCTGGTCGCCTCACACGAGGAGCCGCAGCCGCAACCATTAACCCCGCTACTTCGGTGACTGTGTCACGCTCGACAGGCGCGTCGCCCGGCGCCAAGTCTATTCATCTTACCGTCAAGATGTCTTCAAGCAAACTCCGGCAGGTGACCAACCATAGAAGCAGTCGAGCGACTGCTTCCACTTCTAGTCGCCACAACATCTTTACTGAGGATCCAGTGGTCCACGGTAAGCGTAGCAGTAGGAACAATAGGAACCTCAAAGAAATCAGTGAGGATGAAGAAGACGATGATTTGGTCGAGGAAGATGACGAAGATGTTGAAGAAGAAGCCGGGGATTCGGAAGACGCCGCTGGCGAGGAAGATGAACTGGATGCCGATGGGGACCTAGACATGGATGACGAAACACCTCAGCCAGCAGTATCAAGGCGAAATCAACGCCAGCAGCCGGCTACTAAATCCAAGCCAGTCAAGCCAGTCGAAGAGAAGGAAATGGAACTTGCAGACGACGATGATGAAAATGAGGAGTTGTCTGAACTTGAGAGCGACGCCGAAGGCGAGCCTGACGATACCATGCTTCAAGATGAGGAGATGGGCGAAGCCGGTGAGGAAGAGGAAGAAGTCGATGAGGAAGATGAAGTAATTGAAGAGGAAGAAGACGATGGCCTAGGCTCAGATGACGACAGCGCATTAGACCTCACCAAACTGACCAAACGTCAGCGAGGTTCATTGGGCACGGATTTCTTGCAATTACCCATGGGTAGGGAACCACAACGTACTAGATGTCTATGGTCGCTAACTTGTGCTCCGTGTAGAACCGCAAGTCAAGAAACATCTCACCGCAGAAGAGCATGCTATGCGACGAGCTGAAATGGCTCGACGAAGAAAGAATTTAAGCGAGAAGCGAAATGAAGAAGAGAAGGTATGGGCCGATCTATGAGTTTGCAATCTCTCGGAATTCGAATTGACACTGACAGATGGATACCATTAACCGACTACTCAAAAAACAAGCACCGAAACGCCGTGGCCGGGTGCCGGTGGGTGAACTAGGTGGTGAAGCTACCCCAGACGTCGCTGTTGAGCCTGAGAAACCAGACGTGACTGTTGTACGCTGGATCAGTACCAGTGAAGGATGCAGAGTAGCGGTTCCTACAGAAATGCTTGGAACACCAGCTTCTCATCCATTTGGAGGGTTGGCCGTGGGTGCGGCTTCGGGAAACAAGCTTATTGAAGAGGTTTAATCTTTCCGAGTGAAAAGGCTGTTTTATCTGCTCGACTACTGGGTTCTCCGATGGGTAATTTGGGGCGTTGGATATGTGGTACATAGGTAGTTATTTAGGATAACCTAGAATATGGGTATGTTTGTTGACATAGGAGCAGAACACCTTGGGCGATCCTGTATTCTGATTATCTACGTAGCAAAGCAATATTCATATACCGCAAGCAGATTGCAGGAATAATCGAGACTGTCATTAGATTTCGACTCCGGTACTGAAAGGTGCTACGTCTCTGAGACCGCAATCCGGTTATGGTTTCAAGGGACGACCGGTGTGCTGCATATCTATGCATCTGCATCTTTGTAATCATCAATCTTGAACAACCTGCGAGCGTTCTCTTTTCCAATCTTCCTATAGTCTGCCTGATTCAACTCCACATCCCTATCATACCAAACACACCCATCCTTGAAACTCTCAAAGGGATAATCAATCGAGAATAAGATACGATCCGCACCAACCTCGTTGATACAATACTGCAATGTCGGAGTCGAGAAGTGGCCACTGGTAGTAATCCAGATATTGCGTTCAAAGTATTCTCTGATGGTCTTTTTGCAAGTCTCTTTTAAACCTAGTGGTTTCTTGACGTCCTCGAACCAGTGGTTAATTCTCCATAGGTCAAAGGGGAGATGTTCACCGAGATGTCCAACGATGACCTGTAGATTTGGATGACGATCAAAGACACCATTAGTAACCATCCCCAGGAGATGGAGACTAACTCCCTGCGCGAAACTCAATGGTGGACCAATAAGCCACTTTCTCTTGGCCCAGAGCTTGTCATGAATCGTCCCCGTAGGATTACGAGGGTGGAGGTAGAATGGGACATCGAGTTCAGTGACTGTTGACCAGAATACGTCCCATTCTGGACCGTCATAGAAGATCATATCATCACCATCTGGGCCCGAACGTTGCGTATCATTGACCAGTGCACCTTTGAAGCCATACTGAGTGACAGTACGTCGGAGTTCATCGGCTGCTTGTCGTGGATCGTGCATTGATAGTGTACTATGAAAGTTAGCTTGGCAGAACCAGCACAACCGCAGTAAAATGGATAGACATAGCATACGCAAAGGCACCGAATCGATCAGGATGTTGCTTGAGGAAAGGACCAATATAATCATTGATCTCAACAGCCAATGCATGAGCCTCTTTTGCATCCCAGATGTCCTGTACACCGGGAGCTGTGTACGACAGGATGGTGTATCCTACACCGTACTCATCCATATACTTGATCCGCTGATCAGTGATGTCGGTGATTTCGAAAGCATGCTTTTCGGCGTCAACAGCGAACAACGAAGCCCACCACCTTGTACGCTCCTGGAAACGGGGAAGAGCAAATGCTTCTTCTAGGGCAATCTTTCCCAACATGCTGTATTTATGGTATATTCCTTCCTTACCCAGGAAAGTGAAATGTAGAGAAGAACAATGGAACTATGAGAGTTGTATACCCATATTAGACGTGGAAGGAGAAACGTACCCCGCATGCAGCTTTATATAGCAGTGTTATGAGATTCTCCTACCCGTCAGATCCGTTCTAGATTCAATAATGCCCTCTATCATGGAAAGTACCCCGGAGTCTTGGAATTCCGGGGGTCCCCCTAATATGGACCGCGAGGGGAATTATATCCAAAGGTTACGGTCCGGGAATGTGCAGAATCCGATTTATCCAGCATGGTCCTGACATTCGCAGATCATTTCAGCGGGTAAGACTTCAATCGCTGACTTCGTTTCTAGAATCAATGTGAATCAGCGTTCATTAAGTGATTTCAGTTAACCCTAATTAGGGTTACCATCAAAGAGTCCCACATGAAAATAACCCTACAGATCAACCCTATAGATGAAATCTCACTCTATCCCGTCTCCGCTCCTGCGAAGAATTTGAATTAGATCGTTGAGTGATGGAAATTTATCTATCCTGACCTCACAACAAGATCAGTGCTTGATAGAAAGGGGTGAGAAAGCAGAAGAGAAAGTCAGTGAGTGGAAACGGACCGGTACTATTGCCGGATCACGGGCCCGGCTGATATCCTTTATCTTCAGGGAGCTTATCTCTCACCAGTGTAACCACCCTCCTCGTCAAAACATATCCGATCTATCTTCACGATCCGTGAATATTTGTTACATGCCATAAGCCGAATAGTTCTGTACAGAAATGTGATATTCCGGGCGGAGTCTTAGCAATGCCCCGACCTAAGGTCCGGCCAGAAGACCGCCAGCGATCCTCAAAGGCGTGCTTGCCATGCCAGGTGTCCAAGATACGCTGCGACTCACAGACTCCGTGTACATCTTGCCTACGCCGCGATCGAACTTCTGCTTGCATCTATGTTGAATCACATAGAAGGCGACGACCGAGGACTCATCGAACTCATGAGCTGCGGTTCGCACCTTTCAATCACCGTGCAGCTGGGTCGCCTGGTTCACCACGTCTCAGAACTTCCAACGAATTCGCAACCAGGAACCCAGAGGGGAATGACGATGCTGAAGCTACACAGTCAGTATCGGAGGCTCCTTCAGTGCAGTCGCCAGAGTGTACTGAAAGTAGATTGCTGCTGAGCTCGAAAGGGGAAAAGGGTAGAATTCCCCACAAGGCACGCGAGTTTGAGGAATCTCTAATAAGCTAACTTGATGAGCAGTGTATGTTGGAGAAACATCATCGCTGTCATTCCTGCAATTTTTACGCGGTATAATGAAACAATATATGGGCCCTTCTGCTTTCACAGAAAATGGCCCCCTGAATATCATGCTTGAGGCAGATACAAACGTAAATCGTAATATCGCTTTTGAGGAGAGTCTGGCCACGAAGCAAGAATTGATACAAACTTACTTTCAAGTGGTGAGTTTAACCTAACTGCGTTACTGCAGGAACATATCTGAATTATTCTCACAGTGTAGCGGCTTCTTCGACCTTTTTGATAAAGACGATATCATGAGACTTCTTCAAATCGAGACATCATCATCCGGAAGAAGAATTAATAAGGAAGAAACGGCAGTGCTATACCTCATAATAGCCATTGGAGGTCAATGCCGTGGATCAAACACATCAGATTTTCCATACGCTACAAAATATTCCTCAATGGGTCAGCAATATGCATTTGAAGGCATGCTGAGGGATCCCAGTATCAACATGCTTCGCGCTTTTCTTCTCATGGCGTTTTATATGCTTGGGGCATGTCATCGCAATGCGGCGTATATGTATCTCGGGGTTGCTTCCAAGGCAGCTGCGGCCTTAGGATTACACATTGGAATGCAAGCCCGAGGATTATCAAGGGACGAATCCAAACTGCGGTGAGTCTTTTGAATTGCGGTGTTGAGCATTTTACAGAGGGTAGCTGATGCCAATCTTCATAGCTGGCGTACGTACAAGTCACTTCGAGTGTTTGATCTTGTAGTGAGCTTCTTGCTTGGTCGGACGACGAGTTCAGTGCCCTCAAATTATAATGACTTGTCATGGAAAGAGCACTCAGATTCTCATAGCGTCGCCGTTTCGGCTGCATATAATGGATCTGTCCTGCTAGAAGAGATCGTCCAACGTCTAAAGAAAGTTAATAACAGCTTCGACGTCCCGACAGCAGAGGGATTTCTTCAGCGCTTACGACAGTGGATTCAAGGCCTACCTCGTGACTTTCGACAAATTCCATTTGACGACGAACAAGAAATAACGTCAGAGGTGCGAGAAACAGCTATTGGCAATATTCACGTTAGCTGCATATACTATTTTGCCATCATTCTGACCACTCGTTCGTTTCTGATATCTCACCTGATGTCTCGACTGAAAGAGTCGTCTATCATCACTCCGGATGCTATATCTCCGTTGACAGGTCGAGCTGCAGAGCAGAAGACCAGTCCTCAACTCGCCCACGTATGTATCAGCGCGGCCACCTATATGGCAACAATGTGTGAGAAAGCCATGGTCTCAGATCTTCTCTTGAGAAATATGTGCATTATGAAGTGAGACGAGATGATTCCATCTATGTATGTTCATTGACTAACTCTGGTCTACAGAGCTTGGGCTTTTGCAGCCGGGTTAATTCTTGGTTTCTCACTTTTTGCATACGATGATGTTGAATCCCGTACCGAGACCGAGTCGGCATTCCAAAGTGCCAGACATGTTCTTCGATATCTTGCAAACCTCAGTCCTCAAGCAATGCAGTACCACGAGATACTGACATCTTTTGCTGAAGCCATTGTTAAACATCGCCAGCAGACTTCATCCGCGAGACAGAGGATTGCAGATAGATATATTGACTGTGTCCTTGATATTGGGATGACTACGTCCATGAGCTCTATACATCATCGTCGGGGGCGATCCACTGATAGAGGTGAGTATCCTGATACATGTGAACAACTACCGCAGGCAAGCGCCCAAATGCGGTCCCCAATACCAGAAGCTGGTTTAGTATTTAATGGTAACATAGAAAGAGTGGAGGAGTCTGATTCCGATATTCCAGCTGGTGTCGACCTTGATGGTTTCAGTGTATTGCCTTTCGATGATGCTGGGAGTTTCTCAATTGACTACGAACCGTTCGGGTTGCTACTCGATGGCATTTGAGGGCTTTTCCTTCCATTATATTTGTATCATATATACCTCCATACCTAGTGCGAATATTGAACATACCAAAATCCGTGTTGAATCTATCTCTAATCGTATAGACAGTATCAACTCAACCGAACGGTCCGTTTTACATCAAACCGCCATGATAGGTTTCACCAACCATTCATTTTGTTATCTTCAAATGTTATTCCGATACAGTTTCACCATAAAGACTTTACAAATCAAAATGAATATACTTATCTTTTGATTTGGACCTCTCTTGTGAAATCTCCTGCGGTGTAGTGCGCGGTCCGGGGCACGGGTAAAACACTTGCCTAAAATAGCAATGTTAGTCTCTCAGCCTGGATCGTTATCTCGAGGAGGCACGCAGCATTTCGTTAATTATTTATATGCATGTTACATCCTTCCTCAAAGAACTGTAAGATAGAAAATCTCTCTTTATAACCACAATCCTCAATAGCTACAGCTTCGTTTGTATGATCTCGGAGACCTTAACAAATCTCTTCCACCCACAAGATGATCTCCAAAACAGAGTCGGCAACGTGGCAGCCTCTATCTATCGCCGTAGTTGGTGGTGGTATTGGTGGTCTTGCAGCTGGTATCTCTCTGCGCCGTGCTGGACATGCAGTCACTATATACGAGCGTGCAGACTACGCTGGTGAAGTTGGAGCTTCTATATCATGCGCCGCAAACGGTACCCGATGGCTTCATGAATGGGGCGTGAACGTCGAGATGGGTGACCCCGTCATATTGCGCAAACTGATTAATAGAGACTGGGAAACGGGTGAGGCAACGAATGTTTATGATCTGGCGGATTACGAGGAGAAATGGGGACACGTGAGTATTTACTGGTTCGGAACTTGAGTTTGAGTGTACCAGGAGAAAACTAACGAATTTTTGCTGCTAATAGGTTTATAATATGTTCCATCGACAGTACATGCATGCCATGCTGATGGACAGCGCCCTTGGAGAGGCAGGTGAAGGAACGCCGGTGAAGCTGGTGGTCAACCACAAAGTTAGTCCATAATCCATACCTGCATATCGTTTCGGGAGTCTGCTAACAACGGGGAAAGTGTGTCAATATCGACAGTGAATCCGGCCTCATAACTTTTGAGAACGGCAACACCGCTCAACATGACGTTGTCATTGGCGCTGATGGAATTGGATCTGTCGTTCGAGGCTTGATAGACATTCATCAAGAAAAGAAGCCTTCATCCTCTAGCTGTCTACACACCAACGTCACAACAGAGGAAGCCGTGGCCCTCGGTCTCATCGACTATTCTAAGAATAGTGCTATCGAATACTGGGGAGGCCACGGTACCCCCAACAAGATCGTCCTGTCTCCTTGCAACGGCGGTAAACTACTTTCTTACTACTGCTTCTTCCCTAGAGAGAAGGGCGATTATGCCACCCAAAAATGGGACGAAGAGGCCACTGTAGAAGAACTATTGGCCCCATACCCAGATCTCGACCGCAATGTCTTCAAGCATTTGAGCATTGGCAAGGATATTCGACCATGGAGATTGTGGGTTCATCAGCCCTATGAGTGGTGGCAAAAGGGTGTGGTTTGCCTGATGGGAGATGCTGCACATCCGGTAATACAAAGTCCTTCGCTTTAGCATGATACCGAGAGTTTATACTGACTTTTGTTCGAAGATGATGCCAGATCAAAGCCAAGGAGCCTGCATGGCTATCGAAGATGCAGCTTGTCTCGGTCTAGTTTTTAGTAAGGAGCATTTCCGTGGCGACATCCGTAAAGCACTTGAGGTATACGAAGAGATTCGCAAACCTAGAGCTACACGGGTCCAGGTAGCCTCGCAAAGAGCCAGAGAGAATATATACGAACGTATAGGTGAGAAGCCTTCCTGCAGAGATTTGTCTGGCGTATTTGCCGTTCTGACTTGTGACTTAGGGTTCTCGAGCAATACGAACAATGAGAAATATACAGTGCAAAACGAGTCTAATAAGTTGACTATCGAGGAGATGAACTCGTAAGAAATGTGTTACTTTAAGAACAGATCTATCGTACTAATACAGTGTTCGGCAGATATGATATGAAAGAGCATGCTGCGAGCGTGTTCGGTCAGCGAGCCAAGATTTAACCCTAAAACCAAAAGGCGATATTATCTACTTAACGTGCTAACCTACTTACGAGTTCTGCTACTGTCTTCAATAAATTGACTAGTCTAATCCTTAGACATCATCATCCTTACAGTCTCAACCTACATCGCAAGAGTTCATCCTTTTTATTGTTGTTTCTGTCACCGGAGAGAATTTCCTTTTCGTTACGCAACTTAGACATCACTTATGAAATACTGGCAATGCATGTTAGGCCATCGATCAGTTAGTCACAAGTAGTAAACTTCAGATAAATCAAGTTATAGTTAACTTTCAGTCAATTGTCCTTGTTGCACGAAGTGAAGCTCACTCATCTACCACCAACCTCGACATGCCAATCGCCTATCGCACCATCCTCACAATCAACAACCACCTAGGCTCAGACCTCTACGACGCAGATCCCAGAATAGCAATCGGCTCTGTAGATGGTGTTCTACCAGACTATATAAGAACCGGCACTCAACAGACAGTTTTCATCAGTGCGCCCGGCTCCTTCGCTGGTTCAAAGGGGTCGATTATATACATAACGCACAATAGCAAGAAAGACAGGGAAGAAAAACTGGCCTTCGATTTTAAATGTGTTGAAGGTGAAGCCGATTATGTTAGATTTAGTAGCACCATGCCGAATCAGTTGAGAGCTTTGGTTGATCCATATGAGGCTACTGATCATCCTTTGTATGGTGAGTCTGGGTGTTGTAAATTGGCTGTCAATGAACTTGAAGAACCATTTTTAACCAATCCACTCACAGCTACTTTTACTCTTTTGCCATAGGATTCGAGGACCTCTGGATGTTGCGCAAATCTCTCCGATCTAGTGCTTGGGTGGATGGAAGGTGCCCGGTGTAAATCGCGTTAGGGCACGAAACGCAATGGGATTTCCTAATTCGGTGTAATAGCTATGCATATTATCAACTACTTGGTGCTGGTACTGTGCATAGATTGCTCTCATCACCTAAATGTGTGTGTATTCTATTTTGTATATAAATGATTCAGTTGAACGTAACATTATGCAGTTATTCCATGCTATTGTAAACCCATCGAAGAAACAAAGAACTCTGCCAATGCAACGCTTGCGACTCATAGTATGTATAACAAGATATCATAAAATCAGGTCATTAAACCCATCCCCTAGTAATTCGTAAGCTGTTGATTTTTCGAAATTGTTGTCCGAAGGAGATTGCACATCCATCTGATCGAATGACTCCCAACGACGTAGAAACGCATTTGCCACTTCAACAAATGAAGACTTTGCATAATGAATGTCGACAACGTCTCTTGATGTGATAATATCACAGTTTATCTCTCTAGAGTCTCGTCCGCGAAGTATAAAATATCGTTCACCATGTTTTGACCAGTTCCGGAGGGACGTTTTGATCTCTCGGATTGCAAATGTACGAGATTCGAGAAACAGAGAATTCAACTGGATACTGTCGACGGGCTCGCTGGAAGGTGTAGTATCCCCGTCTAGGTCCACCATGGTAAAGGGATCATATAGTCTTTCCACAATAACGGTTGTGTATCTGCATAGTGTTTCCAGTATGAACGTGTTACAATTATCGGAATGATGGTTTCGGCGGATATAGTCGAGGACTGGAACCATTGCACGCATAATCCCAACACAAGATGTGAGAACTAGTAATGCGCGAGGCTCTTTGGTATATTCCGCATGATCGAGAAAGATGTGCATTATTTGCCTAACAGCTTGCAAAATGGCACCAAACATACTGTTGACTGATTTGATGCAGTCAGAGTCGTTGATATCAATATCATAAAGCAAGTCCCGAGACGCTCGAGATACGGCCTTCATAATCGGTAACACCAGGATCCAAGCAGCAGCATTGCTCAGGGCACACTCCATATAAGCCGGAAACAAACAATGGAATAGGAATGACCGCAGCGTTGGTGTCTTGGTGTTGCCGCACTCATATGTGTCACCCATACTCTCACTAAGCTGATCGACAAGGCTATTTTGCCTGCCATCCAAAGCCGCCCGTTCACACAGAACCTGCATGAAGTTCACTAACTCTTTAGCAGCCTTTGCTTCAGGAAGTCGGACACCGTAACTTTTCAACTTTGCGACAAAGTACCCAGGGTCATTGGATGGAAGGGGGAACGTTGCCGGATCTGTGAAGAACTTGTCCAGGCGGCAGATTGATTGGGCATGTTGCTGCAGGAGACTAATTATCGAGTGCACGAATTCGACGTACTGGCCTTGGACGGCCCTTCCTGACTGGCCCAGCTCTTGGTAATTTGTCTTCATCGATGTCATCAAAGCGTCAACAATTTCTCTATACTCATCAATTGCTTTGCTGCTCGGTGAGCCAGAGTTTTCTAGAGCTTGCAGATGTTCCCGCATATTTGACAATAGACTTGAAATCAATGAAATTCGTCTTTCAGTGAGTTCAGACAATGTAACATGGTATCGACCATCCGCCCCACGATAGAAAGGTAGATTCCTCGTCAAGGATGTCTGATCAACATTCAAAAGCACCTCCGTGAGGCGGTGCTGAAATTTTAGTGCGGAAGTTCTTTCCACTAGAGATGATGCCCACATTGTCAGAATCTGCAGTCTGCAATCAAAGAAGAATCGACTGTCTCTTTCAATACAGTTTGCCAGGAACTGAGGACCAAATTTCTTAGTCTGAGGCGTCATGCGGAGTGTAGTCCAAGAGTTCCTACTATAAGGATTGAGGTAGCTATCCCAGTGCTGGAGTCCGCTCCTCACGGAAGCCTGCGCCAGACATGACCAGGCTTCTGTTAATTTCAGAAGCAAGGAATCTTCTGGAGACCGATCTTCACCGAAACAATTGGAAAGTAGTTCTGAGACACACGGTTGAATGACTTCCTGTAGGTATAAAAATGCCGTAGAAGGTACAACGGGCTGTACGACAGGCTCTGTGATGCTGTCATCGTATACTTCTTCAATAACTGACCAATCACCATAATCCTGACTGTCATCGTTTATAGTAGGAGTCGTAGTATTGATGGGGGGTGAGTCCTTTGTGAGAAAGGTGATAACGAGCTGGAGTGTTTCGCTGATGATAGGGTTAACTCTCGAATTAGCTGGGTCAAAGAGCTCAAATAGCTTCGCGATAGGGACACTCTCTGCAAGAAGGCAAGCTTGGCTGAACGTTCTTGACGACTGAATGGACGAGTCCATCGCTGCGATAGTTGAAGAAATCAAGGCTTCAATACGTCGTTGATTGTGTGATACAGTCAACTCCACATCCTGTTTCGAGAATTGCATTTGGTCCTTGGCTTGCGCCTCGACCTCAGTTTTCGCAAGTTGGTGTTGTCGAACAACCTCAGAAGTGAATGACTTATACCAGTCAGCAAACGGCTTCAAACCAGTATCTTCTTCATTCGTTGACAGCTTAAAGTGTACCAGTCTCCTCCACGAGCGAATGCTCAGGTTACAGGTTTCCAAATGGGATGTTGCAGGATCAATCAGATTGCGAATAGTTTCAGGCCTGGGTCGACAACCGTCAGGAACACCCCAGTACAGGGTACAAAGAAGGTCGTGATGATTTCGCAAGGCGTCGAGGTCTTCATGGTTCAACGATTTTTCTTTCGGATAAGCCCGTCCATGATTAGGGAGAAGCCGCCATGCGATGTTTCTCATCGTCTTCTTATCGTGCATTTGAGACAGGTAGCGAAGGCCGCTGGCGATAATTTTAAGAAACAGATGAAACGATGAATCGCCATGTTCGATCTCAATAGTAGGGTTTGTATCAAGCGATTCGAGAAATGATGGAGATCCAAAACTTTGCTCAGTTTTGAGATTGTACATCATGTTTTTGGCATAAAAGTCGAACAATATGCCCAAGATGCCCTTACAATGGCGCCAGCCCCAAGACACCATTAGAAGAAGGCACCTCTGGAACACAACGCGGCAGTAGTTGATATAGTGTACAGGCTGAACAGGATCAACAATATATGCATCCAGGACTTTGGAAACCAGTGCCTGAACTATAGGCCAATTATCACGCTTGTCACAAAAGCGAAGGCCAGGATGACCAAGGCCAAGTTTGTCGATCTCGTTCAGCGGTAGCGTAGTGAAAATCATCTCCCAAACCTCTTCCAGATGCTCAATGTTGGAGGATGATACCCTGTTTTCAACAAATGACGATAATAACAACTCATTCCACCATCCTCTAAATTCTTCGGATGAATCTAAAATCTGGAGTAAAATGACATAAGCTTCGACGGCAGGAAAACCATCGCGAATTCCAGATTCATGAAACTTGGCATTTTGATTTTTCTGGTAAAGTTGGCGAATGTTCTGCAAACCATGATGACTGAACACGAAAGAGAGGAGCTGGTGGGAAATAGTCTTGACCAGATTCAAAGTGCTTTCTCGCTTGGAGGAATTCACTGATTCATGAGCTGCAACTTGGCGTAATTGATTAGAGAGGATTGCGGTTAGATTTGCTAACCGCAAATGAACCTTCCAACCATGCTGATCCGCGTGGTTTGCCGTTGCAATATGATTTCGCAAATCGCAGGTCAGGAGCTCCACGCGCTCGATGAAGGTAACTCGATCGACAGGATCAATGAAATGCAGTTTATCGGTGATCCATCCAATGACGGAAGTGAGACTCGTGAAAGGATCCGAATTGAGAGAAGTTCCCGACAATGAATCATGTTCCCGTGTGCTATTCTTGATCTTATCAAATATTATGCCAAGTTCAGAAGATATCTCTTCAGTCCAAGCGCCCCAGCGGAAGACTTGATCGCCTGACTCGATGACTGCAACGCCTGAGTCCTGATCCATATTTCTTGCATTGATATTCAGTGACCGTGAAAGTCCACCTTCGCCGATGAAGGTAGAGTCGTGGAAGAACGTGCCCTTTCGAATGGGTAGGATGTTGAAATCCACGGAAAAGACTCTGAAATTCCTGAAGCCGTATAATGTATAGCTTGAACCGGTGCTATCGTCAACTGAACCAGCGAAGATGTTTTTGGATGGTACACAGGAGGCTGTGATTTGTGGCATGGGATCGATATCACTAATTTCTGCACGAGTGGGAACTCGTTTCCTTGATACTTTCTTCCGTGCTGAATTCAGGTTTGCCGGAAGATCGGATATGGTCCGATTGACAGGCCGGCTAGGTTGTGCTGATTCTTGTTCAGATGGTCCAATTGCGGCAATAAAACGGTCTAGAGTGAATGTTCGCTTGCGATCCGTTCTGTGCAGTGCAGCCAGGGAGGCTGAGAATGCATAAGGAGAATCGGATGGTTCGGTACCAGCAACTTCGAATTCTGCAGGTCGTACGGCGTCCCTTCTAAGCGAAGTGATGGCATGGTTCCTATTGATAACGTTCCTCCTGACAAGCCTTGATCGATTTGTGGTTGCGGATATGACCTGTCTCTTAGCAGGACGTCCAGTCGCCGAATGTGCAGATGATACGTTTTCCGACGCCAAATCAAGCTCCTCTAGGAATCTCGGTGGTGCCTCGGTGGATGAGTCTTGAACCACGCCAGGATTCGGCGTGTTTGTTGAAAGATTTTGAAGAGGCTGACGAGTACTTCTCGGAGTGCTGGCAACTGATAGCTTTGCCTGCTTCATAGCCCCCCTTTTCCAATCCCACAGGGCTCCATTTGTTTCTTTTGTCTCTTCTCGCGTGGCCATATTGAAAACCTTTCTGCTTGGGCTTGATCTTCCCTGATCCTTTCTCGAGCGTGCTTGCCTGGTTGCAACTCGTAGAAACTGAGGCTGCTCTTTGCGGGGCCGAGAAATTACATCTGGAGCATCGAGAATGCTTAGCTTCGGTATTCTTGGCTTCTGAACTTTGCGCTTCGGAGGACGGGGTGGGTGGTCAAGCCGTGCCTGCCGAGGCGGACGACTTTTTGGCGTTTGATTGTTCTTGTAAGAGACCTGCTTTCTCTTGAAAGTTGTGGTCTTGCCCAAATGCCCTTTCCTTTGACCAGCAGATAACCGAGGTACAGGGGGGAACATCTCGTCAATTCTGTTATCTTCAGGAATATCATCATCAATGTCATTAGTAAGATCGTAAAAGTTTCTCAAATCGACCGGGGGCTTGCGAATGTTTTTGGCAGGTGAGATATCAATATTACTGCTATCATCATCCGAACCTAATGACTCTTGCAGAAACGCAAAGGTTGATCGCGGTGTGGGCGACTGAAGAGCAGTACTTCGTGGTCGAGAAACCGTCCTGGCCACGCCTTTCTGTGGTTTGGCATGGGTACTGTGCGATCGCTGATGCCTTTCTGATGACGAATGGCCGGGCTTTTCAATTTTGTTTCTTAAATCTAACGTTAACCAAGAAGCCGGTAGAACTCCCTTTATTTTACGTTGGTATTGCTTGACTTCGACATCCGGGACTGCTGGTTCGGTTTCCTCCCCTTCATCTTCTTCGTCTGAACCTTGGAACGAGATACGATCGACCGGTTCATCCTCCTTGCCTGACTGTGGTAATAAGACGTGGTCATCAGCATTGATGAATACATCGCTTGGTATCTCATCGTTGATCATTGGCTCATCATCTATCGAGATTGGTTGGGTTGTTGTCGTAGATATTGCTGTTGGAGGGATGAATCCCCGAGGGAAGCGGAATCCATCCTTGCCCACATACGTAACAGACGACAGGCTCCCTGAACAAGGTGGTGATGGCGGAAATTGCGTAGATTGGGTAGTCTTGTTAACAACTGGAATGTCGAGCTGCTCGATGACAACACTAATAGATGAAGCTTGTTCTTTCCGCTTTTTACCATGGCTGTCATGAAACAATTTTCTCCTCTTCTGTGAATGAGCTTGTGCCGGTTCAGGTGTCAACTGGGTTCTCGCTTTAGGGGTCCGTCGTCTTCTAATAGAAGCTGGTGAGTTACATGGGACCGGCGAGGACTGTGGGAAGCTGAAGACGCTAGCAGGGCTGCTTGGAGGTTCTGGAGCACCAAATATACTCTCTTGACTTTCTTCCTGAAGATCTCTAGGAGCAGCATCCTCAATAGTCACACGAACTGGCTTGATTCCCGCATTTCTGAATAGTGTTTTATACTTGGCATCTTCCAATTGATACGGATGTAACTGTATCTCTTTTCTGGCACGAAATGATCGTCGTATGGGTTGATCTGCTTCGTTTTGATCCTCTGTGTGTGTGTCTGATAGTGATATGGTAGTTGGCATAGCTTCGAACACTGTGTCATCCACACGATTAATGGTCCGGGTCGTCTCAGAGTGCTCTGGCTCCGGAACCTGCTCTTCATTCGCTCGGCGAACCCGCTGGCTTGATTGTGTTGAACCCAGAGTTGACGGAGGAGGAGAAATGGAAGAGAGGTCTTCATCATCAGAAAATATCACATCATTCTGGATATCCGCAAAGCCAAGTGCGTGGCCGGGTGTCGGCCTTTCTGATACAACGCTAACGACTTGGAGCTCATCATCGGACAGACTAGTAAAATCGTCGCCGTCTAGGAGTGCGTCCAGTATAGAAGACTTCTCCGTTGTAGTCTTGCTATCGGCACGTCTAGTGGTATCTGCATCATTTAAATGCGATTTCACCGACTGCGAATGCTGTTCTTGTGCACGGATGTTCTTGTCCTCCTCATGATCTTTGACATTTACGTCAGACCCAGATAGCTGTGATCCGACACTATCACCATTTTCCCATATCGCATTTCGTTGCTCGACATATTTCTCTAGCTCCACCGACTGCGAATGATGGTCTTGTTCCCGGTCCTCTTTGTCCTGGCCACCATTCTTGTTATTTCCACCAGATCCAGCCGGCTGAAATCCAACATCATCGTTATCATCCAGAACAGAGTTTCGTTGCTCAGCATATCCCTTCCTCGACTCTTGGCTCTCGAAATCCTCGTCTTCATCTGAGTCCGGGACGAAGCCTCTGTTCCGCCATGTTTCCATCTGTGATCGTACGTACAAACAACTCGCCCATCGCTCGGTTGATTAACCATAAATCATCGAGGAGAAGATTAAAACATCATATAGTAGTTGAACATGTGTCTGGAAAGTATTTTGAATTGACAAAGCTAAGCAACGAGCGAGTGAATTAGTGCTGAAGACGCGTCTGGATGTTTGCGGGGAAGGAAGACGCGCGGTCGAATAATTAAACTCACTTAAGCCAGGCACCAAGGCATCAATCTCGATTTTCAGGCACCCAACAAATTCACGAAATTCACCTGAAGAACGAACCCGTCCAGAACTTGATCATATCCACTACTTACAATGAGCGGATTGCGCGGCCTTATTCCGGCAACAGTCGCCATTGGACTGGGTATTTTCGCAGGTATGATTCTAATTGCTCACCGTCGTCCAGCAGAAAAGCTTGTAACTGATGTCTTCTTGCGATAGGATACTACACCTTTCATCCTGCGATTCAACAACTCAATGCCGAGCGGCAATTGAAGAACCAGTAAATAAACCCCGACCTCATTTACTATTAGCCACGAGACGTGATGGGGTCGTTTTGACAATGGAATGCATAATAGGCCGGCCTTTCAAAGTGTCAATAAAACGAACCAGGAGTCGTCTATATCCACTGCTTCGCAGAGCAATATCTCGTCGGAGGAGAACCAATCGTCGACTAAAAAAGCTTAGTGTCGCATTCAACCTGAAGAACGAACTCATCCGGAACTCGATCACGACTTCAAACTTCGTTTGAGAGATAAAATGAATTGATTCAGTTTGCCTAAGAATAGCATAGGTAATAATATTCGTCATAAACGCATGGGCATGTATCATTATCAGCAGAAAATATGCCTATATCACCATATAAATTACCTCCTCATTAATGGGGCTTCTTTTTTGCTCGAACCGAGCAAAAACGGTATATTTTCTGGTTTTCATCAATGAGTAAACGAAAAGCGGTCAAGAATCTCAAAAGCAAATGCTCTAGATACAGTAGAACTCCAATAGTCAGGTGCTCTCACCGATGTATGAGCTCTCAACCGATAATTAATGTTCGTATAGGGCTCAACTGCTCGTATCATTGCCTACTCGCCCTTGTGCCATCGTTGACATGCCCATCATTTAAAAGACAGCTTGTGTAAGCAACCATCATTTGTCAGCCAGAATACGTTCATAAGCCAGGCAAATTGCCAACCCTTTAAGGGGATTTCGTTTTTGGCGCAATGGTCTATTTTCTAGTTCTCAAGGAGTCAGTAAATATGACTAAGAGATATTGTCACAGTGATGAATGAGGCCAGGATAAATCGAGTCTGGTATGGATGAAGAGCGACGGATGAAATTTGGATGGGAGAAGGAAGAAAGGATGAGAACGAAGGAATATCTCGATAACTGACGCCAAAATAAGTCTAATCTTATATGTATGATGAGCGAAAGGATGAGATTATTGATGGATGACGAGAAAAAGGAATAAGAATTTCGATGGACGAAGAGCGAAAGGATCAATATATTGGTGGGAGGAAGAAAGGATGAGTCTGGAATCTCGTTGGGAGGAAAAAGAAACGAGGTGGCAAGGTTGGTGGGAGAAGGGAAGGGAAGTGCTGGTCTCCCTTTGAGAAAGGTGAAAGTCATGGTTGTAGCTATAAGTTTGTAGATACCACTGCTATAGATTTTGGAGCCTCTTTCATCACATTTGGATTTGGCAAATATGGGATTTGATTCAAGTTTCATTTTTAAACTCGTTCAACTAATTACTTTCCACTCTTGGGTCTTGTGAACCAACCAGCAACTATGTAATCATCAGTAATCCAACAACACCTCGATATCAGGTATCATTTTGAGAATCAACACAGAAGAACATATCAAACACCGCAACCCGCATTGATCGTTTCTCTAACAGTTCACCAGGTTCCACGATTCTTCAATGCCGGGAGTTCGCTGTCCCATTCGACTTTGAATGCTACACGGTCACGATTAGTGATTCGGTCAATGATGAAAATATAGGCGGAGGGACTTACTAGCTGGGAAAGGAGTGAAGCTGCCGCCATCTTCTCTGAGGTAGTGGTAAGAACCACCTTCGCGAGGGACCTTCTTCAACAGACCCTGAGTACCACGAGCACGACGGAGATTATCCAGACGACCAACGACGCGAAGCATGGAAGCCAATGCAATACAGCTAGCATCTTGACCGAGGCAAGAGTGAGGTCCAACACCATAGTGGGCGTACGAGTCCAAGGGACGATCCAGAAGAACCTTTTCAGGTTCAGGGAAAACCACGGGGTCGCACGAGGCGCTGATAAAGCTGGCAAATACTTTGGAACCCTTGTTTACGTGGATTTCCTCACCGCCGTCGTCGATGGTGACATCTCTCTGAGCTTCGCGGTAGGCACCGTAAGTGCCATTCAAGCGGAGAGCTTCAAGAACATAGCGGGTGAGCGCTTCATCGGACTCGGGTGTGTTCAACTTTGCCAGGCGGCTGATCTCGGGCAAATAGGCCTTTCCGTCGTCGGAGAGATAGAAGTCGAGAACTTGAGTGAACTAGAAAAATTGATAAGTATTTTAGCTGGAAAACGGCCTTCACTATCAGAAGAGCAACTTACCCCTTGACCCAACTTTGGCACCATAGAAACAACGGCTGGCAGGATCTGAGTCCAGGTGACTTCATGTGCATTGAGTCCACTGTCGAGCAACTTCTTCACCACATTCTCACTATATTCAGACAAAGGATTGTCTTGCTTGCGCAAGCCATCAATGAAATGAGAAATGATGCCATTTGAGCCAAGAGACTTGACATTGAGTTCGACCATCTCTCCAATCTTCTTAGCGACTGCACGAGCAGCCTGGCGCAGGGGATAAGAGCGCATCAAGTCGTAGTCGAAGAAAACGGCTTGGAAAATGACCGCATTTGCCATGTATAGCTCATGCTCAGTGAATGTTCCTCGTGGGTTGCCCTTGGTCTTCAATGGTAGGCCGAAAACATGCGCGGCGAAGTGTACCGAGGCGAGGTTTCCAACGCTATAGAAGTTTGTTAGATACTTTCGCAATTTGTACATTGGAATGAGCAGCTTACTCCCGAGTGATATCAACCTGCTTGGTACCGGCAAGCGTATAAGACTTGTCGTGAAGCAACCGTAGGGTTATCTGCTCATAAAATTCCTTGAGACGAAATGCCCATCCTTCCTGGTACAGGGCTCTCTCGAGGAGTTCCCGCTGCTGGTTGTGGAAAGGGGTGTCTCCAGAAAGCATATAGTCGAAACCCGTCTTCTCCCCAAACACCGAAGCACTGGCATCGCCCCAAGCAATGCGGAAGTTGCGAGTATCATCGAGGACGGCCTTCGCGGCTTGGTATGTCTTTAGTTCAACACGAGGAGCATTGAATATGGGTCGGTCCCAGCTGTAGTCAGCTTCACGTCCCAGGTTCTTCATGATGACCTTGTTCTCCTCTGGGATGGTCATTGGATAGTGTGCGTAAATGGAGTCTGACTTGAAATGATTGGGGAATGCGCGGAAAGCAAGCTTATAGAATACGCAGCCTTGGTTGATATTCAGGTCATGGCCACTTTCCTGCCATCCCCAGTTTGTGAGGTTTCTGGGAGTTTGATCGGTCTGCATTGATTAGGACGCATCAGAACCCCTGGGCGATTTAGAGCACTTACAGTATAGAAACGGTCTCCGCGGACGAGGGCGACAGCATCAGACAGCACTGCGCGGGATATGGTATAGGTAGGCGCGATACCTACACCAGGTGCCATAGGCTCTTTAGCTTCCTCAGCGACGATACCGGGATAGAGTTCAACATAGTCAGGATGCTCATAGAGGTGACGGAGTTGGTCGGCAACGTATGGGTCCGAGTTGATCTCCTCAAAGGTCTCATAAGGTTTCAAGTTGAAGAACTTGCGGAACTCGTTCAAGGAACCGACATTCCATTTACGGGCTTGCTCAATACCCAAGATTTCAATTGACCGCATAACCTTGGGCACGTTCCGAGCACCAAAAGATCCTGTGCTCGTCAGAAGATACTTCAAATATTGGGAACCAAAATCAACTTACCGGCGACATCTTCAACAGCACTAGTCATGATCTGAACAAGGTCGTCGTCTTTGAAGGTCCCGTCAGCCTGACGTTGAAGGTTGGCAAAAGTACGCTTCGAAGGGTCCTTGTCAATGCTCTGCTCGTATTTGTGAAGACCCATGAGCAGCTCAACCATGGAGATTTCTTCCGCAGGTTTACCGAACATCTCCCTGTACACTTCTTCTGTCCATTTCTCATCCTTTGCACTGGTGGCCGAGTGCCAGCGGTAGGCGAGGTTGAATTCCACAGAACATTGGTTTCCAAGACCGGCGGGAGTGGCATGAGTGCCCTGCATTCTGGTACGGGGATCCTAGTGATTGTCAGAATCGCAGGCGTATTTAACCAGGCAATTACATACCAAGCACCATGTACTGTTGGTCCGGTTAAGGTTGACAATTGTGCGCAAGTAGTCGTACAGCGTGATATTAATGTACAAGCCGCAGGTGATCCTGACCGGTTAGAAGACCATGATATGACGGAAGAGAACGCGACTTACAATCTACCAGTCTGGAAAAGATCTTCATCGTACTTCTTCCATGCCGCTTCTGTTTGCTCAGGCGAAAGGCCAGGTCGAGGTTTGTTGAATCTGCCGTTCTCGTTGATGAGCGCCAGCTGCTCGACGACTTTGTTGTGGAATCTGCATATCCACCGTCAGCCACAACGCCCTAAATGCAATTAAGCAACCACTCTAACCTGTTCAACATAACCATGAGGACATTGCACATGGCAGGGAATGCCAGAAGACGAGGCTCCGAGAAGGAGTCAGGTTTGAGCTTTCCATCCTTGAAGGTACGTATTTGGTTCTGGTCTTCTTGGTTGTCACCGTAAAGGATGGACAAATCCAAGTATGCGGACGTCTGAGAGATATGGGGGTTTCTGTAATCCGTCTGGAAAATGTCTATGATGAATCATTAGAGCGACGACCTTTGAGCTATCGCATTCAAAGGGAGCCTTGCGTACCGTGAATGATAAGCGACGCCCAGGCAAAGAAGACACTTGACACTTTGTTCGGGTGAGGTGTAAATTGCTCTCTGGCCATGATACTATCAAATACGAGACCTGCGTCTGGGAGACCGCCTGGTTGAATAGTCAGCGGTGCAATTGACCGGGAGTATTCAGTGTTGGCAGCTCCCAGCCATGGAATTGTTGGATTATTCCATGATCCATCCGCAGATCGATATTCAAATTTCGGTCCGACAAATCTATGACCATTAGACCGAAACATTAATATTTCGGGGTACTATTCTTACGACAGAGGTGGGTGTGGAAGGGAATCCCAGAGCTCGTCGAGAAACGCATTGGTGAGCTCTGCTCTGTTCTTTGAATTGGATGGAAGTCCGCTGACGAGCTGGATAATCCGTTCCATCAGCATGGTCTTGTCGTCCACATATTCTCCAGAGGCCTTGTTCTTCATGACCTCGACAAGAGTGCCATAATCCTTGAATCCCAATGATCGAAGATCGGAGAAAAGACTCGTCGAGTGGTCATGGCCATGTTCTAAGTAGGTGCCATCTCCGCTCTGAGTAGGCAATGGACGTCGAGATGCATGAATCACTTGCGCGTATCTCTCAAAGATAGCAGACACTTCACCCCGGGCCTTACTATGATCTTCTGGTTCCGGCGGCGGCTGAGAGGTAGAGATGGTCTTGGAGTGTCGCTTGCCATTGGCCTTTTCGCTGATCTGGCCATTCTCCTTGGCCTTGGACTCGTCCTTCTTCTTGAACACAGTAGAGAATCTGCGCATCGTGACTACTGGAACGCACCGTGAGCGAGAAGGAAAAGAAAAAATTGAGAAAAGGTTGAATTAGGGGGTATCACAACAACAAAATTCAATCATGCAACCAGTCGCACACAATGGCGAGCCAGAAGTATTTAAGAGAAAACCGAGTATTAGTGGATCCAAGGTAGGCGAGCAGCGGCAGGGAGCTAGGTATTGGCAAAGCTGTGAGTCGTCCAAAATGGAGCTGTATTTCCTGTTAAATACGTATGGTACCAAGCGCGGAGTATTTGCATAGCTCAGCTAGAGCTTCATTTACTCATGGCCACTCAAGGCTGCATTGGTTGTAACATGATGACACAGTCCTGCTCGTAATTCTGGAATCAAAAACTCTAAGATGCTTCTGTCGATCCGAGAAAGATGTTGCGGGCTTGTCCATTTTGTTTAGAGAGTTGGGGATTCGATTTGTAGGGAGATTGGAGCGATTCCAGGATGACCTAGCACTCAATCTCGGGTTTGCTAGTGTCCAATAGGGCGGAACTAATTACTCCTTGATGTCGGACCAGGCGTCGATCGATGGGAGAGACGCGTCTTGGGGATCCAGCAAGGACCAAGGAGTGACATGACTTATGCATAAGTTGACCCCGCCTCCCTATCTAGGAGAGTTGCTCGAGCGCAACTAGTCCTCTTCGGCGCATCGAACACGACGGCTTGCCTTGGGTTGGTAATTGAGTTTTGCTGCTTTTCTGATTTGCAGACGCTTGTCGTGTTCCGTCAAGAGGTTGCAGGTGACGAAAAAAGTTTCTTTACAGACATGATCCATCATGGCACTGGACCCACCAGCAAATCTATCGAGTCCGGGTTGGATCTGATGGCGGAGGATATACAAAGCTTGGACAATGTGATGAATACAATGAGCTCCGACTTTCACCGCCAATCGAGAGTGACTGACGACGACCCAAGGGCCCTGCCGCATAAAACAACGTGTCAACACTAAAGACACTGACAGCGTACGCAAGGTGTACGCTGCATGCAGTCAAACATGCGGTGCGAGTCGGCTGAAGCGATTGCTTCGTATGGAACTGCCCTCAACACGGAGTTCAAGAGGTGATTCAAATGAAGCTGGGGGAGTCACGAGTCTGGATCTCCACATCAATACTCGATAGGAATATGTCCCGATGAATCAGCTTCGATGGATTGTCCGGATTGCCAAGCAGCATTACGAGCATGACAGTCAACTGACCGGAAAAAGGACTCTCTGCGACGTGATTGGTGCAGAGTTGTTGCAAGGACAAGGGCCGGGCTAGAAAGACGCCAGTTGCGAATTTGAAATGGAAAACACTCCGTACTTTGTTTGCTTCATCTTCAGATGCGTCTGGTTTGACTTTCAGCCGGCCTCGCGCAAGCTGTCGGTGCGGTGGGTTCGGTTCCCCAAAAGTGCAGTGGTTCGCCCGAAAATCGAGAGCTAGGCTAGCGTACTACGTAGCACTAAGGTCAAGACCCCATAACACTAAATCGCTTAGATGGCCATAGCCTGTAGCTGATCGCTGGGTAGTGGACCTAGTGACCGTCGTAATATTCCTCCGTGTATGGGCCAGTTTCTCCTCCTCTACCCAGGATTATGGAGGTTAGGGAGACAGAAACAAGCGGTGTTGAGGATAAGAATGGGATGAAGTTGACTACTTGATGTCAGATGTCATCCACGGTGGGCAGGAGCTGTCACGGATCGTCCGTTCCTTAGTATTGTCTACATAGTACTCCGTACATGCAGTATTAGTAACAACTGGCCGTCTACCCCGTAACATACTCCGTACGGATTGACGAACTCAAAGCGCCATGGCCCGGTCTAATGCATCTGCGACCCCTTACTGCTTACCACCCGTCAATCCCACGGCAAGTTCAGTACCATAGGCCAATATTCGCTTCATCCTGCTTGCCGTGCTAGATTCTTCACCCATTGCCCCATATCTGATGTCGTATCGAAGGTTTATACTCCGTCATCCGCGTCATGGCACTGAAAGAAACGGATCGTCGTGTTGAAGATAGCCATTGACATTCTGCAAAGTGACGATGATGTTGTGCGTCTGTGCATTAGGGTCATGTATACAGAATAGAGATATAACTTATGTCTTGTACGGAGTACTAGTAAGATCATAGGACGATATCTGGGTAGATCCGAGTTTCTCAGTTCGCAAGATCTCCGGGAACAAAAGGGGATTAGCCTATGCAGCTACCGAATAGCGTGTAACTTTACAAACGGATACACACATCCAGTATGTGTTCTGGTCTGAGGGGCTTGTAATTACGCTTCCGATACCATCCAGCAGAGCCAAAATCGAGGAACGCTAGATCTCTCCACTCGACGCGGGCCGCAAATCCCCATCGCCCCGTCGAGAAAGCCTCCATTCAACCAGCCGAAAAATTGATCCATGCTTTCTGACACTGACAAGCACGAGATCGTAGCCCAAGACAAGGTAGAACCGCAGCAGCTTATTCGATAGTACCGGGCCATCTCCATTGCGGCAGACAAACATAAGTAAACGGCACAAGAAAGGAATAGAAAAAATCCCGACGATGATCGGGAGAGGATATCTGAAGTTCGGTCCTAAACTGGAAAATCCATGTGCACTGACCAGTGTCCGGTCCCACTGTACTTATGCATCTCGAGTAACCGAATCTGAACCAGAATGGAACAGTGCTCAGGCCACACAGTCATGATCAGCGTGCGTAGCAACAATGTGAGCCATAAGGATAAAAATTAGAAAAAATAAAAAAAACTTGCTCTTGATTCCATACACGTTGTGGTCTTTTGATCGTTAATTTGTTACAAGTTACGAACGAGTTCCTACCGGAGTACGGTGGTAGCGGTCTCGTACTACATACTGAACATACCTCCCCGTAAGGAGACCCGAGTATTGTCTCCGTATTGGTCATCAGGCCTTGTTGCCGAGAAGGAAAGAGAAATAGTTTCATGTGCGAGACTCCTTGTAAGCTAGTGCGTCTGCTTCCTCCAGCACAATGGTGCAGCGCGACCTTGGACTTGTTATTACCGGCTCAAACTTTCGATATATGACGTCCACCGGCATCTGTTGATTGCCTTGCTATTAATTCGGCGCGCTGTCGTCAAACTTTATATAATCGAACAATACCGGCGTATCTCGAGTGGCATGTGGTACCACCAAAAACGCGAATCAATCGTCATAGCAATCAACGAGTCTTAGCATGGAGCCGACAATTGGGCCACAACAGGCCCCAAAGACGTTTGTGCTCTGCTTTGATGGCACGGGCAACAAGTTCTCAGGAGATGAGTCGGATAGCAATGTCTTGAAAATATTTCGAGTAAGATTTCTTCACAACCAGAAATTCTAATCATGTCGACTTATCGCTGTCTCAGATGCTCGATCGCAGTCGCGGAACCCAATTCCACTACTACCAACCAGGAATCGGCACGTACGTGACCTCAACTTCTCTTTCGAGTACTGGTACCATTCATCGCATTCGCTCGGCCTATCTAAAAGCCAAGGATTCCGCCATAGGCTCCTCATTCGACCAGCATGTCATGGGCGGATACAAATTTCTCATGCGATATTATGTCCCCGGCGACGATATATACTTTTTTGGATTCAGTCGTGGTTCATACATCGCGCGCTTCCTAGCTGAAATGCTCGATTATATCGGTCTTCTAGAGGCCGGAAACGAAGAGTTGATTCGCTTCGCATGGAAGACATTCGCAAAGTGGCAACAACGGCGAGGTCAAACTGAGCAGGACCAGGAAGAAAAGAAGAAGCTCTTCAACTATATGAAGGCTTTCCGTGAAACTTTCAGCCGCCCAATCAGTCGAATCCGCTTCATGGGGCTTTTCGACACCGTAAACAGCGTCCCGCGATTTGAATCTGCGTGGATGCAGCGAAGCAAATTTCCATATACAGCCCGCAGTTCTGCTCTTGTAATCCGCCATGCCGTGGGCATTGACGAGAGACGAGCCAAATTTCGCCAAGATCTGATTTCAGAGTCGAAGCCATGGCATGCGACCCACAGACGTCACGACCACTACTTGAGGGACCATATGCACCGTCTTCACCTCAATCGGGAAAAGCCAGATGAGGTTCCTAAAATCACCCTGAACAATGATGGTAACGGCGTCGATTTAGAGAAGGTGGAACAGGAAGAAGAGGAAACTATTCCTCACCGTGGTCGCGAGGACGGCGAATCTGTCTACCGAACGCCACGTGGCTCCAGCGCTGGTAGTACACAAAACATAAATCGTTACCGTGCACCTTCTCCATTGTCAAATCGAAAAATGAGCCAGTCAAACTTGGGCATCCCTGATATCCACGTACCCGTCGATGATTGTGCGTCTACACACAGCGACGTTACGTCTCTACAAATACCACATGAGCTGGGCGAGGATGATGAGCAAGAGCAGGATATTCGGGAGGTTTGGTTTCCAGGCGGACACGCTGACATCGGGGGTGGATGGAAACTCGAGAAAGGAGAATCCTGGGCTCTCAGCCATGCGCCATTGGTCTGGATGGTTCAAGAGGCACAGAAGGCTGGACTGAATTTTGACACCAGAAAAATGAAACAATTCGAATGCTGCGAAGAATACGTGGAAAACTACTCGCCCATCCACGTATATGATCAGGAGCCGGATTGGTGCTTGGATGAGAGCCACAGCGCAAGTGCAAATGGAATTCAGATATCAACATGTAAATTGAACGAGACCGAGGACGACCGCAATACGAGCCGCGCGCTTCATCGCTTCCTTAACGCCCTCGAGCATTCCAGCACCAAAGGTATACTGCATGATTGTCTCGAATATGGCGCTGGACTTCCGTGGAGTTCTGTGCTCTCCTGGCGTATAATGGAGTATCTTCCTTTCCGACGAATGGACCTGCAGCCTGACGGATCGTGGAAACCCATCCGCTGGCCACTTCCATGCGGTGAAGTTCGAGATATTCCCGCCGGTGCGGAAATCCACGTGTCAGCCATTCGTCGTCTGAAAGCTGACTCGAAATACCGCCCTGGAAATCTGATCATTGGAGGTGGCGGACGTGGCAAAAGAAGAGCACCTGAAGAATATGGCATTGGTGAATGGGAGATCTACAGGGACGAAGGCGATCCGGTCCGAGAGACGTATATACGGAAGAAAGCAGGCAAAAAGGCGGAGGAGAATCAGCATCCATAGAAATTGTATGTGCTTCATTTATTGTATTTCTCCCCAGGTAGTCGGTCTTTTTGCATCATACAGCGTACATAGTCGTATTGATAATCTTGGGCAAACTATCACATGCCTCACTCTCTTGTCAATTTTGTAGGAAATCGTTGAATACCATAAGCCAACCTCCGTCTTCACATGTCCCCGTGCTCGCGCATTGATTTGTTCAATTCTGTGATGCAATCTTGAATTGCTAAGTCATTGATGAAGCAATTCCACCTACGTCGAGTGGATACGAAAAGAACGCCGCAAGCGGAATGGCGGTCGTCTCAACCGGTCCAGAACGGAGTCGATGACACGGATTTGGAGCATTCTGGACGAGCATGGAATGAAGAGGAAGATGGCATCCGCAACGCCTTGTAATATTGCATTTGACCCATGGAGGCGGTGATGATGGAATGAATGATGGAGAAGGAGAAGAGCCTCTTCCTGTAATTCCATGCTGTAATCAATTACCAGAGCGGTTAAATTACGCGCTTATTCCGCCTGAAACAAACGGCCCCCCGCCCAAAGGCTTCCCGGTCAGTACGGGGTAATATTACAGCCACTAACAACAAATGGTGTTTTCGTCTTGAGCTACGACGAATTTCTTCTTCTCCTTCCATACCACTCAACAGAGCCACGACCCCATCAGATCTGCTGGTTGTTTCGCGAATCTAGATACCGTCCTTGCGGAATTACCAGTGCTTCTAGCACTCAAATCGCAACATCCCTGTGATGAGTTACTAAGCCGTGGTTGGGTCGTCACTTTCCAGGCCAGGATCCGGGGTTCAACGTGCTGGTTGGGCTGACTTGCTGGCAAAATCAACAACGACAATAACGGCAAGAAGGCAAAAAAGTAAACAAAAGCGCGCCTCGCTCTCAAAAGCCTCGACGCAGCATGCGCTCGATTTTCTCTTCCGGCGGACAGCTTTACTAAGGCCATCATGATGACTGAATCATTCGTAACCCCGGAACAGATACGGCTCCCACCCAGCCCAACACGTTCGCCGCTGCCGGTGGGAAATCCAAACTCGACAAAAGTACAGTACCCAAATGAGGATCTTCTTTCTGTGCCTTCTTTGTTTACTACTTCTATGCCGCCGATCCGAAACCGATCACCGTTATCGCGAACTCATGCACGGTCTCGTTCGCTTGCAAGTCCCTTTCCGACGCAGATGACGAGAGCTCATTCGTCGCCTGGACTGGATTCACGCGGTCGCTATGTTTACCCACCAAGCATTGCAAGACCTCCGAGTCCTATGGAACACTCGATCCGAAGACAAAGCCCGTTACGTGTTGCGGATGATATGCGGACCTTGAACCTGAGCTCTCTGAATATCTCAGAGACTATCTCCGAGCATGCAGAACTCGAACTTCCTTCACCATCGCCATCCACCGAATCGCAACCTACCTACTCGCAATTTTCTCCCTCATACCAAAATACCAATCCGCGGCCTAGTCGACGATCATCTTCATCATCGTTACACAGCAACCTCTCCAGTATCACTATAAACACAACCAGTAGTCCAGGCTCTGTTCATTCGTCTCCGGTCATGGTGGCTACAAAGTTTAACGAGTCGTATCCGGGACTGTCTTTCTCGTCTGCCTCTTCAATGCCGTCTACTCCAACCAGTCTCCGCTCGCGCAGTCCCAGTATTTCTTCTCTGGAAACTATCCCCGATATCCCTGATGCCGAAGCGGATGCCGAAGCGGAAGCAATAGAAATGGAAGAAACGGCTCGATTGAAATCGGCCGCCGACGCTACAGATGCAGATTGCTTGCGACGCCGATCTACGCTCGAGAACTCTATGTCCGGAAATGCAAGAGGCTACGGAGCGAGGAACGATAAACGGAAGCGCTGGAGTGTGTGCGGAGCAGAGCGACGGCAGGACCTCGATCTAGAGACTATCTGGGAAGACTAACTGGATAGTACGCATTGCATATTCACCAATAACCACCATATCGATTTCGGGCACCGGCTTATCAGTCGCCTCTTTGCCCAGTCGTCAATCCAGAATTGAGAGGCTCCTTGGTTTCCAGTTCCATGTATTTGAATTATTTTTTCTTCACTTGAAGTGCAGATTTACTTAGCAATGGCGTTACGGGATGCATCGTGTCTTGATACCCGATACGAGAGAGGCCATCCGTGCATGTGATTTCATCTTTTTCTGTTCTTTTTCTGTTCTTTTTCGACGTTTCTGGGTTTACCTTTGTTTGACTGGAGTATATGGAGGGGTTACGGGGGATGCTTCCTGTTCTATTTTCAGCTTTTATGGGTTCTCGTGTATACTCGCATCAATTTACGGGGTGACAGGTCACTTTCCGTCTCTGTACATAGCTACCTAGGTAGTACCTATGCTTCAATATATTTTCAAATCAGCTACATATCCCCTCTACTATAAAGGAATACATGCCAAGGCTTTCTTTGATTTTCGAACATCTGACATAACCTGGAAGCAGTAACTTATAAGTTACAGGCTAACTTCCAAGGTTAGGCAATATCTAATCAGCTGGGGTCCTCCCAAGTCTGTATTCATTTATATTTATACGGAATACTTGGTCTTGAATCCCCCCTTTGTTACTCGAGCGAAGCGAGAGAAGACAGCTTGTCTAAGTAGGTAACCATAGTGAGTTGTGTAGGTATTCTGTCCTACCTAAATACATACTAGCCGGGCCTAGATACATAATATTGCCTAGACCAATGTCTGAATTAAGCAGCCAGTCGGGTCTCGTGGGAACACAAAGCACACAATATACTACTTCGTACGTGTTCTGAATATAGGCATGATAGTTAATATCAGGCCAGCCAATCCTGTGCAACAAACCAGGCTGTCGTTGTCTGATCGTGCGGAGTACCTAGGCAAATGCCGACACCCGAGGACATCCATGGATTCGCTGCAGCATCTCATGTCAATCCCCTTTGACATTTAATAATGTTTGATCGAGGACATATCTATCTATCATTATCACTCAATGCATTGCGAGGAGATTTCTGCATTGAAAGAGGGTCTCCGTGAGAGCATACCAGTACCTGGAAGCTCGTAAATATTTTTGCGTGTATCGCCAACCGAGGCAGGCACATCCCTGAGGGTTCCAACATTTGAAGGTTGTAAGTATCTGCATGCCGTAGTGTCATTCGCAGCGAGAATCATAGCTGACGTATAGCAAAGAGACTACTCCATATCTACAATGGCAGAAACCGAATCTTCAGTCATTATTGTTGGCGGCGGTCTTGCTGGCCTCGTCGCAGCAACAGAACTGTCGCGACGTGGAGTTCACGCAATCATCGTGGATCAAGAAAATGAGGCGAATCTAGGAGGACAAGCATTCTGGTCACTGGGGGGGTTGTTCTGTGTCAACTCTGCTTCCCAGCGCCGTTTAGGCATTAAAGATAGTCGAGAGCTCGCAATGCAAGACTGGTTCAATTCCGCTCGATTTGACCGCGACACCGACCTTTGGCCCAGGAAATGGGCGGAAGCATTTGTTAGTTTCGCTACGGACGAGCTAGAAAATTATGCTAAAAGTTTTGGCATGTCGTTTGCAAGTGTTGGTTGGGCAGAGCGGGGAAGTGGGAACGCAAACGGGCATGGAAATTCTGTCCCCAGGTTTCATGTTACTTGGGGTGCTGGACCAGCAGTCGTCGAGGCTTTCGAGAAGCCAGTACGAGAAGCAGCGAAAAAGAAACTGGTAGAATTCAGGTTCCGGCATAGAGTCGACCAGATTATTGTTGACGAGCATACCGGTGCAGCCGTTGGTGTTCGTGGACAGATATTGGAGCCTTCAGAGACTCTGCGAGGAGTCGCAAGTAGTCGGAAGGCCGTTGACAGCTTTGAACTCTTCGGAGCCAAGGTTTTGATCACGTCTGGGGGAATTGGCGGTAACGTTGATCTGGTCAAAAAGAACTGGCCAGTCGACCGCTTGGGCCCTCAAATACCGAAATCGTTCGTCATCGGTGTCCCTGCATATGTTGATGGTCGAATGATTGAAATCGCAGAAGAAGCAGGTGCTCATATCATCAACAGCGACAGGATGTGGCACTATACAGAAGGATTGAACAACTGGAATTCTATCTGGCCACAGCATGGAATTCGAATAATCCCTGGTCCCTCGTCGCTGTGGTTAGATGCGACTGGGAAGAGGCTACCCCCATTTCTTTACCCCGGGTGTGATACTCTTGCTACACTGAAACATATTTGCGCCACTGGCTATGATTATACCTGGTTCATTCTCAATCGGTCGATCGTGACCAAGGAATTCGCGTTGTCAGGATCAGAACAGAATCCCGATTTGACCAGTAAGAGCATCTGGAAGACGCTACAACAGCGACTCTTCGGTTGGTCACCCACGCCACCCGTCCAAGCATTTTTGGACCACGGGGTAGACTTTGTGGTGGAGAGTTCTCTACCAGACTTGGTTCATAGGATGAACGAGCTTGCTGAAGAAAAGGGTGGGCCATCGTTAGATCTCGAGCAGATCAAGCGAGAAATCGAGAGCAGGGACAATCAAGTTGAAAACAAGTATTCAAAAGATGCACAAATTATGCTTATCCGCAATGCACAGAACTATTGGCCCGAAAGACTCTCGAGGTTATCAAAGCTTCATAAGATCTTGGATCCTGGTCATGGGCCTCTCATCGCAGTAAGACTGAATCTTTTGACTCGCAAGACCCTCGGTGGACTCGAGACGAACCTTGACGCAAATGTCCTTCGGCCGGACGGAACGGCCTTTCCCAACCTATATGCCGCTGGAGAGGTTGCTGGATTTGGCGGAGGAGGTGTTCATGGATATAGCTCCCTTGAGGGGACTTTTCTTGGTGGATGCATTTTCTCCGGGCGAACCGCTGGCGTCAAGATAGCAGAGTCTATGAAAGGGTAGTGTCCGTCCATAACAAATCGTCTTATGCATAACGACCTTTTCAATTCCATAACATGCGTGTATGTACCTCTTCAGGAACTGCACGTCAATATCGGCTGGATATTTAGGGCTGGATATTCAGGGCTAGATATTTAGGCATAGGACTTGCACGTCAATGTCAATGAGATTTCTAGGGCTAAATGCCTAGGGCTAGAGCTTGCAGGTCAATAAGATATTTTCAGAGCCCCTAACCCTAAGCCAACCCCCGCGCGCGATTTGTAAAGCAGATTATAGGTTGTTCTATTCAGTCCTATGCGGGCTAGCGCCAGCGCGCCCGTCCCAGTTTTGTAGGCCCCGCAAGCAGAGAAATAAACGAAGATGATTGGTTGTATTGCCGGCGAATCACAGCAGCGTATTCAGCATCATGGGGCCGTTGTTATCGCCGGGCCGAGCTTGCTGATAAGGAAGGAACGGACCATCGTTTTTTTTTCTGGCGCCCCTCGTCGGAGGGACAGAACCATCTCTTCTCTCTATCCATCGCCTGATACTGTATTATATTATTGAAGTCAGCTTCGCACAGCAGCCAGTCAGCATATTCCAACCTGTCGTTCCACCTTGCACGACGGCTGCCGGCTTCATCCTGCCAAGCGGGGAACGTCACAAGGTCCATCCCTTATCAATCGTCCCGATCATAAATGTGAGTGGCACGCTTGGTTTCTTTGCTTTTTCTTTGCGTACCTATACCCAATCCATCAACTCTGCATGTATGAGACCTTGCGGCTGGGGTCCAGATCGGAGCCATATATTCGACGAGGCATCGAATAAGAGACATGGGAATAGAGGCAGCGTTTGTCGCGGTAGCCGCGAGCAACGGCGTCGCCTGCCAGGAGTCAAGCAGGCCGAATCGTGTGGTCCATGATGCTGCATCCTGCATCACTCCATGGCTGTACCTGCCTGTTTCATCTTGCTCCCGCATGCCAAGCGTGGAAAATGACGATTCTCGATGGGAATGAAGATAGTCACGGACAAGCGTTACACACGGCCGTTCCTGTTGCCATTTCCTTAGCCGCTGTATCTGTCCTGGAACTTCTATTTTCTTCCACGATCCCAAACAAGGCTATCCGGCATTCAAGACTCTACTCACGACTCTCGCCGCTTCCATATACCACGCATTCTGTTCAATCTACCTACCTATCTGTCTCCAGAAAACCAGCAAACTATACGTATACAATCATGGAGTGCAAAGCTAATCAGTTGGCCCAGCTAGCAAGTTGGTTTCAGTATTCAAGTAGTCAACGACATAAGTCGACTTTACATCCAGCTGCCGTCGGTCGAAAGCTACCGCTGTCTGCACGCAAATATCAAATAGCGCTCATGGGGAAGACTCCACATGTTGGCATTATCGGAGCCGGTATATCTGGGCTAAGATGTGCTGACATTCTAGCCCAAAATGGTGCTAAAGTGACTATTTTGGAGGCGAGGGATCGTATTGGTGGGAGAGTACGTTTGTACTATTTATCTCAAGCCTCTCAAAGCTCGGTCGTGCGAAAAGTAGCTGACGGCGTTACAGATAACGCAGGTTGAAGTAGGCGGAAATCTGGTCGACTTGTGAGTCAGTAAGAACATTTCTCATGCAGCGAAAGCTAACCATACATCCAAGAGGCGCGAATTGGATTCACGGAACAGAAGGCAACCCAATTGATCAAATCAGCAGGATATCGAACACGACCACCTGTGAATGGGACGGACGTGAGACGATATATGACACGACGGGGAAACTGCTCGATGAAGCTACAACCAGGAAGTTGGCAGAATGGATGTGGACTACCGTCGATGAGGGTTTCGAATTCAGTACCAAGAATAAGGACTCCATTCCAGCTAGTATGAGTCTGTACGACTTTTGCTGTAAACAGCTCGAGCAGACGAATTTCACTGCAGAGGAAAAGGCGGCTTGCAAGGAATTTTCCAAGTTCTGGGGTGCTTATGTCGGAGAGCCCGTTGAACGGCAAAGCATGAAGTTCTTCTGCCTAGAAGAGTGCATTGAGGGCAGTAAGTTATTTTCAAGGTCAGGTGTATCTTCGTGGGTACTAATGTTTGCAGCAAATCTGTTTGTGGCGTCCACATACAAGAACATCCTTGAGCATATCTCGAAATCAGCATTAAAACACACGGATCTTCATTTGAACTCGCCAGTTGTTCAAATACAGGCAGCCAACAGAGAGACGAATACTGACCGGCACATCACCGTTGTAACCGAAGCTGGGAAAAAGTACCACTTCGATGATGTAATAGTTACATGTCCCCTAGGATGGCTGAAAAAGAATAAGTCTGTTTTCAGTCCTTCTTTGCCGTTACGTTTATCGTCGGCTATCGACAATATATCATACGGCCGACTCGAGAAGATCTACGTAACCTTCCCACATGCATTTTGGCATATACCTACTGAGCGCAAGTCGATAAGCGGCACCGGTATCAAAGTGGCCAACGGTCCCGACTTTGTGGCAGATAGCGATAATGACAAGTATCCGCCGGCCTTTACACAGTGGCTGGAGCCAAAGTATGTTGAAGCTCCTTCTAAGGAAGGAAGCTGGAACATGCAATGCGTTTCATTGGCAGCACTTCCGCCAAATTGCGCTCATCCAACACTGCTCTTCTATATCTATGGACCCTGCTCCGCATACGTTGTCAACAACATCAAAGACATGGACGAGTCGTCAACTGAGTACTACAACTTTCTCGATAATTTTGTCAAGCCATTCTACTCCTCCCTTCCTGGGTATTCCGGTTCGTCTGAGTCTTGTAATCCCACGGCCTTTAGAGCGTCCAGATGGATATCCGACGATTATGCGGGCAATGGCTCCTATGCCAACTTCCAGGTTGGATTGGAAACTGGCGATAAAGATATCGAAGCGATGCGACTTGGTATGGGACCAGATCGTGGAGTGTGGTTTGCTGGCGAGCATACTGCACCATTCGTCGGATTGGGTACTACGACTGGCGCGTATTGGAGTGGCGAACGTGCTGCTGGACAAATATGCGACCTTTATAGCCTTGGTCAGTTGGGACTAGGAGTCAGAAAAGACGATTCGTTGCCCACAGGAACCCCGGGAGTGATGACTGGTAATACCATGTTCCATAAGGGAAACACGACGGCACTTCGGGCAACTACAGTTCTGGCCACAGTAGAAGGTCAGTGATGACGATAGTCTATTGCATTGATGGGTAAGATTGGCGACGCTATATCTATCCTAGGTCTGTCGACCTTATATTTTGTTTGGCATCTTTTACAGTTGCATTGCTCATTGGTATTCAACATGTCAGCCGGCCATATGTCTGTAAGTCGCTAGCATATTGGTTAATATAGCGTATTTATTCTATGATAATTTATACTACATAAGTACAGTTCTCTTCGCTCTCGACTCTGAGTCTGCTGCAGTGGACGACACATACCTAGTTAGGAAAGATGTAACAGCAGCCTGAAGGACTGGGAAGATGGGAAGCCGAATCCGATAAATAATTGCTGATTCAGTGTTTCCGTTCAGTGAAGGTGAGAAGTGGAACACCCAAGTTTGACTGTGGAACTGTAGATTGGCACTAGAACTAACAAGCCTAAGGCCTCAACCCTAAATCCAGGCACCAGTGGCCCCCGGGGCCAAATGGCGTGCGCGGATAGGCAGGATCGCTTATGCTAGCCACTGCCACAACGTGATATTTGGTCTATTGAGCGCCATTCTTGGGATCATTTTGCTTCTTTTCTACTTCTATCGGCTATTCTTTTCGGGCACAAGCCTCGGTATTGGTTCCTGAACGCTCGTCTAGCGAACGTTCACCGAGCTGATGTTACCTCTCCATCCCTAAGAGGACTGGTGAGCTTCACTAGACTGCTCCACCTTCATAAGGCGCATGTTTGGTCTCGCAAATACGCGAGAAGAATTCACCCACGATGCCGCCATCTCGAGTCATTTATATTATATAGCAGAGGAGGAGAGTACCCTACTGGAGAAGGGCTTTTCTCCTGTAGGGACTGCTGCTATCTCACCTCTCGTCCTTCGTTTTCGCACCACTTCGCTTCTCGTTCCTCGAGGATATTGGCAAAAAGCCATTTACCAGACATTCGTTTTTATAAATACTAATCACTCTTTTACCTTCCCTGGGGCATACGAGATTCGTGCCAACGCACAAACTATACAATGGCGATTGTATCAACTTTGGGGTCCTGTCTGCCCCTGCTCGCTCTCTTTGCCCAGCTTGTTCCTGTAATGGCAACTGTGACACCGGTAGTATCATGCTCAGAAACTACAACACAGTTCTTCAAGAATCCAAGTTTTGAAGACGGAGTTGCTGGCGACTGGTCTATCACGAATGTGTATCCGGATTACAACATCGTCAAGGCCGGTACATCCGACGCGAAGATGACTGCTGAGGATGGACAGTGGTATCTACAGACTTATGGCTACGTGCATGAATTTCACCTTTCTCAGACCATTACCGGGCTTGAGATTGGCAAAACATATACTGGCTCATACTATATCGATGTTTCCCTGACGTATCACACGGCTGGTTGTTGGAACTATGCTTATCTTGACGAGGCTTCCTCTGCCCACCAGATCTACCACAGTCTCATAACTATACAGCAATCAACCAGTAGCTGGAAGAAGCAATCGTTCACATTCACACCGACCTCTACTACCCACCAGGTGATATTTGCTCTTGACTGTGGCTCTAGCTATCACGGAGACATGTGGTACATTGGCTGGGATGACTTCGAAATCACCGGCCCTACCAGCGTCTGTTCTACTTCTTACTCAACTGCCCCGACTCCGACACCTACGCCGACCCCTCGCTCTTCATCACCAGTTGTAACTGCGTCTTTGTCGTCTTCGTCTGCTGTTGTCTCGGCATCGCCCTCAGTTGTCGCTTCAGCATCTTCGTCTGCTGTTGTCTCGGCATCGCCCTCAATTGTTGCTTCAGCATCTTCGTCAGCTGTTGCTTCAGCATCTTCTTCCGCTGCTGCTTCAGCATCTTCTTCCGCTGTTGCTTCGGCATCTTCTTCCGCTGTTGCTTTGGCATCTTCTTCCGCTGTTGTATCAGCGTCTTCTTCCGCTGTTATCAGTGCCTCTCAATCCTCATCAGCTGCTGTTCGTCCTTCGTCACGTCCGACACGTCCTTGCACAAGAAAGCCTACTGGTTCTTCTTCTGCCGTGGTACGCCCGTCATCTTCAGCTCGTATTTCCATTCCGTCCTCTAGACCCACGCGGCCTTGCACACGAAAACCTACTGGATCTTCGTCCACCGCCGTACGTCCGTCATCATCTGTTCATGTCTCTATTCCATCATCTAGCCCTACGCGTCCTTGTACGCGAAAGCCTTCTGGCTCTTCTTCTGGTGCCGTACGTCCATCATCTTCATCTCACATCTCCCTCCCCTCACCACAATCTACTCGTTCCTGCTCACGGACTCCCGGTTCGACTTCTGCTGTACCAGCGTCTTCATTGCCAGCAACAACCAAGTCTTCGGGGGTCTCCGGTCCATCTTCGATTACAACTACGGCTAGCAGTTCTTCCGGGACATCTTCTGCATCGGGGATTACGAACGATGGCTCAGTTACCACTTCATCAGCTGTCAGCACTCAAATCTCAGGCGAGCCTGGAGCCGGTGGCTTCACTACTTCAACCGTCTTCTCAACCCGCACAGCAACCATCACCGCTTGCCCAACCACTGTCACCAACTGTCCTGCCAGCCAACGCACAAGCTATATTACTACCGAGATCATCATCGTGTCTACTACCGTGTGCCCTGTTACTGCGGTGCCAACATCAACATCTGGTGCAAACCCGGGCACAGGTTCAAGTTCAGGCTCTGGCTCCAACATCGGTTCTGGTACTGGCTCGAACTCAGGCTCAGGTTCAGGCTCAGGTTCAGGCTCAGGTTCAGGCTCAGGTTCAGGCTCAGGTTCAGGCTCAGGTTCAGGCTCAGGTTCAGGCTCAGGTTCAGGCTCAGGTTCAGGCTCAGGTTCAGGCTCAGGTTCAGGCTCAGGTTCAGGCTCAGGTTCAACGTCAAGCTCAGGCGCTGGCACTGGTTCCGGCTCCAGCTCCAGCTCTGGCTCCAGTTCAAGCACAGGTTCCGGTTCTGGCACTAACTCAGGATCGAGCTCAGGTGCTGATTCTGGCTCTGGTTCTGGTTCAAGCACTAGCTCTAACAGTGGTACTGCATCAGGATCAGGATCTGGCTCTGGCTCTGGTCCTGGCTCAGGAGCTGCTGGTGCTGGTGCTGGTGCCAAATCATCCAGCAAAGCCATCAGCGCAGCTTCTTCAACCGGCCTCGCTACGTCAACATCCTCTGTCAAGAGTGGAGCGTCGTCCACTACCACCGCAAAGAGCCCGGTCTATACTGGGGCCTCAGCGTCTCGGTCGTCATTCTTTTCTGGTCCCGTCGCAGTTATCGCCTGTGGATTCGCGATCGTACCACTTCTCACTTAGATATAGCAGAGTATATTCTTAGAGATTGATTCTTCTTGGCTAGTCCGACTTCATACTTCCTTGCAGCTGTGTGAATCGAGTTGCTTTTGCTTGATATGCAGCCTGTATTTGATGTGTACTACGTGGCATTTCATTATAATGTATAATATTCATTTTCATGTATACGACTGGGAATTGAAATTGATGCCTAAGTACATATTATTATGTTTAGTACTGAATGTTGGTTCACCGTACTTTTGTATATACTGATGATGATGATGATGACTGGTCAAGATACGCTAGTCCCAAACGAGTCATCCGAACCTGCCCTCAAATCGTCCTTGGGCAGGGGCAAACCATCACCTTTTCTTCCCCTCAACATTCTCAGAGACATGGGATGAAAGAAATGCGATAAGTCATCTGAAAAGTTTTCGTATTCTCATTACCTACTATGTCTATCCTGGCAACAACTGATCATCATCGCCACTGTACAGATCAACATTCGAAGACGACATTTATACTCAAATGCGTCGCTTGCTGCATACACTGTACATCCACCAGGTCATAGGTCAATATGACCAGTCTTCAAGGATGGAATGCACAAAAATGATACAAGGAAATTATCCAAGAAGACAATTGAGGAAAATCAGAGACATGCCGAGAAATGGAAAAATAAAGAAAAGGAAATAAACAAAAGAAATGAATGGAAAGCATCGCTTCATTATGGTAAGAGTGTGTTAGTCAAGTCGACTCAATAGGTCATGTCATTGCCATGCACCCTGACTCAAGGACAAAAGGCCTTGTATACAGTCCAAATCCTCTTCACGGCTTGAGGAACCAGTCTTGGTCATGAAAGCGGCGACTTCAGCGTCCAGTGTGGCTGTGGTCTGCGAAGCGCCCTTGGTGCCGCGGGGGCCACGGTATAATCGACCCTGCTTGGTCAATGCAAGATCATCGACTACGGTATTTCTGCGAATGCCATTCTCTTTGAGAACGGGACGCTGGGTATGAGACTTTGCTCTTTGATGACGGCGGGGGCTTGCTCGACGGTATGTCCCCGGAACCCAATTCTCTTTGTCCGAATCACCCGCCTCTAAGTCTAAGCGCTCGACTCCTTCTTTACCAGCCTTGTTAGTTGATTTCAAGCTGCTGGTCGAGGTATGGGTCACGATGCTTGTTTGATGAACGGACTCTAGTCGCCCGAGAGATGACACAGTGCGAGAGAGTTTTCGTCTCTTCTCTCTGGACGGCTCGGCTACATCTAGTTGACTGGCCGTGCCAATTGCTGGGGACGATAGGTTGGGTTTGGAAAAGGAGTGACGAGCGAGTGACCGATGGCTACCAGAGCGATATAGACCCGGTGTCCTCGCACCGCTGGAGGGCTGAGAACTGATTGGTGCCGATAGAGCGCTTCGCGCGTCATTATCACAATAGGACTCCCACATTCGCGCATCGCGAGACCGGCCAAATGGCTTCATTCCGTTTCCATCTCGAATCAATGGGGTAGCTCCAGGTGACCCAAAATTGATTGCGCTAACACTTCTGCGAAGACCAGTCTGACGTGACACCCGGCCGGGAATAAGTCGCAAGCGGTTCTTCGAAGGAGATGGTTCGTCCTGAGTGCGGATGAGAGCCTCCCCATCTGAGGATAAGGAAATTCTCACAGCCGTGCGCGCCTTTGGTGGCGACGGAGTGGACTCTCCCTGCTTTCTGAGAAGAGCTTCCCCATTGGAAGACAGGGATATCCGAAGGGACGGAGGTGATTTGACCTTCTCTTGTCTGTCATTCTTCCGCTGATTGACCTCCGTCTCCGAAAGTCGTCGCTTCTTTCCATTTACTTGAATGCCTAAGCCAACTATCTCCCTCGACTGTTCCATTTCCTCCCCGAAGTTCGCCGAGTTAATCGATGAAAAGGAAGTCTCGGGGTTTATATAGCCGGGTTGGGTGTCGGCTTCCAAATCATCCAGCTCATTGTTATGGAGTGGGTCTGCGAGGGCGTCGTCATTCCTTGAGATAATTCCTTCCGACAGTTCGGGGGTTGCCTGTTCGCCGTCGTGAGGAGAGCTTATGTCATGATTGCTCGGGGAGTCGTCTGAGATCCCGTCCGAAGCGCGCGGGCCTACCAGTTCGTGTGGCTCGAGTGGCTTTGATTTTCGACGATCGTTCTGCCGTCTATTTTGGAACCAAATCTACACGAATGTTAGCAAGCAATTTTCTGCGCCAACAGCATAGCGACGACGCGGCTTTGACGCGTACCTGAACTTCTTTTTCGCCCAGAGACACCCGACTAACTATGCTTGCTCGAGCAGCTTTATCAGGTTTCGGGTTCTTCTTGTACTCGGCCTCAAGAATGGCATGATCTTCAGGACTATAAATGATAATTATAAGTTCAGCAGTTGTCTTACGGAGGTCAAGAGATGGCCAAGTGCAAGCGCGCGCATCAAAGACTCACCTTGTACGTCGGCGTTTCTGGCGCGCGAGTAGTTTATTGTCGACGCGGGGCGGGAGGTTTTGTGTCAATGTCTTCTGCGAATGAACGAGGAAGGCATAGTGAAGATTCGCCGGAGAAGAAGATGTCAAGGATTGAGATGGCGAAGATGAACTTGCCGTGATTGGAATCATATCGGCGGAAATCATGGTCAATGAATGACCAGTCATTAACACGGACGTGTCAGTAGGCGAGGCTGGGAGAGCTGTAGATGGTGCCGGATCCCATGAGGCAAGATCTACTTCATATATGAGGAAGAGGAGGGAGAGGATCGCTTCATAAAAGCAGTAAGTGGAAGAATTGAAGATACAATAAGTGATTTTTGTTAGACGACACAAGATGGTAGGCGTACTAAGCCAATTTGATAGTACGGCGTGAAGATAACCGCGTCGGCGGTGTCATCACACGCGGCGGGCTTCCACGACTTTTGGCGTGCGGAAGCGGAGCTCCCTCGCATCTCATAGGGAGAGACCCGCGTCTAGCCTCGCTTCACCATTAGACGCGACCGCGCTGTGTTTTGTACGTGGCTTTTTGTTCTTAATCGCTGGTGCGTCGAAAACAAGATTTTATGCCCTTGAATTAACTTAGTTGGTTACAGCTTCAAGTCTGTGAAGTTTCCGGGACTATTCGTCTCTTGCCTGGTCATTCAACTACTGCTATTACTCGATTGGCTCTTTGGCATTCACGAATATCGGATTTAGGAGGGCTTGTATGCTGATGCATTATTGCATGACGCTTTCACACTCACAAAGACTGATTGTTGCGATTCTGAAGTATCTCGAGGATTCATAGAGAGAAACAAAAGGTGCAAACATGACAAACACACTCGTCGCATGGACACGTGCCTGACGCGAAATCTCGTGACTTGTGCCAAGACCGAATCCAGCCGTGGTGCCTCAGGCTCCTATATTGATGACTTTCGACGACGAAAAGAAACACTCCAACTTCAATATTCTACCATTCAACAACAACACCCGCTTGGATCGTCACCGTTGACTCAGTGTGACTCAGTGAATAATCTGCCTATCTGACATTGTCAAAGCCATACGATGTTTGCATCGCACTTTTTGCGCCATACCGATTGTGGCCTAGTCGCAGAACTCCGGCAATGCGGCTGATAATCGGCCCACAAACAGACCGCCAGTTCCCCTGCCCTACGCTCAGGGCTGAACACCAAAACGGTCGAACCACTCCACATCAGGGCCCTTTGAGCAGGCCAGATTGGCTACAGCTTCACTGCCTTACTCCAACCGCTCGGTCCACAAGCGGTCAGGGTCTGTCCACGAATTCTGGACATTCAAGGCCGATCTAAGAGTTATTATGCCTACCTGGCCTTGTTCTTCTACGCCGATGTAACCTCTGCCATGATACTGGCCAACTCTCAGGAGTCGGGGTTCTCATTTTGATCACGAGAATCGGCCATCCCGACATGGGAGCTGAGATTCTCTTTCTTCGAAATGCAGGCCGCGTATCCGCCCCAGACCCAAGAAAGAAATTGTCCCATCACCCCTGTTCGCGGACTGCTTCTGTCGAGCTACTTCTGCATGCTCATTCGATGGAGTCCTTCTTCGAAGAATTCGACCGTTGAATATCTGGAAATGACGGTTTGTCCAATGACAACCCATACCTTCACAATCTTCATAGAAAATGGCCGAGACTAATCCCGACACAGTTGAGGGATAGATGGAAGATACCCGCAGTGGATTCTTCTCATCAGACAGGACGGGCCAGGTATCTCTATCTGTTACCCACAGCCATGGTTCAGATTCGGCTCGTACCCTTACCAAGTCACGTTTTGTATAGACACAATCATGGGTTTCTGGAGTTTCGTCATGGCCTCTAATAAAAATGATGGATTCTTAGGCCGAAGGGCGCAGAGATGAGTACTATGTGCTTCAATCCTTTATGCATGCTTGCGGTTGCCTAATATGCTTCCAGTCCACAAGGAATTTTGACCGGAAATTTTTTTTTTCCTTGTTTGAAAAATATTTCCAGTTCTTTCCATCGACGGCAAACCTGTCATAGTATGCCTTTTCTTTCACTTTCATTCACTTCTGACTTTTAGCTCCTCTTAATTCTCTTCCTTATATCGTTGTAATTATTGTCCCTCGTTTGCTATCACATCTTCTTTCGTTAAAAGAAGTCTCAGCATCCCGCGGGAATTCCTCACGCTCATTTACTGGAAAATATCCTTCTCGCCAATTCGATGATAAAGATAGCGTTGGCAGGGACCAGTGGTCTCGCCCAGTATATTGCTCACTACATTTCTACACAGACATATCATCAGTTTTTCTTTTTGTCAAGGAACGTGAGTTGACGCCTGCCTGATGCTTGTCTCCATGTCCCGTGTGTTGACCGACGTTTTTATAGCCCAATCCCGCCCTAACAGCTCGAGGCTGGCAGGTATTGCCCGTCGATTATAACAACCAGAGCGACGTTCGATACAAGCTTGTTGGTGTGGACACGGTCATTTCAACAATATCAGGCCAAGCGCAACTGTCGTTGATTGACGCTGCAGCCGAAGTCCATGTCAGGCGATTCGTGCCTTCAGAGTTTGAAGGCTCTCCGCTGCAGCGACCAGAGATTGACCCCCTCGATCGAGGACAGAAATTTGCCCTTGCCAGGCTTCGAGAGAAACAACAACTTGGGATGGAATTTACTGTCTTCTCATGTGGCGTGTTCTATGAAAGGTTCTATCCAGGAGGTATGGCGGCGCTTCAGTTGGGTGCGGGAACACATATATCAGGCGAGGGACAATACATCTTGGAAATACGTCGTCAAACAGCCAGCATACCTTACCACCATTCCGGGGATGGCGTCTATGTATGCATGACATCCGCCGAGGATGTTGCTCGCTACATTGTAGCTGCTCTCGACCTTCCCAATTGGCCGAATGAATTCCTCATGGCGGCTGAGAGAATGAAAATTGATGATATCGTTGCGATGGCAGAAGTCATGTCCGGTTAGTCCCTTGTAGGCCCCTTGTCTATAGAAAGGCGTTCATAACTAAGCATTCTATTTTCCCTAAATGGCCAGGTGAGCCTTTTCAACGTCAATATTATGATCACGCTACTTTGATGGACAGCATTTCTTACGCCTCAGCTACAAATGATACACCAGAACATTGGCGGCTTCAGCATCTCCTGGCCACCTTGCAAGGACGGTACGATTTTCACCGCACAAATCTTCATCGGCTGGTGAATATGCAACCAAAGCCATTTTTTCAGTGGTTAGTCGCCGCCTGGTCTGATACCGTATGAATCTCTATGATGAACATGCAGTCGATGTATATGCAACGAATATACAACGATGATTGAATTTCATTTGTTTCAATGCTGGGCATTCGAAATTATCTTTTCCCTTCTTATTTGTGTTTCTTATAATTTTGTTTCTCTCATTGAAACGCAAAAATGTCGGACAATGTTGTGCAGGTCGCAATACTACAATTTCAAACGTATCTGGAAGCAGTTGATCCTGTTTTCCAGAATCACTTTCTGAGCCAGTGGTGTGGACTACCAAGAACAGAAGAGTTCCATGGCGGGGCTCTAATATCAAGAATTTATCACTATGTCTACGAGCTCAATATCTACCAAGTGTTCGCAAGGTGACACACGGCGTGGAGCACATCGTCCTGCCTAGACCTTGACAAATCCAGATAGGCACCACTACAATATATGCTTTATTTATGTATAATCATGTCGCTCAGATGATTGCTGGCAGTGCTTCTTATGTGCCACAGTATGAGAACCCCGCATTGATATACCAATTCCGGATCATGATGTATACATACATCCACCGGCAGAGGCATTTGATTGGGAGGATAAGTCAATGGCATACCTAAGCCGAGAAATATCCTCAAAACTTAAGCTTATCATCCTCTTGTATCAGGAATTTTCTTTGGTCATTCTTTACCCCGGTATATCTGGTGTCTCTTGGAGAGGTAGAATTCTGAATATGTCTGTGTTGCTCACGGAATCTATGATCCTTTGGAGCTTCGGCTCTCTTGTGAATGCAATCACCAACGATCCCAGTGACACCACGCCACTACTGTCTACTGTGACAGAGAGAAGATATCCAAGGGCCATTTTCGGTTTGACGTTCACCCCGCCCGCCGAGTAACTTCTTGGTATTGGCATTCTTGTGTAAAGTGCTGGGCAGAGAGATTCTCTATGGCTCTGACGCGTGGAAAGTTTAGGGGGATCCCAAATCATACGATGCCATGACCTGGGACAAGGAATTTTGTGGTCTACATTCCGACCCAATGATGCGTTCAACCAGACATCGCAAGAATCACGAGATTTTTCGTTCCGGCCAGAACCTTAGAGCTATATTAGCCCTTTATAGGATTAGAATTATTTTTTAAAAGCAAAAAGAAATCATTACAAGATTCAACAAAATCATGCGACTATCATGTCGGCCTGTGCTGTTGGGTGAACATATGGATAGTCTGTTCCACAAACCCTTGCCTGATACATGTGCGATGTGCGACGAAACTAAATGAAGATAGTCCCCAAGCGAGCTCTCTATTTTCTCTTCGTACCACTCGCAGGCTTGTGGCTCTCATTTTCTTGCCTTGCCATGCTATTTCTCGGGAGAATTCAATCGAGAGCCTAGAGGACAACAATTGAGGCAGCGAATGGTATTTCGCGCAGATATCCTTTATACAAAAGGTGGAAGGTATTAACAGTTTTACAAAGGCACCGGTAACCATGGCGACTGGCTATGCCCAGATGATACAGGCCTGGACTCAAGGGAGACCGGCCAGTAAACATGAACGCGATACTCAAACACAAGGTAATAGCAATGAATCAGTCAAAATATTGCTAGGCGTCGTTCTCGGCGTCGCAGTGTTTTTCATTCTGAGCATGATGTATGTGACTTTTCTCTCACTTTCGCAGAAAAGTACTCAGCCAATGCCCTGGTTATTAACCTACCCTCTTCAAGGATCGCTCTCTATTGCCATCGACGGAATCGCAGAATGGTCGAGGACCCCAATTGCAAGATCTCATTGAATCGCTTGCAAAAGTTAGAGTCGGTCGCGCCGACGCGCAGCTTAGAGGAGTGGTGGCCTACGGTGAAAGAATCACTCGGTCTCTCTCAAGGGCTGGAAAATCATTTTGTTTGGTATGATCGCTCCGTTTCAAGACCGTTCTCGGAAAATTTGGCCTAGTTATTAGTGCTAACAAGCATTAAAGTGTTGTCTGTTTCGACGAAGTCGAACGCACACAAGAGATCCATGAGCTCAAGTGTTTACATGTTTTCCACAAAGAATGCTTGGAAAAGTGGTATCTTCGAAGCCATTACACGTGCCCCATGTGTCACCGTGTCTTTTTCGAAGAGCGAGACCGGTTTATTTCCTCAGCAAACATGAATTTTGCCATATTCACCTAGATTTTCGCTCGCCCTCAGCATCTGCTTGAGCATACACTCTGCCGCCTTAACTAGCCGCACTTGGTTCTCACGACAAACCACTGCGAGCCTATAGTGAGAAGTAATCGGAATTAAAGTCATACGAATTGAATTGATTCCAATCCAAGTATGGCTCCAACCCAGAAGCAACATTCTCAACAAAGCTAAGATCCTCATGAGGAGCTACAGTCGGAAGAGGTTCGAGTATTTGATCCAATATCCGTGATAGCTTTTTCTCGACTTCCTTGCAGGCCGCATAATTTCCGTGACTAGGACTTGGACTTGCTACCCATGACAAGCACGACACAAAAACACTCAAGTTACGAATGATTTCCGATCGTGGAAGGATGACTGGATGAGGGCCTGGGCTCTGATTCTGACGCAGGATCTCGAAGGCAAGCACACACGCACTCGGAAGGCCATAATAAAGCATCACCCAAGAGGCTTGCTTGCTTCGGTCTAGCTTGGCCTCACGGTCGTTGCAGATCCGAAGAACAGTCGAGAGCAGTTGTCTTGCAGTGTCAAACAAAGGCACATGGCCTACATTAGTATGCTTAACCACGGCTCGGTGAAGTAGGAAGTGACTGTGTAGGTAGTCAACGTATAGCACGAAGACTACCTGGAACCCGTCGTATGAAGGAGAAGCTAAATCTTCTGGCGATAAACAGTCATACCGGAGATGCGGTGGACATTCTCTCCATGCCTTCTGTGCACGTTCCAATATCTGCCTTTATACGATGTTAGCAACGGTCGTCAATGAAACCCACTTATACATGAGGAAAGTGAGAACATACTCTGCTTTGCGAGGCATGTCGCGCTGATAACTTTCACCAAGCGCGAGCTCGAGGATCTCTTCACGACAGATGGCCAATTGCAGTCTGATACGATAGAGGCCTGGACGACGTGCGACTCCGTTTTTGTCCCAACCATTTACATCGACCCGTGAGAGAACTTCTTTTTCGACATCACCAGCGGAAAACAGTACGTCATCATCAACATCGTACGGGAGTGTAAGAGAACAATATCGATAATTGATCAAAGGCGGCCGTCCCACAAATGTCGCAACACATTTGTCGGTATGAAATGCAGCAGCAAAGCAGCCTCTACGTATCTGTTTAAGGAATAAAGGACAGTTCTCGTCTGCAGGACCATCTACCTGATGTAAGCCAGACGCATAGACTGTAGCTGCCAGATCGCTCAGTCGACGCCATGCTTGATAGCCTGTTTCTGTCAGTTTTCGATCTTTTTGTCGCTGGAGCTACAAGCACAGCTAGCTTACTAGAATCTCCGTACTGCTGCGTTTTCATTATCACATCGGCATGTTGCGCAAAGGCAAGGATCTCGTTCGAAGATGCAGCATGGTCACAAAACATCAAGCAATTTGTAGTTGCGTCCGAAACTTGTAATACTAGCTTTTCTTTAACCTCAGCGTTACTCTTCGCGTCCCCACCGAGCCTGAAATCTGTAAACAGCGGATCCTGTTCAGTAAGTGAAAGCAAGCCAACGCCCGCTTGGGCTAAAATCAGAGCGATTGTCTCCCAACGAGTGTTATGTCCGGTGAATGTGTCAATGTACTGGTCTACTGTCATTGTTTTGGATCTTGGCATTGGCCGAGACGAGTTACGAAATATTTGCAGAGCAAAATCTCTTATCCGGCTTTCAATATGAGCAGGTTCAAAGCCATCGTATACTTGTCGCGTTTCATATAGAGCCTTATCGACGATATAAGGGGGCAGAACCCTGTAACATTTGTCAGCATAGAGTCGATTGATGACCGAATCGAAGAACTTCAAGTTGTAAAGCAAGGCCAGCATCCGGAAGGCTGACTGTGCTCGATCCGGGTCTGGCTCGACTCTTGTCAGAATCGTTGCCGTTCCAGACGCGGTGTCAGCGTCAGCAGGTATTTCTTTTTGATGTTCCGAAAGCACCGCCGAAAAACTGGTTGAACCAAGATATCCTGGTGAAGTTGACACTTCCAGACTTGGTGATGCTTCTGATGAAATAGGTGCTAGACGCCCACTGAGAGCCGGACTTGAACCGCTAGGACTTCTCTCGGCATGTGCAGGTCTACTCGTATGTTAGGATATCAATGGCCGCAAATCACACCGCTGCGGGAGGCGCGAGACTGGTAGAATGAACACTCACTTTGGACTGGCCAGCTTTTCGATTCTATAGTTATATAACGTGTTACCACGGGTCGGATCATGAATTGGTTTTTTGGTCATAGGCGACGGATGGTAGAAGCAGCTTTGAGTCATATTCCTTGCGGCGCACCGGCCGCACACAGGGCGAGTATGATCGCATTTTAGTTTTGATTTGCGACATGGTTCGCAGGACTGGGGTTTGCCATTGCGACGCGTTGTTGTAGTTTCCTGCAAATACATGGCCTCGAGAATTGAGCGCGTTTCTGTCTAAACACGAAAACGGCTAGCAGCGGCGAAGCTTTGTATGACAATCCCCTAACGGCATTGAGTTTCAAATGAGTTCACATTCATAAGCCGATGGCATCCAGTACATCGATGCCCAGGTCTTATACATTTTGCTCTCTCCTTCTCGAATATCAAAAATTGGCCGGAATAAAATTCGGAGTTCGTGGGCACCGCTGACCAATCGGACTCCTCTCACGATCTCCGGAGTTTAGCTACTTTTGGCATAGTCTGTCCGATTCCAGATTATTTGATATTACGGTAAATATGCCTGTTTCCTAGCGCTGTGCCTACTTATATTCGTATTGTATGGTACAGCGTAACTGAGGGCATAGCCCTAAGGCCCTAAAGACTTTCGAGAAATTGACGAGGAGCGCAGGAATATCAATCTCTCAACTAAATACATGAAATATGATATTAATACATGAGAGACTTCTCTCTTTTAAATATTTGATGCCGATATGATTCTCAGGATTACCTTTGACTCCACACATGTTGGAGCTGATCGAAATCCCTTGAAGCCCTCTTGTTGACTTTCACCAATATCTTCAGCAATACTAATCCGTCGTTACTAAAAAACACAAAACAAAGAAAACGCCTGTCAATCTCATCTACTCTTCGACTCCACACCTTGGGTACTAGTTGCGTCGTATTAAAGATTCTCTTCCCACTCAATTTCACCTGGGAGTAACTTCACTTTCCATCCATCAAGTACATGGTGACTATGGCCCGTTCAACTATTCGAGTTGCCATAGTTGGTGGCGGCATGGCGGGAGGCTCCCTCCTCCACGCATTCATCCCTCATTTGCACTTGGATGTACACATATTTGAGTCAGCCTCGGCATTCAGACAAGCCGGCATGGCCATTGGGGTTGCTCGAAACGCACTCGACACTTTGGATCTTCTAGGTCCTTCAGCCTTCTAATGTCTCCAACGTGTAGGTGCCGTTCCTGTGCGACATGTCCGGTTTATGCTGGCTCAAGGTGAGGGTATAGGCAATATGATAGATCAAGCCAACGATGATGACGGATAACGCGCCGTGAATATTGTTCATAGTGCTGCATTTCTACGAGAACTGCTGGCCAATGTACCTCAGCAGCGCATGCATGTTGCGAAGAAGCTGGACCACTTTTACTCAGACTAACAGTGATGGTGGTGATGATTGTTCTACTCCTGTCTATTTCACGGATGCTACTAAACATGAGTGAGATATCCGCGTTGGTGCCGACGGCATCCATAACACTGTCTGTAGGCTTCTTCTTGGTGATGAAGACCCAGCGGCCTTCCCCGGAAACATAGGCTCCTAGGGAGTCATAACCATGAGGCCCTATGATGAAGCTCGATATTGTGACTGCAGACAACATAAAGAAACTTTATTAGCATTGACTGCCACAGCTGTACAATTCCATACACGAGGTATGAGATACCTTTTTGCAGTGTCTGAAGAGTGAGACTTTGGATCTAATATATCTCATATAGTTATTTTGTGTCCAGTCCCAACAGCACGCCATATACCTTTGGGAACATTCACCGGCTAAGACCTACGTCGCTGGCGCAGTCTGTATCATAGGCGATGCTGCACACGCTACCACCCCTTGGGGAAAATTCCGGCGGTCGAATGTCGATTGAAGACAGTCATATTCTCTCTACCTTGATTGGCCGGGCCAGAAATACTGCTGATGTAAGGATTGCCTTGGAAGTCTACGATCAAGTCCGTCGTCCGCGTGCGCAGCGCATCGTCGAGTTGAGTAGGGAAACGGGCTTGCTCATTACGGGATTCAAGAAGGAGACGGGGCTAAAAATTGGTGCTTTGAAAGCAAAGTTGTTACCAAGGTAGAATTCCATCGTGGACTTTGATATTGTGAAGAGTCGTGATGAGGCCGTAGCAATTATGGACTGGGAACTGAACGTGATTTAAAATAGTTGACTGTAGTTATTGCTCCAGGAATAGAACAGAAAGATAAGGGAAGAATGACAAAAGGAGGACAAATAAATTAGATATCCACTGCAACAATCCCTGAATGGAATGTAGTGGAGTGAAAGGTAAAACATCTACTAGGAATGCAAGACGCAGCGTGATCATGGTCAAAAGCCCGAGAAATCTTCATTTTAGCCATATGAATCCATGTCCGTTTCCTTTCGGCGTTTCAGCGTCTGGCATTTTGACGGCTTGGAAGATGTTATCACTTGCTTTTACTGTTCTTGAAGAAGCTGCTCAAACTTGGAGTCTCCCTTGACAAAGTCTTCAAAGGATGTGAGCGGATCCGTGAGGAGCTGTCATATTGGTATTAATCAGTTTCTTGTCAACTCTTGCCTGTGGCAAGGAAGGGATAGCCTTGTTATGAAGACATACCTCGAGACCTTGATCAATACTCTCTCCATTAAAAAATCCGAACTCGAGCGTATACTCGAGGACATGTTGCAAGGCCACCCGAAAACTTTCTGGCAATCCTTTTGCAGCAAGGCCAGCTTTGAAGGTTGCCATATCTATACACTGCAAGGAGACTTTCAATCCCTGTCGTCGCAAGATCTCCGTAACTTCTCCAAGAGTATATAGCTTCTCGGCAAGATTGAAGCTACGTCCGACTGTCGTTTCTGGGCTAAGGAGAATGCCCTTTATGAACTTCCCAAGGTCGGCAGCAGGATTGATAATGGGTATCACAGTGCGCTCAGAAGCATTTCCTGGGAAGATAAGACCATAGGAAGGAGGATTGACTGGTAAGGGTGTGATAAAATTTGAAACAATTTCAGAGCCGTAGATAGCGAGCCTCACAACAGTGTATGGCAGAGACAAGGATTTGATATAATCATCTACTGCTGCCTTGTGATCGAAATGAGTGGCGGCGTTGTATTTGTTACCAGAGACTGTCAGAGGAATTCAATTAGTATAATTCCAATTTCACAGGATATGAAGATCGAAAATATAACAGGGTACGACGAAGTAGACTGGAGACTCACTCTTAGAGATGTATGGAAGACTGCTCCAAATGAAATGCTCTATATTCAGCTCCTATATTCTTGGTTAGTAACGGCTCCCTGAGAAATACTATTTCAATAACCATGGGGAGCAGTAGCAGGAAAGTCTCTAATGGCCGTACCTTGGCTAAGTCAGCAACATTTTTCCCTTGTTGTTCTTCCAAAGCTGCGTCCATCTTGTCGAAGAAATTCGTGACCAGGAACAGAGCATAGGCACCGGTCAAAGCCGACTTTAATGATTCTTTGTCTTCAAGGTCGGCCTGTTTGATAGCACAGGAACAAGGGTTAGCAGGAAAGTTACAATATGTGTACAGAAACAAACTTATTCCGTTGGTGAGGAAGCTTACCTTTACAACCTCCGCCCCTCGCTCAAGAAGAGCTTTGGCAGCAGGTTTGGCTGGGTCTCTGGTAACAGCTCTGACTTTAAACTGCTGAGCAGCGCGAGGATCTTCCAGAAGAGTTTTAACAACGGATCCACCTTGGATACCAGTGGCTCCAAACACCACCACAGTCTTTAGCTGAGTAGAAGCCATCTCAAGTATGTAGCCAAAGACGACGACAAGTGATAGGAAGGTATGAACTAATGCCTCGATGAAATTTCTGAGTGTTCCGATAGTAGAGGCCTAAGAAAAGGATCTAATTGAAGTGAAATGAGAATTCAAAGGTTCATCTGAAAATCTCTTGATGCAGCGATACAAGTAGCTTCTTATATACCCTAGCTGCTTCAATCATGAACGGGATAGAACCACTTTCGACCGAGATGGGCGATGTCCATCTGCTTCCAGAACATATAAATTACTAATTGACTACGATAATATAACCAAAATCACTCGAAGCTGAAGCATGAATCCAGATTGAAGCCTCAGAGCTCTGCTGTGCCTCGTGCTGATTGGCTCTTTCGCGATACCTTCCGAATAGGATTAGCGCTTAGGCTGAGCTAAACCATTCTCGGATTATTATGGATCGGGGCAATTATTTATGCCGAGACGACTGAATTTGGTCTGACGCCGAGTGTTCAGGCATCATCAGGCAACAAAAATGCCGCCAGAACATCCGATCTCGACAATCAGGTCCTCGATAATATCTTCACGTTCCTCAAATCGGGCACCGTAGAGATGGCTCGACACGGTCGACTATCCAAGGGTTGCCAGACATGTAGGAAACGCAAAATCAAGGTTTCTTCTTTCCCAGCCATCTAAGCTCCGTTTTGTGAAAAGCTTCGTCATACTCACAATCCTGATCAATCATCTAGTGCGATCAAGAATTACCAACTTGTGGGCAGTGCAAAAAGTCAGGATGGGCATGTCCTCGGTATGCTGATGTGGTGGAACGCATGTTTCAGCATCATTGCAAAAGCCACGACAACAAGCAATCTAAGAAAGGCAATTCGTCTACTGATTTAGTGCTGGTGGAGAACCCAAAAGCATCGCCATTTTCTGTGTCGCAAATGGTAGACAACCTGGCGATGCAATTCTTTTTTGCAGAGCATGTATTCCGTGAATCTGGTGTTGCTCGCGGCCATTTCGAATTCCTACCTGTATACACCTCGGATTCTGATGCTAACAAGACTCTTTCTGCGAGTTTGAAAGCAGCTACATTGGCGGCCTATGCTCATAAATTTCGATATCCAATACTGGTGCGGAAATCCAGAATCTACTACGACCTTGCTCTGAAGAGTCTACAAGTCGACTTGCTATCTCCCGCAGTGGCAACAAAGAGCAGTACAATAGTAACGATGATGTTGCTAGGTACATTCGAGACGCTCAATTGCGAGAACATCAATATGCTCTCCAGCACAGACGCGCATATGAGTGGAGCAATGAAATGCATATCATTGCAAGTTGGTCAGATACTCAAGTCACACCATGGGATACAATTGTTTCTGCAGACATCATGGTGCCGCCTTGTGACATGTATACTCCGCTCCAGCCCAGTGCCCGAAGAATTCATTCAGACACGAAGGCATGCCGCTAAATTCTTGGCAACTGATGACCCTGCTTGGAAGCTTTCAGAGATTATGGAAAAAGTGGCCAAATTTCGCGCAGAAGTCAAACTGGGCACCGTCTGTAAGACCATCGACATCGTCGGTGTTGCTTTAGGATTGGATCAGGAGTTATCAGTGCTTGCAGAGAACATGCCATTTGAATGGAGATTCCAGCGGATACCAGCAGAGCAAGATCCCGGTCGTGTCTTTGATTCATATTATCATGTCTATTCGGATCTGTGGATTTCTTGCATCTGGAACTTTATTCGCACTTCCAGATTAGTCCTCCTTAAAGAAATACGCCGTCAACATTGTCCGGCTCCGGATGTGGTAATACCGGTCTTCTCCACATTCAATTGTGAATCAAACTACGGACAACTGCACGTAATAATGGAGTCCTTGGCTTCTGAAATCTGTGCGACTATTCCTCAATTCTGTGATGACTTAAAAGGTCGTTATATTGAGGTAGCTACAACCAAAACGGATGTCCCAACAACTGCGAGTGTCTACCACCTATTCTGGCCACTGCTAAATGCGGCGCAGACTACATCATTAGATAACCGACGGGATTGGATCATAAACCGTTGTCGTGATATAGGGCACACCACTGGGATTCAACAGTGCTTCGCTCTGGCAGACTTTCTGGAGACGCAGGAAGATATTGACTCGTGGGTTGAGCGGCAAGATGAAGAACACCTCTCATCATTGAATATTTCCGGATGAGTCTGACTCGTTGACTCTAAATTGATGGTCACGCAAGAGCAATACCAGTTCAAATGCACGTAGTTCCTTCCAGCCGTATTCAGGGAAGAAGAATTCGATGGCCACTCTCATGCTCTTGTCCTCGTCAGAAAAGGCTTCTCCAATTTCGAAGATATGAAAAACGGTCTCAAGCTTCAATATCATAATTTCTCCTTCCAGTGAACAGGCGGTATTAACTGTTTATTACCCTGAGATGTGGAAGAGAGGAGAGATTGCGAGCTTCTGTGAAGAGCAACTATCAGTGCTTTCAGGTGCTGGAAGTCCGACGCACATCCCCCATCAGACCTTAAGCGAAGACGCCCCCTGAATCCAATTCATGAACTGGTAGTGAGGACTTTCTCTGAGTAGCATGGGGTATACCCCAAGCTCAGAAAAATCCTCTTTTTTTCATCCCAAAAGGAATGACACCCTCCGCGGATATCATCGCTCTTTTGAATCATTGCCATTGTTAAAAGGATGATATCGATTCAGGTGAAACTGGTTCCTACCATGAGAAGCTTCCTGCTTGCCTGAGATCTTTTCCTGTCAATGGATCTTCTAGCATTACTGCCTTGCACCCAATCGTCTTCGACTTGTGCACTTGTAGTTATCATTTAGGGCATGGGCCATTTTACATAGAATGCAAAACCAAGATTATCCTTACACGGAACTATCTGATGCTCCAGGGCTGTGATTTGGACAGGACGCCAGGCGTTCATGCTTTCATGTTATACTAATCAAGTGACTATTAAATATATTCATGAGTGTTTCAGAATTAATTTTCTAATTGGTATAATATAGAGGCGGCCTCCTGATAATAAGAATAGATGTTGGTTTATAGGTGCAATCGAGATTCCTGGCACCGACGCGAACCAAGGAGAGGTCACGTGAAGGTACCGTCCCTCACCGCCTGAGGAATAAACCCACCTGAGGAATAAATTTACCCCAAAACGCGAAAAATCGCGAATATTTCACACCGCGATATATCAACCAATATGGCTTCAATGGAGCTCGCACTTGCAGCATTACGTTCAGCGGATCCTGGAGAAAAGCTAATATTAGTTTGGTTGCAAGAACATACGGCGTTAGCCAATCGGGCCTTTATAAACGTTTTCACGGCGTTACAGGCTCAAAAGAAGAGCAATACGACAAGCAACGAATACTCACCACCACGCAATCAAGAGCGCTTATAAAATGGATAAATCAACTCACCGAGCGAGGCCTGCCCCCTACAAATTCAATGTTAGCGAACTTTGCAAGAGAAATATCTGGTAAAGAGCCTGGGAAAAACTGGGCTTCACGCTGGCTCAAGGCTCATTCGGATAAGGTGATTTCTCGCTATTCAACGGGCCTTGATTCGGATAGAAAAAAGGCAGATTCGGCATATAAATATGCTTTATATTTTGAGCTTATTGGACGGAAAATACAGCAATATAACCTCGGCCCAGAGCAAATCTATAATATGGATGAGAAGGGCTTCATGCTTGGAGTAAGCACAAAACAGAAAAGAATCTTTACTCGGCGCAAATATGAGCAAGGGGGCTATAAGCAGCATCTTCAGGATGGAAATCGAGAATGGATTACAACAATTGGTTGTATCTGTGCCAATGGAACTGCTTTAGCGCCTAGTCTTATTTATATGGCAAAATCGGGCTTTATACAGGATTCTTGGCTTCAAGATTACGATCCCCAAACACAGAGATGCTTCTTTGCAGCCTCAGAGTCAGGGTGGACTAATAATGATATCGGATATCGCTGGTTGGTGGATGTTTTTGATAAAGAGACAAAATCTCAAGCAAGCCGGGGATGGCGCCTTCTTATCCTCGATGGGCATGGATCCCACGTTACAATGAAGTTTATTGAATACTGCGACTCGAATCGAATTCTATTAGCAATCTTTCCGGCTCATGCAACACATACTTTACAGCCTCTTGATGTCGCTCTTTTCTCGCCTCTTTCTAACGCTTATACGAAGCAATTGGATGATTTTATAAGGGATAGCCAAGGCTTCACCCGGCTCACTAAACGTGACTTTTTTCGCCTTTTTTGGGCTAGCTGGAATGAGGTTTTTATAAGCAAGAATATCAATTCAGCATTCAGAACGACTGGTCTATATCCCTTTGATCCGGAGATTGTTATCAACAAATTCAACAAGAAAATCACCAGCCGGCCATCCTCAAGCGAATCCGGAGCTTCAATTATTCCTCCAGAAGATTGGAGACGGCTTGAGAAGCTTGTTAAAACTGTTGTTAACAATATTTATGATGAAAAGGCTGTACAGCTTCGAGAAACGGTGTCACATCTTTCTACTCAGCTTATCTTGCTTCAAAATGAGAATCAAGGCCTGAAAAGAGCTCTCATAAATGCAAAGAAGCCTAAAAACAAGAAACAGCCTTTATTACTAGGTTTACCATCAGAACAAGATGGTGGAGCGCTTTTTATGAGCCCTACTAAGGTTCAGCAAGCTCGTGATATTATTTCTCAAAAAAATGACGAAGCCGCGCAGAAGCAGGCTCATAAAGATGATAAAAAGCTTCAACAACAGCTTAAAAAGCAAGCTAGAGAGGCTGAAAAGGTTAAAAGAGCTCAAATCCGACAAGAAAAACGCGAGCAGCGTGAGCAAGAGGCTGCGGAAAAGCAACGGCTTAAGGACGAGCAAGAATTGGCTAAGCTAGCTGATTTACAGCTTCAAAATGATGTTATATCAACTCCAAAGGCTTCAAAAAGGCCTACAAAGCAAATTTCTAGGCAAGCAAAGCCAAGAGTGCAACCTGAGGCTCATGTGGAGGATAATGAGGTGGTTGTTACTACAAACCGTAGGGGCCGCGCGATACGGCCCCCTGCACGTTTTCGCGATTAACCTTTATGCTTTTTAGATTCGCCATAGCTTATTTAGTGCTACACCAGAAATTCACTATATTTAATTATTATGTGGTGTTGTAAAGCTTCAAAATATTCTGTACAGTAAGCCGTTGAAATTATTCCTCAGGTAGGGTTATTCCTCAGGCGGTGAGGGACGGTACACGTGACCTCGTCAAGCAAGGACTATATAGACCGCGTCGGGGTCTCATTAAGAGAAGAGACAGACAATCAGAAGAATATGACTTTACCAATTGGTTACTAAGCTACTTGTATGCACATTTGCAGAAGCGAACCCACAATAGAGATAGTATTTGCTTCGTCAAGAACCCGAAATAGTCCGTGGACAGATACACCATAAACAGATCCCACCCCGAAATTCTTTGAAAGACTCAGATTTCCGAGAGAAATAATTGTTGTCTCTTTGAAAAGAAGTATAACTTCCGCTTCTGGCGCTGAAGGAGAAGATGTTGTTTGGAACTCTTCCTTGTGATAATTTGAGCATCGCGGATCTCAATGTTCTGGCTAGAACATACAGATCCCTGGCCAGTCTATTAGATCTTCTATTATATCGACAAGCTATTAAAAGCGGCGACTACAAATCCAAATTCTTATTTTCGGTCATATATGGCCAAAGCAATGCGGACTCCAAGGTTTTCAAAGCAGGGGTCTCAATAAACGCATTTGAAGACTGTAAAAAGTCTTGCGTCCGAACCCCTTGATCCCATTTTAAGGCACGGAGTTCAGCTTTGAGGATGAATTTCCATCACTCCTGGCCGCTGTGATGTTGCTTAGGGAAGGCAACGTGGATATTCATTTCGAGGATTACTTCCGGCAAACTGCACTACATTTTGCTATAGATTCCGATCATCCTAATATAATCAAACTACCACTAGAACAAGGAACGGCAATAGAAGACATCAACTATGAATATCTCGATGCAACATCACCCATCGTGCGCGCAGCTAAACCTGGCAATAAGAATGCACTTGGATTAGTATTCAACGAGCTTCATAGTCCAAGCAACAAACCTGAGTTTGGAAAGAAGGGGGAAATTGTCAAATATCAGTGTGAATATGGGCGTTGGAAAATATGCATCGAGGGCAAACCCGACATTGTTGATACTCTCCTCTGCCACGGAGTTGATTTTACCCTATGTTTCAGGCAACAAGTCTGACTTTATTGGGTAGCAATGTGCCTCCAGTTTCCACAGGTCATGTACTAGTAAAACACGGAACAAGAACGGAGCACGAGAAAGACTGCGGCATTGTGAACGCGATGCTCAACGGTCATGGAGTGGGAAAGAACAAAGTGCGTCGATTTCTCTCAGGAATTGTTATATATTTACTTAGATCTGGCTGCAAAGTTGCAAATGCTGGTATGCATGCTTGCGCTTTATGGTGCTTGGTAAACCTCAGAGAACCAGAAAAGCTGTTAGAGTGGGAGTTTGGAACAGACTTCCAACGAGAGGAATCAAGAGTCCCCTACTCAAGAATGGCATTCCACCCCAAAAATGCCGGCGTAACTGCTTCAACGCTCGTGGATCATTTCGTTGGAACAGAGATACTTTCTAGAAAATAGTCAATTTTTGCATCATGTAGAGAACCGGTTTATCCGAATGGGCGCTTTTGAATGTGTCTTGACTAGCTGGCATAGGGCCTTACAGCCACAATAGGATGCATTAGGTTTAAGACTAGTATATTAAGATGTTCGTATAGCACTAGTCTATCTGATCAATTCTCTTCTTATTAGCAGACATTCATGGCGCATTGGGATTTCCTACTATGACGCTTAGGAAAGCATCGGAAGTAGACATTTTGCTATAAAGGCGGATAATCCTAAACTTAATACTATGTGGACATGTGTTATTAATTCTCAGAAGTTTTTTGAGCTCCCGTTATAAAATAATCCCAATTCCTATCCTCAATTTGGTATGTATAGCTCAGCAAGATCTCAACAACAAAATCGGCAAGGAGTTGTGATGCTATCATTTGAGCCTTGGTATTTGAAGATAGCAGTAAACTATCTAGTTCATCCCAGAATACCCGAAGGGTCCATATAAGCTTTCAACTGTTGATTACTCCGATATGGAGGCTTGTCTTTAATCATCACCATCCGTCCCCCGTAAAATGCATTCTGGAACTGTTGCTGGGCTCGACTATGCCTTCCCTGTCTTAGGCGACAGTACTCCTGATACTGGGCATGATCCAATGTTCCAAACAAGAACTTCGGATGCACTCCCAGAGCCTGTGCCCCTTTCTGGCCGAACCCAAAACTCGTCACAGTGAATGCGTTGACCTCACCGACATGAATGGATTCGTTGGGGAATACAAGATGTTCCCATTTTGCTAAAGCACTATCAATGTTATCGGCATTCTTATTTCCAGGGACGATTCCAGAATCCAAAATCTGGAGACAACCATTCAGCATCCACGCGGCTGCAGGGCCTTTGGGGTGTCCCGTCAGATACTTCTGACATACAGCCAGTGCTGAATTCCCAGGGCTCCTGCCAATCTGGTCCAACTGCCGATGGAGGACCTCAACCTCGTTCTTTTCATTCATTTGTGTAGAAGTACCATGCATCGAGACAACCGCGATGTCGTCCGCCACCAGCCCCCAGACAGCTAATGCTCCGCGCAACGGTGAGATGCGTGCGTCATCATCGTAGAATTTGTTGCCAAATCGCCGCCGGGCTTCACGCTCCTCTCTTTTTATCCATAGAGCCGTTCCATTTTCACTGTTTTCATCTGGCAGTGAAGCGTGGTGTTCTCTGATGGTGTCCAATGAGTGTTGCAGCAGCCGCCGGCGGTAGTTAATATCGAGCAATGGTGGCGGCACTGTGGTTGTCTCACTAACGGCAGTCAAAATCCCCTTACCTGGCGCAGGGACCGATCTTCCTATGCCATCGCTGGCCGTCTGCACATGTGCTATGATGGACCGGATGGGTAACCCTAACTCCAAGGCAAGCTTCGCGCTAGTGATGACTTGCATGCCGCACCCCTCTGACTCGACGAAACCACACCGGGACGAGGCGCATGGTCGTGACATCTCGTGAGGGGCATGGCCACGGCTCAAGTCATCTACACTGTTATTTGTTGCTTTCATGGCTCCGAACTCATCTGAAGTGGCCTGTGTCATGTCGTCATAACCGCCAACGAGACATATTCTCGCTGCTCCGCTGAGGATGAGATCGTAACCTTGATTCAAAGATTCTAAAGCTGTTGCGCATGCTCCAACTGGCGTTCTTGTTGGTCCAGCGGATCCAATCAGAAGCATGTTTAACCAAGCGCTTGCCGTATTGATGAAGGTTTCGGCCAGGATATCATTTTGTACTGGGCGATCCAGATATCTCTGCACGAATAATTTCTGCAGAGATCTTCCGCCTCCCATACCAGAGCCGATGCAGTTTGCGAGATCGGATATATGAAGAGTCTTATAGAGATCATAAACGTCTGTGATACCAGCCGATAAGAATGCCTCGGCGGCGCAGACCAGAGACCATAGAGTACATCGATCAACGGAATCGCAAATATCAGCTGGCAGACCATAAACCTGAGGATCCCAACCAGTAGGAATCTGTCCTCCAACAATTCGGTCGTAGACTGTAGCCTTGGGAATCATAATGACTGCCCCCTTGCGGAGTGTGATCGAATACTCATTACTACCAGAGATGGGCCGAACGGTAACCTTGTCGCCCTGTTCGCGTACAAATTCCATTGCGTTATCATGCGAAGCCACAAATGGCCTCATATCATTCTGTAGAATAATCTCTTGAAGAACCTGCTTCTTGTCTCGGCTGGGATGGTCTAATGGACTAGGTGTAATAAAGCGAAGCCCTGTATTTTCCAAAATATGCCGTTCATACTTGGCCTTCATGTCAACGTCTTGGATAGAGGCACCGGAAGAAACGTCTACCCAACCCGCTGTGTCTTTACTGTATTTGATCAACCCTGTCATCCAGGCGAGCTCAATACACCCTTGAATTGACAGCTCATGGGCCACTTCCATTTCCCACCGTGTGCGGGAGTTGCCCCATGGTCCCAATTCTGCGAATCCGACAACGACCACGACTGTATCTAGATCTACCATTCCCTGTAATCTCTCATTAAGCGAACGCAACTCACTAGTGTACTCGGGAAGACGAGGAAAGCCGAGCTCAAGATTCACCCGCTCCTTCAGCGATGTAGAGGGAATTGCTGCAAGACGCTTAGGTTGAGTGGCTGCAGAATCTAGGGTTAATTCGTGAGCCAAAGCGCGATTTATATCTTCCATCTGGCGAGTTGATTGCCTGATATTGGTCACATACTCGGCCAGCTTACTCTCGCCATCCATGCCGCCGCTAATATCCGCGATCAAAGGCTCGGTTTGGCATACGGACGCTACAGTATATGTCATAAGCTTCAACATGTAATCTGCCATCTGTTCCGTAGAAAAGGTTGTGATTCCAAGCTTAGCGACCTCAGTAGCGAGCCAGTCGTTGTCTGCCATCAAACCAGTTCCACGAGTCCAGCCAATCGTGGCGCCACAGACAGACAAGTAATCTGACCAGCTTTCTGATGACCACTTATTCAACACTGCGGTGAGACCAACCTTGGACTCGGAGTAGAGCCCATCCTTGCCAAAGGTGCCCAAATTCGGAGAGAGGGGTAGCAATACTTGAGCAGGACGTGTGTGGATGTGTTGAGCTGCTTTGGCTGCTTTGACAGCACCCATTAATCGCAAGACATTGATCAACATGGCTCGATGAGCCAGCTCCGAAAATGAGCCTATGGCGTCTATCTCAATCCCTTTCTCGGAGATTGCGGCAAAGGGAATCACGGCATCCAAGTCCCAGCCCAGTCCGGAAACAGGGTCATAGATATATTTGATTAAATTGCCGATATCCTGCCTGCTTGCCTGATTGCAAGGAAGAACGACAAGTTGTGAACCGATAGCTCCGTGACTGGCGAAGATCTTTTGATAGATCGGACCTGCGTCAGGCATGGACCGGCTGGTAGTAACCACAACACGAGCTCCTCCTTGAAGAAGCGAAGGCAGCATGGCCATGCCAATTGATAACGGGCCAGCGCCTGTGATCAAAATGTTTTTGCCAACAAAAATTCCTTTACTGGAAAATTGGACTGGGCCTTTGATATTCATGTATAGAGTTAGGATTTTATGCGGAGCCCATGACCCTTGTTTCTTGCTAAGAATCCGGATTAGAGGTGACCCTTCATGTATATTGTTCTGAGAAGCCTTTATCGAAATTTTCCTTGATTCGTTCGTCTCATGGTGATAACTTTCATTCACTAGCCAATCCATAACTGCCCTATTGCCAGGCTGATACAGGATTTGTGTATCGATTGCTGATTGGAGTGAGGCTTTGATATCCCTCGTAAGTTGACCTTTATCTGCTAGACGAGCGGAAAGCCTTTTTAGTAAGTAGACCTTTACTTGCTCAAGTCTGTGGTTCGATCGACTTTGCCAATACTTTTGCAAGAACGAATTTATCTCGTTAATGGTAGTCCTAACAGCCGGTTCTGTCGTGACGAGTTTATAGTAGTCTGTCAGCAGGTTTACATGGGCCCAATTCCACGCAGAGTCGTATGATCGTGCTTGCTCTGCTCTGAACGCTGGCTGGATTCCTTCACAGAATTCCTCACCGAGTTCAGCCTCATAACTGTCGACCTTTTGTTGCAGCTGATGTTGCCAACGGTCCAGAGAATCGTTCGTGTTTTCGTTATTTTGATCGTTATTTTCGTTTAGAAGAGCGGATATATTCCTCTTCAGTTCTCGCTGCTCATTGCGAAGATCTTCTAACAGTTTCGGATCTAGACGCACGGCATTATCTGTGACGCTTGCAGTATTCGTGTCACTAACAAAACTAGTCAAACCAGTCTCTTCAGTGTAGGCTAGAGTGACATCGTGGAAAAATCTTTCAGCCTCTTCAGTTTTATTGAGCCGAGACTCTGGCTGTTTCGTTAATGCGTGCAACAGCACCGCATCCTGTCTGCAAGGACCCAGCCTCCATTTTGCACTTAGATAAGATCTTGCCGCTGACATACTGAACGAGCCGGGCATTTTCGATGCAATCATCCTTTCAATCCGCTTACGAGAGGACTTTCCTAATGTCCCATCGAAGCTTGGCTGAATCGTCGCAGCGACCTCTCTGAGACTCAAGTTCTCGCTGCCTTCGGGCAACGAGCCGAACTCTTCAAGAAGGTCGCCAATAATTTCATTTTGAATTGTTGACCTTCCTTTCGATAAGCTCGTTACGCTATCTTCGGCATTTATCTCGGACACAGATTTCTTCAATGTATGCGCAACCAGGGCCTTGAGGAGTTCAATGGCTGATATTGGGGCGTCTGGGACAACTTTTGCGTGTGCTACTTTCATTGCCGGGACTTCTGGAGTAACTGATGCCTGGCTCTGAGTAGGTATGCTCTCATGGGGCAAGTCCTCCAAGTCTATTTCTTTAAATGGACCGTTCTCATAGTGTATGTCGTCTTGATTCTTGCTAATGGAAAGTAAGGTACGTCGTTTTCCATTTGCAGAATCGTAGCCTGCATTAAAATTGTCCAATGTTCTTCTAGCCATGTTTGAAAGCGTCGCTGAAGGGCCATACTCGATTATACGGATTGCCTGAACATCGTCAAAGAGAACGCGCTGTGTCTCACTCCTGTTGCCATATGGTTAGTCTTGCCTGTATATATATCTGCCGTATAGAATTAACTGACCATCGAACTGGCATTGCGAATTGGTATCTTTTCTGTTGATCAGTGACCAATTGCCATCACGACGAAGAGTAACTTACGCTAGAAGCTCAGTGACCAGCACGTAAGCCAGCTCTTGCTGGATCTCGTTTGTCGCCATCATGTCTCCTGGTTCCAAAAAAAAATCGATCAACAAGATGCAGTTGAGGACATAATGTTATATGACAAAATACTTGTCGGCGGTATTCTATAAAGCATGATGCTATTTGTGGATGTGGAGTATGCGTCTATCAGTTCCCTATTCCTTTAATCCCTACATCCCCGAATCCCTGATTTCACTAATTCGTAATTCACTTCAAACATTGGATTTGAGATATGTGAAACATGTCTATGTATTTATTCCTAAAACTCATCATTTTCTTGTTGAGGCTTTCCGGATCAAACCTACTACAGGAAGGACATTCAAGCTGTCGGCGCTTTCACGGAAGTTATTATCTCTTCCATCATGTCTGCTACTCAGCCTTTGACGCATCAGGCTACTACTAGCACAAGTAGACTTTAAAGTCAAGAGCTTAATTAATTTTGACAATAATACGTTAAGCCTCAAGCCAATTCTACTCTGCAACTGGGTTTCAGACGGGATAGTCATAGTGGAATCTGAATTGGCATTTAGGACTGCAGACGTATCTCACGTTGATCGCGATCCTATGAAGGCCCATTTCCGCGTCGCTGTAGATCAATTTTGGTTAGGGGAATATAGAAGAACCACTAAAATAATACGAAGGAAGAATACGCTTTAGTGCTAAGCACTCTATTGGTGATAGTGGCCTTTGATGTTAGTCATCTGTAACTGTATTCTAGACTAAAACTACAATACAGAAATAATCTATGCATTTACCATAGCTGATCTGGCAGAGACTTGACTTTGGTCGTTTGGTCACGAGACAGTTCCCACTACGGGCATAAGCTGACCGTCCATTTAATCTTGGTCTTTATGTTGTTCCACTCTGGCCTGGGCAGGCTGCTTCTCCTCGGATAAGATGATCGATTGAGGCTAGCTGCTGGGTCTATTGGAATGAGGATCTCTAAGTAAGCATCGGCAACACACCAGACCTACAAATGTGTAATGGTAGTACTGTGTTCTTTCAGGATGTGTAGGTATCAACGGTGAAGTTCTTCAAGATCGTTTATTATTATCAAGCATCTTCTTGAAAACAAGTAAAGTATACTTGAAATACCTTTTCAGATTTGGGGACCCAGGAGAGACTCAACCGGGATCATGCTACTTAATAATCGAGGTGGAGTTCCATAACTTATAGTCTAGGTCCAATCATTATTTTCAAGAAACTGTAAATAAACTTCTTTAAGAATTGGCTGGGTTTTTCACTATCGCACCTTAGGGAACAATAGCTTCTTAGGTAAACATTAATGCGGCTGTTCCAGCATTCCAGCAATCCCAAAATTCTATATTCCTCGGATCCTCTAATCCCACAAAAAATGCTCGTCTTCCCACTCGTTTGTACACGATAATCTTGAGATATCCTTTGCTATGTATCTTTAAAGGCTTCATATTCCGTGTAATGAACCGTGAAATACACCCCAACAAAACCTGATTTTAGGAGAGTACGCTCATTCAGCATGGGAGAGGATATGAGCGCTCATGAACAAATAGAATCGTCTCATTCAGAGATGCAGCCTTCCATATATATCACATATGACGAGCTTGAATATGCCATTGATACGCCGCCATTGCTATTTCCACGTCTGAATAGGCTTCGCTCCAGCTTTATCTCCAGACTCAATAACAGGGAGTACAAACCGGGCTCCGTCATCGAGCTGGCAGTGCAATTTCTGGAATTTGTTGCCCAAGAAGTGCAGCGCCACGATGCTAGCTTAGACAGATATGGGTTGGGAGTGGCACTTGGACAATTCGTGTCCGATTTTCTCAAACAGGACGGGCTACATTCTATTGTTGCAGGTCTCGAAAACAAAAACCGGATCCTACGTTCATATTACCGAGCATCGGAGATAATGGGACCACCGTACGAAATTGAACAATCCGCCTTGTTGAGGCATGCAGAGGAAGGCAAGGCTCGTCTGTATCTTATTTATGGCGGCCAAGGCAATATGGAAAATTACTTCGACGAATTGAGGATTATGTACGACATGTATTCGCCATTAATAAAACAGTTTCTTGTTAAGATGATCCGACATTTGAATCGGATTTCAAGTATTGCCATTAATTCAAAGTCACTTCTGGCCCGCGGCTTCGACGTGGTGAGCTGGCTTGATTATCCTGACTCCCAACCGAATGTGGGATACCTCATCTCTACACCCATCAGTTTTCCTTTGATTGGCATGATTCAGCTGTTACATTACATGGTAACCTGCCGTGTGATGGGTATCCATCCGGGTGATTTTAATGACCGAGTCCATGGAGCGTCAGGACATTCGCAGGGAATTGTAACGGCAGTTGCCATTTCCGCCTCAACGGATTGGGAAAGCTTTGAGATGCAGGCCAAAAAAGCACTGTCCGTTCTCTTCTGGATTGGCGTCCGATCTCAGGAGGCATATCCACTGTCTTCAATTTCCCCCCAAGCCACAGCGGATTCGAGAGAACATGGAGAAGGCAGTCCAAGCCCGGCACTGTCCGTCCACGGTTTATCTCGAGAAGTTCTGGAAAAGCGCATCGATTCAGTGAACCAGTACTTGCCAGTTCATAATCATATCCACATTTCACTAGTAAATAGTAGAACAAATATCGTGGTCACAGGGCCTCCATCGGCGCTACACAATTTCAGTATACAACTCCGCCGGACCACAATCGAAGCGGGAAAGACGTCTAGCGCTGCTCATGGCGATGTTCGCGCACAGTTTCTTCCTATGTCGGCTCCCTTCCATAGTCCCTATTTATCGAATGCTGTTGAAACAATCTGCACTGATCTTCAAACCATAAAATGGTCCGGAAATCAACTTCGCTATCCTGTGTACAGCACCTTTACAGGCGAAGACGTCAGAAAGAATATCAAGACAGATGACGAAATTGTACCATCGCTGGTGAGCATGATTTGCGAAAAACCGGTGTTTTGGGAGAGAGCAGTTGCAATGCCAGAGGCAACACATATTCTAGACTTTGGTCCCGGTGGCCTCTCCGGCATAGGCGGACTCACCAGCCGTATCAAGGATGGTACAGGGACTCGAGTTATCCTTCTATCGGCGTTGAATGGCACTAATAATCAGGTTGGTTATGGTGCTGAAATCTTTGCACGCAATGTCAAGTATAACATGAGCTGGGCCGCAAAGTTTGCACCCCAACTGCGACGCACATCCGACGGTAGAAAGGTTGTGATGACCAAAATGGCTGCCTTGACCGGTCTTCCTCCTATATTAGTGGCTGGCATGACACCAACGACGGTACCTTGGGATTTCGTGAAACACGCCATGAATGCAGGATATGAAATGGAGCTTGCTGGCGGGGGATACATTAACGAGTTGGACATGACCGAGGCAATCACTAAAATTATGGAAAATACCCCCAGTGGCCGAGGTATTATTCTCAACCTTATATATGCGAGCCCCAAGGCCATTGCCTGGCAAATCCCGCTTGTACGCAAGCTCTGTTCTCAGGGATTTCCAATCAAAGGTCTCACTATTGGAGCGGGCGTTCCTTCTCTTGAGGTGGCGAATGAGTATATCCGTACACTGGGAATTCGTCAGATCGGGTTCAAGCCAGCGTCCAAAGACTCCATATTGGAAGTCGTTAGAATTGCAGAAGCTAACCCAGATTTTCCTATCATTCTCCAATGGACCGGAGGACGTGGCGGTGGCCACCATTCATCTAGTGACTTTCACCAGCCCATATTATCCCTGTATAGCAGGATCCGCAGCTGTGAAAATATTGTCCTCGTCGCGGGTTCCGGATTCGGCGGTTCAGACGATACGTTCCCCTATTTGAGTGGAAAATGGTCCATTGCATACGGCCGACCACCGATGCCGTTTGATGGGATTCTTTTTGGTAGTCGCTGCATGGTTGCTAGAGAAGCACACACTTCTCCTGCGGTAAAGCAAGTCATTGTAGAAACTCCGGGTGTTCCTGACCAGGAGTGGCAGGAAACATGTCAAAAGGACGGCGGGGCTGGAGGTGTCATTTCAGTCCGCTCAGAAATGGGACAACCAATCCACAAACTCGCTACACGTGGAGTATTATTATGGGCAGAAATGGATAAGAGAATATTCAGCTTACCAAGAGCGAAGAGACTTGACGAGCTACAGAAGAAAGATGTCCATGATTATATCATACGCCGGCTTCACGATGACTTCCAGAAGCCTTGGTTTGGGCGCACTGCATCTGGAAAGCTAGTTGATTTAAGCGACATGACCTACGGCGAAGTAATCCAGCGGTTGGTTGAATTGATGTTTATAAAACATCAGCGTCGGTGGATTCACAGGTCTCTCACCCAATTGACATTGGATTTCATCCATCATGTTGAGCAGCGACTCCGCGATAGTAACAAAAGGACACGTCTAATTTCAAAAGAGGAGGGAGCTGATAGGAACCCGTATCTAATCATCCAGGAAATGTATGAACTGTATCCAGAAGCGGCTCGGCAACTTATGAACACGCAGGATTGTCACTTGTTTCTTCAACTTTGCAAGCGTCCTGGTCAGAAACCTGTGCCGTTTGTTCCGGCGTTAGATGATGACTTTGAATTTTGGTTCAAGAAAGATTCGCTGTGGCAGTCAGAGGATATCGATGCAGTTATCGACCAGGACGTGGGCAGAGTCTGTGTTCTTCAAGGTCCTGTAGCTGTGAAGCACTCCACAACCGCAGAAGAGTCCATTCAGGATATCCTTGACAACATCCACAACGGCCTTATCGAAAATCTGGAAACCAAAACTCCTGGGGTCAGTGAAAACAATCTCTTAATGTTCCAAGGCATGGATAAATACTCCACATACAACCACATGGTGTGCGAAGGAGTGAATGTCACTAGAACTCATAACTCGATGACACTTGCTATTCCACTGACAGCCTCCGTTCCCAATCGAAAAGAATGGTTTGAACTGCTGGCAGGAACGGAAAATGGGACATGGCGCCGTGCATTTTTCAAGTCTGATTTCTTCATACAGAACAGAAAATTTGCACCGAACCCTGCCCATCGCATCCTTGCACCAGCTCCTGGGGTGACGTTAGAAATTCACCATCCCCATAAACCTCACAAAACACATCTCGCAGTGACGGAATATTGTGGCGGTAATAATAGAATGACGGTAACGATAGGTCCAATTTCAGAAGATAATGCCATCGCCATGAATTTGTTCCACCACGACACTGCCACCGGCAAACCTATTTCGTTGCCCCTAAGGTTCACCTATCACCCCAATATTAGTTATGCTCCTATTCATGAGATCATGGATTCTCGAAATGACAGCATCAGAAAATTTTACTATAATGTTTGGCTGGGTGAGAAGCCGCCTGTACCTTTCAACATGCCTTTGACATCGAAATTCGAAAGCAGTTGGGTTACTATAACAACCCATGCAGTTCGGGAGTTTGTCCACGCCATTGGAAACACTGCTGACTTGTATGTTGACAGACCTGGCGAACAATGTTTTGTGCCAATGGATTTTGCCATAGTCGCCGGCTGGAAAGCTCTAACCAAGCCGCTACTGCGTGTGATAGATGGTGATCTACTCAGCCTCGTGCATCTCTCCAATAGCTTCCGAATGGCTCCCGGAGCACCCCCTTTCAAAGTGGGCGATTCTGTCAGGGCGACGACAGAAATCACAGCCATGGTAAATCAAGAAAGTGGGAAACTTGTTGAAATTTCTGGCTCTGTCGCTAGCAAGGATGGAGCTTCGATTATGCATATCACGTCACAATTTCTTTATCGAGCTGTGCATTTGGATTATGAAGATACCTTCCAACGAACAGTGGAAAAGCCGATTAAAGTGAACTTGGAGACACAAACGGATGTTGCCATCTTGAAAGCCAAGGAATGGTTTCAGCTTGATAGAACCGACATGGAACTAGTTGGCAAGACAGTGATTTTCAGGTTGGAGACGATGAAAACATTTGACGGTGGAATTAGTTTTTCCTCCGTCAAAACGGTGGGAAGTGTTGACATGCAATTAGCAGATTCGACGGGAGCGTCTTCACGAATTGCATCTGTCAATTATGTAGCCGGCCCATCATATAGCAACCCCGTGCTTGATTATCTTCGTCGCGTGGGTTCTGAAACAAATGAGATTGTATATCTCGAACGGCCAATCCCTATTGGGGAGCCCAACGAAAGCCCTTTCATTATCACTGCTCCCAATTCCAATGTGATATACTCAATGGTGTCAGGGGACTATAATCCCATACATACATCACGGGCTTTCGCCGAGTACGTCGGTCTTCCTGGATCTATCGTCCATGGTATGCAGACGAGTGGTGCGATACGGACCCATGTGGAAAACTGGATGGCAGAAGGTGACAATCACCAAAAAGTGGCCATGATGCGCGAGTTTTCCGTCCATTTCGTCGGTATGGTTCTGCCGGGGGACCGTATAGAGGTTAGACTGAATCATGTTGGCATGGCATCTGGTTGCAAAGTCATTCAGATTGAGGCTACCAAAGCTACCACCGGTGAGAGGGTCTTAATGGGGCAAGCTCTTGTACGACAACCGGTTTCTGCATACATATTCACCGGCCAGGGTTCACAGGAACAGGGAATGGGCATGGATCTCTATGCGAAGAGCCCAGTAGCCAGGAAAGTGTGGGATCGAGCCGACAGGCATTTACGAAATACCTATGGTAAGCGATTTGTTTCAACAAACAATAAGGAGAAATGAACTTCCTGACATTCATAGGATTCTCAATTCTAGATATAGTCAAGCATAACCCGAAGGAATTAACAATTCATTTCGGCGGTGCTCGAGGCAAAGAGATTCGCCAGACATACATGTCGATGACAAACGGCAGCCAGAAATCCGATCCACTCTTTAAAGACATCACTATAGATACACCGTCTTATACGTACCGATCCCCGAGTGGCCTTCTAAACGCAACACAGTTTACCCAGCCGGCATTGACAGTGATGCAGATGGCCGCGTTTGCTGATTCCCGAGCCCGTGGCGTTATTCAAAGTGAAAACGTATTTGCAGGACATTCACTCGGCGAATATAGTGCTCTGGCTAGTGTAGCAGAGGTTACTCCTATCGAGACTCTTTCCTCTATCGTCTTCTATCGTGGTCTATGCATGCAGGCAGCCGTCGATCGCGATGAAGAAGGTCGTTCCAATTACTCAATGTGTGCGGTGAATCCCTCTCGCATTTGCGCCGGTTTCAGCGAACAGACACTACAGAATCTCGTCGGCCAGATCACGGATATTACAGGATCTTTCCTAGAAGTAGTCAATCTCAACGTCCATGAAATGCAATATGTGTGTGCAGGAGATTTGCGAGCACTTGATATCTTAATTGAGGTGACGAACCGAATTAAGACAATGGCCATTGATTGCAACGCCGAGACGAGTGGTAGACTTGAGGAAGAAATCAGGAGCGTGGCTTTAGAAACTGATAAAAAGCGTCGACCTCTTCAGCTGTCGCGTGGGGCGGCTTGTGTTCCATTAGTCGGCATCGATGTCCCTTTCCACAGCAGTTACTTACGCACAAGAATCGATCCCTTCCGGTCTTTTCTCCTTCAAAACCTGGATAGAAAAAACATCGATCCAAACAAATTGGTGGGCAAGTTTATCCCGAATGTCACAGCGCGGCCATTTGAACTTTCTCAGGAATATTTTGATTATGTATATCAGTTGACACGGTCGTCGCGGATTGCTAAGATACTAGGCGATTGGAACAAGTACAGCAAAGAGTTGGCGTTCTCTAATGACTTTAGCTACAACCATGGAACGCTTGGCGGTGTTCTTGTCAATGATTGCGTTGAACACGATAATTGGAAGAATTAGTGACTTTGAATTGAATATTTAAGTTAGGCTTTCAAACATAAACTTGTTAGTGATTCTAAGTAGGTTACGATAGATATTGGGTGAAGACGCTGTCAAGCTCTATGTAATTGAATGGTATTTTTCTTTCTCTTTTAATAAACCAAAACCGAAGACTGTTCAGCTGGTTGATCATATATCCAGGAGTACGATGGTGTTTATGGTACTGGATTAGAATTCTCAGAAACAGAATGGTCTTCTATAAGGATGTTTTAATACACGATCAAAGAGAAAATAAAAGAAAACGTCGCCGTTAATAGAGAGCTCAGTCTTAGTGTTGGTTTATAGGGAAGGAACACGAAGACCAATCCCCAAACCGTGGTCTCACGAAGAGGCCTGCTCTGCACGAAGGGAGCACTAATATGGAGTAAAAAAATGGGTTCAAATTCGTTGCCCCGAGGAAGACTCCGAGGGGTGAAAATAAACTATCTAAATACTATGAGGCTCAAAACCTTACGCCAAACAAGGCCCGGATCATGCCGTCAAACTGTTTGCTGAGTCTCCCCCATTGAGCTTAATTCGACATTGCTCTCCGTCAAATCTCCATGGGGTGTCATGCCAACAATCGTCATTGGGATTCACCGCGGTTCCAACACTTAGCAATCCAAATCTGCTTGTATTTATATACGTAGGTCGTCTTGATTGATAGCGCGCCTCTGTGCTCTTTCCTGGCGCCATTTTAGCCCTCTCCACATAGTGATGAAAACAAGGGGTGAAAATATGATCAGTAGCGCCGCAACTATGGTGTATGCCCACCCTGGACCTACAACGTTGATGAGCGGCAAAATCGCTGCACTCATTGCTGCTCCTACCATGCACCGGACAAACCAATTCGTTGCCACAGCTGTCGCGGCCGTCTTCCTATAGTAGTCGGAGATGAGGGCATTGAAAACGTTGATAACGCTTATATAGGTGATGCCTATTGCGAATAGAAGTACGCACGGCACAGCCACCCCGGTCCGAGCATCAAGAGCCCATCCCCAGCCAACAGTGATGATGGCGGTGGCTAGTATGAGGGGAATCGCAATCTCGAGCCTAGCTCGCTCAATAGGAAAATCGGAGAGATCCATTTGCCTGCTACGGTCCACTGGAGGCAGTCCCATTTTCCGGACGTGACGAGCGTAATTCCAGTTCATGACTTTCCCCATGAATGCTGCTGCAACGAGCGTCCCTCCGATATTTGGAAGGTACATGAGGCCTATATTGAAGCTTTTGAAGCCATCTCCACCCAGCACATGTTAACAAAGACTGAGAAGGAAAACTTTGAGCGTGATTGTTCGGTGGTGAGCTCCCAAGACCATTTCAGATATAACGCCAAATGCAAAGCGTGCGATATGTAGTGTATATATATCTTCCTATCAACAGCCTTAAGAGTACCAACCTACCTAGGTAGGTATGGAAATTTCCACCCACTCGAGGCATGCTGAAAATTCCTAGGGGTTGAGAACAGTAGCTGGAAAAGCAACTTACAGATATCTGCCATCTGGCTGGGGAGAGCCGTGGCGTAGGCATAAATTGTTGCGTACATGATTGACCCATAAATGAGCAAACATGTGAATTCGGGGTTCTTTAGCAAAATGAAAGAGGCGAAAATGCTGCTAGGGACAAAACCCTGGGATCGCTGCGTAGGATCGTCTTTGCTACGGTGGTCTTGAGGGTGTTGGGCATGATTGCCACCACAGCGGACTTTGATGAGTTGCCATGGCGTCTGATAGAGCGTGGGCGGATTGATCGACCCGTCACCAACCAGCCTACGATTCGTTTCTGGAAAGAAGATAAACAATAAACACAGACAAATCCCTGCTGCAATAGTCAAGAACCAGAAGATGCTCCGCCAACCCAGATTCTGGGCCAGTGCACCACCGCCAAGTGGTCCTACCGTCGTACCAATCACACCAGGGAGGGTAATGAGGACGATATAACCGCCTCTCTCACCACTAGTTATGAGATCAGATAGCACGGCCTGAGCGAGGGTTTGAGTGGCCGCGATGCCTGTAGCCTGTAGACAGCGCAAGCCCATTAGCATTGCGTAACTGCGAGTTAACGCAAGCCCAATGTTTGCTGCAAAATAGATGACGAAACAAGTCATAAAGGCTGGTCGTCTTCCTATTCTATCAGAAAACCCTCCGATAACCATGGGCACAATCCCCTGCAGGAACATGTAACTCGTCACAGTGAAGTTGATCTTGGTTGAGGAGACATTGAAACTATCGGCCACCATATTTAAAGCAGGCAGGTATATCTGTACTGAGAGAGAAGAAAATATAGCGGCACTAGCGGAACCCGACAGTATAAGAAGCTTTTCACGTCTCGAATAAATGGAGTACCGATCTCCAATTTGTGTCTGGTCGTTATTCGTGAATGTGTCCGCGCTGGTCTTAACATTGTGATTTGCAACGGGTATGTCTTCGTGCGACTTTCCGTCCAGGTCATAGGAATTCATCTCCTTGTTATCTTTGTGTCAACTGGTTAGTAACTGGTTCTGACCGCTTCTCATTTGAGATGGCTCCTCAATAAGCAACACCGTTTTGCATCTACATACTCTTGGGTAAGATCGCTATATTGCCGGCATCAGTGGTAGACCTTTGCAATTCAGCCATATTGGACATATGGGCGGAACAAAGGTTGAACACAGAAGTTGCGTTTCCAAGATTGCATAAGAGCACGTGGGCTTGTACCTATGTACTAGTACCACACCTTTTGTGACTCATATGCTCAATTTTCTCTATTATAAAGCTTCGTATATGTAAAAGCGGCCGAAAGCGAGGATGGAAGACTTCTGTTCAGGCTCGTTATGCTGATACCGATGCTCGGACATCCCATAATCCCGTAATCCCTTCGGTTGTAGCCCCCCATGCAGTAGGCTAGCAAAACGATCCAGCAATTCTAATTGGATAGAGGGAGGTCCTAGGATGACTCCTAGATCTCAGCCCCGACCTTGCTGTGGTTCTAAATTTTCACTAACGTGCTATGGACTGTAGCTGGCTTACATGAAATATCACTCAACTTGGAACTAGTAATAATTGACCATCCCTAGGTGGACTGCGGCAGACAGCCACGACAGGGGTTACGGTAGTGAACTGATATCAGTACGGGATTTCTATATGTGCAACATACGCGATACCGACCTCGCTTAGCAAGTTATTAATGCACAGCAGAACGTAATGTGTCAGCCGACGTTCTGATCTCTATTCCTGTTCATTCCTCTTCTATGTTTAGTTATCTTGTTACTCCGTGCTAGCCGCGGTGTATGAATCCCAACTCTAGCCCCAATAAATCTCTATCTCTGCTTTAAAAAATAGCCATAAGACATGTCATAAGGAGCTTCCAGGTACGTTGCTGGCCAGTCTAATGAGTTTAATGTTATCCCAAAGTTTGCCCAAGTAGGCACCGGAAGCATTGGCGGCAAGCATTTGCGCTGTATGTTTTTTTTAGGCTTGTGATGACTTCCTCTCCCATCTCTTCTCCCTCGCAGCAGCCCACCTTCTCACGGTGAGGGCAAACAATGACCATGCCATTATCATGGCCGTCATACTCATGGTTAATATCGCGACGGAGACAGCGGGGAAATGATGGTCAGTCATCGCTTGAACGGTATCTTTGTTCTGCGCGTCTTGTCAGGATCAATAGAATGTAAACAAGTGTAATAACAATAAAAACATACACTCGCCATGAGCAAGATCCCCCCACACATCAGACAAAAGGCACAGATTAGTTCGGAAGGTGGCCTTGATGGATACGGTGACACGGGAGGAGATATGTACAGCCAGAGGTAAGTGATGCAGCGAGTCCCGGAGGCTCCTGCAAGGAAATGACCGACCTAGTCGTGTCAGCCATATGTAAAGCTGACCCAAAGAGTGGGCTCCAACCTGATTATGCATTACGGTAGATTCAGTATTCGACTGGTGGTGTCCTGCAAGAATGAACCCGAGCAGAAATATGGTCATAGCAGGTATAGGGTTTATGGGAACGCGAAATCCAATATTTTCGGAGCCCAACAAGCTGTCATCATGGAGGCGCACGTCTCGATAATCAGGCACATCGATGGCATGAAATGGTTTCGAATTCACCATCAATCCACACTATATTTAGGTTAGAGATAGTCTAAATCGCGGGAGTTAGGTTTCACTTACAAGCCCACCCCCGATAAATAATAATGAAACTGCAACGTGTTCGATATCCATTGGGGACCATGCCTGTCCCCAGGCAGACAAGTGCTCCAAGAAGACGTTTGTGATTCCATAGATAAGGATGAGAAAGCACTCAATAGTTTCCATTGTGATTGAGTTGCGTTTTAGTCCGAGAGGCTGCAAATTCCATGCCCATCCTTGAGCAGAAAAGCAGCCCGCCCAACGACCGAGAGTCAATATTCCGAACCAAAAGAAAACGCCGCCTTTTATGAAGTGTGCCAGGCCGTTGAAGATGTGATCTCCTTGCTAGTTGCAATCAGAAAGTATTGACAGACGACAGGGCTCGAACACGTACGAAAATTGCTGTCATGGTAACAATTCCAGTGCAAATAGCAGAGAACCCAAAAACAAGAAAGAAACGGGCAGCAATGTCATGACTAATGCCTAGAAGCCGAATGGAAAAACGTGGTTGAGAGACACTGGGCCAGCGCCGAGAGCATGACGTTGGTTCAATGAATGCCGTTTCCTCCGTTGAACAATCTGACGTCCACAGGCCTCGAGATGTGTCCCTTGACGACGAGTTTGTAGCCTCGATATGTTCCGGTGTAGTAAGCGGCGCAAGCTCGTGGCCGATATCACGTCTTCTATCAAATCTATCATGCCTAGTAAAGGACCTCAAAACCCCAACTATAAAATGTGTCAATATCAAGACGGTTAACGCCCATCCAAGTTTGCCATGAGAACTTCCGGGATAGAGATCCAGCGTCCTGGACTTATATGCTAGGCCAAGAATCATCCCAATGCCGTGGAGCCCCAAGTAAGTTATATGCACAGGATACCGCAGACTCGACCGTGCGATATTAAGCATCACATCTAGCCATAAATGTCAGTCTTCAGCTTTCTATAAGAACAGACCAGTTGTGACAAACAAATCGGCAAAACGCCGACCCAACCCAAGACCATAAATGAAATATGTGCATATAGGATATTCGATGCGACGTCTTCTCTGGAATAGTCCGCTAGATCATCAGCCTGAGAAACATCTGACGTGCTTGCGTTGACGGCTGCTGCTGACGAACACATTGCTTGCAAGATGGCTGCGGCCAAGACAAGACCAGGCCACTTCATCTTCTGTGGACTCAGGACAGATAAAAGAATAATCAGAGCAGAGTGAAGCTATTGAGAAAAGTCAAATGGCGGATGATCTAGGAATAAGTATCGGTACACGAAAAACTTCTCCTATTCCACATAATCCAACCGTGCAAAATCTCTGAGCCGGAAAATATGCCTCGAAACCTACTCATATTGCCAACCCCAGAACGGGGTTGCATTTTTGGGAGAATGGTCTAATTTCCGGTTCTCAAAACCTCTTTCCATGTCCCAGATCAGAGCGTGATCGTCACATATCACTGTTGCCTATCCAGACAGTATTCGGATGAGTCTCAAAGAATAAAGAAGAATCGAAAACTAGTGAAGCGGATAAATCAAGATGTCCTATTGGCGTGGACCCTTGCTCAGGGGCTACTCCGCTACCCCATTCTTTCGGGCACTAACTTAGTGTCTGATATCTCCATTGTCTTGCAGCTACCCAGTCATATTGGAAATATCAATGGATAAGCCTCTTTCTTATCCATAATTTTACATCTGGTGCTAGCTGAATTTGGTGCCATGCTGCGGTCACGTGCCCACTCTCTCTCTGAAGTAAACGATGGTAATTTTCACTGTTGATCATCAACTACAGCAGTATCCTTACTTGAGGCTGTGCTAAGACCTCCCGGGACTGTAGCTTATTTATCTAATGAGCTGTCCAAAGCCAAGACGTATCTCATTGCTACGTAGAACGCGCTGTTGGAGTTGGATTTTTCACCGCAATTGTCGTGATGGTTGGCATTCCCTTGAGTCGTGGTTGCCAGCCATGCCGACGACGCAAAGTTAAGGTTCGTCCGTACTTTGGAGTCTGACTGTTGTGGATGCTGACTCCGACTTAGTGCGATGAGAAGAGGCCTGCATGCCTCAGATGTACGATTAGCAATCTGGTATGCCCCGGTTACCCCATTCGACTGAAATTCATAGACGAGGGTCCGAGATTCAAAGGAAATCCCTGCACACCCCAGTCATCTCCCGAGCAGAGTCTTCCCCTGAGTTTGCCTGGTTCCTCGTCCGAGAATCTTTCATTCAAACTCTGCCAGACATTTAGGCCAGATCTCCCAGTAGTCAAGAGTGTGGCCACATTGAGTAAGGATACTTTCGTGACTGAATTACCACGTCACGTGGGGTTAAGTCTGGCCTGCGATCTCGCCATGAGGGCTCTTTGTCTGGCTCATGATACAATACTGAATCCGGAAAATCCTGTTCTCGTTCAACAAAGTCGCATACAGTACAGTCAAGCTCTGACCGAGCTTCAACTCTGTGTTGCGGACTTAGAGCGGGCGACCACTATGGGGACAATATGTGCCGCCATGTTACTTAGCATGTTTGAGGTTCATCAACCCCCTTCACAATCATTATTCTAGTTCTAACTCTTGTATAGCAGCTTCTATGTGCAGACTTTGGTGCATCCATTCGGCATGCCGGCGGAGCTTCTCGATTGATCGAGGCAAGTGGTCCCCACCAATTCAAGGACCCTTTCGCATATAGAATGCTACACACGCTTCAGGGGCCAATCGTATGTCAGATCCGTACTGCTAAAACCAGTTTGCGTACATGCTCATAAGTAATAGGTTGTTGAATGTATACTCTACCGACGAAGATGTTTTCTCGATGCACCGCTGTGGCGTGATGTATGCCGGCGTATCCAATCCCCGTTTAACACTTTATTCTCCCGCCTCTCACGACTCCCAAATATTCTCTGTGCGCTACGAGAGCTTGAGTCTATATCTACGGGGCATTCACGTGAACGGACGTCCCTTTCCGATCAAATTGTTGCCCTCCGCAACGACCTCCAAAAGTGGAGGGATGCTCCAGGACATGCCGAACTGTTCTGCACAACCACATGTCCATCCACAGAATTCTTCGAATTCAATCTCAATTACACATCCAGAAACGCTGCAGAACTACTCTGCACATATGCAGCAATGATGATCCTGCTCAATTCCGCGCTACTCGTACTCTCTCATTCCAAGATACCCCTCTATAAGCTCCAGAATCTCATGCTCGCGAAACAGATATGCCAGTCCTACGAGTATAGCAGGGTCTGCTCACCAGTAGGTAGTCTGGCCATGGATTTTGCGTTCAGGGTTGCATATGTCGTTCCGGACGCGTCGCAGAAGAAGTGGATCGTTGAGAAAATGAATGAGATGGCGAGCCCACTAGGTGGACCGCGCCATACTGATGTTGAGGAGACGGAGTTGGAGAGCTGTTTCGATTATTTAAAATGCTGAATTAGATTGATTGGACTGTAAGAGCCTATGGTAGAATCGATCCACGTATTTAAAGTCTCACACTTTACAACAAGGCCGTCATTACGCAATTTGAATATAGGCGAGACCGCCACAAATTCCAAAGATGCTTGATAGAGAGAATGTCAGGGTGAGGAGTGAAAGACTCTGAGATTAGTGACGAGGTCCCTATTCAGCGATTAGTTTCGACTACTAGTGATCGCCTAGGAGTCATGCTAGCGGCCCTCATCCAAATATAGTGCTTATATAGCCTCTATTGGCCGATTTAGTTGCAGTAATCCGATTTATTGTTGTTGGGCACAGCCCTTCTGTGAATCAACCTAACCGTATAGAGTGTCATGCTGCGGTCTCATCTGCATATCATTATTATTATGTTTTGTGTCCTAGGCATCAACTTAGAGCTCTTTATCTAGCTCGACTTTTGCTCTTCTGTGCTGAATTTCTAGCATTCTTGCTATGCCCTAATCGGAACAGAATTCCTGGTTTATCTTCGTGATATTCAAACCGAAAACTCTTTTGCAAGATTCGTCAAGACAACCATCAAGAAAATGTCGTCCACCGATACGGACAGTCACTACAAATTCTATCATTACTATCCCTCTTTAGCTGGTGCCACTGTTATGGCAGTGGTATTCGGGTTAATGACGGCCTGGCAGTTGTTCCTAATTGCCAAGCACAGGACTTGGTACTTTATTCCTTTGGTCATCGGCGGAATTTGTATGCACCTTTCCAGATTCACTTCAGGCTTTTGCTGCATTCATCCTTCGTTTGACGGTTGCTAATATATAGGTTCATAGTTGAAATCGTTGGGTATGCGGCTCGTGGAGTATCAAATACACAAGCGCCAAATCCGACTCTGGCCCCCTACGTTATTCAGACTCTTCTACTGCTCGTTGCTCCAGCACTTTTCGCGGCAACTATCTACATGATCCTAGGCCGTGTCATTCTTAGTGTAGACGGTGAATCTCTTAGCCTGATCAAGAAAAAATGGTTGACGAAGATCTTCGTGACCAGCGATGTGATCTCTTTCATTGTCCAACTTGGAGGTACGTATATAAACCCATTTGAAGCTGTAATAGAGACTGTCCTAACTTCAATATAGGTGGTGGACTTATGGCCAGCAGCGATGCATCGCAAGCACAGATGGGGTCTCATATCGTCTTAGCTGGGCTATTGTTACAGATTATAATCTTTGGCTTTTTTGTCGTCGTGGCACTAGTCTTTCATCTTCGAATGTGCGCCACACCAACCTATCAAGCCCACAACCCGTCGTTACCTTGGAAGAAATCTCTGTACGTGTTGTACATTACTTGCACATTTATCATGATTCGATCAATTGTGCGTGTGGCAGAGTTCGTTGAAGGTTTCGAAGGAACAATTATCCTGCACGAGGTCTACCTCTATGTATTTGATGCAGTCCCGATGGCAGGAGTCATGTTCATCTATTGCATCTGGTATCCATCACACTACTCAAGGCAAGCACCAAAGGCTATACTGGATCGGGAAATTGAGGATTCAAATCTCGAGCTCGAGTTTCGAGGTGGTGAGATGACAAGCGATGGGCACTGAACAAGTTGGGGCCATTTAAAGGGTATCATAGGTATGACCGCGTCTTTTCAGGGGGATAATTGGTAGGCATAGAGTAGTTTTGGAATACCATTGCGTATTTTTATTTACAAATAGAATGTGAGGACCTATGAAATTGACGCTGAAAATGACCGCTACCGACACCCTTTACGGCGTCATTTCCACCCGTACCTCCCAGTGGGAAGCAGCCGCTTTAACGTCTCATCGTGGTGATTTATACCGTTGGCGCCTTTCGCATTTGCTAAATTTACTCGCCCTGATCTGATGCTGTACCTGGGTGAGCGTTCCGTTTCGACTTACACGAAGCGACGCTAAAGATGGCTCCTTTGCGCCCAAACCCAGCAGATACCCTCTAAATCTCGACTAGTCCAGTCGAGCGAAGTATAAGATGTCACTCATCTTCCCTTTTTTCTCTCTTCCTTTCCCACCGTCCGCGTCCTCCCACCTTAACCAGTTTCCCCTCCAATCCCCAAGTCAACTATGGCTGGAATCACTCACAAGAGTCAGTCCTCTCTCCTTCAGTCATCTTTCCTTAATCCCTGGATCGTGTCGACTCAATTGCACCACTCCCTCTTCCTCCTGCGAACCCCGATGACTCGATGAGCATCAATACTGGATGGACCCAATACTTTATGAAGAAACGCGAGGACTATGAGTTGGGTTCATCATCTAAGGACTCTATTGTGCTTCTGCTCGTGTCTGTGGCTATGTATAACGGATTTTTGGCCTGATTAGTAGGGTTCGGAAGCCTACGCTGGCGTCTACCCATCTGGTAAACTGTTCCATGAGTTCCTCTAGCTGCTCAGAATGTGTGTTAAAATTGATGTCTTGGAACCTTACGCTGAGACATGGGTGCTGCGGGGGCAACTGGCCCCGGTGCTAATGCTGTCAAATCTGCTGGGATGGATTGTGTGCCAGTTGATGTTGATAGTGGTCAGATACACGGTGGTAGGCATCTTGATTGAGGATGGCTGACCTAGCTCTCGCTACCGCTTCCTACGCACTTTACAGGCACCGCTGGTGATTTGTGTGCTCCACCGCAGTTGGCACACTTTGGTCTGAAATCCTATCCATGCTGCCGAGGACATCCCCAGGTTTGATAATCCTCCATGCAGGCTCCACACGTGTAGGATTGGTACGGGAACTGAGTGTGGATGTGTGTAAGGAACTGACTCGGGAACGTAGATAGATTTGTGAGAACTGACTAGAAACAAGAAACTAAAGGAGAAACAAGAAAGGAAATAGAGGACTACTGATTTTAGGAGGAACTAGATGAGCAGGATGAGCTCCTTATAAGCTTCATCCGGTACATCATAGAGCTTCTAAATCAGCAGAGCAGGTACTGTAGAACATAAAGAAACAGTGAGGCATTGCTCGTACAAGGATGCAACAAAGAAACATCAAGAATGAAGCAGTAACAAAAAACAACAAGGAATGATACAATGAAGCAGCAACAAAGAACGCTGAGATATTCTCAAAGCGAAGATATCTAGAGCGCTAAAGACTTGTAGTAGGGTTAGAGCGAGAGCTAACCCTAACACCTGGGCAGAAATTGGCTCCAGAGATTGGGGGGATTGATTTCTAGGTGGTTTTTACCTGTTTAGTAAGTTTTAAAGTTTTCAAATTTCAAAATTGTTCCACCCTGAATGCTAAGAATTTACTAGGAAATCTGATCGTAACACTTTAACCCAAAAAATCTAGCCAGAGAGACACTTTTGTTCAGACGTTGCTACCGTTGCCAGAGTAATGGCCCAGATTACTAATCGCTTCTTGTCGGGCAGCTGGAGTAGTCGTGTTCACACAACGTGACGCACCACTTGTTTTGTAACAAGACAACCATGCCTCCCAAAAGACAGCCCATGCACCCCACAGATAGACGAATTCCCTACAATTGTTTATATCAAACAGTCAGAGGCCCAAACTCCTCACCCCTCTCTACCACCTAGCCACCAGAAGTGCGGCCTTTGACGCGTCTCAACGCGTCCGGCAACACTATGGCGCGTAAAGGCCCTGGTACAGATGGCCCTCTACAGACAGCCCTACTAGAATCCACGTCCGCAGCCACGACAAGAGCTTCTGAAGAACAGAAGATCTTCAGCCCTATAGCTGCATTCCTCAATAAACACCGCAGCCAAACCACCGGCCTGGCCCCTCACCTACTGAGAGCCCTCACCGCTCTAAGTGATGACCTCGCCTTAGTAGCCCAACGACATTTTAGCGCCTATATCAGCGGTATCTCGACGACCTCCATTCTACCTGCCCTGTCCCCTTCCCCTCCCCCTACTCCAAATTCCTTACCCCCTTCACCCCCTCCCTCACGTCCCCTCTCAGGTCTTGAACAGTCGACTTATGCGACTATTACCCAATATGCCCCGGTCAAATTAACTCCTACTACTCACTCCAAAGCCCATATTAAAAAGCCTATGCCTCTGGTGAAACAACCCCTTCCTGACAACCAGCTCTTTGTACGCCTCCCAGCTGACCATGCAGCTAGAAAAATGGAAGCCTACGCTATCTACTCTAGCCTACAGTCTCAACTAAACTCAAACAGTTTAGCACTAAAAGAAGTTCAAGCCACAAAGACTGGTTTTGCACTATGTCCCTCATCTCCAGAAGCCCTCCTAACCCTTGAGGCCCAAAAAGAGATTATCTCTGCATTCTTTGTGAATTGCCAGATAGAACGCAGCTCCCAATGGGTCTCGTACCGAGTCACCAATGTGCCAAGGAAAGTTGGCTAAATCTTGGACAGTCAATACTCTCTAATCCCTGTCAATCCTACACTACTATCCTCAGAAATCAGTAAAACTACAGGACTCAAGCCTATATCTATTAGCGAGACCACTACAAGTGCCGCCAACCCTGATACTCTTTCCTCAAGCTGGTTTGTTAACTTCCCAGAAGGCACGAAATCACCACTACCTATCCAGCTACGCCTTTTTAGCACTATTACCAATGCTTGTCACCTCTCTAAGAGAACAACAGTTATCCAATGCACACGATACTAGAAATGGCATAATGCACGATCCTGTGCCCGCCCCTCTCAATGCTGGCTCTGTGGCTCCTCAGAGCATACTGAATAGGGACATATTAACCGCTGCATAGCCCTGGAGCCTCATCAGTGCCCTCCCAGATGCATACACTGCCATAGACTACATCCTGCTGATTTCCCAGAATGCCTCCTGCGCCCTAAAGGCAACTCTAAACATACTAAAGCTCAACAAGCAGAGATCCGGAAATCCTGTGCTATTAACCTTGCAAAAGCTCGAACTGAAGGAGGATGTAGCACTCAGCTCTCTATTGGCACACAAGAAACACCTATGGCACTAGACGAGATGCTAACTCAGCCTCCAACCCATGAGATTATCTCTCCTTGCCGTTTAGTAACCCCTCCACCTCGCGCCCCAACTGAAGATCCTCCAATTACAGCTCGCGCAGTCCGCTTTACAACCCCTTAATCACAAAATCGGTTCGCCTCCCTTCTTGAACGAGAGCTATGATCTATCACTATCCAACTCAAAAGGCACCTCTTAAAATCCTACAGCTAAATGTAGGGCACGCACTAGATGCACATGAAATAGCTCTCACATTAGCATACACAAGTGATATTGATATTATCCTAATCCAAGAACTATATATATTCAAAGATCTTAGCCGACAGATCATCAAAAAACACCCATCATATGAATGCTTCTCCCCAACTGACAGTTAGGCGATAAGTGGCCGACCACGAGTCCTTACCTATGTTCGAAAGAAGAAGGGCATTCGGACCTCCCAGCTGCGCCCCTTTACAACTGATACCAAAGAGGCCTCGGATCTCCTATTCCTATAGATTTTTTCGCCCATAGGAAAGTCCGCTCTGATAGTTAACATCTATAATGCCCCAGCAGGCTCCATCAGAGCAGGCAAAGCCACGAAAGCTCTTACAACCCTGCCAGAGGCATATTTCCCTCAAGCAATGATACTCGCAGGCAATCTCAACCTACTACACAACAGATGGCAGCCCTCGCTACATCGCAGCCCCACACCTTCTGCAGAGCCATTCATTAACTGGCTGGACCTCCAGGGTCTAGTACTCATCTCTGACATAGACTGTCCCACACATGAAAGGGGTAACATGTTAGACCTCAGTTTCGCCTCAAGCCCTCTGGCACTCGCGGGAGCTAAAACTAGCATAGCGAGCCACTTAGATGCAACCTCAGATCATCAACTACTAATCACCACTGTACCATGGGATCAGAGATACAAGGAAATAGCTCAGAAACTGAGATTTGACACACTAGATCACACCTCCTTCCTCTCGCTCCTCACCTCTAATCTTGCTGGCACCGAGAGCTCAGCCACAACAGAAGAAGATCTTGATGCCCTTGCTAAAAAACTAACATCTGCAATTCAAGGAGCATATAGAGGCTCTGCTAAGAGGACCATGACACAAGGCATAGGATAACCATGATAGAACGAAGACTGCAAGAAAGCTTTACACAATTACTACTTAGGCCTCTGCTCAAAGATAGACTTCCACAGGATAACTAGATGGTCTCAACAACAATTTTGGCAAGATAAGCTCTCTATGGTAACACAAATAAAGGATGTCTTCGATATAAGCAAATGGCATAAGTCCACAGGCACCTTCCAAAGCCCTCCACTAAAGGATCCACTAAGACCCAACAGCTTCCCAGCAGTTACTATACATGAGAAATGAGACGTACTAGTCCGTAATCTTCTCCAAAACTCGGCTGAGGCAGGAGACATACCGCTGGACTTCCCAGCAGTCTCTACCACTAGTCTCTATTTCCTAGATATAACAATGGCACAGGTGGAGGAGTCAGTACTTCAGGCAGGAAACGCAGCCCCTGGCTCAGACGAAATCCCAACCTATATACTCAAAGTGGCATGGCCTCTAATCAAGGACAAGGTACTAATGTTATACCAAGGGTGCCTAAAGATTGGTTATCACCTAAAATGCTTTCGACGTGCAATTTTAGCAATTATTCAGAAACTAAAAAAGACTGATTGGTCTTCACCTAGTTCATACAGATCAATCACTCTCCTATCAGTACTTAGCAAAGGACTGAAGCGCTTGGTGGCACAGAATATGGCATGGATCTCTATACACTACAAAGTATTAGCAAGGCAACAGTTTGGGGCTCTCCCACTAAGATCTATAAATAATCTAACCATATGCCTAACATATGATGTTGAACAAGCACTAAATTAAGGCATGACTGCCTCACTCCTTACCCTAGATGTCAAGGGCGCTTTTGATGCCGTGCTTTCTGGCAGACTCATCCGCAGATTATGTGAGCAGGGCTGGCCCACTAATCTTGTTCTCTGGATTGTCTCCTTTGCTACTGGGCGATCAGTCTAGATCCGACTCGATGGAGAGATTGGCCCCTCAACAGACATTGCCTGTGGTCTTCCACAAGGATCCCCAGTATCTAGCATTCTTTTCATGCTCTACATAGCGCCCCTATTCCGTCTAGGAAACCCAAGGAACAGATTTGGTTACACAGACAATACAGCTAACCTGGCAATCTCAATATCTCTTGCTACTAACTGCGAAGCATTATCAGACTTACTATAAGAAGCTCTAAACTGGGGCGCTGCAGAGGGCATTACATTTGCACCAGATAAATACAAGCTTCTTCACTTCTCCTAACATAAAGCAGACCAGGACCCAACCTGCACACCTTCAGTAAAAGCTAGATCTATTATAATCTTAGAAAACACTAAACAGCTATATCTACGCTGGCTAGGAATCCTCTTTGACAAAAAGCTAACATTTAAATAGCACGTTAGTAAAACAGCATCTAAAGCCCTCACTGTGGCTAATGCCCTTCACTCTCTAGGGAATACTATCCGTGAAGTCAAACCTCATTTACTACAGTAGGCTGTATCAGCCTGTGTACTCCATAAAGCATACTATAGCGCAGAAACCTGGTGGCCAGGACGTACTTGCCTTAGATCTTCCCAAATCTCAAATTAAGTTGAAGAACATCTTGAGAAACTAACCAAAGTAATACTAGCAGGCACAAGAGCAGTCCTTCCAGTTTTCCGCACAACCCCAATATCTGTTCTATACCGAGAGTCTGGATTCTCTCCGCCAGAAATTAAACTAGATTAAATAGCCCTCCAAACATCTGTCCGCCTACAGCGTCTTGATCCATACCACCCACTCCGAAGACGCGCAGAACAGATAGCCAGAGACGGCCGACAAACCAGTCGATTTGCCCGCCAAGTGCTGGCGCTCCCCAACTCTGAACAAATAAACCCTCTATAACATGCTCCCTAGTACCCTCGTGAGTCACGCAAGAGTGCCCTAGCCCGAATAGGAGCTTCTATGAGACGCACTAAGGAACAGGCAGCGGCTGATTTCACGGCTTTTTAACGCACCATCCCTAGCTCAGATATTGTAATCTTTTCAGATGGATCTAGGCTGATAGACGGACGTGCAGGGGGTGGCTATATTAGAATTTAAGCACACCATCAGTTCCTCCGCTCCTCACTCTCATACGGACATGGGAAAGAGGTCTTTGACACAGAAGCAGAAGCTACCCTAGCTGGTGCTCAAGCAGCAATAACATACCCAACAGCTCAATTTGCTACCAACCTATGGATCTGCCTTGACAACCTGGAAGTTGCCACGCGCCTCCTATCCCCCTCTACAGGATCCTCTCAAGAGGTCTTTGAATCCTTCTGCACCCTTGCAGCCGCCTGGCCACTACTTTGCAGACTACCATGAACGCTTTAATCATGATGATGCTTATCTTCTCTGTCGGTGTAGAGTACAAAAAGCACCTCTACATTTCTTCTTCTGCCATATAGCTAAGAGACGAGCTCCTCGTCCACCTGGACCCCCTTCTGAAGTTATCTCTTTTCTTTTAGATACTGCGAAAGGAACACGAAAACTAGCCTCATGGCTAGCAGAGACCCGTTTCTTTGAGGATATCTGTCCTCGCTAACCTCTCCTTAGCACCTAGCTAAGTCAGCCCTACTTCCCCCTTATATCTCTCTTTTCCTTCGTTCTTTCTTTCTTTCTTTCCTTCTTTCCTTCTTCCCTTTTTCTTTTCAAACTCACTGCTTAAGTATGATGGTGGTAGAATGATGGGTCATGGAGCGTAGGTGGACTATTGCAGCTGGCAAATACCCAAAACCCACTAGGAAGTGGATCTCCCTTTAAGACTACGGCAGCTATGGAAATGCGCTAAAGAGTCTCTTATTTGTATATAAATCTGATAGGACCTGAAGCCCGAGGCTTAACCCTCGGCGGCCTATGTCCCAGTAGGGATCGGTGGGAAGCGTGCAAGTCACGAACCACGGCCGTTAAATATATATACACACACACACACTCCCAAAAGACAGCCTAGTGTCTGTCACAGGACAGGTGCCTCACAATTCAAATTGACAAAAAAGAAAAAGATCAGAAAATCACCATGATCGAGAGTCGGAAAAGAAAAGTCTGGGCACTTCAGAGTGACTCGTCCAAAGCGGACACAACCATACGCAAGCGACAGAAAGGCGAGTAGAAATCAATCAAATTAATTCAAAAATGAAGCTCTAACCTTCCAGTGACTTGCAGAATCTCCCAAGTTTGTTCTCACCAGCGCGCCAAACCAATGATTCGATGTTTTCGTGTTTGGAACAAACTGCGGCGGTGAACTTGGTTTGGGTGACACGATCAAAAACCCAGAGTTACCAGGTCCAGTCCTAAACCCAAAATTGTCCGTTGAAACCGTTGAAGTTGTCCAACTTGCAGTTGGGGAAATCCATTCTGCAGCTTTAACGCACGACAATCAAATCCTCACATGGGGCGTTAATGACGAAGGGACGCTGGGCAGAGACACAACCGTTGAAAGTAAAAAGACCCCCATAGATGCTACCAGCGATAACGGAGAGGAAGACGATGAAGATGACGATGAAGTGGAACTTAATCTTAAAGAAGCTACTCCACTACCTGTGGATTCTTCGCATTTTCCAGATGGCACCGTTTTCACTCAGTTAACCGCAACCGACAGTGCAACATTTGCCCTTACGAGCAAGGGTTTGGTATACGGTTGGGGTACATTCAGAGTATGTTACCCTTTTTCTTTTTCTCTGTTCGCGCTTAAAGGAGACGGGATAGGACAACAACGGTACAACTCGCTTCTCGCCCAAGTCCACAATCCAACGAGCACCTGCCTTGATTCCTGACGTGAAGGACGTCATAAAACTTGTCCCAGGAGCGCAACACGTCTGGGCCCTAATTTCAAATGGCACTTTTTTTTCTTGGGGCAACAACGAACAGAATCAACTCGGAAGGTGCATGATCAGCCGCATTCATGAATTCCCATGGCTTGTTCCTGGACAATGCTCACTCCCGCGTGGAATTATTGATATCGGTGCAGGAATTTATCATTCATGCGCCATCCATAAGACTGGCCAACTGTACGCTTAGGGATCCAACAACTTCGGACAGACCGGAATCTTCCAGAGCGCGGGTCAGAGTGATGCCGTAATACCGTATCCTACTCCAGTCCCAAGTCTAGGGAAAGGATTAGGGATTGTCAGCGTTATTGGTGGAAAAGATCACAGCTTGGCCTTGAATGAGCAGGGCCAATGGCTTGCCTGGGGTCGCATCGATAATAAAGCCCTTGGTATTATTGCTAAGGACATCCCAACCTCTGATGTAATATTCGACACATATAAGAAGCCTCGAATTCTCAAAGTACCTACACCTATAAGTGGTGTTGTCGGAAAGGTTGTCTTTGCCGCCGCGGGGACAGATCATTCTTTCGCCATTACTCAGGATGGCAGAGCATACAGTTGGGGCTTTAACGCTCAACATCAGGTCGGTCACGGGAATGAGGAAAAAGATGAAGTCGAGCAGCCCACACAACTTAAAAACAAACATGTGTCTGGCAAAATGCTTGTATCGGCCGCAGCTGGTGATCAGTTCAGCATTGTGGTGGGCCTACACGGACCCCAAACGAACGGTGTACATTGATGGACCTGCCTCCTGCTATTACCAAGAGACAAGTAAAAATGCCTCGTTGGCCTATTTACTTGTCTCTTGGTAAACTTTCCAAAAAAGCATTACCGAAGATTACTGTAATATTAGTAGAAGACTGATTTCGTTTCCATTGCCCAAGTTGAATCGGGTGTCGATTCAACGATCCCTGTTTTCATGTCATGATACCAAAGCAATTCTAAGGGTTATTTAGGTAGTCAGAATCCCACGCTCCCCATGTGCATCTGTCGAGAGCTAGGAGTCCCGCAGCGTCATTGTTGAGATGCTAGCAGTCATGAGAGTTCCACAGGTGGTGAGCATAAAAAAGCTTTACGGTATGTATTGGCCCGGCTACAGGGTCAGGAAAGACCACGCATAGGACTTTAGATCCAAATCTTTCCACTGTCTAATGTCTAGGTTATGCATGCAAAAGTCTTGGAACCTATAGTGGTTATGATATTACTGACTCAAATGTGAGTCTGCAGTTTTCCACCTTGTACAACGTCAATTTCTGGCAAATAGCGGGCTGAATATGTGCTTTGTCCAAGTCAAGCCCTGGAGCGGTCCACACAGGAGGAAGACAGGCAGACAGATTTGAGATAAATCAACTTTGATCCATTCAGTTCCATTCTTTTATGTGAATTTCTGGAGTAATTCTTTTACAGCCACTGCTTGTTTCCATACTGGCTGACGAATGAACCGCCATAGGTGTCCACCGTTGCCTTTTGGACAACATCATACTGCAACTTCACGCTCTCCTCTGCCGTAACCGGGCCTTTCCAATCAGGGGCATACTCCCTGAACTTGCTTTCTTTGATTTGACGTCCCTTGATATGGTCAGGGGTCTGTTCAGGCTTCCTCGTCTGCACGACACCGGGACTGATAGCCATAAAAGTAATTCCCTCCGCCTCACCAACGGCGGTGTGGTACTTCGCCATCAGCATATTGACTCCAGCCTTAGCAACAGAGTAGGGCGTAGAAGTACTCAGGCCAAAACGAACGACGATGTCCTGGTCAGCCAGCCCGGACGAGACAGTGACGACCTTTTTTAGGTCACCCTTCCTGATAAGGGGAAGGAAGGCATTAATGGTGTGCGCCACACCAATGACGTTAGTCTTAAACGTTTCAAGAAATTCCTTCTCGAGAACCTCAGGCGATAGCTCGGTGACACTGCCGAAGCGGGAGATAGGGCTGCTCACAAGAGCCGCATTGTTGATCAGGACATCCAGGCGGCCGCTGGTAATACCGGAGACCAAACTTGCAGCTTCTTGAAGGGCACTGAAGTCGGTGATATCCGCAGTCACCAGATGCACATTGGTAATGTTATCAGCGGCGAGGCGTTCCTCTGTGGCTGGTTTATTGCGTACGAGGCCAATGACAATGTTGTTGCTGTCGGTTGACAAGTGCTTGACCCAAGCATATCCAAGGCCTCGGCTGGCACCAGTAATTAAGAAAGATGGCATGACTGCGGCGGAAAGTTCGTTTATGCGATAGAATCTCTAGCGAGGTTACTTGAAATTTTCGGTTTCAACAAAAGATGTTGGCTGATCGCGCTGATGATGAACTTGGATGAAAGTGTAGTCATTTAAAATACTTAGAAGATCGTCACAATCCTAGATCCCGTATTCCTTCTAATCCTTGTAGTCTCACCTCCATGTTTTTCTTTTCTTTTCTTTTTTCTTGGTTTGGCATTTCACGCAGCTCCTTCATTCCACAAATCCTTCTTTAGTCAAAAAGTATTATTCTGGACCTTGGATTGCGCATACAGTCGACAAGACATCCCATACTCCAAGAATCCTGGAATCCCTCATATGGCTGATGACGGCTTATTGTCACCAGTATAGTTCCATCAATCCAGTAATCCGCCGGAAGGGAAGTACAAATCTCTTGAGTGTTTGGAGGATATATTGATAAACTAATTCCCCATTGCACAAGCTTTAGAATCAACATCACCAGTGAGAAAGATACAATTCTATTTCCTCGCAAACCAACTTATTGCTGCCTCGTCATGGCTACTGCTGCAACCCTTCCATCCCACGGCACCACCGGCTTTCTTGGTGTGTTCGGGGGCACAAAGGATGATAAGCCCGCCTACATTGACTTCCCGAACAAGGTAGCCAACATTAACCCTCCCGCGAACATCTCCATCGTCGCTGAGGACATACGATATGCCCAGCCCAAGCCTTCTTTCAAGACCCATGGCTACGAATTCCTTGAACGCAAGTCTGTCTGCACTAGCGAGGAGCTAGCAAAGGGAAAGACCGACCCAAACATCAACAAATATCTCTATGATGTTTACATGCCCGAGGTGGCCAACATTCTGAAAGAGGTCACTGGTGGCACCGAGGTCATTCCCAACGAATTTCGACTCCGCAACCAGGTCCAAGACGGAGGAGACATTGTCGCCAACAAGGTCGGGTGGGGCAACGTCAACGTTGTGCATGTTGATCGAGACCCGAGTAACGCTGAAGTACGCCTGGGAACCAGCCTTGGTGAGGAGAGAGCCAAGGAGCTCCTGGCCAAGTACAACCGCTGGGCCTCTGTTAACCTATGGCGCCCTATTGGCGAGACCGTACAGAAGTGGCCTCTCTGCATGGTCAACACCACTAAAGTCCCTAACTGGGACTATGAGACTCACATGACGAAGGTCCGCAACATCGGAGATCCAGCTGAGAAGGAGAGAGGCGAAAAGACCCATGAAACGGTTCTACTCCCGCCCACGTCTGAGACGCCATACTTCTACCAGTATGCCAGCCAGATGACACCTGATGAATGTCTGATTTTTACTTCCTTCCACACTGATGCTTCCAAGGTTGTCCCTCACGGTGCTTTCTGGGACAATAGCTCGCCAGAAGCCGCACCTCCTCGCCGCTCGATTGAAGCTCGCTGTTGGGTATTCTGGGATGAGAAGTAAGGACTTCTATAGGGTTATTTGAGACACTGTTATAGGGATCTATACATTTCCTTTTGTCAGTAGTGAATTGCTATGCAAGCCCACGAAATGTCTACAGCCTATAACTAGTCTAGAACAGTTACATACTTAGGAATGCATACCATTCACATCATGTATTAGTTTTTCAATCTCAGGACCTGGGATGTCATACTTAGTTATATGCTTTGAATGTGCACAAGTCCGTAACATGCAATTGAAGTCATGGAGAGGTTTCTGTCTAGCTTGTGCCATTGCCTACAGCAGGGCTCTCTGGATCCCAAATCACTTGATGATTCCTTGATATCAGGTATCCATAATAATAACTAACTATTCACTAGTTACAATACCTACCTCTGTATTCAAGAAACAGCCCCTTGTGGCTAAATAATCACCCTGGTCAACATCCTAGTACGCAGAATTAAATTTTGTAACTTACTTGTCCTAACGACTCGCAAACGCGGTCCAAGTACAAGATTACAGCAAGAAGTCGGGGCGCTCTCAAAGGTAAATTCAATACATCCGCTGAAGCCGTACAGTTTTTGAGTGTCTCTGTCTTGAGGGGGATTCTGGAAGATCACTGGACAGGTCCTAGCCAGGCATCAAAGCGAAACAGGGCATCAAAGCGAGCCTCGGCGTATTGACTACTGAATCATAGACACAAAAAGAAAGAGCGTGGGTACAGGAGGCCTAGAGCCTTTGTACTTAATATTCTACCCTCGATTAAGTCACTGCTTGGGTTCCCATTGACCGCGGTGTCACATGTGCACCTTATAGGAAGTACTTAACGGTAAATGCCCGAAGCTCTAACGCTAATCTCCGTTGGTATGTCTATATAATAGCTTGTTTGTCCTGTCACCATCCATGGATGGCCAGGAAATAGGGAAAAGTCGATGTGTCATGCTGCGCGATCCCTTGATCCTTTAATCCACATGTCCTTTTATGTAGAACTGGCCCAAATGATCGCCAGATCCTGCATTCCTCTAGTCCAGCTGCAGTTCTAAGCTCGTGCTTCGTTGATGCATATATATCCACTGGGAACTCCCAAATGGAAGCTTTTGGCTCATGACTTGTTCGGTATTACTTGAATTGTAAGCAGATAATTGAGACATATTTTCTTCCCAAGTGAGTCATCCGCACTCAATCAGCTTTGAGAGGCACGAAATGGCAACAGATATCCTGTACAGAACTACCACAGGGGCTTTGAACGTCTGGGGAGGAACTAAAGATGGAAAGGATGGATACAGTAAGCAATTTCCAATTATCGTCGTCTCAAATTCATTACATGAAATTTTTCTCCACTACATGCACTGCCCGTACAAGTATCATGACCGAAAGATATATCTGCTAAGTACACACCCTCGCAGTCGACTACAAAAACCGTTCTTCTAACCTCATCCCTCCTTACGAGATAAAAATTAAGGCACACGACATCAGGCAAAGCCAACCAAGGCCTACATTTAAAGAGACCGGGTTTGAACTTACAAGTCATATTACAACTATGACACCCAAAGACTTTCTCGCCCACGAAACACCCGAAGGAAAAGACCGCCTCAACAACGTCTACTTCGAGGAGTGCCGGCGTCTTGTCATGGAGATAACTGGATGCGCGACAGCGGTATACACATCTTACCGTGTGCGGGATGACTTTGACACGTCGGTCAGAGCTGTTCCCAAGATGGACCAAAAGACAAAGGTCAAAGCTGATGGTCCTCGGCCCCTTGCGCATGTCGACCGCGATTATACAACAGCATTGCATGCTCTCAAGCTTGCCGTTGGCGAGGAGAGAGCTGAAGGGTTAGTCAATTCCTCGAAGCGGTGGGCTCAAGTGAACGTTTGGCGGCCTTTCGGCAATGTCTGTCAAAGGTGGCCACTGGCCTTCCTGATGCATGGTGACATCCCGGACTGGGACTATGACAAGTATTGTGGTCGCATCTACAACTTCAATGACCCCAGGGTGGAAAGTCGGGGCGAGAAGTCGTACGACACGCTGCTCAAGGAGGACCCAAGATACGTGTACTACTATGCTAGCAACCAGATGCCGGACGAAGCTTGGGTATTTTCGGCCTTTGACAGTAACCCAAGCATGTGCATTCCTCACAGCGCCTTCTGGGATGACAACACTCCACTTGACGCGCCTCCCCGGGCTACTATAGAAGTTCGTTTCATGGCGTTCTGGCCGAAGGAGGAAGCGGAACAATATGGACAGTAGATTATTCGTACTCGTTTCTTATATAGGAAGTGAATTCTTGTTAAAGTATAAACACCTATGAGAATTCGGTCCTGCTAACTTCTAAAATTGTCAAGACATGTGCTCTTATTCTCGCTTGATCTACTTCTCTCTACTGCCGGTCCACCTGTCAATAGTGAACCCCCTCAATCAAGTCAGGGTCATTAATGAGTGCTGCTTTACTAGGCCGTACTCTGCCGTTTGAATATCTTCGGATCCTGTTGCAACTCCGATTTGCTAGATGTGTATTGCGCGCCGAGTTGCGGGTGAAAGAAGCGCCACATAGTAGACAGACCGGATTTTTCTTTGTGGTAGAGCTGTCACTGGGAGAAGATTGTTTATTTCCAGGGCCCACTTGAGCCCTTGTGGTCTTGCTTTTCTCTTTTTGATGTCTTCGCAAGTTGCTTTTGGAAGAAAACTCGCGCCCGTTACACTCTGGATGTTCCCAGCATTGCCAGGGTTTGGTACTGCTTGTGCTGCTGGTTGCAGTACTTATGCTATGATTCTCAATCTGCATTACATTCGGGGAATTGCCATTGGTTTTGTCTGCTGAAAACGTCATGTCTAGTATATTCGAACTCGATACGGAGGATGTCAAGATATCGTGTTCACTGCATCCAGGAGTATCGTTACAGTCGTCTTGGAACAGGTCAGGCGCCAGAGGTTGCTCCGTGAAATTTCTGATTATTATTATAGTGTTAGTTTACTAGAAGCAAAAGTAATTGCTCCTGAATTACAAGACTTACAAGTAGTTTTGCGCACAATACCGGTCGAAGATGGGATCCTGGATGTCTATGCCACCAGGAGAAACCTCATTCGATGACAGCTGTGAAAAATCCATATTCCAGCCTTCATTTAGGTCCATATAATCAATGCTGTGAATATAACTTTCCATTATAGGTAGCGATGGCACACAGTGTGTAGTAAGAAGTAGGAGGCACTTGGACGACAGCGTAGTCTGCAATAGCAATCAATGTTGGCGATTTGCCCCTCTTATGGCTCACGAAGTTGGCCCCCAATCCCCCAATATAAGAGCATCAAGAGAAGCTGGGGTGCAATGGACAAATCGACCATGAATCGATGTGCGTTAGTCCGAGACTTTTCGACTGTTTTGAGTGGGCGGTCGACCCTTTTGCGGCAGTCTACCAGGTTGTTCGCGAGATACGAATCGCACATCCCGCGATCGTAAGCAGTTCAGGGATTAACTGGGTGTTATGTTGGGTCAATCAGTACGAGTGTTGACTATACATTAATCGTTTTAATAGGGGTCCATCATGAACATGACGACCAGCCTCGTAAAAATATTGGGAATAAAAATTACTGATTTGTACGCCGAATTATATCCATAGTGTTTATCTTAGTAGGAGGTCTTAAATCATGTAGAGTCTTCGCGAACTGACCAATTAGTACTTGCATACAGCAATATATATTGTTGGTGAGGACATTCTGAGGATATCTATCATAGGGTCTTAGTAGAGGTTGACTGTCCCTTGCTATCCTGAAGAATTATCAATTACTAAATCAGCATAAACGTTTGCATAGATTTCTATTTTTATGTAACAAGCTCTATCAGACGATTTATCTCTTAAATAGTATAGTGTATTTCCCTAAAACGGCACTAGGTTCTGCCTAGGGTCATCACGACTATTCCAGCGGTGATCCAATATCATTAAAGAGCGTAGATGGTAGATCCTAGATGGGGGGATCTTATCCGGAGGAATAGGCCCTGGGAGCTGACCCAATGGACCCTGGCGTTATAGGCCATCTGGGGGAGAGGCAAAGGTAATTGGACCATATCATCATACATGTACGAGACTGACAGGGGGGTGAGCAGCGCCCCCATAAACCCCTAGGACTTATAGGGGCTTTACAGATACTTCGAGATGTCTGTCATAGCTTATAACGCTGGGCACGGACATTAGATCTAATTAATAATACTAATGATCGTAACAAGAATGATAATAATATATGGCTATCCCGGATAGGCTGCATAAACCCCGCTCCAGATGCAGATTACCAAAGGACCCTTACTAATAGCTCGCACAAATTTGCTCTATAATGTATGTACAAGAGACTGCCAAGCAAGATAAGCTACTACTTGTCCCACTCAAGGTCTTATGCTTATCATGTGTAATGCGGAGTTTCGCACTACCAGTGACTAGACTCATGGTCAGCACGAGTTTCTCTCCCAGGATAGGGAGATGCTCATCCCAAAAAGTTAACGGAGGCGCTTGCACTACATGTACAATCCAAGAGGTTATATCTATTATTATGCCAATATTCTTCTTATCTATTCTAGACTAAGTAGTTCGCGCAGCTTGTGATGTGTTCCGCATCAACCATGTAACTGTGACCGCTGACTGGACTGATGTTGCACCGGTTAAACTAATTACTGTATTACTATCGACAAAACCATTCAGATCGACAGAAATATTGTCAGTCTTATAATAACCAGCTTGTGCTCGATCTCGTAGCTAGTTTTAGTCTTGGTGTCCAGGCATGCAAAGTGGTAGTTCAGGGGCGGATAAAAACCAGTGCTCCGTTATGTATCAACCTTTCGTATACATCATTCGGATGAAAGGATTTATGGATGCTTGGATTCAGGGATGAAGGCTGAAACTGCCCTGAGGGATCCCGGTAGTCTCATGGAAAGATGAGGCTGAAAAGGAATTGTTTGATCGTGGCCCCAATTGTTAGTATCATGGAGATAGTGGATTGTTGGATTGCTGGATTAGTGGACCATATGGCTACATGTATGTCTTGAAACTAAGAATGGACCACTTCTGTGCTGAATATTACGCTATCGATGTACGAACACCTTCCAGATAAAAAAAAAGAGAATTCCATGCATGTGTGACTTGGTGTTCATAGATACATTTACCCACATCTGTTTCGCATCTACTGAGAATATTGATTATCCTCAACGATTTATTTTGCATCAATCAGACAAAGACATAATCAGAAAATAGCCATGGCTATCAAACCGGTCAAGATCGCACAAGATTGTCTGTTGGTGCTGGACTCTAGAACAGCGCAGAGTTACCAGATTCCTATAAAAGACAACGCCATCTTGGGTTCAGACATCGGTAACATAGTTGGGCTAGCTGACCCAGATTTTGAGGAAGAAGAAGGCGAAGTCAATAGTCATACCAATGGAAACAGCAATGGACATGTCAAAAGCACAGCGAACGGTACTGCTGTTCGCCGCAAGCAGAGGGGACTTAGTGTACTGGACCCTGGCCTAGAAAACATTGCAATCATGAAGTCGTCCATAACATTTATGTATGTGTTTTCCAAAATCTAATCTCCGACGAGAATTGAATGACAACTGACTATGTATAATAGCGATGGGCAGCGTGGAATTATCAAATTTCGTGATATGATGATTGAGGATCTCTTCCGCGATTATGTCTACGAGGACGTCATGCACCTGCTTATTTGGGACGAGATTCCAACTGAAGCCAAGAAGCAGGACACTCGAATTATCATGGGCAGTGCTGGAGTCCCCACAGAAGCTGTGAGAAAGGTGATAGAGTCGTTTCCGTGAGTAACACCTTGCTACACCCCTGTTCTATCTTAGGTACCACGTACAACGCTCTAACACATCTCTCATGACACATGACACAGACGTGAGGCGGAATCATACCATATGATCCTTGCTGGTATGGCCGCGTTCGCATCTGGCGACACAATCATCGCAACCGCTCGACACCAACAGAAGCCCGTGTTCCATGGAAATTTATCACAGGCTGATCCAGCTCTTCTCCGAACTATTCAGTATATGGCTACCACGACAGCGCTGGTGTACTGTCACAAACATAATCTGGAATTCACCAATCCCGATCCTAGCCAGTCCTTGGTCGAGAATCTGGTCATGATGATGGGCTTCCATGACAAAGAATATGAGGGGAAGCCAAAGCCTGATGCTAGAATTGTGGAATGCCTGAACAAGTTGTGGATCCTCTACGCAGATTTCGAAATGACAGCATCCACAGCCGCCGTGTTGCAAGCTGGATCTGCACTTTCAGATCCTGTTTCGTGCGCTATTTCAGGAATCGTTGCTGGTCATGGTCCTCTTCACGGTGGTGCTATTGAGCTCGCTTACGAGTCGTTCGGGAAGATCGGTTCGCCAGAGAACGTTAAACCCTACATCGCGGCCGTTAAGGCTCAAAAGGCTAGACTCTTTGGCTACGGCCACCGTGTCCTGAAGAACCGCGATCCCAGAGGTGCCTTGATGAAGGAAATTATGGGCGGCAAGCTTGCCGAAGACTTTGCTCGCAACCCCATGCTGCAGATAGCTTTGACCATGGACCGCGTTGCGAGGGAGGATCCCTACTTCATCGAGCGAAACCTGCACGTCAATGTTGATCTTTACGGGTCTTTCCCTTATATTGCTCTGTGGGTTAACCCTTTCTTTATGTCGGCATTATATCAGGAGTATTGCTAACCCTTATCTTCCCTTAGCGGATTTCACAAGGATGCTATCACCGCCGTAACTATTCTGTCTCGGTTCGCTGGCCCTCTCGCCCACTGGCGTGAGAGTTTGAGTAAGTTTAACACTCGCCTTTCCTAATTTTATAATATTGCTAAGTCTTCGCAGCGCAGCCTATCAAACTGTGGCGTCCTCGACAGGTATACGAGTCTAATGTCCAGATACCAATGTAGATAGGGTATGTGTTAAGGGAAATTTTGATTTCCCCGGGGGCTGGACCGGAGCGATGGAGGTGTAGTTTAGCAAATAGTCAATCAGACCTTTAGGATGACGCTTGGATCTCTTCTTGCTCAGTAATTTCAAGAGGTGTTATAACACATATGGTTGAGTACTATTGGTGAGATTGTTTAAGGAGAGATTTTGCACCAGAAGTGACAGGCTTCATCCAATATTATAGAAGTTAAGAATTGAACTGATGCAATCGGTATAACAGTATCTCCAAAGAAAGAAGGGAATCAGTTCTGGGCGAATATACGCCCATCGAAAGAAGCGCAGCATAACCCACACTACTGACAGTTTCAGTCAACAACAAGCAACTTAAGATCCAGTCACAAAATCATAAGATCAAACAGTAATCTTTCCAGTAGTCTCGGGACGAGAAACACGCGAGCTGCTAGGCTGAGGGTGTCCAGAAGGGTGAGGACATCCATATGGAGCACTTCCGGAAGGATGAGGTGTTCCGGATGGATGGGGACATCCAGAGGGGCGAGAGCTTCCAGAAGGGTGAGGTCGTCCAGATGGGTGAGGTCTGTGATGATGGTAATCCTTGTCGCGCTTCTCGAAAGGACTTCCCGGGAAACCGGTTCCAATAGGAGGAAAGCTTAGTGATGGTAGTGGTGGCAGGCTCGGAGTTGGAAACGGACTGAATGATGGGACACGAGTTATGCTGCCACTTGGTGATGGGTGTTGATGAGGCGGCCTAGCAGCGGACAAGCCAATGAACGGGGCAAGGACGATAACAGTCTTGGAGAAATGCATTTTAATAGCGTATACAGGACCGCAGCACTCAGTGGGTGTTGCAAAAAAAATTGCGGAAATGCACAGAGTAAGGATCGATTTTGTATGTGCGTCTGAGTAAATACTGAAATAATGATAACGTTGGAAAGAACGAGGTTGCTTGCCAGAAGCCCTTGTGTAGGATAAATTATAGTTCACAACTGGAAAATGTCATTGGTATAAATACTGAAGACCAAAAATCCTGAACCACTCTGCGACCTGACCGTCTGACGTGGTATTGGCATAGATAGAATCTAGAAGCCCAGGCTTTTCTTAACCAGGATAGATTCACCTGGGCCGTTTCCAATGATCTCCAGTCCGCTCAGGAGAAGCCGATAGGTAGTATCGCTTGTGACTTCTGGTAATGGCTGGTGTCTTCTGCAGTGTGTCACCACCGGGAGACTTGTTCCATCTGAATAAAAACTGCAGAGGGTAAGTTATTACAGATTCAACGAGAGAGGTTGATGATTATGGAATGGGATTACGTGCAAGTAATCAACCGGTGTTTCGTTTCAGTCCGTTTCATAGCAAGCTCTGAATGTGATTGGGGCTGATTGATCGGTCTGGAGAAACCTGGTAACGTTGGGGTCCGCCACGAAACATTAGTATGAGAGCTTCAAGCCACCCGGACGGGCTACTGTCGACAGGGGCCGTTGATCATTATAGTAGTGGTGAGTTGTTCACTGTCGATCTCGGTAAGTTTTAGCGTGGTGTCGGTGATTTGGGGTTGTACATCAACCGTTGATCAAACCAGTCTATCATTTTCCGCCCGTCATCGTCTGCACACTGGCCTGGTGGTAGGTATGTACGGAATATTCAAGTTCCCCTGGGTAGAAGCAGAAAATCTATGTCGTGTAAATCAATTCGCTAATAGAGATATAGCATATAGAGTAGTCTTCGCAATCCGAGCTGGAAGGGCGAAAAGGCTCTTGCGAACAAGCATGCCTTCGAAACGTCTATGGCCCCTGCCTGATGGGCTGATATTACGACGATGGATTGCGACGATTACGACGACTCTCCAACTCCACTAACGGAGTAATAGCTCGAAATTGGCAGGATTTTTAATTCGAGGAGTCGTATATTGCGATGATCCCATCGATCTGCCAAAGATCCTTGGATGGTTTATTCATACATGCAGGAATCTCAACATGCACCAGGTGCCTTAGGTATCTGCTATTATAGCGATAGTTAGCAACCCATTAGCTAAGTTAGGTCATATTTAGTAATAATGTAATAGGTATGAATTGTTTTCCGTGACACACGGATGGACCTTAATGAAGGGGCCATCGATTACAACCATAAGCGTCGATCTAGCTGGTATGTTTGAATATAATTGCAACCATTCAAATATACACTACAACCAGAGATTTACTAGTACCGGTGGGCAATGATTCGAAATGTTTTGTTTCGGGATCTCTTGAAGAGAATCAGATGTCGGCGAGTTGGAGTCTTTGTTCCAGAGGAACAGGGTGAAAGCACGTTTTAAACCTGGAACCAGTCGTTGAGAATATGATTTAATGAGAGTGACGAGTTGACTATTCGGTTACAGTAAAATCATCAGGAGATAGGGAGTGAAGACAGAATATGGCTTAAGTTTCACTCTATTCGCTTTTTCGTCCAGTCCAGCCCATAAAAAAAAGGGTTGCAATTGTAAATCAACACATGAAAAGCTTTTCGGGGAAATTTCATAGTCATAAAAATTTGTATACTGAGGTGTTTGTAAAAACTCTAACTGAAGCCCTTTTGCTCGTTTACTCTTTATGCCACCATCATACATGCCGCTAGCGGATGTCGAAAGTTGGGAATTTAATATCAGAAATGTATTACAATCTAACTACTTGTCGCGTCGCCTCCACCCTAGACCGGGTGGTGGTCGGCCCGGACTCAAGGGCCAGAAGATATGAAGTCTCATGTAAAATGTTTTACAGTCCACCAACGCCATATAAATTGCATATAAAAAATAGAGAGGTGTTAAATACAAGCATTGTTCACTTATTTCCTTGAGTATCAAAGAAAAAACCGCTGTTTTGAGGCTCTATTGAAGCCGCTTCTTCCGTCGGCTGCGGCACGCCAACAGCATGGCTCTTATAGATTTTCAACAAATCTCCATCATGACGGCGTTTTATGAGGCGATTCGCATCTTTTACATAAAGTGCACCGCTCGATTTGACTTGTCGCTTTGTAGTTTTTTGATTCTTGCGCGTTGATGTATCACGAACCTTGGCAAAGCTCTCACGGTGTAGATCGCCTAATTCGGCCAAGGTGAGACTGCCTTGATTAACCACTTTTATACGGCGTGAAAGGCCCGAGCTTACTTCATCAAGAATATCCTTTATACTGTCAATCGATTTTTCAATTTTATTGACATAGCGACGTAGTTTTACGGCGGTTGAGGGTGGAGATATTGATTTTGTAGTTGGTGAGCTGGGAATAGTGTCATCCGCCTCGCCATATATTTTTAGTGCATCCCCTTCAGCAACAAGTGCTTCAAATGCTTTATCTGGCTGAAGCATCATATCAAGTATAAGCCGAGGATTAAGAGGCCAAATTCCTCGCTCTCTCCAGCCGTGCCGAATTGTTCGTGTGGTAAAAGTCTTTATCCGGATATCGCGTAATTCTTCAAAAAGGTCGTTTTTATCCAAATCGAAGCCACCTAAGCGTGCAATCTTGTTCACAACCCGTCCATGAACATGTTTATATTTCTGAAATGGCACTCCATCGAGTAGTTGTAAAAAATGCGTAGAAGGAGGCGGAAATCGGAATGGGCGAATGTGCCAAATTTCACAATATTGCACGAACTGTATAGTAAGATGAGTTGTATGATTATCCATAAGAAGTAACCGCCAATCCGGGAAGGCCCCGGGCCTAGAGAAGTGATCAAAGTGTTGAAGCTATTTGAATGCAAACTCATCTGTGATAAATCTATTCGAAGCAGGTGCAACTAGCCAGTCGTCATCTTTTATATGCTGGTACCATTCCTCCAAATGGACCTTGCCTTTTAGAATCAATAAAGGTGGTATAATCTTTCCTTCGGCGTTTATACCCTCAATGACAGTAATTGATTCTCGAGAGGACAGGCTAGATACCCTTTTTGATGTTTTTGGATATGCTGTTACCACCGCTTCATCTTTTCCTTGTCCAACAATGAATCCGGTCTCATCGAAGTTCCACAGATTTTGAGGGCGAATTTTGTATTGTTGTATAGCGAGCTCGAGGTCAATAAACCAGCGCTCAACCTCACCATAATGCTCTGCGACGGTACGTTCCTTTTCTTGAGGTTTTTGAACGATTCGTACATACTGTTTTGGCAGGCGCTTGATAAAATCGTGTACCCAATTTTTTCCGGCGCGAGGGGGCTCTCCTGGACCCCTGAAATCTTTGCCGAGCAAATAATTCGCACTTTCCTCAATTTGCTGATTCGTAGGAGGCGCGCCTATATTATCTAGATACTCAATCAATAGAATAAGTGCCTTTTCTTGATCTAGAGATAATAGGTGCCTCGTAGGTGGGCGTGTTGAGCGAGAGGGTAAGCCATGCCACCGACGAGACAGTTTTTCGCGAGACACCCCATATTCACGCGATAATTTGCTAAAATTCGTTTTTTTTTTGTGTTGGCACGCACTGAGGGCCTTTGCAATCAATTCCTCCTCTTCTTTATATAATTTAGGGGTTATTTTGGCTCCGGTTTTGACGTTTGTAAATGCCGAGTTGAGATTTTGAAGATTCTGGCCCTTGAGTCCGGGCCGACCACCACCCGGTCTAGGGTGGGGGAAGGCGACGCGACAAGTAGTCCATCACGTTCACTCTTATTCTCTCACGGAATGATTGAAAATTCAATAAGAACGTATTCATCCGATAGACACCATTTTATGAAGCTGATGATCGTGGCTTAAATGACGCAAATACTTCCAACGGCCCCTCTTCTCTTTTCTCCGACACTGGTTAGCGACTGCAAGAAGCAAGCGAAAGCCAAGCGCGTTATTACACTATGATAGCATAAAAAGAGCAAAATCGCGTTGCGCAAAGAGTGTTTCGTAAGTCATACACGAACAATCAATAAATCATAAGTGTCGGTTTATCTACGTCTAGGTCGCTAGCACTAGTCACGTAGAACAGCTAATCCGACGAGCTGACGAGCCTGATCAATATGGTATAGAATTCCTGATATTGATGACTGCCCCCAAGAGTAAGGGTGTGTGTGTGTGTGTGTGTGTGTGTGTGTATTTAACGGCCGTGGTTCGTGACTCGCACGCTTCCCACCGATCCCTACTGGGACATAGGCCGCCGAGGGGTAAATCTCGGGCTTCAGGTCCTATCGGATTTATATACAAATAAGAGACTCTTTAGCGCATTTCCATAGCTGCCATGGTCTTACAGGGAGGTCCACTTCTGGGTGGGTTTTAAGTATTTGCCAGCTACAATGGTCCACCTACGCTCCATGACCCATAATTCTACCACCATAGTACTTAAGCAGTGAGTTTTGAAAGAAGGGAGGAAAGAAAGGAAAGAGAGATGTAAAGGGAAAGTAGGGCTGACTTAGCTAGGTACTAAGGAGAGGTTGGCGAGGATAGATGTCCTCAAAGAAATGGGTCTCTACTAGCCATGTGGCTAGTTTTTGTGTTCCTTTCGCAGTGCCTAAAAGAAAAGAGATGACTTTAGAAGGAGGTCTAGGAGGACGAGCGGCTCGTCTCTTAGCTATATAGTAGAAGAAGAAATGTAGAGGTGCTTTTCTTGCTTCACACCAACAGAGAAGATAAGTATTATCATGATTAAAGTGTTCATGGTAGTCTGCAAAGTCTCCATAACCAGTATGGGCCGCTATGATACGGCCGAGGTCAAGTCGGTTAAGTTGAAGCTCTCCAGGGCATTTAGGAGATATAGTTATTTCTAGATTTTAGTATGTCTGTGATGCTACAGTCTGCCACCGTATCTGAGTAGTAGAAAGGGATTGGGTCTTGGCGTATCTCTTTAGCGAGGCGTATAAGGACTTATATGAAGAGGGGGGGATAGAGGCAGCTCCTTCCTTGGCAGCGAGATCAGCCGCTTCATTCTCAGGGATTTTAGTGTGTCCAGGGACCTATCGGATTTGGATTGATCCACTTTTGGTGTGTGGAAGCCTTTCACGTAGTAGCTAGGCGGCTGCAAGGGTGCGAAAGGATTCAAAGACTTCTTGAGAGAATCCTGTAGAGGGAGATAGGAGTCGCGTGGCAACTTCCAGATTGTCAAGACAGATCTATAAGTTGGTAGTAAATTAAGCTGTTAGATATGCTATTGCTGCTTAAGCACCAGCTAGAGCAGCTTCTGCTTTAGCATTGAAGACTTCTTTCCCATATCCGTATAAGAGCGAGGAGCGGAGGAACTGATGGTGTGCTTAAAATCCAATATAGCCACCCCCTGCACGTCTATCTACTAGCCTAGATCCATCTAAAAAGATTACAATATCTAAGCTAGGGATGGTGTGTTGGAAAGCCATGAAATCAGCCGCTGTCTATTCCTTAGTGCGTCCCATGGGAGCTCCTACTTGAGTTTGGGCATTCTCATGAGACTCGTGAGGGTGCCAGGGAGCATATTAGAGGGGGTTTATCTGTTTAGAGTTGGGGAGGGCCAGTATATGGCAGGCAAATCAGCTAGTTTGTTAGCCATTACTAGCAATCTATTCTGCGCGTCTTAGAAGTGGGTGGTAATGGTCAAGACGCTGTAGGCGGACAGTTGCAAGAAGGGCTATTTAATCTAGTTTAATTTCTGGTGGAGAGAATCCAGACTCTCGATAAAGGATAGGAATTGGGGTCGTGCGGAAGACTGGAAGGACTACTCTTGTGCCTGTTAGTATTACTTTAGTTAGTTTCTCAAGATGTTCTCCAACTCAATTTGAAGTCTAGGAAGACTCAAGACAAGTACATTCTGGCCACCAGGTTTCAGCATTATAGTATACTTTATAGAGTACACAGGCTAATACAATCTACTATAGTAAATAAGGTTTAACTCCTTAGATAGTATTCCCTAGAGAGCAAAGGGCATTAGCCACAGTAAGGGCTTTAGATGCTGTTTCTCTAATGTGCCATTTAAATGTTAGCTTTTTGTCAAAGAGGATTCCTAGCTATCATAAATATAGCTGTTTAGTATTTTCTAATATTGTAATAGATCTAGCTTTCACTGAAGGTATATGGGTTGAGTCCTGGTCTACTTTATGTTGGGAGAAGTGAAGAAGCTCATATTTATCTGGTGTAAATATAATGCTCTCTGCATCTCCCTAGTTAAGAGCTTCTTAAAGTGAGTCTGATAAGGCTTCGCAGTTAGTAGTAAGAGATGTTGAGATTGCTAGGTTAGCTATATTGTCCGTGTAACTAAATCTGTTCCTTGGGTTTTCTAGACAGAATAGAGGCGCTATATAGAGCATGAAAAGGATGCTAGATACTGGGGATTCTTGTGGAAGACCGCAGGCAATATCTGTTGAGGGGCCAATCTTTCCATCGAGTCGGATCTAGACTGATCGTCCAGTAGCGAAGGAGGCAATACAGAGAATGAGATTGGTAAGCCAGCCCTGCTCACATAATCTGCGGATCAGTCTGCCGGGAAGCACGGCATCAAAGGCGCCTTTGACATCTAGGGTAAGGAGTGAGGTGGTCATGCCTTGATTTAGCGCTTGTTTAACATCATGTGTTAGGCATGTGGTCAGGTCAGTTATAGATTTTAGTGGGAGAGCCCTAAACTGTTGCCTTGCTGGGAAGCTGTTGGGTCTTAGTGGATCCTTTAGTAGAGGGCTTTGGAAGGTGCCTGTGGACTTATACTATTTACTCATATTAAAGATATCCTTCATTTGTGTTACCATAGAGAGCTTCTCTCGTCAAAATTGTCGTTGAGACCATCTAGTTATCCTGCGGAAGTCTGTCTTTGAGCAGAGGCCTAAGTAGTAGTTATATAAAGCTTTCTTGCAGTCTTTATTTTATCAAGGTTATCCTATGCCTTGTGTCAGGGTTCTCTTAGCAGAGCCTCTATATGCTCCTTGGATTGCAGATGTCAGTTTTTTGGTAAGGGCATCAAGGTCTTCTTCTATCATGGTTGAGCTCTCGATACTAGCAAGATTAGAGGTGAGAAGTGAGAGGAAGCAGGTGTGGTCTAGTGTGTTAAATCTTAGTTTCTAAGCTCTTTCCTTATATCTCTGATCCCATGGTACAGTGGTGATTAGTAGTTGATAATCTGAGGTTACTTCTAGGTGGCTCGCTATGCTAGTTTTAGCTCCCGTGAGTGCCAGAGGGCTTGAGGTAAAACTGAGGTCTAACACGTTACCTCTTTCATGTGTGGGACAGTCTATGTTAGAGATAAGTACTAGACCCTGGAGGTGGTCCAGCCAGTTAATAAATGGCTCTGCAGAAGGTGTGGGGCTGCGATGTAGCGAGGGCTGCCATCTGTTGTGTAGTAAGTTAAGATCGCCTGCGAGTATCATTGCTTGAGGGAAATATGCCTCTGGCAGAGTTGTAAGAGCTTTCGCGGCTTCACCTGCTCTGATAGAGCCTGCTAGGGCATTATAGATGTTAACTACCAGAGCAGACTTTCCTGTAGGCGAGAAAATCTGAAGGAAAAGGAGATCTAAGGCCTCTTTAGTGTTAGTTGTGAAGGGGCAAAGCTAGGAGATCCGAATGCTTTTCTTCTTTTGGATATAGATGAGGACTTGTGGTCGACCGCTTATTACCCAACTATTAGTTGGGGAGAAGCATTCATATGATAGGTGTTTTTTTATGATCTATTAGCTAAGATCTTTGAATATATATAGTTCTTAGATTAGGATAATATCAATATTGCTAGTGTATGTCAATGTGAGAGCTATTTTTTATACGTCTGGCGCGTGCTCTATATTTAACTGTAGGATTTTGAGAGGTACCTTTTGAGTTGGATAGTGATAGATCATAGCTCCTGTTCAAGAAGAGTGTCGGAAACTTCGGTCAAACTACCGTCGAGTATATCTCGGATAGCTTATAACACGCTGAAGTTATAAGGCTTCTAAGTACGAAAGGCTTCTTGAAAGCAAAGTCTTAATAAAGGATGAATATCCGGTTCGATAGAAGAACGTATACTCAAGTTATCAAAGCTAAGGGGTACTTAGCACAGTTAATTCAAGACGGTAAAATAAAACTAGATACATGGTAAATGAGCGTCTTTATATATCCATCATCGTTGTATCCCCTGATACATCCTGTTGTATCGCTTGATTATACATATTATATCTTCTGCTACAATATGTCTAATCGCCTGATTAGTTCCTAGCCCTAACTTATCCTAGTCTGTTCTTGGTTCTTGTCGAGGATTAGGTAAGCTAAACCTAATCAAGGAAAGCCTACAACATTGATACAAGGAAAATTCGAGAATTGAAGTCACAAGATTGAATCTACGAATCAACTTTACAGCTCTGTGTCGAGAATCTTCTATTTGAGATTGCGTGGATGGGATTCTCAAGCATAAATAGTGTCCAACAATCCCCTCAAGATGTAGATAGAAGAGTGGGCAGAATAAGGTCAATATCAATATTTCCACTATAAAGATATCTTTGAGTATTAAGCTTAACTGAGTTTGTGCTAGTGCACTGCAAGTTCCGATAGTTCTGCACTATCCCGTGATAGGTAAAGCCCTAGGCTAACCTTCTTGGGTAAGTGTGACAGTTTATCCATTGGCTGTGACGTGCTTATTCTGACAAAGAGAGGCAAACCAGTTTTATGATTAAGGGGTTATAAAATGGACTGCATGAGCTGTAATTGGAGGATCTTCAGTTAGGGCGCAAGGTGGGGGGGTTACTAAATGGAAAGGAGAGATAATCTCATGGATTGAAGGCTGAGATGGCATCTCATCTAATACTATGGGTGTGACGGCTCAGCCCTAGCTTTCGGCTTGGCGTCATTTATTGATTGGGAATCCTTTGAATAAAGGTCTCCATCAATAAATGTGATATCAATCGGTATTGTCATTTGTTATTGATACGCACTGATTCCCTATTGAGATGCGGGTGAGGCAACAGAGGTTTGTATGAGATGGACGTTACTATCAATGAGTAAATATGGGTAGAGGTTTAAATACGGGCTGTTCCTCCTTGATAGATAGTTTTCCTCTTCATACTCAGTTTCTCGTCAGCACTGGCACCTAGATAGTGAATATCACTTGGTTGGATTGGTCGTATGTTACAATGGGTGTTTCTTGTGTGCCTATGGAGAGCTGAGAGCTGCATCCTCCTTCAGTTCAAGCTTTTGCAAGGTTTATAGTGCAGGATTTGCAGATCTCTGCTTATTGAGCTTTAATATGTTTAGTATTGCCTTTAGGGTGTAGGAGGTATTCTAGAAAATTAGCTAGATGTAGTCCATGACAGTGTGTGTATCTAGGAGGGCACTAATAAGGCTCTAGGGCTGTGCTGCGGTTGATATAGCCCTCTTCAGTATACTCTGAGGAGCCACATAGCTGGCATCGAGAGGGGCGGGCACAGGATCGTGCATTATACCATTTCCAGCATTATATATATTAAACAACTATTATTTTCTTAGAGAGGTGACAAGCATTAGTAATAGTGCTAAAAAGATATAGCTGGATAGGCAGTAGTAGTTTTATGTCTTCTGAGAAGTTGACAAACTAGCTTGAGGAGAGAGTATCAGGGTTGGCAGCACTTATAGTGGTCTCACTAATAGATATAGGCTTGAGCCCTATAGTTTTACTAATTTCTAAGGATAGTAGTATAGGATTGACAGAGATTAGAGAATATTGACTATCTAAGATTTAGCCAATTTTCCTTGGCACATTGGTGACTCGGTATGAGACCCATCGGGAGCTGCATTCTATCTAGCAGTTAACAAAGAATACAGAGATAGTCTCTTTTTGGGCCTCAAGAGCTAGGAGAGCTTCTAGAGATGAGAGACATAGTGCAAAGCCAGTCTTTGTGGCTTAAACTTCTTTTAGTGCTGCACTGTTTGAGTTTAGTCGAGACTATAAGCTAGAGTAGATGGCGTAGGCTTCCATTTTTCTGGCTGCATGGTCAGCTAGGAGACGTACGAAGAGCCGGTTGTTAGGAAGGGGTTGTTTCACCAGAGGCATAGGCTTTTTAATAGAGGCTTTAGAGTGAGTAGTGGGAGTTGATTTGACTAGGGCATATTAGGTAATAGTTGCATAAGTTGACTGTTCAAGATCTGAGGGGGGACATGAGGAAGAGGGTGAAGGGGGTAAGGAATTTGGGATGAAGGAAGAGGAAGGGGGAGGGGACAGGGCAGGTAAAATAGAGGTTGTCAAGATACTACTGATATAGGTGTTGAAATGTTGTTGGGCTACTGAGGCGAGGTCATTGCTTAGAGCAGTGAGGGCTCTCAGTAGGTGAGGGGCAAGGCCGGTGGTTTGGCTGCGGTATTTATCGAGGAATACAGCTATAGGGCTGAAGATCTTCTGTCCTTCAGAAGCTCTTGTCGTGGCTGCAGACGTGGATTCTAGGAGGGCTGTCTGTAGAGGGCCATCTGTACCAGGGCCTTTACGCGCCATGGTGTTGCCGGGCGCGTTGAGACGCGTCAAAGGCCGCACTCCTGGGAGCTAGGTGGTAGAGAGGGGTGAGGAATTTGAGCCTCTGACTGTTTGATATGAATAATTATAAGGAAGTCGCCTATCAACTCGAAATCGAAGCTTTTTTTTGCTCAACCCAAGAGTAAGGGGGACGGGGGATAGCTAGCTACATATAAACGCGGCACGCACGTGCCACGTTGGACTAACTGATATCCAGTGCCGAAACGCGCTAGGTTTGATATTCACGTTCCGACAATAAGGAAGTGTCATTATATCAACGTACTTACTTT